TACTTCTTACCTTTAGATAGCTAAATTTAACCTAACCTACTCTACTAGCACCTCTTATTCTTATAGCTTATAGAGATAGTACTACCTATAGCTAATTTACCTAGCTAGGTATTCTAGAACGCTTATAGTAGTAGAGACTATAGACTAGCTCTTATAGTAGGTAATATATATCTATAACGTAACTCTTAGTATACGCGTTAAAGTACTTTAACTATATAATACTAACTTTATTTATTATCTAGCTACTTTTAGAAATAGCTATAACCTAGTTATATAGTAGCTAGCTATCTTTATACTATACTAAGAGGTAGTTCTTACCTATAATAATAAGAAATAGTAGAATCTATATATTACCTACTACTCTTACTATTATAATTACTAAAATCTACTTATAATTACCTAGTTAAAGACTCTTTAGTCGCGATTATTTCTTAGAGCTAGTAACTACTACCTAAAGTAATATTATTTCTATTATACAGCTAGATTTATTAAAATTATACGTATCTTTATTAGTAAAACTATACTTTGCCTTTATATTACCTACTAGGTTAAACTACGCCTAAATAATTATAGAATCTTTTTACTTTACTCTCTAATAGTTATACTTGTAATTAAGCCGCGTTTTAAGCTTAGAATAGCACGTAATAAAGTTATTTAGCTAGTTCTTATCTATAACCTTTCTACTCTACTTAGTAAGTAGTATATTAGCTATATCTTAAATAGTAGTAAGCTAAGAGGTAAATTCTTACGTATCTAGGTTAAGTATATAGTTAACTATTATCTACTTTTTATTCTTTATAAGTTTTACTAAATTAGGTATTTTTTTATATTATAGTATTATTCTAGCACGTTATATTTATAATAATAATAAGAGAATATAGTAGATTACTATAGCGCGTTACTTACTTTAAATTTAGCTAGTCTAGATAGCTTAAATTATAAGCTATATTCTAGCTTCTTAAGAAAATAACTTAGTATTAGTAGGTAGACTTATAGTAGTTAAGATAATTATTAGTAGAAACTTAGTAAAAGTAACTAGCTTACTTATATAACTAGCTTACTTATATAACTAGCTTACTTATATAACTAGCTTACTTATAAAGTATATTATAGTAAAATATAAGAGCTTATCTACTAAAATTTTTTTTTTTTAAATCTACTTACTACGCCTTCTAAATATTTATAAATAATTAGCTCTATATATTACTTATAGATATTATATTACGTATAGAAAAAAGTTAGATTCTCTACTAACTTATTAAGCTAGATTCTATAGAAAGTCTACTAAATATCTAACTTTATAAAGACCTTTACGCGTAATAAGTAGATAAGCGTTTTCTAAATAAGAGAAATAGAATAGACGTCTTTTTTTATAATAGTATTAAGCTTTTAGTAGTTAACGTAGAACCTCTATTCTTTTTCTAGCTTCTTAGTAAATAGAACTAGTAACGCGTATAACGCGTTACTATAAATAATAAAGCTATAGTAGAGGTAATTCTCTAGGTAGTTATATATAAGCTATAGATATTCTAGTAATATACTATAGAAAGAGCTATTAGTTAGTATATTTTTTACTATAAGCTTAATATTATAATTAACGTCTTCTTAATATAGTAGTAGCGAATTAGAATTCTTTTTAGAGAAATAAGCTATAGTTGCGCTAGCGTATTCTAAAAATAGAAGCTTCTAAGTAATTAACTAGTAGAGCTTCTTCTTAGAATTAGTAGTAGAGGTTTTCTTCTTATTAGTAATAAGCTAATCTACCTTATAGATACTAAGATACCTAATTATAACGTCTTTTCTACGCGCGTTAATTATAAAGGTAGTAGCGCTAACTATATTAACGTTAAGCCTAGCCTTTAGGTATATTCCTTATAAAACAGGTAGCTTTTTTAGCTTATAGAGCAATCTAGTAGATAGATTAAGATTCTTAAGCTATCTATCTATCTTGCGTAGATTTTCTTAAAGCTTCTAGCGTTATAATTCTCTCTTCTCTTATTATATTACTCTTAGCTTTTCTACTACTAATATTAAGGTATTATAGTAATTAGCATTAGCTTAGTAAGTAGCTTAAGCTTTAGTAGTAGATTAAGAGAGTTATATAGAGATAAACACGTTACCTTTATAATTAATTAATTAATTAGTATCTAGCTATATTAGTACACGCTACTTATAGTTAATCTAAACGTTAGCTTCTTTAAGTAGCTTATAACTAATTATTACGTTATAGTAGCTAGTATTATAATATATAAAGTAGGTACGTATTTAGTAGCTTTCTAGTACTAAATTAGCTTTAAAGTATTTATCTATCTAGCTATTAGGTTATCTATTATAACTAGTAAGAGAAATAGGTTCTATACGTAATAGCTTAACGTAGAGATTTTTTCTAAGAGTTTAAAGGTACTTTAGGTATACTAGAACGTAACTACCTACTCTAGTATTAATTAAGTCTCTAAGCTTAATAGTAAGACTATTTATAGATATTTAGTAGAGTAGAGTAAATATAGAACTACTAAATAGCTTTTTATATAGATTTATTACTCTAGTAGATAGCTCTAGAGAGAAGACTTCTTCTAGAGCTAGGCTTTTTCTAAATTATTAGATTTATATTCTAATATATTATTCTTAGGTATCTATAGCTCTATAGGCTCTATAGACTTCTTCTTAGAATTAACGTTCTTAATAGCTTTCTATATAGTAGAAGCGCTTAGATAATTATAGCTTATATAGCTAGGTTACTAGTATTAGAAGTAGGTAACTAGCTTCTTAATTACTAGAGCTTTATTAGAGGTTAGTAGAATACCTAGAAGAGTAGTAGGCGCGTAACGTAGCGTTAACGTAAGCGTATTATATTTTTTAACCTTTCTAGATACGTAAGCTTCTTCTTAGGTAAGCTTTCTAGTAAGATCTTAAGTAAGATCTATATATTAATTATAATTATTAGTATACTAATATTAATAGATATCTATCTACGTATATAGGTTTATTAGAAGCTTTTTATAAAGCTTATAAGAGCTAGCTCTATAGTCTCTACTACTATACGTATACTCTAGAATATCTAGCTAGATAAGTTAATTATAGATAATATAGTCTCTACAAGCTATAAGAATAAGAGCGATAAGTAGAGTAGATTAGATTAAATTTAGCTATCTAAAAGTAAGAAGTAGAAGAATACTCTAAGAGGCTCTATATATAGAGGTGCTAAGCGCTAAGACGCTAGACTAGGTTATATAATAAGATTACGTAACTCGAGGTTATATAACCTAAGGTAAATCTCTAAACTAGACTATTATAATACTAATATATAGAAAAAGAAGTATAATTTATATAAAAGAAAGTAAATTTAAAAAGAAGATACTTTTATAATTAAAGCTAGCTTATAGTTAGTTACTTAAAGAAAGGCTATAAATTAAAATAAGAGTAAAAAGTAGTATAAAGAAGTAGTAGTATATAATAGCTAGCTAGCTTAGTAACGCTATAGATGCTATAGTAAGCTAGAGTATAACACGTAAATATGCTAGATAGTTAAAGATAATATAGATAAGTTAGATAGCTTATCTAAATTTATCTTAAGTAGCTTAGAGTTAGAGTAATCTAACTAAGATGGCGGCTTTTTAGTAGGGGCTTGGCATTTTTTGGGTGGTTCGATGATATGGGCGGTTCGATGATAAAGTACGTTACTCTTTATCCTACCTCTGACTTCGCAACCTACCGCCAACCTACGATTTTTCTTCGTTCGTCTGTCGTTTAGGATGCACCCTGCACTAGTTGCCATGGCGCGAACATCGAGGAGCCAGCTCATCCCAGCCTCGCCAATTTCGAGAAGCGTGGTGCCCACCCCAACCACCTTTACCAACATCTCTCTCGTGTGCACGATGCAGACCACATCCCTCTCTGCATTCTCGTCTACCTAAAGAGTACCCGATATAGGCATCGAATCATACGTAGCACTTCTCGACTCCAAGTTCGACCAAGGATGAAGCTACCGAACCTGCTCGCCCTCCCACCTACCATCCTCCTCTTCTGCGCTGCCCCTCTCGCTGCGGAACCACAATTGGCACACAACCTTCCGAAGCACATGAAGTACTTTCCGGAAGAAGAAACACATGTGAAAAGAAGCCTCGGCGTCCGGGAAAAACTAGAGCGCGGCGAGAAGCCAATCGGGGTGAAGAAAATGAGCATCGACGAGGGCGAAATGTTCTTCCTGGACAGTTGGATATTCGCGTCCGACATGCAAGAATCAGAAGAGCCTGTAAACATTACGGCCCAAGCGTTATCACCGCTGCGACCGCATTCCGAGAAGGGACTATTCGATTCGCTGCTACGGTTCCGGGCGCGAGATGCCCTCCTGAAGCGTGGCTTCAGATGCCCAGAGGGTACGAATGACTGCTCTTCTATCGGCGCGCCGAACAGCTGTTGCGGGACCGACCAGAACTGCATCTCTATCGAGGATACGGGCTATGGCACGGTGGGCTGCTGTCCAAAAGGGCAGACGTGCGCGGGAACGATAACCTGTGATACGGAGAATGGGTATACAGATTGCCCTGACAGCCTAAACGGAGGGTGCTGCCTACCAGGATATAGCTGTCAGGATGTGGGATGTGAGTGCTTGTTTTGCCCACGGTTTCGAACGAACAAGGCTGACATTTGAGCAGGCGTCATAGCAGGAACATCGGTCACCTTCGTCCAGCCCCCTACCTCCGCAACTCTCAGCTCCTCTACCTCGACGGCGGTAGTCGTGGTCCCTACAACACCGTCCTCCGCGCCGTCCGCGTCGCGGACCTGTCCCGCAAGCTGGATCTCCTGCCCATCAAGCTTGGGGGGCGGCTGCTGCCAATCTGGCCTTACATGTGCAACCGGCGCAACCTGTCTCGGCGGGGACTCAAGTAGCAGCATCGCTCCCTCTGCACCCGTCCGTCCTACTAGCAACTCCGCCGTGCCCTCGAACCAGCCCATCTCTTCCTTCCCCGGAGAGTCCATCTGTCCAGTCGGCTTTTATGTCTGCAGCGCATACTATCCTTCCGGATGCTGTAGGATTGGGAGGGATTGTCAAACCATAGGGACTTGTATTATGACGTCCAGCGCCACAATTATCAATACGAATGGTGTGACCATTGTAGCGCCCAACGGTGCGAGCATGGCGACTACGGCAGCACCGCAAGGCGGGTCGTGTCCAAGTGCCTGGTATAGTTGTGCTGCGAATCGGGGCGGTAATTGTTGTCCAAATGGCTACAGTTGCGGAGAGCAATGCACCACCATTTCGGGGACGAGTGTCGAATTGAAGGTAGCTCCAAGCGCAGCTACGATTCCTTCTACTGCCTCTATCTGGGTTTGTATATCATTGGCGATTGCTATCGGTATTGCTATGGTTTCTCTATGAGAATGCCGCTTATACAACGCATTCCATCCTAAGCAAACACAGCATTTCTTCATATCAAATCTCCCCAATTGCCGGTATTATACTGCGCCTAGATAATCTGACTCCGGTACCTCCCATCCAACTCTGCCTCCCTTGTCCAAATATTCATCCCTAGCTTCTCCCCCCTCTGGACCGGCAGCCCCGCATGTAACGTCCTGCGATCCCCCCTCCCCTTTACTAAATTCCGCCAAAAGACGGCATTCCGCGGAAGCGGCCTAAACGTCACTCCCTCATCGAACCCAGCATCGCAATTCACATACTCGCACCAGCGCTCATTCGTCGGCGCATCGAGCAGCGGGAACTGCGTACCCCCGCCGACGATGTCGGTCGAGGCGGCGACGTATACGAAGAAACTAGTGGCTCTGTTTCCGCCGAACTCGGGTGTAGTTTGGGTGGGCGACGTGAACCAGTCAGTGTGGGGCTTGTAATTTTCGCCCAGCAAGTACGTGACGGCTTGGATAGGCTCGAGCCTCGTCCGCGGGATGTCGTAGCCTTGGAATTGCAGAGCTCTTTCTTCGATGCAGCGGACAACCTCGTCGCTGTGAAGCGAAGTGGAGCGCGAGGTGCGGGTGCTGGCGAGGTGTTGCTGCCCCGTTTGGTCGGCGATTTGGGAGGACGAGAAGCGACCGGTGGATATGGATTGCAGATGGGACGCTTCTTCGTGCGTGATAAATTCGGGGATGTAGATTATGAGGGGATCTTCGGAAAAGATTTGTACGTTGTAGAGGTGCTGTGGGCAGGTATAATTCTGTGTAGTTGCGGCTGTGGCTAGCACGGCGAGGAGAGGGATTGGGAGGAGGTGGGCGAGCATCTTGGGAATGTTGTTGATAATTTTGGTGGGTCGCTGATATGGTGAGTGATTATGAACAGCAGTTGCTCGGGACTGGGGAGAGGCCCCTTCGGCGAGCGAGGCACTTTTAAAAGTTGGAGCTCCGTAATCTGATCTACGCTCATGGTGGGGTGGTATTCCTCAAGCCAGGATCTCCGTTACGGATGTGAAACGAGGCAGGTTCCAGGGGTGCAGACGTGCCTGATCTGCGTCTGGGATCGAGCCTCTTAAGTCCGAGGGCGCGTCTGACGTCTTCAAAAGTCTCGGGCGTGCTACGCGGTCGGGTGCAGTTAGATTCCTCAACCCTTCGTTGTGGTGTAGCGTTGATTTATGATCCCTCAATCTTTCGCGATGCGAACACCAACACTCTTTTCCATATGGGGCACGCTACCGATGCTTGTAACGGCGATCCTAATGCAAGACGTCACCAAAGCTGGCTTCGAGACCCTCTTGAAAGACAACGAACTTCTTGTTGTAGCATTCTCCGCGCGAACCTTCGCACCCGTCCAGGCGTTCCACGAAGCCTTCGGGGAAGCCGCCGAGAGCGTCAAGACACTCTGCGTAATAATAGACTGCGATGAGGAAAAGGAGCTCTGCGGAAGTTACGACGTGAACGCCTACCCGGCCGTGAGGCTATTCAAGAAGAATGGAGGGAAGGACGTGGAGGTGACGAGGTATAGAGGGAGGCGGACGAAGAGAGCTATAAGATCGTTCGTGACGAAACACGAAATACCTACCGTAACACACATCGAGCCGGAGAACGTAGGAGCCTTCAAGGCCACCGACGACATCGTGATCATGGCGTACCTCCGCCCCGATCAAGAGGCCCTACTGGAAGTCTTCCGTACCGTAGCCTCAAAGCACCACGCAGACTACGTCTTCGGATACGTAACCGACATGCCTACTGCCGACGCTGAAGGGCTAGCGATGCCGTCGATTGTGTGCTATAAGAACACCGACGGCGATAATAAAGTCATGAACGGGCATTTCTCGGAAGCCGACGTGGGGAAATTCCTGGAAACAGCGACGAGGACGGTGATAGGAGAGTTTAATGAGCGGAACATGGATGTCTACATGGCGGTGAGTAGCGTAACCCAATACCCACATGCTCACAGTGTGTGAGTCAAATAGCTGATTTCAAGAAACAGGCAGACAAACTCGCTGCCTACATCTTCGCCGCTACGGATAACGAAGCGAATGCGTTGCGCTGGGAGCTGACGCCGGTCGCGAAGAAGTTCGACAAGTACGTCACATTTGGCGTCGCAGATGCGGTCGAGTATGCGCCCATGGCGGAAAGTTTTGGGCTGTCGGAGAGGAAGTTCCCTGCGCTGGCGGTCCACGCCCCAATGAATGATAACGTGTTTATCTATCGTCAGGGGAAGAGGATCATGGCGTCCGTGGTGGAGGCCATGCTGACGACAATTCTGCAGGCTAAGGCTGGTTCTGGCCAGGTTTTTGGTAGCGATGCACCAGAAATGGAGGGTGAGGTAACGCAGGATATGCGAAAAGGACACGATGAGCTCTGAAGACGGTCGACAAGCACGCTATACAAAGGACGAGACTGGGTAAAAGGAGAGCGGGTATGCGATGGACCTGACTTGATGAAGGGACGGTAAGAACAGAGCTCATGGTCGCGAGGAGGCGAGCTGAGCGTGGACACCTTCGTCATCAGAGACCTCTCGTATCTGGGGTCAGGAATCAGGGGACGGATTTCCAAGTCTAGGTCGTGACGCTCGGAAGCATTATGGAAAGACGCCTTGGTTTGCTGCGCACAGCTACTTGTGGCTGTATGAAGGTCCAGACAGTTCGCTTACCCCTCGACCTCAGCTCCGTAGCGGGAGCACATGTGCTACAGTCCTTAGCTGTCGTGGGGTGCAGAACGATGCGCCGTCGGCGCAAGGCTGTACCGCCTATTGGTACTGATAGAGCCGTGATAAGCCCATATGTAGAAAATGTGAGTGAGTGGAACTTCGGATACGACGCCTTCCGCCCTTCTGCATTCCTCCTAGTCAGGCGTAGGTGATTTTTTTGTACATAAGGGGGGTCATGTTGTCGCGTGAGCATGACCATTGGTCCAGGAAACCAAAAACTGGCGGCGATTGGTAGCCTCGCAGCCCACAGTATTTCTCGGTGTCTAAATGCGGGTCTGAGAGTGATGCAGCACCAAACGAGCTGAAGGAAGATATATACCTGTGCCGCGTTGTACGCTGTCGTCTTGATCCAACAGCGTAATACCACATTTTGGATTCCTGTGGAGATGAGTTGCTCCTTACCAACCATCACCAACCGCACGAGGGGGTTTGACTTCGGGGATGTGTTTGCCGTTTATCAGTTTTTAAACCAAAAATGTGCTCCCGAAAGCCACATCTTCTTCTCAGGAACGCGGTTGTTGACCGAGAGTGCGTGCAGAAAGATTACAGGACATCATATGGAGTGACTGGACAGCGTACCCCATCTCAGACGTCTGGTAAGATGGCGATACAAGCAGCGGATTAGAGTAAATCCTGACATACCACTAGTGAGTAAGAGCTCTCTCCGCGAAGCACTACGCACCAACCCTAGCCAGATGCTCGAATCGTTCGAGCATTCGGCTATCCGGTACCCGCTCTTTCGATTGTATTCTTTTAGAATGCCTGCTAATGGTACCGTGACCTTGGTCAAGGACTAGAATCGTGACCTGGAAACTTCCCCTCTTTCAACTCGTATCCCGGTTTCCTCGTCCGCCTTTAGGTTTCAGTGTCGAAGTAGCTACTATTTTGCATCTGCTAGGCGACCCAGTCGATTCCGTGATGAGCATGCTACTGACACTTTCTATTTGCCGCTCGACGGTGGAACTAGCGAAGAAGACATGCTCTAAGGTGAAGATGGATGCGGCGGACCCGGATTACGACCGGACCTGGAAAGCTTTGGCTCTCTTCATGGTATCGTACGATGACTGTGGGAAGGCCGAAAGCGTGGGCCAGTTTTGCAGAGACTAGTATGTTCCTAGGAGCGGTGGTATCGAGTGCTACTGACCAGGAATGCAGTGTCGAATTCCGGAGCTATCCGAACTTTGAGGAAGATATCCGCCACATTCACGAAGAGACGGCCGGCACCCTAGCAGCGGACAGGCAAACAAAATCCCTGCCTGCAGTGTTTGCGGAGGCTTTCTTTATCGGCGGCTGCTCTTGAAGGCAGCCTCGTCTGAGCCAAACGCGGCTAATTGGCCCAATATCGAAGCACATAGCATCGCCTTTTCTGGATTGTACCTGTGGGTCACATCGGCTGTCGTTATCGGATGTGTCATCGGTGCTTCACAGACCGAAGGGTCTATCCCGCGGCTGCTGCAAGGATTCGAACACCAAATCAACGAGGCTCGTGGTCAGCGTGTGCGGCGACCGTCTGCCCAAGGTCGCGAGGAGACGGTCTGGTGTGAAGTTGGCCAGAATCGTGCGGCCCGTGGAGGAGTACACTCATGGAGACCGACGAAATGGAGGCATCACCCGAAGGCACTCGGCGTTGGCGGGCGGACCTTGGCTTTGTTCGCCTCAATCGGCATGATGGTCGTCTGGTCCAGCTCCCTCACGTCGGTGACCTTGTCGTTCTTGGTCCCTCCGCGAGGTCCTAACTGCCGTCATATTCCAGAAACGCTCATGTTAGTCGCTGATTCTGCCCCTGTATCCACCACTGACTAGTTTCCAGGCTCGTCACCTGGCTCCTGAGCTTTGCCGCGGAGTGCGCCTTGGAGCGATGGCTGGGGAGACGGCTGTTCTGGGCGGTGTTTTGGAAGGATCTGTTCTGTGCGCTCAGCAACCTAGACATCGTTGTGATCACGCAGTGGGGGATAATGAGTCGTTGTTCGTGCTGGTCGATGTGGGGGTTGAGAGGCCTGCATCTTCCGCAGTAGCTAGAGGTGCAGCCTGAGCTGATGAACTATATCCGCCACGTGGCGCCATGGATAACCTTCATGGCCATCCTGTTCCAGCTGGCATTCTGCGTGGCGGTAGCGGTGAAGTACTGGGATGCGGTGCGTGTCTATATCCAGCGAGACGACGGCGTGTCCGATTCCGGCTGGCAGAGGCGGAAAGGAGGCCGGAAAGCGGCGTCTGAAGACAGAGCACAGGGAGGAGGAGACGGGGCTCAACGGTGCCGATAGCGCGTATACGAAGAGGCCAGTGTACATAATCTAGGTAGGTCCACGGGTACTACATATGCACGTGATATGGTAAGAAAGCGGGAGGCGCGCTAGCACGGACCAGCGAACTCTTGGCATGGAGACAGACGCGAGAAAAAACGGTCCCACTGTGGTCGTGCGCTGCCCGCCGCACTCAACGCTCAGCGCCCGCAGCAAACGATGGCGCCGATCGCCTTTTCGCCCGACGCTTCCATCTCCTCCCACACGCTCTCTGCTGGCTCCGCGCAGCCGCCGCCCATGGAGCTCGCACATTCCCCGTCGGCATTCCTCGCCAACCCCCTCGCCTTTTTGCAGCCCACCGCCCGGCTCAACGCTTCCTTCCTCACCGCGGCGAAACGCTATCTCGACCCGATCGCGTCTGCGGTCAGCCACGAGCAAATCGCGCGCCAGCAGCATCTGCGCAGGAAGAGAAAACGAGGGGAAGCACCAGACGGGGATGCAGGCGTTTTGCGCTTGAAGAAGCTCCATGTAGAGGGGTTCAGCGCAGACCAGGTCTTCCAGCAGACAAGCAAGGTCGTGGATGCTGCAGTCGAAGAGATTGAGCTATTGCTGCCGCAAGAGGACGGGCCGGTAGCAATAGGCTCGGACGAAGCTTCACAAGCGGACTTGGACGGGCAGGAGATCGAGAGCGCGTCCAGCCTTGGGGAGGAGGGCGTCGACTGGGAGTACGACGGTGAGGACGTAGCAGACGAAGAGGGAGACCTGAATGGAGAAGAGGGCCATGAAGATCCGGCGTCGGGCGAAGAGGACCAATTGGAGGATGAAGAGGAACATATCTTCTCCGACGCCCTGTCCCAATACGGCCAAGCCGCAACCTATCGCCCCGATAACGGTGTCGACGACGAGTTCTTCCAGCTGGACACCTTTAACAGACAAACTGGGTTTCTAGAGCAGCAAGACACACGGGGTGAGGCGGCCGATAGTGACGATGAAGAGATCGATTGGGATGCCGATCCCTTCGCCGCTACTGCCGGCAAGGCAGCAAAGGCAGTGACGGGTGACGAATCCGACGACGAAAACGGCCCGACGTTTGGCAACGTTGACTTGCACGCCCCGGAAGGGCTGAGCGACGACGAGTTCCAGGATGGCGAGATGGACGGTGTTGACTCGATGGATAATGCAAACAATCTCATGTACAAGGATTTCTTTGCACCACCCGCCAGAAAAGAATCCAAACGGAAAAGGCGCGGTCGCCCGAATCCGCACAACTTTCCCCCGGATGCAGCCCAACCGAATAACGAAGACATGGAAGACCAGGTCCGAGCTACCATGTCTCGGGTTCACCGCGATCTCTTTGAAGACGACGACAGTGCCGAGTCTGATGGCGAGCTCACCGACCTAGACAGCGCCGACCCGAAATCCCGGCAATCTACGTACCAACGCAGGCAGGCTAAAATAGCGGAACAGATCCGAAAATTGGAAGCCGCCAACGTCGCGCGTCGTGAATGGCAGCTCTCAGGCGAGGCCTCTGCTGGTACGAAATGACGTTCTGTACTACGCTGAGTGCCTAGCTAACCTGGCACGAATCTAGGCGACCGCCCACTCAATTCCCTCCTGGAAGAAAATCTCGACTTTCAGCGTGCCGGTAAACCGACGCCTGTGATTACAGCCGAGGTATGGAGCTTGCAATATGCCAGGGGTTCTATTCTGTCTCATCCACGCCTTAAGGTGCCTCTCAAGTCCCGTTTGAGTACTTTTGGGAAGTCTTATGCGTACTTGATGCTGTGCTGGTGTCTTCTCCCTACCTTCTTTTCTTTGCAATTCGAACATCTGCTAATGTATACCCGCGTTCACAGGTCCAACAGAGCATCGAAGACCTAATCAAAGGCCGCATCCTTCGGGGTGAATTCGATGAGGTCATTCGACGCAGACCAGACGACCTCGCAACTGGTCCTAAGGTGCGACGAGGCGAATTCCAGCTCGATGACAGCAAGGCCTCAAAAGGTCTTGCCGAGATGTATGAGGAGGATCTACTGCGTAGCACAGATCCGAACTACGTAGATTCCCGTGACCAGAAGCTCAAGAAGGAGCATGAGGAGATCTCGGCCCTGTGGAAGAGTATATGTAGCAAGCTCGACTCCCTCAGCTCCAGCCACTTCAAGCCCAAGCCAGCCACTGCGAATCTCGAGATCCGCGTCGACGCCCCGGCCATCGAAATGGAAGACGCACGACCCACAGCGGGCGGCGAAGTTGCGGGCTCCGGCATGCTTGCTCCTCAGGAACTCTACAAGCCCGGTGAGGAGAAGCGCAGGACTGAGATCGTCACTAAGGGCGGTATGCCTGTTGCTCGGGAGGAGATGACTCGCGAGCAGAAGTTTAGGAGACGACGGAGGGAGAAGGAGAGGATCAAGAAGGCGGGTCTTCACCAGCAGCCGAAGGAGGAACGTACTGGAGAGAGGAAGAAGCAAGAAAAGAAGCAGTTGCTGGGTGAATTGAAGAAGGGCGGAGTGCAGGTTATTGGAAAGAAGGGTCAGGTGACGGACGTGGAAGGCAAGGAGGTCAGGGAGGCGTCGAGGAAGGCTGCTGCTAGCTTCAAGCTTTGAGGAGAGATTCTGCATCTGTAGTTTATTAATCAACACGGAGAGATCCCCACGAGGGGTATGCCTCACGCATTTGACCCGAAGAATCTGTTCGTCTTTCTTCGTTTGAGCGTGTCAGATAGTGGTGCTCGGTCCTGTCCAAACATCGGCTCCAACCTTTCCAGTCGCTAGAGCAAGTGCTATGCGCACGCCGTGCGTCACAGTCCCGACCGCACATTAAAAGATAACATCCAATCCACAGTGCTATAATCCCCAAAAACTCTACATCTAACCTCCCGTCTCTGTCCGCCTTCTCGCCCTCGCCCTCGCCCTCCCAACACTACCCTTCACTCCCCACCCATCCCTTAAAAGACTCCCCACGTCCTCCAGACTTAGCCCTGCAGTTTCAGGATAGATTCTATATATCGCAAACCACGCGACCACACAAACTAGCATGTAAAGCGCGAACGTGCCCTCTGGCGTGAAGAACTCCATCATGGGGAGGAATGTGAGGCCGACGAGGGTGTTGGAGCCCCAGTTTGTGGCTGTGGCGAGGGCGGAGCCCAGCGAGCGGACGGAGAGAGGAAAGAGTCTGTGTGTGGGGGTTAGTGTGAAGATATGGGTGAGCGGATAGATGGCAGGGGGAATGAGGGGAAAGGGGGATGTACTCAGATTGCTGCCACGGCACGTTACCCATGCCGATTGCGTAGCCCGCGACATAGGTTACCATCGCCACGAGGATGACCAATGGCCAGACTTTACTATTAGAAGCCGTGGAGTGCGCTTGCTCGGAGCCAACCTGGCCAGGCAGATGCAGGAAATTGAAGGCTACGGCGCACAGAGCGAGTCCGATGACCATGATGGGGACGCTCCAAAGGAGGATACGGCGACGTCCGATGCGGTCGATGTAGTGGAAGGCGACGAGGGTAAAGGCGAAGTTGGTCAGGGCGATAGAGAGAGACGTTAGAGTGGGGGAGCGGAAGCCGACGAGAGAGAAGATGGTCGCAGAAAAGTACATAAGGGAATTCTATACCAAGTTAGACCAACGCTCCAAAGCCTTGACAATGTTGTGAAAAAAGGGTTCACGAGGACTTACAAATCCGCATAGTTGCTGAGCACCTTGCAGCATACATGCAATAACCAATGCCCGCCGATGTCCTCCCACCGTAACAAGCTGCAAGAAATCATGATGCACCCTATCCATCTTCGCTCTCCAGCCATGCTTTCCAGCCCGGACTACCTCCCTCTCGCCCATGGCATCCTCCTCTTCCGTAATCTCCCTCTCGACCCTCCTCAACACTGCACCAACGAGATGCCTGCCATCAAACCCCTCACTCCGCTCATACACCTTCCCGAGTACCCGTCTCGCCTCCTCCTTTAGTCCTGCCTTAACTAGCCATCTGGGTGTCTCGGGCATAAACCACAGCATGAGGAACTGTATCGCCGCTGGCAGCGCTCCAAGACCCACCATCCATCTCCAGCCATGCTCCATTGAAGAGAACAACCAGCCGATAATATACGCAACCACCTGTCCGCCCGTAATAAACAGACTCGCAACCACCACCAATCGCCCTCGAAACGGACTGGGCGACAGCTCCGAGATGTAGAGCGGAACGACAAACGATGCGCTTCCGACGGCTGCTCCGACGATCGATCGACCCGCAATCATTCCCCACACGGTGGTCGTCCAGGCCTGCCATAGCGCTCCAAGTATAAAGAGTATATCGGCGCCGAGGATGACTTTCTTTCTTCCGAGCTGATCTGCGAGGACACCGGTAAAGGGTGATGCGACGAGCGCGAAGAAACTCGTGCAGGAGGTAACGAGGCTCTTGTCTAGCGTGGTCAGAGGGCGGGCGGAGAGGTCGGACCCGATAGACACGAGGGTGGAAGATATAACGCCGGTACTGAATTGCACATCAGCTATCCACGCTCACTCAAGTGTGCGCTGCCTCGTCCCCACATGCGGTCGTGGCATCGAAACAAGGGGAACATAAAACATACTCATATCCAAACAGCAAGCCGCTGACCCCCGCGCAAACCGTCAAGGTCCAGATGAACTTCCCCGGCGCCAACAGCCCGCTCTCATCAACGACATCATCCTCTTCATATCCACGCAGTGCATCATGATCTCTCGGAAACGCGCGCTCGTCGCGGTCAGTGATCAGCGGTTCAGCAGCAGTGTCAACCATACTGTGCAGCTCTATATCCGCCGAGGAAGCCAAGGCTGCAGTTTCGCGATCGGGGGACGAACATCCAGACACACTTTGTATGGCGGCTGGTAGAGGGGAAGGCATGCGACCCGTTGGATGACACACTGCAACCGTCTCGGAACAAGCCACGGAAAGGCGCGGGCTGGAGCCGCGTGACTAGGGCAGGAATGGGCACGTGCGGGTCGAGCCTACCCTTGATCCCACGAGGCCGGTCACTCCTGTGACCGCTCGCGGAACAAGGCTGAGGTACATGTTGCGATCAAGGTTCCAAAGCCAGATGCAAAAAGACAGCTAGTATATTAGGTCGGAAAGGCCTTGAGTATCAGAGGCCCAACCCGAAATATGTGATACCTAGCTATTCGACATCCGTCATTCTTCTCCTCCTAGAACGATCTCGACACTGCCATCCCCTATTGAAAACGCCAAAGCGATTCTCTTCCCCCATCCTCCCGTGGCTAGTTGCCGGAGCGCGGACATGGGCCGTCGTCGCAAAAGACAACAGGCCGCTCTGCCCAAATCCTCCGTCCCGTTTTACTGGCCATGTAAAAACAAGCCAGAGGGCCGAGCCCAGCCTAACGCCGTCAGGTGCCAACCAACGCCGGTCGCTCATGCTTTGTTTGCAGCCAAAGAAGAGAGAAATGGAATCTCCCGCGCTAAATGCAGAGCAAAAACCAGCGGAAAGGGGTATTGCGAGGAAGATCAAGCAACCACGGTATACCCGCAAGAAGCGCGAGGGACTACGAAGCGCGCGTCTTCCCGCAGATAACCGTAGTGTTCAGGAAGTCGTTCATTTGACTTCCTCGCTACCTTCGGGCCCATGCGCGGCAGGACCCGTTGGAGGAATCTGAGGCGGTAGCGAATGTTGTTGCATCATAGGCTGCGAATAGCTGCCGCTTGGGGTACCGCGATGCTGTTGAGGGAACTGATGATGTTGATGTGGCGAACCGTAGTGTGGCTGATGTGGCTGAGGATAGGGTCCACGCATTGGTGTCACTGTAAGTGTTAGTTATTGAAGCAGAAATTCATGGATGGTGACCTACTTGATCCAGGGGGGACTTGCGCAAACATTGGTGGTCCCTGCGCGCCATGCGGCATGTACATGAGTGGCTGTTGTTGATGGCCCTGCTGTGAGCCTTGGTGGCTCATCAACGGCGCTCCACCAGGCCTAGGGCTAGGGAATCCATTCCCCCCGGGACCCGTGGGCATTTGACCAGGATACTGAGGATAAGCCGGTCCGGGAGCGGGAGAGTACATGGTCATCTGAGGGTTCGTCGGCATTCCCATGAACGGACCATTCGACGGCTGATTCGTCATCATTTGTCCGCCCATGGCTGGGCCCGGAGGGCCTACGAACTGAGGAGGCCCCTGACCCGCGCGAAGGGAAACGTGCTGGACGCTGGGGCTCATGCCATAGTGCTGCATCGGTACTTGCTGTGGGAAGCTGGGCATGGGTTGCGGCTGTTGGCCATATATGTACGGTTGCATAGGGCGTGGCGACGGGTGCACTGACGACGTCGAATGGGAGAACTGCATGTGCTGAGGCTCGAAATGGTGAGGACCTTGACCGTGATGCGGCTGCACTGGTGGATGCCGGGGTGTATGATGCGGCGTTTGGCCTTGTTGCATGCCCTGCGTTCCTTGAAGATGTGGCGGGAGCTGATGCTGGTGAGGAATAGGTCCATTACCCATTACATTCTGCGGGGCTGAGATCGGTGGTGCGGCGGCGCGCTCGAACATGTCAACGTAGCCTTTCTCTGTATTCATCTGTGGGAAGTCCCAAGTAGGGGGTGTTCGGTAGGGTGGCTGGATGCCGCCGTTGCTGGCATATTCGCGGGTCTTATCCTGCTCTTGCGCTTCCTTTCTCAACCGCTTGATGGGATTGAAGGATTCACTGAGATCCAAGGGCTGTATAGACGGACGTTGACCACCGAAGAAGCTGGTGATCTGCAGTTTTCGTGGTGGCTCCTGACGTGAAGCTGAATCAGGCCTAGGGCTGGAGTGGGTACTTGGGTTTCCGCCTGGTTGGAAGGTATTGGCGGATGGATTTGGTTTGAATTCGCTCGCTCGAACATTGAACCTCGTCGACACACCAGACGTTGGAGTCTGCACCCCGCTTGATGATTGTGAGGGTCCAGTAGGCGGGGGTACCCGCATATCCTGAATGGGAATAGGCTGGGGAACGCCATTGTATGGTATAGCCCCTTGCTGCTTGTGTTGCTGCTGATTTAGTTGAAGACGTGTGCTTAGTAGGCCATGGTTGCGCGGCGGCATCTGGTTCATATTCTGGTTGTGTACTGTGCGCTCCCTCATCGACGCCGATCCGTATTGGTTCTGAGCAGGGCGAGGCCGCTGGTTCTGCTGGCGGTCGGCGGCGGCGATCGGAGACGGCTGAGCAGGATCGGGCTTGACGTTGCTCGGCCGGGGAACGGATTTGGTATCTACAGCGGTAGCAACCGGCTTAGGAGGGGTGACCTTGAGCTCTTGCACAGCACGGAGGGCTTTCTCCACAATCTGCTGCTGCTTGGTCTCGTCCTTGGCAAGAATGGGAACCAAGTCTGTGGGCACCGGGGTGTTGAGCTTAAAGTTCTGCGAGAACTTCTTCAAGTCGTTCAGCTTAACTGCCTTCGACTCTCGTGCTATTGACCGCTGACGTTCGGACATCCGCAGCTTCTCTGCGGCGGAGAACTGCTTGAAAGAGTCGAGAAGGTCATGTTCGACGTTTGCTGTCGCGTTGTCAGGCCGTCCTGATTTGCGAGTTGGGATACCCGCTGCAGGCTTGAGGGCGTTGCTCGGCTTCTGCGCCTGCTCAGCAGCAGGCTTGGTTGGAGGTGTGGGCTTCATATCCGCTTTGGCTGGAGTATCCTTAGGAGGCTCTGCTTTCACCGCAACTGGCGCCTCGGCTTTAGGAGCTGCCTCAACTTTTGCAGGCTCAGGAGTAGCAGACTTCTCGACCGGCGGGCTTGTGGTACGCTGCGCTGGCTTTGAGGCAGCTGAATCTGGACGAGCGAGCTGTGAAGAGATGATTGCTGGGTCCACTGGCGCTCCTGGGACCGTCGGCTGGCTCGTTGGGGGACGGCGCGCAGGTGGCATATATCTGTTTGGCTGGCCAGCGGGGAGAGGTGGGAAATCGGGGCCACGGCGGACTCCGCTGTATCTGTATACTCGTCAGTGTGCAAGAAGCACAACATGTTGTGCGCACATACCTCTCTTCCTCGTCATCACCCTTGTCATCGGCGTTCTGCTGGCCCCGCTCTTCGCGGACATGGGCATTGAGCGCGCTACTACCCTCAATCTCGCGAGCAAGCCTGGCCGCGCGAGCCTCCTTCTCTGCATACCGCGGGTTGTTGCGATCAATGATAGTGGTATACAAGTTCTCGTCGTAGTCGCTTCGCACGCCAAAGAGCTTCTCGTTCGCCGAGAACTGATCCCACCCTGTTGAGGCCCCCTTGGGCTCCAAGGAGAGGTCGGCATTTGCGTCCGCAGACGGCTCCCACTTCTGAAGAGTCCGTTCGCGGATGGCCATATTGCCAGAAATGTCTGTATCGGTGCGGAACCCGGTGGTACCTGTGCATAACGTCAATGATTGGGAAGTGCTAATAGCAAGAAACATACCATTCCGACCCTTGGCTTGTGTCTTGTCGAGGATAACGTTGTTGACGTGGAAGTCGGCAACGTCGCTCATGTCGAACGCCATCACGTGGTTGTCCCCAACACCCACGTAGTCGTCGGAGACGTCGATTGTGCCGTTTACCTGAGCATCTCCCGCGGGTTGCACCTTCTTGACCATTTTGAAAACGTAGCGCATCTCGGTCGGGTCGAGGGAGGTGCCCGACAGCACGCCCGTGTACTTTTCGCCGTTCTTCAAGGTGATGTTGCCCGGAAGGCCCTGCGCGAGGCGAGGAATCAGCATTGGCAATTATTGCGCGAACAGAGGAAAGGGCATCTTACTGAGAGATTGGCGAGCAGGTACATCATCCTGTCATTGAGGTGCCTCATTGGGGATGCGGTCTCTGCAGAGAGAGCGACCGGGGCTTGTGAGGGCTTAGGGGCGTTGACGACGCCGTTGGAGTTGCTGATGTTCGTCGGTCGCTGAGTGATGGGGTTGGTGCCCTGGGTCCATGCTTTTTGGGGCGGAGGTTTCCTGGAAGAGCAGCACCGAGTCAGCAGCGCATCCAAGCGCACGGAGTCGGAACAGGAACGCGAAAGCAAAGGGCGCAATGTATGCGAGCGGGGCGGCGGTGGATAGAGAATGGGCAATTTTGGGGTACGAAAGCGTTGCACCGTGGCTCCATGTGACTGATTGCACGTCACACGAGAAAGTGCCGCTGGAGGCGGATATCGTCCAACGAGCTCTCGAGGCGTGGCTGGGGGGCAGCAGCAGCGGCGGGCGCCGCGGTGAAAAAGGGGAGCGATGACGGGGCGTGCAGGGAGAAATTGAGGTAGCGCCGGGAGCGCGGGAGCTTACCTTTGCCCGCCGTCAACGGGGCTGCCAGCCTGCTTGCGCGCACCGTCGGCGCCTTTGGCAGCGGTGCTCATCTTCAGTTGTGCTCGGCCGCCAGGGGGATTCGAGGATGCGGGGCTCACAGGTCCGTTGACATTGGAGCCGTTGAGGGACGTGGCGGCGGCGGAGCTGGACATGGGCGTGTCGGCGTGAGTTGAGGAGGCCTCTCCTCCGACTCAGCGTGGTGAAGGCAGCGCAGAGGGCGCAATGGAGAGCGGGGCGCGGAGGGGGGGAAGAGAAAGGAGCGGGCAAAAGGCTGCCAGCGTCGGGGGAGGCAGACGGGGCTGCAGCACGAAAAGGCGGATGCTAGAAGCTGGACAAAAGTGCGGCCCCGGGGGGTGAGGTGAGGTTTCCAGAGGAAGGCGCGACCTTGGGGCTTGGCACGTACTCTGGGAAGGCGCTAGCTCGACTGCTGCGGGATCGCCGTATATGAAACAGCCGTAAACTTTCAGCGGCCGTGGCGGGGCGGAACAGTCAGCCAAGCGGGTGCGGTCGCCGAGCGGAATGCGCGTGTGCTGGGAGTTTGCAGCTAGGGAGAGGTTAGGATATTGTCGGTCGCTTGTCAGTGGTGCGGAGGTGTAGGATGCTCTGCCACTACGCGCAGGACGTTGGGGGAACACTGGGGCTGGTGCGTTATAGTCGGTGCAACAAGCCACACCGGATGCCAGACGCGGCGCCCTGGACAGGCTGCCGCACTGCCGACTATTATTATGATTATTATTGTTGTTCGGATGTAGCACGCATTCTTCAAATAATGCTTCGAGAAGAGACGCTGGCTGTCCATCTCGGCTTTTTCGCAGCGTTTGTTCCCGCGCTCCATGTCCGACTACCACCGCACTGTGTATGCCACGGAGAACTGTTTGCTCCTGTCCTTCCCCAAATCCCGCCGAGCATGGCATCGCGCCCACATTAGGCAAAAAGGCCTGAGGAGCAGCTCGACTCAGGCACGCTGAAACCCCGTCTCACGATGCCGTCTGGAGGACTAGGCCGGTGGTGAACTGCAGGTGACTAAGACGCTTGGCACATGCACCTACCACGGCGAGCGTTCACCATGATGCGTCTGCACCTGCACTTCACCACCCACACCACTCATGCACTCTAGCTCCTTCACCGCGAGCAGAAGACCGCCCTCCCGCGACTCCGACGCCACCCTCTACCCAGCCTCGTCGGCGTCCAGCATGACGCTCACCGAGGAATACCCGCCCCCACAGGGCTCGAGCAAGGGCTCCTCGCGCGGAGCGCATTCCAGGCGACCCCAGCAGACAGTGAGTACCGCCCTCCCGCACCACCACCACCACCACCACCACGGCAGCGGAGACGCCTCACTGACCCTCCCCGGCCATGCAGCCGCAACAGCAACTCAGCCAGATAGAGAAGTCAGGTAATCCTCCTCGAACCAGCCCTCTCAGCCCGCCAGCTTACCCCCTCCAGTCACCCATCTGCTTGTCGCAACCAAACAACTACTCGAAACACTCACGCTCTGGTCTCGTGGGACCGCCACCGAAAGCGAAGTCTCGGACGTGTACGTGCGCCTGGGCTACGAGTTCAACATTGCCTCGCGGGCTTTCAACGCCATCGGAGTCGACACACAAGATCTCGGAAACGTTCCGGAGCTCCTCCGCGGTATCCTCGAAGAGACGCTTAGCCAAGAAGCGTCGCAAGCCAGCCTCGACAACTTCCTGCCCCGGATACGAGACATCATCATTAATCTCCTACACGGCCTGAAGAAGAAGCAGCAGCGGCTGCGGCAGCGGACCGGCCGGGATGGCAATATCAACGGAGGCAGCCCACGCCAGGGCAGCATTGGGAGTACTGGCGAGGTGGAAGACCCGCAACAGGCTCGCGCATCAAGCACGAGGCTGCCGCCGCGGCACGAGAGCGCAGAGTACATCGCCGAAGGGCCTGAGCTGCCTCCGCGTTCGTCATCGGTCCCTGGAAGGGCGTCCCCCAACAAGTACGACACCCTCCCTTCAAACCCTCGAGCCAATCGGTCGACAAACGCCAGCCAGCTGTCCACGGACTCCTCGCTTTCAAGCAATACAATGCAGCAGATACCCGTCATTGCTCCCTATCCGTCCGACGACCAGATGCCCAGGTCTCCCGAACACAAGCAACCCAACTACGCCATCGACTTCCCACCTCCGCCGCCACCGCCCAAACAGCAGGATGCTTTGGCAGCGTTGCAGCGAGGAGGCGAGCTGGAGAGGAGGGCTTCGCGGAGATTCTCCGCGTATCAGATCCAGAAACACTTGGGCACGAATGGAATTCCTCTGCCCCCGGTGCAGAACTCGCCCATACCGAATCGGGGAAGAGACGTGCGCGAGTCCATGAACGCGGTGCGAATACGGGGTTCACTGCTGCACAGTCGACAGCGTTCGGCTCAGCGGCCCTCGGTTGACACCGGCTTCGACAAGACAAACGACGTGTCTAGGCGCATTTCCGAAGAGAGTACTCAGAGTTATGCTCCCAGCATCAAACCTCCCCAGGAGGAGCCAATCGCCGAGGACAGTCCTGTTCAGAAGACGCCCGAGGATAAGCTTGCGGCACCCAAATTCCCTGAAGGCGAGCAGCCTATGCTAGGTGCGACGATCAGCGGGCCTTTGATTGAACCAGCAGACCTCCCCTCGGAATCGCCCGTAAAGGAACTTCGGAAGCCCACCGGCGTGCCCGCCAGGCATGGATCACGACGAGTAAAGTCGCCATCCCCGCAACCGGAGCATTTCGTCCCGGAACAGTCGCCACAGCCTGGCAAGGAGCTTACCCTGTTCTTGCAATATAAGAGCAAGATAAAGAAATACGTCTTTTCAGATGGCGCGGACTTGTCGATTGGTCGATTGCAGCTCGCATTCATTGAGAAGTTCGCCTGGGATACCCACCGTAACGGCGAGCTTCCAGAGATACACATCCAAGACCCTGTCTCTGGCGTGCGTTATGAGCTGGAAGACATCAACGACATCAAGGACCGCTCTGTTCTTGTCCTTAACATCGAACAGCTCGACGAAGTAAAGCATCATATTGACGACAAATTCGGTGGTCTGAACCGTCTAGTAGAGAGCATCAAGACCGTGGTCGAGGATCAACAGTCTACCATCCAGCGGGTTGCCGAGCGCCAACAACAAGCCGCAAAAGAGATTGCGGGTATCGCAGCAGCTCCCACCTTGTCGTCGGCTCGTGTCTCAACAGTGCTCACGCCACGCTCTCCGATGCCTTCCAGTGGACCTACGGAGCCAACTGTGTCCTCAGCCGCCCAACTCAGCGAGGTTCAGTCCCTCCGCCGAGACTTGGCTATCGTACGTCAGACATACTCCTCTTTCGTTGGGGACATTGAAGCAAGCATGTCGGCTATCCGTACCAAGGCCGCCGCAGTCAAATCAACCGCAGTCAAAGCTGCTCTTCCGACACTTGAAGGGGACAGCGGTCGCGCATACGTCAACTCCGGCAAGAAAACATTGCAAGAGGACTCAGAGAAGATCGTCAATCGTGTAGATGACCTACAAGACCTGGTCGAGGATCTCCGTAAGGATGTTGTGACTCGCGGTGTCCGTCCTTTACCCCGCCAACTCGAAATAACAGCCAAGGACCTATCCAAAGCCACCGCTGAACTCAAGAAACTGCAGGACTTTTTGGCGAAGGAGAAGCCACTGTGGACCAAGATCTGGGAACAGGAGTTGCAGACCGTTTGCGAAGAACGTGATCTGCTGACCATGCAGGAAGAACTTGCTGCTGATCTGCAAGATGATTTGGAGAAGGCAGCCCAGACGCTGGAGCTCGTGGAACAAGCTACCAAGCAGCAGAATCTGACAAGCGACAAGGACCAAGGCAAAGGCATGCGCTCAGCTAGTGGACGTAACCTGGTTCATGCCGTCGCGTACGACAAAGCCATTGATCCTCGTCAAGCCCGAGACGGAGTCTTGGGTGAAGTCAAGGCTTTGCAGCCCAACCACGAGAGCAGACTGGAGGCCATAGAGCGTGCAGAAAAGGCTCGACAACGCGAGCTTGAGACTCGTAAGGAGGGCGAGTTCAAGAGAGAGCTGGGCCAATTTGTCGAAGAGGGGAAGCTTAAGAAGACTGGCGGCGTGGAGGAAGCAGAGCGTCTGCGCAAAGCCAAGGACGAGCGAGCTCGCAAAGAATACCATGAGAGGATGCTGGCCCGGGAAAAGGCAAGGGCGGACAAGGCGGCTGCCGCCGCTGCGGATGTGGCTACCGAGAACGGCACCGAAGAGAAGAAGGATGGTGCTGCGGCTGAGGATACGCCGAACCAGGAGGATGCAAAGGACGAGCGGGTGACGACACCTGAAGGTGGTGCCACTCCCGCATAATCCTGTTGCTATTCTTAATCTCCCCTCTTGGTTCGGGCTGATCTTGCAACAGACATGCCGCAGTTGAAGTACACGATCCGTCCCTGGGTGAAGACCGGTTTGCCTCTGACGATGCCCGTGACGACTTGTCCGGGCCTCGCGGCCCCTATCTTGACCAATCTGCCGACGGAAAAGCCACCCTCAACCATTCGCCTCGTAGATTCCGCTCCTCTCGTTGAGTCTCCAAACTCAGCCGAGTATTTCAGAACAAGCTCTGCGCTTTCGCGAGACACACCGACTCCAACGATTGCTTCCACCAAAACATCCCGGCCTTCCTCCAAACAAGACACCTCCAGTTCCCGCACGTCAAAAGCTACCTTTTTTGGTCCGCGAGAGTCTGGCAAGCCGAGTCCTAGGACACCGCCAACCGGTCGACCGCGCGGAAAAACGGTTCCAGTGGTGAACTCATCGCTGCCTCGTACGCCAGAGAGGAACACGGATAGTGCGCTTAGTTTCACGCCTAGCACGAGCTCGAAGCATATTGCCAGTTGGTTCTCGGGATTGTTAGGGCGCTGAATGAAGTCTTCGTGATAAGAAGAGGAGGGATGAAGACAGGATTACCTTTTTCAAGTGGTTTCAATTCGCATTCTATGTCTGCTGTGCATGGATATTCTCCGTTTTTACTCCAATAACTACCTAACAGGGGCTGTTTACTGGCAGAGTTTGTGGTGACGTATTCCTTTTTCTTTCCTCGGTTCCAGCGAGCAATTTTTGGAGCGTTCTTGCATGGCGTTATGCGGAGCTTGTGGAGCTCTCATGTTCTACGAGACTGTATTTTAATTGGGTTATGGAACTTTGGGAAGTACTCTTACGGGTAGCCGTGGGACTCGGGCGCGAGGGAATGGAATGGAGATGCCCGTAGCTAGGGACTAATTTGGACCGAGACCGGAAGGAACTAACCTTGGATTCATAACATTCACATAAGCGGCATCTCTGCATGCAGTCTCATGAAGATAATAGTGCAGTTCGTTAGTCGATGAGCACCGATAATCCAGTCCTCGGTTGCAGGAATGTTAGTCAAGACCTTTCTCTTTTCTCTTCCATAACACCAGGAACATCTCCCATTGATGAATTCCTCTCGCTCCCACTTTTCGGACCTCCAATTCACCGTCCTTCAATTGCCAGGGGAGTGCATTTGCGCCCCTTACCCGTCCCTTGCTAACCCCAACGCGCCCAGAGCCAATCGGCAGTGCCCAATAAGCCTTGCCAAACTGCCAGAACACCCAAACCCCTAACGCGCCCCCGGCAGGGCAGTCGCAGACCAGGGTCTAACGCCAATGCTGATGCATAACAGGTACATTGGTTGCATCTTCGTCTGTTTAGTTGCCCACGGCCGTGTCATTGAGCGCGACGCAAACGGCACCTCTGTGATGGCCATTGTACTGGCGAATGATAGACTGGCTGTTGAGCTCCCAGAGACGGGCGTAATGGTCGGAGCAAGCAGTCACCAGGTAGGCAGAGTCGGCGCTAAAAGCGCAGTCCCAAACCCATCGCTGATGGCCATGCAGCGTCGTCTCAAGCGGGAAGGCATTCGGATCGCGGTCTGCGGCGCTGGGAAGCTGGTCTTGCGGCGTGACGTTGTGCGGCTGCGAGGTGTCGACGGACCAGATGCGGGCTGTGTGGTCGGCGGAGCAGGTAGCTAGGTGGCGGACATCCGGGGAGAGTAGGACCCTCGTGATATAGGTCTGATGGGCGACGAATTTGCAGACGGGGACGAGAGAGGTAACGTCGGCGCGCTGGATCATGCGCCAGACATAGACATTGCCCTAGGTGTACGCATCAGCTTCTGGGGCATTTCGGGGCATTTCTTGTCGGTAAAGGGCGGAGCAGTACCGCATTGTTTCCAGCACACAGCATGGTGCCATCACTAGCAACGGTGACGCTCGCAACCGAAACGTCATCCTCTGGAATGAGCTGATGCGAGCACTTGTTCTCGCCGAGGTCCCAAATGCGAACATTGCCTCCACGGTCGCAGCTGATCAATTCGCCCTGGTTTGGGTGGATGACTACATCATTCACAGGGACGCCGTGGGTGTAGTTCCGCTGGACACTGCCCGAGCGGGTGTCCCAGATCTTGACGGTGCCGTCCTCTGAGCTGGTCACCATCCATTTGCCCTCACAGTGGAAGGCGACGCCGGTGATGTTCGACGTGTGGCCTTCGAAAGTAAGGACGGGGTTCGGGTTCGTGGACTTGATCTCATAGAGCTTGACGGTATGGTGGCCGGCGGCGGCGAGGAAGCGCTTGTCGGGCGAGATGCAGAGGCGGTTGACCTGGGAATCGGGATGGGGGATGGTGCGTGAGCAGATGCCCGAAAGGGCTTCCCAGAAGCTTGCGTGCGGCAGTCAGCAGGAGAGCGGTGGCGGGCGAGGGCGCGGGGAGGCCAACCGGATGGTATGATCGTACCCAGCTGCTTCATCAGCATCTCTTGTCGCTGGGGGAAGGGGAGGGGTGCGGGCGGCTCACCGGTACACAGAATGACGGACATGTTTCGAGCGGGGGTCGCGCGACTCTCTCCGCACAACAAAGCAAGTGCCCTCAAGCAAGCTGAACTGCTGAGCTGCTGAACGCGTCAGAAAGCGCTTTATACCGTCATATCGCGTAACGAAGGGCGCGAGGTGTGCGTGTGCAGGTCGCGGCGGGCTGTTTGGCGCGAGGGCAGAGCTGGCGGTAGTGGGCCGCTGGAGCTCGGGCCTTTGCGCGCTCTGATTGGCCCCGCGCCACCGTCATGCCCATGCTGCCGCGGGCTGGCGGTCACCAGAAGAGACGCTGTCGCCTGCCTCCTACATGCCGGCACCGGTATGCGTCTCTCTGCCGGAGAGAGCTATCATACCTTCGTAATGGCCGGCTTCCCTCCGAGGCACCTGCAAGACCATGTGCGGGTGCGGCACCTCCCGCTACCCCAACGCGACGTCCGATGACGGCCCTGGGGCTATGACGAAGGAGCCGCATGGCGTCACCATTTCCTCTCGACCCTTTTCTGGGGGCTTGCAATGCCATATACGCGCTGAGTTCTTGCCCTGGCAGCCATACTCAGGCGCTGCAGCTTCATCTCGCCAGCCATGGACCCCCACAACCCAAACCGCGCCCTCCGCTCCACGCCTCAATACGCGCTCTACCAGCGGGAGAACTTCTGGAAAAGCAACGAGGGCGAGGCACCGCTGTTCAGCACAGGCAAGTATCCAAGTTGCTGCCCCAGAAGGGACGTCTTCGCTCACTGCTCCGCCCCAGACCCCGGCAAACTCGAAGACCTCGCAAAGGCAAAGCTCACGCAAGACGGCTGGTACTACGCCTCCAGCAACGCCGGCCAATCCCACACGCATACCGTAAACTGACAAGCCTTCTACCGTCACCGCATCATCCCGCGCATGCTCGTCGACACCAACAAGCGCGACACTGCCACCACCATCTTCGGGCACCGTGTCCCCGCCCCCATCGGCTTCGCACCTGTTGGGATAAACAAGATCTACCATGCGGCAGGCGAACTGCCGGTTGCAAGAGCAGCAGGTGGCCCCGGGTTGCCGTACTGTCTGAGCACCGCGGGGAGTCAGCCAATTGAACATGTAGCGGCCGCGAACGATGACGGAGCTAGCGGGACGGGAGGCGTGCGCTTCTTCCAGTTATACATGCCACATGATGACGAGCTCACACGGTCGCTGCTCGAGAGGGCAGTGAGCAGCGGCTTTACAGCATGTATCCTTACCTTCGATACCTGGCAACTCGGCTGGCGCCACAACGACATCGCCACCTCGAACTACGCCTTCTACCACGGCATCGGCGCCGATCTAGGCCTCAGCGATCTCGTCTTCCAAAAGCGCCTCAAGGAGCACGGCATCGACCCGAAGAAGCAGCCCAACGAAGCCGGGTCACTCTGGATCGACAACGTGTGGCACGGACGCGCGCACACGTGGGAGAAAGCGCAGTGGGTGATGAAGCTGTGGAAGGAGATTAGCGGCGGGAAGCCGTTCTGTCCCAAGGGCATCTAGAGCGTCAAGGATGCGGAGAAGGCGGTTGACATTGGCGTGGACGGGATCGTGGTGAGCACTCCAAAGCGCCTCGTGATTGAGGCAAAGCACTACTGACACGTGAGCCAGTCGTGGGTGACAAAACCTACATCATGTTCGACTCGGGTGTACGCAGCGCCTCGGATGTTTTCAAGGCGCTGGCACTGGGCGCAAAGTTCGTCTTTGTCGGCCGATTGTGGATCTGGGGTCTTTCCATCATGGGTGAGGTGGGCGTTTGGCACGTCATGAAGAGTCTACTTGCAGACTTAGACATCTTGCTAAACGTCGGTGGCTATAGGAATGTTGGGGAGATTGGCAGGAGTGCATTGGATTCGGGGCCGAAGGACTATCCGCTGCTAGTTGAATCTGGGGCCCCGCAAAATCACAGTGCATATTAGTAATGTAATCTTCTACAGCGAGGATTTTGAAAAGGGATAAATTGTGACAGGCTCCACAATTGCCAGGCTGTTGGCAACCAAATGCCTCACCCCTCCGCGCTCTATGACAAAACGAAGTGCATCCATGTACACACCCGAAGAACAGACTAACATGAGGAAAGACAAAAGGGGGACGACGACAGGCGACGCCAGGTATCATTTCGTGATTGGCCCTTGAATGAGTAAGTTCGTTCCAGCTCGTGGGGCTTGCTTTCATGACCCATCAGTGACTCTGAATGCCTTCCAAACCAAGCCCCAAGCCCCAAAACCCATGCAACATCCTACCCGACCGCATTATAACGTTAACATTCCAGAGAGCTTGCCCAGCCAAGACGCGACATCTCTACGGAGATGCGCTCGTGACCAGGGATATCGAGGAGGGAAAGGTAATCCGGCTACTTCTCGACTGCAGGCGAAGCAACATTCGTAATCTTTTCCGGTACAGTGGTGTCTTTCTTCTCGGTAGGCGGCTGCTCAACGCTCTCGGACTTGTCCGTCTTCACAGAAGAGGGCGATTCTGAAGCGTTCTTTTGCGGCGTGGGCCCGGGTGTTTCTTCGCGAGCGTTGCGCGCGGTGCCGTTGGACTCTTCCTTATGGAACTTGTCCACCTGCGAGTCGAGGTCTTTGTCTTCGTCATCGTGGTCGAACATCTCGCTGTCAGCGTCCGCGGTTGATATCTCTGTGCCGTCGCCCAAGAGAATGATGCGGCCGCCTAATCCGCTGTTTGGCCGAAAGCGGTGGTCAAGGTCCATGTCGATATCATCAGGGCTATCGTCAATTCGGTGATGGACTCCCGGCCCGCGGAACTCGGCTGGGATAATTTATTAGACCTGAACTAATCGCCTGCAGAGGCGGAAGAGGCTGGATTTTCAGACTTGCCATACTCTGGCGGTGCGCATGGGCCTTCACCATTTGCAACCCTCTTTGCGATATCTTCGTACCATTGCTCCTTCGTCCGACCTTGGAGCAGTCCAATGACGATCATGGTCATATTATCGCAGCCAACGCCTCCAGTATCACTGTTTGAAGCCAGGCAGTTGTCCATCATGTTTTCGCAGATAGAAGCGAGATCCTGCTTTGCCACGATGCCCCGTCGGACAAATTCGATGACGGCTTGGGAGGACTGACAATCCCAGATTCCTGTTACAGGATTAGCCAGGGGACGGTATGGGGATCAGGGCACTCGCACCATCGCAGGCAATGACCAGGAATTCATCATCCCCATTGATGTCGTGTATCTCCACATCCGGGAACGCCGTGACTATCTGGTGTTCAGGCGGAAGCTCGGCGCTCTTCTTGAATTCGAAATCTCCGATGGCTCGGGATAGAGCGAGGTTGCCGTTCACGCGGCCAAAATCGACAAAGCCACCTGCGGCTTGGATTCGCGCTTTCTCGGCTGCAGCTGGTCAATGAAGGCCCAGAAAGAGGAACTCGTCTCCCATACCTTCGTTCTGGGGCTTGTGGTCGTAGGAGAGCGGCTTCGCCCTACCCTTTATGCCCAAGACGCTCCGGGAGTCGCCCGAATTGGCCTGCCATGTTCAGTACTTGTCTGCATCCACACCAACGACCTGACGTACTACATAGATTTTGTTCTTCGAGATGATGCCGACCGACGCCGTGCATCCCGAGACTTCCTCTTCGTATTTGGGGTCTAAACCGGATGAGTCAGCCGCGCGCGTCATGGGCGCGAATGCAGCCAGGAGACATACCGCTCAATATTGCGCGGTCTGTCGCCAGAAAGCCGTCCTGAAGTGCCTTCTTTATGTCGCCTTCCTTGAAGGCCTCCTGCTTCGCTACGATCTCGTGCAGATGGTCGCCGGCATACACTGCCACCTTCTCGCCGCCATGGCCGTCGTATACGCCGAAGAAGCTTAGGCGCTTGTCCTGGGGTGTCGATTTCCCGTTCTTCGTCGCGGCATGCAGGTCGAGAACGCATGCGTGGGCGTCCTCCATGCTGATTCTCCATCCCTGCATCGAGGACACGCCGAAGATGATGTCGTCACCATCGCCGCTTTGTGAGTGCTGTCGCCGGCAGACATTAGCATACAAATTCATACGAGACACGCATGCCGCTGGCGGGAGCGCTGGGGGGTGCACCGTTGCCAAGGCAAGCGAGAGGGTCAAAGTGCGCGCGGTGCGGGGGCGGGGGAGGGATTGCATTGACTTACCTTCTCGACCACGGGCTCTGAAAGAGTCTGACCCATTCTGTCCGCAGCCTACGAGGACCTGGTGGAGAGGGCGAGAGTGATGTCGAGGCGAAGCGCGAGAGGCTTGCTGGGCATAGATTTGAGCAGCGTCACCGGGGGCGTGTGGGGTCTTCGGGGCTAAGAGGCTGTGAGTATGGTGGTAGTTGGGGAGACAGGAGCGCGGCAAAGGGATAGGCGGAGCAAAGGGTAGGGTAGAGTAGGAGGGCGTCTGGGGTCTCCGCTGGCGGAGGACGAGTTTGCGTGGGAGAGGTCGTGTCGTGTGGATCGCAGCGCAGTCCAAGTACGAAATCCAGGTCCCTCGGCGCTAGCCCCCATCGGGCTTGACTGTGGCTCAGCCACAGCTTCTCGACCGCCGGCCACCGGTCTTTGTAGTCACTTGGGCCTACGGAGGCACACCATGCCCACCTTCCCTTCTCCCGCATCTTCGTCGCCGCAGGGGCTACCTGCCTGGAGCGAATACGCGCCCTGTCTGCTGCTCGAACATGCGCCCGTCAGGCTGTGCACGGCGGTTACCAGGCAACAAACATATATCCCGGCACATTGCAGCTGCTCGCGTGCTGTTACACGAGACAGGCAGACTTGCCGGCGCTGACGTTCGCGGGGAATTCACGTAGCTGTGAGACACGTCCTCGCCGTCAGACTCGCCGTCAGACTCGCCGTCTACTGCCGGGCTGGGGGACGCTTCGAAATCACTCCCGTTGCAATAGACGATCCAAGTCAGACATCCTACCACAGCACATCCTACCGAAAGCCGAGTCAAGAGACATTCGAGTACCAGCTATAGGCGCCGCCATGCCAGAAACGAGGTTTCCAAAGTTTGAGTCGCAGGCGCACCTGAACATGTAATCCACCGGGTCGTCGTGGACTTCCAATTCCTGCATTCTTGGCTCGTACCTCGGAACATGCCCAAAACGCACTAGTGCCCAGCCGAGGTCTCGATTACCCCAATGTCATCATCATTTAGTGAACGCTTCCGCAGCTTTTCTAGACAATCTTTCTCTTAATTCCCCTTCTTCCGCTTCTTCTTCCAGTTAATTCTCTTCCAAGGCATCAATCATGGCACCAACCCCTGATTGGGTCAAGCAATTGAAGCCTTCTGGCCCGCAGGGCTATGAGCTCCTTGCTGCCGAGCGCGCAAGGTCCAATATCCCAGTTGAGAAGCTGCAAGAGCTTCTCCTAACCAAGGAAGCCATTGAAAGGAAACGGCGAATACTCGACATCTTGAAATCCGAAAAGGTCTTCGACAAATCTCAGAACTACTTTTCTGGCAGAATGGAGCGTTTTGAGAGAGCTCTTGCTCGCGAAAAGAAGCTGCAGATGCTGAAGAGGAAACATAATTGGACGCAGGAGGAGTTCCGCACTGCTTCAGAGCTTATTGGCGAGCCGGGTCCGTACGGGTTGCACGAAAGCATGTTCAGAGTGAGCGATAATCAGTCCTTGTTGAAGCCCTTCAGCGCACGCTAAGCTGACAAAACTAGATTACAATCGACGAGCAAGGTACCCCAGAACAACGTGAGAAGTTTGGGAAGCCAGCTGCGGACTACAAAATTATTGGCTGCTATGCGCAAACCGAGCTCGGCCATGGGTCCAATGTTCGTGGTCTCGAGACGACAGCGACCTGGAACCCAGAAGACAAGACATTCACGATACATTCGCCGCACCTTACCGCAAGCAAGTGGTGGATAGGCTCCCTCGGCCGCACAGCGAACCATGCCTGTGTCGTGGCGCAGCTGATGGTTGACGGCAAATCATACGGACCGCACCCCTTCATTGTCCAGATACGTGATACGAAGACCCATGAACCGCTGGAAGGCATCCACGTTGGTGATATGGTAAGGTGGCGGTACACATAGAGAGTTGAATATATGCTAACTTTCGGACAGTAAGTAAAACACTAAATGTTCAAATTATCTAAACATCTACCTACCTATTCTGGTATTTGCCCCTTTACACTCCGAGCGCCTGCTAATTGTACCGTCGCCTTGGGCAGCGGTCCTAAGTTTGGATACAACACCATGGATAACGGCTTCTTACTCTTCAATAACGTCAAAGTACCGCACATCTCCATGCTGGCGCGCTTCTCGTCAGTCGACCCTAACACGAACAAGTACGTTCGCCGCGGTTCGCCATCTCTTGTATACGGCACGTTGACGTGGGTTCGCTCAACGATCGTCATGCAAGCTGGTGCAGTGCTCGCTCGGGGCGTGACAATTGCTACTCGCTATTGCGCTATCCGCCGCCAATTCCAGGACCGCGATGCGCCAGAATGGGAGAAGGGCGAGAACGCCGTGCTCAACTACACCATGGTCCAGATCCGCCTTCTTCCCCTTCTCGCTGCCACGTTTGCTCTGCACTTCACCGGCAAGGGCATGATGAATTTGTACCAGGAAAATCAGAAACGGATGAATGAGAAGAACGCTGGCAGAGATGGACCTAGCAAGAGGGGTGCCGGCCCGGAAGAGACGCAGTCGGGTAGTGATATCTTGGCAGATCTGCATGCTACATCTTGTGGATTAAAGGCTCTGTCAAGTTCCACCGCGGCAGAAGGCCTTGAAGTATGCCGCAGAGCCTGCGGTGGCCATGGGTACTCTAGCTTCAGGTATATACAGTTGTTTACGGCTTACGATACAACTAACAATACTGCAGTGGAATCGGCCCTTGGTATTCGGATTACCTCCCAACGACGACATGGGAAGGGGATAACTACATGCTCACACAGCAGGTTGCTCGCTATGTCAGTCTTCCCTCATTCTTCCTCCATGTCCCATCCACCACGCGTTCATCCTTCCCTTGAATCACTCTAGCCTAACCCATTCCCAGCTCCTCAAATCCGCGCGCTCCGTTCTCGCCAACGAGCTCCCCATAAATGGTGCGTAAGACTGCAGTACAAATTGCATGTAATGCGTCAAAATGTCTGCGGGTTCGGTAATGGAATCTTGCTTGAGTTGCATTTCGCGATGGGGCAGATCCTAGACTAAGATATAGCGCAAAAACCCCACACTTCTAACTTGACAAGCTTCGCTGACTTTGTACCCCCTCCTTTAGACACTACCCGCATCCTATCTACCTTCCGCTCGCGCTCAGAAATTGGCTGCGCCTTCGATATTCTCGGCTCCGACTGCGACATCATCGCCGCCTTTGCATGGCGCTCTTCCTTCCTAACTTTCGAAGCACTCAAGCACCGCGATGAGGAGAAGAAGCCCTGGAACGATCTGCTCGTCGACTTCTATAGGCTGAGTAAGGCGCACAGCCAGTATATGGTTGTCAAGAACTTCTACGAAGCGTTGCTGTCGCCGGATACGACGTCCAAGATCGATGCTGATACTATCGATGTTCTATGGAAACTGTTTAGGCTTTACAGCCTGCACACACTTGAGCAGGAAGGCAGCGAGTTTTACGCCAGCGGCGCCTGCTCAAAGCATCAGATCATGTTGGCACGGACGAATGCGGTTATGAAGCTGCTCAAAGAGATTCGACCGCATGCCGTGCGGCTTGTGGATTCTTGGGGCTTTGATGACTGGTTGTTGGATTCGAGCCTGGGCAGGTATGATGGGAAGGTGTATGAGGACATGTTCTATAGGGCGAGTGAGCTCAACCCACTGAACAGGGTCACGGTGGATCCGTATCCGGAGAGCGATGTGCTATTCAGGAAGATCGAGGGAGAGGTGAAGAGTAAGCTGTAGAGACATATCGTCGACGTCATTGTACATATGCTAGAGGCCTCTGGGCTTCTGCACCAATACTAGCATCCTCATCCACCTGTAGAACGTCCCCAAAACCTAATTGAGGAATTCTGGAACGAACGCCTTGCTCGTATTGCTGTGGGCTGGGTAAGGCTGGCTGCCACGTCAGAAGTCCCCCCGGCCTGACTTTGTACCGCTTGTAGCCTTGCCCAATCAGATGTCTTAGGCCTGGTGTGGATGCGAAATACGAAGGTTTCTGGGCCGTGGAGCACGCGAACTGATTTTCAGGGACCGAAGCTTAGGTCGAAGCTTGAAGCAGCTTGATCTGACGATTCGGGACGAGGAGGGTTGAGGTGAAAGTATAAAGGCTAGATATGCTAAAAACTTCTAGGTACATAGCTACGCCACTTGATTAAGCCCACCCAGCACGCGAATCCAGTCTTTAACGCGCCTACCGCATATTCAGCATAATGGCCACCGGATCTGTCCATTTTGACCTCAAGGAGCTTGCGGAAATAGACATGGAACTGCCCATCCAGAAAGCCATCCTGGATGAAGTCCTCACAAAAGATCCCTTCACCCCCGTCCCAGGAATAATCAACATGCGTTGTCTCGGTAGTCTCCCCTCGTCACGCATTCGAAAGGGCCTCATATACCGTTCCGGAGCGCTCAACAACCTCCCACTGTCCTCACTCTCCACGCTGAAAGACGATCTCGGCATTAAGCTCATCTTGGATCTGCGAACCCAGCGCGAAATCACCCGCTCTCCCAACCCCGCTATCGCCGGAGTAACGAACAAGCATTTCGATAGCTTGAGGGTGCCGAGCCCCCTGGATTTGAGCGAGTTCGTGGAGGAGGGCGGGAAGAAAGGCTATGTGAAAATGTACGAAGAGGTGCTTGAGATCCACCAGCCGAGCATTAGGGCGGCGCTGGAGTGGGTGAGGGATGAGGGGAGCCCTCTGCTTTTCCACTGTACTGGTACGCTACCTCACGCATTCCTTCGCCCCACGAGGCCTGGAGGTGAGAAAGACTAACAAGTCGGCCCTGCAACAGCCGGGAAGGACCGCACCGGCGTGCTCGCGGCCATTCTCCTTTCCCTCGCAGGCACACCCAAGGAAGCCATCGCGCATGACTTCGCACTCACCCGCATCGGCATCGAGCCAGCGCGTGAGCTGCTTCTCCAGATGCTCAAGATGTGGAACAAGGAGTGGACGGCCGAGACACCAGGGATGAGGGAGTTCTCGCAGATCAAAGAGGAGTACATGCTCGGGACGCTGGAGATGATGCAAGAGAAATACGGAGGCGCAGAGGGGTATGCGAAGCGGCTGGGGTTTGCGGATGAGGATTTGGAGAAGATTAGGAAGGGGTTGAGGGGAGACTAAGGGGTCGGTGCCCAGAAACCGACGGACGCATAATGCTAGAGCACTAGACTCCGTTCCTGCCAGAGTGATGGGCTTGCTGCTGGCTCGTGTCGTGTGACTGCGCAAACTTTGCGGTGCACATTATTAGCAAATGCCGCGAAAGAGTGAGGTTGTCTGCGGAGAGTGCGAAGGGGTGGGGTGGAGGTGGCCGGCGGAGAGGAAGGGACCAGCGCCAAGAGAGGCTAGTGTCCCACGTTGTCGGCCGGTTGGCAGGCTGGGAAGTCACGGGGCACCGGAGGAAGCCGCAACTCCCCTTAGTTCGGCGCAGGCCTTCACCTGCGTTGTTTTTCTGTCTCGCAGCACTGTACCCTCCATCCACGCCCGCAACTCCACATTCTTCCGCCCTTCTTCCCCACGCTCCTCCTCCATCATGGCCGACTTCGTAGAACAGAAGCTGGTGGCCAAGGTGCCGCCGCCCGCTTTCAGCGACATCGCGAAGGCCTCCAACGACGTGTGTTTTCCGCTCCATCGCAAAGCTCCCCCGTGGTGCAATTGCTGACTGCGTGTCTCCAGCTCATCAACAAGGACTTCTACCACGCTGCTGCAGGTCGGGCGCACCAATTGGCCCGCCGTTGCGAATGCTGACCGCGCGCAGCTGCTCTTGAGGTCAAGCTGAAGGCTCCCAACGGTGTCAACTTCACCGCCAAGGGCACGTCGGCGCATGATGGACCCGTCACCTCCTCAGTAAGCTCCCTTGGCCGTGTCTTTGCTCCTGGAGCTTGCTAACAACGGGAACAGCTCGAGGGCAAGAAGGCGCTCTCCAACGGTATTCAACCCTCTCATTACTGTCTCGAAGTACCCTTTCATTGTACCAACCGCATCCATACGTATATATTTCATCTGGCGCACCCTCCGGGAGCATTCGCGTACACCGGCTACGCAATATCCCTGCTGACCAAGCGCCGCGCAGGCATCAGCATCACCCAGTCGTGGAACACTGCCAACCTGCTGGCTACCAAGGTTGAGCTGAATGACACCTTCGCCAACGGCCTGAAGGCGGAGGTTCTCTCCAACTTCAACCCGGCTGCTGGCAACAAGGGCCAGAAGCTCAACCTCTACTTCAAGCAGCCCAACTTCCACACCCGCGTCTTCGCCGATCTTCAGGCCAGCGGCGCCGTCAGCGCCATTGCTGATGCCGTCCTGAGCCACGAGGGCTTCCTTGTTGGTGGTGAAGTCGGATACGATGTGCAGAAGGCTGCCGTCACCAAATACTCCGCCGCCGTGGGCTATACGACCCCGGCCTACAACGCCGCCATCACCGCTACCAACTCCCTCTCCGTCTTCAGCGCTGCGTACTATCAGAAAGTGAACTCAGCCGTTGAGGCTGGCGCTAGGGCTACCTGGGACTCGAAGCAGGGCAACACTGTTGGCCTTGAGCTCGCTGCCAAGTACAAGATCGACCCTGCGTCTTTCGCTAAGGTACGTCCATGTCTCGTGGATCTGCTGGATCCTCTCTGATGCTTTGACAGGCCAAGATCAACAACCTCGGCATTGCGTCCCTCGCCTACAACACGAAGGTCAACAGCGGTCTGACCTTTGGCGTTGGCGGCTCCTTCGATACCCAGAAGCTGAACGAGGCCGGTCACAAGCTCGGCACCAGCTTCACGTTTGAGGGTTAAACCTCCGTGTAGAAAAGAGAGGGGAAAGTGATTTCTAGATTTGGGATGCTTGGTTCTATAGCGAGCCGACCTCTTCTTCTCTACTGGGTGTGGCTAAGCATGGGCAAATGTACTATGACTTTGGCATGTACAACAATATGTCTCAATGCAACTCACTGCGAGAACTATACTGTTGTGCTTTTCTTCCATGGCCGTGAGACACGTCCATGCATGCGAGCACCTTTGCGTTTGCGTACCGAATCGTAGGGTCTCTGACGCGGGTCCTCTCGCTTGCCGATGGTCACTTTCAGAATGTGTCCTTCCGTTTACTTGTGTCCTCACTCTTATCACTGAAGATTTTTGCGGTCATTCCAATGAACCCAACCACGCCCGCGACCATCAGGAAGTTGACAAGCATGCCGCCTCGGTCAAACTCCTCTGGAAGCTGGGCCGCCCTCGCCCTTCGTCTCCTCGCGTAGATGTGCTCGTTGACGTGATCATGCGTCGCTTTGTGTCTCCGGTCATCGAAATGGGGAACGTCTGCTCCATGTCGTGTCTGTCCGGGGCCAAACCCGTCAAAGCCACCATAGCTTTCCGGTCCGGCTTCGTCGCCCGGCGCGTCTCCAGCATGTGGATTGTGATGGGCGTATTCTGCTCTCTTCGCGCCATGCCTCCCATAGCCGCCACTCTTGTAGAAGCTCGGCGGCGGGCCCCTGAATGTACTCCTCCGTTTGTTTAGACCACTCGCCGGCCTTGACCCCGCGAAACTTGCGCTACTAAAGGAACCTTGCGGATGCTGGCTTGATCCTCTGCCCCAATGCGACAGCTTTGAGTGGGACATGTGCGCATCGTATTGCGCGCGCTTTTCGGGTACGGAGAGGACATGGTAGGCTTCGCTGATGGCGACGAAGCGCGTGCTTGCGTTCGGGTCGTCGGGGTTGCGGTCGGGGTGGTGCTGCTTGGAGAGGGTGTAGAATTGGCGTTTGATCTCGGAATGGGATGCAGAGTGCGGGAGCTGGAGCACTTCGTAGTGGTTCGGGAGGCTATCGGAGAGCAGGCGTGAAGAAGTGTGGAGGGATATTTGAGGGAGCAGAGGGTGGAATGGAAGGGTGGCGGTTCGCGAGCGGCATGTTTGGCATACCCAGGGCGTAGGAGCGCCGACGCGGGGGAGTGGGAGGAGGAGGATAGGAGGGCGTGGTGGCATTGTGCATCTCGCACTGCGAGGGTGCGTAGTGGTTGGAGTGGTCGTGCGGAAGGTCGTCGAGTGAATCGCTTGGCCGAGACGTCATGGTTCGCAGGGGCCGGGCCAGGGCAAGAATAAGCGATTCCGATCGCCGACGTGTGACAGGCGGCGTTTGGTGGGCGGCTTAAATTCCCATAATAAGACGCTGCAGCCTTTCGCTTTCATCGCCGCCCGCTCTCACGCCTTTTCTCTCCTCCACCATGGCCGCGAAAGCAGCGGACGGAATTTCCAACCTGAAGTGCAAGTCTCCCGCCGTTTGTCGTTTCGGGCGTGCGAGTGCGGGTGGGCAACAACTGACACCTTGCAGTGGACGAAAGCACAAGCAAGCAAACCAACGGCGCAGTAAAGAACGGCGTGAAGCCGACCGAAGATGTAGACCACGAAGACTCGGACGACGATAACGAGGCCGAGGATGGCGCGCCTGACGCCGCCGGGGAGGGCGCGGCCAAAAAGAAAAAGAAGAGAAAGCCCAGGAAGAAGAAGAAGGGCGGTGCAGGCGGTGGTGCTCCAAAAGCGCAAACAACGCCCCCTCGCGTGCCCATCCACGAGCTATTCCCCAACGACACGTACCCGGAGGGCCAGATCTGCGAGTACAGGAACGAGAATGCGTACAGGACCACAAGCGAGGAGAAGCGGTATCTGGATCGCATGAACCAGGACTTCCTGACGGATTACAGGCGCGGCGCCGAGGTGCATCGCCAGGTCAGGCAGTGGGCGCAGAAGTGGATCAAGCCTGGCATGACGCTCACGGAGATCGCCGAGGGCATTGAAGACTCGGTGCGCGCTCTGACTGGGCATCAGGGTCTGGAGGAGGGGGATGCAATCAAAGGTGGCATGGGCTTCCCGACCGGTCTCAGTATCAACCACTGCGCGGCGCACTACACGCCGAATGCGGGGAATAAGATGGTCGTGAACCAGGAGGACGTCATGAAAGTTGACTTTGGCGTCCACATCAACGGCCGCATCGTCGATAGCGCCTTTACCATGACTTTCGACCCCACCTACGACAGCCTCGTCAGTGCCTGCAAGGATGCTACGAATGCCGGTATTAGGGAGGCAGGCATTGATGTCCGCATGAGCGACATTGGTGCCGCCATCCAAGAAGTCATGGAGAGCTACGAGTGCGAGATCAAGGGCCAGACGTACCCTGTCAAATGTATCCGCAACCTGAACGGTCACAGCATTGGTCGGTATAGCATCCACGGAGGAAAGACTGTGCCCATCGTCAAGGGCGGCGACCAGACAAAGATGGAAGAGGGTGAAACCTTTGCCATTGAGACGTTTGGTAGCACGGGTAAGGGATATGTTAGGGACGATGTACGCTCTTGCACTCTGCATCCTTTTGTGAGCCTTTTTGGCTAACAGATTCAGATGGAAACATCCCATTATGCAAAACGCGAGGACGCACCCCACGTCGCCCTCCGCGTGTCTTCAGCGAAGACGCTACTGAACTCCATCACCAAGAACTTTGGCACACTGCCATTCTGCAGACGCTACCTTGACCGCCTCGGTCATGACAAGTACTTACTTGGCTTGAACAATCTCGTCACCGCCGGGATTGTGGAGGCTTATCCGCCACTGTGCGATGTTAAAGGCTCTTACACGGCACAGTCTGAACATGTGGGTGCTCATCCACATCTCTCAAGGGGTTCATATATCTAACCCACTTTAGACATTCATCCTCCGACCTACGGTCAAGGAGGTTATCAGTCGCGGTGATGACTACTAGACACAGATGAGAGACCATGGGATATGAAGATACAGGACGGCATTATGATCTCTTCCATATACAGTTTTAGTAGGGTCGCATAAAATCGAGGCATTGCCAACCTTTCAGACGCCGTGCTCTATGTTCTCTCACTTTGATACCATTGGGCCGAAAACCTACCTTCCTCATACCCATGCACTCCGCTTGTTGTTGCAGCAGGACGCGCCTTCCTACGTACCAATTTCGACAGTATGAGGCGAGATGCGACCCTTCACATCAACAATCACCTGGCCGCGTCGTTCACTGTTACGCCTATATCGTTACAGTTATACATCATTTCGAAACATGCAGCTTCTAGCCGCACTTGCCTTCGCTCGATCATACGCGATGGCATGGTCATCGGCGACCCAGGAGGCCTTCAGCTACTGGACGAGGACCGAGCCGCCTTTCTTCCCTTCGTTGTATGCACACATGCTCCTCCAATCAAACAACCTTGGAACCGTCCACACTGACCCACTACAGCTACATCTCATCCGCTATGGTCATCATACACGTCGGCGCAGAACTTACACCCTACGTCGTTCACCGAGATCTGGTCTGCCAGTGCTCGCCATACTTCAAAGCGCTTTTCCTCGGCCACTTCCGCGAGCGCACCACGCGCACGACCACGTGCCCTGACGTCGAAGACGCAGACTTTCGACGCTTCCTGGGCTGGCTGTACAATCCGAGAAGGGACGATTTGGCGTCGCGTCTGGCGCCGCATATCCGGCTATGGACCCAGCGGTTCTCCTGCGCCACATTACTCCGGCTGTATGTCTTCGCGGACGCGTACGATATTCCGCAAATCCGCGATGATATCGTCGCCCATTTTTTCGACGTCATGGCCGTCAAGCTCAGTTTACCTTCGTACGGCCTTATCAATGCGGCTTTTGCCCGCCTCCCGGCCAATTCTCCCCTCTGCCGCCTCGTAGTCGACGTTATGGTCCGCTACTTCGACGAGTCATGTGAGGGAGATGAGGACAGAGCGGAGCGCGAGGCACTGCACGAGGATTTCCTGCTCTCGATGATGATGAAGCATGCAGAGAGGAATACGCGTATTAGGGGGGATGCGTTGAGTGTGAGGTATAGGCTCTTTATACATCATTATCTGGAGGAGCAGATTGGGGAGACGGCGAAGGGATTGAGGAGTCTCACGTCAGCGGATGAGCGGGCGAGGGATAAAGTGTTATTGAGGGAGGAAGAGGATGACTTGGGGAGCGCAGTTGAGCAGCTGGATATCGGAGATTGAGAAGTGATGGGTTGATAGGATAGTACAGCTACATGAAGGCATGCGGCCTGGAATTATGCAAGAGGGCTCGCGGGGTTGGAGATAGTGAGGAGAAGTTGGGCAGGAGACAGGCATGACAAGTGGGCGCAGGCGCAACCCCTTCTGCTTACGTAATCGTTGCTGCAAGGACCTAGATTCTGCCACCGCCTTCGGCGACCGCACAGCGTCACGGCACAGGTCCGCAGTCGCCCCTACAACAACACTCAAGCAAGTCTCTCTCGAACGTGCTTTTGATATCATACTCTCTCACCCGGCATTTGCACGTGGCTCCTCGAGCTTACGCATTGCTTGAAGCCCAATCAAGGCGGGCGAGGCCTCCACAATGGCTTCGCGACTGGTGTTGTGCCTAGGCGACCTCTTCATACCTGATAGAGCTGCAGTAAGCTTGGTTCCGCCCATTCATATATCGCTAGACCTCACAAACTTACAGGATGCATAGGATATACCGACCAAGGTACGCTTCAATCCCGCATGTCTCTTGCGTAGAGTCGCAATCGCCCGCGGCGGCCCCCACGAGCGCTAACAGCCCCCGTCGTCCAGTTCAAGAAACTCCTCGCGCCCGGCAAAATAGGCCAAATTCTCTGTCTCGGTAACATAACAGACAAAGAGACCTACGAGTTCCTCCGGGGAATCGCGCCAGATCTACAAATCGTAAAAGGCGACTTCGACGTCGAAGCACCCAACCTCGCACTCTCCAAAGTCGTCACGCATGGCTCGCTGCGCATAGGCTTTACGCATGGGCACACCATCATACCTCCGGGCGATGGCGACAGCTTGCTGATTGCGGCGAGGCAAATGGACGTGGATATCCTGCTGTGGGGAGGCACGCACAAGTTCGAGGCGTATGAGATGGAGGGCAAGTTCTTTGTTAATCCGGGGAGTGCGACAGGGGCTATGACGACGGGTTGGTGGACGGAGGAGGAGGATCCTACACCCAGCTTTGTGTTGATGGACGTGAGTATCTCCCTCAGGCGTCTGGAGGAGAAGGGTGGTACCATGCGCAACGGCTAACAGCGGGATAGGTACAAGGAGATGTTCTCGTGCTGTACGTGTATCAGCTGCGGATAGACGCAAACGGCGCGGAGAACGTCGCTGTGGAGAAGGTCTCGTTTCGGAAAAACGGCGGTGGTGTATCATAGCGGGTTGCCAGATACGGATTCACGCGGGTCACAATATGCATGCTACGGAATACAGCAGTCATCCAACACACTTGTCGTTACAAAGAGGCTCCCGTAATGATTGGGCAGGATGAAGGACTCGAGCTGTTGCCTGCTGTGCCACGGTGGCTGCACATCAGGTCGGGCGGTTAGAGACAGAATCTGTGCGGCGTGCTGCCTTAATATGCTTCGTGTCTCATTCAAATATTGCTTCCCCAGATGGACCCTTGAGCAGCATATTTTGGGTTCTGGTCATCCATTCGATAACCCCGCATTTTGTCTATCGCAGGGGCGTCCGCGTCACCGACCGGTGAGGCTCTGTCATACTTTCTATTAGGTTCTCGCTCTACACCGCATACCTACCCTCCCGTCATCGAGTCCTCCTGCTCATCACCTCCCTTGCAGCTTCATGCACCTTGTCGAAAGCCCATGGCATTGCAGCGACCATGCCGAAGTTTCTATAACCTTCTATCTTCCGGCCTTGAGCGAAGTCGATATCTCCGCCGTCGAGGTCCTTGACTATGCCTCCGGCTTCCTGGAACAGGAGCTGTCCTCCGGCGTGATCCCAAACGTATGTGTACCTGTCCTTACCTTTGGGCAGTCGCACCATGACGTCTGTAGCACCGAGAGCGAGGGCAACGTACTTCATCTGTTGAGACCAGAGCAAGGTGCCTGGCCATTTGGCGCTGAGGCAATTGGCGACGTCTTGGTGCTCCGTCTGCGACAGCGACGTCTTGCCAATGGTTGTCTCGATGAAATCTAGAGCGCTCAACTCCTTACGAGCTGTCTGCTGATGCCTAGTACGCCGGGCTTCCCCAAGGCCAGATGCATGCATAGCCCGAATGTAGGTACCATCGCCCCTAACTGCAGACAGGACGACTCCGTACCCAGGCCCGTCGACCTGCTCTTCGTGGATCCTGCTCTGGCCGAGCAGGCCCCGAGTATCGAAGGCCAGGTTCGGAGCCCCTATTACCCCTACCTGCTGCACGCCGTCGACCAGCAGACACAAGCAGACCGCATACTGGTTGCCCGTCATGAACGTCGCCGTGCCATCCACCGGATCAAGAACCCATACCCGGCCTTCTGCCGTCTGCGTGCTCGTCCCGAGGTCAATGACATGGAGCATTTCATTCTTGCTTGCGGGGAGCGCTAATGCCATGTTCTCGCCCAGTCGCTGCACGTGCTGCACGTCGCTGGATCGGGATTCTCCAGCAGCGGAAAAGTCGTTTGCGCGTTGCACAAGCTGCCAGACGCGTTCAGCAAGGTCCTCATTCTTCCTCAGTTGGTCGGCGCTCTCCTCGCCAATGAACGAATCGGACGGGTACGCAGCGCGCAGGGCGGAAATAATGACAGCCTGTGCGGCGAAGTCCGCGATTGTGACGGGCGAGTCGTCGGCTTTCGTTTCGGCGGAGACATTGTTTTTGAGGGTCCTCAGCACCGACTTGGTGAGCAGAGATGCGGTGTGGATTACGCGGAGGGCGAGTGAAAGTTCTTCAGTATATGATGGGGGCATCGCGGGTGTGTTGGCGTGATGGTGGCGCGCGATCAGATTGAGCAGTCGTGGAGAATGTGGGAGAGATCTCGGTTACCGAGCGTTCTGGACCTGAGCTGGCCGGTAACCCGGGCAGTCAACAGCCACCGGCGAAGTTGCTTTTGGCTCCTGGTCTTCTTCCATTTCCACGCGGGATTCCGTGGGTTCCGAGAACATCGGACGACGGGCGGGCCGAATCGGAAGACGCTCACCAGGTCCATCAGTCGAGCTCGTCGTCAAGTGCCTAATTGGGGGTCTTGGACCGTGCGTGGTTCACGATTGATTGCGCCTGGTTACACTGCCTCACCAGCGCCAAAGTTGAGTAGATTGTTCGTTAGTACGTACCTCGAGCAATCCGCTTCGTTCTGCATGTCGTGCTCGGAAGCTTTCCATATTGCTGCGCAATATAGCGCGCGTTATGTTAGAGTGGGCTTGGACGCATGCCTCCTGCGAGATGATGCAGCCGCGGGTGCGCTCTATATTCGTCCGAGACGGGCAACGCGCTGGAGACAACAGCGAGACGCGAGGCTGGCGCTTTCAACAGTTTCAGCAGAATTGTCATGTTCGTGAACGCATGGTTCGACTGCTGCCGTGTCGCGCATCCCAGCCGCCGTTCATCCCCGTAACTAGACTGGTACTGGTGTCCGCGTCCGTTTGCGGGGAGTCAAGCCACCGGATCCCGAGCGCGCCATCGCGATCATTGGCTGCTGCCTTCAAGAGAGGAGTTGGCTTCTTGGTCGTCGTTGTGCAACGACAACGTCCCTTCACATAGCGTGCTGTGTATGCGCACCTGGCCGCGAGGGGCTCCCACCACGATAACTCAAGGGCGTCGAGATAAGCAGCATATTGCGCGTACCGTCCCCGCAATGCAATCGCCAGTCCAGCGCCGCTCGACATGCCTCTCAAATCTGGAAAAAGCAACGTGGGGGTCACGGCAGCTGGCCCGTGCCTCTCTGCGTCTGCAGCAGCGAATCGCAATCCGACTTCATCTGCGCGTCACCCCCGTGGCGTTTCTTGTCCCCAGGACGTGCAGGACCCTGCAAAGGCTCTTGCGCCAAGAGGGATGCGGAGTCGTGAACGAGCATGAATCGTCATTTCGCTTGTTGGTGCGAAAGAGGGGAACAGTGGAAAGGGAGCGCTTCGGCGATGCTGCGCAAGCCATGGTCAGCTCGCATGTCCACCGAACAGGCGTTCTGCGTGCAGTCAATATTGCTTCGCCCAGGCCAAACCCCAAGACGAGACAAGCAGGACGGCGACCGAGGTTCCAGGTCCTCACGCGGCGTCCTGAAGAGGCAGCACGGCTGGAGGCGCTGGGGGGATGCAGCGAGCCACCGAACGCCGCCATGCGCATCAATTCCTGTGGCTTTAGAGTTGAAGGTCGCGTCCCCGCTGGACTCGATCTGAAATGTGTTGGAAGATTACAATCGGCCGTCGACAGAGACGGCAGTTGCATTACGGAGCAGATGGCCCCTGGAGTGGTGTGTAGGAGGGTGGTCGCAATCTCGAGCATTGCGAATGATAGCGCCGGAGTAGAGGCGGTTTCGCGGGCGTGTCGAGGCTCTGTTGGAACCAGATAACGTCCTCTATTTGCGAACGAGCAGTTCGTCGCCATGCTGCCTTGGGCTACGACAGGTCGTTCAAGGCTAGAGCGCACGGTTACGAGGCATTTGCTCGATTCGACGACGCGCACGAGGCGGGACCCCGCGGCTTCCAAGGTTTGCACTGTAGCAAACGGGATTCCACCTGATGGGAGGCTGCTCTTTCAGGCGTAGAGTCGGATGGGCGAGGTAATAGGTGACCGGTTTGGCTCAGGTGCAGGGCTGGGACGGTAAGACGGAGTGCCCCTGCGTTCGCAGCAAGGTCATGCCGTCTTCTTTGTCACCGTCAGGCCAAGCTGAGCGACGATTGGCCTCAGGACTGGGGTAGATGGGCTACGGTGCTGCTACGGTGCTGCTACAGTACACAGCTGGCTACCTGGGTATGTTCACACCATGGTCATCCGTCAGTGAGCCGGCGCAGGGCAGGCCTGGTGACTAGCGGCGCCGCTTGCTGCTGGAGCGGGCGTGGACTTGTTCGTCATCCACGAAGGAGGCGAGCGAGGTGTCACAAGGGAAAATCTCCTGCGCCGTCTCGCGAGATCGGCTGACGCTGCCCTTCCGTTCAGCGCAGCGCAGCGCCAGCGACGTGTGCAGGGGAGGGAAAATGCGCGGCGGGCAGCGAATCGCCGGCGGGCACCTGGCCAGCAGCGCGGCGGGCCCAGGGCGGGGGCGGCGAATGGCAGGCCGCAGGGCGTTCACAGCGCGCGCAGGGCCAGTTCGCGGGCGCCGGTGCGAGCGTACGGCGGCTGCGAGAAAATTCGCTTGCGTGCTGCAGGCCAGGGCGCACTGGCCGCCGCACGGCCCCCGTGCGGAGATGCATGGCTCGGCGTGGGACTCCCCTGCTGCGCCAGCCGCGCCCGTGATAGGCTGGCCCTGGCGCGCCGTGTGCCTGAGCGCCCGCCTTTAAACTACCATCGTCGCCCGCTCCCGCCTCCGCACACTGAGAGAGCGACCAGCTGCTGGCCCTTCCGCCGCATACATCCTTCATACTTCGCCGCCGCCGCCGTATGACTCTTGTCTGAGGCCGCCCGTTGCCGCTCAAGACCACCGCAACCTCGCTCTGCACCCTCCCTCTCTCCCTCCGCCTATATACCGTGCTGTCCGCGCCCGCCAGCACCCGCCGTCCTCAGCGCTTCCCATGGCTTCCCAGATGGAGTGGTCCCACGACTTCTGCCTCTCGTGCGACCGCCAGATCGAGGAGGGTGGCACCTACTGCTCCCAGGCCTGCCGACTGGCCGACTTGGAGAAGGCCGGCGCCGCCGAGCCCCAGACGCCGTCACACCTCTCCTCCTCCGCGTCTTCGTCGACGTCGTCCACGAATGGCTTCTACCTACCGCCAGCCGTGAACTTCTCTGCATACAAGACCCCGGCGCCATCGAGGGGCTTCGACGTGCCCTCGAGCCCTTACCACTGCTACCCCACCGCCAACGGATCGTACTTTGCACCACCCGCCGCGGCTGCAACAGCATCGGGGCAGCCGCAGCAGCGGAGTCTGACGCCTTCGTCATCACGGTCGTCGCTTGCGTCTGCCGCCTCCCAGACCACGTCCGGCATCTCGGCCCAGGCCGCCACCCAGCTCAACAACTACGTGCGCTCATTCGACCAGGTGCGCGACATGAAGAAGAGGCGGTTCACGCAATATTAAGCTCGACGCCCCATCTGCCTCCCTTCCGCTTTAGCATTCCGCTGCACTGTTTCCGAGTCCAATATCACGACGCTCACGGCGTACCGCGCCGCCCGGGAAGAGGCGTTCTCTGGCGCCCTTCCTCGACTACCCATTTATCCGCATCAATCTCAGCACCATGACTGCTGGGATCCGGCGTTGTTTACGGCGTTCTTGCATCATGGCCACCGCCGCCGCGGCTACGTTTCAGCACTGTACATTTCTACGGACTCTCTTATGTTGCTAATCACTTGATCCGCATGGCGGTGTAACAAAAGCATTTTCCTTTCTCCTACGGTTTCGGATCGCGAGGGCGCACTGAATGGGTGCATCGAGCAATTAGCGTGGTATTGATCAGCAACTGTGTGTCATTGGGAGCATTTGGTGCCAGGTGTTGGGAGTCGGACGGCACGCACGGAGCCTGGAGGAATCCATGGCGATCCGGCGCTGAGTCTGCATCGACGGCAACTGTGGCCGTTTGGGTCCGCTTCTTCTCTCAATCCGACGAGGTCTGTTCTATGATGCGTCTGTTTCTCTACTCGCTACGTGCTCTAGGTAGTCACTGCCGCAGGCAATGCAAATAGAGGGAGCCGCCAGGACCATATGGCGGCAAGACGCCAGCGATGCCTTCGTCAGACTCTCTTCGTGACGTCTCTTGTCAGACCTAAAACATGTCTCACGGGCTTGCCCAAACACTACCTAGGTAGCAGTCCATCCATGCCCAGGTGGATGCCAACGGCCACACGTGACTGGCGCAGCACCTGGCACCGCGAAAACTCTTCCGCCCCCGTCCCTCGATAAGTCTAACGCAGCAAACCCACGGCGACAACCTCGGGTCCCGCAATCTCGACAGGCCCAGGCTCCATATCGGTCGTCGTGGCATCGCTTGTGGCGCCCATCAACTTCCCGTGTTGCGACACACACCTGGGCCGGGATTTGTAAGGCACAGCTTTGGCCCCCGACCGTTGCACGTTCCTTTTGCGACAGCTGGTGAAGAGTTTTCATCGAGCCTGGACGGGCATTCGACGTTGCGAAAGAGGGGGAGGCAAATTGCGAGATAGGCAGACACTTGTTGAGGGTCCAACGGCGAGTGCGCCAGCGACATGGCACCCTCCCGTATCTCTTGCCGCTGATGGGCCCTCTGCCGCAGGCCAGCCTGCATTTCCACGCTGCAGTCCCCTGGCTGTGCTCTCCACTCCGCGCTGCAACCCTCTGGCTCTCGTACAGTATTGGCTGCGCCGTGATGCTGCACGCCTCTCGCCGCGCGCGCTGGCATTGGAGAGCACGGCCTTCTTCCCCGCACCTAGGACGGGCCGACACGAATCGTCATGGGCCCGCAGCCGGGGCCATCCTCGCAAACGACGCAAGCAAGCAAAAAGCAACCGTCCCGCGCTCGCGCAAAGCGTCATGCGGCATTTATGCCCGGAGGGGTTCCTTTGGCGATCGTCGTTCCTGCTCGCTATGGCGCAGATTGCGATTATTGATGAACGGCATCCAAAACACCATCGCTTCGTATCCCCACACGGTGGCGTCTATCGTGGACGCCGAGAGTCTCACACCAACCGCCCCCAGCCTCGTCTGTGCAAGACGCCCCGCTCTGCCAGGAGTACCGTCCCTCGCCGCCAGTAGTACCGTCTCGAGCATTCCGGAAATTGGCAGTTTCCGGCTCCATAGCGACCACTTGCTCGGAATCCGACCAAGCAATCACACCACCGCGCATCATACAGTACATACGTCTGACCCTCCGATCCATTATGTCATCGATTCAAAACTCGATGCCGTGCACTTAATTCCTGTGCGACGACTGGACCGAAATCCTGCTCAAGCCTCTGACCACGTTGGCGTGATCTAGGCAGGTTTCGTACACCCCTGGCAGCTTCGCTAGCTCGGAAATCAATTTAGCACACGTTCGGGCTGATGCCGAGTCAGATCTAGCGATCGAAGGATTCGCGATATCCGCCTACGGGTCCGCTTGTGACTGCATCGAGGCTACGAAAGAAAGGCCGAAGAAGGTTTCTTGCGAAAGGGGCCTGACCAGACCCATTGACGCAGGCACTCTGACGACGGCCAGGGTGGATGTAGACAAAAATACCACCTCTCCTACAGCGGCTCTCCTCCAGACACGTCAGAGGTGCGTTGAGCCTCATTGACTTCGAATCGGCTGATGATGAGTCGAAAGGAAGCAAAAGCGCAATTTCAGACGGCCATCTGGCCTTTGCTCATTCCCCGAGAAAATCTTTACGGGCACAAATACGGTACGGCAGGAGCAATGTGTACAAACATCACCTCATGGCACGGCAGATGCTGGGTGCAGAGATCCTCCTCTTCCCGGATGTGCCCGCGGTACCCGCTTTGCGTGGGGGACTTGCACAACAGCAACATTCTTCTAATGTTTCGATTGTGTCACTGCGAGATCCCTTACCGCCTTTCTCGAGCACACCGTACGCATTCCGTGTCCCTCAACCCATGAGCCGTTCGGAATAAAGGAGAGGAAACGGTAATATCATGCAAGTCGGCATATCTGGATGTCGAACAACAATCGTACGATCTATTCGCTTAATACCAGGCACTGGGCACGAAAGCCGAACACTTTCCCATTGGGAAAGCAACGAAACTCCGTCGTATCACCGTGCACATCGCTGTTTCGAGTTCTTGTGTATCACTCTGAACCGCATATCGTCAATCGATGGCGTAGAAAGGCTGCCAGGCACACAGGGACAGGAAGACGATCACGTTTCCTTTTGGGTCGGAGTCCAATACCGATGTCGCGCTCAAGCAGGTTCAGCTCCCTGCGTCGTCATGGACATCAGGAATCGGCAAACCGGTCTTGTCCTCGTCGGGCCAGTAAAAGAGTTCTGCAGTACACCACAACCTTCCATCCCACTCGTTCCCATTGTCCAACACGGCGGGCTACCAGCTTGGTCGTCTACCCGCTATCCCCTTGGTTCCTTGATGCAACGGCATGACTGAACGCCACAGTATCGTCTAAAGATACCTCTGGGACTTCATAACCGGTCCATTGTGCATCTGACCTTGCAGCCACAGCGTCGTCACGCGCGTCTGGACGTCGGACTAGCCGATGTCATTGGATCAGTATGAGCTCCTTCTGGAACATCTCCACACGGGAAGCGAACGCCACATCCCCTAACGGAGCCCTCCTAAAAATGCGAATCTGTCTCAAGCGCATCAGTCATCGTAAGCTCGCTCGACTTGATAATCAATTGCTGGGTCTTCTCAATGACACCAAGTTCTCGTAGATGCCCAACGCAAGATTGCCTGGAATTGCCTCTAACTTCTCTACCATCAGCGGAGCGTATCCGTAGAAGAGTTCAGAATTTTGGATTTGATTTTAATACTACTAATCTGCCCACGTCCACATCCACATCCCGCAGCATCTGGGTGAATACGAGAGACCTGAAACATTGAACATACTTTCCTTCCTTGCTTGTCTGGCTCAGCCCAACCTCTCCAATCGCAATAAAGGAATGAATTGTGCCGGGCATGCGCCCTGGACGAAAGATTGGAGACTCCCAGAAAGAAAGAACAAGCAAGATTCTCTCCAAGCTGAACACCAGTGCTAAGCCCAATACCAGATATATTCCATCCAACTCCACTGTGAGAACAAAAGCCAAAATCAAGAAATTGACTATCAAGGTAGACAAGAAAACTCCAATCTCCAAGCAGTGCCGCTAGTCGAAGAGTTAGATGGGGACGGTGAAAAGGGTCCCGTCCTTTTCGAAGAGGGTACCCAACATGTCGTTTCCAACATATAGGGCCTATCCAAGTGGAGGCTCTAGTTGTTCCGACGAACCGACGACTCAACTTCTATCACGGGTCGTCTCCTCACGCCGCTTCCTCCACCTTCGGAGCTGCAGCTGCAGCAGCGGCTGCCAGCATCTTCTTCCTCTGCTTCTCAGCCCACTCCCTACTCGCTATTCTTCCGCGCTCCGCCGCTTCCGCTCGTGCTCGCTTAGCCGCCTCTTCTTTTTCCCGTCTTTCCCGCTCACGCGCCTCCTTTTCCAGCTTGTCCCTATTAAACACCTCCTTGCCCTTCAGCTTCAGTGCCGCAGCATCTGCAGGGGTAACCGTAGACTTCGCCACTGGGCCAGCATTCAATATAGCGCTATGTCGGTGCGAGGAGTTGGCGGAAGACGTGGACATGGTACGGGAGAGGACCATGCTGCCGCGCTTACCAGCGTTGATAGAGCTAGTGCGCTGCGGTGGCGGCGGGATGGTCACGCCGTTGACGTTCTCCTTCGTCATCAAACTTTCGCGCGCTTTGCTAGCACATGTCTGTCGGACGGGTACAGGAGCTGGTTTTCGGGCGGGCGCTGGACGGGCTTTGAACGCTGCTTTCTTGGCAGCTTCTGCAGCTTCCTCCTCGCGCTTCAGACGCTCTTCTTTCTGCGCTTTTAGCTTCGCGGCTATAGCCTCGCCTGGGAGCTGGAAATTGGGAACAGTCGGAACCTTGGTTGACTTCGGCGGCGGTTGCAGAACGATTTGAGGTGGAGCACGTTCCTCGCCCTCTGCGTCCCGTTTTAGCCTCTCTTCTTTCTGCGCTTTCAACTTGGCGGCGACGGCCTCGCCAGGAAGCTGGAAATTAGGATTTGTGGGGCCCTTGGTTGACTTCGGGGGAGGCGGCATGCTGATGGGTCGCTGCTTGACCGGCCTTGCTTCGGCTTCCCGCTTCAAACGCTCCTCCTTTTGCGCCTTGAGTTTGGCAGCTATAGCTTCACCCGGGAGCTGGAACGATGGCTTCGTGGGTGCTTTCGTAGACTTGGGCGGCGGTGGAGGCGTGGGAAAGGACATGCTGATAGGTCGCCGTTTGGACGCAAGGTAGTCTGAGACTTCTCCCGACCCTTTCCGAGCTTCCTTGGATGAAGCAGTACGCACACTAGATGATCGCGACACTGCTGGTCTCGTTGTGGGCTTCAGGGACTTGGGCGCCGTGGTCGGATTCCTAGAGACCCTGGATGCAAGCGGTGATTTCCTCATCTTTCCTTGGGCATTCGACATTACGGTCCTCGGGAACTCCGCTTTCTTAGGGGACTTTTCATCGGCCGACTGGTCGAATATGGGAATAGCTTTTCCAACATTCTCAAGAGCCTCTTCCAGCGCATCGATGGCCTCAATCGATTCCTCGAGACGCATCGGAGACTTCGCTGGTGACTTAGAAGGACTTCGCGATGGCGCGCGGCTACCTTGACGACTTGTTACCGGCGTTGCCTCCTCCTCACATGTCTTTTCTGAAGTTAGCGTCTTCGGTTCTGGCTCAGACGTTATTTCGACAGAGGGTGCGCCGACCTCGGGCTTTTGCGCTTCGATGTCCGGAGTTGCTTCAGCCTTTTGAGCTTCGATCCCTTCATCGCCCCGCGGTGCGATAGTCTCAGGCTCTTGTGGCTCGGCGGCTTCTTCCTCGGTTTCTGCAACTGGTTCCGCATGCGATTCGGCAAGTGGCTCCTCTTGCGCTCCGGCGGTTGTGTCCTCGACGCTTTCTTCTACGGCTGGCTCAGGGCGTGGGGGAGTGCGGGCGCGCTGCGATTTTGACAATTCCTCGTCCTGTTTGGCCAATTGGCGGCGTGTCATGCGGACAGCCTTTGAAGGCGGGCTCACAGGTCGTTGGTCGCTCACTGGGCGTTGGGCAATATCTGCGCGCACCTAATTAGCTGGCACGTCTTATTAAAGCGTGTTGCAGCACGCTGTCGGGGACGCACCGTCCGTGGGCTTCCTCGCCAGCTCATCAACAGCTGCATCGCTCGCGGGGCTCCCTGCAGCTTGTCGCTCGTTTTCTAGAACTTGGACCGCATCCACGTCGTCTTCAGCGGGCTTCCCTTTCTTCGCCTTGGCGCTTTTCTTTGCGCCGCCTCTGCCCTTGGTCTTTTTTGCGGGCATTTTCTGGGGTTGGGCTTCTTCTGGGTCGGCAGGCTCGATGGCAGCGTTGGCGGAGACCTCGCCCAATGGAACGCGCTCCTTGGGGTCGGTATGGGGATTTGACGCGTCGGCTGTCTCGATGTGCTGGGTGGCTTCGGCGCGCAAGGCTGCACGTGTAAGGCGCATTGTCGCGATGCAAGATATCCTACGAAAAGAGTACTCTCGGGTAACGGAAGCGCGATGGCAATGCTGCGATAGAAGGCATGGGCGAGGTGGGCACAGCGTGGACACTCGGTCGTGTTGATGTTGTGGTGCGCCGGGGTCCCATAACAACGGGCCTGGTCTGTGCTCGCTTCGTTTCGGCGCAGTCACGTGGCCTTGTCAGCCACGTGTTCTTCCTGATCACGTGGTCTTGATAGTCACGTGGTCTCTGCTTCTCCCCCCACAGCTCGTGCGACGGCATTGGAGTAGTCCGACAGCTAGTTGCGGAAAAATTCAACGGTTAGAAAAGTACTCGTAGAAGGGTCCAAGCGACTCGTCCGGCACTATCCAGACCGCCCCCCGGCCCTGATCGTAGTACTTCTTGCTAGCATTCTGACCTGTGTACACCTCGTCCACCCGCGTCTCGTAAACGCGCGTCGCTGAAAGCCCAATAATCGCCTCTCCTCCGCACGGCTCCGACCACCGGCACGCTGGCTGCCCCGCGCCGCCTGTTTGCGGCCTTCAATTGCCGCTACTACCCCTCCTCTTTCGTCACCGTGGCTCCACGCGCGAATTCCCGCCTCAACCTCATCGCGCGCCATTTAGACGCAAAACCTTTTCTAGAGCTGAACACGCCTTTCTCTACCGAACGCAGCGCACAGCTGGAAGACGACGAGGGCAAGAGCGCCGCATCGAAACAGAAACCACAGCCAACCAAATCGATTGCGCCCGACGCACCCCAGAAAATGTCAAGCCAACCTCCGCACCCCGCCCTGCTCATCCCCGGCCCAATTGAGTTTGACGATGCGGTCCTGCAGGCTATGAGCCACTACAGGTACGCCCAGCCCCTGAGTGCGATCGAGCGATGAGCGTCAGTACTAAACCTGTGCAGTGAATCGCACGTCGGCCAACCGTTCGTCAACACCTTCGGCGAAGTCCTGTCCAACCTGCGCAAGCTCTTCCAGACGACGGATCCCGCCTCGCAGCCCTTCGTCATCTCCGGCTCCGGCACGCTCGGCTGGGACCAGGTCGCCGCGAACCTCGTCGAACCTGGCGACGAAGCACTCGTCTTACACACCGGATACTTCGCAGATTCATTCGCCGACTGCTTCGAGACATACGGCGTCAAGGCTACCCAGCTCAAGGCGGAAATTGGCGACCGGCCGCAGCTCGACGAGGTAGAGAAGGCGCTGACAGAGAAGCAGTACAAGATTCTGACCGTCACCCATGTGGATACAAGCACGGGTGTGCTAAGCGAGATCAAGGCGCTCAGCGAGCTTGTGCACAGTGTCAGCCCGGGGACGCTGGTCGTTGTGGATGGTGTATGCAGTGTGGGAGGTGAAGAGATTCGGTTCGACGACTGGAAACTCGACGTCGTACTCACGGCATCGCAGAAAGCGATCGGCTGCCCAGCTGGTCTAAGCATCCTCATGGTGTCCGGCCGTGCGATTGAGAGGTTTCAGGCGAGGAAGACGAGGCCTACTTCCTACTTTGGCTCGTGGAAGAACTGGTTACCCAGTACGTCCCGTTACTAGTCACCAGCTAAACTCTACTAATCATCCTAGTCATGCAAAATTACGAAGCGAAGAAAGCGTCCTACTTCGCGACCCCCTCCCCGCAGCTCATCCACGCTCTCGACACTTCCCTGAAGCAGATCCTCTCACGGACTCTTGACCAGCGCTTTGCCGAGCACAGGGAGGCATCTCGGCGAATCAAGAAGGCAATCGCAGACCTTGGCCTCAAGCAGCTCGCCACGAAACCTGAGAACCAGGCCAACACCATGACGGCAATCTACCTACCCGAAGGTATTACCCCGCCTGACGTCCTCCCTAGCTTGATGAAGAAGGGTATCATCTTCGCCGGCGGCCTGCACAAGCAGATTGCGTCCAGGTACATTCGCTTTGGCCACATGGGCGTCAGCGTTACGGATTCGAACAGGACCGATATCACCAAGGCTATTGCCTCACTGAAGGAGTCGCTCGTCGAGGTTGGGTACAAGGCGTAGATGGAAAGATACACGAAAGGAATGTACATTAGGTGCATGGGACAGGCCAAGGCTTCTGTGAAAAGGCCGGCTCGCATTTGATAGGACGGTGCATAGACAAAATATAGAGATGGGATATGAACCGTTCTCGTAGAACACACAACCACAGCCTCGTAATGTTCCAAACCTGCAAGACAAATATAGAGCCCCAACAGAGATAGCAGCTTAAATGCTATTCGACAACCAGTGTGGGAATGATCTAGAAAGTATAAAAGAAAAAGTAAGAGCCTGCTAAGGGGCAGTTCTTCACTTAAGTGTGACCGTGCGGTTTTTGTGACTCACGCATACCCAATTCAAGTTGTTTGTTAAGCTGTTTTGGTAGGAGCAAGATCACGCTGGCCATATGAACAAGGCTTCGCGTGGCTGAGCTATAAGAGGACGATACAGGAGTGGTTGATGAATGAGGAGGATGATAGGCGCGGTCCTTTTCCCGATGCGGAGATTGCGAAGTGGAGACGGTGAAAGTGTAAGGGGAATTACAAGATCAGAGGAGCGTAGGACAAGCGATGCTGGCTGGCGGACCGCGGCTCCACGACGGAACTCGGGTCTAAACACGACATGCGCGGATCGTTGTCACTACTTGGTTCTCGCCTTGGTTCTCGCGCTTCAGAAGTAGCCCCTAGGCCAGTATATGCATTTTGCAAAATGTAGAGAACGGACTCCAAGTAATCGATAAGTAGGTTTGAATCAGACACTTCTATTCAGTATCGTGTCTTTTCGCCTCTGTTTCGCAACCCTATCACATTCTTCCCCGTTCGCATTGCCTGGTTTTCTTATTGGAGCACGCCAGCTTGTGAAGACACCGAGCGACGTTTGCAGCTCTCTCTAGGTGACACAAATACGCGTCGCTCAGAAGTTCTTCAGATCACCGCGTCACCTCTTCAAGTGAATGCGCAACCACTCTCGTCACTCCAGGTGCAATTCACCTTCGCCTTCCTCAGCAAACGGGTAGTACTTCTGCGTTTCGGTCCACAACGTCTCCTCATCCATCTGAGTGGCATCTAGGCCCGCTACAATATCTCTATTATCGGTGTCAGTATTACTTATCATTGACCCGTCTGGAAGACTTACTTGTCCTCAGCCAGCACCTCAAAGCCGGGGATACAATCGATAAGTGCGTAAATAACATAGCTTCCCACAAACGACCAAAGGAACCCCACAAGCGCCTCGACGATCTGGATGCCAAGTTGGCGCGCGTTGCCGTCGAACAAGACACCGCCGGCGATCTCAGTCACGCCATCATAGCCTGCGACCTCCTTCTTCGCAAAGCAGCCTGTTGCGATTGTAGCTAGGATGCCCCCGACGCAGTGCGTGGCAAACGTATCGCCGTTATCGACCCATCGCCACTTCCTTGCTAAGTCTGTGAACTTGATTCTAAGAGCTTGCCGGCATACTAGCGCACCGAGTATGCCGAAGAAGAACGCGGTGGGGGTATCGATGAAGCCAGCGGCTGGCGTGATCATGACGAGTCCTGAAATAGCACCCATGAAGCACGAATCCAGACTCCATCGCCCAGTCTCTACATATGTGTACAACATCCAGGTCAGAGCGCCACTGGCTGCGCAAAGATTGGTAACGCAGAGTGCCATAACGGACTTAAAGTTAAAAGCGAGCGTTGTGCCAGCGTCGAAGGCGAGCCAAGCACCCCAGATGCTAATCATCGCCAGAAGCTGGCATAAGGAGTTCACCGGACGGTGGATGACCAGATGCGATGGAGTTCGTGTAGCGGATTTCCGGGAGCGGAAGAGCGGGTAGGATAGGTAAACAGACATGGCTGTTGCGGTGGCTCCCGAGCATATGTGCACAGGAGTGCCGCCGGCGAAGTCAAGCACGCCGAAGTCTTCGAGCCAGCCACCGCCCCAGACCATGTGCGCGAGGGGATTGTAGATGAAGGTTGACCAGAGCTATCACGCTTTATCAGCACTTAAACTGTGGTCAAAGGAGGGGACATACGAAGATGAACGGCACAAGTGGAAGAAGTCTTCCCCTCTCACAAGCTCCACCCACCGCAATGGCACAGACCGTAGCCTGGAAGACGAGTTGGAAGAAACTGAATAGCACAGCCGGGATAGTGCCGATAGGTTCCGAGAGCACGCCTCTATGGAACGCGTAGGTGAAATCACCGATTACATAACCACCTTCGCTGTATGTCAAGCTGTAGCCAATGATGAACCATTGGATAGAGCAGACGGTGACGGTGAGGACGGAGGGCATGACGGCTGCGAGGGCATTGGAGCGGGTGCAGTATCCAGAGTAGGCGATGCCGACAGCAGGTATGATACCCCAGCCTTGTTAATATTAAGCAAGGTGTCACTTGGCTATTGAAGGAAATTTGAGACTTGAAAGGGATCTTCGACGTACAAAACACAGAGCATACTAGGACGAAGAGCGTGTCGGTTCGATCGCAAGCCTCCCAGGCTTCAAGCACATCGTCAGGGAGAACCATGGCGACAGCTGTATGGGCTTAGAATCTCGAATCGGAGGAACGTTCTCAAAACACAGTCAATCGGTGCGCCAGAGAGATGAGATGGGGTCGGAACAGAGACGGCGGGAGGCAGAGGCTCAGGTACAAAGCTGCCAGCTTCCGCGTCCCGCAACCGCGGCTTTGGCCCTGTTCCGGGAGCGCCGAGAATATTGGCGTCTGATATGCATCTTGGTACCAACTGGAGTTGGCAACTATTTGCCGGACGGGACGAAGGGGTGGGCTGAAGGTGCAGATTAGTGGCTGATAAGATAAGAGTTTCTTGATACGTCGACGGGCGTAGAGGAGCCTCGTGTGCTCACTCAGGCTGGCTGGCTTGCAAGGAGAATGGATCGCCATATGGAGGGTAAAGCGTACAGTTGCGGGATATGGCATGAAGCTAGCGGTTGATGTTAAAAAAAAGAGGAACATTGATGGGTTGCAGACGGGAGTCGGGTGTTCGGCTATTCTTGCCCTATCGGTGCAGCTGGTACCGAATAGCTTAGACCCTGACCCTAATATCTCTCTCGCCCAGGCGATGCGGAACTGCAAAATATCCGACCCGACTCACCACCATGTCCGAAAGCGATGACAACGATGTGTTTGGCATCAGCCAAGACCTCGTCCCGCCCGCGGTCATCAAGTCCGCTGGTGTCTCCGAGGTAGACTTCGACGGCCTGTTGTCTCCACCTCTCAAGCTCCAAGAAGACCTAAAGAACGGCTGTGGCGGACAACTGTGGCCGGCGGGTATCGTGCTAAGCAAGTATATGCTGAGGAAGCACAGAGCTGATCTTTCAGGGAAGGAGATGTAGCTATGAGTCCGCAATGGTGGTATCTTTGAGGTGAGGCTAACCTGAGTCATAGTGTCGAGCTCGGAGCCGGAGGAGGATTGGTTGGGTACGCTTTCTTGTTATTCTCCTTTCAATGGCGCCCTTTTATTTGCTCTACTTCTGACGTTGTCTCTTTCAAGCCTCGCGGTAGCGTTGGGCTGCAAAACGACCACAACACTCCACATCACGGACCAAGAACCTATGTTCGGACTCATGAAGCAGAACATTGCTCTCAACAACCTTGACTCAAATGTCGCCGCCTCAATATATGACTGGGGAACACCAACTCCACCAGAACTCCCCAGACAACCGGACGTAATCCTGGCCGCCGACTGCGTCTACTTCGAGCCCGCATTCCCGCTCCTCCTCCAGACGTTGAAAGATCTGATCGGCGAGAACACAGTATGCTATTTCTGCTTCAAGAAGAGGAGAAGGGCGGATTTGCAGTTTCTGAAGGCTGCGAGGAAGACATTCGATGTGAAGGAGGTGGATGATGATGCAGATAAGGAGGTGTACTCGAGAGAGAACCTCTTCTTGTAAGTTTCGTGATCATCTCAATGGTATGTGGATTATTTCTGATGATTGCGTAGGTATCGATTAACGAAGAAGCCTGGAGAGAGGCGTTAGACCAATGGAAAACTCATGCCACAGTCAGTGATAGGTGCCCCGGCTTTTGGTGACAAACTCAGGTACTGAACTTGAGTAATTCTTTCATGTCTCTCGTCGCATAACTCGCCATCTGTACCCTCTATGTGAATTTCAACTGTGTTCGCTTCTTTCCTTGTTCGCTGTCTTCCATCCAAGAGACCATTCGATCTTCAACAACACCTTGCGGTATTTTAGTTCAGGTACGACAACCGGAACACGAAGGCCGCTCTAAGGGTCTAGAGGCTTCCCTAGCCAAGGCCAATGAACGACTTCTGCAGAGTGATCAACCTCCATTCATCTGGAGCGCGCGGTAGACGAATCTGCCCGCTTTCAAACTGGTGTGGGTCCGTGCATTCACTGGCGCTTATATGCACGAGGTGGTACTTCACCATGTTCATGAGGAGTCGTGTTTCAAAACGCGCCGCAAACTCCCAGATGATACACATATGCGAGTGTGGTGACAGGGGCTTTGTGTTTCGCGACTACAGGTTCGTAAAGGAGTGTAGGGTCCGTAGGCTCCAGCGGCGTAGTCGTTGGAGATATAAATGTGTTGGTGTACGAACCACACGACTATACGGCGAAACCACCTTTTTTTTTCCTTCCCGCAAACACCCTTTCGCCCCCCCCCCCCTAGCGCACAAACGCGAGGTCGAAAGAATGCAAGACGAACACACCACCAAGGTAGCGACCGCTGTGAAGAGAGAGCGTGAGAAGTGGAGAGGCGAGATCAAAAAAGACGCAAGCGGAGCGGTCTCAGTCAGCGGCACGTCTTTATGAGATTACTATCGCACTTGAGGTCGAAGCAGAGTCGCATCAGAAGGCAAGAGTAGAGCGCAACAAATTAGAAAGCGAACTTGAGAAGGTCAGAGCTCAGTATTCTGTAGCTGTGGACGCTTACCGCACATTGGAGATGGCTTTGTTAGCGAGAAGAGTGAGCATCAAAGGATCGACACCTTAGGGAAGGCGATAGGCGCAGGACTGCCTCCACCAGAGAGTCCGCCCCAAACACCGCCAACCGATTTAGCGCCGCCTCCATGCTTCACCTGTATGACTCGCAAGAAGCTAGTGCCGATTTCTCGAAAGCCAAATCCGCTTGTGCGCGGTCAGGTTGACAAGCTGCGGGACGAGAACTTTAGTCTCCAGTCCCAGCTAGACAGGATTCGAGGCGGGCAAAGGAAGCGGATTCGAGGCGCGATACACTTCAGACCGAGGTCGACGAATTGAAGAGCCACGTCTCCACGCTTAAGGCGGGCATCTTCCACCCAGATGACGGGAGAGGAGCCCAGACAAAAACTAAACCTCAGAAGCTTGCGCATCTGTGGCTGCCTCCTCCGTAAATGCAAGCCCACTATCTCCACGCTGTAAACGCCGCACTGCAGGAGGAAGTCGGGCTGCTCCAGGCGCGGCTTAAGTTCGCGGAAACGGAGAAGGGCAAACTTAAAGGTGTAGCGAAGTCCGCAGCAGCTCGGGCAGGGTTGCTCCTATGCTCCGAGGCTAGATTGAAGGGAGAAGGGACGGCATTGCGGGCGGAAGTGGAGGCGTATCGTGACGGAATATCGAAGGCATTCGGGGTGTTTCAAGGGCTGTCATTCGGCAACATCACGGTCGGAGCAAAGCCAGGGCCGAAGGGGGCTCCTTGATTGGATGCGCTGGGACGGGTATAGTAGAAAGGACGACTGGAGTTTTCAAGGTAGTGTGCGGCTGGGGTGAACGATTCACTGTTCCTGAGACTAGCGTCTCGGCAACGCGTGGCTTCGGATCGGCCAATCAACGCGCCATTCTCGGCCCACACTGCGCCGATCTCTTGCCAAGATATCAGGGTCCCGTTTAAGTACACCGCATCTTTCCCTTCTTCATCCCCACGACCCGCTCCTACCGCAACCAAGATGCGGTCCTCAGTCACTACCGCCACTGCGCCGCCCAGGAAGCCCGCGAGACGGGGCTTGACCATTCGGGCAGAAGAGGGCGCGGGCGCGGGCGCGGGGCCTGAGGCGGCGAACGACTACGATCGCTTTTTCTGGACCTACACGGAGGAACCGCACCGGACGCGCCGGCAGGCTATCATAAAGACACATCCAGAGGTGCTGCAGGTCCACGTCGAATGAGCATCGGAATTGACTAACCGCCTCTAGGTAACGAAGCTCTGCGGTCCCGAACCCCTCACCAAATATGTCGTCGCTTCCGTCGTAGCCCTCCAGATCCTCTGTGCATATCTGCTTCGCGATGCCCCCATATTATCGTGGCCATTCTTCCTCACCGCATACGTCGTCGGCGCGACGGCGAATCAGAATCTGTTCCTTGCGATTCACGAAATATCGCATAATCTAGCTTTCCGAAGTCCGCTGGCGAATAGGGTGTTCGCTGTGTTTGCAAACCTACCAATTGGCATACCATATAGCGCGTCATTCAGGGTATCCCGTCTCTCATCCTCGGAGCCAGGAGGCAGGCTAACGTGTGAACAGCCCTACCACCTTACTCACCACAAGTCGCTCGGCGTAAACGGCCTCGACACCGACCTACCCACGGCCTTCGAAGCCCTCTTCCTCGACTCCGTCGCCGGCAAGGCCTTCTTCTGCACTTTCCAGATTCTCTTCTACGCCCTCCGCCCCATGTTCATCTACCAGCTACCCCTTACGAGGATCCACCTCTTCAACGTCGTCGTACAACTAGCGTTCGATTACGCCCTGGTACAGTTCATGGGCGGGAAAGCGCTCGCATACATGATCATGAGCAGCTTTCTAGCTGGATCACTGCATCCATGCGCCGGCCACTTCATCGCCGAGCACTACGTCTTCGAGAAGCCGCATAAAGACGCTTTGAACCCCGCGAATAAGATCCCGATTCCCGAGACGTACTCGTACTACGGGCCACTCAACTTCTTGACGTACAATGTTGGTCTGCATAACGAGCATCACGATTTCCCCGCCATTCCGTGGACCCGTCTGCCGACCCTCAATCGTATCGCACACGAGTTTTACGATGACTTGCCGCGCCACAGGAGCTGGATAAACGTTATGTGGCAGTTCATTTGGGACAAAGACGTTAGTCTCTGGTGTCGTGTGAAAAGAGAAGAAGGTGGAAGACGGGTTGGTGGAGGTAGTGGCTGGAATGAGGAGGAGCTTGGAGCGAATGAGAAGAAAGGCCCCATTCCGGGCGTACTGTAGACATTTGGCATATACAAAAGCATTCCCGGCGTTTAGGTGTGTTGATCGGCACAGTAATGCATGCATCGATTTGGCAAAGGACTCGAGCCCCTGTGACGGAACTGAGTTTGCGTGAGAAATACGTCTAATGTAATCCAGTCATCAAAACTATGTACAGAGCCCTTGCCATGGGATTCGCCGACGTAATTGCAACGTTCTGATTTCATAGACTAAAGCTCTCGAGGTTAGCATCATCTCACAGGCTGGAACATTGGACACGTCCAAAGCGACAATAACTCCAGTAGATTCGCTCCACAAAGCACTTGGATTCGGCCTTAGGGACTCTCTTTTCAGCCTAGCTGTCGGCATGGGGAACATCTATTGCTGAGAAATTCTGCCCATTAGTTTCAGGCACCGGGGAAATCTTCTTTTCAAGGGATTGTTAGTCACCCTCACGCAGTGGTGGCTCTCTCAGGAAAGGACTCCGCCCCTAGGTATGATTACAAAGTATTGTACAACGCGTTATTAGACAGTGTTGATTCTTCTATGAACAAAGGAACAAGGTCAGGGCCCACCCATGCGCCGTAATGATCGTCAATTAGCATTTAGATTCTCGCTCGATCTTGGCCACAGGCTCTGTATGTCCGGCAGGCTTCCACCTGATCGTTGGCACAACTAAGTAAATATCACCAGGAGATGCTCGGGTAATGGGTCCAGAGTGATGCCTCGATTCGGTGGGCTCGCTGAGAACGCGTCGCCGTATTACGCCTGATGGTCCGCGACCGGGTAACCATGGAGCTCCTGAAACGCGCCATGCTCTTTCTTATTGCGAAAAAGAAAGCCAAACGTTAACACTGATCCGGCCTTGGCGAGCAACGGCCGATCGTCCGACTGTTCTTCGCCTTCGATTTCGGTCCTCCCATCCCGCGCCAAGTAGATGTGGTAGTCCTTGGGAAGATAGCGGCCCGGACTCCATACGTTCCACAGGAGAGAATTGACGAGCATAAGGGTCGCCTCAAAAACATAGAAGAACCACTCATACCGCAAAATGGGGCTCAGTGCCTTCAGAGCTTCGAGGTCATCGATGTCCACCGTTGTATTGCCCAAGTGTTCCACCAGGCGGTAGATGCAGCGTATCAGGATCAACGACATGCTCATATAAAGCGTGATCAGGGGAGTCGAGACAGCCTTCGTATGAATGTTGGCTTTTGCGCACCGCCGGTGGAAGAGCGCCGCCAAGAGGACGAAGATGACGATAACGACGAGTTGGATCGCGAGGGCGGCTATTATGAGGTTCCTTCCTAGAGTTTGCTGACTCTGCGACGACGTTGGTTTAGCGGCTAAGGCTACCCCTAAAGCGTTCAAGGCCTCGACAAGTGCCATGAGAGCACCGAAAATGGAAAGAACTCTGCCGGGAGGGAGAGGTGCCATATAGGGGACGTAGTAGAATATGCGGCCGAGGACGTGGTAGTTGGCGAGTTCGAGAAGTGGACTACGGGTGAGTGAGTTAGCGCTCAAAGTCATGGGCGTAATTGAAGGTGTCCCTTACGGGCATATGTATATGAAGACCTGGCTGACGACGTAGATGAGTAGGTTCTGGTTGCTGTACAGGTAGTTGAAGGCTCCGTATTCACGCAAAGCATAGCCGGCAGTGAATACCACTGCACAAAAAGGATGTAGTCCGATCAGCTTGAAGCTTTTGTAGTGACTGGCCGTGAGTGTTAGGGGACTACCTCTGGTGTGACAAGAACGATACCGTACTTACTGACATTGCGCAATATGGCCAACAGCTGAAAGAGCAAACGCAACCGTGAAGAAGACTGGTGCTACCTTGTTAGGAGCGTAGACGTAAAGGCTTCCTAGAACTAAGGCAGGTCAGGAGAAGTGCTGTGAGTCGGAGTTTCTGAGAGGCCTACTGGGCTGTCCGTCTTCCATCTTAGGGAGATTTCGAAACTACCAGGCGAAGAGTGGCGGAAGAAAAACCAAGGGAGGAGGATAGAATGGAAAATGGTGGGATCCATGGTCCCTCCGTGGAATAAAATAGAGTATGCTAGACCCCTGGGTGTATGAAGGCTTTGGCAGTAGTTCGCAAGCACTTCCCTTTATAAATGTCACGACCTAATCCTGTGTTTCTCAATCCCATTAACATCCAATAGAAGACTAACTGAACAGTGCTGCGGACACGTGTACGCGTATCTAAGTTTTGCCCAGCTGCAGTCCAGGAACCTTTCGTCTCGTGTCTGCTTAGCTAATACGCGTGTTCGGCTTTATGATCCATCTCAAAGCCGTCCAGCCTTGGACACTACCCAACCCCACCCAGGGGCCCGGATGACAATACGTATCTGAAAGCCTTTCTCCTGCATGTACCCGACGATGATGCAACAGAACGGCAGCGCGCTCTTCTCCCGGTAACACGCGTATTCGGCTACGTCCACAATCCAACCACCAGTGACGTCCACTTTTGCCGCTCCAATTCTAGCAACATGCTTCGTCGCAGCCACAAGAAATCACGGGCAGGTTGCTTGGAATGGTGAGTCTCAAAGCACTGGCTTGAGCCTACCCAGACCCGGACACTGTTGACTCAGATAGTTAGCAAGCGACGGCACGTCAAGGTACAGCTCTCTGCTGGCACACCAGCTCTCATGGCTAACCTCGGGGTGTTCCAAACTACCAGTGCGATGAAATTCGCCCAGTATGCCGCTTATGCACTATGTCCGGGCGGGAATGCAACTATGCCTCCCACGCAGGATCCGAGAACGTCTCGACATTGGATACATTTCCCTATGAACAGTCAATAAGCCCAGGCGACAACCATAACCAGGGTAATGTCAGCATACACGCTGCTAGCCCATATACTGATGCCTCTCCTTCCAATTCCGCCTTACCGGAACTTCCAAATATCAGCGACCACCAAAATGTGGCCCTTCACGAGGCCATCAATCTCAGTCACATGGAGCTTCTCATACACCTGATTAACGACAAGGAGATTTTCAACCTCGGCCTCGGCGATACCCATCTCTCTAGCATCTCTTTCGGCCTCAAATTAAGCCTCGAATTTCCATATCTGTTGCATCAGTCTCTTGCCTTCTCCGCCCGTCGCCTGGCGTTCCTCCACCCAGAGCGAGCCGCCTTCTATCTCCACGAAGCTGTCTCCTTGCAAACCCGCGCTGTCTCGCTCTTTAACGCCGCCTTTACCGAGGTCAACCGGTCTAATTGCGTCGCAATACTTCTCTTTTCGGCGGTCCTGGGACATCACCTCCTCGCCGACACGCTCGCGAAGCGGGACCTGGGCGAGCTAGAGGCATTCATGAGCTACTACATGCAGTGCCTGGAGATGCACAGGGGCATCTACACTATCGCCACCACTGCCTGGCCGCTGCTAATGGAGTCGGAGCTCGAGCCGATCCTGTCCTTGAGCTCAAACTTCCACTCGCGAGTGCCGAGAGGCAACGATTGCCAGCGGATTGGCGAGCTGGTGGACGGCGCGGATGGTCTGGATGAGGAAGGTAAGGAGGCATGTCGGATGGCGATTCAGTATCTGCAGGTAGGTTTCGACGCAATGTTCGCGCAGGAGGAGCACGGTAAACGATACAATATGATCTTCTCCTGGGCACTGCTGGTGCCGCCAGAATTCACAAGGCTGTTGGCAGCTAGACGACCCGAAGCGTTGGCTGTGCTGGGATACTATGCGTTGTTGCTGCATTATGGGAGGAACATGTGGCAGGTTAGGGACTCCGGGACGTATATATTGGGTATCGTTGTGGACTATCTCGGCCCAGAGTGGCATCATTGGCTTGAATCTCCGCGGGAAAGAGTAGCTCAAGATCTGGAATGAGTACTTTCGTCCTGTTTCCCTGGCTTCTTTCCCTGGCTCCTAATGGCACATGAAGCTGGCTGCTGTCCGTGCCGACTGAGTCCGGAAGCGCAGGTGCAAGAAAACTGTCGGCCACGTCTGGTCATAAAAAGCACTATCATTCTTTTACCCCAGCTTATCCCCTACCTTTACCTAGGAAGTCCCCCTTCCTCGCTTATAGCCACTATCGGCGCGTCCGCAAGCACCTCCACACCCTCCACTCGGCTCGATGGACGAAGCGCTGCACCCTACATACAGCATACTCAAGCCCACCGAAGGCACACAGGCCCGTCAAGACACATCCATGCGGCGAAACGCCCAGAAAGTGCGACCTCGTATGTTTTAAGTGCTCAGGTAAACACCGCTAATCGAAGACCTCTATGCTGCAACGGCAGGGATTAGTTAGTGAATACTGGAGCTCAGGACAGCAATGAAACTTAGGCAGTCCTTTAAACTCTTACCGTGCTCAGGTCCGCATCTTGAGACGTGTTGGACACCTTCCCTTCGCCTCGACAGAATGTGCATGCGTTCCTCTGCCAGATTCGTAAAGAAAAATAGACACACTTCTGTTCACCTCGAAGTAATCTTGTTTCGACCTCGCTCCGCTCCACCTCGACATCCCAATGATCCAAAGCAAATAATTCCTCTCCATGTGATCATCAAAATCCGTCCTATCCGGCTCACCCAATGCCCATGCCCAACTCGTCCTACCGTTCTTCCCTGCCTTCCAGCCCCGCTCTATCCGGATCACCGGGTTCCCATGACGTACTCCCTACTCGATACATTCTCATACACGAAACCATACGCATCGGCTTCGCCGCATAGAAAAGTGGGTATGCGTAATTCCTAACAACGAAGGCACCGAGGATCGGATCGCTCGGTCAAGGGACCCGAGCCCGGCGCCCATCCTCCAACCCCACAACAAAGACTCTCGGCCCAAAGCAATCCGATTGAACACAAAGAGCGCGGAGTCTCCTCCGCGAGTTCACTTAACGTTTCTGTTTTGAGGAGGCCAAAAAATTTTTTTTTGCGTAGACCACAGATGGAAGTACTAAATTTCTCCTAAATTCCTACCTACAACAATTGCTACCTACCAACCCGAAATTCCGAGTTTCCTCCATTTCCACCACGTGTGTCAACTGAAGACGCTCTCCGAAAGAGTAAAAAAAGGTGTGGATACACTCGGGGTAGAGTGAGAGAGCTGAGAAACTAGTGATGAGCTGACATGGAGTGATCGCAAAAAAAAGGACCACTCGAAAGGGAAGACTATCGCTACATGAGGATGCAGCGACCGAAAGAAGCATCATATTACAAGGATGTAGAACACATGGCTTGCATAACTCGAGAAACCATGCGCGCGGACACAGGAGGCGCGAGATAGATGACGGTGAAACTACAAGACTGCGAAATAGGAGCACACTTTTTGTGATTACTTGCAGCTTGTAATATGTATATAAGCCTCGCGCAATAAAGATAAGCGCGAGCCATCGTACAATAATGGGGTGCCACCCAGAAAATATCAGATGGCGAGGTTGCACCCGAAGGATCGCGATCGCATGCGGGGCAGCACAAAAACGGGTGGAACCAACTGGGCTCGGATATGCATGCCGACGCCCAGCCCATGCAGAACAAGATAACAACAAATTGAGTGACCACCGAACGAACGCCATCTTGGATATATGATAGAGACAAGACGTATAACGAGAGATGAGGGGAAGGCTAAGGAATTGGACCAGAAGCGAGATGCATTAGAAATTTTGAGAGATGCCGGAGTTCCCTTGTTGGGGGAAGACGGAGGGATTCTCGATCCTTGTGTTCCGCCGTGCAGACACATCTCGTATCACGGGCTGCTGACCGCCGCCGTACGCATTGGCATCGTAGGGCCCGGGCTGATAGTAGGCGCTATTGTCGTAGTATTCTTGCGGGTTGTTCACGGGTATTGGGTAGTCGCCCGAGTTGTCTGATCGGTCGGCGGCAGAGTACGATGAGGAGGCATTGGAGGGCCCGCGATGCACACCGTTCTGGGTCTGGTTGGCAACGGGAGCAGCCCCGAGAGCGCCGATGCCGTCCGAATCCATGGTCTCCCGTCGACCTTTCACCAACGGGTCGGCGGAGTGGCCGTCGGAGTAGGTGCCTTGAGTGGGCGATCCTGGGCTCTGATAGCCGCCGGGGTTGCTGTTGCTGTCTGAGTAGGCCATGCCGCCGCTTCCCAGAGTCGTGGAGCCCTTGCGGTTGGAGCTGTTCGTTGTATTTCCCCAGCCTCTGTACCCGCTCTGGTCTTCAGCCATCTCCGACTGCATACCGACAGCGGGCAGAGTGGGGTCGTTGTTAGGGTTAAACCCGTACTCTTCGACCTCTTTTCTGCGGGCCTCCTCAGCGGTCTTCTTTTGTTTGCGTCGCTTCCACAGCAGCAGGCCAGCGATGGCTATTATGGCAATGGTGACCACGGGCACCACTACGGCGATAGCTGTCTTCCCGCCTGTGCCCAGCCCTCCCGATTTCTCCTTGCCTTCGGGTTGCTGGAGCGTTGCACCAGCGGTGCCGGTGGATGACACGGTAGACTGTGCTGGCGATCCATTGGTGGACTGAGCTCCGTTTGGAGCGCTAGAGACAATGGTGACAACGATGATGGACGGGGTTGGGGTTTCGCCGGGCACGGTCGCACTTGGTGTAACATACGAAGTGATGATCTGCGTCGAGGGCGGTATCGAGGAGGCGGTGACTACTACTGTGGAAGACGGCGGGGCCGGGTTCGAGGAAGGCGCGGCGGAGGAGGCAGGCGGCGGCGACGAGGACGGTGGTATGGACACGGGCGTCGAGCTCGGCTGGTCGGACGAGGGAGGCGCGGCTGAAGAAGAAGGCTCAGTCACTGACGGTGAAGGAGTGGGAGTCGGCGTCGGAGTCGCAGACGGCTCTGACGACGGAGCTACAGAGGGTGAGGGAACTGTCGAAGACTCGGATGGAGGAGGGCTCGACGGAGACGGCTCAGGAACAGAAGAAGAGGCAATGAAAGACGACGTACTGGCAGTGGAGTTGCTCGCCATGGCGACGATGGGGAGGAGGAGGCGGCAGGCACAGAAGAACAGGCGGCGACGGCACGATTGGGAAGCGCTGAGTGTCCGAGACGTGTGCGACGCCCAGTCACGGAATGTGTGTCAGAAGGATGTGCGATGCGGCGGCGGATGGGGACGGCGACCGGACCAGACGGCTGCCAACGACGGAGCCTGGGGCCTTTGGAGCGCGGTGAGGTGTGGATTGAGGAATACTGCTGGGACGCTGCTGAGTGGATGGGATGGGGTGAGGTTGCGCAGGAGAGGTGGAGAGGTGGAGACGCGGGTATCGACTTGTTGATCGCTCGGCGGGCGTGCCAGGGAGCAGCGAAGCGATGGGCGGGTAATACAAAGGGTACCAAGCACAAATCAAGGCACGCAAAGGGCCCGCAGCGGCGACAATAATGCGATGAAGAAAGAAAAAGGCGGGCTGTCGCGACGACGTGAGGCTGGCAGGGCACAAAGACGGCGCTGCGATGCTTTTCAGCAGCTGGCACGCCAAGCGGCGCGCGGCTGGCTGCTCGCTTTATCGACGCCTCCTAGCCCGTGGCCCGCTCCCTTTCGGGCAGCTCGCGACCGCTGATGCGCGCCGCTCCCTCGAATACGGCGCCGGCGGGGGCTGTGACGCCGTGGGTTGCGCTTTTGCTCGCGCTGCTGCCCTCGCCGCCGCCAGCCCTGCGCTCAAGAGACACCGCACAGAGCATCTCTACATGGCATGTCGCACGGCGCGCGCAGGATTGCGATTGCGTCATGCCATGTCCCCGTTGATGAAGCCCGTTCTGCTGCCAGCCTTGCCTTCCAGCGCTTTACCTGTCCTTGCGCGCGCGACATCATTTCTCGGGCTGCCTTTGTCCCAGCAGGCGCTGATTGGCCACGCTATTTATATTATTGGCCCAGTTCCCTCGGCACGTTGCAGCGCCGTCGTTCGTGCAGCATCTGACTGAGATCGCTCTCTCCACTTCAACGCATCTCGCCCGCTTCTGGTCCTGTATTGCCTTTCCCAGTCGAGCAGTAGCCGTCTCTCGCTGCTCTTCTTCACGAGAACGCAGGTCAGGCGCGCGCTTTTCACGTATTGACGGGTGGGCTGATTATCGCTCTATAAGTGTTTGTCATGCTGAATGCGAGCTCACCAGTTGGGAAGGATACGGGCGTGACGCGGGGCCAAATCGTACTGTGTACTGTGTACTGTGTACTGTGTACTGTGTACTGTGTACTGTGTACTGTGTAGAAGTGGATCCGGAGTGAATGGCTCTGATAGCCGTTGCTCTAGCCCAGGAGAACCGCAGTACACCTTCGCCACACCCGAGCATCTGCAATGCGACCCAGCTATTCCAAGGTTGACATGAGCGAGCATCATTAGCTTACCAAAGTAGCTATCCCATCAGCTGTTGCCGCACGTCAGGCTCTTGGCACGCACCTTCAACTCCGACGGCGGAGACTGGAGCCTACCTACACGAGCCCCGGTATCACCGCCTTCCTATTCCCAACCTTGTCCTTTCCGAACTTCTTCTCATACCACCGTTTCCCCTGCACCGCTCGGGGAAGCATCGTCGCCACCTCGTTCACCAAGAACGTTCTCGCCGGGATGCAATTCCAGCCTCCAATCATCCACCAGCCGGCCCATTCGATCCATTCGCACAGGTAGTGCGCATAGAGGACGTACTGGAAGAGACCATTCTTCGGGATCATATACACCTTGTCCACGCTTTGCGCTGGCTTTCCTTGCTTTTCGGCTTCCCTTCGCTGCGTGCGATCCGCCGCTCTTCTGATCTCGCGCAAGTCGTCCTCATGGAACATGTTCCCAAGTAGCCCCCAAGCCCACATCACAAGCCCAATCTCCATTGACCAGTAGCGCCCCGCCCAGTCATGATCGGAAGTCGGTCCATAGCCGGCGAGGTATCCAGCGATCGAAATACCGTTGAACATCTGGAAGGTGAATGCAAGGATCCAGACTAGCGGGTGCATTGGGGACATGCTCGGGTTGAGGAAGAGGGGCGAGATAATCGCGCGGTAGATGTAGTGGATGACCTTTGCGACCCAATCAGCAGGCTGTATATTCACAACAGCGGGATGGCACCTACAAAGCACCCAGCCATTGTCCAATTGCCCCAGGGCAGCGAGTCAAGGCCGAGCTCCTTGGGGAGCGTAAACATGGTGTAAAGAAGCGTCATGAAGCCCGCGGACTCCATCGTAGCCCATCCCCATTTGCCTGAGATATTGAAACGAGACTCGGTCGACGTTTTGCCCTGCGGATACCAATCCAGAACCCATTGAAACGCAGTGATCTAGCGGAAAACAAGAATCAGTCATACAGACTACATAGCAACGTCCAGCTGTGAATTGGGCGCTTACCACTGGGAAGAACTTGAAGAGAGTGCACGCGGTCTCCCATGTCTCGCGCGACGGCGGTAGTAGGCCCGGCATTATCGCCATCCTGTATATCATCGGACCTTGACCGTATCGCACAGCTTCGAAAGGCGTGAGGACAAGGACGGTGTTGTTGGAGATCGCCTTCTCCGAAGACCTAACTCGTAATGAGGTCATCATAAATAAACAACTTCCGCGCCAAGCCGAACATGGACGCTCCACAGGGCGACGGCCCCTGTTCGCACTTCAAACAACACCCAGTTCATTTCGCTTGGAGTCAATTTGCGTAGAGAATGTCGAAAAATAGGTGCGCATGAGACGTGACGAACCGTGGGGTGAGAAAAGAATAAGTTGACGACCGGTGACGACTTCGCCGCAGGTTAGATAAGCAACGCCTCTCCTTATCCCGAAGCCCGCCTTGAGATTGACCTCAACTCAGAGCAAGTGCACAGAAGGCCCAAAAAGCACGCTTTTGGTATGTACAAACGTGATCCGAAATAATCCAATGTACTCCGCCGAACCCTATAAGCATGCTTTTCATACTGAGCCGGCTGTCATCTCGTCTGGTTGCTCATCTCGGCCATCGCCAACACCCTGCTTCTCCGGTGCCCAAGTATCATCGTCATGACTGCGCACGACCTCATGAACATCCATCCTATTTTCCAGAATCCCCTTCCCGTTCACGAGGTCGTTCTCATCCGCACGCTTCCTCGCGTCTTCTTCATCTTTCGCGATCCCAGCTTTAACATGCCTGTACACCAGCCTACTCCTTGCGACGTCAAGATTCACGTCAACGAACCACAACTCGTCCATCAATTCTGCTGCATCTTTCCAAGGCGACTTATTCAGAGATAGGTAATTCCCTTCAAATATGACTATTCGTACACAAGGCGCTATTGCTATATCATCGGCCACGGGGTCCTTGGTCGCATGGTCGAAACTTGGTGCGAAAAGCGTCCCCGTCTCGGGGCATAGCGGCTCTCTCAGCATCTTGACTAAACTGAGGAAGGACTCTCCGTCGAATGTAAAAGCTGCGCCTCGCCGGGCATGCGCGGAGACGGGATCGGGCATAGCATCGAGTTGATTACGTGACAGATGGTAGCCGTCCATTGGGATAAATGCGGCGAGCGGGCTGCCCATATGCGTTCCTGGGGATTGTTTTGCGTGGAGTTCGTTGAGCCGCTTTGTTGCTATGGCGGCGAGTGTAGTCTTGCCTACGTTGGTTCAGCATGTTGAGTTGATGAACAATCAATGTGCCGCGGCGAGAGGGTCATGTACCTGAACCGGGAATGCCAGACACGGCGATGAGGAATCGTTTAGACTGGGGAACATCTTCAAACTTCTCTGTCGCATATATCAGCAACCTGTTATCCTTGAGCGGTTAGAGGAGCTTCGGTACCCCAGGTCTTCTTAACGAGCCGGTCAACTTGCTCGTCCATTTTCAGGGTTCGCTTCACTTGTCGAAGGAAAAATGATATGTTGAGCGCGAATAGTTAATTTGAGGGATTGAAGGAACGCTGCATCATCAGGGGCATCTCCAGCGTTTCTCTTCTGCCTCAGTTCGCCTGCAAATTGCAGATCGTGGGGTCTCGTGCATAGTGTTGATAGCTAGGTTGAGCGTGTGACGTCGTTTTCGCGGGGGAGCACGAGGCACGTGATTGGAGAGGGCCGAAAATTACTTTAACAGCGTTTTCATCGCTTATCGCCAGTGTGTGATTGGCGAGGAATCAGGGCTTGAGTCTTTTCCGCATGACTTTTCCGCGGTCGTGGTCGGGGTGAAGTAAGTGCCCTGGATCGCATGGGGTCCGGCATAGGGCGGACTCGGGCCAATCAATTCGAGTAACACCGGAAGCGGGTCTGTTCGCGAAGCACACCCTGCGGATCGCATCTCACATTATCTATTTTCGCAATCTGTCTTCCGTCGTTGTCGGACGAACGTGCTCTATGCTATCTTATAGGCGGACCCTGAACATGGTCTGAAGACCCTCAAGACCTACTAATTATCTAGCGACGAATCAGAGAGCGCTAGAGGTAGAAGTAGAGCCGTTTACAGGTTGGCACGCAGTATGCAGCTCCCGGACGTCCCTCGTCTCTGCACTTCTCTACTATGGAGCCCTTACTGACCGAATCTGTACCTGGGCATACGCCTAAAAGAGTTTTAGAGGGCGTGCTCATGAGCTTAATGTGGGGAAGGCTTGATAGAAGTGGGAAAAGTATGCTCTCACAGCCCCGGCAGAGAAAACTGAGCCTTTTCGGATGAGGTAAGCGGACCATCAAAATACCGCCGCGCCATACAAACACCCATACAATGAGGGTTTTTTTGTGGTTTCTAGGTTGGAAATATATAGAAATCGGACTTGAAGCTTTATATTTGTATAGAGGGGCGTATACAGGCTTGTTTTCTAGTGTTGTAGTTTACAATTAAGTTACCAGAGCCTTGATTTTACGCGTTTCTCGCCGTCGCGCGCTACCTGGCCACAACGCCAGGGCAACTCAATAATTCGGCGCTGTATTTCGTCCTGAGTAATCTTACTCCACTCATCTTGCAGCAGGTCCTTAACTTCTTGTATGGTGTTGCACTCAGAGAGGCGCTCTTTGGCCCGTTCTTTGAGGATGTTGAATACGCCCTCAATAACGCTAAGGTCGCAGGAATTAGGTGGGTGACCTAGCAGAGGCAGCCTATGCTCCTGCCTATATATAGCTGGCAGAGAGGCGCTGTTTTTATTGCCGTGAGAGGGATCGCTGTCCTCTACGATATACCAGGTGTATCGTTGCTCCCGGGGGAGGTGGCCGCGCAGCTCGTTCGATCGCGATTGGAGGTGTTGAAAGGCGTCTCTATACTAGGGCAGTATTTTCTCGACGTAGTAGGAAGCTCTTATAGAGTTACCCGGCTTTTTTACCTCTGGCTCCCGAGGCAGAGATGCCTCCCACTTAGCGACTCTGCGATTGTACTCATCCTTAGTCTTAGTTGTTGGCCGACGCCGTGGCTTTGGCGGCTTTTTTACAGGCTTGACGTCGTCGTATTCGTCGTTGTAAAACAACAGACTGTTGGCCTTTATGTACTAGTTAACCCACGCCGCAAAGTAGACCTGATTGCCCTGTTTCCCCTCTTGTGTTACTATATTGCTATCCTCGTATCGGGTGCCTTCTTCTCGCAGTATATTAGGGTGTTGGAGGTCGCCAGGGTCGCAGTGAGCCTCGTCGCAAAATAAGACGCCGTCCCAGAAGCCCTCTAAGGGCTTATATTGGTGGGTGGCGCCGTAGGTTTGGCGCTTTAAGGCTTGCGCGGAGGTGATCTTTTTGGACGTAGCTGCCTTGTAAATACTGGCGTTTCTTCTTATACGTAAGGCATTGCGTAGGCAGCGTACAGAGGCCTGTATTTTGTGGTGTTTCCGCTGTACATTAAGCTTCCGATTGCGTACTGGGTTGACCTGTTTATCGCGACTTAGCAAGGTGGAGAGAGTCTCATCGGAGACCGCAGGAGCCGGGCCTTGTTTGGTGCCCTTTTCTTCCTGTCTTATGTCTCTCAGCTCTCTTCTTCTGTATGCGATATCCCCGTATTGCTGCCTCTCCTGCAGCCATCGTTTTGCCGTGCTGGGTGGAATATTGAGTGTTTCCGTCACCTCTGACACCTTCTGCCCCGCATCCTTCCGGCGATCGTACGCCTCAAAAAATCGCGACTTCCGTATAGTATCAGCGTGGAATTGTCCCTGGCGGTTCGTAGGGGTACTGGGGCGTACGCGCGTCATTTTTTTATGTATATATCGGGCGTGGTGGTGGTGTAATAGCTGTACAAAAAAGTGGTGTTGATGTTTGTGTGGAGGTGTTGACGTTGATTACCTCATCCGAAAAGGCTCAGTTTTCTCTTCCGGGGCTGTGCTCTGGATATTCGTATCACTACGTCCAGCTTCTTACGGGACTTCAGACCTTCGGCATACCCGCGTATGGTTAGACGGCGTGGCGAGCTATGGCTGGACAGCGTACGACACCCGACACGCGGGTGCACTAGAGAGCAGGCTACAATCCCTATGCGCGAGGTTTTCCTTAGACTGTGTTTTTCTCATTTCTTCATGAGATTTCTAACGAATTAATGAGCCGGTCCTACAACTAACTCGTACGTAAATTACAGCGCTTCGGGCCTTAGCTACAGCAGAAAGCTTATAAAATGTAGATATCGGCATCTCCTTGTTTATTGAAGCAGAAAGCGTAGGCGTAATTAAGATTCCAAGAAAACACGCGCAGGTGCGATAGGGGAAGAAACTTTGATCTGACTTTATTTTTAAAGGCTAATTAATGTGGAGAAAGGGTTCTCTATTTTTTAAGACTAGTTCGATTCGCCTTGGAAAAATTCGCACACTTTACAGAGGAGCGAAGGAGGATCCATAAGTAATATAGTACAGTAAGCTGCCAAGTCCTACATGCCCCTTTGGATACTGGCGTAAGGAGAAGCTGATGAGGATCCTCTGTATCGCGCCGATATTTAGATTCTGATAAGAAAATTGGTAAAACAGAGGCTCAGCCTTTGCTCCGAAAGCACACCAACTTCTCACAGACCTTCTTCTGGGAATCGTCGGGTGGGAGGACCCCTGCCAGCGTTGGTTCCGGCCTGGCGATGTCAATGGGCAATCGTCCATAGAATGTCCCGTGCCAATCCGATCGCAAGTGGTACAAGCAATTCATCCTCGCTGTGGGCATATTTGCATTTTGCTCCCCAAGTGCAGTCTTTGCTTGTGCAGTATCTGTATTTCTTCGCAACCTTGTGGTGGTATGTCAGGAAGTACTGTTCTTCCTCCTTGGTATGACCATACTTGCAGTCGCATTCGTTTAAGCAGTACTTTCCCCATTTGCATCTGGCACCCGACTTGTACTCATTGGCTTTGAGCTGTTTTCTTCGTTGCTCTGAGCGATAATTGACCTCGGCAAAGCCATCATTGTCACTTCCATCGCCTCCAATGTCCTGGCCGCCCTCGTCCTTATCGCCACCGTCTTCTACTTCTTGCCGCGGGAGCTCTCCGAACCGTGGTGATATCTTAAGCTCGTCTTCAGGAGCGTCGGTGAGATGGCGTTGAGTGTATTCAGAGAAGGTGAGAACGCTGAGCCCATGAGGTGCGAGCTGTATTTGGACAGTTTGAAACAATGTGACGTGTTCTCCGTGTTTCATAGACCTAGCATAAGCAGGTATAATGACCAGATCTTGGCTGGACACATCAACACGTTGTCTGGCATACTCATACCGATAGATCGGAATCCGCAGCGTCGATATGAATTTGTCGATCTCGGCACCCTTAGGTAACGGATCGAGAATGACTATGCTGTGGGGGCTGATGACACTCCGATCGACGCGGAAGTTTGTGTCGCAGAAGCCGATTTCGTCAAGGTAGTCGTCACGAAGGTGTACATGGACAAGCTCGTTCTGCATACGTGTGTAGACACTTGCAAGAGCATTATTCCACGACCACACATGCACGCGGACCCTCCTGTCTGCGATCTTCGACACCATGGACTGCAAGTCTCGATCTCCAGAGACAATTATGAATTCGCTCTGGGTTCTGCTATAGACATCATCAATAGCCTGCCCGTAGGAATCGAGGGTGATTGCATTGTCCACCTACTTTTCGCGCCCAGTCCACGAGCTTCTTTTGAACGTGATTACTTTCACGTCATGAGATTCAATCATTTTCCAAACGGTATCCACCGGCGGAGGTTCGGACCCATATAGGCGGGTTTTGACGTTGTAATCTTCGAGTTCGACGTTTTTCAGGAGTACGGTTATCAGACGGCCTGCGTCGAATCGCCATGTTGGATCGGACGGGACAGCCTGGCCCTTTTTCTCGGCGTATGTCTTCTAGTCCTGGAGCCACAGGTTAAAGTTGTCGATGTAGATGCGGACGATTCTCTGACGCTGGCTATCGGGCGCGGTCTTGGGGGCAAGGGGAAGCATGTTAGGGGCCGGCTTAGTTGGGATGATGACAGTCCGCCTTCGAGCTGGCGATATGCGGGGCTTTAGGGTATACAGAGGACTATCATTGGTCTAGACTAAACTTGGCTAGCGCGCTAACTTTGATCTAACGTCTCATAGATCCTGTGCTCCGCACACCACACGCTCCCCCATTCAAATATAAGTTTTCCCGAACCTCTCAAGACATGGAACCCCGCAGAAGTCTCTATTTGTCAGTTCCCGAGCGCGAGAGGGCGACGTATCCCTTATGGATGGCAACGCAACATGCAAATCCAGCGGATATTCCAGCACAAATCAACCCAAGGAGCAGAGCGGTTTGGACTCCTTCCATATAGCTTTCCAAGATTATGTCGGCGGAGACCGGAAACATTGTTCGGATACCCGTTGCGCCAGCGGCGATTACTGCGACAGGATCGATACTGGCTCGCTCATTCAACGTCTTGATCAGCCCGCCGACAAATGCTGCTTGCTGGGCAGAAGTGAAAACCATGGCGCCTAGTATCTCAAAGAAAAGTGTCATCCCCGTCACGGCTGCAATGTCCGAAGCAGCGACTAGCTTCTGGTTAGCCGCCATGGGCATCTGAAGCACAACCCCGATCCCCACTCCAGTCAATGCTTGGTACCCGAGTGCTTTCGGCAGTGGAGAGGCCGTATCTATCAAGTGTAGGCAAGCGAAGCCTGCCGTTGTAAGAAGAGGGCTAGCCGCGAGCCAGACGACCCAAGGGACGCCCGCCGACATCGAAGTATTGGAGACGATGGTAAAGAGCGAAATGCCCAGGATCAACGGAATGCTTCGGATGCCGCTTTGCTCAGCAGAAACGTTGGTGATCGACTGGAAGTATATCGGCAGAGTATACAAGAGCGGGAAATACGTGGCGGCGACGAAGAAGATCGTGACAGTATTCGCGGCGATGTCTAAGTTCCTTTGGGTGGAGAAGTCAGACGTCTGGAAGCAGCACCAAAAAGCAGGGAGCCCAGCTGTGTCCGGGAACGATGGAGCTCGCCCCATGGAACGAGAGCACCGTTGCACGACTATCGGAGTTAAGCCTACTATAGTGTGGGACAGCATCGGGGACGAGTACGCCTAAGCGACCAACACACCGGGCCATCGTTCAACACAACGAATTACAACAGAGCTGGTCCAACTTCGGAGGGACTCCCGTTTATAGAGTCAGCCCCACGGAGCGACTTCATATCTGGCTCCACTGATGCAGGACACAAAAGCTCAGGAACAGAACACGACGAGGGGTCGACACCTGTGCACACTTCTTTCGCCGAAACTGGTCCAGTCCCTATGTTCCAGGAGCGTACAGCCTTACGCTCGTCCACCTGCGGCACGAATGAGCATTGTTGAGATAATTTGATTAGCAAAGAGCCTAACAGGCATCCATGATGGCCACGGATTTCTGTCACCACCGTCAGCAGCATTGACCACAATGAAAGAGAGAACCGGTGAAGATTCCCTGCTGTATGAGCTTTCATGCGTTTATCGAAAAGGAGTCGGGATGTCGTGTTCCTTCCTGTCTTACGGTAGCTCATGCTGATCATACATGGACAATGTTTAGTTGATGTCTCGGCCCCATAGACATGGACTCAAGCACCGTGCTCACATTTAGAGGCTCTAGGTCATGTATTTAAACAACCGGCTAAGCTTCACAGAGGAGAAAAGCTCTCTTCAACGCAGGTAAGCCCTGGAAACCTGTGTCATAGACGCCAATATGAAGGCTGACATGATGAAGCAGATCCAGAAGTCGAGCGAACGGAAGCCATGGATTCGACGGCTGTCATTTCAACTATCGAGAATACGGTCACGGTTTCGATATCGGACAATGGGAGGCAAACAAGTTCGACAGCTCCTGACACTGTCCAAAGCGTTTTGGAAACGTTCCACCGCGATGGTGTCGTAATTATACGCAACGCAGTCCCGCACACTTCCCTCGATCATTTACGGACGAAGATGACGGCAGATTGCCTGCATCTGCTCACAAAGCGAGAAAACCCCCATTTCAACCACGGGAAGGCGGCGCAGAATCTCTCGCAGAACCTTCCAGTGTCCCCAGAATACCTGCACGATGGAATCTGGGCGAATGAATACGCCATCGTTGTCATTGAAAACATCCTCGGTCCCCATCCTCAACTCGCTTTTGTCGGCGCAAACACAGCTCTCCCGCACGGCGTCGGCCGTCAAGCCGTCCATTCGGATGCGTACTTCCCACACCTTGACTTCGCTTTTGGCGTCGAAGTCAATATCTTTCTCGACGACGCTTCAGCTGATAACGGAGTGACGGAGCTTTGGCTCGGCTCGCATGTTGGCACGAATTTCAAGGATCAAGTCCCGAATACACGTGGCCGGATCAAGAAGCCACTTCTCGACGCCAGAGCAGCCGTCTCTCCGCCGATCCAGCCCACTGTCCCGAAGGGCTCTATTGTTCTTCGCGACTTGCGCACCTGGCACGCTGGAATGCCCAATCGTTCCTCTACCCTGCGAATCATGCTGGGCTTTATTTTCTTCCCGGCTTGGTATCGAACGTCGATGCGGGTCACTTTCCCATTGTCCGCTAAGGGTGTTGTTGAGTCGTGGAAGGGAGCTGATTTCGTGGCTACCGCTCAGTTCGTGGACGGTAAGGTGGATTATCAAACTTGCCGTTCAAAATGAACTTGACGCAAGACGAAGAAGGGGGTATTGGGAGGTTGAAGAGGAAAAGGAAACATTCGGGTGTAAAGCCGCAGGTGTCGGAGGAACATTATTGGACGCCGAAATCTATGCTGTGAATGGTGGGGGTCTTTCAGCACTGACAGGAGTGGATAGCGTGATGTTTCCCCTTCAGAACAAAATAACATATTTTCGGGGAAGGGGAAGCCAGAGTGGGGTCCTCACTGAGATATTACTTCCGCTTTGTACACCGCTTATAGCTCCTTGAGTTGAACTGCTTACGTGATCTACTCTTGCGTCTAAGATATAAAGTCCTCTCCTGCCGCGCTCTTGCAAAGTGCATTTCCATCATTCTCCCCTCCCCACTACGTATTCTTTTTCTCTCAGCGTACCTGAAGCATGGCAACACAAGCCACTCCCTCTACGATGTCTCCCCACCCCTCCTCAGCTATTTGTCCTTCCGATTCTGCTGTTATCGAGCAAACCCAGGCTTACGTCCAAGCCTACATGTCACACTACGATTGCTCCCACGACTGGACTCATATTCAGCGCGTCCGATCCCTCACCGAGATGCTGCTCACTTCAGAACGACAGCTCCATCCCGGAATCCGATACAACACCCTGCTGGTTACTCTCGGGGCCCTGCTACACGACGTCGGCGACAAGAAGTACCTCGAACCAGGTCAAGACGCTTCAACTGCCGTAAGCGCCTTCCTCCTCTCTATCAACGCACCACCTCGCCTCGCCTCTGCGGTCCAACAACTAGTCTTGCACGTCTCTTTCTCTTTCGAGAAAGCAAACTCCGATGCCGTTCACGCCATGCTGCGCAAGGTTCCTGAGCTGGGGATCGTGCAGGACGCCGATCGCTTAGATGCAATTGGAGCGGTAGGAATTGCGCGCTGCTTTGCTTTTACGGGGGCGAAGGGGAAGGGTGGGTTGAAGGGTGCGATTGAGCATTTTGAGGAGAAGTTGGTGGGGTTGGAGGGAATGATGAAGACGGAGAGTGGGAGGCGGTTGGCGAGGGAGAGGACGGACAGGTTGAGGGTTTTTATGGGGTGGTGGGAGGAGGAGGAGGTGGTAGATGATGGGAAAGCAGAGGTGTAAGTAGTGGGTCTACCAATCCCATGTTCACTCCTGGGGACGACGGTGTAGGGGATGTGTAGGGGTTACTTTGATTTCCCCCTGAACTGCTTGCCACAAATGCTACACAGCCTTGGTAATAGTGGTGCCTAGAAACCAATTCTCGTTCAGCCAGCCATGCGTTGGGTGTCATGTCTCTTTGGTCGCGAGGGAGTTTGTGGGCAGGCATTTTTCGAACTCAGGCGCAGCGGGATTTTTACGTAGGTGGGAGAATCGAAAATGTATGCCCGGAAGCTCGTTTACAGGGAAGTTGAAGGGGTTAGCTCGACGCTGCTTCGGGCTTGGAAGAGTGGTGATGCGTACCATCTACATGAAGCACCAAGCTCCGTTCAGACGATCCGTCTGAACCAACTCTGCCGACAGTTGGGCAATTTGAGACACTACAACCGACTCCCATCGTCATATACAGAAAGCGGGAATTGTCTACGAGGGGTGATAATAGTGCATAATTCATATGCTACACTACTAGATGCGTTGCCGTGTCTATCATATCTACTCGATCCGAGGTCTATCCTTGGATCAAGAGCGAGGGTATTAGCAACGCCGTGCCTATGCGTGTAGAGGAACGCCAACCAAATCGACTTTTGCAGCCACCAATTCTAAATGACAGAGTTCGAACGCCAACATCCAGGACCAACCGGAGCGTGGATGTGATGAGATGATCGCTGGTAACGCGGCAAAAACAGATGCGCAGGAGAGAGAGCGGGGGGGATTGTACCGCGGATCGGACATAGTATGGAGACAAGGTCGGAGAGAGGCTGGAGGATGTCGTCCGGGATCCTTGGGAGTGTTGAATTGAAGAGGCGGGTGATTGGCGACACGTTTAGAACTTCGCTGCCTTCAGGATCTCCGACTCGTTCTGGAGCTTCATCAACTCTCTCTGCTCGGCGAAAACCTTCCTGCTCATCTCTAGCACCATCTCGAACCCCTCCCGTCCCTTTGCCGCGTTCTGCTGGAAGCGTTCGACGGTGAACTGCTCGATGCTGTTCTTGATCTTTTGCCAGCCGCCGCACAGCGCGGTAATCTCAGCGCGCTGCTCGAACAGTGTCTTAGCGTCGGGTGACGCGCCCGAGGGGGAATAGACGCATGTCTCGCGCACGTTGAGGAGGTCCGACCAGGTCATGTTCATTGAGCACATTGTGACCTTCTTCGCTGTCGGATCCACGTAGGACGTTTCGTACACGAGCGACGTGTCTTGGCCGCCGAGGAGCGAGTTTATCCATTTTGGCGAGGATTGTTTGCAGGTGATGAGCCGTTCCGTTCGCAGCTGTGCGCGACGCTGTTAGCGCGATGTTGTTGGGGCACGCGTGCGAAGGGCAGGAAACTCACAATGCCGGTTTCGGGGTCGACAGCGCGCGAAAGCGTGTCAACGGCGATGACATGGGTGCTCAACTTGTTCCAGGGCCCGTACTTCCGCCAATTCGACGTCGACACCTCTTCCCACGAGTAGTCGAATTCGGTGTGCTGCTGGAAGATCTTCATGGTGGGTGTGCGCTGGGGGGCGCGACCCGGTCGGCGATAAGGAGTGTTCCTCTATGCGGTGGGCGACTTCGCGGCGTTGAATGACGATGTCGACCACAGTAGTGATATGGATTGATGGGAGTGAAAGGAGGTCCCGGAAAAAAAAAAGCTCAATATGTCGGTAAATGCGGAAAGCAAGGACCAAGCACTTCCGGGCGCTATCCGAAAATCGGCAACGCCGCGGTTACATAAGCTGTCGAAGCGTCGTGAAACGGCCCAAACGGTCTCGTCAGAGGTGCAATCCAAGAGAATGTGTGCGATGCCCCAGGGTGAGCACGCGATGAGTATACGGATGAAGGAAAGTGCAAGTGGTGTTTGGGGCGGGAGAAAGGGCTTGCGGCTTTGTATCGGGCGTCCGCTTCCAGGCGCCCTCGCAGATCCTCGGAGCCAGACGCTCGCTGACAGCATCGAAAATTTCTTCGCCACAGCCCTCCCGCACAACCCACGGCCACCGAGTCCCAGCCAACAGGAACCCGCGTCTTGTGCGCCCTGGCAGATCTTGCTCGCTCACTCAGCCCGAGTCTGCCCGTATGACGTTCTAGTCCCGCAGCCACGTCCACCCTGTTGGCCGAAGTGCGGAGAGCCCTGCAGGGCGTCGTGGGGTGCGGGAGATGAGTCCCGCGGCGAGATCGCAGGTTCGGTTGCTGTTTGTGCCAAGTCAAACATTCGAGAATACCTTGCCGGTCCACCGCCTTCTATTAATGTTGCTACAATACAAATACATTTTGTCCGAAGAGCTGTCCTGTCCAGACGCTGCAATCCAGCAACTAATGATACAATCTAACGCGCATTGGCCGTCCAAGAACCATTATATAGTACAGTCGGCATTACCTCTGAATGTGCCCATCATGTCGCACCAGAGAGGGGTATAGAACGAGAAGAGTCGAGAAAAAAGACCAAAACGCCTGGAAATGCTTCTTTACCTACGTCATTACCCTTCGTATTCGTCTCGTGGAGCGATGCCCGCAGCCGCCAATGCGCATTCGACCGCTTCTCTGCGATCCCAGAAATACTCTCGCATCCAAGCCGCAGCCATGTCCAGCGCTGAGATCGCCGAAGTGCTGCACCAGAACTTGTCTTGGCGCGTCCACGGCGTGTGCTGCCATGCCGTTTCGGGAAACCGTTGCTGAAGAGTTGGAAGTAGGGAAGAGGGCCCCGTTGCTCGTTTCTGGTGGAGGACGCCGCTCTGGACCAGGTTCAGGATTCCGGACGAGACGCTCATGATGGCAATCGTGTCTAAATTCGAGCATCGCTCGGCCAGGAATGCGGTGGCCGATACAGGTAGCTCGCTCGATGTGAAAGAGCCAGGAATTATGAGGATGTCGAAATGGGGAGAATTGTCGAAGGAGTTCTGTGCCTCAGTCAGCTCATCCGGCCCAAATCCCAATCAAGACGTGCGAGGGGGGAAGGATAGGGTATGTGGTAACCTTTATCTCCTTGCCAGACTCTCTCAGCTAGCTGCATGGAAGCCAAAACCAGGGGAATCCGGCGCGACCAGGAAGTTGGATCCTTGGCCAAGGAGTGTTGGCTCGAGGGTGGTTGTAACGATCGTTGCTGGCTGGGCAGCGCTAGCTCACCGTCACTGGCATGCGAGCGCCAGAGGTGACCGCGAAGGATCCTTCGCCGCTCTCGCTCACATATCGAATATCAAGCTCGTCTACAGCTTCATCTAGAATGCTCGAGGGGGCGTTTAATTTGCTGACTCGATTTCTGCTGATCTTGGCCAACAGGTCGACAACGGCAAGGTCCAGCAATTGAACCTGGTCCGGACTGAGCACCAGTACGCCGATTTTCAAAGATGACTTCGACGGCGGTGCGTAATGGAGGTTCAGATCGTCTTCGGAAGTGGACGATGTTGTACAGAAATAGAAGAGGTCTGCTTGAGACGGGAATGTTGTATATCCCCTTGGCGTGGAAGACATGAGGATGCGACGCAACCAATGAGAATAGGAAAAGGTAAAAACGGATCAAGACTAGTACGAGAGATTGCTAGTCAAAGAAAAGGGACTGATGGTGGTGTGATAATCCTACCTTGGGGCCTCAGTATGAGTCTTTATAGTCAGCGGGTCTGTGAGAGTTAAAGGAAGTGGTATAAGTGAACACAGGTACTAGGCCCGGGGAGTAATTCCTACCGTTACGCGTCATAGTGAGGACGGATCACACGCCTTACTCAATGCTCAAAATATACGAGTAGTGGCTGCGCAGATCCACTCCAGCCGGCTCAGCTCCTGTGAGGCTGCTTGTTTTGCCGGGTGCAGACGCCAAGTGAGATGGACCTAAGCGACGCCAGCCGAGCATCGCATTCAGTCGCTACGACAGCAACAAGACGCGTATAATTTGTTTCTCATACATCTTCTGAAATGTGTCCATTTCCTCTGAGATTGACTTGCGCGTCCTGCGTGTCTGAGCGGCGTAGGCTGGAGGAAGTGGCTGCTTGAGGCTGCCAGGCAGCAGAATTCGCTGACATCTGGTTGGAATAAGCTTCGTCGGTGCGCGGGACGACCGAAACGAGGTCCATGGTCCTTGAGCGTGGGAGGCGGTTGGAAGCGTGCAAATGACTCTAATCTGATTAGATGGGGGCTGTGAGAGCGGTTGCGGAGGGTGAATTCGGAATGGCGAGTGTCGAGCTGCCTCTCTGAGGAATTCGATCGGAGGCCCGAAGTTTCAGGCACGAATTTAGACGGTCATCTGCCACCAAAGACGATGAATTCTCGGGCAGTCATCAAGGCGGGAGATGAAAGCGAACCGGGAGCGAAGGGAGTCAAGACGGCGGATTAGAAATGGGGATGAAGCGCAGGCTGGCTCCGAATCTTCCCGCGGCACATGATGTCCGGTTGCCCCAAGGGGAAGGCACGCTCGCGACTGAGCGCCGACCCTCCGCGTCCTTGGAATTTTTTTTGTACATGCTCGCGCGGACAAGCTCATCGTTCGGCAACTCTGTCCCATGCTGAAGAATCTCATCACTTCGTTTGCACATCATGGTGCCTTCAAAATGCATATGCATGTCTATTCGTGTCCGTCAACTCCATATGCCCATATGCCGTATCCAACCAGGTACACTGCCTGCGAGCAAGAGAAGCTTGATCGCAAGCATCACAAGCACACGGTGATGAAATCCATCGCTCGCAGCCCAGGGGACCAGTATGCTATGCAATGCTCGGAACTTGTGGTCTCGCACGACACGCTAGACGTCCCTCGGGGCGCCGTCTGCCTCTCCGGACTTCACAGCTTTGCCCGTCTTCTTGATCTTCTCCAGGACGGTTTCGTAAGGCAGCGAGTCTTCGGCGACAATCTCGGCGGTCTGGTTCTCGAGGGACACGTTGTATGATTTAACGCCTGCGCACGCAGTTAGCTTGGAGTCCTGCATGGTAGAGTCACCAGGGAGTGAGCTCACCGTCAAGCTTCTTTAGCACGCGCTCAATAGCGCCAGAGCAGCCGCCGCAGCTCATGGCGACGTTGAATTTGTAGGTATGTTCGGCCATTTTGTCGGATGTCTTAGCGGGGTTCGGTGGGTTCGGTGGGTGGGCGGAGAGCGTGAGGGAGTCGGGTGGGCTGGCGGGGTTCTTGGTAGGTGGGTATATAAGTGTGGAAGTACGGCACGGGGGAGGTACAAAGTTGGGCAGCAACCGGCTTTATACTCCGCAGGGCAGGGAGAGCACTGATGGCGGTGAAAGAGGGGCTGCGCGCGTTTCGCGATGGTGTTGCAATCGGCTAGATTACTATAGATTGCGGCTACTTCGCTGACATATCGCCTCTGTCGCGGAGCGGTTGGTAGGGGACTGAGACCAGCCGCGCCTCACCACGGTTTGTGCATGCACACGCCAGTCGCCGAGCTGTCCGTCGCTACCTCCGAGGCCTGTGCAAGACGGATGATGGACATGAGAGCTCGGCCTTGCTGTTTCGCCGCGTTCCTGGATCGGTGACTGGCGCGGAGCCCCACCTGCCGCATCCTTGCACAAACGTCACTCCTGCCCCGCGGCCTTTCACCTCGAACGCACCGTAAACACTCTTGTGCACGGCTATACAGCCCACCATGGCGTCGTAAGTTGACATTTCGCGGCACAACTGCACCAGCTAATCAATATGGCCAGGAACATTCTTTTCCTCCCGTTTCGGCGGTCGCACACCGTGTCCCTCTCCGAAGCCATCAAGCAGTACATCTCGTCCAAGTATGACCAGCATCCGGACATGTTCACCAAGGACCTGGAGATCATCGAGAAGATGCGCTCCACGGCCATCCACGGGCAAGAACCACATCCGAGCAATATACCCAAGCTTCAGGCGTATGCTGCGGAGCTAGTATGGATAAGCGGGAAGTTCCCCATCGACATTGGCGTCGACTTCCCGTGGTATCCTGCCCTAGGATACAACGTCAGCCGGCCGGTATCCCGGAATAACCTGCGATTCGAGCTAGCCAACATCGTGTTCAACCTTGCCGCCATGTATTCCCAGCTAGCCATGTCCTCGAATCGGAGCACGCCCGATGGGTTGAAGGTCGCTGCCAACAACTTCTGCCTTGCTGCCGGTGTGCTGTCCCATCTCCGAGATGCCGTGCTTCCCGAGCTGCGGACGACGCCTCCCGAGGACATGGACACAATGACGCTGGAATGTCTGGAGAAGCTCATGCTAGCACAGGGCCAGGAGTGCTTCTGGCAAAAGGCGGTAAAAGATGGCCTGAAGGACGCAACAATTGCAAAGCTGGCCGCGCGCGTGTCGGACCTCTACAACGAAGCTGGTGAAGCGGGAATACAGTCGGACTCCATAAGCAGCGAGTGGATACACCATATGACGGCGAAGCACCACCACTTCGCCGCGGCTGCACAGTTCCGCGCTGCTTGCGATTGTTTAGAGAAGCGAAAATACGGAGAAGAGGTGGCGAGGTTACGTGACAGTCAGACCTGCGTCAACGAGGCTTTGAAGGAGCAGCGGTACATCAACAAGGTGGTCCTAGCTGATCTAAACGGTCTGAAGAATAGAGTCACAGAAGATCTGAAGCGGGCGGAGAAGGACAACGACATGATCTATCTACTACCTGTACCGCCTAAGGCCGAGCTGAAGATTCTCGACAGAGCCAACATGGTGGTCTCCAGGATACCGAAGGAAGTTTCCGACTCCAGCTCTATGCTTGGCGAACATGGCGAGCTTGGACCTGCGCTGTTTTCCAAACTCGTGCCTTACTCGGTGCACTTGGCTGCCAGCATCTATGTCGACCGGCGAGATCGCTTGGTCAATAACACCATCATCGAGGAGCTGGAGGCGCTCACGAGTCAGATTCACGAAGTGCTCAGGAGCCTAAACCTTCCAGGCTCGCTCCAAGCCCTTGAGAAGCCGCTTGGCCTGCCACCTGGTCTAGTCGCTCATGCCGAGGAGATCCGACAACAGGATGGACTCAACCGGCTGCTACGTTCTATGGAAGACACCAAAAAGCTGAAGAAGAGCGATCAGGCTATTTATCAGGAAGGATGCGACATCCTCAAGTCAGAAGCAGCTGAGGATGAAGGAGCACGCCTCAAATATGGGACCGATCGATGGAGCCGACCACCCGCCGAGCAGGCCGCCCCTAAGCTGTATGCCCAGATAGGGGAGATTGACGGCTACTTCAAGGCAGCTGCTAACAGCGACAACATCGTCAAGACAAAGCTCAAAGAGAACGAACATCTCATCAGTCTGCTGAATGGTTCGGATTACGATCTTGAGAATTATGTCCCGAGCGGTCGAAGACCCGCAATCACTGGTGATGTGGAGAGGGAAGCCGGGAAGCTTCGAGGATGCTTCAACGAAGTCAGCCGTCTGGAGAGTCGGAGGCGGCGGAAAATTGAGGCCCTGAGGACTAAAGCAAAACAAGATGACATAAGTAAGAGTCGCGCTTATTCCTAGTCGTTGAATACTCACAGCCCCATAGACCCCGAACTGCTCCGCGAAGCAGCTCGCTTAGAGCGGGAGTACCCTATGCAGAACATTGAGGCTGTACAGTTTGAGGGCCTCTTCGACAAGCGACTTCAGATGTACGATGTTGACCAGGACATGGTCAAGGACGAAGCGAGAGAGCAACAAGAGGCCACCAAGCGTCTCCAAGACGCCAATGCTGCGTTTGTGAATGCGCGACGAGGCGACCAGTCGACGAAGCAGCGCGAACAGGCGCTGCAGAGCCTTGAGAACGCGTACTTCAAGTACAAGGAGATCATCTCCAACCTTGACGTCGGAAGAAAGTTCTACAACGATCTTGCCAAAATCGTGAATAGGTTCCGAGACGACTGCCGCAGCTTCGCTTATCAGCGGAAGCAGGAGGCATCGCAGATTGAGGGGTGAGTTTGCGATGTATTGTCAGTCCCAAAGATTTGTACTGACGTGCTACAGTGACATTGCAACCGCAATGAGTTCGCTCAATCTTCAGCAAACGAACTCGAACTCGCTCCAGCAGCAGCGGCAGGTGGACGCTCAGAATCCGCAATACGGTGCGGATGCTCACGCAGAAGAGCCTTTGACAGCGCCGACGCCTACAAGAGCCAGCGTCGGTCCGCACGCGGGAATGTGGACGCCAGAGGTGGGCATCCGGTTTGCGGGAGTGCCAACAGCATCCGGCAACCCTCGACCTGCGGCGGGTCCTTCACAGGACGGACGATGGGATCCTACGAGAGGATTGAAATTTGGATGATTGCTTGGCGCCTGGTATTTGTTTGACTGTGGATTGCCTCGTCGGGCAACATGCTGCAGAGCTTAATAATGAGCGGGAGGCAGTTGCTATTATTATCGCTGGCCGCTGCGGCAGAACGACGCGGTGTGATGCAATGCAGCCGTTGAGAAAAACATCCGACGGCTATGTACAGTAGTGACTGGGAGCGCGTCGCGTGGGGAGCAGATTTGGAGGAATGGGGTCGAAGTCTGCCTCGTGGAGAGAGCCTCGGGGGCTGTGCAAGTCAAACGGCGGACCTCCAGAGGGAATGACTTCACCAAGCGAGATGCGGCCACCTCACTGGTCTCCGCGCTACGGTACATGCGCGGGTTTGGATCGAGTTGAGCATTCCCATGCCTGTAATTGGCGGCTGGCATGGCCTGGCTGGGTGGACGGCGAGTGGTTTGCGACGTTTGTGACACTTTGGCGACAGCCTCGCGGTTGTTTGGGTGAACGACCCATACCTAAGGCGCGAATTAGATTTGAGACTACCTGTCCTGACGATAAGCAAGCCCGCTTGTATTCCAAGATTCCATTTCTCTTTGACGCGCTGGAGGACTTGTCGACTACAGACGCTGGCGGACTTGTCGACGGCAGTATCCACATGCTGCCCGAGTGCACGCTGGCATCTGGCATCTGGCATCTGGCATCCGGCATCTGGCGTCTGGCGTCTGGCGTCTGGCATCGCAAGCTTTACGGAACGAGGACACAGCGTTTCACGTCCCGGCGCGCTGAAACCAGGCACTCTGACGCTCGTCTTCGCGGACCTGCAGCGACCTGGCAATCGTTAGCGGCGCCAACCCGCCCCGAACGGGCATAGCGCGTTCTATTGTTGTCGCGGGCAGTGCACCACCAGCGCGGGCGAGCAGTGAATTCATCGCACCCTTTGCACAGCCGCCTCCACCAGCCACTCATTCTGCCTGAAGTGCACGAATCGCGCGCAGTGCCCCGTGCTTTCCACCTCCCGCCGCCGCCAGGGAGATCCCAAAGAGCTTGGCCCGTGTCCTCCTCCTCGTCCGCGCTCCAAGGATAGCACAGCACCACCACGCCCGGCGCGACTCAACCACATGGATACGTCAAGGGGCCGGAGCCCTTCAGCGGGCTCCCATATAAGACGCCCGTCCGCCTCCCCTCATGCGCCATACCACAACGCCTCCGGCCTCGGCCTCGATCAATCGCTGTCGCCCGACCCGACCACGACCAGCTTCACCCAGGCGACGACGGCGGGGCAGAGCTTCGACGCCGCGCAGTTCCTGACCACCACCCAGTCGCCGCAGTTCCCGCCGCCGACCGCCCTCGCCGACCAGACCTACCTGCAGACGAGCCAGGGCCTATCGCAACGCCGCTCCCCGAGTCCGCAGTTCGGCCCGCAAGGCAACACCCTCGCGCCAGACCCGCTCGACATCGGCAGCAACGGCAGCAACGTGGGCTACAGCAGCTACTACTCCGACAGCGGCCTCAACCAGAGCCAGGCCATCGATCCGTCGTTTCTCAGCAACACCCTGGACCCGCAGCTGCTCGACTCTCAGCCGCAGAACCAGTCGGTCAACCCCTCCGACCTCATGAACCAGATGGCGACCGCGCACCCGCATTCACCCACCCCGCCGCACCTCCTGCCCGGCATGAACCAGCAGAGCCCGAGCCCTCATGCGTCGCCGAACATGAGCCAGGGCGCATTCCCCTCCCCCTCGCACTCGCGCCATGCTTCCCTCGATCCAAGCGCCGCATACGGGCAAGGAAACGAGTGGGCGAACATGGCACCCTTTCGCGGACATCGACGCGCGCCGTCAGAGACCTACTCCGACGTGTCCTCGGCGCATGCGTCGCCCTACATGGGCAACCACGACAGCTTCGACCACGATAACCCTTCACCCCTGCTGAATGCTCAGCAAGACCCGTCTCTCTTCCAGGAGGTCATGGGCATCGGCCAATTCAACCTGAACGATAACCAATCCCACATCAGCCCCGGCCACAGCCCTCACATCTCGCCGCGACTGCTTCCGCAACAGCAAGCGCTGCCGCAGTTCCAACCAGGTAGCTTCGGGTTGGACCCCAACTTCAACAATCAGTTCGGACAGCAGGGCATGGGCGCGTATCAGGGCCAGGGCCAAGAGCCTTTCCCGTCCATCAACCAAGGGCCCGGGCCAGAGTTTGGCCAGGCCGACACCATGTCCCCGCCTGAGATCAATATTGACTTTGCGCCGCCCTCGCGGCAAGCGAGCTTTGATCCGCCGAAGCCTGAACACCAGACTGATGCCCTTAGTCCTCCAGATCGATGTGAGCTTCCCAAGTGTCTCTTCAAAGTACAATCTGACAGTGTACAGCTCGCAGCCGGAACCGGATACGCGCCAAGTCCGATCCGTTTAGCAGCGCTAGCTCTCGCGCCTCTACGCCTGGTCTGGACGTCATGGAAGCCAACCGTTCACTATCTCCCGGTGCCGCAAAGTCTCGCTCGCCATCGCCCTCTACCAAGTCATCCCGTCGTTCCTCCACTTCAAGCGTGCCCCATCGCGATTACATCCTCGACCTCGCAGATCCATCAAGGCCCACCAACCAGTCAGGCGATGGCTCGAATGCGAAGCGCACGCAAAAGCATCCTGCGACATTCCAGTGTACTCTCTGCCCGAAGCGCTTCACTCGCGCCTACAATCTCCGGTCTCATCTGCGCACGCATACAGACGAGCGTCCGTTCGTGTGCAGTGTGTGCGGCAAAGCATTTGCGCGCCAGCATGATCGTAAGCGGCATGAAGGCCTTCACTCGGGAGAGAAGAAGTTCATCTGCCGTGGCGTGCTCAAAGATGCGAACAATTGGGGTTGCGGCAGGCGGTTTGCTCGTGCCGATGCTCTAGGGCGTCACTTCCGGTCAGAAGCTGGCCGAGTTTGCATTCGACCGCTCCTCGAAGAGGAGGCACAGGAGAAAGGCGCCTGGGACGGTCAGAGCCAACAGATGGACAATGGTAACGGAATGTTCGCGCCAATGCCTCAACAAAACTTTGGCGGCATGATGGCTCCACAACAAGGCTTCGAGGCATTCCCTCCTGTAACTGGCAGTATGGAGCATGCAGCACCACCGCAATACGGTCTTCCTGCAGCCCTTCTCGCTCAATATCCTGCATTGGCAGGCATTCAGTGGGATCAGCTACCCGCCGGCCAACCGGAAGAGGTGGAAGGCGACATCAGTGGTCGGAGCAGTTTTGACGCAAGCAGTGGAGGTGAGCTCTTCGACGATGAAGGCGACTACCCAGCACAACAGGCCGTCTATGGCGGAGGCTGGGCGAGTGATTATGAGGCTAACGCGAGGTAAAGCGTACTAGGTTTTCTTCTCTCTTATTGTCTTCGCTTCTTTCTATTAACTTTCCGCCTTTTCCATTCGATACACCCGATATTTCGATTTCGACTTTCTACGTCTACGACTCATTTCACGATAACGGAACGGCCATTTTGCACTCTTTTTCGTTCTTCTTTGGGATACCACTGTCATTGCTGCCATGATATATCATGCCTTGCTCTTTTTCTTCGAAGGGTTACTATACCCCGGCTAAAGAAGGAACGGAATGGGGATTTGAACTGGATTGGTGTTTCATATCCACATATTTCCAACGCGCGGGTTTTTGCTTGGCAAATTGTGCCAGGCGGTAATTTGGAGTTTGTCGGGCTTCTGCTACTGCTTCATAGATGGGATAGAGCGAGCTCTACGAACAGAATCGTAACCATTCAAATAAGCCACTTAATTGCCATGTTTTGCCCTGTATCCATTCCAGCGTACGCCTCCAATACGGATTCGCACCATCCGGCCAGTGCTCCCTTCTATAGCCGCGCCGGCAATGCTTCCATGCATAATGCATACGCGCCGTTTACGCCTCAGCGCTTCTGGGAACTCCACGTTGCACCTCCTCACGAAATGCGCACCGACCAGATCCTCCGGAACCAGAATCAAAACCGACAATATCCGGCATAAAAGCCTCGGCTCTCAAAGACAATGGTCCCCCGGAGTCGGGCGCAGATGGGGGCGTGTTGCAACGTGGATTGTGCTACGTACCGGGCAGCACGCTGCCGTCGGACGGGGGCTGGTGCGTATGGCGATGCTTCTGGTGGGATCCAGACGGTGCTACTAAGAAAGTACTGGAAGAGCCGTAAGGAGGTGCGTTAGTGTAGGAGCGCCCCAATATCGCGTGTTCTCGTGCGTGTTCTCGATTACACGATGACTATGTCGGCCGTTCTTTGCTGCCTCATAGGTAGATGACTTGGTCTAAGAGAATGCAAGACACCATCAGCTAAAAGAATTAGACTGAGACGATGTGCTTTACTGCTACAGCTACCCCTGTGCGGTTGCACTACGGGATTCTATGCAGGATGTAAGCCCTATATGCGACTAGCAAAACTTCGGATCGTACTGTAAGAGAAGATATTGGCGATAGACGAGATCTCAAGATTCTAGCGTCTGCCCGTAATTTGTCACTTTGGCCTCACAGGGCGTTTAGTATGGGCTTATGTATAAGCTTACATGCTACCTACCAAAACAACAGTTCGCCTCCAAGAGATTAGGCGTCCACATCGTCAGGCATCAGCTCGGAGGAACTTTCTTCTCCATGCTCTTCATCTTTAGGGCAGGTGCTGACACGGAGGCCCACGATATGTGCATACTACAGTCGGACTCGAGTTGAGGGCCGAGGCAGACTTCTTCATCTCGGACTTGCCGGCCAATATCAAAGGGGATGTAAAGGTGTGGGTTGGAATCATCTCTGTACGAGTCCATTTCTAAGCTAGTACTCTTTGCCACCACCTCCCATGGCTTCTGGGAGTCTGCATCGGTTGAGGCAGGCGAGCGGTAGCAGAACGAGGAGGGTGAGAGATGGAGCAGAGAATACAGACATGGTTTCTTTCCAAATAATAGGCTTGGCCATGGGGAATCGCCGTCGAAAACAACAGACGTACGCCGAAGGATGCCGCCTAGGAGCGATCTCTTGGGTTATGGAACACTTGGGTATCCTAATCCTGTTCCAGCCAGGATCAGTTCCGTAGCCCGAGCGAAGCCCGAGCGAAGCCCATGTCGACAACGACATTCGGTGCTTCTCAAGAAAAGACTTGCCTTGGTCCAGATACTGGAAGCCATGCACGTTGCTACCCTCTCCAGGTCGCCAGCCCTCCTTTCCATTTCTTCCCTTCCCAAAACCTCAGTCCTCACTTCAGCGCCTCCAAATTCCTTTCAAAACCCTGCAGCCTCTTTTAGTAGCCTTTTTATCATCTTTGGACCCTTATCGCCGTGCCCAACTCTCTGTGCATTGAGTATCGACTGAAAAGATGTATTCAAATCGTCCACCATCCTCTCCCTGTTATCCCTCTCCTAACCCGAGAACTTCTTAGACTCCTTATAAATAGCTCTTCTGTTCTCTTCCCAGGCGACCCACGCCGCCGCTTGCAAAAAGCAATCTGTAATATCATCCACCTTTTTCACGTCACCTTTGCGAATGTTTGTGCGTTTCGAACGCTCGGACGCTGCATCTGTGGCGTAGAGGAGCGTTTGACGTGTCGCTTCGGCGTGATGAAAGAAGGAGAACGATATATATGCTTGAGCTGCGGGTACTTCTTCTTCGTCCGGAGATGGTTTTGTGTGTTTCGATAAGGCGGTCGATGGAGGCTCCCGATCCAACCATGAACGCAGCAGCCATATTTTGGCTTTCTTCTCCGCCTTCCCACGGCTCAGCTTCCCACCTGCTTTGCCACCGCCCTCCAATCCCACACCATCTTCAGTTTCACTCTCAGGGCCCAAACCCACTTCCTCCGCCCCCTCCTTCTTGCTCCGCCTTTTCACCCCCTCAACCTTGCCCCGATCACCGAGCCAAAACCCACCAACACGCTTCGGATCCACGCCAAAAATCCGATAATTGTACTTCTTAAAATCCTCTCGACGCGTAGTAATCCTACACTCGGTACGTAAAGCGGTTAGAATAGCCCACAGCATTCCTTCTAGCGTATTCACCCTCACGGTCCACTGCTGAATCGCACTCCCGCCTGAGCTGCGCCACCGCTGGCGCTCGATTAAGATGATATCGGGTGCGTAAGTGAGCAGTGATCGCTTTAGAAGCGTGTACGCTGTGTCGGATAGACTGGACGGCGCATATGGATCCGGGCGTTCTTCGTCTTCCCCCGTGCCCTCTTTCGCGAACTCGCGTTTCTTGATGCCCGATCTCTTGGATACTTCTTCGACGACGTCTAATCGGCGCCAAGCTCTGATCTCCATTGTCGTTGCACTGCTCTCTTCGCTAGAAAGCCGTACGTCTGCGACGCAGAACGCCAGATTCTTGATCCCCATGTCGATGCTCAGAATTCTCGTACGTTTCGTCCAGTTGTCCGAGTCGGGTATTTTAGAAATTCGCATGTCTTTCTGCAGTCGTGATAAGAGGACATCTTTCTTGCCGGAGGTGGCGGAGCCTATACGAAGAAGAAGTTTCTGTATATTTTTCACCGTTGGGGAGCGCGATGCGGAGAATAATGCCTGGAAGACATTGCTTGGTGGAGACATGGCTAGATGCGTTGAGAATTCCCAAGGAGGTCCTCAAAACGTATAGATAATTTGAAGAACCAATGGCCGAATTGAAATGACTCGGTGGGCATCATGAATGAGAAACAGGCTAGAACGCGTGATGGACGGCGCAATAGACGCGTCAATTCGCAAGGTACAAGGAGTCGAATGGCGTAGGGCGTGATGTTATGCACATTGAAGCATTATAGCTCACGAGTTGGCCCTGGGTATGGAAGTTGATGGTAGTAGGTCAACGCGGAGGGTCGCGACGTTGGAGGTTCCAAGCGCGGGAGCACGTGCCAATCCCATAACGATCTGCTCCCAATCTAAATTCTACCACAACTTTAGGGGACGGTCAAGCATTTAATACCAATATAATATATCTGCATAGAAAGTTTCTCCTTAGAAAGGAGTCTATCCCCAGAGACGGTCACTATCTTGCTTAGCCACTAAACCATTCACACCCAGACCATGGCCTTCGTCGCATAATGTCACGTCTCGACCCATAGATCTTCCTCCTGGAGCCGTTTCGGTCTTCAATCCATCAATCCATCAATTTCCGTTCTCCTTCCTCCTTACGCCGCTCTTCCCTTACGCCTCACAAATCAAATCGAAATCCGGAAAATCTGGATCCGGCCCAATATTCGTACTCGCAACGCCCGTATTGAAGTCCTTCACCTGCGCATTCTGTTGCGCGTCATTGCACTGATCTGTTTCTCAGTTAGCCCTTATCGACATGCACATTCCCCCCGTTCCTCCTCTCTCCCCCTCCCCTTCGCCAGTCAACCCTCTCTGGGTATACTCACTCTTCTGCTGATCACAATCCTCCACCTTAAACCCACCCTTATTCCCCTGCTCATTCGCCGCCTGACTACACTTCTGAAACTGATTATCGCAACTCCTCTGCGCACCACTGTCAAAATCCGTGAACGTATCCCCGTCGACCTCAAACGGACGCTTCGCATCCCCGCTATTCGTGATGGGCGACGCGGAGAAGCCGCCGAGGTTTTGCGTAAAGGTCTGCAGGTCGGACGCTTGTCGGAAGAAGAGCGTGTTGCGTGGGATGAGGTGCATGTATTCTTCCGAGACAAGGGCTGGTTGCGGAGAGGAGAGCGTGAGGGTGGGGAGCGCCATGAGGATGAGTGAGAGGAGCGTCGGGGGGAGCATTTTCATTTCTCTTCTTCCTTCTTCCCTGGGCTAGAGAATATGCGTACGTCTGCGGCGAAGTGAACGTCCTGCGTATATGTCGAATCGATTTTTAGCGCCGGCGCGGTTCCGGTTCGTTGAAGCTGCGAAAAGTCGAGAAGAAGTTCGAAGGTCAGAATACGGCGACCAGCAGAAGGATCATATTTCGATTGACAGATTGCGCATCAACAGCCCTACGATGGCTCACGCGGGAACCGTTTTGGCGCGTGCGTGCGATTGCTGATTCGGGGATGAGGCAGGCAAGATGCGACGGCGCTGAAACATGAAGCGCCCTGACTGTGACCTGCCAACACCACGTCCGACCACTCCGATGCTGCGCCATGATTTGAGGACAAGTGACATGCACAGCGGATGACGTTAATACCGCTATACAAAAATGCGTCAATCCAGAAACAGGGAAGGCTAGAGCGAGGGGGGATGATTATAGGACTCTGCATTGTTATTGACACTATGCAAGGAACCGAAGAGTGAATTACAACTTTTAGCACGCCAGCACACTGTCGTTCAGGTATCTTGTCCGCCAAAGGAGTGACATGAAGAAATAACTGAAGTCCGTCTCGAATTCTCATAGAAGGACTCAGCTAAGGGGTTCGTCGAAACGACTCGTCCAATTACAGAGGAAATAATTGTGTACCACTTGCGCAACCCATCTAAAGCAAGTCCACCGCAAAACTCGATGGTGTGATCAATCTCGCAGACGTGCCGTGAAACAATAAGACGCTGGAGACGGAAGGGGAGAGAGATGTGTGCGCCCCACGCCTGCAATGCATTCAAAAGACAAAACATACCCGCCTGGCTACCCCGTAGCACAAGAATTAAAGCCATAGGCAGCCTGTTCTATACACGTGCTCGGGGCAGCCTTCCAAATCGGTGGAGCTCGAAATAAGCCAGAAATGGTCGTGGAAATCGTGAAGCAGGCCGACGAAAGGTCGGCCCCGTATGTACGTTTTCAGCCGGACCGCTTAGAAGTTGGCTGCCGCGTTCGGTCGTCCGCCAGGGTTGTGGTATTGTTCGAGGTTCGACTGGAAAGGCGAGCTCGCGTTCTGAGGTTTGTCGCCAAGGGCAGATCCGGTTCCGGCCATCAAGTCCGCGTCGTCCTCCGAGACATGCCTCTTGCGGCCCCAGATCCTCCAGCAGATGATGGCAATACCACCGAGCAGAATGGCGCCACCGACACCGCCAACAACGCCGCCGATAATCTTCTTGTTGCTGTCGCTGAGGCCGCCGCCGCCGTTGCTGCCATCGTCCTGGGGCTCAGGAAGCGTGGTTTGCAGAGACTGTCCGGTGGTGATCAAGGCCGTGCTAGATCCCACGCTCGTCACCGCAACATTCTGGCCATTGCTAATGGTAGTGTAGACCGTGGTGTACGGCTGGACGGACGTAGCGACGAGGGGTGTGGTCCTGACGATGGGTGTCGTGATCCTCGTGGAGGTCACAGGAGCCGCGGTCGACTGCGCGGGCGTGCTCCCTGCTCCTGATGAGCGACCGCCTCCAGATGAGGGCACTTGTGAAGATTCAGGCGGCGGTGTGGACTCGGGGTTTGAAGAGGAGTCGTCGGTAGGCGTCGGCGTGGGCGTCGGTGAGGGAGTGTTGTCCGGTGTCGACGTCGGGGCATCGGATGATGAATCGTCGGTAGGAGTGGGCGTGGATTCGGACGCCGCTGTGTTGCCAGTGCCCGTGGCCTGTCGCTTCATGCCCTGGTGTAGATACTCCTCGATGCCGTCGATGTGGAGGGCCTCTTCCAGGCTCAGGGCCGACGAGAGCGCGAAGAGGGCGAGAAGCGCGAACACGAGCCACGACTGCCGCATTGTGCTTAGCATGTTTGGCGACGGTGGAAACGAGCGAGAGACGTGGTGTGGAGATGTTGAGGCGCCTATATGAGCGAGGGTAGTGCGGTTTCACAGAAAAGGCGTGTTGATTAAAGGAGCTATCGATGGAAGGTGAATGAGACCAGGGTGGCGTTACAGCACAGACGAAGACGGAAGCAGCGCAGAAAACGAGAGGAAAGAAAACGAGTGGTGTGCAGCAACGGGTGACGGCGGGTTGATGACTAGGCGGCGTGCGTGGATGGGGAGAGAAAAGGGCTGAGTCGGCGGGCCAGTAACAGGCGCTATGCAGGCCGGACCCAAAAACAGCGGAGCCACAGCAGGGCCTTTGACGGGCGAGGTGCGCCTTTGACAGGTCGGCCCACCACACCCATTATCTGCGTAGCCTCGCCAGTTTCACGGAAAATTCCCTTTCTCCCAACAGGAGACTGCGGGCTGGCAATGTTCGCACTGTAAACATACCCACAGATTTCGTCCTTCCCTTCGGCTGGAAGCATATAACGGCTGGCCCGGTCGCTCCTGCCCAGACAACGCACACGTCCCGATCGGGAAAGGGCCCCTTGCGCATCGCGGCTCGCCTATTCGCGGACAAGACCCTCCACGAGCGACACCAGAGAGCGTCCTGCGTCATACGTCGGCAGCGAACAATTTTCGCAGCACTGATCGCAGCAGTCTTCTCACCAATCCCCATACCCGCCCGTGCAAGACTTGCATTGCCCGACCAGCCATGCAGAACATCGCAGCCCTGGCCCAGGGCCCGCCTTTGACCGCCCACGAGGCTTTGTCTGGCGTCTTCGGCTCCGTGTCGCTTGCATCGTGGATCTTCCTGTTGGTACCCCAACTCATAGAAAACTACAAACAGTCCTCCGCCGAAGGCATCTCTCTCGCCTTTCTCACCGTTTGGTTCATCGGCGACATTACCAACCTCGCCGGCGCCATCTGGGCCGGCCTAGTTCCCACCGTTATCGCCCTCGCCGTCTACTTCTGCTTTGCCGATCTCATCCTCATAGCGCAATGCGTATACTACAACATGAAGAATGCGCGGAAATCGCGCAAGGAATCCACCCGCACAATCGATTCCGTCGAGCAGCCACTGCTTGGCCGCCGAGACAGCAGTAACTTGGGCCTGCCGGGCAGCCATAGGAGGAGGAGCTCCGCAATAAGCACAAGAAGGCGGGCGAGCAGCCTGCCGAGCCTGGTGGAAGAGGAAGAGGGCGGGAGAGAGTGGGTCAAGAACACGCTTAGCATACTCGGGGTATGCGTCGTTGGTGCTGCTGGATGGGCAATCGCATGGCGGACCGGCGTATGGGTCCCGCAGCCTGACGACGATGATACTGCGGGAACGGACATGGCACTTGGAGCACAGATTCTAGGGTACGCGAGCGCCATCTGCTATCTGGGAGCACGCATCCCCCAGATTATCAAGAACCAAAAGGATCGGTCGTGTGAGGGACTGTCGCTGCTGTTCTTCATGCTTTCCCTGCTGGGAAATGCTACGTACGGCGCAGGGGTAAGCCTAATTCACTTGGAAACAGTTATGAGGGTGGCCTGCTAACATGAGTAGATCCTCTTCCACTCCGTCGAGAAAGAGTACTTTCTCACTAACCTCCCTTGGCTTATCGGCTCATTGGGCACCATGGTCGAGGACGTAACCATCTTCATCCAATTCCGCGTTTTCGGCAATGGAGAGCACAGCTCCGCTGTGGCTGCTTGAAGACGGATGTCGATGCAGCAGTCGCCAGATTTAATCACTGTATATGCCATCACGATAAAGTCTGTATATGAAATGGGCGAAGGTATAAAAGTTTGGTTCATTTAAGTCATGTTACTTGTACGCTTTGGTTTCGTTTGGTCTTTGATACCCTGCATTGGTGGATCAAGTTCTTGTTGTTAGCTACCTTCTTAGGCGCGTCATGAAGTAATCTTGTGAATACGCAGATGACCTTTCGGACGGTTCACGATGAGAACTAGGCAATTGTCTCGTTCATGTCATAATCGTGATACATCAAATTTCCTATATACAAGGAAGCCAATCTGCCCTGCCCATCATTAGGTGCCATGATGCAGTCAGTCTCGGTGAAGAAAAACGGTCTATGAGCGCCGGAAAAGACAGGAACCCCTTCGCGCAGTCACGCCAAAATTCCGGAACGCTGGTAATGACAGATATCTGAAGGAAATGCGGTGAAGCAGCTAACTTTTTGGTTGACGGCTACAATCTTGGTCGTGACGAGAGTAGTTAGTTGGCAGGGGACTGGTACTTTTGGTTGTGGATGGCGACGGCACTACGTGGATATTAGCATGTGCGTGTACCAGAGGAAGGAGGAGATATACCGTCCAGACGGATCCGTCTGCTTACTCCACGTCGGCGTCCAACGCATGACCGTCTTCGCGCAATAGCTCGGGAAGTGCTCGTCGAACATACACCGATACCAATAAGCTTCCTTCGAATCCGGGATATCGCCACCCCACTCCGGCTTGGGGTTCTTCATCATCTCATCTGTGACATGCAGCTCAGCGTTGTCCTTGAGCGCATCGATCCAGCCGTAGCCCACGCCGTCCGAAAACTGTTCCTTCTGTCTCCACAGGATCTTGTCGGGGAGGTAGGGCTTCGTGTCCGGCTCGTCTGTGGTGTCGAATGCTTTGCGGAGGATGTACTTCTCGATGCGATCCTTGGTGATCATCTTCTCGGCGGGGTCGACGTTCATGGCGACGTTGAGGAACTGCTTGTCGAGGAAGGGGACGCGGGCTTCTACACCCCAGGCTGAGGTGGACTTGTTGGCGCGCAGACAGTCGGCCAAATGCAGGTTGCCGACCCTCTTAATCGTCTCCTGGTGAAACGCGGCTTTGTCGGGCGCGGCGTGGAAGTAGAGGTAGCCACCGAAGATCTCGTCGCTTCCCTCTCCTGAGAGCACCATCTTCACGCCCATGGCTTTGATCTTGCGGCTGAGCAAGAACATGGGTGTTGAGGCGCGAATAGTAGTTACATCAAAGGTCTCCAGGTGGAAGATGACGTCCGACAGCGCGTTGAGGCCGTCTTCGATCGTGAAGGTAAATGTGTGATGCTTAGTTCCGAGGAACTCTGCCACTTCCTTAGCGGCAACGGCATCGGGAGCGCCGGGAAGACCAATTGAGAACGAGTTCAATTGGGGGAGTTTCTGGACGGTGGCCAGTTCGTTGGAGTCATCGATACCCACGAGGTGACCGGTAGCATGCCCATCTACCTCCCATCCATTCTGCACCCCGTTGGTGGCGGTTCCGTTGGTGGCTGTCATGCGCTTCTTCGCCTGCCCATTCAACCGGAGTGTCTCCCTCTGTGCAATAGAAGCGACCAAGCTCGAATCAAGACCTCCAGACAGGAGCACACCATACGGGACCTCAGCCATCAACCGCTTGCGCACCGACTTCTCCAGTGTTTCTCTCAGTTCCTTGTAGTCTACGGGGTTCGTCGGGATGTTGTCGGGCTCTACAAGCCACTTGGGATCGAAATACCGGGTCAACTTGTCGGTCTTGGAGTCGTAGACGTGGCCGGGAGGGAAGGACATAATGTCGTCGCAAACGGGGTGCAGGCATTTCAGCTCTGAGGCGAAAAAGACAGCTCCTGGCGTCTTGCTCGACCTTCCCAGGTAGAAGGAAGTGATGCCAATGGGGTCGCGTGCGGCGATAACTCGGTCCTGGACCTTATCGTGAAGGACCCAGGAGAACATGCCGTCCAGGTGTCGCGGTGCGTCGATGCCATGCTGCAGATACTGCGCCATATCAGCTCCTGCTCGGCGCAATGATGCCAGCCCGGTGTCCTTACCAGCGGAATGATGACCTCGCAATCCGAGTGTGTCTTGAAGTTGTACGGCTTCTTGAGTGTTTTGCGGATGATGCGGTGGTTGTAGATCTCGCCATTGACGGCCAGAGACACGGTTTCCTCGTCGTTGACCAGCGGCTGCGCGCCAGAGTCTGCGCCATTGTAAGCTTCCGGCTCGGAATCGCGTGGTCGTGTGACCGCATACCGACGCCGACGATGCTCAGACGCTCGTGGACCAAAACTGCGCAAAGTCAGCGTGTCGTTCTAGCGCCAGCGACACCCGGAGGACCTACTGGTATCGTTCGCGATCCAGTTGCCACCTGTGCTGTCTCAGTTATCGCGTTCCGCGGCGCATGGAGTAGGGGTGTGCTCACTCCAGTCTGGGCCCCGATGCCGGACGCTGTCGCGGTGAGTCAGTGACGGTCAGACCCATCGCTGGAGAGGGAGACTCACGCCTTGCCCATCTTCAGGGCCGTCGTCTTGAATTTCTGCACATCCGGGTGCCTTTGCGCGCGTTAGTCACCTATCAACCTAATAGCGAGGGGCAATGGAGGGGAACTTGGGGGACGAAAGCATGCGCGCATACCGGTAGCAGGCGAAGATTCCGCACATGTTGGCGGCCGGGGAGGAAAGCGAGGTGAGGAAGTGAGGATCGAGTCCGGCGGGGAGACTGGCGACTTATGTAGAGGGCATGGTGCGACTTCGACTTGGCTGAAGAGAAATTGTTGTAAAGCCGCTTGACTCACGGAGACCCTTCGGCTTTGCCCCACTACCCATACCCACGTCCGACAGACGCGCTTAGAGCCGCCAATGCCCGTGTGATCATCTCATCTTCACGCTGGCTGCGAGACATGCAAAGAACGATGCAGCCAGGCCGCGGGATGGGAGCAGTTCGTGAGGGGCGTAAGGCTAGAGGGCACCATGCATCTCCAATAAACTCCGCAACCTTGTTCCCCCACACGGCTTTGCGAGCTTCTCCATTGGCTCGGCGCTCGTGACCATGACCGCATGCACGGCACAGCGGTAGCTCTGCAATTGAACAAATCATATTCTGGAAGAAGTGTTGATACAGGGTGGCGGCGCCTTTTCCCCAGAACATGCTGGGACTCCGTCGCTCCACAAGCTTCAGCTCCTCCAGATGCTTACCCAAAGCAGACAACCTGGACCTGCCTCCACGGGACAATTAATCACGCAGAAGAACGAACAAAAGGAATTACTCCCTCCGCCGCGGCCGCCACACTATTCCGTCACAGACTTTCGCCATTCGGCTGATCGAGACCGCCATCATCTGACACCCCACACTTTCCCCCTTCGTTCAAAATCCGGGGCCGCCGTTCGCGCACGGCATCTAACTCGACTGGCGTGACATGGGATATTGCGGGGGAGCGGGATCAAAACAAAAAGTAAGCCAGAAGGAAGCTCAGCAGACACAGGATGGCCGTGATCTGAACAGAGACGCCGCCTGTAGGACCCTGCTGGTGAGTGCTCACGGCCGTCTGCAGCTGCTCCTTGGAGTCGCGCGTGGGTTCCGCCTTCCGCTGACGGAGACCGCTTGATGTCTCGACTTGTTCCCGAAGCTTCGCGATCGTGGCCTTGGCATCGGCGAGCTGGGCCTGGAGATCTTCGCTGGACGTGGGGATTGCCCTTGCTACCCCTGCTGCAGCTGCAGAGACGGTTGACTTCACTCCAGAAGTGGCGGGGTTAAACGCGGAATCTCGAGCGTCTCTCAGGTTCCTACTGTCGCTCGGCCGGGACTCGGGGCGGGAGACAGATCCAACGGGCGCTTCGGTAGAACCACGCTGGGGAGTAACGGCCTCCGGGGAAGGAGACGGGACCATAGTCCGATCATCGCGGTGGCTTACGCCATTTGTCTTCGGTGGTGTTGCCGTGACGTCGTCTGCAGGCAAGAAAGTGACCCTAATCTTCTTCTCCTGAATCGACGACTTGGCTGTCTGCTCGATGTTTGACCACTGCATGTCCGCGTCAGCCATTGCCCTACACGTCCTGGGCGGGGAAGCGTACGAGCGAAGCAACATTGGTGAACTCCTTATCAGCTGTGACAAGCACTGATTGTACGAGGAATTTGTCCCTGCATTTCGCGTCTGGCGGCGGGTCCTCCTTCATTGCTTGGAGGAGAACTGTGCTCATACGTCAGCTTGCTGCAGAAATCCCGCGGGGGTTCGCTTGGAGGGTTCCATACTCTGCACTTCGACATCTTTGCCCGGCTCAATGCGGCCAGAATTGGGCCTCACGCAGTATCTACATGATTCAATATCAGCGGAGTGGGGGACACGGGAAGAAGCCGGGCGCGTACTGCTTCGGAGCCGTGGTTTTCACCTGCGTGCGTCAGTCCATGGTCCGAGGATAGAAACGCATATGAGAGGCGCGCGTAGAGCGTGTAGCCTGGGTTCTCCTCACCTTGAAGGCCACCGGATCGGAGTGCGGATTCATGAGTCGGAGGACCTGCGAGACCTCGTGCTGGAACGGACCTGCCACGTCTTAGTGTAAGTCCGCATTCCCGACCTTCCTCCGATATACTGACGCTTGAACCCAAGCTCCGGAGGGTCGAGTTCGACAGACATGTTGCGGGCGCGAGCGCGAGCGGGCAGAGCAGAAGTGGAGGTACGGCACGGAGGTTGGTAATCAGACAGTCGGCGAGGGCGAGGGTGAGGGTAGGCGCATGCGACAGCGCAGAGTGCTGGCGGGCAGGATCGACAGAGGCGCCGGCGAGAGTGAGTCGAGGGGAAGCCGTGCGGAGAGATAGGATATTAGGCGCGGTGTCGGTGAGTAGCAGGTCAAGTCACGTAGGTGTCGGTCGACAAGCTGGGTCTCGCTTCGCTTGTTTGTAGGTGGCCGGGATCAACGTCACCGACTTGCGACTAGCCAGCCTTCACTCCACACCAAGTGCTCATATGGGGCTGCTCTACGCTTCTATCGACAAGCGTCAAGTTCAGCACCTGCTCTCCTCACAATACAATTTGTCAATTCATGGATCGCGTGTGGGCGTGATCGCATTCCGCCGGATTCTCCCACCTTCTCAACTTTAAGCCCCGCTACGAGTTACTGCCTACGACCCAACATTCTCACCCCATCATATAAAGCCGGACAACCGCCCCAGAGCCAAACACTCGCTGTCCTGGTCTTGCACATTGCGTCCTCCGAAAGCGGCCGTAAAAGAGTATTACAAGTTCGCAATTTCCGCAGCTCGCACAACCACAACCCGGCCTTGACGAGGTTCAATCGCCTCAACATTCCCAAGATGCCCTCAGATCTGGACACCCTGCTCGAAATGGGCTTCGAGCCCGAGCGCGCCGGGCTCGCCGCAAAGGCAACTGGCAGCCTCCAAGACGCCATCGACTGGCTAGAGAAGAACCAAGACAAATCCATCGACGACCTCAAAGCCTCCCAAGCATCCGCCTCCTCCGACGAGCCACCCGCTCTCCAACCCGGCGAAGAAGCCAAGTCTCTCACCTGCGACGACTGCGGCAAGCGCTTCCGCTCCGTCGCACAAGCCGAGTTCCACGCCTCTAAGTCTGGGCACGAGAACTTCAGCGAGTCGACTGAAGAGATCAAGCCGCTCACCGAGGAAGAGAAGAAACAGAAGCTGGAAGAGCTGAAGGAGAGGCTAGCGGCGAAGCGTGCGACGCAGGCGGAGCAGGATAAGGCTGATCGCAAGAAGAACGAGCAGATACGCATGAAGGCGACGAAGGAGAGCCAGGACATCAAGGAGGAGTTGCAGAAGAAGGAGCGGTTAAAGGAAGCGGCACAGAAGAAGAAGGAGAAGAAAGAGGAAGAGGATGCGCGGAAGCGCGTACTGGCGAAGTTAGAGGCGGATAAACAGGAGAGGAAACGCAAGGCGGAGGTGGAGAAGGCTGCCAGGGCTGGCCAGGCTCCTCCTCCTCCCATTGAGGAGCCGGCCGCTCCTACGTCTTCCGGACCTACAACATCGAAACCGGCGTCTGCATACACAGAGGCCCGACTTGCTCTGCAGACACCTACCGGCAGGGTCACGAAGACCTTCCCGGTGGAGACGACGCTCTTCGAGGTTGCTCATGCGCTGGAAGAGACGGGTGTTCAGGTCAATGCGTTCCATCAGAACTTCCCCAGGAAGGTCTTCGACCGGACAGACTTTGGCATGACTTTGAAGGAGGCCGGCATGGTGCCTAGCGCGGCCCTCGTCATCAAGTGATGGGAGAGATGGAGAGACAACGGCATATCCTTCGAGGCGTATGATCCGCCCATAGGAGCTCCCTACGTAAACGATTGCATGATATGAGGCACGATCTTAGTTATCTCATGTCAAGACCTCTGGTGCTCTATATCTATGTAGGTATATGAATGCGTCATCCATGTGCCATGCCCCCCTTTGCAGTATCGCGTGCCATGCATGCGTTCTTCTGCGTGATGTCCCAGTGCTCCCAGACTCCGCATGAGGCAACGTAAACCGAGCATTACCCTGACATTGCCCCCCATTTCTACTCATACTCGTCAATATCATACCTACCCATCTCCCTTTGCGTCGAACACCACTCCTCACTCGCCAAGCCCCTCTCCTTCCTCCTCACCAGCCCCACCGCATCCTTACACCAATCGCACGCAAAATCACACGGTGTCTCGCCCTCATCAGCAAAGTATCTCGCAATCAGCCGATGCCGACACTTATCCGTAGCCTCACAGAACCCTACCAGCGCCTGCAGACTCTTCGCACGGTTCATCAACTGCTGCTGCTGCGCCGCCACACCCGTGCCCTTCTGCGGCTGCCGCGCCTGGTCCCTCGCCATCATTGACGCCGCGCGATCACGGTCCTCGCGTCCGTAATACAGGATGCAGACGGAAGCTTTCCCATCGCGCCCGGCGCGCCCGGCTTCTTGGTAGAAGCCCTCGAAGGATTTTGGGATCTGCCAGTGCACTACGAAACGTACGTTTTCCTTGTCAATGCCCATGCCGAAAGCTGTAGTTGCGACGATGACGTCGTAGCCTTCCTTGTTCGCGACCCAGCCTGCGAGAGCATCGGCGCGTTCGGTGTGTGGCAGCCCGGCGTGGTAGGGTTTGGCGCCTATACCGTCGGCGCGGAGACGGGCGGCTAACGATTCGCAGTCTTTGCGAAAAAGCGTGTAGATGATGCCTGAGACGTTATCGGCGCGCTGGTTTTGGTCTGCTAGTTGGGAGGCTCGTTCGGGATTTGAAGCGCGCCGCGCATGGGCAGCTTTTAGCCAGGAGAGGAAGTCGGGGTAGTGATCTTCTTCATCGCATTTGAAACGGACCTCATAGTGTAAGTTCGGTCGACTAGTGGTCATTCGGAACATCTTCAACTTTGAGGAGTCTAAGCCTAGCATGTTGATGATATCGTCTCGGACACGTGCTGTGGCCGTAGCTGTGAGGCAGATGATGGGAACATCCGGGAATTCTGTCTTGAAGAATGACAGTTGCTGGAACGAAGGTCTGAAGTCATGGCCCCATTCGCTGACGCAATGGGCTTCATCGACAGCTATGCGTGCAAGCTCACGCTGGGAGTGGATGACGCGGAGGAGTTTTCGGAAGGAGTCCAGTTGACAGTACTCCGGGGTAACATAGAGAAGTCGAGTCATAGGATGGCCGCATTGGAGGTCCTCAATTATCCTCTTTTTGTTACTAGGCGTGGTGGTGCTGTTGATTGTTTCTACCCGGATATTCGCCTTTCGCATGGAAGCAACTTGGTTGTTCTACAGATAAAGTCAGATTGGACTCTGGACAGTTTGGAATTGTCATACCATTAGGGCCAGAAGCGGTGATATCACGATGGTGACTTGGAAGATCAGCGTCCGCAGAATAGTTTTAAATCGGAGAACGTACTACCAAAATCGACGATAGCTGGTAGTTGGAAACACAAGCTCTTCCCAAACGATGTCGCAGCCTGCAGAAAGACATCCTCGCCGTCGAGCGTTGCGGTAATGACTTCGCGTTGGACTGGTCTATGCAGGTATTGGAATTTGAAGCGTGCATGGGGAGTACTGAGAAGACAGACCTGAAGCAACGCTTTCCAAAGACACGTCGAAGCGTGAAGTCGATATCATAGTGGGGTCGCTTCCTTTTGCCTGGCATACTGCTCTCTTGGTGTGCCTTGTTCATTCGCCTAATTCTCCGATGCTGTCGCGGAGCACTTCAAGCCGAACTGGCGACTTCAAGGTCACCACTTCGACGGGACAACAGCTGTCGAATGCTGCCAGCGAAAGAGGTGCATTGTGTGTCCTTGATGGTGGATTACGTGCAAAGGTTGGAGATGCAGGAGCGACGCGTTGTTGTGAGGAAAGCTCGGAGCACGCTCTCACGTGAGTGGCTTTCACCAATCAAGCGCCGCATCTTTCGCAGGAAGCCCTTTCTTTCTCGTCCCGAGGTCCTTCATCTCCAATCAGCCTCTTCTAATCTCAGGGTGATAGTTCAAATAATCTTCATCTTTCTCAAAGCACTCAGCTCCTCGTACTTGCACTACTGTCCTCTTTCTTGCTACTTTCCTGGTTTTCATCAGCTTTCGCGGTCAACGAAGCCAGCGAGTTGATGCTCGCCCCCTTCTTTCCTAGCGACAGGATGGTCACGATATCATCTACTGGCGCCGTCTTTGGGAACGCTCAACTCAAGGAGCTCGCTACGTTCTCGCCCAAAGAGCGCGAAACGATCCTGAAGAGGGTGATCAGGATTGAAAAGAAAAGCTTTCCAACAAGCGAAGCATTCGACTTCACCTCCGAGCTGAGGAAGAAGCACACTAATATGATCATAGCTGTCAAAGATGGAGATGCGTCAGAGCTAATCGGATACCTTGTTTACCTTCGGGTGAAGAGGCTGACCGTCCTCCACAAGATTTGCGTTGTTGAACAAGAGAGGGAGAAAGGCGTCGGCAAATGTCTCATACATTCCCTTCGCCTTTTGGTGGAAAAGGGTGGCTGTGACTGCATTCACTTGTGGGTCGATGAAGCTCGCAAACCTGCCAGAGCTTTGTACGATTCCTGCGGCTTCCAGCAAATCGACAGATGTCCCGACTACTACGGACCCGGGCGAACAGGGTTGAAAATGCAACTACCGATCGAGAAATGAGCGATCAGACCGCGTACCTACGTATAGTCAGGCTGGTCTCAGGCATGCTGAAGGGTACGCAGGGCAAGTCACTGAGGTCGGCATCCCTTGCTCGCGCCACCACTCCACTTCGCGGCCCGCCTTCTACATTCCTTTGCCTTTTCAGTAAAATGCAAGGCTCCCCACCCTGACGCGAAAACGCGTTTGAGCGCGTCTGAGAATTCGTAATCCAAGAAAAAGATGGCTGTATGCAACGAAAGGTCTTCAGCCTGTCCGCTCAGTCCTCCACTCCGTCCGCTATCGCGGCAAAGGAATCCTTTCGAAGTATCGCCATGGCACCTTCGCGGTAAGTCACATACTAAGCGCTTTGAAAGGCTTTGCTGATCTCGGTAACAGAGCAATTGTGATGCTGGTGGCCACAATAGCCCTCTTCGTCTCAGTGGCTATAGCGTCTCCCCAGGTCAACTTTCCCCTGAACCTACAATATCCACCTGTCGCACGAGTCGGTGAGATGTATAACTTCCAGTTTGCATCTACAACCTTCGGACCCAATCCGGAGAAGCTTCAGTATTCGTTGATCAAGAATCCGTCATGGTTATCCATCAACGGCGACAAACGAACACTTTGGGGTACTCCAGGAGCAGGCGATGTCGGAACCATTGCTTTCACGATTGCGGCAGCTGCAGAGGCTGGAGCTGTAGCCAACATGGAGTCCAAATTGCTGGTTACAGAGGGTGACGGCCCCAGAGTGAAGGGAAACATTTCCGAACAACTATCAAAGGCTGGGCAGCTTTCGGGACCGCGAAGCGTAACACTCCCGCCTTCGAAACTGTTTGAGGTCAAGTTCGCCCAAGACACCTTTCAGACCACTGGGAAGAGCCTGTCTTATCATGCGAGTCTTGAGGACCATACACCGCTACCAGCATGGATCAGCTTCGATGCGCAATCCCTACGTTTCGCTGGAACGACACCCCTTTCGACAGCGCCACAGTCATTTGATATTCTCCTCATTGCTTCTGATACGGCGGAGTATGCCGCAGCAACCACTTCTTTTTCGCTTTTTGTTAGCAACCATCAATTTCTCTTCAGACCCCTCACGCAAACGCTGAACTTGTCGAAGGGAGAACATGTCAAGATTTCCGACGTGAAGAGCAAGCTCTTTCTTGACGATGCACCTATCAGGGATGGTGATATTCAATCCGCCGGCGCAGACCTTCCATCGTGGTTATTTTTCGACAACCACTCCTTCGACATTACTGGAGATCCCCCATCTGGCCTGATGTCTCAGGATCTCGGCATCATCGTGCAAGACAAATTTGGAGATACAGCGAAGCACTCTATTCATCTGAGCTTCATGTCTCAATTCTTCACCTCAGAGATCGGCCAATTGAATATCACCGCCGGGGAGCGGTTCGAGTACAACATACCAAGGAACATCCTCACTAAGGATAACGATAACGTTTCCGTTTCCGTTGGACTCGGCGATCTTGGTCAATGGCTCAGCTTTAATTCTAACACGTTCTCCATCTCCGGGACAGTCCCTAAGGACTTCTCACCGCGGATGGTGGAAGGGTCGATGACGGCAAGAACTAGCGATGGCGCTTCGAAAGACACCCAAACCTTCCAGCTTCTGGTCTCCGGGGCTGGAACACACGTCTACCCTGGGGCTACCGCGACGGGCTCCGGTCCAAGCCAGCCAACTGAGAGCGGTAGTTCCTCAATACCCACTGACAACTCGAAGCGCAACAAGGCTGGTATCATAGCGGGCTCTGTACTCTCAGCCGTGGTTGCCGCAACCATACTATTTGCATTCATTTTCTTCCTATGCTGCCGAAAGAAGCAGGAAAAGGGCTATATAAGTCCGCGGAGCCCCAGGAGCCCGAGAAAGACCGATATCTCCCGACCCATACCCATCGTAGATGAATGGAGAGACTTGAGTGGAGACCACGACGTTGACCTGGAGAAGGGGAAAGGGGATGATGGCTTGGAGCGGGCACCGGAGCATCCCCCTCGGATTCATCTCGATCTATCGACCAAACGGGAAGACAGTCACTCACCGGCCAGCTCAATCGGCGAACCAGAGACGAAGATCCTCACTGCGTTTGACAGGTCATCCTGGGGTTTCCAAGACGGAGCTGGCCCGTCACATCATCCACATGATTCCATGAAGATCCCAACAGAAATGGCGCGGAAAGAGTCGGAGCAATCCAGCTCCCCGCTGATGCACAAACGATGCTCGACAAAAGTGTATCGGGATACTCCTCGGCGCAGCTCAGGTTTACCACTCAACCGGCGCCTGAGAGGGCTCGGACACGGACGTCATACCTACTCTCCCTCTCGAAGTAGCAACAACTTTGCAGTTTTCCGCAGGCCGCTGAGCTACACTTCAGGCACCACCAATTCTGTCAGTTTTGTCTCAACAACACCCTCAGCCTTCCCTCAGCCGCCTACTGCGAGACATACCACGCAATTGACAACGCCAATAGAGAAACGTCGTAGTATACGCCTCGTCCCTAAGTCGACATGCGATAGCTTGCTTGATCGGCGGACAATTGATGAGAAGCGCAATAGCTACATTCGCAAACGAGCCTCAACTCAATCTCCTTTCTTCAGCGCAGGCTCATCTCGCATGTCGTCATCAAGCTACAAGTTCCCACCCGCATTCATCGGCGAAGCTACTCCGAGCCCGAAGGCTGTTCTGAGGCCGCTATCGAGCAATATTGTGAAGCCCAGCGATAACGTCGTCGAAGGGGGGACTACAGAAAGAAAAATACCTGAGAGCCTGCGCATTCGATTGCCTGCCGAGACTCCTTCGTCATCAACCGACACGCTCAAATACCCTGGGAGTCTTCGAAAATCGCGGCCCGAGAGGTCCTTCATGCTCAACAATACGGAATCTGTGACAGCGGCCAATCGTGATTGTGTTCAGGAGCAATATGAATGCCCAGGCACCGCCCTCTACTCTCGTACAGGCATTGGTCGACGAGCATGTGTGCGTCAAAGCCTTCGTGCCCAGGAGCTTAAATCCAGTCTCAACGAACTGACCGGAAGCATGATCTTCGAGGACGCCGAGATGAGCGAGAGTGTCTATTCCGACGAGGAGGAGGACATCGAGGAGTATGAGAAGAGGACCACCATCACACCCAGCCAGTACATGCTCCCTCCGCTAAACCTCAATGTAGGAGACCGCAAGAGGAGCAGTAAGCGCGACAGTAAGAGGTATAGCAAACGTGAGAGCAGGAGAGAGCTGAAGCGCACAAGCCAGCGAGATCCTACTCCATATTCCTTAGTTCTCGAGCATGGTGGGAAGGAAAATCACTCCTCTACTTACAGCTTAGCCAACGCAACCTCCACCGCCACTGCAAGAGCTAAAGGCAAAGCCAAATCGACTTCTTCTCCCGAACGGCCCAAGTCATCCGCCGGACTTCGTCATATTCATGCAGCCCAACATACTCGTGCAGAATCCCGCACCACGGTCCGCCCCAGCGCCCACCGCGACTGTCAAGACAGTCCCCTCTCCCGCCGCGCGTCGACAAAGGAGCGCCATTCCCGTAAATCTATCCACTCCCGCCAGCAATCCCGCCAATCTGCTACTGTCAAACAGCCTCGCGATCGCTCTCGCACGCAGTCCTCCGCATTCCCCTACTTTGATGCCTCCTCCGTCCTCGTCGACCCCAGTAAAGCCGGCAAAGAAAACGCCACCAATAGTACCACATTGCCTCAGAAAGACACTCACGCCTCCCTCCTCTCCCGCGACCCCTCCGACAACGTCCTCAACTACGTTCTCCACGAAGACCCCAAAATCGAAGAGCTAAACCGCAACAGCTTCGCCCTACGCACCAACGCAACCAGGCCTCTCAGCTCCACAGCCCGGCGCTCCAAACTCGCACAACTACACACTTCTCCTTTCTACCACACTAAGCGTGATACCGCGATCCCATCGCCCTCTACACCTATGAACACACAGAACGTAGGGCTGGGGTTGACACTGCTAGGCGGAAGTCTGGGAAGGGCGGAAGAGACACCAGGACCTGAGAGTGGACGGAGAGGAAGGGAGCGCACGCCGCTGAGTGTGCTGGATGATGGGAATGGAGGGAGTCCTGAGAGGCTGAGAGTCGTGGAGGGCAAGGGTAGACGGCCAGTGAGTGTGGAGGTGGATGAGGGGGCTGGTGGACAGGGGAGTGGTAGGAGCAGGAAGACGTGGGGCAGCCTGAGAGGTGTGTTAGGGAGGTCAGGGGCGAGCATTTGGGGCGGGAGGGAGACGAAGGCTTTTCTTTAGAATGAACACTAAGGCGTTTGATATCCTGATGCCACTTTTATGTTGATTAGTTACTACATTCGCATTTCGCGCGGAGCAAAGAGCCTTCTTTATTTAGCTTTGCATTACCGAGTCTCAATCGAGGTTGATATGTGCACCCCTTCTAATGCGCCGACCGATATGCAAAGCTTCCTGATGATCCCATTCGCCCGTTCTCAATAGCCTACCACCGGGTGGGCAGGATCACCGAGAGTCTACACCTATAAGCCCTCATCATTCTAACGTCATGTCTACAACTGGATATCGTTGTTCAGCAACCGCACTTCCTCGCCGGGTTTGAATGCCGGTAGGCCAATATAGGGACACCCATCGCACCTGAACGCATCGCCCAAGGCGCAGTTCCCACAACTGCCAACCTTGCCTTGCACTGTGAAGTCAACTTCGGTCAAGTCATCTGCCCCGAGCTTCATTGTATTCAAGGCTTTGTCGGCGCTGGCGCGCTTCGCAGCGTCTTCGGCTTCGATTTTCTCTTTGAGACCGCAAGTGCAGTCTTTGCAGGCGCGGCGTCGCTTTCCGGCTTTAGGGCGGCATTCGGGCGCTGGAAATATTAGCTTGAATAGGAAAGTATGTGCAGCGGGCCGACTTACGCTGGATGATTGGGCGCGCCATATCCTCTTCTGTGATCAAATCGTCTTCATCGATGAGCTCGTCATCCTCGCCGGTAATGATAGGGTCGTCGAGGTCGTCGCTGAAGTCTACGAAACCGACGCCGACGGGCTTTGCGGGCTCTGGTTCTTTGCGCTTGCCGTTGACACGGAGGGGAACGGTGTCGCTGCCGTTTGCTGTGCCGTTGACTCCATTTGTAACGCCGTTCGTCTTCTTCTTTCCAAGCTTTAGCGGTATGGACACGCTTCCCACTTCCGCTGGCTTCATCATGCCGTCACCGCCCTCGACGAGCCCCGCGAGAATAGCCTCTGTCTTTTCTGTGCCTTGCGCTGAACCAAAGACACCATCCTGACTCTTGAGCAGCCCGCCAGCCTTCAGTGCCCTAACGACTTTGGTCATTACCTCTCGCCCTAGCAATTTGTGACTTTCACGCGTTGTGCCGTCGGCGTCGGTGAGGAGAAGCACGACATCGTATGTGGAGAGTGGCAATTGAACCAGACCGGCCGCAATGCGGTCCAGCATCTGGAGGTCGGCCGAGGAGCGGTCGTGGATCTCGTAGACTTTGTCCAGCACCTCAGGATGCGCGGATATGGACGGGGGAGCGAGAAGAAGCGTGCGCGGGGCCATGGTGGGAGAGCTGCGGCTTTGGAAGCAGAGGGGCAAATCCCTGGCTGTGGGAGGCGTGGTGAAGCACTTCAGGAGAGGGAAGAGTGTGTTTATGGGTGGGCTAAGGAGCGGATCGCGTCGAGAACTTTTCTAAGCAGCCCTCGGAGAAAGACGGTCACTGGCGGTTGTGGTGGGCTGATTGGTTTGCTGCGTAATCACGCGGGGCGACTTCGGATGGCGGCTGAGTGGGATGGGCTTGGCCGCTGCGACCGACGCTTCTTTCCGTTTTGGCCGGACCCACCTCGCACACGTTAGCGTTGACGAGAGTCTGGGGTAAAACGCCGCAACAAGCCCCGAATACCAGCCGTGCAGCTCGTCGTCAGCTTCACTGCGGACCGTCGGAAGGCATAGCAAAGGCTGGGAGGGTTGGGCCGCTACCAATTCATGTATATAGAGTCCTGGAGGGCTGCGGTACATTGCTCACACGACGCTCACGTCGCCCAATGACGTAGCGTGTCCTGTAGAAGCTTCAGGGGCCGGCGATCGCGTTCGCAACAGCCTCAATAGTCATCGCGGCAACCGGAACCATGTTTGGAGTGCCTAGGTGGCCAGGGCGCCCTGTGCGAAGCTTCCAGATAGCCTATACAGATCCAATTGGGACATAAGGGGGACCGGCCTCAGCTCATCAGATCGCGACCCCGCTCTGAAACTCACTCGTGTGCCATCCGCTTTGCCCGACCTCCGCCTGCCCACCATCAAGATACTTCAACCGGATAGCTGGCTACAGCAAACAATTCCTGCAATACCTCGAATTGGAGCATTCTGCAAGGTACGGCCGTCACACCCCCGCGATCTCCTGAGGAGTGGCTCGACTCGGCAACGACGCCATGGATTGGCCAAAGCTTCCGTCACGAGACCTCATGTACTGACCTGCTGCCAGAGCTCTCCCTGCAACGAACCCTACTTCTACTCTCGACATCCCCTCATCGACCTCCCATCTCCCAACAACTCACATCAATCAACGCAATCAAATCAGTAAGTCTCGCTTTGTCCTCCTGCCGATATGGTGCTCGTCCCTGGTCTACCTGGCATTCACCACGCATCCGTAGTGCCTCAGTATGACACCCGAAGCTCAATGTCTCGAGGAGTCATACCTGGCGTGCACCTCATTCTCGAGCTTCACGTACTGACCGCCGAGCAGTGACTCGCTCCCACAAGTACACTGACCGCGACCACGCTGGTCTCGCCGACGGGACCGCTCACCCTGACGAGCATCTTCCCCGCTACTTCGCCAAGTCTGGCCACGTCGATATGGACCCCAACAAAACCAAGAAGAGCGGCGCGGGCAAGGGCAATTGGTGAGTTCTGTCGACCCTTCTCTTTCCCTCCATCAATCACTACCGCCTCCTCGGATTCTGGACCGGAACGTTGTTCGGAGCACCCCGCTTTACGTCAACTTACTGCTTCTGATATAGACTCACGTCACTAACTGCGTTGAATGTTAATAGGGGCCGCGAGGGTGACGAGGTCGAAGATTACGGTTACAACATGAACAATCCGCGTCGCCGAAGCAATTCGAGCACACACGCTGCCAAGGACTTCAAGACCAAGTTCGAGACCATCGAAACCGAGCCCGTCTTCGAAGAGGAAGTACACGGGGCTATGGGCGCTGAGCTCGACAAGGAGAGCACCGCCTCTAGCTCCAAGAGCGTCGAGGAAGAGGACGCCAGCAAGAAGGTGTAAATCCCCAGGCCCCGCCCCGAAAGGGGAAGCCTGGGGGTTGGGGTGCAGGTGGCACACATCATTGATGGCACAGATGTCTCCAGCTGTGCGTGGGCTGGAAAGCTCGCTCATTGTCACTTGGTGATCATCTCTTGCCGCATATGATTGATCAGATGGAGGACTGCTTTGATTTCCGGGCGAACAGTTACAACATCATGTACTATGTGTTCCTTGGGAATCTACTTTTCTATGACTATGGCCGCTGGTGGAACAGCAGCCATGGGACCGGATCGGGGTCGGCGTCTTCTTCATCTGTCTTTCTTTCGCTGGGAATCTTGCTTTGGACGCTGTCTTATGAGTATCATGCCGAATGATCGACCGCAACAAAAACAAAGAAATGGATAATGTTTATCCAATCATGCATGGGTGCTTTGAAGTGGTTTCTGTCATGATGCCATGGGGTCATTGCAAGTACTGCTGGCAGCAGACCAGTCAGAGGAAAACGTGTGAACTCATAGAGCGTGAACCGCGAATAGCATGCCAACACCGTCTCTATCTGCTGAAGGCCTCCAGGACCGGGTTTTTGCAGTCTTCACGGTTGAAGAAAAGTGAGACATGCGAGCACACGCATGGTGACCTACGCACTCTGTCACTGCAGTCCTACCGGCGCAAGAATTGCGGGCTCGTATGTGCGCTGGGAGTGGGACACGGGGTGAAGGCCCTATCGGCTGACAGAGCTACCAAGACCCAAGACCCAAGACCTGAAGCAGCCGTTGCACGCCCCGGTGAAGCGCTTCGGAATCCTGGATGTCACAGTGAAGTGAAAGCGTGCCTGGCGCCTTCCCTTTAACTCCGTGCCAAGACCGCGATCCCTGCCCAAGCTTTGGCTTTGGTAGCGACCGACAACCAAAAACATACAGCACGCACTCCAGCTCCGCCAACTACTCGACACCAGCGAGGAGCCAAACACCAGTCGCGGCGCGCTCCATCGCGCATCTCAAATCCTCACCTACTCGCCATGTTTTCGCCGGAAGCTTCGATCCAGAGCGCGCGTAGCTCCCTGCGAAATCCCCGTCGACGCCAACGCAACTCGGAGGGACCCCAGCAGCAACAGCCTCGACGAAAGCGAAGCAAGTTGTCCGACGACACATACCATTCGCCGTCAGATTCGCAGAGCAAAGGCAATGGCAGCATGATAATGAACGGCAATGTCGACTCTGGCAGCGTGGACAGCTCGCTGGTCTTGGTGGACATTCCTGTTCGCGAGAAGAAGACCCCGGCGAAGCGCACGCTGAAAGAGGACGGGTCTTTGTATCTGGTAGGTGTAATCCGAGGATGGCATACACGATCATGTGCTGACGAGGATGCTTTTGTAGACCAGGAATGAGAATTATACCGTGAAGAAGCTCCCCGGCTTCCCGGAGGTCCTCTGCAACGGATCGAGTACGTCGCAATCTTTCGGTTCTGTTCGATTCACATCTTTGCTAACGTAGTGTGAAGCACCATGTCAAGCATCTGCTCTTTCTTCCGCCGGTCTTGCGCTCGCCTTGACGTCCGACCACGCCCTCATGTGGGATTACCACGCCGTTGCCGGTTCGAATAGAGTCCTCACGCTACCCCTTCCTCCCGCGTTGAAGGGCGCCGATCCGCTGCCTCTTGGTGCGGTCGTACGCAATGGTCCGACAAACGACTTTGGAGTCGTCGCGGTTGCACCCTCCACCGGGAAGATAGTATTTTGGGAAAATGTGGACAGCGCGGAAGCCCGGAGTCACTTCCCGCAGCGCAACCAGGGTGTCGAAGGTTCAGTCAAGCTGTATTCGGGAGAGCATATAACCGGCCTCGTCGATATTGACCACGCTGGCTACATCCTCATCTTCAGTAGCGGCAGGTTGGCACAGCTGACACTGAGGGACTCGCAAGGTCGACCAAGCATTACTACAAACATCCTCAGCGCACCGAATACCTCCGGTGGGAGCTTCTTCAGCTTCAAAGGACTTCTCGGCGGCGCTATTCGCAAGACGGTCGCTTCTGTCAAAGCCCGTCCCTCAGAGTCCAAAGGTCAGATGGAGCTCATCACGGCAACGAAGGACGGACAGTTTCAGATGTGGGACATCAGCTGGTCAGGACAGCAGATATACAAGCGCGAGATCAACGCGCATACGGACATACTCTCTGCTGTTCAGCAGGGAACGGCACCGGAGACCCGTTCACAGCACGATGCCCATATACTAGATTTTGCGATCATGGACCGGCAACATGAACATCGAGGTGCTAGCCTTCTGGTTCTCGTGGCACTTACAGGGCGAAACATGCTGGATCATTTCCTTCTGGAACTGGATTTGACGGATAGCACCTCTACGGTTTCTAGGGCCATCCCGCTCCGGAATTTTCACCAAACGGAACTCCCGAAAGAGCCTACCGGTACTTTCCTGCTCCCGAGACCTGGACATACGGCATTTGTGCTGCTGCCTGGTGTAATTGTTGTCGCCTCTCTCGCCGAGCCAGAGGAAAGCCCGGAAGCACAGCTCTTCTCTGACTCGGGAAGGTCAATACTGCCATTCCAGGATGCCATTTACTTCAGAGAAGACGCTCTTGTGCGAGTTGTCGGACAGGTCCTGGATCAAACCAACCGGAAGGACCAAGTGTCGAGCGCGTTTCTATTCGTGCAGGACTACGGCGTTCTCCAAATCACTGCTGCGCCGCCTCCGAGTACTGAGGAAGAAGGCACGCGACGCAAGGTCACAGCTTTCAGCAAGCTGCTGCAAGCTACTTTCTTCAGCACTATACCTGGCAACGTCTTGGATTTCTCCACCAAGTCCAGGTACTCTTTCGGGCAGGCAGACGTGGAAAAGGCAGCCATCAGTATCAGCACCCACATCATGTCCTCATCATTTGAGCATTTCGAGAACTTCACTACATCCATGGACGAGCAGCTTCGCAGGCGAGCTTTCGCTCTTCGGACCTTGAATGCGCACCTACGATCACAATACCCATCGTTGTCGTTTGCAGGGAGGTGGCAACTGCTGTGGCATGCCGAAAAGCTCGCCGCAGCACAGCAACTGTGGAAGTGGTATCAAGACAAACTCCAGGACCAGAAGGCTCATCCCGACGCTTACCCCGAGAAGGTCCTTATGGGAGACATCGTCAAAGCACTGAGCGAAAAGTACAAGACCAAGCCGGACCCGGAAAAAGGCGAGACGGACCCCGTGCGACACTTTTTCGTGAAAGATCTTGATTCGCTCGACGTCTTGATACCCTGGGGATGGAATTATCTGCGGCTATTCTACATCAACACCGAAACCAAGGAACGAGCATCGATAATGCAGCGGCTGAGCGAAGCCAACGACGTCATGCTCGTCACTCTCGAGACGGCCTTCAGCTTCCGACAAACAAACATCGATCGCTATGGTCTTGAGGCGGACTCGCTCCAAGACGGCATCCTAAAAGCAGGGCACGGCTATGACATGCTACCACACTTTTGGACTTCGTCGCACAACATCGTCGCCTCAATTCGTAGTCTTGTTGACGTAGGTCGCCATCTAGCCGAGGAGAGCTTCGAGCAAGGCGTTCAAGAGGACCTCGCTCAGAAGATCGGCAAGGACAACCCTCGCCTTGTTAGGATGGGCTGCCAGACTCATATCGAGCGATTTCAATGGGCTCTCGAGCAAACCGACGAGAAGAGGAGGGAGATGGGTAAGACGATGCGCGATGAATGGAACAAGAAGGTTCGCCCGGGGCACATCTACGGGCTCATGGACATCGGCTTAGCCACCGATGGAATGAATCTTGCCGAGCAGTATCGAGATATGCCTACCCTTGTCAACCTAATTTGGGAAGAGTCGCACTATCTGCAAACCAATAAAGCGAGCAGCCAAAGCAAGATGGAGCAGGCCGAGATCACCGTCAAGCTCAACAGGATCAACGAGCGCATAGGCCGCTACTTCGAGAAATACGGCGAGGAATGGGCGGAGGCGTACTACATGAAGCACATCACCGAGGGCCAATCACAACATCTCTTTTTGAAGGAGACCATAAACCAGGAGGCACTGACAAAATTTCTCCGCGCTGACCCGTCCCGAGCCAGACTTCGCTGGATCAACGAAGTCTGCGGACAAAAGAACTATGACGCCGCCGCAGGCGCTCTGTATACGGCGGCCAGCAAGCAGGAGACCAACGCGTGGTGTAACAAAGTCGAGCTGTCCATTGCAAAATTAGCTCTCCTGTGCAAGAAAGAAGCGAGACCGGATGCGCCCCAACAAGCCCAGCGGCCAAGGGAACGGCCCAAAGACGAGAAGAGCAGGGAATTTGCATTCAAGAATGTCACGCAGCAACTGGAATATGCCAAAATCCAGGAGCGTGTCTACGAGCGCTTGCGTCCTACGATTACCGGCGCATTGGACGACGAGTCTGCGGTGCAATTGCTCATGGCTGAATTCGGACAGGGTCGCCTAGCTGAGCGCCCGGCCTTACAGTCACTCCTCAAACAGGGTTTTGATGACCTGATCCACCACCGGGTTATGGAGCCAGCCCTTCTGATCGACGTCTTGACTCTCATGACACAGGATGAGATGGTTGATGCTACGGACATAGTTCAGACTAACGAGTTTGCTTTCGCTCTGAGGATTATGTTCCTCTGCTGGGACAACTTTCATAGAACGTCTCGCCAGGGTTTGCTGGGCCTCATCTGGAAGCGTCTGTGCATTAGAGACAATTGGGCAGAGATCAACGACACGAAGGACATGTCGGACGAATCGCTGAATGACTTCTTGTCTCATACCTACGCGGGCTGGACTTTCAAGGCTCTGATGAAGATGATCGGTAAGTTGGTCCTTTGTATGAGAACTGGTGGTCAAGCCCTTTATCTGACTGTTTGCGTAGATGAGGATCCCTCTCACCGAAAGGTGTGGCCTCTGAAGTTTGAGCAAATGTACGGGGCCGGATGCACAGACGGGGAGCTGTGTATCCGCTTTCCCTCTGAAGATCTTCGAAAGCCCATCATGCGCGACAACACCCTTGACGAGGCTATCCTCAAGGAATACGTCGAAAAGCATAGGCTTGATGATTGGTTCCAGGCCGCTTGCAGGGCGGGCAAGCGGGCCTATGAGGCATCCAAACACGAAGGCCAGCCGCAGCCGGTCATGGTGGTGGTCGAGTCGGATGATTCAGCCAGCCTGCCAGGAAACGAGCCTCCTTCCGCAGAGGCAGAGCCACCGGCGTCGGAGACATTCGAGGGCGACGACGAGGCAGACCAGGACGTGGAAATGCAGGATTCGTGATTGAAAGGCGATGCGGCCACTGAGATGGCAGAAGCGGCGATGGGGGCTTTAATAGGGCAGGGAAGCCTGGCATCGGAAACAAGCATTGGGCATGGCGTTTTAACAAAACAACACAGAGACCAGTCAACGTCTCTTCTTTCGGGCTCTTTTGTACATTGAACGTTTCTAGCGATAGGGAATCCGGCACTCAATCAGGCCATCGTAGGCAAGCCCCTGGGGATCTTCATTCTCCTATCTATGTGTAAGGACGGAATTGGCGGCGTGTCGGGCGCGACCACGATGATCATTCATCTTTTTTCCGGGCGGAAAGCGGAAAGCTTGGGCCTCGATGTGGCGCAAGCGAGAGGTGGTGATAGGCGGTGTAATGAGATTCGCTGGCTAGAAAACGGCACCGTTGATTATCCGAAGAAGCTTGAAATTGGTGACATTGACGGGAGGTTCCGCAGGTCACGACAGAAAGCGTTGGGGTTGCAACGTTGCACCAACCTTTAGTGAGTGCGTGATGCCGTGTGTTTTGCATAATGGGCGGCTGGGAAGGAGAGACGGCGGAGCGGCGGGCGGTCCGCCTTCGGACACGTAGAGTGTGCGGAGAGTGAAATCCAAATCACGTGCGGAGCCGCCCCCCTTCCCCCCGGCCGACTCATCGGTGGCTGAAGCGACGAGTAGTGCTGTTCATGCGAAGGGAGCCAAAAGAGCACCTTCCCCATTTTGCCTTTCCGGACGTCGTGTTTGCTGGAGCCCTGGGTGCGACGGCTGTCAAGGCGACAGCGCAGCAGCTGGTCCCGCTCCTCTTGCCGTTGCGGGCGACGGGCAGCGCTGCCGCGCGACAGTCGCATTCGCCCATATGGTCTAGACGTGCAGTGCAGACATCGCGTCTTTTAATAAGACGGCGCGCCGTACAAGTGCCTCCCTGCAGTGAATGCCAATGCCTGTCGGCCGGACGTGCGCCCTCTAGCGCCTTGACCCATCCCAGCCGCCCCTTCTTGCCCAGAGGAACTCTGCACACCGACCCATCTCCACCACCGCACCCGCACCCTCATTCTCACCTCCCGCCGCCCATTCTTCAACGCTCGCAGCCCCCTGCCCCCGGCTTCTTGCACGCTGCAGCGCCATTCTTCGCTCGCCCTCGGACGCGGACACCGCACCTCGCTTCGGACTGGCCTGTCCGCATAGCCCCCAAGCGACCTCCGGAGACGGCTGCGGCCTCCTCCACGACTCCTCCAGTCCTGCCCTCGAGCTCTGCCGTCTCCCAGCAGCATTGAAGACACGCCACCATGGCCACCGGCAGCACATCGTCGAACGTCGTCGGCGTTCATTATCGCGTCGGCAAGAAGATTGGCGAGGGCTCGTTCGGCGTCATCTTCGAGGGCACAAACCTGCTCAACCAGCAGCAGGTCGCCATCAAGTTCGAGCCGCGCAAGAGCGACGCTCCGCAATTGCGCGATGAATATCGCACGTACAAGATCCTCGTGGGCTGCCGTGAGTACACTTCCCTTTCGTCTTCCCATGGGACCCGCTGGGTTGCTCTGCCCCAGCAGAAGGCCGTCGCCGCCGCTATGAGCCATGTCTTGGTACTTCTCGTTTGCGGAGTGATTGGCGCAAGAGAAGAGACCGTAGCGAAGCCTTTCGTACGTCTCGCGCTTTAGGGCAGTGGCACCTGTCACGTCCCGCATTACGAAGACCCTGCATCAGTCTACCATCCTCGACACCCACCCCCAACCCACATGTCTTGAAAGTCCTACAAGCATCCGACCATCTTGCTGACCTTACTGCAGCCGGGATTCCTAATGTTTATTACTTTGGCCAGGAGGGTCTCCACAACATCCTCGTTATCGACCTGCTAGGCCCCAGCTTGGAGGACTTGTTTGACCACTGCAACCGGAAGTTTTCCATCAAAACTGTGGTGATGGTTGCAAAGCAGATGGTATTTGACCGCATTCACTCTCCTCCTGCTGTTCATTAACCTGTCGCAGCTTTCACGGGTTCAGACGATCCACGAGAAGAACCTGATCTACCGAGACATCAAGCCGGATAACTTCCTGATTGGCCGCCCTGGCTCTAAGAGCGCCAATGTGATTCACGTCGTTGATTTTGGCATGGCGAAGCAGTACCGTGATCCCAAGACGAAGCAGCACATCCCATACAGGGAACGCAAGTCGCTGTCCGGAACCGCTAGATATATGAGTATCAACACGCATCTGGGGCGCGAGCAGTCACGACGAGATGACTTGGAAGCTCTTGGCCATGTCTTCATGTACTTCCTGCGAGGCGGGCTCCCGTGGCAGGGTCTCAAGGCCGCCACTAATAAGCAGAAGTACGAGAAGATCGGGGAGAAGAAGCAGACCACTCCGATTAAGGATCTGTGCGATGGATTCCCTGGTGCGTTCTATTATTCCCCCATTCTCAAACAGTCGCTTACGCCCTGCAGAGGAGTTCAACAAGTACCTCAGTTATGTCAGGAATCTCGGCTTTGAGGACACGCCTGACTACGACTATCTCCGCGAGCTATTCACGCAAGCGCTCAAGAGCACCGGAGAGGTCGAAGACGGAGAGTACGACTGGATGAAGCTCAACAACGGAAAGGGCTGGGAAGTGTTGAAGGCTCACCCATCCGCCGTTCAGCAGCTGCACCACAGCAACGTCAACCCCAACTCGTCGACCGCGGTTAATGTCAACGGTCTACCACACCAGAGACAACAGAAGACACACCTCCCCATTGACCACCACCGTTTAAACGCGGATCTCCCAAAGCCAGGAGCGACACGGGGCCCGCCCGGAAGAAGCCCAAGAGACATGCAGCAAGGGAAATACGGGCATCCGGATGCAGTCAAGAGGAAGAGCATGGGCGAACTAGCACCGCCAGAGGGATCCACGCAAGCACAGTTCCAGCACAGCCAGCCGAACCTGACCTCGAACCGCGCAACGCCAGTGCAGAGTCCGAACGTCCAGCAGCAGAGGCGGCAGGAGCCTGAAAGACCCAGCTTCGGCAAGAAGGTCATGAACATCCTTTGTTGTGGCGCGGGCAGCTCCTGATCCCACGTCAGCTGTCCGATACTTTCCGTTGCATTCTGGAGTCCGTTCTTCAGCACAGTTCAATACACTCTCAGCCGCATCTTCTTTTCCTGTATAGGTATTTTGTAATGATTGATAGACGGGATCGAAAATCTCCTTTTCCAGGTAGGTTAGGTAATGGACGACTACGACCACCTCCCACCAGCCAGGATTTCTTCTCTTCTTTCCATATCTCATTCCTGTTGCGAGTTGTTTGCTAGCGGCTGGCACTGGAGTGGGGGTTTTTAAGCTGGAGTACCGGCGTCGCGGCGATTTTTGGGTTCGAGTTCAGCTTTTCTTCTCGATCCTGCTACTGGGGAAAAAATACATATACAGCATGCGAAGGAGTCTCTTGCGGCGTCTCTCTACATGTCGAAGAGGTTCTGGTTGAAAGGACGGGTTCGTGGTTCTCCTTGTGAGCTAGATACTGGACAAATCCAATAGAGACATGAAAATTCACGACTTGACTTAATGTAACGCAACGACCTGAGTTTCCCGTGTTAGATCGAGTTACTTGAACGACGTATTTGAGTATAGCATATGCCCCAGGCTAACCAAAGTAGCCTTCTACTGAGAGTACGATCAGCTCACTTGCCCAACTCATCGCCTTACAGTTGACATTCTCGCTCCGCAAATCTGCTCAACCAAGCTCGCTGCAGTAAATGCTGGCCACTGGGGGCAAAGTGCCGATCACGTGCGAAGTCCGAGCTTCCTCGCACTTCCGCACCATATACATCTCGAACTTCTCCACCACCCCTGCAATCTCATCAACCCACGCTCCCTATAATTTTTCGCTCGTCGCCGAATCGACTCGACAATACCCCACGATGACGTCCGGCCGCGACGTGCGCGATATACTCGGGCTGCCCGTGGGCGGCGACCCTCAGAAGACCTCGACCCAGAGAAAGCCGAAGCCCGCGGCGACCGTGAGGAGAATACGTACGTTTTGGCTATACCCCAGCGAGCATAGTGAGAGAATGGATCGATTAAGCTGATAACTTGTGTGCAGAAGGCGTTGCTCGCGAGGTTGCGGCGCTGTATGGCGAACGGCCTCCCCCAGTCGCGGTCTACGAAGAGAAGAAGACGTATCGAGCGAAGAGGCAGAGCACTGGGCCGGCAAAGAAATGGTACATAGTGAATGTGAGCCTAACTATAGAGGACGGATATTAATTCTGCCGCAATCAGGATACAGCAACCGTTCATGAACCAAGCTCGCACCGACGGACTCGTTCTCAAGCACTGGCGGCGCAAGCGCACGAACGCACCTCCTGCACAAGATGGCGAAGACACAGCAATGGAGGACGGTGAGAATACGGAACCATACATTGAGTCCTGCGGAGACTTTGCGAAATACAACATCACCGCGGACCTTCCTACCTTTACGGACGAGGAGTACGACACACATCTGCGGAGCGATGACTGGAGCAGGGAAGAGACGGACTATCTATTCGAACTGGTCCAAGCGTATTCATATCGGTGGGCTGTGATATGGGATCGCTACGACTACCAGCCTTCAACTAAATCGCATCTCGCCCAAGAAACGACGAACGGAGATACAAGCCAAGCGCTGGCGGCTCTTCCATTTGCGCTGCCGAGGCAGCGGAGTGTAGAAGATCTAAAGGCGCGCTTCTATGATATCTCGGCCAAGCTCATGAAGCTGCGGATACCGGAGATGCAGATGGACGCAGACCAATACAGCACGTATGAGACCCTAACCAAGTTCGATCCCGTGCTCGAGCGAAACCGGAAGACGCTGGCAGCAGCACTCATGAACCGCAATATGGACGAGGTCAAAGAAGAAGAGTTCCTTCTCGCCGAGCTCCAGCGCATCAACATGGCCGCTAACCGTCTTGATGCCGAGCGCGAGGAACTACGTGCACGGCTGGACGCTCCAGTGCCAAATCCACAGCTCTCAGCCGGCCTGGCCTCTTTCACATCCTCTCAAGCTCTACAGGCATTATTCTCGCAGCTATTCCAACAAGACAGGAGCAAGAAACGTGCATCCGGGGCAGGTCCCGGTCCCGGCAGGCTTAGTATTTCCGCCAGCGACCTTATCGCTACTCCTAGCTCGGCGCAAGCACAGATTTCGGCGAACAGGAGACAGAGCATGGCACAACCACCCATTCAGACACCCGTGAAGCAGCTGTCACCCCCACAAGAGTACCGGTTCAACGTGTCGACACACGAGCGGCTCACTTCTGGAGTTACGTTTGGATCCGACAAGCTTCTTAAGATGCGGCAAGCGAAGTCAAACGTCCAGACGCAGAAGATTGCTGCTGCACTAGCGGAATTAGGTATCAGCGAAGTCATCAGCATACCAACAAGTAAGGTCGGTGAGGTCTTCGAGCAGCTCGTCACCAAAGTCGGCAAGCTCCTCGACGTACGCAAAGTCCGCGAGAAGGAAGAAGGCGAATGCCGTGTCCTGCAAGCTATGAAAGAGCGACGAGCAAGTGAAGTGCAACAGGACGGTACCAACGCCGACGACGCCGCACATTCGAATACCACTCTCACCCCCGGAGCGAAACAAGTGATCCCAGATTCGCAGGAGTCGCCTGATCGGGATGAAGATGGCGAAGATGAGGATGCCGAGGGAGATGCTGATGCAGATGCGGATGCCGATGGGGAGGTGGACGTTGATGCAGAGGGCGAGGAGGACGACGAGGATGCGGAAGGCGAGGAGGAGAGCACGAGGCAGGTGAGTGAGGCTATGAGTACGAGGGGGCAGAGCGCGAGTGCGGGCCACAAGAGGAGTGCGAGTGTGCTGAGCCAAGCGAGTAACAAGAGCTCGAAGAGGGCGAGGAAATGAGGTGTGGGGTCCTTCGGGTTGAGGTTTTCTCATGCACAGCGTAGGCGTTTGGGAGGTTTATGACATGGCAAAGGAGCGGCCAGGCAACTGCCTCTAGACCTTTGCTTCTCCAGGAGATCACACATCATTCTCAAAAAAAGGCTATCCCAGTCCTCAAAAGAACGTTGTAGGAATAAGTCTATATCTTCCGCCCCTAGATCTTCGCCCTCGAAGGGAATTCGCCATCCAACCTGTTAAAAAGTGGCGCTCTTCGTCCACCCCGAAAATCATGCAACATCTCCTTACTCATCCACAGCTCTCGCGTCCTCGCGAGTCCCCTTTCCAAATCCACAAATTTGTCCGCCTGCACGAAGATCCCTGCGCCGTTCGCCTTCAATCCCTCATTGAATAACCAGCACACGGCCAAGGCAATCGATTCGGCCTTGTTGATCGGCACGCCGACGGCAGCCATCTCTTTCGCCCACGCGTCGGGCGACATGCCCGTCTCGCGGTTGCCCGAGGATATAATAGGCGTTACTGTGATAGCGGGTGCGACTACGGAGATGGAGATTTGCAGTTTGGCGCATTCTTGCTTGAGCGCGCGCATGAGGCCTACGATACCTGTTTGTTGTCAGCTCCATGTATTGGGTTTCTTCGATGTGGGGTGGGAGAAATGCTTACCGTGCTTAGCGGCGGAGTATAAGGGTGCGCCAGCAGAGGCCAAATAGCCTGCTAAGCTGGCTGTAAGGGCGATTTGTCCGCCCTCGGGGTGCTTGCGCAGATAGTGTATTGCGAGTTTCGTCGTGTCACTGGCGGCGTCCATGTCAATGTTTAGAACGCGGCGGTCCGGCTCTTTCAATCTCCCCTCCTCGTCTAAGTCGTCGGCGAAGAACTGATCTTTGTACTCTGCGATGCCTGCATTTACAAACACGCAATCGATCCGCCCGAACTTCTGGTAGGCGGCTTCGAAGCCAGCGCGTTGGTCTTTCCAGGATGTGATGTTGCAGGTGTGGACGAGGAGATGGGATGGGGAGTGGGCGAAGGAGGGTGGCGGGGCGTTTAGGTCGATGAGGGCGAGGTTGTGGGAGGGATTGAGGGAAGAGAGGAGCGTTGCGGTTGCGAGGCCGATGCCGGAGGAGCCGCCTGTTATGACGATGGTCTTTGGGGTGGATTTGAGGGTGTGGAGGGCTGAGGCGGAGGGTTGGAAGAGGGACATGTTGTACGATAGAGCTTCCGGGTGATGAAATAGGAGAAGAGCGAGTGGGAGAGGGCAGGATATTGCCGCCCTTGGATGCTCGAATTGACTTGAAGACGATATTGGAGAGACTAAAGAATATGGTGAAGCTTGAATATAGGAAATTGAAGTCCGAGGTACAGTATAAATACGCAAGCCGTTGAAGCTGGCTTTAGCCTAGGTTAGCAGCTTCGAAGCTGAGCTTCCAGCCTTTGGAATGCGGGGTCGGCTTCTACGGGTAAGCGTAGGGCTTTGTGATCAGCTGGGCATGGTGCCGTAATTGAGGTCCGAGCTGACTAGAATTGATGCTGTACGATGGCCTCATCCCAGTCTGAAGCCTGACTGCCATGGTACATATGCAATCATTTCTCAACGCAGACCGAGTACGAGGAACCGGGCTGTGACAGCTTCGAAGCATTAGAAGTTCTTCGTATAGCAAAGGCAACTGCAGCTGTTCGATGTGAAATGGCGTGACAGGGTCCTCGAGTGGTCAGAATATCCTACAGGTGTGAAGTTTGAGCTGGTCAGGCTGGAACCTGCAAAGGGAGCAAGCACGTGCGGCGCTAGCCGCTTACAGAAACGTAACCTGGCGACACGTTCGAGATATTGGAGACCGATGCACAACACCACATTCTCCGCACAACATCCAATTCCTGCGGAGCAATTCATTTGGCAGCATGTGGAGACCGTCTCTCTTCCTCGCCGCGGTGCTAGCGGTACCGTCGCAGGCGCTGCACTTCTTCATCGACGGCGCGACGCAGAAGTGCTTCTTTGAGGAGCTGCCTAAAGACACGCTGGTAGTTGGTATGCAAGACACTCTACCCTCTTTCTTTCTTTATGCTGGGAAGACTGCATAGAGTGCAGCTAACATGAGCAGGCCACTACGACGCCAAAATCTGGGACGACAACACCAAATCCTACCAAACCAAGCCCGACGTCGGCGTCTTTATAACCGTCGAGGAAACCTTCGACAACAACCACCGCGTCGTCGCCCAGCGGGGCTCCAGTAGCGGCCGCTTCACCTTCTCGGCCGCCGACTCGGGCGAGCACCGGGTCTGTGTGACGCCCCAGAACGTGCAGTCGGGCGGCGGCTGGCTGAGCGGCAGCAGCGTGCACGGCACCGTCAAGTTTACGCTGGATCTGGCGATTGGCGAGACGAGCAAAATTGAGAGCACGGATAAGGGCAAGGTAGACGAGCTGGTGCAGAAGGTGCGGGATTTGAATAGCAGGTTGCAGGATATCCGGAGGGAGCAGGTATTCCAGAGGGTGCGTCTTCACCTCGTTACTACGGCTAGGGTTGAGGACAGTGCTAATGGCTATACAGGAGCGCGAAGCCGAGTTCCGCGACCAGTCCGAGTCCACAAACGCCCGCGTCGTGCGCTGGACAATGATCCAGCTCGTCGTTCTCGCCGTCACTTGCGCATGGCAGCTGTCGCACTTGCGATCCTTTTTCATCAAGCAGAAGCTTACCTGAGCGGCGGGGTTGTTTCGAGTCATCTAGAGCGAGGCAAAACCATACCAAGGCAGGAAAAGGTCCGGCGGGTTTGGTGCAAGGGAGCCTTGTATTGTGGGGTCTGGCGTTGCAAAACGGAATCGATTAGCGTTTGCCATAGAATTGAAGCACGTTATTATCTTAGCCGTGGGTGTGGATGTGCGTTGGGATGTGAGCTGATTGCATGGAGGGAGATAGAACGGCTCACACTGGACGGCGTATGAGTTGGCCTTGCACTTTGCTCTCATACGAAGCCGCCGCTGACTTCATCCAGGTATTTGAACTTCCGTACATTGGTATCTGCAATATGCCCGCCGTCACTCGCGACGCCATGCGCACCATTCGTCTCAGATGTTGCGATGCCAGAGACAGAAGTGCGTGAGCTCCAACCTGACCTCGTCATCTTCTTCGTGCTACCATGTCTTGCCTGCTCCCTTCGTTGTCTATCTCAGTGTCGATCATGCCCTGCGGGTGCCTCGGAACGCGCGGAGGCCTCCCGCCATTCCGTGTAAAGAGTTAAGTACGCCTGAGTCGAGAGTATGCAGGCTCGTCGCGACAGGCGGCTGTGGACGTGTTTGCGGCGGGCTGGACTGCTTCGGCTCGTTTTGCGCTGGCGAAGTCAACGCAGAAGACAGCTGGTTAAGACGCCTCGGGTCATTCTAGGCGGAAGGGCTTGCCGAGCAGGGCGGTGTCGGTTCATCGTAGAAAGCTCGCCGTCTCTCTGGTCGACCTCATCTTCAGCGGTCGGTGCTGAGGGTCGACACGGCTAGTGCATGGGGACGCGGGTCACAGCCCTCAGAAGGCAGAGATATGCTGGTAGCCATACGCGTCATGAGAAGGATTTTAAGAGGCTTATAGCGCCCTCTTCAGCCTGTGTGAGCCCGGACCCGTCATCGTGTCGCAACGCGACACCTTCGCCTGAGGCTGCTGTGCTGTTGGGGCACTTGCTGGCTCTTCGAGGACAACCGCTGGCTGCAGAAGGCGGCAAGAGACAGGCTCAACACCAAGGTGATGAGCTGCGCAAGCGCACACAAAGGGATAATATTGACTATCTGCAGACAAAAGCCCATACCCAATTACCAAACGCTTAAGTTCGCGCGAAAAGCTTGCGCATTCTTGCATGACACCCCGCTTTGACCTCGATCCACACACGTAAGGCAAGACACAACAAAAAGCTTCTTCCTCAACTGGTCACCAGCGGCAACAGAGTCAATGAAAAAGAATGTTCGCGTCAGCCGGAGGTAGTGCAATACCTAAGCGCTATTAGCTAACAAGTTATGTGACGAAGAGGTGGCTTGCTTACCGGCGACACTGTGGCCTCAACTATGAGCAAGCCCAGTGAGAGGAGGCCCGGGTTCAAAAATAGGAATAATCTTGATATGTCCCCGTAGGAACGTTTCAGAGATTAAACTGAAAAGAACAGATACTACACTTGATCTAAGCCAAAAGGCAAAGAGAGCTGTTCGAGGTAGGAGGGGCGGGGGGAGGGCAGGCTTATATAGACGGGAGGAGCAGGTCCGTGCCCGCAGCGCTAGCTTAGCGAGATCACGGGACTGAGCTGCTGCCTGCGTGCAAATGGTCCGTGGTGCAGCTGCGGGCGCTGCTGGGTCGACCGGCAACTTCACCCGTCGCCCCTCACCAATTTGCGGTGTGCAGGCGAGCGGGTGGCGTGGGTTTGCGCGGGAGGGAGTATGTTTGAGACCCTTGAGATCGATATGTAGCTCAAAGGAGGGTGCTCGGAAAGATACGCCGTCAAGCCTTGCTCCTCGTCTGTATTTTCTCCTCTTGAGCCCACACCATATGATCTGAAGATGACGAAGGCTTCTAACTTGCCCCAATGGAAGGATATGCCGCCTGTAGAGGGAATGCCGTACGCAAGCCCCCATAGACATACGGTGCTTTGCTGGCCTGTTACCAGCCATGGAACTGCATGGAGATTGTTTGATAAGGACGGTGTGCGCGATGAAGTCGGAACGCTGGACCTCCTGACGCCGGAGGTGGTAGTAGAGGCCGGAAAAGAGATCAAGACGGGAAAGAGTGTTGTTCTGAAGTAAGCCCCATGGCCCGGTTGTAAGGCAATAGGAATTTGAAGAGGATCTAGCTGGGGTCTCGAACACGTTGCGGAGCCAGGATTCGGGCGCATCAAGCTCGAGCATGAGGTCATCGACTGGAGAAAGATCCAGCACTTCTACTCGTACGATGACGAGATCAAGTTGAACCCACAAGCCGGGAGCCAATGGGACGGATTGCGTCATTTCGGACATAGTGAGACTGGCCTATATTACAACAACATCCACCATGATGACTTGCTGGACACGGATCGGATTGGGATAGACCGTAAGTCGTCGGCTCATTTGCGCGTCAAAGCTGAGGTGGAGCCTAGACTGGAGCAAGCGGGGAGGCATTGTCGGACGAGGAGTACTCCTAGACTACGTCAGGTACGTCGAACGCCACAGTATCAAGTACAATGCCATGTCCAGCTACTGCATTACGGTGGCCAACATTGAAGCTATGGCAAAGGAGGAAGGCGTAGAATTCAAGCCCGGCAATCTCCTGATTGTGCGCAGCGGATGGATGAATTGGTGCAATGAGCACAGTGTGGAAGATCGTATCAAGTACATTACGAACGGAAAAGAGTACGTTGGCGTTGAAGGTAGCGAGGAGTCCGTCGAATGGCTGTGGGATCATCATTTCTCAGCCGTGGCTGGAGACGCGATTGGATGGGAGGTATGGCCTCCGCAACTTCCACGTCGGATCCACGACCATATCGCCCTCTGGGGAATGCCGATTGGGGAGCTGTGGGATTTGGAAGCGCTGGCGAAGGAGTGCGAGGCGCAGAATCGGTGGAGCTTCTTCTTCACGAGCACGCCGTTAAACCTCAAAGGTGGCGTGTCGAGTACGCCGAATGCGCTTGCAGTCTTCTAGGAATCAGAAATTGTGCTGCGAAAAAAATATGAAGAGGTTAGACGAGGGATGGTGATGGATCGGATAGAGATCGGTTGAGAAGGATGAAGGGCGTCGGAGCCTTGTTGTTCCGAGCCACCACGTTGAGGCCGTCCTCTCCCCTGCATCACTTCTATTTCTACGATATCGATCGGCATCTACAATTCTACAATATTGCCCTTCTCCAGAGTTCCACGATGTGGGTATTCACAAAAAGGCATGTAACTTGACCGTTCTCTGAATAGCTGCTGCCACTCATCGACATTCACGGCTCGCACGCGCCGGCATCGCTAGAATCACGACGAGGTGAAGAGCGCTACGAAAGACCCTCCCGTCCTTTGAACGTGCTTTCCCGGTGTCAGCTCCTATCATGCCTTTGAGCCAACAACCCCACAAACGGGATGGATCTGCTAGCGACGTCGAGAAACCGAGTCAAGCAGGAGCTAGCCGATGCTTACTGACACGCTAAGTGCCGCTTGCCAGCACTCCTAGCCTTTTGCTACCCAAACTTGATGCGGGGCCCCGCATTTGATTCATCATACCGAGCATCAGGATTAACATGCCCCTCCGGGAAACGGATACCCAGGTCTCAAGAGCCCCCAGCGCCGATCCCTATCAGCCCCAACACATGGAGTCGGATCATGCATGGCTTCGAGCCAAGTCCTGCAGGAGCATGGTTGTATGCCACGCTCGGTGCTGAGAGCTCACGTTCGACAATGGAGAGTCGACGGATGGCAATCGTTTCCCGATCAGCCTAGCTCGATGCTCTCGTCCTAGAATATAGTCGCGACTTCTCAAGCTCTTGCCGGGACTCTGTTTCGGGTACCCAATTGCAGCAGCCAGCCGGAAAGATGTCCCCCATTCATGGTAGGCAACGCATCAATGCGTTCAATGTATTTATCCTCATCTTTGTTGGCCTTGGCTCTATGAGCTACGGATACACAGCTTCCATCATCGGAACTACTCTAGGTGTGGTCTCCATCTGTCTTAATATACAAGCATATTGACCCTTGCGCAGGGCAGCCCTCATTCATCGCGTACTTCGACCTTGATACCCGCAGCAATGCCACCGACTTGATATCAACTACTAACGGCATCTTCCAAACAGGCGGCGTCATCGGCACGCTGCTACTTCCCATCATCTCCGACAAATATGGGCGCAAGTGGGGAATCGCCATTGTAAGTCGCCAACGATCGATGAGTGCACTGTTCTGACATCATTTGGAGAGTGCTATATTAGCAATCATATCAGGTGCAGTGCTTGCTGGAAGCACGCATATCGGGGAGTTCATCGCGTTTCGATTCATTGCAGGCGCAAGCGCCTTCATGGTGCTCGCAGCTGTTCCTGTGAGTGGGACCCTGACCATGAAGCAAGCCAAACTAACAACGAGTAGATATGGATGAACGAAGTCGTGCCTGTTAAGATGCGCGCAGGCCTTGTTGATATACATGCCGTATGCCTCATCTTTGGATACACGGTCCAAGGCTGGGTTGGGTTTGGCTTCTACTTCTGGAATGACGGTAAGGCGCCCTGAGCTCTTCAAACTACCCTCAGCACTTCTTCCCGCCTGGAGCGATGTTATCCCCAAGCTAACACACACAGGTGGCCGGAATACTTGGCGACCACCGCTGGCGCTCCAATGTGCCTGGCCGCTTATGCTCCTCGCTGGCCTCTACTGGATCCCGGAGTCACCTCGCTGGCTCATCATGAAAGACAGGATCGACGAAGCCAGAACGATTCTGGACCGCTTGCACTCCGATCCCAGTGACCCCAACAACGAGTATGCCCGCTCCGAATTCTACCAAATCGAGAAACAGATTGCAATAGACAAGACGCTCGACAGCTCCTGGATCGCGATGTTCAAGAAACCGAGTTATAGAAAGCGGTGTTTCCTCGCCATGGGCACTACATTCTTCATCCAATGTTCCGGCGTGCTTGTCATCAACAACTACGGACCAACACTGTACAAAAACCTAGGCTTCTCGCCCGTCAAGCAGCTTCTCTACCCAGCTGCATGGCTAACACTGACCCTCGGCATCAACACCATGGCTATTCCACTCGTCGATCTCTTCCCCCGCAACAAATACATCGGCACCGGTATCCTTGGGTGCATGCTTACCCTCATCGTCGAAGCCGCTCTTGTCGCCAACTTCGTCCCTTCCAACAACAGCGCGGCCCTGCAAGCTGCCGTCGCCATGTTCTTCATCTTCCAGATCCCCTACGACTTCTGTCTCGACGGCACGCAGTTCGCGTACCTCGGCGAGCTCTTCCCCACGCACCTCCGCGCAAAGGGCGTCTCGCTCGGCGTCGCCATGATCTCGTTTACCAACATTATTTGGCTGCAAGCTGCACCTACGGCGTTTATTACTATTGGTTGGAAGTTTTATCTAGTCTTTATTATCCCGGGGACGATTGGTGGGTTGATTGTTTTCTTGTGGTTCCCGGATACGAACGGGTTACCGTTGGAGGAGATCGCGGCGCTTTTTGGGGACGAGGATGAGGTTGCCGTGTATCAAGCGGAGATCAATGTTCAAGGGGGGGTTATTACGGATCTGCATGCTGAGGCGAAGGAGAAGCAAGAGGTGCATATGGAGGATATTAGGAGTGGGGATGCCGCAAAGACGGCTTGAAGGTACTATTTCGCGAGTGAGTAGAGGGGAGAAGACCATGGCATCCTTTCGTTACCTTCTCCCGAGGTCACTTAGGTCTTTCGTCACCGCATAAGCATTGCTAAAACATTTGGAGAACCAGCTGTGGCCGCGGCCGCTGGTCGAGGTGCTTGCTTCGCGTTCGCAATCGCTGTTTCCGCCCTTTGACCAGCGGTGCCTCGTAGTGTTGAGGATCCCGGGTAGAATGCTCTATGGGATGGTGGTCCGGAGAAGACCACAAGGTGCTTCCGCGTAAGACTTTAGTTTCGTATAAGGTAGTTTGGCTGCCCTCCGAGTGTGATTTCCGAGGTGGACAGTAGAGGGAGGCAGGATGTGTCCCCAAGGGATTCTATGTATAGCTACGCCATGAGCCTCGTTTCGACATGACCTTCTTGTATGGCAGGTATATCCACGTTCCGAATGCAGAGGATCAGTTACCGTGAGGTGATTGCTTTCGCGCATGAACACGTTTGGTTTCAACAAGCCGACCCTGGGTGGGGAGAAATGCTCCTTTAACATCCGTTCCGCAGCACGAGCACATCAATGATCTCCAGGAACGCGGTTGGAGATCAGGAAGCGAGCATGCGCGCGGGAGAAGTTCCTCGGGGATTCTAGCGCATGAAGGCGTTTCGTTTCAGAGGGTGGTGGTTTCGAAACGCGGGGGAAGGCGCCGACTACCGTGTAGGAGATGGCGTGTGTGGGCTTTTATGAGAGGATCGACGGTGTGGACGGATTTGATGCGTGGAAGATCTGGTTTGGTTGATGGAGGATTGCGAGCGTGACTGCGTAACTGATGTGTGACGTCGAGGCTTTCGGCCAGGATTGAACGCGTCTGTTACAGAAATGCGCCGCACTTCTAGAACATGATGAGCGGAAATAGTCTACAAAGCAGGTTCCGAATAAGGGAATAGTTAGCATATAGTAGGAAGGGAGCCGAGTAAACGGAGGTTTGGGTAGGATGCCCACACTGATCCTACAACCGGGCTATACTGCGTCCTATGCTGACGAATAGCAATGCTGCGAAGAGTGATGCATGATAGATTAAAACTCCGTTGCACAGCGCTCGGGTTCCTCGTGATCTGAGGTCAGCTTCTACACCGCTGCGGCCGTGGCCATATTGAAGGAAAATTGCTATGCGGCAGCTCTTCGTAAGGCGCGCCGGGAATAGATTGGACGGCTCAGAGAGAGCCAAAAGTTGAGCGGCAGGAGCCGACGAGACAAAAATAATACGACACACTCATCTTCGGATGCGGTGCTGCTAATGTGACGGCTCCAAAGTCAATCTCCCGCCGTGGGGTCTCATTTTGATGAAGCGACAGGGACCGGGCGAGGTGGAAGTGAGCGCCCATCAAAAGCACGTTTTGCAAATGAGCAGGCCGGCGGCAGTGTCTGGTCGCTGGATCCTTGGGGTTCCGAGGCATGGAGGGATCCTGAGGTTTGGGAATGCGAGGACCCAGGAAGGTCTGAAGTGACTACAAGCATGGCAGCGTCCAGAGCTCGAGGCTGTGTCTCATGCAAACAAGGCCGGCTTCGCTCTCTGGCCGAGCCAAGCTTCAGCGCGGCGACGGCGACGGCGACGGCGACGACGGCATGGCGGGTGCGGCCCAAGCGGTGGCAGAGGCGGAGATTTGATTCCAACGTCCTGTTCGTTCATGAATCGTGCTCGCGCTGGCCGTGTGCTTGACGACGGATCGCTCCTATGATGCAATCGCATTTCGAGACGCTCCGGAATGATGCCGATGGCGGCAACGGCGTGCGTTTGTTGGTGAGCAGATAAGTGATTGCTGCGAGCGTGCAAATTATGACGGATGGGGGGGTGGAGTTGGGAATGTCGCACCTTGATGAATACGGCAGGCGAAAAGGCTTGGGCGGAGGTTTCGCGCCGGGTTGCTGTGGCTTCCACTGTTCTGCATAGTCTACATACAGTACCTACAGTAGGTACTGTACTGGACGCCAATCGACGGGCCTGCCACGAGAGAGACATCTCTGCGGCCGCACACGCTGACGCCGTCGGGATGCGGCCGAAAATGAAGGCGCGGTCTCGTCGCTCCCGTCAGCCGCATGCGATACGTATCATACGCATACGCACACGCACAGCATGCTCCCGGCCGGGCGGTGATTTGCTCGTCGCAGCGCATACAGCGCACACAGCGCACATCGCTGCCAGGTACCCGCGCATCTGTTTTAGAGCAGGGAGGATCGGCGCAGGGCCCGTTCTATTTTGGCCCAGTGCAGTGAAACGCAGTCTGGGAGCGAGGCAGCACGGCAGCACAGCAGCGTGGGCGGCGAGAAGGGCAGGCAGCAGGACCGGCAGCAGAAGAGGAAGAGGCGCACCCTGAGTGGCTGCGTCCGACCGGCCCTAGAACATGTTCCTGGACACACCACATCGCTCACTGGTCCCTGCGAGCGCCCGTCCCTGGCTGAAATTAACAGCTCCCAGGGGATGAACCGTCAGTGCTCCAGTTGTTTCCTTGGCGAGGCTTCCTGCAATCATCCCGCCGCTCATATACCGACCCTCTCCTTCCGAGGCCGCCTGCCTTCTGCCCTCCACCGCAAGGCTTCACTTTCGTTTCCTCACCTTCGCTTTTCCGTCTTTTATAGACGTGTCTCTCTTTTGAACCAACTCCAGTCACTCCTTCCAGGACCCAAAGCACACATCCGCAGAATTGATTTCTGCCTGGTTTTCCTTCGCAGCATCAATATCCGGCAAAACACAACGCTCCCGTCCTACACAGCAGTACCAGGAACTGTGAAGCCTTAGCAATCTACCGACTAAGAAAAGAGCAAGGAACACGCCGTCGTCCAACATGATGAAGCTCACTGTTGCTTTCCTCGCCGCCCTTGCGGCTGCGGACGCCGCTCACGTCCACGGCCGTCATGTCCGCCGGGACGGATACGGCTATGGTGGTGGATATGGCGAGTCGTCTGCTCTTCCTCTGACCAACGGCACCACTCCAGCTGCTTCGACCCCTGCTGGCATTGAGAGCACTGCTCTGCCCGCCGAGTCGTCTACCGGCGCTCCTTGCGGAATATACGGAGCGCCCGCCTGCAGCGAGACCCCCGCGGCCTCCAGCACGGGTGCCGTAGTGGAGGCCACCTCGTCCACCCTTCCTTCATTCGTGCTCCCCGGCACCGGCTCCTCCTCTGTCGCCGCCGAGACTCCCTCTTCCCTGCCATCCTTCCCCGGCACTGGAACTGGCGCAGTCCCGACTTTCCCAAGCACCGGCGTCGAGACTCCTCTCCCGACCGAGGCAACGACTGGTGCACCCAGCTTCCCCACCACCGGCTTCTCCTTCCCGGTTACTGGTGTTTCCAACACGACGGGCTCTCCTGAGCTGGTGACCTCAGTCATCTACTCGACCCAGCTCTTTACCTCGACTGCCTGCCCGCAGACCGTCACTGACTGCCCGGCCGAGTCCACCGTGCTCATCACCAGCGTCATCCCGGTCACTACGACCGTCTGCCCCAAGAGCGAGCTCACTGCTACTCCCGCTCCTACCACCGCTGATGTTGAAGCCGTCACGACTCCTGACACCACTACGGAGCACGTCGTGACCGAGACTCTTATCTACACCCTCGGCACTGGCTCCATTGCCCACGCTGTCACCCAGGAGGTCTTGTCGACCTCCACTGAGACTATCTACAAGACCATCTACGTCACCAAGGCGAAGCCCGAGGAGACTGGTGTCCCAGCTGGCGGCGAGGCTGCTACTCCTGAGCCCACCACTACTACTACGATCGAGACCACCTCGACCACTACCAGGTACATCACTGTTCACCCGACTCCTTCCGGCTCCCCGGTCGAGGGCGAGGGCTCCGGCGTCCCGACTAGCCCCGAGGCTACTGGCCCCGCTGGTGGTGAGGGTGAGGGTGAGGGCGAGGGCGAGTGCGCTCCTCCGGTCACTGTCACGATCACTGCCCAGGAGACCGTCACAGTCGTAAGTCTAATACATTCTCCACCCCCTAGACGAAAGCTAATCCTCGTAGACCGCTGGCGCCGAAACTCCATCGACTCCCTCCGTCACTCCTGAGGACGTCAGCTCCGGCCTTCCTCTCACTCCCTCCAGCATCGCCACCCCCTCTGCTCCCTTCCCCTTGAGCAACGGCACCGCTCCCTATCCCGGCCCAACCGGCGGCTCCACGGGCTTCATGACCTTCACCAAGCCCGCTCCGCCAACTGGCACCGGCGGCTTCGAACATCCTCCTCCCCCGGAGACCCCTCTCCCCACTGAGACCTCCCTCCCTTCCTTCGTGCTCCCAACCGAGGTCCCGTCCCCGACTGCTGCGCCGGTCGGCGAGGAGGGCTCCACCGTTGCCCCGGCCCCAACCTCGACGCCTGCTGGCTACGGCACGTACCGCAAGCGCTTTGGCCTCTTCTAAGCTAAGCGTTTTATGACCGGACGATGATGTGAGGGGATGCTATTTCACTTCTCGTACACTTCGAGTGTAAAAGGCCTGTGGTCCTTGCACACATGTCTTTAAGCATTGGTCACTTGACCTCTTTCTTTCCGTCTGGGTTCCGCTGCTCCTGTTCTTGATGGGCAGGAGCAGAGGGAATGTGGTGTTTGGGAGGGGCTGCTGGGCTGGGCATGGGGCAAGGCAGCGGACACCTTATGAGCGTGCTTGTATGGTTGTTTCCCCCTGACAATATACGCTGTCTTTCCTCATATCACCTTCACCCTCTAGTTTTGTCTACTGGGACAGGGCAGCGGGCCCGGACTGTGATGTCTCACGATGATTTTCCCAGAGCTGGTCTATGTTTGGAGTTCTCTTTCTCATTTCCTTATGTTTAAAAGATCACCATCAGGCATGGCGGCGGAGTTCTATCCATCAGCATCTGCATCAAAGCGTTTCGAGCGTTGTATGTCAAGCAATCCAATCGACATCGGAGAGATACCCAATCATTCACTGCTTTGCTACATTCAAACTCAGAACTCCATGTTGACAAGTATCCCTCTGATGTGTTTTCGCCGTTCCGTTGATAGCTTCCGCAATCCCATCTACTCCATGACGGGGCTGGGCCCTGAATCTCACTCAACACGTTTGCAACAAATCTGCTCGATAACCACGAGCCCTCCAGACCATTCCACAAACCCCCTTCCCTTTCCACGAAGCAAGGATCCCCTGCCGTCCCGGCATGCCGCCCCTGAACTCGCTTCCCGCCCCTTGGTAAAACGTTTCATTTCACGACACTACTACTACTGCGCCACATCCTTTCATAACTTGCTTCCCCCACTATCGTTCATGCCGACGAGGAAGAAGCTCAAATAATTCTAACCGCCCGCCGGCGATCGTGTTTTGAAGCGCTGAAAGCTGCCGCTGCCCAACTTCTTGTTGGGTGTAATTTCCACCCACCCGCCAATGCAGAATTTGCAGTACGCCGACCAACTGGTGCCGTTCCGCTTTTTGTTGGTCCCCAGGATCTTCTTGTCAAACGTACGGCCTGGTCAATACACAGTACAGTATGCCGCCTCCGAGCCCGGAAAGAAAAAGTAGAATCCTGCGGGACGGTTGATCCAAGCAGCTGATGAGACTCGTCAGAGTGCAGGGCTACACAACCCGCTATCGATACACTATCGATATGCCGTGCCACGAGCATATTGCACGCGCATGTGTCCCGCGTGTGACCCCGCTGCCGCTGCGCTGCGGGCACAGTTGCATTCCTACGCCCACCTTGCTCCAGCACATTGCTACATAGTCTACCGGCTCGGAAACCCACCACGCAAGGGTCCAGGACCTTTCTTCCTCCAGGTTCCAAAAAGGGAGGAAGGAGCCATCCATCTAACCCAGTTTCTGTTCTCCCACTCATTTTCCCTTTCTCCGCATTCCTACTCCTGCTCCTTCGCCTCCTCATTCCTCAAGTTTCCTTGACCTCAGTACGTGGTCTAGAAAAAAAAAAAGGCCACGCAAACCCGTTTTTCTTGTCCTCTCCTGTTCCTGCAGGACTCGCTGGATGCGGTATAAAACGCGATGCTGTGGCACGTTTGACGCGTGACACAGAAGAAGCTGAGAGGTCGAAAAGCTGAAGGGAGGTTTTTGAGAGGAATGTGCAGTTGCATTCAGTGCCGTCGGGGACTGTTTGAAGGATAGCCCCTGTAACGCAGAGGAAAGCGGGAGAAAAAGAGACGAAGTGCTGGATGTGAACGAGTAGTCTATTTTCCACTTCTAACTTTACGCGAAATAGCTGTACTCCTCCATCCTATATGGATATTAGATACACTCCAAGCACGTAGCCGCTACCCATACGAACATCAGACTATATCGCACCTGCCAAATTCCTATCAATGTCGGATATCATACTGGGATGCCCATTTGAATCAGCCACCCTGAATTGAGACGACTGTCGCGGTTGCTGCTGCGGCGGTGCAGCAGTAGCATTCCCCATCTCCACGTCACTGTTCTTCCTTTTCTTCCCGGACGGCCCCGTTGTGCCCCTACGGTCATCGTTCGTGGCGGCGCAGTAAAATGCCCAGATGATGAGCGGCAATACGAGAGCAACGATGACCACCGTAAATATGACGCCTACCAAATCCCGCTCCGTGAGAGCCATGGCGCTGGGAGGTGATGTATGTGGAGGATCCAAATACTGCTAATGATGAAGTAGGTGGGAGGTCAATGCGTTTTGAACCCCAAGGGAGTTATTGTTGGAGAGCATGTCCTGGAAAGAAGATGCAACTCTATATTGTGAGAGTGCAACGCTGTTCGTTGCCGCCGTTTGCTCGACCAGCTCGACTGAGCCGACTGCTGCGAACGGGATGATTTAGAAATTCGTTTGAACATAGCAGTAGAATGATCTGGTGTATGACTCCCATTTCAACTAGTCCTAGTCGGTCATTGTGTCCACGTCAAGTTTGTGCGCAAACCGTAGTATGCGTACATTCATTATGCGTAAATGGCGTAATGGATAAACATATCCGGCGCAGAAAATCGAAACTTTCCCGGTGTAGCTGGTACAACCTACCCGTTTCCGTACGCCTTTTCATTAGACCCTCCCAAGCCTTGATCTTTTCTCCCATATCGCTTCTTCTATGCCATAACGCCAGTCCACAGGGCACGCCTACCGCCACCCGAACCGATAACTTGACGGGCGCTGGAACCGATGCCTCACCCACGGTTGATGATACGTCGAGTAGTCCCTTGCACCTGACAAGCCCAGCTGAGGCGCAACATTGACATAGCCCTCCTCGTTCCTCATCGCACCCTTGAGGTCGATATTGCCTCCAACGCCAATCTCATCACCCTCCCATTCTGCGCGGCAGTACGGACAAGTCGCATTTCCTGCTTTTGCAGCCATCCAGCTCTGCATGCAGTCTTTGTGAACATTGTTTCCGCATGCCGCCTTGCAGTATACGATCTCCTCGTCCGGTTCAAACTCGGTATAACAGATCGGACACTCGCCTTCGACAGGCTTGCGATTGCCATCTTCGGCTGCAGTCTGGCCTCCAGCACTGGCGTCTGCATTCGGGATCGACGCGGCGTTCTTAAACAGGTCCCTCAGCTCCGAAGAGGTAAGAGCCAATTGGTAGCCAACGTGCTCTGGTGCTTTGAGGACGCGCAGCATGACATAGATGATGTGCTTGCATTGATTCCCCTTGTTCGCATGCGGGCAATCGCATCGTGGAACTTGCCCAATATGCTGCGTGTAGACATTGCCCGTCGAGCCCGCCATGAGGATCTTCTCCTCCGGGATTTCAGCGGTGCCGCATCGTTCGCGAGAGAGGACGGTAAGTCGCTGACTGAGGGCTCGTGCTTTGACTTCGAGGTACGATTGCGGCGGGCGGGCGCGGAATCGACGGAGGCGCTTCTCTTCGTGCTTGACTTCGACATCGCCTTTGCCTTTCTTCTTGGGCGACTTCTTTGGTTTCTCGTCTAAAGCGCTCTCAGTGGGGTCATGGATGCTCTTGGATATCTTGGACTTCTTCACCGGCGCATAGACTTCGAAATTGGCGTCTTCGGCGTCGTCGTCGTCGTCGTCGTTATGCACGTAGCTGACCTGCTTTCGCTTGCGACCTAAGCCTGGGGCGGCCAGCGCCGAATCTAAGCTCTCCGCAGTCGTCACTGAGGGGACGCTAAACATATTGGGGTTGCGCAGGCGGGGGGCCGAATTGATCAGGTAGAAAGAATTGTGAAGGAGGTTGTTTCGGGGCGTTGTAGTGAAGAACGTTGGATGGGCGGGTCGGGTGGCGCGAGAAGATCCGCGGATGGCACTAATGCGGGGAACGCGCTAGTGGACCGAGTCCACGTGACGCTCACTTTCTCTTGCGCATAAGCTGCTAATCGCTGGCAGCAAGGAATCGAGAAGTGGTGGCATTGAAATATCTCGGAATAAGGCCGAATCCTTAGTCTAATTTTACCTCTAATGCCTTCATCTATCTTAATATTCTCACTACTGCCCAAGGAGCACACCAGAATCCTGGCTTCTGTATGCCCTTCGTTGAAGTGCAATCACCCGCAAAAAAACAGCTATAGCGTACACTCTCATGGCTGAGAGTAGTCCGTGCACCACGTACGCACACGCCAGTATGCCATATCCAACGACAACCACGTTGCGCCACCCTAGCCTTACTTCCAGATGATGAAGTCACTTCCCGACCATTCGTTCGAGATACAACTCACAGATCAATCGATGGCTTCCAGTTATCGGCACATGAGAACGGCTTCCCTGCCGCACCATGCGCAAGCTCCCAACTAGAGGACCACATGCCCAAAATGCACTACACATCGGTATCAGTTCGGCCTGTTCCTTTCACCGCCTGCGGCCTCGGAGCGGAACTTACAATAGCAGCACCCATGAAGAAAATTGCGAAGTTAAGCACCGCAAGAGCAGCCTTCCGCTTCGTCTCGAACCACCTACCCTTGTATAGGTATAGCCAAAGCACCGGAGGAAGTCCATCTGCATCCACATTAGCGAGTCTGTTCATCAATCGCCATCAAGACAGTCCTACATGTAAACCATGAACAAAAGAGCGCAGCGATCAGTCCAAGCAGCAGATTAAAATTTGGGACAGCTTCCGCGATCACCCAGCTCACCACCCACAGTACGGCGCATATCCCCACCCAACTCCCTATACTCTTGAAGTTCTTCTGGTGTACAACATCAGTCCCGCTCCACACCCGGAGATATACGTATTTGCAGGCCACGCTGCCATTGACGACGCCCGCTACGAGAATCGTGGGAAGCGCGATGCCGAACGCGGCTTTGCGGACGGTTGGGGATGCGGAACCAAGCGCGGGAGAAGAGACAAGTGGGCCCGCATAGTAGTATATAATCGCAGAGATGAGCATGTAAAAGGAGACCGCGAGGATTTGCTGGAACGCGAGGGCTTTCGGAAATTCGCGCGGGTTCTTCAGCTCGGCGAGGAAGGTAAAGTAGGCTACGTGGCCAGCTAGAAATTTGTTTAGATTCGACCTAAGAAATAATAAGGTGGACGGCAGAGAGCGGGCATACTGTATGCGAGGATGATGTTCATGACGGGTCCCAAGCCTTTGACCAGAGGGATATTAGGACGGACGGCGAGGACGTGGCCGATGTCGGGCTTTTCGATGGCGATGGCAGCCATGGCGACCGTGACCGCTACGATGACGGAGATGCATGCTGTCCTTCGTCAGCGCAAATCTCAACACAGCTTTCAACCACTCACAAAATATAGACAAGTACGAAACCCCCTTCAACGTCCGCGGCAGCCCCAACACAAACGATATCAGAAGTCCAATTGCGGAGAAGACAACAGTGCACTGACTATGCTCCGTCATCGCATTCATGGCAATCGCGAAGCTGAGTATGTGTGCCGCCATGATGAAGAGGATGATTAGAACTTGGCCAAAAGCCATGACTTCGCGTCCGATCGGCCCGGCGATCAATTCCCCACAGTCGGCGAAGGACTGCATGCCTGGGTACGCAAGCTTGAATTGGCCGATGAGGTACCCTGTGTAGGTTGCGATGAGACCGAGGAGGAAGATGAGGAGCAGGCCAGGAACGATGCCGAGGATAGCGATGGCTTGGGGAAGAGCGAGGACGCCTAGGGATATCGTTTCCGCGATCATGACTGCAGTATTTTCGCGTTAGCGCGCAGATTAACGAGAGACGTGAGAGAGTTACGCACGAATTCCAGTATGCCTAAAGACCAGTCTGTCAGCAATGCCTTCAAGTCCTTCAGGATGTGGAAACTCACCACCACTCGCATGTTATGTAATGTATCTCTGCCCCGGCCTCGTCTCCGAAGACGGGGTCCACCTCATTCTCCTGGACCTACACCCTGTAAGCAATTCAACGTCGCTTGGTAAGGTCAAGCTATCCAAAGTGACATTCTCGTTCAACCAAAGAGCAGATCGGCGTACAGACGTCTTCCCCAAAGGGTTCGGAGTACTGTCAGTCGTCCAGTTTCCAAGGATGTCATTCTGGGTGGCTTGGCTCTGTAGCCGGTATGCAAGTACCTGTCCTTCCCGGTCCAAGTAACTGGGTGCCACATCTTGCCTAGCAACGGGGCCATTGGAAGGCTGTTGCGCTTCGCCACGCTTCTCATTCAAGGTGGGTGTCTTCATTCGGTTCAAGGAGTTTTCTTCGCTTCCTGCTGTAGAGGCGCTACCCTCTCGAACAGCAATCGAAGCCATGTTGATCAAGTTACGAGACGTGCGGGAGGACGAGGGATAGGGGAGACTAAAGGCCTTCAAAGAGTAGTATGGGATGGCCCAGATGCAGGCGTATGACGCTCGTTAAGTGCTTCGAGAGGTGTAAGGGTAGTTATCTTCCGGATGCTACAAAGAGAGAGGGAGAAGGAGAGCACGAGACACCCAACCTGTGGTGGGTGGTCGACTACCTGCCATAGATCTCAACAGCGGGGTCTCGCTCCAATGATAGACGGCCATGACGCGAGTACCGGTCTTCAGTCTGGGCTAGCAAGATATCGACGACCAAGGTACCGAATTCAGATTGCTCAATTGTGTGCGGTAGTGAAGATACGGTACTGTCGCGGTTGCAGCTTCTCTTATAGTTGAGGAGATATTTGCATCGCTGGCGGCATTCGATTATGGGACCTGTGGTCGAACATGATTAATGTGCGATAAGGAGCCCGCTTTGTACCCGGGGAATGCGAGAGTAGGAAGAAGGGTTCTCAATTTCGTGGTTGACCCGAATGTGGGACGCCTTCGCTGACAAGGGGCAGAGGAGCCAAATGCTCAAGCAATGGCTCGTGGCCTGGAGCAACAATAACGGCGTAGCGCTGGTAGCCAAAGATGACATTGCTATAGAAGCAAATGGGAAGTCTAGAAGAGGATGCGTGTTGGATGACAACCCGCGGAAGTGGTACGAAGCGGGGTATTTCCAGCCTGAAGGAGTGGGCATAGGCTGCCGCAGAATGAGTGGGGGGAAAAAATACTCTACGGGCGTCGATACTCCTTCAATCGGTGCAAAATGGTTATCGATGGCATTGCGCGCGAGCGGGAATCAATGGTGAGGTTGGGCGCAAGGGAAGCCATCCTCGTATCGGGCATAGTGCCGACGCGCATCACGCCTCGCGGGCTGCAGTTCACCTCACCCGCACCCCAGATGCCCCCAACTGCCCAATCAGCGCACATGCGGCCAAAAGTGTCCGGGCCAGCTGAAGCAGAGCGATCGCCCAAAGCACGCATATTAATCTGCCTAATGTCGATATGCCGTCCGGAGGAGGCTGGACGACGTCGACCTTCACCCGAAAGCCCGCCGTGATCTGATACTGCTCCGCGTCTCTTCCTCCACCTTCAACACCTATTATCTGCGCCAACCATTGTGCTTCGGGCCGCTATCGCAACGGTGATACTGCAGGCACTACCCAGAACAAGGTCAGTAAGCGCCAACAGCGCTGCATCGACGCAGCTCCGTCCGACGTCAGGCCAACCTCCCCTAGCACTCGTCGAGCTGTTTCTACGCTCCGTCTGCCCCCATACGCAAACGCAGCCGTTCGCGACACTAATTCCGCTGCGCTACAGCTTCGCGACATATATCTCACCGGCAATCCGTCATGGTTGAGCTGCGCAAGCGCAAGACGCCTCCGCCCGCCCCGGTGCGCCCGGCGAAGAAGAAGGCCGCCCCCAAGTCCAAGGCCGAGAAGGCGAAGGCGGTCGTGGCCGAGAAAGTTGCAGCCGTCAAGGAGACCGTCACGGGCAAGGCCAATGGCGAGAAGGCCGCGCCTCCAGCTGCCGGCGCGCCCAAGGTCGGGGACACAATTGACCTCGCAGGATTCGGCGGCGAGATCGAGCTGCACGATGGCACCAAGACGACGCTCGCGAAGCTCGTCGAGGAGAGCAAGAGTGGCGTCGTGCTCTTCACCTACCCCAAAGCTTCTACCCCCGGATGTGAGTGCGCCCTTGATCGCGCTCACGACATTGATTGCTAATACGCGTCGCGATAGGCACCAAGCAGGCATGCATGTTCCGCGACTCCTACCAGCCCCTGACCGTCGGCGGACTGAGCATTTACGGCCTTTCCAACGACAGCCCGAAATCCAACAGCTCCTTCAAGACAAAGCAGAACCTCCCATACCCTCTTCTCTGCGACACTGCCCGGACCCTCATCTCCGCCATTGGCATGAAGAAGGCGCCCAAGGGAACTACACGCGGTGTGTTCGTCGTTGACAAGTCTGGCAAGGTCCTTGCGGCTGAGCCCGGAAGCCCTGATGGCACTGTCGCCGTGGTCAAGAAGCTTGTTGAAGGTGGGGGGAGCTCCGCTGCGGCTCCCACAGCCGATGCCGACGCTGCCAAAGAGAAGGAGGACCACGACATGGCGCAGACGGCCGATGACGTCGCTGATACTGCAGCCAAGATTGACAGCAACGAGGCCTAACTGGTCCCTCTCCGATACGACTGTCTTTTCCAGGCTTTGCGGTGTAGGATATCCCCTTTTGTTTGGCGTTGGTGTGAGTTTGGTAAAACGTCCGGTACTTCCGTCCCTCGAAGTACGAAGCGCATGTCAAAGAGCGCTTCTCGGTTGGTGACATGAATGAATATTTCTGTCGAAACTCCCTGTCCAAACATGAAAGCTCTGACTTACCGCTCCTGATGCTAGCTAAACGCAGCTAGGACTAACCATCGACTGGTGAAGACGCCTTCAGCCTCGCCCCAAAGCATCTCAGGCTCCCTCCTCCGTATACAAGAACCTCCCGGCCCCTTCCGCTTGTATCCATCTCCTCGATCACCCTCCCTTCGCATTCTTCGCTCAATAAATTGACGTGTGGCTAATCCGTGGGTCATAAAAATCTTCCGGATGACAACATGGCTCTACCCTCGCTTGTCTCCGACACAATGAGAAGGCCTACGAAAAAGTAAGAAGAGTATCTCAATTGTGTATTCGGAAGCGATCGATAAACACCGTATGAAAACTCTGGTTCCTCCCCCTGCCTATATGTGGGTGGGAACAAAAGTGCACAGGTCAAGACTTCATGGAGTCCTTCGAAGACTCTCGCGCATCAAATCATGGCTTCCGGGTACCCGCACAGTGCATCAATGGCGCTGAGTTCAAGGGTGCGGATTCCGAATTCGACTCGCCAGTCCCCCAAGTGGTCCTTCGGGTCTTCAAACATAAGCTCATACCCTAGTTCTCATGCCTTCTTCTACCATCATTCTCCAGGCGCTCTCTGCTTACTAGAACGAGATGTTCTTGCCAGCAATAAGTCCTTAAAAGGAACTCCGTGGACTTCCTATGAGTGCGGTGCCCAGCGTCCCAAACCCACCAAAAGGGTCCTTAGTATTTACACATAGAGCATTCCACTTCTTTCGTGTGCTGGTGTATGCCACGAAGGTCTTCGGTATTGTCTCCACGCAGGAACAGAAATCACCCTCATCTATTCACATGTTTTCCGTTCGAAAAGTTTCGTATTCCCTCATATGGCTTTGCCCGGAAGTGTTGCCGCAGTTCAGAGCACCGAGTCCAAGCGCTCGAAGCTTTGCCTGATGGCCTTCCTGGACCCCTTTCCTGGTGTATCCGAAGACTTCCTCTTCTCGCACGAGAGGTTCTGACGTCCCAAAGTGGTATATCGATCTCAGACATGAGCATGTCGTGTTAGCACGCCCTTCAGGTCTCTCGAAAGCCCCTACTCTACAAGACATGCGCAGAAACGCGCTCTTAAAGATATAGTGGCGCGACCGATGACTCTCGCTGTTTGGTTTGAGAACAAAAGCAGCGTTCCTGAAGCGGCATGCTTTCTGCTTGCAGCTCGAAGCGGCTCAAGGACGTATGTGGGAAGCTGTCTTTGGCCGGACTAGGAATTGCCGTCTTATATGACAAGGGCCTCCGGCTACTCCTCTCCTCTCACTATCAGCACCCATATTCCGTCCCTCCAAAGCTCTTCAACAAAGACGGAATGTCTTCCGGAGCGACTCTTAAGGGGCCCGCCGTATCGAAAAAAACCCACCGAGAACTATATGTTAGAGCTGGACCTCCTGCGGTAACTCTTCATGATCTTGGAATTTTCTGCCGCGGCTCGATAACGGCATTAAAATACTGGCAGAATGGATATATGCTCCGATTTCTGCGCCGTGCAGCGGATGCTTCAAGAAAGACACAGCCTTTCGAAAACATGTTGTCTTTCAACACTTAAGGAAGATGTGTACGTGTAAAGCCAGTTTGGTTTGGCTCGGAATTCAAATGGTTCCTTGCCCCATCCCATGGCCTCCTATCTTGAAGGGCCGGGTTTGATATCTTGTGAACACTTGCCGTTCTTCTCCAAACCCGCCTTTGGCACTCTCCGATACTAAAAGGGCTACCATGGGTGCTGCATGTCTACGGACCGTGCTTCGAACTTCCTCAATGCAAAAGCAGGTTACTGAATGGGAAATGTGAACACCACCCATATTTGCCTCACTGTCCGTACGAATATCTCGGGAACAAAAACAGTGAGGAGCCGATGAATGTGCCGTCTTCTCTGCTCCGGTACAAGGGAAGGTAGTGAAAGCGAGTCCTCAACACTTTAGGGCATTGGGCGTCGACATTTTTTCGCTCTTCTCTATCTGTCGGTCATCAAGCCCATTCAGGATTCTCCCGAAGCGCGCAGCAAAGTACCCAGTGTTGGAGTACCTCATTCACTGGTACCCAAGTTAATCCGCACTCTGGGCATGAGCTCGAGGATCCTGTGAAGCGAGTCAGAGCGATCTCTCGCGGATCAAAAAGCTACTAAAAATGCTTCGCTCTCATAACTGATGCTCCGTCCAAATTTCCCCACTTACTGCGAAATGACTTCCGACCTGCCCTGGCACTTGCAATCATTTCCCCATCAATATCCATATGGGGTGGAGCCCTACACAAAACTAGACAATCCATGAAGCTACGAGAACATTCTCTGCCCTTCCTGCTCGTGGTTCGTACACTTCCTACGTCGCGTGTACTGAATGCTCGGACAATCGGCTCCAAAATAGCGAGCCGCCGACGCTATGACTCCTGTCTCCGGAGCCGTGGCCTCTCCAGATAATGAAAAACGCTCCGGATCGACTTATGTCTTTTCGACTCAACGATTCAAACCCATCAAGATGCACTGGCTCTAAAAGCAGCGAGGAGAAATTACATGCTACGCGCATTGGGTCATTGGCTCCTCAGCCGTAATATTTCTTTGCATGTCTTGCCTCATTTCTTCGCCGTTGCTCCATGAAGGCCATACTGGAGGAAGTCATGGGTCTAAATAGCAGCCTAAGGACAAGAAGCGTTTTCTAATGACCAACTTTTGGATCGTGACTCATCCTTGACGTGCCCCTTGCCACTTCCATCGCCGCTCATGGAATGCATGTCGCGGGACTCCTGCCATCCACTGATAGATGTGAGCTTCCATAACGGCAGGAGCGAGTGTGCGCTTTCCGGAAACGGTACCGTAATTACCCGGTAAAGAAACGATTGGGCTATGTCTCTCAGGGAGCGACAGGCGAGGCACAGGTCGGTGAGCGTACGCCTCCTGTGCATTGTCTGGGAAACCGTCGGGATCGTTCAGGCAAGATGTGTTGCAGCAGCTCGTTCGGCAGGCTGAGTAGTGGGCTGAATGTGAAGATGGGATGGTTCTGAGGCCTTCGCTGAACTAGCCAATCAGCATCCACCATGTCCGTGAACAGACCACAGGCGAACAACACCAATCACCGTCCGGCAGTGATATTCCTCCATCGGACTTGATCCTGTGGAACTGTGAAGGCCAATTGCTTTCCTTCCTGCCCTTCATACGTTCGGAAGCCCAGCAGTTTCATGTTGCGAGCTGGATTTGACAAGGAACGCCCTCCGTCCGCGATCTTGCACGTTTCGCAACCAAGGCGAAGCGATAACGACGTACCTATTCTTATGGCAAGCTTTATTCGCTGTGAGAGTCTTAGTGGCTGATTTGCTCCAGGCTTTGCGACTACAGGTTTGGCTAGAGAGATACTGCTTCCCTGTCCCGATCGGCTTATATCTCCAGATCCTCGGTCGATGTATCGCAGATTCCAACCACACCACGCTTCTGGCTGTGCTCATGAAATGGCCTCTCTGGCAGTACCTGTGCGACAATGCAAGGCCACTATCCACCCCATCAGGCTTATATGGTTCCCTAGTTGGTAAATAGACCAGCTCAGCCTCGCCCAGGTCGACCCCACCTCATGGCCTGATCAGATCTTCGCCTACTCTGACAGGGCCAACACCGACATGCATACGGTATGCATACAATCTCCTCTTATCAACCAACCCCTGGAGGATTCACCGCTCCTCCGTCCTCCTCAGCCGCGCTCCTTCCTTTAATGTGCACTCGCTTGTCGTTGCTGCACACACGATCCCATCACCCTTCCACAAACTCCTAGAGACCAACACAATCTCAAGATCATGCCGAGCACGAAACAATAGCTACTGCGGTCCAGACGCAGATTTGTACCCTCTATCAATTCGGCGCTGGAACCGCGTCAGGCTCTGTTCTCACTGCGCTTCTATCATGTGTCACGGTGAGCAATCCTGCACGTCTGACTGAGCCTCGCCGAAAGAGGTGTATGGCTGCCACACCTCGCCATGTAAGTGGCTGAAGCAAACCCGAGGGGCTGGGCATGTCAGTCGTGCCGGGCTGGTGGTGCGCTGGGAGACGACACCGAACGTTAGACGTTGCGCATTCGCCGATAACTGCAGTGACATCAGCCCTGCGGCCTGCGCTCTTCCTGCAACAGTCCCGTCGATTAGAGATAAGCCTGGTCGTATATGTAAGGAATAGGGCCCGCGACGGATCCACTTCGTCCTTCCCGCTCTTACTCCCGCCCCGCTCCTATACCATCTCGTCGGATGTCTCGCCTCGACGTCACCCCCGTAGACTTTCTCCTACTTCTCTGTTGACGCTAGTCGCAATGATAATACACCCAGAAGGGCCGGGTCGCGACTTCTTGATCATAATCAGCATACTTCTCGCGCTCTCGACGATCGCCATCACCCTGAGGATATGGGCGCGCCTTGAGATAAGAGCATTTTGGATTGACGATTGGCTGATGGTGGCAGGATGGGTGAGTCCATCTTGCACTCAACGTACTACGCTGCTAACCTGTCGAGGCTCTTCTTGTCTTCTGCTGTATCGCCGACTACTTCTCGATATCGTATGGGGTCGGTGCTCACGCATGGCGCCTCACTGAATATCAGAAGCAGCAAGCGGAGAAGGCACGTCAACCCCAAGACTAAGCACAGATCCACTGTCTGATCCCCTGCCAGTGGTTCCTCATCGCCGGTGTCGCCTACGTCGCTGCCACAGCGCCGGTCAAAGCATCCATTTGCATGCTCATCATCCGCATCACGCCGAGGCGTAGTCACCATTGGATCTTGTACGGCGTCATCTTTGCTTCTACTGCCGGCTCTGTGATCCGAATCGGTGCCTTCCTTGGTCGCTGTCAACCAGTCGAGGCTGCTTGGACTGGGGAGGGAAAATGTGGCTCGGCAGCCATCATGACCAATGTCGCGTACTTCTTCGGTGCGCTATGCATAGCCACGGATTGGATTTGCGCTATCCTACCGGCGTTCGTCGTTTGGAAGATTCAGCTCTCATGGAAAGCGAAGTTGTACGTTGGCGTCATGCTCGCTCTGGGTGTCCTGTAAGTATCCTTAAACCCAAGGCCTGAAGTACTTCGGCGATATCTCGTATGCCGATGGGGGCTGTGCCGCTGACTGACCTGGATAGGGCCTCGGTAGCCACCATCGTCCGGATGAAGTACCTGCTTGCCTACCAAGACCCCGACGACTACGTCTATGGCATCACCGATATTGCCATATGGTCCGAAGTCGAATGCACAATCGGCATCGTCGCTGGCTCGCTTGCCACCATGCGCCCGCTCCTTCGATACCTCCGCGTCCTCGGCCTATCCATAACGAGCAGCTCGAAGTCCACTGAAAGCGAAGGGGCAGCACATAGGTTACAGGCCTTCCCAAAGCCTAGGAGATCGAGTGTGTCGAAGATTGCTACTTCATATAAGGTGGTAATTGAAAGGGGGCGAGATGCTGAGAGAGGCGATGAAGAAAGCGACGGAGGAAGCCAGCGGCGTATCCTTCCTGATTCGGGGCTAGAGATATTCAAGGCTAGAGAAGTGGAAGTTACGATTGAGGATAGGGATCCGAAGAAAGACTATGCCTACCGAGGTGATCCTCTTCCGTAGGGATTAGGGTTAGGAGCATAATAATAGACATTTGGAGCTCTTCTTATCCGTCGCAATGAATGCACCTTCTCGTTCCGAGATGCCTGTGCCTGCCGTGTGAGTAGCATGCAACCTTGTGAGAGAGCACCGATTGACGGGGTATTGAGACCTTCCACGCCTGATGGAAGACTGACATCCGGCTCCTAGAGGGATTCAGCCCTCCATCTTGACCAAGTGTTTCGAGGAATATGGATCAATACCGTAGGGCGATTACGGCGCAATAATGCGATGGAGAGGGAAAAAAGGACTGCAAAATGTGAAATTCGCAAGAGGCATCTCACGCCAAGCTAAAATTGCGTGCCCGCCGGCCGCCACACCACGCCACGCCACGCGCTAAGAAGAGCAACGCAAAAAAGACACCTCCCAGCCCACACCTCTGAGAGCAAAAGAGTCAAAATAACAATCATCCTCCCCCGCGTGGGCTCGAACCACGAACCTCCTGATCGCTCCATCAGTAGATGTTAACAGTCAGACGCGCTAGCCAATTGCGCCACGGAGGACTAATTATACCGGTTTTTGAAAATTAGCTGATATATGACGCAGAAATCATGATAGATGAGTGGAAAATCTTGGCAGGGGAACAGAGTATTTGCATGTAGAATAATCAAGCGAAATGTGAATGATGTGTGCCGGCGTTTGGGGTGCGGGGCATGATTGGTGGCGGTACCGAGACGTCGTGAGACGTCTTGGGCCTGCTAGGGGTAGGAGACGTCGAATTCCCCTTCACATGGAAAATAATGCAAGAGTGCTTGCTGTGTCTCTAGGAGGTATGATGCTATAAGAGTATTGCATCCTTCTAGAGCAATTTGAGATGCTACAACGGTTATAAATACAGCCCAGTGGCACTTTGCCTCGTCTTGCGTCATACTTCAAGATCGTCCGCATAGGGGTAAAGCATTCCACAACGGCACCTTCGTTTGAGTAGGAGTGAGCCGGGCCTTGGGCCTATTGGAAGTTGAACCGCAAAAGGATGTCCGGTTAGATTGTTTGACCATGTACTACGCACTGGCTTTATAATCTGCACGAATGCGCGGTGGAGTACGGCCTAGCAAGCTTTAGCGGATGTAGGAATCTTCTATACTATCCTTCTACATCTCAATCACGGGCAAAGTCGTGCAATCTGTGCGGTCTTACAGGCTTGACTAGCTTTAACCCGCGATACCTGTTTGACAAAGTGGCACCATCAGATATGGAGGAACAATGTACATTGAAGGAAACCGAGATATAGTACATATTGCTGTTGGGTATCATTCACGCTCGCGGACATATGTTCTCCGCAAACCTTCGTATTCGCGGTCTCCTGAGACCGGAAACCTGAGAAATCTTTGGTCACATCCTCAATCCGCATGCGTGAACACGCCTTCCTGGAAGTCTACAACTTGGGTCTTCTCGAGATAAGGGCTGACAGCGTCTTTGAATGCTTGATGAACTGGATCCTCGTCGACATAGTAGGTCCGGTCCTCGTTGGTGTAGAACTGGACGATGAAGGCATGGCTTATTCCGTCCTTCAATTTGGAAGCTTAGCCCAGTCCTAAAGAATGTCCACTGAAGAGAGGGGAAATGGGGGAGTTCACATACCTGTAGATCTTCAATCGAGTTATCTTTGCCACCGGTTATCGATTTGATGTACGAAGTTCGTGTGCTAGGATGGATGCACGACTTCTTCAACGCCAGCATTTTCGACGTGATCTAAAAACAGTATCAATACATTGATCTTCCACGCATCTTCTGTACTTACTTCCTTAACCTGGAATGGAGTCACGCTCTGCTTGAATTGGAAGAGAACGATGTGCGTAGTAGGCGGGATCACGTCCTGGGGCTTCCTCTGCAGCACCACATCCAGCAGAGACGTGACTGGGTTCGTTTTGCTCCGCATAAGCAGCGGTATCGATATGAACAGCAACAGCAGCACAAGGGTGCCTATCAACCGTTTCCGAAGCAGCATCCCGGCGTAGCACGGACCGTACGGCGTCGACCAAGAGTGAGCGAGTCGAGCGGCTCAACGAGAGGTAACTCTCTGAACGCAAGCGCGGTATCCAGCATGGATACAATGGCTCTTCAAAGAAGCGAACGGTTCGGTAGAGTAGGTGGAAGCTCGCAATCGTGGGAAGTTGGTGAAGTGTACTCAAGGCGGGAACATTAGTCTAGCTACAAGAAGCAAAGCGTGTTGCCCGTGCGTCAGGGAGCTTGGGCCAGGCCACGCAGAAGCGGAGCAAATGACGTGCCTGATCATTGACGAGAACCATCCATCTCAAGGAGACGGCAAATTTCATCATGGGCAAATTTCACGGCCGCACGAATCCCAGGCGGCGCCGGTCTCCTTTCCCGAGGCCAGATCCAGATCCAGAATTGCAGGATTTCTGACGCCGGGCTCGCATGATTGGGTGAAGCTTGGCGGCTCGTAGCTTTTACGTCATAGCGGTCAGGTGAAAGCCATCATCGCGACGCCCGCAGCAGAGGTACAAAAGCCTCTTGCCTTCCTTGTCTTCTACATTCTACCACAGTACGCCCGCCTCAGCTTATCCACGACACTCAAACCTCTACACCAACACCCAGCCCTCCACGCAACCCAGTCCAAGCACAATGTCTCTGCACTGTGAGTATTCTCTTCCCGGAGCAAACAAAGGAGCCTTCGCAATTGGCCATCGTCGATTCCGAGGAGAATTGCGCGTTCCAGCATCAACATTGAGACGAGCAGCCGTTGCTAACAAGGCCTTTAGACCTCCCTCCCGTCAAGCCCTCTGCCATCGCTCTCGGCACGGCCTTCAACCACGCCGTCTCTCTCGCCGTCCTCGGCCCCGTCTTCGGCGACGCCTACCGCCGCGCTCAGGCCGCAAACTCGAAGGAGGAATACTTCAACTCGAAGGAAGCCGCGACTGCCGCTGCCTCGTGGGGTAGCTCGCTGCTCGGCTCAGCCGTCCAGGCATACGGCGTTGGTGCGTTGATCAACGCTACCGGAACCCTTTCGTACAAGGGTGCTGCCTACCTCGGCTCTTTGATCTTCTTTGCTAGCTCTGCTCCATCAGTACGTCATTTCATTCTCAATGTCATATTCAATAGAGGCTAATTGCACCGCAGATCGTCTCCCAGATCGTCACCGAGAAGCGCCCGCTCGACACCGTTGCCGTCGGAGCCCTCGCCCGCGTCATGGAGACCGTCGGTCTCTCAATGTTCCTCACCTACTGGGGTACCCGCACCAACCCCTTCGACTAAAGCGCTTCCTCAATTGGTCTCGGTAGCGGAGGAGGAGTTCAGGGTTTCCGTCTTGGTGGCATAGATTGAGTTACTCAGTCCGCGATGGAGATGAGACACGACGAGCTTTGTGATAAGGCTTGCCTTCGGGCTTGCAACATGTACCACTAGGTCTAAACGAACCAGCATAATTCGGAAATTTCCTGAGCACGAATGATCCTCCCCAGCCAAACGGAGGGCTGACGTCTTTGAAATTTCCTGTCCGAAGTCTTATCTCTTTGAATGTCTGACAACACTTTACTCACTTTCGTTATTTAACCCGCGCGGGAATGATGAAGAGGAAAGAGTTTGCATCCGATGCGTCGCAGCCACCACCCTTTGAGCAGTACCGGGAGCCCACGCTTACACAGCGCGGTGATAGGTATTCATCTTAAGACCGGATGGTTAGCGTAGTACTCACTCGAGCAGGGAAATTTATCCCTATCATCCATGGATTCACGCTAAACGAAAAGTAGGCTATTCCCCTATTGCTGTCCACTTCAAGACGCCGCTAAGGGCCTAAAGCCATGCCCGTGGTTGCTGTACACATTGTATATCGCGCTGCTCTAACGCGCCTTACTACTTCGACAGATCATCTGCCCGCCCTGCTGATAGGAGAGGCCAAAGCAGAGATGATCAGATCCTCTCGTCCCAAGCCAAATTCTCGTCATCAGTGCTTGCAGCTCGGGCTATCCATACCGGGAGGCCATCTCCTTCGGGCAAAATTGTGAAGTAGATCAACAGCTTGCTGCTCAAAGCATTTCCAATTGGAGCCACTGCCCCTCGGAGAAAGGTGATCTGGCTCAGTCAGTACGAAGTTCCGCCGTGTGTACTCAGGAATGGGCAAACATACATTCTCCTCAAGCTCCTCGTAAGACGCAAACACCCACGGTTGGGGCGAGAATCGAAACGCTAGCTGGTAGTCCAGACCGGTGAGATCGATAAGGCGGCCCCCGTGCCTTTCAAGACGCATCGGATTTCCAGACAAGACGCCTTTATAGAGAGAAGCTGTTCGAGGTACTCTTCTGCTACGATGGCTATATATGACTTCTCGAAGTAGTATGATTCGCGAAGACACAGCGTCTCGATGTTTGGTGGTAGGTTCCGCAGGGTCCCAAGGCGATCGGTCTGGATGCCGAGATGCTTCAGCTTGGTAAACTGGGCGAGTGACGGGACTTTTAGAAGGCTTTTTGGCATCCTGATGAACCGGTTATGTAGGAGACTGTCCGCATCCGCATCCGCAAGCCAGGAGCACTGCCCAAAGCCGATGTGTAGACTCTCCAAAGTATCCGCTTGGCACTCCAGAGCATCGATGAGTCGTGCTGGGGTAAAGTTCTCGTCGGTTTCCATGGCAAGGGCTTCGTAATGGAGGGATTTTAGCGCAGTGAAACCCCGCAGAAATGGTTTGAGGCACGTATCGGCGATGCAACACATTGACAGCATTAGGTTTGAAACGCGGAAGCTGGGTTTCTGAGGCAGCTGCTCCAGGCCGTCCTCGTAGAGACTGCAGGCTCCATTCACCTTGAAGGTGTCCAAGGGAAGCTCGAGGAAGGGGACATAATCCTGAAGGGAAACCCGCTGCAATACTCGTTTTCCGAGATTGAGAGCGTGGTCATTTTCGGGAATAGTAGATTTAGTAGACCACTGTCGACTTTTTTGCGCGGATCTGAGATTGCAAAAGTTGGTGGACCGTCAAACGGCTCGAGGGGCACCAGTTCCATGACTTTGAGATTGCGAAGATGGCTGACCACAAGAGGGTAAGGAGAGTGGAATGCGGGTCTTCTGAGAATCGGACGTTCCATGTCGGCCTGGGTGTGAAGAGGTTTTCGGCAGCTTGTTTGAAGAGTGCTAGGTCGGTAGGGTTGATAAACTTAAGGAATCCTTCCGACTCTAGAGCTAGATTCGAGCGTATAAAGAGGTTTAATGTTCGAGTATTGCGCGCAAGATCAGGACGAAGGATGACTGCGCGCACCAGGAGGATCAATCGGCGCGTTGCAACATCGGTGTCGTAATCCCGATCCTAGTCGTCGTCGTCTTCGTCTTCGTCTTCGTCTTCGTCTTCGTCTTCGTCTTCGTCTTCGTCTTCGTCTTCGTTGTCTTCTTCGTTGTCTTCTTCTTCGGCGTCTTCGTCTTCGTCTTCCCAGACTTCGTCCTCGTCTTCTTCGGCTTCGTTTCCTTCGGTTCCATTTTCGTTATCTTCGTGTTTGTCTTTGTGAAGCTCTTTCCAGTTTTCCAACAAGTGTCCCCAGTGGCAAGAATCTAGACCTTGTAGGTCTAAACGACTGAAGAGATGAGGTTGCGCAGTAGGACGGAGAAGCTTTGACGTGCGACTAAGGTTGCAGAGCCATTTCCTATCGTAACAGACATCGAGCTGCTCGACAATGCGATAAAGCAGCTCGGCGGGGAGTGAGCTCAGTTCACGGGGCTCCATGATCAGCTCTGCTTCTCCGGCCGAAATGTGGTGATTGTTGAAGGTCGCAGGACGCGACGCGATCTGTTGCCCCGGTACCCACGTGAGGCCCGTGGTTTATATACGCCTTAAGCCCGAAACGGTAAGGTCAAGTTGTGGAGGGAGATGGAAACCTCTGTGCTTCACATTACACTGATGGTCCGAACGATCATGGCTGACGAAACTCCGCTCAAGGTGCGTGCGCGTCGCGAAAGGTGACCGAACTATCTGATTATCCGGTACAATAGGAACTGCGAAAGCGTGCGCCGAATGGGAAGGTTAGGAGACGAAAATTCTCTAGAAAGGATGTATTATTGTGCTCTTCTGAAGGAAAAAGAGACTTTTAGGAGCATCGAGAAAGACTGCATGTCCGACCTAAATCGTCTTCGACTCAGTCCAACCCCGCGCATCGAAGCGCTATACCCGGAAGCAGAGGAGTAGGGACACAAGCAGTCCTCGATGCTTTGATGATGGATCAGCATTGTGCATCCCCGATTGGGCAACGCTCATATACGCTTCCGCGCCCAGTGAGCTTGCCGGTCTCTCTATAAAATGGCAAATGTCGGCGAGGCAATGAGGACGGAGTCCGCACCTTGTTCGGATCGCCTAGACTGATTCTCAATCCTCAGATGCTAATATTTCGGGTATCTGGTGCTGTTAGTTCTCAGTATCCAAAAGCAAGGGGTCAATACCTACTTGGTCGTCGAGCTCGCGGTACATCGGGAGTCCAAAATCATTGAAAGTGACGAAGCAAACGTATAGCTTGTATGGTAAATTTGGGAAGGACAGGATAGAGCGCCCCTTGGCATCTTTGTGGTATGTTGCTTTATGCGCCTCCCCAATGCGGAGAATATCATTGCTTTTCAAGGCTTGGATGAATACGTATTGTATGTGAGGACACGTCTTGTCCAGATTCAGCAGGTCGTTCATATACCGCCGAAGTATATGGTATTCGCTAAGTGATCGGGTGCCGTGAACGTCCCTGATGATAAGCTGGATAATATTTGGTGGCAAATTTGCTGTGGCCCCCAAACGAAGCGCATCGATGCTTAATTGAATTAGGTGTTCAAAGCGACCCAGTGATCCAGTATCCAGATAGTTGCTTGCAAATTCCGCAGAATCGTCTTCTTCGACATCCGCGGCATACTTCACATCGGCGAGGCCAATGTCTAGAACTTCCAAAGACGAGACCTGCCGCTCCAGTGCGTCTTTGAGCTCTGCAGGAGTGAAATAGTCCTCGTAATCAACCAAATCATCGCCTAAATCTGCTGCTGAGAATTGAAACTTCTTGAGTTTGGAGAACGCTGCTAGAAAATTTGTGAGATTTTTGGCATCCATGAATGTGCAATTCCTTAAGTAAACTTCCGAAAGGAGCCAGGTACGTGGGGCTGGAAGAAGATAATTGTCGATGTAACGGTACCAGGCGGTACAAATGAATGTGTCGATACGAAAGTGATGTAATGTTGGGAGACAGAGGAACAGACCAAAGTCTTCCAACTCTGGAGGCACATTGTAGCCATAACCATAACTGTCTATATCAACTTCCCTTAGAGAAGGAAGGATTGAACAGACGTCGTCCTTGGTGAGTTGACCGCGTGGAACAAGGATATATGACGAGGCGTCAGTTGGAGGTACAAAGACGAGGCTGTGAAGGTTTGGTAGTCTGCAGAAAATGAGAGGGAGGAGAGCGCAAAATCCCCTTCTTCGAGTCCGCTCCGTCCAGTCGGGCGCATAAGGGAAGATCTCTTTGGCCATTCTGGAGAACAGTGCCGTATCTTCTGGCAGGATATGACCTCCAATGCCGTTATCCTGCGGACTTCCGAAGTCAAGATCCATAGATTTTGTCCTAGAGGCAAGGTCCGACCGCTGAAGTGCTGTCTTGGAGAAAAGCACAAGCCGACGTTTTGGTGGAAGGAGGTGAACCGCGTTTTTGCGGTCGGATTTGTCCGGCGAGGGAACGTCGAAGTGACTGAACAGCACCGGCTGAGCGACGTCCCGGAGCAGCCGTGAGGTGAGGCATAGGTTGTAAAGCGCTGGCCGATCATCACTGACGTCGATTTGCGCCACTGTGTGATGCAGCAGCTCCGCCGGCAGATCGAGAAGAAGTGAATGCGGCATGGCGAGTTACGGGGCTCTCGCAGAGCAGGAGGCGATAGATGGATTTTATCAATATAGCTGGACAGACTTGGAAAGGTAGAAAAGACCTCTGTTGGTGTGTGGGTAAGGTGAAGGCCGGGTCTGGTGGCGACTTCCTCAACAGATGTCGGTGCAGATGAAACGGGGACGTTCACACAGTTGACGACGGCATGACGTTGAACGCCGCCGTGAAGAGATTTGAGCCTGTGAAGGAAGAGCAAAATCACGTGCTTCTCGCATTAGTAGCGGTCTAGGTGTACTCTATTCACTCACCGTCGGCGGTGACACTTACCTGGAGTGACTGCTGAAGATTATCACTTAGAGGTAAGAGTATATAATAGAACCGCCCAGACGTACCTCAAGTCGACGACGTTGGAGCTGCGTCTGCCTAATGATAATGAGATTTTGCTTATACTTTACCATATCGTCCCAGCGGAAGCATTGTGCGAACCGAACGTAGATGCTGGTAGTTCAGGCGTAGACGATAGGGTAGTCGCCTTTTAAGATATTGGTATGCGAATAGAAATGCAGCGCACTGCTTAATCTGTCTCGGACGTCGGTTTTCCAACACCATCCAAAGTGCGCCAGAAACCTAAAGCCTTCGTCCTCTCGTCGTGCTTCGGCGTAATGCGTCACGGAGTAAACCCTAAGACAAACCAAGAAACCCTTCATTCGAAGCGGCACCCACGGAACGACATAGTCTTTATAACCCCCCACCCGCAAGCTTTACACGAGGGGCCAAAAAATCCCCTATCGAAAATCTAATCACGCTACTCGCCTCACTCCGATCCTTCTACTCGCCATCAGCTCGCTTTCCACCCCCCGACTGCTCTAATCGGGCGATGTAACTCGGCGGAGCGTTTGTGGATCCCAAAGTTTAATTCCGTGACGCGGTCGTCGGATTTAGGTTTACCAGTGCTGCAGGCGATATGCGGACCTGTCTCGCTTGCGACGCTAAAACAACGGTACCAAACACTGCGGTTCAGGCGACATGAGACTTTGCATATTAGGTAATGCTGCTTTGGAGGGCCTCGGCTCAAAGGAGCACTTGAATGAAGATCCACGGTTTGGGGTTTGACATGTTTGGTACGAAAAGTGGTGAGATTCGCTTGTAATGAGCTAGGGATCCTTCTGAGTAGGAATCAATCCCCACGAGCCGTGGCTGTGCTGTGGCGCGACAAACCCGAGACGAGAAAGACATGTCACAGATAGAGCACCCGAGTCGAGGTCGGTCCGGACTGGCAGGATGTTTGGTATTTGTAGTTGCGCGCTATCCAGGATGGTGGAGCCGGATCTTCGGAAGGATGGGGGAAGCCCAATGCAGGGGAGAACATATAACAGGCATTGCGGGGTACATATATGGAAACCGTGCACACTTATCTTACATATATGTATCCTGACACTGTTTGTACTGTACAATTGTTGCTGAGCACTTGTAGATCCACTGAGTCTGCGCTCGATCCCCTCGTCCTATGTCGGCAGGCGTTGGAAATGTACTCTTTTCTCAGATACCAGGCCTCACTTGGACTTTGGTGTCCGTCTGCCGATATTGTAACCCCAGCCCCTCAATGTCTTCGCAACTTTCGGAAGGAGGGCCGCCGTGAGCGGAATGCGGATGAAAATAAAGGACTTGTGGATGGCATACGCGAGAGCTAGTTGCGTCCAGATAGCTGTGAAATGTGTCAGCCATTAAATACATCACGAGGTTCCCCGAACGACTGGTCGCGTACATGCTTCGGCCCCGCTATTCCTTGCGTCAGCCTTGCCTACATCGCTGCTCCATCCCAGGTTCCCTTCTCTTGCCGTAGCTTCTAGAGCCTCGTCGGCGGCAACTGCTCCCCCCGGGCCGGTGTTCTTCCCGAAGTCCGGGAACGGTATTCGCACCACGCTCTTGAGCGCTTCGACTACGACATGCTCATAGTGGCCTATTCGGTCTGTCCCCAGCATCCGCACGGCCAGGAAGCAGAATGGGAAGTCAAGCACGGTCAAGCCCATGTACACGCCCAGCGCCAGCCAGCCATATTCCCGGGAAAGCTTCTTCAGCCGCTGCGTCAGCGAAAGTGCTGGCTCAGGGCTTCCCAAGTGTGGAGTGGGATCTGGATTCTGCGTCGGCCTCTTGTCGCTCTTGAAGCGGCGGGAGCGGAGGGGGCGGAAGCGGCTGGGGAGCGCTTGTCTCTCGCAGCGGAAGAGAAAGAGGGTATTCTGCCGGAAGGGCGTGGATGGCAGTCGAAGCCGAGCGGCAGGCTGTGAGGAGGAGGAGAAGCTGCGCGCGAAGGGCTTCGACTGCCGAAGAGCAGCGCTCCGCGAGAGCTGCGGCAGCTCCCGGAACAGGAGCTGCTCCGACCAGAGGCGCGCGGCGTGCGTGTTCATCGAAGGCTGAGGCGTGGAGGGAGGGAGGGATGGACTCGTCTGCGCAAGGCGCGGAAGCGGGATTGGAGTGGGTCGCGGTGGGATTGTTTCAACGCGGTCGGCGCGAGTGAACTCAAGGTGACGAGACATCACTTTTTTGAGCAGGGGTCCTGTCGGCCCGAGGAAGACCCGACCTCAGCCCGCCTCGGGCCGGGCGTGCATCCGATGCCAGGAACGCCCGCACTGCATGGAAGATTCGCTGCAACGGCACGAGTGCGCTAACGGCGTGTGGCTCTTCTTGGGCATGTTCCTTTTGCTATTCTAGAACCACACGCGAAGGTGAGGCTGCACGATGCCTCCGCGCCGACGACTGACGTCGACTGAATCGCCGGCCTGAAACGGAGCGCCCATAGCACCGGGAACGACGGCGCTCGCTGCTGGCCTCTCTGCTCGCAGTGCGCGCCTCCCTGAGTCTGCGGCCGCCTGGACATGACAGAGCCGTCTCTTTTCGTACAGCGCAGCGGCAACAGCGGCTTCAAGAAATGTCAATTGCCTGGGCTTCTGCCCGAGAGGCGTCTCTGGGGCTCCCCCACACCAGTTCCTGGCTATAGCCTGTCCCCCTAAGCCCCCAGAGTCCGGGGACGTCCTTTTGCCATCTGCAGGCCTTTTTCCTGTGGGACGGCGCTTCGCTGCGTCCCCGAGCGCCATGGTGGTTCGCGGGCAGCAGACAGGGGTTGCGCCGCACGTGGAGCTAGCAAGTCCCCTGGAAGAGGATCAGCCAGGCGCCGGCCAAGGGATCCGCAGAAAAGTCTCGAAGAAGCATCGTCTATCGCGAGACGTGCCAGAGAGCTGCAATTGGAACGCTCAAACGAGGCCTGCGTGAGGGCGGGCGTCCGCATGCGGAGCGCATTGCAGATGCTCGACTCGCCGCCACTTGCCCCGACGGCAGCGTTCGGCGCTCAGTGTCACGAGAATGCCTGCGGCTTGATGGCATGGCAGTCCCGGGCAGAGGCCCGCGGCGAGTCGGCGATCAGGCCTCTGCCCACTCGGAGGTTGGACGTGGCAGCAGAGTGCTGATCGCGTGCTGGTGCTGCTCACACAGAGTTCAGACGCCGAATTCTAAACTGCGGGGCGGCTTGCGTAGACTGGCCCATCCAAGATGCGAACTGGTGTCGTCCGGGCCCGACGACGGCGTAGTGGAACATTAATTGGAACACGAGCGCCGGTGCTCCTTTGTCCCTGTCATGTTACTGTAGGTGGTCGTTGGGCGACTGCAACGGCCCTCGACTCCTCGGAGCGTGGGATAGTCGCGAGTAATGGGCGCGCATGCTCGACGCAGTCGTGGATGATGAGCGTCTGACATCGCGCGGGACGCAGCGGCCTGCAGCGTTTTGCAACGTCTGATTAGCCTAATTCGACCATGGCATGGATGCGCGCCCGTCCGCTTCTGGGATGCCGTGCGGTGCCGTGCTGTTTCCCTGGCGAGCATTGCGCCCACGATTCCCGGCGCCACATCCCACTGCCGGCCACCGCTCCTCCACCTCCTCACCTCCCTCTGCGCCGCCCTCTGGTCCGCTGCCTCCGCGCCCGCTCCCTTCATGCCGCACGTGCCCGCCGGCCGTCTCATTGGCCCCGTCGGGCGCGCTCCTGCACGGCTCGGAGCCTCGCGCTGCTGCGCTGGGCGAAGGTTTCCAGCGCGGCAAACAAAGTTTTTGCCCTTCAACCCTGCTACGGCACCAGTCGCAAACTTTGGCCTACCGGTATCGAACTGCTGACGAGTGACGACGAGCCTTATTGCACCACCCAGGCATATAATTGCCCCCGGGCGAGTCGCGTTAGCCCCTTGATTGGCCTGTCGCCCTGAGCGCGCTCTTCCTCTGCGCTGACCGCACTGGAGCGCTCCAGTGTTCCAGCGTTGCGGACAGGGCTCCTTTTGGCCAGGAACGGCATCGTGCATGCCCACCTGGCTCGGCTGACTCTGGCACTTTTGCTCTCTGCTCTTGCGAGCCCTCGGCAGCCATCTGTCGCTGCCTGGCGGACCGGGGCCGCTCGCTCACGCGTTCGTCGGACGGGTAGTCCGCAGCCTGGTGTCGCACTCGTCCTTCGCTTCACACCTTGACAGCGCCCAAAGCGGCACCCTCCCGGGGCCAGCTGTTTGAGGCTTCAGCTAAGCACCTTGCCCTACGCTGGTGCATGACTTGTTGCTCAGGATCTACCTGTCTTTCCACGTGGGTTGATCTCATACCTGCAAATGATTATTTATATCCTCCGGTATATATACTCCCTCCGCACAATCCCTTCACCTGCTATACCACTTGGCCTCGACTCTTGACCTGCCCCTGTGCTATCCCTACTACCTCCCCTCCGCATTGTTGCTCGAGCCGTCATCTATCCAGTTGCTCCTTCCGTTCTCGTTTAGTGTTATCTGCCTATAGGCAATTTACTTTCGACATTGCGCAAGCATGGGTGGTAACGCGGAATATATAGCGGGCTACGGCACCCTCTCGCTCTCCCAAGCTGTCCACATCGCTCAAAACAGCGAGGGCGGCGTTGACCAGCGACTTGCTCAGTACCTCGAGAGGAAACTGGGCGAAGTGTGGGCGCGACTGAACGCCCAGCCAAACACGTACATCTTCCCGCCGGACGAATTCGCCCTCATCAATTACTACCGCTCGCGCTTCGGCGACTCGGAAATCGTAAGAAACGCCACGAAACGCTTCTGGGACAATCACCGGGGATCGCGTTGACGTGTCGCTTTCCTGCTACTGACATCGTTCATTCGCACGAGGTTCGCAGGCCCTCCCCGCGGCGATGGAGTGCTCGAAAGGCTAATGCAACGCCAGACTTGAAAAATTCCTTCCAATTTTATTCGGCGTCAACAACGGAAGTGTACATTATGGCTGTCTCCCAAACGATACCATCAGGCGGCGTCAATGGAGTTTTCAGAAGCCTGGAGTCTTGGTCTGGCGGGTTCTCAAAAGTTTGGAGTTGGATTGTGTACGATCAAGAGCAGGGTAGTAGCGGAGCATTGGCGTTGCAAGCCGATGGCCAATCTGGACTGGTGCAAATGGATAAGAAGCGAGGATGTCAACCATCATCAGCAGCCCGCATTGCGATACTACCTTTCCTGTCTTTCTTCCTAATGCTAATCTCCCTTTTGCAACCGACGGCCGCCATTCTGACCGCCCAGCGGCCTGAATTGCTAGCTCCCGGGCCAGCCCTGACTAGTCGTGCGCCGAATCAGTCCTCGCCATTGCTAGAATGCCTTCAAGTGTCGCCGCCCGTGTTGAGTCCGAAGAGCTGCCAGCAGACGCTGATGGTCCACACGTTCGCATGGTCCTACGGCATGCCCTTCGTCCGCGACTATGTTCCTCCTGAGTGCGACTTCAACCGGGTTACGATCAACTTTACCGTCACGTCCGCCGGTCGGCAATACGACCGCCTTGCGCTGATGTTTTTCAACGACACCGAGATATTCAGAACTTCGACGGCTGAGCCGACTCAGAATGGGATCATCTGGACGTACATCAAGGACATGAGTAACTACTTGACGTTATTCAAATCGCCGCAAAAGATCATCTTCGACCTGGGCAACCTCGTGGACGATACATACACGGGCGCGTGGAATACCACCCTGACAGCAAGCTTCTTCACGGCAGAAGACGGGTTCGATGCAGCGGACGTGATCATTCCGGTCTCCGCGCGCCAGTCCGCATCCGACAAGCCGAGCGGCTTCGTCGTCCCCGACACGAAGGCCATAAATCCCCTCACCCTCCCCCAGAATGTCAAGAAGGCAGTCTTCTCTATATCCGCCTGTGGCCAGGCTGCCGAAGAGTTTTGGTGGGCCAACGTTCTCTCCTCCGACACAACAGTCTTTGGAAACGAGACGACCCTGTACGGCTACTCTCCGTTTCGGGAGCTTCAGTTATACATCGATGGGATGCTGGCGGGCGTGGCATGGCCCTTTCCCGTTATCTTCACCGGAGGTGTTGTGCCCGGTTTCTGGCGACCTGTGGTCGGTATCGACGCGTTCGATCTGCAAGAGGATGAAGTCGATATTTCGGCATTCCTCCCCATTCTGTGCGACGGGAAAGAGCATAGCTTCGAGATTCGGGTCGCTGGGATCGATGACGACGGACGCGGCAACGGGAACTTGACGGACACCGTTGGCTCGAATTGGGTGGTTACTGGGAAGGTGTTTGTTTGGCTCGACTCGAGTGATAGCGTCACGACAGGCACCGTTCCGACTATCTCCGCCCAGGAGCCTTCCTTGGACCTGTCTTCGTCAGTGCAGAAGGGCGGCAACGGGTCGGTCACTTCTCTGGATTACTCCGTGAAAGCCGCTAGGAAGCTAGCAATCAGTTCGACGATCGAGACATCGGCCGGCTCGAAGACTGTTACGTGGCAGCAGGATCTCACCTTTTGGATCGACGGCCACCTCACAAATGGTGGCAACGACCAAAGCACATCGCAAGAGACCACGGGCAAGGACGTCTCCTTTGATGGCTACTCCAAATCGTACGATTATCCGCTATGGGTTATCTCATCCTACAAGGTCCTGTCGGGAGGGAACTTCACGATTGACGCAAAGATGGGCCGCGGAAAGTATGTTCAGAGGTTGGGTGATCTTGCCTTCCCTTCGGCGGCGGAGACATACGATTATGCCCGTTTCCCCGGATACGCGACTTCCTTCATGGGCACCCAGACGAATAATTTCCAGAACGGTACCGCGAGCTATCTCAGTGCTCCTGCACTGAAGAGGTCGTTCGGATCAGGCAAAACTGAGCAGTTGTATTCTCTGTCCGGTATCGTCGATCCGGCTGAGAGCAATGTAGACTTGTATCGCCGTCATATCGTAGCCCAGAACGACTCCATTATTTACGACCAGGAGAGCTTCGCGGGCGGTAGTCAAATTACTCAAAAGAGCTACGCCACTCCACGCGGGGAAACGCGGACTTACGCGAAGCACGGCATCAAAGAATTGCTTGGGCGGGGTCCATTGTAACGGGAACAAGAAAGTGGTAGTTCAAGAGAGGGAGGTGGCAGGACTGCGAAGTGCGCGTGGTGGCGACTTGGGTATGGCCTTGGGCTGCAGTCAAAATGTTCGAGCCTTGGGTCTACGCTACCGTATGCGAAGCTCATGCAGCTCTCCAGAGACGGGAATGTGCAGCTCATAAGTTTCATCTCGCTAATTTTTGTCAACGCATACTTACTAATTCCAAATGGCCCTCCTTGGCCCCGTTCTTCTTGAACTCTTTCCGGCTTCTGTTCCCTGTTATTAGACGTTTGCATAACCATTAGCGCCGCGAATCCATGTAACACGGCATCCCAATCAATCATGCTGCCGGTACCCATAGGCTTTTCGCAACTCAACGAGCCAATACCACCGCCCCTTCGTCAAAGCACGCATGTCCGGCAGATTAATACGCACAGAAACATGTTTCCAGGGCGCATGCCTTTAGGTCATGTGCCCGACAAAGGTCAACTCGTCTCCCCGCTTATAACGGCTGGTGCTAACATGCGGGAGGCCAGCATCATGACATGTCTCCTTCCAGCACCTTGCCCCAGGAATCAGTCTGCAATTCCAGCCTGGTGGATCCACTCAGGCGGCATACACAGCCATTCAAGTCCTTGTGTGTCGATGCGCACTGCTGGTATCAAAGCAGATACCCCACGTTGACGTACCCGAATCGGCTCATCCGAGCTTCATCCATGCATACACGAACCATGAATTGTTGACGTGTTTGACACCATCCGTGTCCGTCGTTACACAGAACATCCATTGCTGGAACGGAGCCGGCTGCGGTCCACCATCCAGGATCGCCGACGGGACCTAGGAGAGTCGGTCCTTTACGTGAGACTTTGACCTCTTGAGCCATCGTGGCTTGGTGGAGAGCAGGAGCGAGAGTCCTGTTGAGGCCCATGCCCCGATTGCCGCATCCAACATGACCTGCAGCGCGCACATGCAAACATTGCTGCTCCCCCACGAGCCGTGACATACCCAGTACCTCCCCACGCTGACCCCGTACGCTCTCCGCGTGCAGACGGCGAGGGCCGGAACAGCTCCTGGCTTTCGTCAAGAGTCCTCCTGCAGTGAACCCGGCGGATGGAGAACTGACAACTTCCATATTACACGACCTTTGCCATAGGCGCACTGCAACATTGTTTACCCGCGTGTAACGGAACGATAATGGCCGTGTTATTTGGATGGGTCGGCGCAAAAAGTCGAAATTGATCAGTGTTGCCAGGAAGACAAGACCGCACCTTTCAGCTCGAGCTCAAGCTCAAGCCGTGTCACAGTGTCTTTAGCCTCGTCGGAGCGGAAAGTCTCACGCATGGATTGAGCAGGCGGCTTCCCGCTCCACCGCATGGCTTCGAGTAACCCTCGATGAAGACACGACGGCTCGCCACGTCTTCCCGACAGCTGTCAACCATCCGAACGTGCAGGCGGGGAAGAGGGAGCACGCCGATAGGTCCCTCCAGCGCGCACAGCACCAAAGTCGATAAACTCTCCGCACACGCCTGGTCCTGGACGCTGCCGTTCTACATACCTGCCGTTTATCGCTTGGCCTAGAGTATCTGAGAGCACGCACGTAGTTTGCCATGACTCGCGCTGTCCCGGCCGTAAGGCTGAGTTTGATCACGCGCATAACATGTTTCGAATAGCGGCGGGACCAGCATCGAGCTTCCTGTCGGCGCTGTGCCACAACGCTGCACTCATCACAGCAGGAGCTCACTACTGCACATCATTACACATCACTACAATACACATCACCTTACTCCTTCTGCAGCAGGAAAAGTCCATCGCCGATCACTCGTCTGCATTGCCACTAGCGGTCTCAAGAATGTCAATTCTTCAGACTGCGCTGGACTATGCGGACTACGGTCAACTATGCAGAGTCTACGTCGAGTCATGAGCTTTTGTACTACAGCTTCCACGTGTGGAGATGGGATAGGGGACGTGGGCGGGCCGTGCCTAAGGTAAAAGGCATGCTGAGGCGAGACGTGGACACGAGTCGGTCTTTCATGCTTTGCAGATCGAATCTCATGCGCGAAAACCCTGGGCTCCTCATCGAGCACCGGTAACTTCTAACATGCATCACCGACCGGCTTGTTTTACGCCTCCGAGAGATTTCTGATTAATTATGGGCCATGCTGTGGGATTTGAGATGTGGTCGGCACTTTACACACCGCCCCAACAACAGCCTGTGCTATGAAGCCCTAAGCAACTGCACAAGCTCAGGAAAGCAGTGCAAGATAGCACCGCAACTGGTGGCGCCCAAGGCTTATTGCGCAATGATGGTCAGAAGCTTCGACCTTCCCCAACGTGCCCCGGCTTGCCTATTTGGTCTGGTCGAGCTCTTCGTCTCATTGCCCGCCCTCTCGCCACACTCTCTACTCGCCCTAGACGCGCCGGTTTACGGAGACACCTGCACCTGCTAGCTGCAGTAGTGCCTCATACGAGGTCAACGTCGAATGAGCCAAGTCATCGAATGTTCCGTCCACCGCCATTGAGGGCCCTTAGAAGCATGTGTGGCTTGCGTCGACCAGTAAGAGGAGGGCTGACTTTAACTTTTGTGTAACGTATATGCCACCATTCTGATCGGTGTGCGCTTCCTTACTGGGCACATGCAGGCACGGCGTGCAAAAGAGCGGCATATGCAAGCGAATGACGCAGAACGAAGGTGGGAAAGCATGTGGAATAATGCCACCAAGCATCGTCCGAAGATCGAAGCGGGGTTTGCGACCCCAACGTGGACTAGGACTTGCACAAAAATGACTTGCAGCGTACCTTCTCCTTCGAGGAGAGCGTGGTTAGGCGCCAGAGGCGTCAAGAGGAACGGCCCGAGTCAGTGTCGCGCGGTCGACATTTATCGGTGTGAACGGGGAGGTTATAATGAGCGCACTAAGGGCTTAGCAAAGGGGTGACGAACTTGCCTCTGCCCTTCGTGAGCAAGGAGCTTACCTTGACAACCGCTCGCGGAAACGTTCTGGAAGCATTAGAACCCTTGGCTTGGACTTCTCCGTTCACTGGGTGCATTTCTTGAAACTTGGAGGATGACCGAGAGCTCACTGCATGCTTCGATGCAAGCCGGAGGGGTAGTGAGCGCGATAGCTCCCCGGGGGAGTCCACAAACTCTGTGGATTCATAAAAATTGGACCAGCAGCGCATGTCTAGCGAGCGGATCCGCAAGGAGATTACCTTGGGTACTGGAGCTTTGCATGGCGCTAAACGTCCACGTCCAAGGTGCTTGATAGCAACTTTCAGCATCTTGCACGTTGATTCCCACTCGGCACTGTCACTTGTCTACTGTACCTTCCCGCGGGGATTCCTGTAAGACCGAAGAGCTCAGGCCCGGCAGCAGTGTGCCTTGTGACGGCACTGGAAAAGACTTGGAAGCGCGTCTTGAAGCGGCTTCGCTTTAAACGCTTGCGGGCGAAGAATGAACGCCCTTGGCTGTAAACGCGGACGTACCCAAGAGTACCTGGCTCAGTCAAGGTGCGCAAACCTGATAAGCCGCTTCTTTCCCGTCGTCTCTCGTTCTGACGTTGGCATGCTTCGCGTTCCCCCAGGCCGGACAGCGAGAGCACGATCTCGCTGGGACGATACCTGGATATACCCTCACCAGAGCTCCAATGAGCACCTGAATCCAATGTGACGGTCACAACACGGCTGATGAAGCTGTGGTCTGTTCACGGAGAATTGGCGGTGGAAATTAGGTTCCGTCGAGACTACATAGGCTCGCTAGCTTCCACGTGCGCGGGTCGTCGTGCGCACATGGCTGCGGTAGCGAAGAACATGATCACCACGACCCGCGCATGCCGGGCCGAATCCATCAATCTTCCACCAGAATCCCATCCCAAATTCCCATCGATCAAAGCAAGAAAACACCTTGCAACCGATCATGCGGCTCTCCATTCTTTGACCGCCGGCGATTGGTGCCCACACCTGCCGCTTCGGGCGAAACCGACACCGGAACACGAGGGGCGAGGTTGGAGGAAGTGTCGCGTGCTTCTACTCGTTGGTGACGCCGCGCTATCGCCAGATGCCGTATGGCGTCTCATGAGTCACCAGCCTCCATCTTCCGCTCCGCTGCCTCGAGGATTTCTCAACGCCGTCACAGCCTTCGGTCCTCCTTCCAGGCCGTTCAATGAAGCGCCATGAGCTTGCCGCCGCCGCCAAAGGCCGTGAACGACCATGGTAAGAACGATGAGCTCGCGAGCGAGCTTCAGGATGCCTTTTCCGTTAAGTCGGATGAGAAGCCTGATGACTCGCTGAACGCCGCGTTCAGCGGGGCAATTCGCGCACCTTCGCCGGACCCCTCGGTCCACTCCATCGACAACTCGCACAACGCACGAGTTGGCCGCAACCCCAATTACCTGCCGGTACCAGATGGTCGTAGACATGCATCTCGTTCGCCAGGCCCGCCGCGCACCTGGAAGGGCAAGGCGAAGCTGTTCTGGGTGACGAATAAAGGGCTCGCACTTGTCTTGCTTTCTCAGCTTTTCGGGACGCTGATGAACGTCACTACGCGTATGCTGGAAATCGAAGGAAACAATGGTAGGCTGCATTCATTGTCCTCTATCAGGGCGCTTCAAGCTAAGCGGAGAACCTACAGGACAAGGCTACCATCCTTTCCAGATCCTCTTTGCGCGAATGGGAATTACAGTCATTTGCTCATCGATCTATATGTGGCGTGCAAAGACAGAGCACTTCCCGTTCGGCATGAAGGAAGTCCGCCCGTTGCTGATAGCTCGTGGTTTGACAGGCTTCTTTGGAGTCTTTGGGATGTATTGTAAGTCTATCACCGGTTTCCTTTCCCCTGTGACCATATAGTGGACCACTCAACGCACCAGGACTCTTCCAGTCTGGCCTCTTGCGCTGGCGGCAAAGCATCCTCTGACTGCGCTCACATGTGGGTTGTAACCTACAGTATTTGATCTCACAACTTCCCTCAAACCTCGGAAACTAATTGATTCCAGATTCCTTGTTGTACCTCCCGCTGGCCGATGCCACAGTCATAACCTTCCTCGCCCCTAGCCTCGCTTGCTGGGCCTGTTCGTACCTGATCAACGAGCCCTTCACGCGAATGGAGCAAATAGCCGCATACATCTCCCTCTTCGGAGTATTCCTCATCGCTCGACCCGTCTCCCTATTCTCCTTCCTCTCGCACAGCAAAGATTCGGTACCTCCGGCTAGCGGGAATCCAGACTTTGTCCCCAGTCCTACGAATATGACCGCTGAAGCCCCACACCATTTTGCCGCCGATTACGACGATGTCACACCAGCTCAGCGTGCAGCCGCTGTAGGGGTGGCCTTGTTAGGCGTGTTTGGAGCAGCCGGCGCGTATACGACTATCCGATGGATAGGGAAGCGGGCGCACCCCCTCATTTCAGTCAACTATTTCGCTACATGGTGCACGATAGTGAGCATTGTGATGATGTTTGCGCTGCCGGGCGTGGGTTTCCTGCTGCCGAAGAGCATCAAAGATTGGTGCTATCTTCTCTTCTTAGGTGTTTGTGGATTCGTCATGGTACGTATGAGCTCGACTGTCGGACACATCAAGTGCTAATACTTCCAAGCAATTCCTTCTCGCCGCTGGATTGCAGTATGAGAAGTCGTCCCGAGCGACCAATATGGTATACACGCAAATGCTTTTTGCTTTGACTTTCGACAAGCTAGTGTTCGGGACGACCCCGACGGCGCTATCTATTATCGGTTCCTCACTGATCTTGGGCTCTGCTATCTACGTGGCGGTGCACAAGGAAGTTGGGAAAAGGGAGGGAGATCGTCGAGGTAGATCGTCGCGAGAGGAAGAGAGGGGCCTGATGTCGCCGAATTTACTCGGGGAGATCGATGATGACGACGATGCAGCGATTCAAATGAGGACACTGCGATGAGAGGTCGAGGATGAAGCCCTCCTTGAGGTTTGCAGTAAGAATAGAATTGGACGTATTCATGGAAATATGAAGGCATATAGGAAGGCATTGGACGGACCAGCATATAGACGTCGAGTATAGAAGTCCATCTGATATTAATGTGCTGAAAAAGGCACCGTCTTTGGTCTCGTATTGGGAACATTGTTGCCTGGAAGGATGTCCAAGCTCCACCGAAGTAGGAATAGCGTCCGACCCCACATCAAAACTACGATTTCTCATCAATTCACCTTCAGGACAATGGCCAATTTACTCGATTTGCCAACCGAACTGCTGCTTCGCGTTGCGGAGTCGCTCACCCCTAGCGAAGGTACCGACAATCCAACGCTTGCTAGCCTATGCTTGACCTCGCGCCTACTCCGAGCTGTTGCTCAACCGATCCTACATACCTACGTCCACGTGTCTATTCAGCTGTATCCAGGGCCTCTGTGGCTCTTCCTTCGAACCCTGTTGGAACATCCGACACTAGCCAAGAGAGTGAAAGAGATCTCACTCCCAACCCGGAAACCCAGGGAAGACAAGGATGCGACTGAGATCCCGGTTGAACAGATACTCGAAGAGATATTACAAATACCTTCAAACCGGCTGAACAGGGAGCAGCTCTTCGACTTCAACGAGGTTGTCGTTGAGATTCTGTCTCGATTGCCCAGTCTGGAGCACATCGCCCTAACAGCGCTGTATGATCACCCAGGATCAATCCTGAGCTCGCTGCATACGTCGCCAGTGGATCCCAACCATTTCGCTAAACTGAAGACCTTCCATCTCAACAAACAGTACGAAGACGGACCGGTCAACCTCGCCGGTTACATTCCGGTCCTGCAACTACCCTCCGTTGAGCGTGTGTCGACCGAAAATAGCGTTCCCACCGGACTAGGGGACCTACCGCCTACAAATGCACTCAGCCACACGGAACTCGAGCTATTCTGGTGCTTCGTGAATCTTCCCACGCTCCAGGATCTGCTCAAAGCATGCTCTTCTCTACGAAGCGTCTCCTTCGTCATTCCGAATGAATGGCGCTACCGCACAATGCAAGACGTGGGAGTCTACTCGCAGTTTGCGCCCCAAGAATTCGTCATTGCACTCCTTCAAACGCACAGTCACACCCTCGAGATGCTCTGGGCAGACTTCCACGCCTACTACGACCTATACGAGCGCGAGATTGTTGAAGAGATGGCAGAAACAGGCCGTGAGAACTCAGCGTATGTCTACCCATCGTTCCGCGGCTTCGACAACCTACGGCGCATGACGATCGAATTTGGACGGTTGGTGCGGGTGAGGGATCTACCCGAGGCGCTGGAGAGCTTGAATCTCAGGCATTGCGAGTTTGCGGAATTGGATGAGGGGTATTTGAAAGATCTCTTGGAGATGAAGGATAGGTGGTGTCCGAACATCCGGGAGGTCATTGTTCATGGCACGGATGAGAGCGTTGAGAGCATATTGCTAGCTCAAGAGCATGCGAGAAGACTAGGTGCGCTGTTCGGTACTTCGGCTGAGGACGGCCGCGTGGTGACTTTCTTGGGACTCGGATTCTGCTTGCAGCTCCAATGTATGCCGGGTAAATCGCTGCGACTGCAAAGTTCGGAGGAGCAGGAAGGAGAGGACGAAGACGGGGATGAGGACGATAATTAGGAGGACGCAAGCTAAAGAAAGGGAGACCATTCAAGGGCAGAAATGTCTATCACGACGCACGTCTATCTCATCTCAAACACCCTCTCTTCGATCTCTCCGCTCTCCACAAGCTCCATAACCTCTCCACGCATCAATCCGCCCACACACGCATCCCCCACAAACTTCCACCCGGCCTCCATCTCCCTTAATACGAACGGAATCTGTCCACCCCAAAGCACAGCCACCACATCCCCAGCTCTCGCCGCCCCCGGCCCAAGCCCCAACCTCCCACCCCCCGTAAGGACAGGAGCGCGATAGCATGTATATCTCCATACCGCCTCCGTCGCCCTATCTGGATTGCCTTTTCGCGCACCGAGAGCAGAAAGCAAGGATGCTTCGCTCGGCCAGACGGCGTGCAGGTCGATTTCAAAGTTTTGGAGAAGCGCGATAAAGTCCGCAAGATGCTGTTCGTCATCCTGGATCAGCGTACCGCTTACGTCTCTCCCGCCGGTCAGTGTCTTCGCTAGCGTGAGCGCGTCGACGTTCGCTCGCAGACACCACTGTACTAGCTCTTTCAGTATGGTTGGTGACCGGTGCAGCTGCGTGAACAAGATACGATCCCTTGCCTCAGAAACAACGTCCACAGCTACACCTTTCAAGCTCAGGCACTTTGGGTCTTCTGTCGGTAGCAAGCGCATCGGGCGAGCTGTCCCCGCGTGGTGCCTGTTCGCCGGCCTATACCCCATGAAGGGGAACACGACGTCCTTGCAGTTCCAATCCGGGACCCAGGACGGCAATCCGTTCCGTTTTCCCTCGTTCCCGCCTTCTTCATCTTCGTCAGCTTTGCCATGCACCACAAAACTTAGCACATTCAGCGCCTCCTCCCTCTCCACCAACGTCCTGGCAACCTGCATATAGACTTCCACAATCGAGACACCATAATCGGGCATGACAAACACACCGCTCTCCTTAGCCGCATTAATAGTCGAAAACCCCAACAACCCATACACCTTATCCCTCGGCTCGCTAACATCAAAGCTCCTCGCTACATCCAGCAGATGTAAGAACGGATGAGACTTGCTCTCGCCCTTGCGCTGCTGCTCGCAGAGGTACTTCATCAGGAACGCGTTTTGCAGGTTGCGGCACTCGAGGAGCGCGTGCAGGTAGGAGTTAGCGTGGATGGCGGAGATGGCGGCGCAGAGCGTGGGCCAGGAGATCGAGGCCGCGCCCCAGATGAAGAGCGCGTGGCGTGCTAGGACAATTTCCTGTAAGACCCACATGCGTGTGAACCTGCGATTGGCGTTAGTAGGAGGGAGAGGGAGAGGGAGAGAGGGAGGGTAAAGGTGAGCTACTTGCCATGCATTTATGAAAAAAGACATGACTTTGATCCAAATCCTATCACCCAACTTAGGGACTTCCTCTAGCTGCACAATTCCTCCCGTCTCCCCTTCCCCATCCATCTCATACCCCACATCCCTCCCCTTCCCTCTACCCTGATTCACAAGCGCACACAGCACCGCAAACGCCTCCCCCGCGTCGCCTCTCTCATCCGTCCCCAGCCAAACAAGCACCCCGCTTGCCCTTGCATAGATATCATGCATCTTCCCCACCTGCTGCGCCTTCTCCCCCTCATCCTCCTGGCAAATACACAGTGCATCACACCACACCAGTCTCTCTTTCTTCCGCAATCGCAGCCGCTCCAGCGCTTCGAAGAGATTCGTACCCACACGGGTGTTCTGATGGCCGTTGACGGTGAGCGTTTGGTGCCCGGGCTTCAGGCCCCAGACGTAGGACAGGGCTTCGTAGGCAGGGAGGACGGAGGAGTCGAGGCGCGCAAAGGAGAGCGAGCAGCGCACGGGCTGGGAGGGCGCGCCTGGGTGTATGCGCAAGAGACGGATGGAGTCTTCGTAAGGGAGGGGTGCGTAGAGGGGCTTTGGAGCGCGGTGGAAGCAGGAGAAGAGGAGAAGAGTGCCGAGGTAGCGGGGTATGTTCGCTAATTTCGAGGAGTGCGGTTCATCTCCGTCGTGTTGACGCTGTTGGCTGGGTTGAGTGAAGGAGAGAGTCTGCGCCATTGTACGACTCATTCGACGCGTGATTGAAGCTGACAGCGGGAGTGACGACGACGAGGTTCGTAAGTAAGGATACTGTCGCTTTGAAGTATGAAAGTCGGATGCGCAAGTACTCGAGATGCACGGGAGGACCGAAGCCACACACTGGAGGCCTCCCCCCTGAAAGCCCTCATGACCGACCTCCTGCACCCACCCGAGCGCCGTCCTATTGAGCAGCCACCGGCGTCCATTCGTGGAAAGCAGACATGTTTGCTGTTCCTGGGTGGCCACCCGAAAGGGCACTGTTTGATCGTACAAGCGTTACACCGAATGAGGCCGCGGAACATCAGGCCGAAGCGAATGAGCCAATACGCAGCCGGTATTCGTGCGTGGCGGCATTTTGAGCCTCTCAGCCTTGTCTCGCAAGAGCCTCAACATCCTGGGATCACGGTCAGCTCACCGCGGGTATTGTTTTGTTTGTTAGACGAGGGGTAGATGGAGGGCGTGATGTGTCGGCTGAGAAAGGAGTATAAGTCGGCGATGTGTACTCACTAACAGGAACCAAAGCAAAAGAAGGGTATGCAGAAATGCCATTCATCGAACATTATCCTGTCCCTCAGTACCATGTATGCTTGCTTATGATCACAGCACGTCTATATCCGATTTGTCCCTTTCATCCTCCAAAGCAATGCCATACTAAACCAATAAACCAATGATATCATAACCACAAGCCATGCAAAAGCAGGCTATTCAAAACAATGCCAATGCACCTTGGCCAGCGAGCGCCTTGCCGAAAAATGACGAGCAAACCCAAAACCATCGAGAAACACAATGCAGAAACGAAGTACGCGCAATCTTGCGGGAGTAAAACACGAAAATGAAGAATAAACCGACCGTAATCAATCTTCCAAAACAGGTAATAGTAGACGAAAGTCTGGGCCGGAGCCTCACTCGGAGGACGAGCTGGCGGCCGCCGTAGCTGCGGACTCAGCGCTGGACGCCCTCGTTAATTCTGCGCCATCTGCACCCAGCCTCTCCAGCTCTTCGGCAATTTCTTCGTACCATTTGCCGTGTGCCCTCCGGTCGACCTCGCTCACCTTGGTAAGCTGATCGCAAATGTCGCCCACTTGAGAGACGAATTCCGGAAGGCCAGTCGTGGCGAGCCCTTCCGTAGCCGTGCTTGCCGCTTTGACCCTCTCGCCAGAGCTACTAGCTGAGACACGGTTGCAGATGTGGGTCTTCAGGCGCTGAAACAGGACCTTCATCACAGGGTCGTTCAACTTGCCAGATTCGGCTTGAGTGAGGAGGCGAGTGATGGTAGACGCAAGCTGCGCGCGAGTCGAAGGCGGCATCGCGTGCGACGATTCAAGCAAAGAGGAGATCTTAGAGGGCGTCGCCGGGTCCTTCAGATAGCCATCCTTGAGACACTCCCACATGCGGTTAGCCTCATTCTTCCACTGAGAGCGGACGTCGCGCTTGAGGAGGTTCTTCGCGGTAAGGAGGATGCCACCAATCGTGGTGATGCGAAGAGACTCTTCACGGATGCGGGATATACGTGCTCGGTCAAGCTCAAGGGTCTCCGGAAGCTCGGAGTCTCTGAGGGGAGGCGTAGCGATAGCGAGATCGACAAGGCCACGAGCATAGATCTTCTGAGGCGTTGGCCGATTCATTGGCTGCGGATGATTCCATGGGTCGCGACGGTCAGCTTCGGTGTGCATATTGACAGCTGCACTGCGCCACCAGCGTCGTGTCCTCTCGAGCGTTATCTTGCCCTCTTCGAGATCCTGAGCGAACATACACTGCTCATACCCCGGCGCCTCCTTAGTGAGCGTCGGCGCGGCATTCATCAAGAGGAAGTTCGAATAGTCCAGCGATAGAAGGTCGATGACGTGGAGCAGCTTGAACAGTTTCTCGATCATCTCGGGAAGGGGACCCTCCTCTTGCAGCTCGTCTGCCAAAGCCTTGACCTCGGCGTCACGGAAGGGGGCGCAAAGTTTTGGCAGAATATTGGCCATGAAGTTGAAGAACTTCTCATAAGAGAACATGCCCTGGCTGCACTGCCTGTTTATGAGCTCAGGATCTAGAGTCTCCGAGATCAGAGTATGCATCGAGTTGCCGTTCTTCAGCAATCGAAGGAGCTTAGAGCGGATGTTCTCAGCCATAGCGGCGGTCCAGACGGCACCTTCGCCGTTCTCGAATCCTCGGAGCATGGAATCACAGAGCTCGCGATTCAGGGCGTCCCGCAGGTTAGCAGTCGGTGATGCATCGATGCGGTACTCCTTGTCGATGGAAAGCTCATGCACCAGAATTCTGTTCGGTGGAACGACGGTAAACACTTTCGACAAAGACTGGGCTTGGTGGCCTTCTGGCTGGGGATGGCCGCTGGTGGACGCAAGGTGAGATGCAGCCTCATGCTGGATAGCCGCGTGCTCCTCGGCAATAGGGGAGCCTGGTGCAGGAGAATCAATTGCGACTCGCGGACGTACGACTTCGCCAGCGGGCTTCTTCCTCGGTCTGGACTTGCGACTCTCTCGGATGGCCTTTCGGATGAGGGTCAGAGCCCTATCCGGACCAGCGAGCTTCTTGATCTTGCTCAGGAGAATGGCCTGGTTATCGCGGATGCCGTTCTTGTATTCTATAGCAACTTCGTCGGCAGTGTCGTCCTTGACGCTCTGCCATATCGCATCGAGATTGACAAACGAGGCGACCATGGTCTCAATGAGTGCCGAAGAATCGCGCGCTTTCCAGTCATTGAAAGCCGTGACGAATGCGCCATGAGCCAGCAGGACAGTCTCCACTCGGGTCGGCGAGGGGGTGTAGTAATTGAAAGTGGACAGCTTGCCTAGAGCAGCTTCGAAGGAGATGATCAGGTCCTTAGCCTTCTGTATAAGGTCCTGCTCTTGATCGCCATCGCGACTGAGAACGTGCGCCGGATGTCCTAGGATAAGATAAGCGGAGAGGAATGTCCTCACAGCGGTACTACGAGCGGCTTGGTCTCCTTCCGGGAGTAGCTCGAAAAGATTCATAATCTTCTCCGTCGCAGACAGAACCTTCTCTTCGCTAAGCAGCATCGTGATTTCCTCAAAACTAGTGTCGTGGACCCTGTCGATGGATAGGCCTAGCTCCAGCCAGGCTTCGACGATGTTCTTCCTTGTCCTAGCCCTCCAAGCAGATTGTATTCGCTTGGCTGCGTCCTCGGAAGACACGGCCGGGCGCAGAGGCGCCTTCTTCGCGTCAGCTGGGGGCGAACTAGCAGTCCTCGGCCTGCGAGTGTTGCGCTTGTACTCAAGCCTCCTCTTCTCTGCGTCGGCCAGCTTTTCCTCCATTTCCATTCGGTATCGTCGCTCTTCGGCAGCCTTGCGCTCTTTCATGTCCTCTGCAACTTTCTTTGCGCGGCGAACTTCCTCGGCGCATGCTGCGGCTACCTGCGCGAGGTGCCGTTCGCGGGCCTGCTTCGCTGCCAACGCTCGTTCTTCACTGTTGGAGTTCCGCGGTGTCGCCTTTGCCAACGCAGCGCGCAAACGGACCTGCTCTGCGTGTGCGGCGCGATCTGCCAATCGCGCCTTGCGGCTCTCGAGGATGGATGCGCGGCGGAGGTGCTGGGCTACATGGTGGTTCTGGCAGCTGCTGCGGTACGAGCGGTTCGACGTGTGCGAGTGCGTCGAGGAGATGGAGTTGCGGCGCGACGAGGCAGCAGACGACTTCCGGCGGCTGGTTGAAGGGCGATAGAAGCGTGCTGCGATCCGCGGCGGCGGCGCGAATGCCTTGCTGTTTCCGGCGTCGTCTGAAAGGACCATGTCGGGCTCTTCCGGTATGTCGTCGTTCGCGGGCATGTCTGAGTCGACCAGCTCCATCTCGGGGTCGGAGAGAGAGCCGTCCATGGCTTCTATAGCTGGGTCGCCTGCCGTGCGGTGGGTAAGGGCGTCGCGCGAGTGCGTCGGGGCCGTCTGGGCGCAGAAGTAAAGGTGTATAAACCGTGTTGTGAAACAAAGCTCGACCGTAAGCAATCGTAGAGCGTCAGCCGTCCGTCCGCAAGCGGACCAGGAATTGAAATACGGGGGCAAAGAAGGGCGCGGATAGTATAATACAGAAGCGAAGGGTAGAGAAGAGAGAACTGGGCTCGCTGCTCTGTCGTTGTGGAGGGGAAGAGGAGAGGTTGGTGTGGCTGGGAGGGGTTCTGCCTTCCCCGGTGCGGATGCTGAGTGATGGGCGCCTCCCACGATGACATGTGCGCTAAGAATCTTGTCGAACACGATCGACACTCACGCCGGTCTCGACCTTAGCACGCTTCCCTATCCTTAATAACATCAGCCCTATGCATCACGCTCAAGTAGTCACCTCATGCATCCTGTTATTTTGCAAGCCTTCGTCGCCTTCCACGCCTTCCACCGCTGCGTGTTCGAAGCATCTCGGGCTTCGCGAAACGGTCCTGACTGGGTCCTGAAGCGAATCATGAAACGAAACCTAGCGACGGCTGCTTTGATCTGCTCCTGTCGCCGCATATAGAAACAGGGTGGCTGGCAATACGTCGTCATCGGCTTGAGATAAGGCCACGTGACCCGAAAAATGAACCTTGGAAGCCACCTATCAATGCCAGGCTACAGCTGTAGGTGGAGAGACCAATATGGTGAGCAGCTCCGAATGCGCCGTTCTTTGGCATCAAGATACCCGAGAGGCGGTATCCTGGCGCGGCCACTCTACTGTGATATTACGTGGCAGGAGAGCAGTCGTCCACAGGCATGTCCTTATCGAGGAGGCAACCTCAGCCCAACCCTCCGGACAGCCCCTTGTAGCCGTATAGGTTGACTTTGAAGAGGAAAGCAAGACAAAAGAAAGAAAGGGAAACATGACCATAGCTCGCAGAGAGCGAGATGAGAAAGAGAAGCCAGCCAACAAGGGATCCTGTGGCCGCAGATGAGAGACAGAGTGTGCCGCAACGACCGGTAAAGGACACACGAAGCAAGCAGACTGAAGGAAAGAAACATTGCTATAATTGAGAATGCAAGTGAGCCTGTGTCGGAGCTAAGCGTATACGCACCTGTATCCTCGTTCCCCAGCATTATCAACAATCCCGTCCTCGCCTCCCACTGTAGCACATCCTCCACCAAGCCGTCCAACCTCTCCGCATACCTCCCACTCGACATGAACCCTATCCAATATTCACCTGTACGCTCTCCTCAACAAAACCGCACTGCACCATCCGCCCCAACCTCCCCATCCCCCTCCCACCAACCACTTCCCCTCAACCACCTCAACCTGCAACACTCTCCAGATCACATGCCCCCAAACTCTTCCCATCTGCAGCCCGTTCTATTTTCGCCCCCCACTGTCTCTCCACGCACATCACCTCCCTCGTGCGGCCTATCAAACCCGTCAAACGCGTGTCCTCACAGCCACCACATAGACTACGATCGATCGACACTGTGGCCGTTTTCTAGACGCATCTTCATCTCAACCATGGACATCTCCACCTCGCTTAGAGCTTCGTTTCAGCCCACGATGCACAGCATAAAGGCACTGCGTGACCCCCTCACCCTCCCCTCGCCTACACCCGCAACCGCCGCACCCCTCGCCCGGTACGCGGCCAGCGCAAAATTCTTCCTCCACTTGCGGGCTTGACTTGATGCGGGAGGCGTAGACGAGATGTGTATGTTGTGGGACGCCCACCAATCTTTCTCGCGTCCGCATCTGCAGAGGCGAAGCATGCTGGGCGGCATGGCATGGCTTGGCCGTGGACAGGCCGCTCGGAAGAATACTGACGTGCTGACTGTGGAAGGACGGTATGACGCCGCGCTCCAATTCCCGAGATGCAATGCGAGATTGCGAGATTGCAAATTCCACTTTTCGGTGAAGACGATGGTGGCGGCCTTCAGCTAGATTACCGGAAGATGCTTTGCGTTTTTGCAGACCGATCAGTCCAAAGATAGAAGTGCGGAGGGTTCTCCTGGCCCTCCCTTACGACAAGACGAAAACACGCACAGCACATACTGCACTCTGCGTCCTGCAAAACCAAGTGTTGCGCATCACCCATCAGCTGTCAGTCAGTCAGTCAGTCAGTCAGTCAGTAAGTCAGTCACTGAAGCCGTGCACTCTACCTCATCGAGCAACCCATCCGCCGATCACCTTGTAACGCCCATCCATTCCTATTCCCCATTCCTCCACCGCCACCGCCCACAGTTACACCAAACCCCGATCACCGGAATCTGGGCAGCCCCTCCACCACCGGACGTCCTTCTCGATTCGCATCTCGCAACCCCTCATCAAAAGCCATGTCTCGACCCAAAGGACCGGTCGACGTGAGACACGGCGTCCTCCTCGAACTTTCCAGATGACCTGGACAACTGCCTGGTAACTATGAGACATATGTACAAAATACGACCTATGTGCATATAGTATGCGCACGTGAAACGCACAAGGGGGTGCTGTTACTGCGATCTGTTGAGAGGCTCACATGCGCATTGCTATGTAGCCTTCACCTAGCCCATCCGAGGTAAGAGAATACAGGTAGGATTGCCTAGGTAGTCAGTAATGCACTGGAAGAAGCAATGCAAACCAGGACGAAGTGTGATTTGGAACCTTGATTACTTGGTTTTCGATCTTACTATGCTTCCTCGACCTAAATGCTTTCTGGGCAACCGTGAGCCGGTATCGCCGCTCTCGTCCGACCTAACCTCTTCAGGTCGTCAGATCCATGTACCCATCCATGGATAGTCATACATTGAAACATAGGTAATCGTTGCTTTTTGGGCCGCCATCCATGTCCCGACCAGGCCCAAATCCAGACTGCGCTGCCCCCTCTAAAAGAACCCAAACCAGGGCGAGAGGTATAGCCGCCGAAACTCATCCCTCCTCATCTCGTGCTGCCGCTAAATAGACATAAGAGATTAAGTACTAGACATCAAACAACAAGGGTTCGGAAAGAGAACTTTTGGCTCAAGAGCCACGTCGCTGTCGCTGCGTGAACATGCCAGTCGTGTCTTTTGGAAGACCGTGTCTCCCCCGTTGGATATTGAAACGCCGAAAATATCCCTGCGAAGGGAACGCCCACTTGTACCGCGAGCCGAGACAGAAAACCTCTCTAGTTGAGCTTGAACAAAGGAAATTCGTGATAAGGAGTGGTCGTGGCTCGAATGAGCTACCGGTAATAAGGTCATACAGGTCGTACCTCGTGAGCCCTGGCCAACGAGTAATGTTACAAACAATGAACAAAAAAGCTTAATCGCACAAAATATGAACAGGGGAAAATATCGACCCGTGTTCAGTGGCCGCGCCACCCCGCCGATGATCTCCCGAGAAAAGAACCGGGGAATTTGAGGTCGCTGAAGAACTTGAAGAAGGCGCGCTTGCGGGGCGGTGTCCGTGGTATCTGCTCTGCTATGCGAACCATAGGACCGACGATGTCCTCGTCCCCGAGTTTCGGGAATTTGCCCTCGCTCTTCGGGTCGTTCAGCGATGGCATTTTGCTGAGGGGGGCGGGTTCTAGAGGTGAGCTGGGTTCGGGCTCCTCGCCGATTGCAGTCGCACGCGAGATGGCGAGATCGTTGTTCTTCTTCCACAAGGCGTCGATCTCCGCCCATTTCTTCTCGCACAGAAGGTAGGTTTTCGAGGTCACGCCATTGTGCTCAGCCATCCGCACTTGGTGTTTGGTGAAGTTGCGGCGCGCTTGCTCCCAATCAGCAAACAACTGCCGTAGCGAAGCCGCGTCACAAACTTCGGGCACGTAGGGTTCCGGGTGGATGGTAAAGTTGTCATGCCCTAGTTCTACGGCCCACTTGTCGTTAGGATCGGCCAGCATGATTGGTGGGATGTCTGCTGATGGCACCAGGTGGCCGGGTCGCGACGTCTTGAAGGAAGCTACTGATGGTTTGGAAGACAGCGGCGGGGTAGGGTAAGCGCGAAGTGTGGGTGAGTCCATGGGCGTCGCAACCACGGACTGAGTGATGTCGGCAACGGTGGGTGACTGAAGAGGGGACTGTGAAGGGGCGTCGTCGAAGCGTGTCTTTACGAGCAACGGCGGAAGCAGAGGAGTAGTCGCATAGCGTTCAGAGGCCACCTGTTCGGCATCGATGTCGAGCGCATTGGCCTTAGCAATGTCAATTGGCGAAGAGACAACGGATTCGCTCAACTGTTCCTTGCTGCTAGGATTTAGAGCTAAGGACGGAGGGAACTTGTCGGTGATGTCGTAACCTTGCATCTGGTGGATCGAACTGGTGATCGACGACGACCGGGTCGACGACACCCTGGAGGGAGTAGCGCTGCGGGAGGTCCTGCCTAAGGTGGATGCCCGCTTACGATCTCTCATCTTGCGTGATAATGAGGGAAACTTGCGCTCGAGCTTATCGGTGACGCTCTGTGCGGATGACTCCACCGAGCGTCGTCTCTTTGACATATGCGACTCTGATTCGTAGTCGCCGAACTCCCAGGCCTGAGCGATCATGCAGCTTCTGCCATTGGTGCATGTCGGAACGTCGCCTGTCAATCGTTAATATGCGTGAACGGCTTAGAACTATATGTTAAGACATACATGAACAGCGATATGGCCCGTCGGCAACGTAGTCGTCTTCCCGCTCGAAGGGCTCCTCGGTGAGCTTCGGAAGCTTGCCCGAGGCATTGGGTGACTCGAAGGGCTCGTGGGTTGGCGGGCTCGAGGAGAGCGAGGAGGTCGAGCTTGGGTTCCGAAAATGCCCACGGTAGAAACTTGGCGTGGGAGGCGTCGAACACTCCGACGCGGAGAAGAAACCAGAGTCTGCACTCGAGAAGACAGAGGAGGTGGGCTCGGAGAACATATCCAGTGAGCTCTTGGACGATTTCCGCGCAGCAACGAGCTTGGGCAGCATCAGAGGTTTCATTTCGCGCATGTCGATGGTTGTGAGTGGGGGACGTGTTTTTTCGCGATGGGCGCTAGGTGGTGCCTCATCACCAGCTTAAGAGGCCAGCAGCGCTCGCGGAATTGAGACAGCTCGCCGTCTCCAATGCTGTAGAGTGCTGTAGAGTCTTCCTGCTTCGGATGGAGTGGCGGACCGCGAGGGTTTTAGAGGGTGCCACGATTGAGGTCCACGTAGTCGGGTGTTTATTCTGGCGCGACGGTCAGCGCCCGTTCGGCTTGCGCTCCAGATTGGGACGGCACGTGAGGGCGCAACTGGCAGCGGGGGCTGGGATAGGTCGCACGACTCACCGAAGGATGGTCGCAGAGTGCCGCGCAGAAGGGAGCGAGCGACAGCGCAGAGGGAGAGGTGGTGGAGGGCTTGGAGGTCGGATGGGCAAATCAAATGAGTGACGGCGCGGGCACGAAAGGATTTCGCAGCAGAGCTGGGCAGGGCAGGCGCATTTGTGCTGGTGCGGAAGCTGCGCTGTGTTTTGCAAGGGTCGGCGGCAGGCGCCAAGCACAGGGCTAGAAGGCACGCCCGCGCGCGACTCGATTCAGTCTAGCGGCACTAGGCTCGAAGATGCTACAGTTCCGCGCCGGCACTAGCGGTCGTCTCCCCGGTTTCGTTTCCAGCGACTCGTGCGGGCCGCGGTCGCACGCCTCCGATGAGGCCGCTCGGTCAGACTGTCGCCGTTGCGAGTGCGAGCTGCGAGTGCGAGCATTCACATGAGGGACCCCGCCGCCTCAACAGCACGACAGCGTTGGAGCCTGGAGTTCGCCGCCCGTTCGCTGCGGCACGGCGGAGCTTGGAGGCAAGTGAGACCTCTAGCGCCTAGACGTTGAATACCTAGGTACTGCGTGCTTCCGAAATTTTCTTTTCTCACTAACCAGCCGCCCTGCCGTTGGTTGAAGTGCTCCACCCAGGCCCACTCTCCAGATGAAAACCGTGAATAAGCCATGCAGGAACGATTCCTCCAGAGAGGCGCATAGATACGACGGCAGACGGCGAAGGCTCACATCTGCTGACGATGTCTGGTCCTCCTGTACCTGTCGCACCGGGGAGCTGGTTGTGAAGGATGCCCTCATCCAGTGACCGGTTGGAGCAACCGTGGCTGCAGCATGACATATGGGGCGGTGCGCAGGGAGACGGCTGCTGCTTCGGAGCTCGTCTTCCTGGCAGATGTCACTGTTCCGCCGTTCTCCTCCGCCTGGGATGGCGCCCATTGGTCGCGGAGCAAAGGGACTCTGCAACAACAAACAAACGCTCTGTTTCGCGCCTCAGCAACGTCCAACTGATTGCTCTCGCTCCGGTCCGGTGTCCAGCTGTTTGTGACACGCCGGGCTCAACTCAAGAGCGGACCATGAGACGTGACGCCGCTGAGGAGGGGGCTGGGGAGCCGAGAACGTTGAGCGGGCAGCCAGAAGCTCCCAACAGAGAGGGCAAATCGGAGGCCACCGTGACAAAACAAGCCGTTGACCCGCTGCTGATTGGCGTCAGGCCCCGGTCGCCTTCTTGTGCTTCGTTGGTGATGCCCTGTTCCTTGCTCCTCGCGCCTTGTCAGGCACCCTTTCGTCGCTCTGCAAGCCTCACCTCCCACGCCGCCAGCGCATCGCTAGCCAACCGCCCACGCCTTCCCTCCTGCCTCTGCTGCAAGCCTACGGGTTCCTGCGATAAGAGCAGCGCGTCTCCTTCTTCCACATGGCACAACCTCAGAGACCGAGCAGCAGAATCAAGCCTCAGCAGCACCCCGATTCGTGGGAAGGTGATCCCGAGCCGTGCCTGAATCGGCATGGATCGCCCTCCCGGCACGCCGTTAGCGAGACCAAATTTTTGTCTGCTGGGACAGGGGGGCTGGTGGTGACAGAGCTGGGCGGGCCTCAAGCTCAGATCATGACGACAAGCGCCAGCCTGGGGCCCGGGCGCGTTCGGCAAAGCAGTCTGGGCGATGGGCGATTGCGTGGGCAGCTCGCGCTACTCGCCGCAAGACAATCTCGGAGACGTGTAGCTGCCTCTCGCCTCGACGACGGGACGGCACAGCAGCGTTGCAACAGGCCGTTTGCTAGCAGAACTCTAAGAGTCAACGTCGCCAACGGCCGGCTCCCAGCATGCATTGCAGGAAAAGAAGAGCCGGTGAGAAAATAATCATGACCTGATGATGCAGTCGACTTGACCGCCCCACGTACATATGCTCGCGGTATGGTACCTCCACGTTGTCACTGTCATGCAAATACCCTGTCGGTGTGAAGACTACCTCATGCACCCCAATCTGTTTGATGAGAAAATCGCAGGAATGGGACCACTCGTGTCCCTGGGCTGAGGCGGTCGAGAAGGGAATGCAACGTGGTTCGCTGTGATTTAGCAATGCTAGCTTTGCGCATTTTCTGGTTGGCACGCGAGAAGTTTCTTTACACAGTAATAGCCGCGGGCCGCCATACCGTACCGATGCCGCTTGTGACGTCCACGTTGAACCCACGATGTGTCCAGCTGGTCGACCGTGGAAGAGAACACATGGGGGGAGCTCTAGCTCGAGCTTCCCCGTAAAGCTCATCTGCCGATGCTGCAAAGCCCGGTTCGGCCAGTAAGATCTGGGATACGATGGACCTGCATATAGGGAAATGTGGAGCAACCATTGGCGCTGAGTGGTTGAGAAAGAGCCCAAGCAATTATTCAATTGCAACTGTCCGATGCCCAGAATGTGCTGATATCTATCCTGACCTCGCGCGAAGATATTTCGCTGAAGGTTTTGCTCGTGTATGCGAGACTGCGAGACCCCGCCGTGGTGAGAAGAAGCCAATAACGGGTAGGCGGTAGGTCTGGAAGACGCTCCGGGAGTCTGAATGCAGAAGGACTTCTGAGTCTTGCAGTAGCGACCGTCATCGCTTCATTTCCTTCTCATCCGGGTTGCACCCGGTTCAACAATCCGGAATACGGGTCGCCGTCCAATTGCCCTTTTCAGACCCAGAATTTGCTCCACAATGTCTTCTGCTCCTCCGAGCCCTCGAACTGCGCATCGGTTAGTATGGGCGTTGTACTGTATGAAGCTACGAGATCGTTTGCCGAAGGCCCGTACCTGAAAGTCGACTTTCACGATGTCCTGAAAACCCTCCGATACTCTAGGCTCGCGGTATCTGGAAGTGAAGCCAGTGAATGCAGTGTGCGGGAGTATGGTCCGTTTCTCAGGGTTGGTCTAAGCCGTGTGTCAGCATCGGAGGTCCTCCGTCGCGTGCCGCTCTGTTGAGGTCTGAGGAACTTCCATGTACCCAGGTACTTCCCCACAGTCAATAATGACCGGGTCGGGATGTTCCGCAGGACGATCCCATGTGGTAGGACACTCAGGAGGGGATTTGTGTTGGGAAACTTACTTCTGGCCCTATATTCAACGCCCGAAGGGTATCATTGTGCTTGCAGAGCTCAGCTGAAGCTGTAAAAAGCACACATCTGATAGGCACATTAAGTTGCGTCGCTAGATCAATCCAATGCGCCCTCGTCTGCGGATCCGCATTTGTATTGTCTGATGCTGTGATTAGTTTCGATGTGAGCAACTGTAAGGCTGCCCAATCTTACCGACAACCACACTGGTCCCCTCCTTAATAAGTGCAGCAGCCGCGTTCAGACATTTATCGCGCTGTTTCAACAATGTTACTCGAGGAGTGGGGAGGTCGCACGGCACGTGCTTGAAGGTAGGAGCGGGAAACTACAAGCTTACCGTCTTGAGGATGTCTTGGTTGACTCGACCATATCCGAGTGGCTGCAAATAGTTCCAATAGAACGAGGACTTGCCAGCGCCAGGGCTACCCACGAATAGAACAATGTCGATGGGGTTCGCCTTGGAGAAGGGCTTCGGAACTTTGAGATTGAAATTAGTTTCCGAGTGGATCACCACTTTCCCGATGGCTTGCAATCCTTGGACACACCTGCAGATGTTGACTTCACAGCCCCCTCTTCGAGGAAGACGGTTGGGTCGAATCCTCTAACGAACGGTCTTGATTGTTCCTGCAAGAAGTACTCCTCGGGAGTGTGAAAACGTATGCCTACGTTAGCGGCGAAGTCTCTGCATAAAATTAGTAGACTGAACGACAACAATGCAGCCAGGATGTGGACGGACCTATCGACACAGGAATGGTCTTTTACTGCTCCTCCTGGCACAGCCTCGCGGCCGCCTGCGTCACCAACAAAAAAAGAGTTCTGTAGGTCTACGGCATCTGCAGCCTCTAGGTCGTAGTCCTCCAGTAGTTCTTGCCACATGCCTGTTCGAGGCTTGCGGTACTGATCCCGAGCGGTTGCAGCATATATCGAAATCGGTAGGTCGAGCTGCGTGATCACAGCTGAAACTTTGCCTTTGAAGTCTGCCAATCGCTTCTGGTCGCTCTTGATGGTCTTCGGGTCTGGCTTTAGGCTGATTCCTCCTTGGTTGCTCAACACTGCGACGAGATATCTGTTTAAACGGGAGGTTGTGGTTAGTGTGCATGCACCAATAGATGCGAGATAGTAGCACTGATTCCTACCCTTCTTCATAGAGACTTCGTACCGCCGCCGGAACGCTGCCGTGCCACCACTTCCAGTCCGCCGCATCGCGACCGAATCGTTTCCCAGAAGCAGACGTGATCAAGGTAGAGTCCTACAACATGAAGCATCAGCAACGCAATCCGACGTCGGGCTGAAACGAAATAGATCGTGCATTGACGTACGAAATCGAAAGCAGCTATTTTTTGTTTCCCTTTGATGACCTTGGCGGACTGGGTGCAAGGTGCTGCACCATAGCGACCGATTAGAAGGCTGTCGTTCAGTACCCGCCATGTCATCTTCTCTGGCTCTTTCTTCGACAGCGGCGTGAAAAAGTTTGCAACAGCCTTGCCTGAACAACAATCAGCCTTGCAGGCTAGAAGTACATCTCCGCCGAGACGCGCACTTACTCGTCGTCGTCGACTGCTGTCTCCGCTTCGTAGCAGGCGGAGAAAAGCCTCTCTCGTTGGAGCTTGGCCGCTTTCCGCGACCTGGGCGATCTGGCATTTCGGATGCCGGGCTACGGGAATAGGTGCATCGCACAATTCGTCTGAGGAAAGGCGGAGTTTTGGGGATTGAAGTTGGCGGACGGATGAAGTGGCAGATGCTGATCGCGCCTACCGAACGCGAGTGCGCGCAGGCACGTGCGACATAGGGCTGACTAACTTTCACCAGAACCGTTCCAAACCTTCACTCCAGGGCTCTCAACAGTCTTAAAAGCTTGTGAACCTTGCTTTAGAAAATAGGTGGGTGAGGCTCTGTTCATTGACTTCTCGTTGCACTCTGAAACGCTCATCGCGTCCATGCACTATATGCAAATAAGAAAAAGGACGATAAACCTTCAATTACACCAATGGGGTATCAAAAGCTAATGAATTGACATTACTAGCCTCCCGGACGGAGACTTGTCTTATGGCAGGCTTCATCAGTCTTCTCCATTACGCGCTCGAAAGTGAGGTCCGCAACGGAAGCTTCGCGAAATCGGGAATTGCGCGGTCTTGCCTCGTCCCAAGCAACTACTCGATCCGGGGTATCATGCTAATACTCATTGCCTCCTGTCGTCTTATTCGGAGGCCGTTGCAATAGACGAGAGAATGGCTGGCGCCTTTTTCAATGGGCCAGGGTTCCTCTTTCAGGTATGACGGCACGGAGCGCGCTACTCATCCACTGTGGCTGGACCACTTGCATCAATGACGGTTCTGTGGCCCTTCAACGGCCTGCCCCTCAGCGATGCCCCGGCTGAGCTCTTCTCATAGTAGGAGGCGGGGGCGGCGGAACCCATTTCACACGTGTGTCGAGCGACAGCCTGTCGGGTAGCTCCAGATCTACGCAGCCCTTCATCCGCTTCTGGAAGGCCTTCAGCTCATCCACGCCAGCCTCCAGCACGGCCGTGTTGTTGAAGTCCTGCACCCGTACCTTGGCCTCGAGAATATATGCGCTGCTAGGATCAAGGGGCTGGAGGGCTGCGAAGTTGGGAAGGTCCGTTTTCGGTGCTGTCTCCAAAGACCGAACGCCGGGCTCGTGGAGTACGCGGTGCAGGAAGATGATGACGTTACCGTGGACGAACCGATGTCCCTCCACATAATACTCAGATACGAACCTACGTGTTGTTAGAGCGTGCTGAGCATGGGGCCGGTGTGACTTACTGATGGGGGCCAGCGGCGACCATCCACGTGTGAGGGTCGCCGGAGACGAGATCCGTGGAGGTGGTCAATCGTATTGAGACACCTCTGTCGCCGGTATCCGGTATGTCTTGGAATTCGAGCGACCACTTGGGCTCCGCACCGGGCTCGGTGTCGGCTGACAATGGCTTCCCGCTTGGCTGATGGTAGCCATCCCCTTGGCCGAAGTCCTCCTCCGACAGCTTCTGGACGAGCTGGTTGTAGAACAGGTCTTTGGCGCCCTGCTGCTTGGTCTGTCTGTTGGTGACATTCTGGGAGCCGCCGCGGCGGAGATGCGAGCCCGGCTCCTCGGGCGCGCGCTGGGGCTTGTAGATGATGTGTCGCTCGAGGACGCGACGGGGCTGCATGGCCGCAACGCCCGCAAGGATCTTCAGCACCTGCTCATGGCGGGGCGCGGGGACCTGGCCGTACAGCAGCAGCTCGTGCATGGAGAGGGTCTCAGACGCAGAATTTTTGGTGTTGAGAATCGATATGCAATTCTAGTACGTCAGGGATGGCTGCGGGCGTCGTGGGGTTGATAAGGCGTTGCGGCTCGCGATTGGCGGGGAGGCTGGTCACGGTTGCTGAGAGGAGCAAGATTTCACGGGCGCGATGCATGGAGCTTTGGCCAGAAGCGCAAAGAACAGTGGAAGAACAGGGCCGAATGCGGAGTCCCACGACTTGACATAGCGGGCCCATCACACGACGGGGTGAAAATTGTCTGGGCTGTGTTTGCGCGCATGAATGTGCTCGTTCGAGAGTGAGTCGATGCGGGCGCGGGCACCTGCGTCGGACTCTGGTGGGCGGCGTTAGCGCCTTCTTGTGAACGTGAATTATTTATCTCGGCCATCGTCGCCAACGCGGCTCCCCTCCACTTCCACCTTGTCCGCTCGCCTCCAACCTCAGTCCACCCTGCTTCCCTCTCCAAACCACTGAGCTCCATCGCAACCAGCTTGCGATCACAAGTTCTCCGCGCTTTCGCCACACCCACCGCCGAGCGTGTGCTCCGAAACCGCTTCACCGACTCGTCCCCATGAACGCAACCAAAGTGCTCCTCCAGGGTCGCCAGCCCATGATCCGCTTCCTGGGCAAGCGCACCACTCCTGCCAGTCCGTGCCCCTTCTGTCAGCACTCAATGGCAGAAGACACTAATTGTGCGCAGAGGTCGACCACACTCCTCAGGCGCATCCTGCCTCCCCCACCCACTCGCTCCCAGACTCCTTCGCAAGCTACCGACAGAAGGCTCAACAACACGGCCCTCTCAATCAGACCACCAAGTTCTCGACGGGCGGCATTGGCGGCACTCCGGGAGCCTCCCTTGGCCCCGTTGAGGCTGGAAAGGGCACATTCTTCGACCGATCCGAGCTGCCCCAGCGCTTCCAGCGCCTGGCTTGGACGCAGTCCGAGATTGAGGCGGTCGAGTCCGGCGGCGCTAGCCTGTATGCATGAGCTAGCTGTGAATGACGAAGCAATGAATTTCCGCTGCGCCGGGATGTGACGGATCAGGATGACTGTACATAGCCATGCATCACGGTTCTAAGATGGATCATGATGAGAAGGGGAAGGCTCTTGCCGATTCGGTGTCGGCTTACAGATTGCATTCTATGGTTGGAGGTAGACTGGGCCTGCTTCATGTCTGATACCCTTCAAGGCTGGTATTTCGGAGGAGTCCAACAATATTCCTGGGCGGGGATTTTGGTACCATTGCATATCAATGAAGACTTCTACAATCATTATTACACCCCAGAGTGTTGAGTATATTCGAACTCCTGTATCCCATTTCACATGCTTCAAGTCCGCTTCGACCTCAAGTTCCCAGGCGTCCGACACTAATTTGATTTATGCTCCTTCCACCCGACTTTGCCCGCACCTTCCGTCTCCATCCTCAAACATCGAACCACCCCAGACATCAGAATCTCCAGATCTCCATTGCCTACGCATTCCGAAACTCCACATTTTCCCTCACTTTCGACCCGCCCCCACATGTCCCCTGCCGGCCTTTCTTCGGCAAGCGAAGGAGCGTTATCAATCGCTTTTTCTACTCCTCGGCGCGTTCGCCGGAGTCTTTTGACCCCGCTGTAGCACGAATTCGCACGCAATTCTGACACCTTCACGCGAATTATCTTCTCCCACCCTCGGATAGTTTCGGTTACCTCGAATTCCTTCTTCGGGCATTACGGCTTGGTGCATAGAACGTCCCCGATCGCTACCATGACCGGGGATATGCAACACTTCCAGGGCGAACACAAGCGACGGCCCGAACTCGAATTGTCAATGTCTGCAACATCGACCAATATTTCCGGAAAGCTTGATCGTCAGGCCAGCAGAGAAAAGTCCCACCAAGAGTCAGAGTCTCGCTTGCCGCCCTCTAGGTTCAAGAAAACGTCAAAGCGGCATATTAGGTTCTAGGATGCAAACGCGTTATCGCCGTGCATAACGAGGTAGGTCAGAATATTTCAAAGTCAATGTTTAATGTCTATTCCTTAGAGAAGGCTTCCCCGAGTCGGCGCTTGAGGAAGACCGTCATATCCTCCTACAAGATATCGTGGTAGTTCACGCCGCTCGCCTTCCACCTTTCCTTGACCGTGCTGCCGCAGCCTCATTTCGCGCTTCTTTGAGACGACTCTCCTTCAGGCCTTGCTAGTCTTGAAACTGAAGCCTATTCGCTCTGTCTCCGAGAGCCCGTAACCTTACGCTTCAGCCTCCGGTTCGGCTTCGCGTTTATTAATTTTGAACCCAAAAGCAACTCCATCCTCTCGGCGATATCCGGGCTCAGCATCCGCATCAGCTTCGCGCTTGTTGATTTTGAATCCCAGGGCTACCCCGTCCTCACGACGATAACCTGCAGCTTCGGCTTCTGCCTCAGCTCCCCGCTTATTGATCTTGAATCCGAGCGCCACCCCGTCCTCACGGCGGTAACCGTAATCGGCTTCAGGCTCGGCTTCACGTTTGTTGATCTTGAAGCCCATCGGCTCCGCTTCCGAACGGCCGTAGCCCTGCGGCTCCGGATTCCGGGTTTCCATGACTGAGGAACGTCAGAAGTCTGTCCGCCATACAGTCATAGTAAAGAGAAGAACTCACTTATGGGACTCGCGGCAGCGAGCGCGCTCAGAGCGGAGACGAGGACGATGGCTGAGAACTTCATGATGGCTGATGGTTGTTCCCGTTTTCTGAATGGACCGCGGATTAGTTTGCGACTCCCCTTGGGGCATGAGCCTAATATATAGTACTCCCATGGGAGCTTTCCGTGCAGCATGCCCAGGACTTCAAACTCTGGAACCTCTGCGCCTGTGCCGCGTATCCCCCTCCCGCCATGACAGCATCTCCGCCTTCCTCACTCGGACCATCGCCAAACATTAGTGTTAGGCCCAAGGCTCCAATGGGCCGCTCAAGACCAGGTGTCTGGGTTAGGTAAGACTGTTTTAAGGCTCTGTATCCAATGCACCTTCCAGAAACCGAAATTTGCCGCGTACTCTGGGCCACCCTCGTGGTTATCGCACGCATGCAGCCCGCGCAGGATCCAGGTTAAACCGACGACATAGCTCTCCAACCTTAGCCTCGCAGGAACCCTGCTCCGTTGCTTGCTCCATGCCGAGCATATAGGCCTTCCAGAACATCCGGCTAGCCAAATAAGGCAGGGTTCAAATCCTTATTTTGACGTTGCGACAGAGTCTCTATCCGAGGTGTGGAGTTCTAACTCCGACCTTCCCAACTGAGCGATTTGTAGGATCGCAGAAGAGCCTTGGCAGCTTTGTCTATGGTTAACAACGGCTTCGCCACGTTACTCGGCTCCCTACTATACGAGGGAAAAGCGGCAGAAAGCACTTTATCGCATGAATTGCAGTTGCTAACTAGCTTCATTGGCGGAGAAAAGAGGAGAAGAGCGGAAGGATATGGGGGTGATTCATGCAGAATGATCCAAGAGCGTCTATGCCTTGCCCCAAAATCGGCTCACCTTCACTGCACCTAGTTGTGGCATTGAATCCCTGTGCTCTAGAATTGGCGTCTGAGGGCAGGAGTAAACGGGTGTCATATCCGGGTATTTTTCAGATTCCACCCGAGTCGATCTCCCACGATCTCCCTCGAGTTCCTCCCTACGCACCATTATATTTCCTCATATCTTTCTCCTTCCCATCTGCGCAACAATCAAGATGAAATGGGGAGCGAGAGGTCAGGCGTATGAGAAAGTAGCCTCAACGGAACCGGAAGAAGGCGGTTGGGAACAGCGGCAAGCAGTGCCCTTCGTAGTGCGCATACGGAGGAATCTTGCGACATGTCTCAACATCATATTCTTCGCCTCGAATATCATCCTATTTGGGGTCACGCTCTGGACGGCGAAGCAGCATAAGTCGCCGAATTCGTTGCTCAGGCAAACAAATGCTTTTTGTAGGTATCCTTCATCCGATCCGTGTACTGAGAGCACGTGCTAACAGAACATGTATAGCGCCACTCCTCGACCGCTTCGAGTTCACCTTCCAGAAGGTAAAGAATAACGCGAGTCTCTTCAACCACCCCTACAGCATCTACAAAGACGACCCATCGCCCGAAGTGGATGCCGCTTGGGAAGACATCGCGGACACGCCTGTTCTTGTCATCGACAGAGAGGATGTGCTGAAGATCGGGAAAGATCCTGAATATGCCGTAGCGGTGCCCGAAGAATTCGGTAAGCCACCATTCGTCAAAGCGTGAGAGACTGCGATGCGCTAATGTCTCCCAAGGATATGGCGAAAACAAATACTTCGCCGTAAACGACGGCCAACACCTCATCCACTGCCTCAACGAAGTCCGTAAGTTCGCCTACTACGACTACTACTACCTCCCCACCCAAGGTCCTGCGTCCTCACTCCCCGCCCTGCATGCAGCGCACCGCTCACATTGCATCGGCGTCCTACTCGATGCGCTCACATGCCAACCTTCGCTCAACGTGGTGTTGTTTGAGTACATGGAGGGGCAGAATGATCCGTGGCCGGACTTTGATATTTGGAGACAGTGTCAGAACCATGGCCAGTTCTTCGAGTGGATGAACGGCCTGCAGGTGCCAAGAGAGAAGATTAAAGGGTGGGATTGGAGTAAGGGACGGGGGAAAGAGAGGCCCATGTTGGAGGAGCTAAAGAAGCCAAAGGGGGGGGGAGCTGAGGAGGGAACACATCAGGAAGATAATAGCGGTAGTGCGCATGGACAAGGACACGGCCACGGCCACGATGGGACATGGTCTTGAGTCCATATCATTTCTAATTCATTACATCACTAAGGGTCTCCCGCCCATGCAGTCAGTCGGAGTATTAACTGCTCTCTCCTCACTTATCAACCACATCCAGCGTCCCCGGATTATGCGCAACATCCTTCCCCCGCTGATCCGTGAACAGCACCTACAAAATAGCTCGTCAGTCTTGTCCTCTTCGTCATTCCTTTCTTTAGCCTCCGAACTACTCACCTTGGGCGGGTTCTTGACGCCTTCCTGGTCGGCTTCTTCCTTCGTCGTCACGATCTTCTCGACCTAGGATGGATGCTATAAGCTTGCGATTGATGTTCAGGGAGAGTATATGAAAGAAAGGAGAGACGCACGTCGCCTTCGTGCCGTCCGCCGCGGATCTTGGTATACACGTGGTCGCCTTCTTGGATGGGCTCGCCTTGCTTGGAGAGAACTTCGTCTTTCGCGGGTGGTGCCATGGCCTTGTTTGCTCAGATAGATGTCGTGAAATTGATCAATCGATTGTGTTGTGAGTCTTCGGAGTAGCAGTAGGCGGGACGGTATTGAAGTTAAAGTAAAGTGAGTGGGATTATTCCTTGAGAACTACTCCACCGTAGAGTAGAGTAGGTTGTAGATGTAATGGAATGTGTTCGTTGGTACATCACCCCTCTCTCACAATGACATCAGTTCTCCAAAAGCGGAAACCACCTCCCCTCGCACCCACGCATCCTAACCACCAACTCAGATTCAGCATTCAGAAAACACGACCGAGCGCAGATCCCTAGAGCCGCATCACAGAGAAACGATAAAAGGACTTCGAGTACGGAGTGCCAACCCTAAAGACAATAAGCTTCTAACGATCCCCGTACCTGAAACCGCGGGGCGAACGATGAATGGCGCGAAACAAACGTCACGTGCGAGTAAGACGGCGCGAAACGCGATCGGCGGGCTTGTTTAGACCTCCGTGTTTACATTGCCCTGGCCAGGTCTTTTAGACTTTGAAGTTGGGGGCTGGTGCAGCAGCGATACATCCGCTTAAGCGTGAAGGAGAAGAGCGCAGCATTGAGCCATTCAAGTACGAACACATGACAGTCAAGTTTGTTAGTCACTTCAAGACGAGCCACGTTAACAATATTAACTTCACACGCAGGAGACCGAAGGCATAGGCAACGTGCAGAGCACGCAACAAGTTTTTATAGGTTAAAGGTTAAGGTGTAGGTATTCCTCAACACCCAACCGGTCCATATCCAATCCGAAGATCCCAGCCCAAGTCCCTAGGGTAATGTACAGAAGCGAAGAGGCGAACGGCTGTGAAGGAGTGACAAGAAAGAGCGAAGGATAGTACATGTGTCTTTTCTTCGAAGGGGGAAATTTTTGACAATGTGGACTTTGGTTGATCCGCTTGATGCAAAAGAGGTCTGTGTCGTAACTCGTGCAAAGCGCTGACCTGCCTGCGCTAGCGATAAATTGAAATGGTGGGGTATACTGGGCGAAGCTGCGCAAAAATTGGCGGGTATGAGGAGTCTTTTCCTAAGAAGAGTAGGCAAGGTACTTAGATCGTCTTCCAGGACGCGCCTTGCAGGCGGTCGCCGCTCGCACCACCAGCACCACCAGTGAGCGTCTCCCAGAGCGAGGGAGGTAGGTCGAGTCCGCCGTTGGTGCAGCCTGAGCATGCATCCTCGATGACGGCCTCAGCGGTGTTGCCGTTGTAGGTGATCTCGATTCTCTGGCCGCACCACTTGTTGGTTGGGTTGCCGGTCGCCTGGTCGTAGGTCATGGCGCCCATGAGGTCGGTAGCAAGGGCGACCATGATGCTGTCATCGGGAATGGGCTTGCCGCAGGAGCCGGTGCCTCCACCGAAGTAGTTCATGGTGATGGAGCCGCCAGTGTTGGTGTAACCGCTGCCGCTGCCCTCGCTCGCTGCCGAGGGAGAGGGAGCGGCGGCGGCGCTGGAGGCTGGCGCAGGAGGAGTGTAGACTGAGGATGGTTCCGGAGCTGGAGAGGGAGTCGAAACGGCGGGAGGAGTGTAGACGCTTGAGGGGGTCGGCTCAGGCGAGGGAGAAGAGGGAGCCGGAGGGGTGTAGACGCTGGACGGTTCCGGGGCTACAGAGGGAGTGTCGGCAGGCGGCGTATAAGCGGGCGCAGTTGACGATGCTGCCGCAGAGCTTGGCTGGTCATGGTGCTCGTAGAAAAGGCCGGGCGCAGAGGTGGCCTCGGCTTGGGATCCTTCGCCCTCCCACACGGTGGTGTAAACAACGACGGTTTCCACGACAGTGTGGGTCATGGTCGCCATGGCGCGCTTCTGAAGAGGAACGGCGGCGGCCATGGAGCCGAAGAGGACGGAGGCGAGAACGTTGGAGGTCTTCATTTTGACTGTTTGGTTTGCTGGTCGCAAGGGAGTGTTGGTTAGGAAGTTGTCGTTAGATGTCCACAGAGAGTGACTGAATTGGCTGGCAATTCAAATGACGAGAAAGCTGGGTATCGAGTCTTGTCCTTGAAGCGGTACGGTAGATTTGCGATGGGGTCTGCGCCGGAGAGACTGTGACTGCGACTGTAAAATGACTGGAAGAGATGCTAGATCTCGTGAAGCTGAGAGAATGAACGTGGGATAGAGAATGAAAGCGGACAATGCAAGACCTCAAGCCTGTAGAGAGTGGACAGGACAAGAGGAGTGGGCGACTTTTAAAGGACTGACGGGGTGAGAGATGGGGAAGAGGGAAGAGCGGCGGGAGCGAGAGGTGCGGATGCGGACTACCGGCTAGCGCCTGCGCCCCCTGCACTCTGGCTCGACAGCCACGCTGCCAATCACCGCAACGTTGCACCAGCCAGGGACACAGGCACAGGCTTCTCAGCCCGGAGGCAGCCGTCAGGACCTGCAAGTTTCTTCTGTGGGCCCACACAGCGGCGTTCAACAGCAGTGGGATCCTGCGCACGCCAGCCCGCGCCATTGCCATTGCCCGTGCCGGCAGTTGTCCCTCCATCGCGACTGAATTTCCGTTTGTTTTTAGGCCTCTCTCTGCGCTCTCGTGTGCCCGCTAATTATGGGTAGATATGTAATTTGCGTGGGAGCTGGCCCCCGTTTCACAGGTCCGAATAGGGGCTAGCCGCTGTCGCTCTGCCGGCAAAACACAGCCAATGGCGGCGCTGTGCCTGGCGATCGTCCGCTAGCGGCCAGGGGAAGCCGTCCGGGCTGAAGACGAGAAAACATGTGTCGTGGCGCCGTCGCCGTCGCCGTCGCCGTGGCTTGCTTGCGCCTCCGCCCAGGACGGCCGGCATCCAGTGTGGCATCGCTCCTCGCTGGAGCCCTCGACACGTGGACCCGGCTGAGACCGCCCATTTCTCCCTTCTTCTTCGCTGGAATGGCCGCACTGGACCAGGCGCAATTGCCTCGCCGAAGCCCGCGTCTGCCGTGCCTCGACTTGGAACGCTCCACCAGCTCACCCCGCTGGACTTTGCACGCCGCTTCTCCTCGCGCATGTTCCACTTTGGCGCTGGCTTCCGGACTCGTCATCGACCGTGTTCCCTCCGCCGTCAGCATGCACAGGAAATGAATTGTGGACCGCCTGCAAGCGCCTCCATCCCCGACTGGAGCGCCGGCGTGCAGCTGCCCACATCCGCGCGGCACCAACACAGAATTTTCTTATCCACTTATCGATAGCGATACCTGTCCATCCCCACACCCACTGCTTTGGGCCTATCGTGGACGACGACGAGCTTTGTGCCCTCTTCTAGGCCGTGCAGGACCAGCTTCTCAACAACACCAGGCCTGCATTCGCATCGAGTAATTCAGCCATTCAACCGCGCCGCTTGCGCTCCTGCACTTCACCGTTCTTCGTCGCCCAGCGGAGCTAGAAAATCCTGAGGACAACGTCGTCGTGGCGGGTAGAGGTTCTATGGTTACTTCGCTTCCAGAATCTCGTGGTAGGAAATGGGGAACTGACCCCACCAACCGGCCTTCGACATTCCATGGTTCGGCTGTCCGGTCTACCAGTGAAGGTGCATTCTGATTGAGCATTCTCACATCTACATTTTTCGGCATATGAGAGCGTGGCACTTGCAGCAGCTCGCCCGGGCAACGAGTGGAATGTGGTACGATTGACATCTTGGGCGACGGCACGTGGTACGGCACTGTCTGTCACTCGCTGACGACTGACAGAGTCTTTGACAGTCGCTCATGCTCAGGACGCCGTGGTACCGGGGGACCGCAGAAATTCGACGCGCCGACCTCCACTTCAGGAAGGTATCTGCACCTGGTTGCGAGCCGATCGCTGGGAGATCGACTTCGAAGCGAGAGCACTGCAAAGCTTGCATGCACGACGTACGTCTCGTCCTCTATCGTTTCCAAACTCCACTGTGAAATGTCAGACATGCCAACCTAAAGATGTTGGGCAAGCTACAGAACGCCTTCAGGCCCCATCGAGCTCTCGCATGCTCGCGAGCTAGTTAAGCACTCCAAATAGCACTAGTTAGAATGTAGGCGCCCTGTCGATGCTAGTTGAAGGTATATCGGTATACGTAAGTGCGAACCGAAGATAGTCGTCGAGGGAAGTCTAGAGGAAACGCTCTACGTCTACCTCGATTCAACTGTCCTTCCCCGTCCAGAACAAGTAGATCCTTCCATCAACTATTGCATCTTCATCACCATGGGGTCCCACGAGCGGAAAATCCTTTCCGACAGCTCTGGCTTTTCCGTTCCTTCGAGAATTTCTAGTCCGTTGTCTCTCCCCGGTGCTGCGCCTCCGCCAGCATGTCTCAGTCTTTTTCGTCCTGCAGATGATCAGCGCCCCACCAACCCAGCTCGACGAAGCTACACAATTTCAGAAGAATCGGACTTAGTGTGCGCATCTCAATGCGACTCATCTACGCCGGAATATTCACAGTCTTCGGTAGACGTTTCAGGCCACCCCTCCGATTACGCCCAAGCATGTCCGGACTATCTCCATTTCCGTAGAAACATCTATTGAAACGAGCACGTGCTGTCCGATTCAGGCATGCAGCGATCAGCTGTTTCGCTGTTTTAGAGGTCCGGATCTGAGGATATGCGATGCAACTTTGGAAAACTTGGTCTAATCCCGTAGACAGTGCACTGGATGCTTGACCTGCTCGACCTACATGAGACTCTTCTCCATATGCGCGGATTGGCATGCTGGGTTTGTGTTGGAAATGCACAGAATAATGCCGTTATCATCATCTAGTGGATCCAACATTGGCTTCGATCCGCTTCCCAAGTCGCGAGAAGCGGATCGCGACATGCCAGGGAACTCTTTCGGGTATTTGCTGATCAGTCTCTATACAGAACAATGAAGCAACAACCCTCCTACAACAAACTGCTCAAACCGGATTCCTTTCCCTCCATTCCCTCGCCACACTCTCAAACGTACAAAACTCCACCTCCCCCTTCCCCTCCCACCCCTTCAACCACCTCATCACCCGCTCCACCATGCCAATCACATGCGCCATCCCACTCGTATCGGGATGCAGAACCAGCGGGAAAACCATGATATCCTTCTCGCCCAGCTCCTCCACCTCCGTCCTCAACCACTCGAATTTATCCATCCACATGCGCCCCACCACCCGTACATCGACGTATCCCTGACTATTCGGCGTGTGCGGCCAGAATTGCAGAGGCGTCATGTCCTCGGCGTACCAGTTCCCTGGGATCTCGACGAGCGAGCGGGATGTCGGCGGGTTGGGTTGGGGGAGGGGTTTCATCCATTCTTGCGCTGAGGCGGCGGGGGTGTATGTGGGTGCGGCGATGGGCGGGAGGTTGGGGATGTAGTATGGTTTGCTGTCATGGTGCGAGAGGGAGGAGTCGTACAGGAAGGCGTGTTCTTCAAGGAGGGCGATGGTGGTCTCGCGGAGTTGGTAGAGAGGCGCGCGGTAGCCGGTGGGTTTGCGGCCTGTGAGTTTGGTGCACAGGTCGAGGCAGTGTGTGAGCACGTCGCGTTCTTGCGTGGGTGTGAGTTGGGGTGCACCCTAGCCGCGTGTTAGTATCCTCTAACATATCACCGCAGCGGCCTACATATGAAGAGGGAAAGGGACGACTTACTTCATGGCAGTAGCCATGCAGACCGATCTCGCATCCACTATCTACGATCGCCTTGAACTCTTTGGGGAAGCTCTCAGCGGAGTGCATGGGAACGAACCATGTCACATTCTCCTGGATGCCTAGCCTTCTGAAGAGCTTCAACAAGCGCGGAACGCCCACATATGCGGAGAAGAATCCGGAGCTATAATCTGCGAGGTTGTTGTCTGGGTGACTGCCCGTGCCTAGCCATCCGGATACCGCGTCAAAATCCACGGAAACGAGGACTTTGATCTTCGGTTTGGAACTGGCGGGTGGTGAGATCGACTGACCAACGCCCCTGAACGGGTCAGCACCCATTGACGGTGCCTTCTCCTCCCCGCTTATAAGGGCATCCATCTCGGTGCTTGATGGAGACTTCGCCTCAGCCGTAATCTTCTCCGTCCACCTCACCTCCTCCTCACTCCACACAATCCTCCCCTCCATCCCGCCATCCACCGAAATGCACTGCCCCGAAATATGCCCTGCCGCCCTATGACTCGCCAGAAACGCAGCCGCCCTCGCAACATCCTCCGGCTGCGCAATCTTCCTCAACGGCACCGTCGCCTGCGCTTCCCTCCACATCTCCTTCGGGTCATCCAGCCTCCCCTCAATCAACAGCGTATTCACCCACCCAGGCGCCACGGCATTGATCCTCGCTTTCGCATTCAACCTCACGATTTCATTTTTCACGCTCTTGACCAGGCCGTACTGCAGTCCCGCTTTGCCGGAGGCATATTCAGAATGACCCGCTTGGCCGAAGACGCCGCACTCACTTCCCGTGACGACGACTGCGATGTTGGGAAGCTCTTCACCGGTGGCCTGTTGATGCTTTTGCACGGAGCCGAGGAAGTGCTTGATGGTGAGGAAGGTGCCGCGCACGTTGACGGCGTAGGTGCGGTCCCATAGCTCGGTGGGCATGTCCCATATGCTGTAGGAGTTCGACTCGTCTGTGATACCGGCATTCGCGCAGAGAATGTTGACGGGGCCGAAGTGGGCGACGGCATCGGTGATGGATTGCGAAACTGAGGATTCGTCGCTGATGTCGCCTGTGATGCAGTGCAGTGATGCAGAGGGAGCACGGGTATTTGGGCGCTTGTCGTGTGCGGTGACTTTGCATCCTTGGGCTGCGGAATGGTTAGTCTTTGCTGGGAGATGTGGGTTGGTGGTGACTCTTGCGACCGATGACTTCGGACTCCGCTTCTACATTGTATATCATGCCAGGCCGCCATATACACAGACGCGTGTCCATTTGAATCCCAAAGAATGACTGGGCACACACCTACCTAGGAATTCCTCAACAATCGCTGACCCAATACCTCCCGCCGCCCCAGAGACAAAGACATGCAGACCCTCAAGCTGCAGGAACGACATCTCAACTCTTTAAAACTCGCCTACCGTTCTCTAAAATCATTATATCTGATACAAAGTTAACGGTGAACATTTAATAGCTGATCTTGAGGAGACATGACGCTGTAATCGCATCTACCAGTGACGCCGGAGATACGCGATTAGCAACACGATACGGATCCGTTATCAACAGCCTCTCTCTCCGCGACCGAAAGAGGCCAAACACTAGCAACACCCGCATGCACACAGAACACGCGCGATTGCAAAGAACTCGCAAAGAGCATCTCTACCTCCGCAGAAACCGTCGCGAAAGCGCCAAAAAAAAGGGCGTTGAAAAGGAAAACGCGGGCACAATGACGCCACGCCACCCCTACCCTGACCCAAGCCAGCACCCAAATGCCCCCTCCTCAGCTACTCATGCCATGCGCAGCGCGTAAACAATTCCCTCTGCCCCTCCCTTCCTACGCCCCGTCCGAAGGGCAACACGCCATGCGCCCCTCGCCCCTCCGCAACCTACCCCAAACGGCAAGTCTTGCACCGGAGAAACGAAAACCATCGATTCCAGTCGGCCAGACGCCCTTTTCTTAGGGCGACGGGCGACCAATCACAGCGCGCATGCTACACCGTTTGCGGCCACGCGCAGCACGTGGACGAATCAGCAACGGGGCGTGAGTCGATGGCATTAGTTGGGTATGTGGGCGACGGGGCGTGGAGTGGAGTGGAGCGGAAACGAACGGGGGGAATGACGAGAGAGTATTTGTCGGGTGCCGATGGAGTGTGGATTTTTGAAAGGCGAAGAGGTGGGTATAATTCTTGTTTCTATCCTACATGGTGTTTCGCGGACCGATATCCCCGTTTGGTGGGCATATCCCTAGAACTCCGATCCGCAATACCGCGATGACAACCCTACGCTCGAACGGAGGAAAAGAAAAGAAGGAGAATTAAAAGTTTCACAATAAACCTCATCTCATCCCGAAGCGGCCAGAATTCTCCTTACTACGCCCCCACCGTGACCACAAACGCCATTCGCTTGCCTCCAGACTTCGCTCGCTCCCCTCCATTGCCAGATCAAGTCCGGATTCTCCCTTAGAGTCGTCCCGTACTCCTCTTTCAACTCATTCAACGCTTCACTGAGCTCCCTCACCCCATGCACCACCCATCTCAGCTCTCTTCCCTCTACCGTCGCCGGTGGGATCTGATTCTTGAGTGCATCGAGAAGTGGGACAAGGCGTGAGAGATTTGGCGGGAGATTGTAACGCCAGGATGCTTCGATCCACGTAGTTACAGCTCCGCGGTCTGTAAGGAAGGCCGAGAGGGAGGGGAGCCACGGGGTTTGCTCGAACTGATCAGATGTTTGTCTGGTAGCCGCGCGGGGACGGCATGTGAAGTTCGATAGGGCGCGCGTGAGGTGTATTGGCCAGCAAAGGCTAGCATATCGAAGAAATGGCAACTCCGCGTCAAATGCCGCCGCTAGTGGGAGTTGAGGTGTGTTTGCTGAGGATGTAGACGCGGATGCGTAAGTCGGAAACCCTTCAGAGTCAGATGCTGAGGACATGGACTTGTATCCACTGTCGCCTGACTTGCTCGTCCTCATACTAATCCCACTGCTCGTCGCGAAGGATATTGGTGTAGGTCGGGTGTGAAGGGGCAATCTAGCCAAGGGTCGTTTGGGGACGTCGTTTGCGAGATAGGATAGGCATCGCGCGGCGAGATGCGCGTGTGGGATACTGTCGTCGAACAAGCTGAACTCTGAATCCTGGAAATCCGGCGATTCCAGATATTCCCTCGCTGACCTGTGCGAGAACACGACGCGGCTGGCTGTAACTTCGACCAAGCCGCACGTAAGCCGAGGTATTGAGTCGGCAAAGTTGGAGACGTAGCTCGATTCTGTGGTGAGCTTGCCAGGATTGACAGCCAAGGCAGTTTGCAGTGTCGGTATATCTAATCGGTGGATTGATAACGACAGCCAACGAAAGATGTTGGCCACTACCTGCCTTTCCTTTTGGGGCCGTAGGTCAAGCATGGCAAGGATATGGCGGTATAGGGACCCTAGGCCTTCTAGTTGGTGAGCCTGTTCAAGGACGGTGTGGCGTTCGTTCGGTGATAGTCCGGGCGACTGAAGATATCTTAGCAGCAGACTGGCCCACAGAAACATGCCATTTGATCTGCTGGCTATTTGAGGAATAAGCGATCGATCCATGGAGATCCCGAAGTATCCCTGATCAGCCATTCGATTTAGGTTCTCCGTAAGGTAGGACTCAATGTCTTCTTTATTGAGTTCCGCACTTAAGCTGAGGATATGCGGTGCATCTGACGCCCATTTCTGATACTCGAGAGGAATATCGATGTCTGGTCTGCTGAGAAGGATAACTCGTGCGTCCGATCTTCGGCAGACTTCTGGCAAAGAGTGAAGAAAGAGCTCGCTGTCGCTACACTCATCGATGCCGTCGATAACAAGGAATGTCGGATGTTGCCGTAGAAGGAGGGACAAAACTGCCAGGATGTCGTCCGAAGATGCCTTTCCGTGGGTAGGCGTCTTGCGCATTAGGATAGATATTGCATCTAGGGTAGCGCGATCGTGTCGGTGGGTATGTACTAGTTGATATGCCAGGGCTCGAAATGCGTCGTTAGGATGAATGCAGTATGAGTGTGCTGCGTTGAAGTGGAAGAATGCTGTCGAGGGAGCCTCGTATTCGTCATCAATGTTCAAATCGTCGGCGTCTGCGCTGAGTTCGTCGATGACGGCCCCAGAAATGAAGCTCTTGCCGAATCCAGGCTGTGCTGTACAAATTGTCAGCCTAAGAACTTCGTGAGCTATGAAAATAAAAAAGGCGCTCCTAGCAAGTCAAGGATCTCTCGCACCCTTACTTATCTTTACCATGAACGACTCGTCTTAGAGATATTCCCCGCCAACCCACTCTCCACAGCCTCTCAGTCACGTCGGGTTTGCCAGCATGCCGTCAGAGCTGTGAGACGACCCCGCAGTACCCTCTAGTCTGCAACTTGTTCTTGCGGCTGGGTAGAGAGGGGCCGTCTCCAGGCTACAACAATCGAGACCTCTGCCGGCACCTAGGGATACGACGGCATTTACCTTCCCTATCCCACAGCAGGTACCAGTGGTGGAAGAGACCGAGGGGGAGATTTGAGCTCACCTTGAACGAACAGAACCCTATCATGCCAACTTCTTTCCAGCTCTTCGGCATCATTTGCCGAAGCTTGCTCAAAGGGGGAATGCTTCCATGTGCAATACTTCGAGCTCTTAAGAAACCAAGTGCAGGAATTCGGATGTCGTTGGAGTAGGCGATGTTCATACACGTCTCGATAAGCGCAACAATTCGAAAGCCACGCTTTGACCTTGTCGACCCGCCTCACTGAGGAAGAGTCAGCCTGGTGTGCTTGATGAAGCGTGTGCGATGGACTGACTTCGTTTCGCCATCCTCTGCTCCACGAGCTCATTGCTGTCGTTCGCCTCGACTTGGTGATGCAAGAACTCAATGTACTCTCTTCGACGTTGCGCTATCGTGCCTTGGTCCTGGATTGCTTTTTTGGTCTCGCCTTCTAACCATATTTTGTGCCGTAGGAGGCGCGCTTCTAGATGGGCGAAGCGCGAGTCGAGCGGGCGCCAAAGTATTGTAGGTGACGAGAGGCGAAGATGTCGCAGTCCAACCCCTGCAAAGCGTCAGGTAATACCAAACATTTGAACTGAGTTTTGGGTTTGAAATCGACGCAATATCTTGCGCGAGCTTTGTGACGGAAAACGTGCTCAGGGGCTCAAAGTAATTGGTGGGGTGCGGTCGTACTGCGCCATAACAAAATGGCAGGCATTTCCGGATGGGGAAGCGACGTCCGGGAATTTTGAGGCGCGAATTACGAATATTCCAGAACGCAGGATTTTCGTACGTAAAAAGCAACGTACCGTGGTGGCCTCTCGAGAGCATGCGGTACAGATCCAGGCAGAATTGGATCATGTCTGCATACACATAAGACATCAGCGCCGCAAGCCGTGCGTCTTGACTCTGGCTCTGAAAGTGCAGCTGGTGCTTGCAGGACTCATGGAGCTGCTGGTACTGCGGCAGCGTGTGCGCAATGCTCTCGAACATGTCGGCGATCTTCTCGAGGAAGACGGCGTAGTTGCTCCCGACCTGCATGACGGTTAGGCTAGGATCCATCATGGTATGTGGTAGGGGCCGAGTCACTGACTTTGAAGACTAGTCGGATGCACCCCCAGAGCCAGCCAAGCCAGTCGGGCTTGACCTGGACGCAGATGCTAAGGAGCTCAAAGTACGGGGCGAACGTTCGCGCGAAGAATGTCATCTTCTTGCAGCATGCCAGCAGTCTCCTATGCTCTTTCACATTGGCGTCGCAGATAGTCCGCATGTCGTCCAGCAAAGTGGAAACGTCGGCATGATGGCGGAAGTTCCTCCGGTGCTCTTCCGAAAGGGTATGCTGAATAGCCTCAAGGGCTTCATCGAAAAGAGAGTGTTCGGGCCTGCACCGTTAGTTCAGTCTATGCGGCCTGGTCCTAGTCGACGGCCAGAGACACTTACCCTGGCTCTACCATGGCTATGTCGACGGTATGAGTCTGTGGCGACATTTCTTGAATCTTTTCGAGCCCAGTCCGGATCCGACCCTTCCTAACTGATACATTGGACGGCCTTCAAAAGTAGCTTCAGCTTCGCAGCACATGGAGCGACGAGGACATGGCAAGGGCATGGGGAAAGCGGGAAGGAGCAATAAGCAAGAAAGCCAGGTAAGGGAGGCTCCAAATGAAGGATTGAGTAGAAAACTGCAACGTCGCATGCGAGGGCGCATGGTGTAGAGAAGATTTACGTGGGGCTTGCGGGTTGCGGGACGATAAGCGGGTAGGTACCTGCAGAAGCAAGTGGTGTTGAGGTAAGACGCCTTACAAAACCATGGGGGGTTGCCAAGGCGCCCCCGTGTGGCGTGGGTAGACGAGACCTCATTCGCAAATCGGACACAGCAGACACGGATACCAAGTGTTTTACCGGCCCGGCGGAATGGAACAGTAATACTAAAAACAAAGACACATGGGCGACGGCGCGAGGGCAATGCGGAAATGTTTGCGTACGAATAAACTCTTGGGTATCTCCTCTCCAATCAGCAGCTCTGCGTGGGCAAGAGCCCTCTATAATACAGCGGATATTAAAAAGTTTGGTACGGAAATACGATCACCTGGACAGCGACTACCACAGCTGCACATCAGGCCGTCTGTGGCTGGCCTAGCCGCAACGCCAGCAGTGCGCGGACGTCTGTGACATACTGCAAGCCCTCAAGCAGAGGGATCAGATGCAGGAGCCCATTGTCTGTCGGGTCGCTAATCCAGCCCTCGATGGGAATGGCATTGTCTGTTATCGAGCATCAGTCAAGGCCCTCGTCGGCGTACCCGGACGGGAGGCGGTCTCACCTTCGTGGAAGATGTAGCACATGGGGCTGTTATCAATGATCATGACTTTGCTCAGATCCGGCTCTACCTGAGCCAAGTCCTTAATGTAAGCCCCATTGCGGAACGTGCAGTGCTGCCGGTAGTATCTTCCCGCAAAGTACTTGCGCTCGGCCTCCAGCCAGTCGATGACGGGATCGGCGTATTCTTGCACCGAGGCTGTGAATATTATCAAGTTGTACCATTTACACACCTGCCGTGGGATTAGCGGGATGCCCACTCGCAAGATGCGGGCTGACATACCTTTTTCAGGAACTCGTCACAGTGAGGCCGTTTATGGACATAATACAGGATTGGAACCTGGGGCCCTATTATTTGGCCTCCAGCGCCGACTGGATGCTGCAGTTTCACCTCGACCATGTGCCCGGTCGTGTAACGGCCGCCCTTGGCCATGCTGTGGATTAAAGTTTCGTCAAGGTCAATGATCAGCGTTTTCTGGTGCGGGCCGACGGTAGATGTGCCTGACGCGGAGTACGACGGCTGGCGCCGCGGGACCAAGGGACGCGGGGGCTGAGGGGCTCGTGGAAACTTCGTCAGCTGTTTGGATGCATTTACGGGACCAGTGGGGGATTTCAGCGCAGCCGCAGCCTCTGCCGACACCTGGTTCGAGCCACCCTTGGAGCTGGCGCGAGGTTGCGCCTTCTTCGCCGCTTTGCGCTGCCGCAACGCTTCCTCATTGTGCAACTTGATGCGAATCTGCCGCTTCGCGGGAGCTATCTCCTCGGTGGTGGATGATGCGCTCGATTTAGCTCTCGTGTGGCGGGACGGCGTATCGTTGTCCTCATCCCTCGTGGGAGGCCGCTCGCTCTCTGGCTCTGAATCGGAAGTTATCGCTGTCGACGTTGAGGCAATAGATGGCGAGCGCTTGACCGGCTTTTTAGTCTTGTTCGACTGCGAAACACTCGGCCTGCTCTTGCGCTTCCCCTTGTCGCTACCCTCCGAGGAATCCGACGCGTGGAACGTTTCCGCTTTGGTCTTTTTCCGGCGTGTCCGAGTGAACGAGCGTGCTATGTGATATATCGGCGCGACTATTGAAAACCTGCCGTCCTCGTGGTAGAAGCATGCTAGCAAGTATTGGCCCGAAACGACAATGGGTGAAAGCAGCAGCTTGAAGCCTCCTACAAATGCCTCGGATATCCGCTGTGGAAGCAACCACCTTTTCGACGCCTGTACATGGGCATATGGGGCCTCTGAACTGCTGAGTAGCGGCGTCTTCTCGTCCATCTCTGGCGCGGTGGTGTCTGTTTGCGTGTAGGTAGCACTGTCCATCCTCCCGGCACCCGTGTCGTCCTTTTCGTCGGAACTGGTTATTGATAGCGTGTCCGCATCATTTGGTTGCTGCGCAGGGCTGGTCCGAGGTTGTGCTTGGAGGATGTTGCTCTCGGATGCGGCGCGTGAACGGGGGGGACTGGGCGGTGGTGTATTGCCAATGTGTGCGAGGACGTTCAGGGAGTTCATGCTCTGGTCAGAGCCATTAACCTGTATTGGCGTTGCTAGCAAGCTCTATGCAGGGTGAGATATCGTGGGATGCTGTGGAGCAGCGACGTGTTTGCAGGGGTTGCCGTGCGGGTGTTTCTGGGGCGGGTGGGTGGCGCTGGCAGGCAGAGCAGCTGGGTGAAGGATGATTACAGTCGCCAGGCACCAGTGAAGCCCGTCGAGACCCGGGCGCAGCAGCAGAGGGCGCGATGCTGACGGTGGAGAGGGTTGCGGTGGTTGGGGCCGGGTGCAGCCGAGAGCAATGACGGAAGGACGAGCCCTGGCCGCCCGAAGAGGAAATCGGAAATGCCGAGTGAAGACTCACACTCACTTAACTTTCTGCCACAGTTCACCACGCGCGAAGCTCCTCTTTCCCTCAACAAAAGCTCTGGAAAGAATCTAAGGACAGAGAATCCCACAGCAAATTTCGTTCTGCGCTCAAGTCCTAAATTAGGCACGACCCCACCACCGCCGAGCAGACAGCTACACCTCACTCCATCTGCGTCGAAAATCACCGACACCCGCATAAGCATCTGCAGTGTAGATAGGATGACGCAGGGGGCCGTGGCGGTCGCCCCGGGGCTCTCCTCCTTTCTCAAATCTCTCAAAACAACTCCTGCAGACCCATCTGTGGAGCACTTTATATCGTAATGTTTCTCACGAGGTAGCTTCATGGTCAATTACGAGCTAACGGTGCGCAGACTCCTCAAGCGACGACAGATCCGCAACTCGCGACCATGCGCCATAGCCACTACTGCCCTCATGCTCCGCGTCGTGGGAGAGTTTAAAGGACGGGATGCAGCGAAGCTCATGGAGCGGATACGACAGGTTGGCCGGCGGTTGACGGCAGCACAACCTCGCGAGGTTGTCGTTGGCAATATCGTACGTCGAGTGCTCGGTCTAGTGAGAGAGGTGCTCGACGAGAACGTTGGTGGAGACACGAACGGAGGGTTCGATACGGGCCGCAACACACCTACGCAGCCTCACGACTCCATGACCAGGCCGACACTAGCCTCGAGCATATCTACCTTCAGTCCGCTCAAGCATGCGGCTGTAGAGCCTATGGATGCAAGCCTGCACCAGTCCGACATGTCTGAGTCAGGGGAATTGCCAAAGCGGCCTGGGTTACTCACATCTCATACCTCCTATGCTCCCGCTTCAGCTGCGCCTCTGGTTAACTCACTATTCGGGCTTTTCTCCCAGCCGACGGACACACCGTCGAATGCAAGCACGCCTACCGGATACACATCCCCCGAGGGAAAGAGTGCGCACAGTCTGAACCTGGAACGACTAGCGGATCTTAGCAAAAGCCAGCCAAATCTTGATCTAAGAGCTGAAGTCATGGACGGCATCAAAGAGCTGCAGGACGAGTTGGAGCAGTCAGACGAGCAGATCGCCAGCGTGGCCCTCGAGCATATACATTCAAACGAAATCATCCTCACCCACACAGCGTCAACAACCGTTCAGAAGTTCTTGCTTAGTGCGGCAAGAAAGCGGAAATTCACGGTCGTGCATGCAGAGACGTATCCCCACGATAATACTGCCACGCACGGCATCCTGCTCACTGGGAGAAAGCGAGAAGGACATGTGCATGATGAAGAGGATCAGTGGAAACCGCTCACTTCTGTTGGGATTCCGGTCTACGTCATCCCGGACTCGCATGTCTTCGCCATAATGTCACGCGTCAATAAGGTCATTCTAGCAACGCACACCGTATTAGCGAACGGAGGCCTTGTGGCAGCCGCAGGCGCACATATGATCGCAAAGGCAGCCAAAGAGCACCAGACACCGGTTGTCGTGCTCAGTGGCGTGTATAAGCTGAGCCCAGTATATCCCTTCGACATCGACGAGCTCATCGAGTATGGAGATGCCGGGAGCGTGGTCCCATACGATGACGGTGAATTCGTGGATAAAGTAGATGTCGAGAATCCGTTGTACGACTATGTGCCGGCCGATCTGGTCGACCTCTACATCACCAACCTGTAAGTCTCTCTCCTAAGGATTTAGCTAGTTTCCCGTGTACTGACTGGGCAGTGGCGGGCACGCGCCTTCGTATCTCTATCGTATCGTGGCAGATCACTATCGCTCGGAGGATATTACTCTATGATCGGCAGGACCACTGAACGAGCGTGAAAATGAGAAAGAATTTAAGCTACTTGAGTAGCTGTTTAAGAGAGCATTTGACTTGTATACTGCTGAAAAGAGCGGATAGAAGATGATTTGCATCACCTCCTTCAAATAATCCACCATTCTTGAGAAGGCTGTGCACCTTCTCCCTGTGCTGAATTGGTCATGCTCTCGAACTTGCTTACTGCAGCTGGTATCAGCTGGCAAGCACTTCTGAAGTTTCCAAATTACCTCCAATTACTATCGGACTTAACGTCGTACTGTGCGCCGTATTACTTTTTATTTTAACATACCTAGGTAACTATCAAGCCGCACAACGGCACGCTTTCCTCTTGTAGAACACAGTCGGAGGAAAACCAGCTAATGGGTTGCCATACTCATTACTATGTATCTTGCTAGGAACGTTGAGATTGGAAGAGGCTGTTAAACAGCGCATACAATGAGGCCTAGATGTGAAGGCAGTGCACGTGACGTCGCGCACCGCTAGCGTGTGATTGGCGACCCCACTACCGACACGTAAGACGGTGCGTCAATCTCAAGCTCAAGCTCACTCTTTGAACAATCAAACTACAACAATGCTCAGACCTCGATATCCGTGAACTACATTTCGGCTTCTTCGAACTCTTCCAAGGTCTCTCTATCCAAAAATCAACTCAATTCCTCGCTCCACCGCCTCAACCGCCCACAATGGCACCCCCGCCATCCTCTCTCTACACACTCTCCTTCTTCCTCGCCGCTCTCACAACCCTCCTCGTCTGCGCCTCTCTCCGGCTCCTCGCCATCCTGCCACGGACACCCTTCCGACCGCAGCCCATTCGCCGCAAACCAATTGCAACCCGTGTGCTCATCGTGCTCGGCTCCGGAGGCCACACACACGAAATGTTTTACCTGCTTAGGGAGCTCGATACAAGCAAATATACACACAGGACGTATGTGGTCAGCAGCGGGGACGCTTTTAGTGCGCAAAGGGCAGTTGAGTTTGAAGGGGAGTTGGAGGTGAGGGAGAAAGCGAGGTTACGGCGGAAAGAGGAGCTGGAAGAGGAGGAAGACGAGAAGTTGGAAGGGCAAAATGGAAAGATAGCCACGCAGAATGAGGAAAGACAAGCATGCACAGGACCTGACCACTACAACGTCGCCACCGTTCCCCGCGCCCGTCACATCTACCAATCCATCCTCACTACACCAGTATCCTCCCTTTGGACCTTGTGGAAGTCTTTCCCTCCCTTACTAGCAGCTCCGCCTTTGTTGCCCGATCAATCCCCACAAACGCCCTACGAAGCCGCTGCGCAAGACCTCCCTGACCTCATCCTCACAAACGGCCCTGCAACAGGCGTCATCATCGTCCTAGGAAGCCTTATTTTGCGCTTCTTCAACCTACGCGGCGCAAATAGCAGAGGGAAATGCAAGACGGTGTATGTGGAGAGCTTTGCGCGGGTCAAGACGCTGAGTCTGAGTGGGAAACTATTGTTGAGGGTTGTGGATCGGTTTGTGGTGCAGTGGGAAGCCTTGGAGGGAAAGGGTGGTAGGGCGGAGTTTTGGGGTGTGCTGGTTTGAAAGCAGAGGGGTCTGACATGATGATATGGGAAGCGAAGAGAAAATGCATAGCAAGGTGTTAAGGAGTAGTCTTACATTTGCAAAGCTAGATACCCCCACCAATCGATGCATACGGCTGGGCTGCACATCCAGTCCCTTATCCTACAGATGAACGTCTAATATCTACAGCATGCCGGGTCTGGTGGAGGCGCTCAGTCCACCTCTTCTAGCTTTTTCGCAGCTTTTCTCCTCTTCTCCGTCAACTTCACCCCATTATCCTGCATATGCTTCCCAAGCGCCGCCAAAAGCACCTCAGTCGAAACCTTCGGGTTCGCCATCTCCGCCTGCGCCTTCCTCGCCCACTCCACCTCCCACCGCAACTGCAGAGGCGTCTTCATGCGATCCAGCTGCCTCTGCTTCGCCTCCTGCTCCTCCGGATTCGCTTTCGGTTTCTCGATCTCCCTCGTCTCCTGAGCTACGCGCTCTCTCTTCTCTCTCGCCTCTGCCCACTTCGCTTCGCGGATATGAGGGGCAAGTTCCTGAGAGAGCTCGTTCGGGAAGGGCGGGTAGACGAGCGTCGGATAGAAAGTCTTGGTCTCCTCGCCTTCGATTCTATTGCGGCCTGTGTCTTCGTCGAAGTCGGGCGGTCGCTTGTCGGGCTGGGGTTTTCCTTCCTTTCGCGCTGTATACACTTCCTCGATCTGTTTGTTGATGGAGTTCATCTCCTTTTCGTCTTCCGCCTGGAGCTCATCGTTGTCCTCTAGCTTCTTCTGCGCTCCGCCAGTGAGGGGAGAGGCGGCGTAGCGCCTGAGACTTTCCTTCACTTTCACCCAATTGGCGCCCAAGTTGCGGAATGACGACCGGAACCAGCCTTGCTTCACTTCAGTGGTAGTGGTATCCTTCCTGTCGGACTCAGGCTCCTCCTTCTCCTCTTTTTCCCACGGCCACGCTATTCTCCGCCTAGTGCCGGCAATGTAGCGGTTGAAGATGGGAAGGCCGGTGTCAGGGTCATATCGATGCTCTTTGGGGAATTCCTCGTTCCCATAGTCGAGGCCGGTGAAGGGATCAATGCCCGTCGTGTGACGCTCCATGACAAGGTGGTCGACGACCACGTCTTCGTAAATGTGCTTGGCTTCTCCCTCGGCGTTGTAGGTAGCGATACGATAGGGTACCACGAGACGAAGGTCAGAGAGCGGGACCATAATTTCGGTCTCGCGCTTCGCGGGAGCCTCCTGACCCGGGGGTACGTTGAATGCCGAACCATCGGCGTAGTGCTGGCAGGGTAATCAGTCTGGGCTGAGGAGAATCGTGCGCGCAAAGTAATACCTTGTTGAGATCTTTGACAATAGCCTCATGCGACTCCTCTGAGATTGAGTCGACAACCCCAATCTTGCCCTTCTCCCTGCCCTTCATCAGCACCACACGGTCGTCCTGGACAATGTGGAAGTATTTCTTGTCGTCCACAACGAACGGGTATTCCAGCTGCAAGCCTTTCTTCTCCCGAACTTCATTCCGATTCTTTTGCACGCGCACTGGAATGGCAGGCCGTCGTAGCTCTTCCGCTTCCATGGCTCCATATCGACCCGCTCCCGAGCCGATGGCGCGGTTGGGACGCAGCGGCCCGAGAAACCAGTCCTCGCGGGCGTTCCTCAGGGCGCGTTTCTCGATGTCGTGCGCATTTTCCTTGGTCCATGCTTGGAGGCTTATGGCGGTGGACTTGGATTCATGGCGGTCTTTTGCGATGGCTTGGCGCTTTTTGCGGGCGCGTTCGTGCCAGCGGATGGCGGCTTTGACCTTTTTGATCTCTTTCAGTTTCTGCAGCTGCTTCGCCGTTCGCAGCGGAGCAGCGGCCAATTGGCTCATGGTGGATGCGCCGGAGTCGGGTTTGCGATGCTTTGTCGAGGTTTGGAGGTGCTATCGAGCCATGGGAGGGAGGAGGGAGGACAAAGGATGGTGTCGGGACAATGGAATTGGAGGCCGCAAGTAGATAATATGAATAGGATTTCTACACCCTTCGACCTACTGCTCCCCCAGCCGTGTGGTGAGGATCGATTGACAACAGTTGCTGCACGAGGTGGAACGGAAGTCGGAGCTCCCAAATTTCGCACGACAGCACTAAGGCGGCAACTCCCGAGGTCGGGGCAGAATTGTCGAAGCCTCCGCGCGACAACAAGCCGCACCAGCATCCACGCGCTCGCGCCGCCGACGTCCACAATGCCGCAGCTGCTCCGGCGCAAGCTGCGCTGCCACTACTGCAACTCGAATTCGCGGAACGAGCAGTCGGGCATTCCTCGGACATGGCTGTGTCCCTACTGCGACGCGGTGAATCATTTGGACGAGGTACGCTCATCGATGGACAGCTCCGGCTCCCTCTACTGACACTCTACAGCGCGGTCAGATTACCGACCCGCCCCTTGAGACTATTGCGGCCCAAGCACCTCAGTACGCACGCAACCGCTCCCCTACCCCCGTCATGTCCGCCGAGTCGCCGTTCTGCGATACCTGCCAGCGCAACCAGCTCCTCCTAAACAAGACACTGGCCGAGTACATACCCGACGAAGATGATCCAGAGTACGACAAGTACGCCGCATCTGTGGATGACTACCGCGCCGAACTCGAAGAACGATATCCGCAAGTCTGCGAGAACTGCATCGAGCGGGTTCAGGCCCAGATCCGGGCGGCCGGTTATGCGGCAAAGGCTGATCACTTGCGCCGAATACTAGAGCAGAGTACAAAAGCTAGGGGTGACGCATACACTCCCCGGCAGTTCTGGACGCTATGCATCATCTCGCTCGCGGAGTGGACCTACATCGTCAGCGTCTTAGTGGGGCTCATTTGGCACGCTTTCGGAACCATAGTCGCGCCGGATGCTGGAATGTTCGAGGATGGGGATTTCAGCTGGCGCATATGTCTGCAAAAGGCGGTCATGGTCCGGGAAGTCGACCAATCCTGTTTACGGTCGCCTTACATCCTGCAGCTTGTCAAATACGCCTTAATTGCGGACCTCCTTACCATCTGGTGGAACCCGAAGCTGAAGCAGAAGACCAACCGCGCCGGCGGCCGGATGCGCGGTCTCCATTTAGTCTGGTGCGTGCGCATCGCCGTGCTTGCGGTCCGCTACCTCAGCTTCCGCTCCTTTGGCGCTATAGAGATGGAGCAGAGGGACCATCCGCAGCGGTTCCATTATACGCACGGCATCATCTTCGCCATCCTACTATTGTCCACCATTGTTGGTTGGAACTCCGTCCGCATCGTCTACCCGTCCACTGCATCATTGAAGAAACCTCTAGATTCCCACCTACCCAGCGCACCGAATAGCGCTGAAAAGGCTCGCAGGTCCGGACCTACCTCCGTACTGCCGAACAGCTCCAGCTTCGACACGATGGCGCAGTCTTTCACATCAAGCTTCCTTGCTGAACCAAGCACGAACTACCCGCCGTCGCCCACGCTTAGCGCGGTATCCTCTGCTACCCATGACAGCGAGACGAGTACACCATATATGCGCAGACCGAGCACAAGAGGAGGAGACGACGCCATGGACTGGACACCCACGCAAAAGCGCTTCGCTAGCAATACGCCCTCCATCCTCCCACCCCAATGGCTCCCGTCTTCCCCTCTCCCTCAGCCCACCCCGACTCGGCAACAGCACTCCATCTTCAGCAAACCCGATCCAAACCCATTCCGCCACAAGATTCCCGCCGCTCCGAAGGCACCAGCGCAAGCGAAAGCGAACCCATGGAATCCAGGCGTATGGGCGCCACCACTGAAAGCAACAACCACAAATTTCTTCAAGGATAACAGGAAGGGCGAAGAGCACGGCGATAGGGGGCTGCAGGGTATTGGCGTGCCGAAGAACATCCAGAAAGATGCGGAAATGTTTCAAGCACCGAAGTTGAAGTACGATTACTATGGCAAGTTGAAGGAGACGGGGCTTGAGAGCTCCTTCAATGACTTGTTCTCGAAATGAGCTGTTAGAAAAGACTTGAGGTAGGTTCATTGTTGGAGGTACCACCGGGCCTGGCATGGGCGGAGTTTTTGATTAAGATACCCTTCTCTCCTTTGTGTGCATGGTCGGAACTGCATGTCTAGAAACGCGGGGTCATGGTTGTTTTGGTCTAGTGTATGCGGTTGCAAGATAGCAATGTCCTTTGATAGAAGGGAAGAGAGAATCGGTCCTCTTAAAACTTGAAGACTTTGCATCTCGTGGGGGCGTCTTATGACAGTGACAGTCTACAGTCCCGCCAAAGTGGCAAATTGAGCGCTTGAACAGGTCAGATTTCTCTACCTAACCCATCAAGCCTTATGATGCTTTTCATATGCCGATTCAGTGCGGGTAGAAGCACAGGAAATTCCCCAATGTAAGACTCCATTAGCCTCCCATATGTCCGCCGATCCGTCGCTCGCGCTCCACCGTGATTGTCCACCTCGGGCTGGTGAGTCGCTTATGACCTGGGCTTCTCCTTCTTCTCCTTCCACAGCGCCGACAGACCGACACCTGACACCTTGACGACCTTGAAACGCACACCGGGAATATCACCCTTGGCCTTACCCTTGCGACCGAAACCGGCGAGGAGGACTTCGTCGTTCTCGTCCACGAAGTTCAAGCAACCGTCGTTGGGAACTATGAAGCCATTAGCACAACTCGTGCATGTTCCTATCCACCCAAACTCGGTCTATTGTCTCCATTTCTTCTTGCGGTGTAGTTACGTGGTGACCTACCGAAAGCAGTGACCTTCTTTCCGTTCTTAATCAACTGCACCCTGACGCACTTCCGGATAGCAGAGTTTGGCTGCTTAGCTTCAACGCCAACCTTCTCGAGGACGATGCCCTTGGCGTGGGAGGAGCCACCGAAGGGAGACGACTTGTATGCGGTTCCGAGGAGGCGCTTCTTGTAGTGGAGATCGGCCCAGCGGCCGTCACGGCGATGGTTGCGCAGCTTGCGCGCGGCATTGAGACCTCTCGGCTTTCCTGGAGTTTCTTGTGAGCTTTGTGCTGTGCAGCGGTGTGATGTGCAGTCATGCGAGGTTGGCATTCAAAGAGGTGCGAATTTTGAGGATGGAGGGTGTGGAGAGTCGTACCTTTACCCATCTTGGCTGTCTGATCGATGGATCTTTACAGAGGGTTATGCGTTTGGCGGAACTGAAGATGTTGGAGGTTGGCGCTGCAAAATGAGTGTGGGAGCGGCGCTTGGCGAAGTCGCTAAGGCTAGTCGAAATTCACTCTAGCGTCGCTGCATGCCCATCTTATCTTATCACATCTCCATCGTCACGTCACGTCACGTCGAACACCATTCCGAAGCTACGACTTCAATGGCTTGTCTTTCCAGAAGACCTGCATCGCTCTCAGACAACGCGCTTGTTGAAGATTGGCCGAGTATGCCACCGATGAAGTACTCAAGCAACAGTCAAGAAGTCTGAACATCAACCACACAATGTCTTCCAATAACAATATCTCCAAAACCCAGTCCAACCGTCTCCCAGCACCTGCTCTCTTCGTCGGCCCGCCCTCACACAATGCTTCCAATTCCTCCCTCCTTTCTCCGGGCCCCTCGTCCGACAAACCGTCCCGCACCCCACTAACCCGCCAACGCTCTCTACTCGGCCAAGACCCCTCCAAACGTCCCCTCCCACCGACTACCACCTCGCAATACGATGGCGACCATCTCAGCCTCACTGCTTCAAATCCCACTGCACCCTTCATCCGGCGGCAGAAGCAGCAAAGCCAAGCTGCGGACGCCGAAGCTAGCTCTAGAGCGGAGGCAATATGGGCCGAGATGCAGAACACACTGGAGGAAGTGGAACTGAGCGCTATCAAAGGGCCGGGGATGACAGTATTCGGGAGTGAGCATTCACGTGCACTGGACGAGCTCCGCCGTGCACAAATCGACCTTGCAAAAGCATGGGCGCGCTCTGAAGCCGAAGAATCGGGCGAATTCTCCGAAGAAAAGAAAACCGCCGAAGGCACAGATGCCACGGACCTTCTCGCAACAGACCGCATCACAAAGCTTGGTAGTAATGAGTCTAGCAGTCCAGGTGGGCTAGGAGGCGCATTCGAGCGAAGCAAGCTTGAAGAAGAGACGGAGAAGGATATCGAGCTGAGTCGCAAGAGGAGGGAAGCGAATGATCGGTATTTTGAGAAGGTGAATAAGGGCGTGTTAGAGGTAGTAAGTAAGCTGGAGGAAGTGGCAAGGGCGATGAAGGGAGTTGAGAGTGAAAGTAAGGAGATTTGGAGGGATGGGGCAAGTGTGGACACGGAGAGTGTGACGACGGCGCCGAGCGTGACCTGAGAGGCAAGCGATCCTTCTCCGGGCCGTTGAAGTAAGATTGATCAATTAGGATCCAAGAGCTCAAGATGATGCTTCCTCCACAGCATCCCGCGCCCACCAGATCCTCCTACCGGCTTCCGAATACATCCGCCCATCTCCGCCCATCTACGGATAATTCCCCTTGGCCACACCGCTTTGTCTTACATCGAACATGTCGAACTACAGCGCGAGCGCTTCTATTTGGTCACGCTGTATATTAACACTATCACCTACACTCACATGTTCACCTATCTAAGAACTGCTTATCTTCGGAAGTTCGGCATGTATATCACTCGTCCCCTTCTTGAGCCGCAAGCCAACCTCACCGCCCTCACAGTCTCCCCGTCTCTCCAAGATATATAGAGCTTCCACCCGGTCTTCCCACCTTCAGCCCGGTTCTAGATTCCGCAGGGGTATCTCGACCACTCTGTGACTTATTCAACTCGGCACTAACACAATACTTTGGCATGAGTCTGTTATTTGCCAAGATCCTCCTCCTTCACTTCTTTTCCACGCTCGCCATAGCCTTCCCTACCTCCTCGGCCGTCAATGGTTCGGTTCTCCTCCGCAGCAATGTCCCATCCTGGTATGGCCCAGTGTGCCATGTGATCATCTATCTGGAGCAGCGCTGCCGCGACGCGGGTAAAAAGCGTGACTCAAAAGTCGACACTTTTGCCCGATTCGTAATCTTGTGGACAAAAGACAACAAAGACACCAACATGATGGATCTAACCGGTGACATTGGCTATCCGGACCTCAAGAACGTCTATGATGTGGACGTGGGCGAGATCAAAGGCGAACTCGGCTTCTACTTCCGCTGGAAGTACTACCAGGGAAAGGCATGGGTGGGCAACGACGCAAACCATCATTGGGACAAGATGACCTTCCATGCGCCCAAGGACGACATGGAACGCCAGGATGATGATGAGACTTGCGCTCCCAAGATCTGGAGTGAGGCGGATGGAAGCGGCACGACCGCCGGATGGTGGTCGCGTTGCGCGGATGACAAAAACTATGAGGGGCGATCAAGGGTTCGTAGCGCAACGGCAAATCTTAAGTGGACGAACTGGTGCTGATCAACTTGTAGTGGCGCGAGAACAGGTGCGGCTTCATATGCGAGCCAACTAGGTGATGAGGCGATTGGCGGGCCTCTCTTTGATTTTGGCTTCGCAGTCGCGCCCTGTGGACCTTTTCTAGGACTCTGCGCTTGAGCGAAAACAGCAGGACGCTGCGAGTAGCGAGTCACTGGGTCAACGGCACATAAGTAGACTGCTCAATAAATGTATCTAAATGGATATTCAAGATCTCACAGCCGGGCTCGATGTTTCATCTAGCTATCCAAAGTGATTCATCTGGGCCTGTGGTGGCCTATGATTCCTTGAAGTACCAAAGCACAAGACAAAGCACATCCTCCTCCAGCTCAGCAACCCCCTCATCTCCCGATCTCAAAGCAGGTACCGGTAGTCGGGGTTCAGATCTCCCAGCTCCGTCTTCTCATATTCCGTCAACCCCACATCCCTCACACTCTTATCCCGGCTCCTGTTCTGCCACTTGCACATGATGAAGTATACCAAACAGCTCAGCGCGCTGAGACTGACAAACGCAATGCATATCGAGTACCCGGTGATGTACTTGGGCGCATCCTTCTTCAAAAAAGCAAACACGGCAATAATCCCGCCTACATTACCAAAGCCGACCTGCCATGCGGTCCCGATAGCGCGTCGATGATGGCCGCCTAGGTTCATGTTGAACCAACAGACAATGACGGGCATGGCGGTGTAGGCGCCCATAGCGACGAGGAATAGAGCGGCGTATTGCACGTCGCGGTGGTCGTGCACGGCGATGAGGATGGCGAAGCCGGCGATGCAGACGCAGATGGGGAAGATGGCGAAGAGGAAGCGGTGCTTGAGGCGGTCGGAGAACCATGCGATTACCATCGCGAAGCCAAACGCAGCTGCCCACGGCGGGACGCTATGCAGTTGTGTTTGGATGGCACTGTATCCGTAGCTCTGGATGATACCCGGGCTGAAGTACGCGTAACCATACGCAGGCACAATGAGCCCGAAATACATGAAACCCCCAACAATGATCTTCGGGTCCTTAAACACGCGGCCGACATCTCGCAGCTTAATGGGACGTTCTCGGGCGGATTTCCCCTGATCGATCTGCAAACGCGCTTTCACGAAGGAGCGTTCTTCTTCCGTGAGCCACTTCACTTCCTCGGGAAAGTTTGGTAGCAGGAAGTAAAAGAAGAAAGAGACGACCATGGTGAGGACGCCCTCGAGGATGAAGATCCAGCGCCAGCCCTTGTAACCACGCATACCGTCCATTTTGCCGATAGCGCTGGCGAGCAGACCGCCAAAGGCCCCAGCGAGTGTCGTGCTGGAGAAGAAGAAGGTGTAGCGCTTTTGGGCTTCGTGGCGTCGGTACCACATCCCGATGAGATAGAAGGCGCCAGGGAACATGCCGGTTTCGAAAAGTCCGAGGAAGAAGCGGGTGGCTAGGAGTCCGGAGTAGTTTTGGACGAAGCCCTGGAGAAAAGAGACTAGGGTGGAAAGTCAATGTCTAAGTAGGGCAAGGGAGTAAGGGGAAATGGTCACCAAGTCCGAAGCCAAACATGCAGATTGAAAGCCAGACTCTCGGCTTTAACTTCTTCAGCAGGATGTTGGAGGGGATCTCGAAGAGGATATAGGGCACGAAGAAAATGACCAGCGCCGTATTGTACCTATTGCCATTGACAAGGTTCAGCTCCGTTGAGAGGCCGAAAACGTTCGCGTTGGCGATGTTGACGCGGTCTAGGAAGGCTAGCAGGTACATGATGCATAGGAAGGGGACGACATGGAGATCGATCCTGGTGATCAACTTGCGCTCCGTAGTGTGTGCAGGGCATAGGACCACGTCGGCGGCATCATCGTAGTTGTTGTCATAGGTCGGCGGGGTCCCAGGAAGGTCGAGATCCCGGTCCTGGGTCTCCTCTGCAGACGATTAGTACCAATCGAGGACATTTGTGCGAAGCTTGCCTACTCTCTTTCTTGGAGAACATGTTGACTGGCACCACGAATGCAGCCGAGTGATGACGAGGTGTGAAGCCGTTCGCTATTCTTATGAACAGTGCACAATGACACACCGTCGCCGATTGTGTAACTTGCGCTGACAGCGCTGGTCTTTGTGCGGGAGTGAGTCTTCAACAGTTCGGCCTCTCGGTGGATTAAAGACAAAACCCACGGTCTTAACGGCGACCTCGGTCCCTGGGAAATTTCTGTCGCCCCGCACTTCCTTGCCGTCAACAGCCCCGTTGTGTGGTTCGCCTCCGGGATTACATCAACGCTTCGCTACTTGTAGCATGGGCCAATTGCCCGAAGAGGAAGCTCAAGGCCGATCAGGCGCGCCTCTCCATTCCGTGGTACACCGTAGGTGGTTGTTGGTCTTCGTAAGCATCACGAAGACATCGCCGCTTGGAACAAGCTCTGGAATCGGAGGATATGTCGAGCGAGTAGATTTGGAACCGCATTCGGGGTTGCTTCACGTGCGTGGCGCTGTACGGACACGGCTCTGGGTGGATGTCGAAGGTCCCCGACTGCCCATACCTACATCCAGGTTGCTGGCTTTGGGCTCTGAGTTGCAATGAGGACAGATGGCAAGGAGACTATGCTGACTTCCTGCCTCATCTCAACGGTAGATATTAAATCGGCCAGCCAAGGGGTGAATCAGCAGTCCGATCGCTTCCCTAGCGCTAGCGATGGGATCCTCCGCCCTTGCTCTTAGCGTCAGCTTCATGCGGTCAGCCTCCATTATTCTGTCTAGCGCATGCGAGGAGCATCAAAGAGAAGACCTTCCTTCTGGTACAAAGGCACGAAGGGTAGGGCCACGAAGTCCGGCGGGGCCGCAGTGATCGACGACTAGCGCTTCGGCGCACGGCTCAACTTAGTAGCGCGGGGCGCACGGAAGCGGCTCGGGGGCAGCATGTTGAACGCTGTGCAATGCTCAAGGAAATGGAATGCCTCATTTCCGGCGCATATATCCGTCGTGTGCCTCAATCAACAACACAGGCTGATATGAAGGAGACTTGCCTGGCCCGGCAGTTCAGCGGATATATTTCTCGCTTAGTCAAGCGCGCCCCGGGCTAAGCGTCCTTGGGTCCAGAACTTCAAAACCGACTTCCTGACTTCTTCCTCTTGCCCCTCCGCTTCTTTCACACCGACAACATCCTTTTAGCGTCGCCATTCCTTATGATTCTGTCGCTACAGTCACCGGAAGCCATCGTTAGCCTGTGTCGTCCGTTTGTCCCTCAGCGGCTGGCCTGCTGACCAGCCATGGTGAATTCAAAAAATGTCGCTTTCAAAGTCAATAAGCAGACTCCGACAAGCGCGGCACCACCGCAGGCGTATGGCACGGTGATAAATTGCCGGAAACCGGGCGGCAAGCGAGCGTTGAAGGAAGAAAAAGAGGTCAAATCCCGGCGGGTGCGCTTGGCCAAGGTTTCCGGAGCGGAAGAGTGGGATAGGAAGCGCAAACGGGCGGACGACCCCATACACGAAGATGTCGCCAATCCCCGGCCAAAGAAGCTCGCTGTGTCAAATCGAGACCCAGCTAGTTCATCGGCACTGGCAATAAGGGAACGCCCATTCGCACCCCCGAGGCCGCAACTGCACAAGCCCACTAAGTTCCGAAGAGGAAAGGCCTTGGCCAAAGGTGTCGATCTGGATTGCTGGTTCACTATCCTATCGTTTTCCGATCCAGCGCAGTTGCTCGAAATGCGCGCCAAGATTGCCTCCTGTTACCGTTTCCTGAGGGATAATCCTAAGCTCTGGGAGCACAGCAGGAATTATTATTACGGCGGCACTCTCCCGGATCCTCCCTCAGAGCTTACTGAATTCCAATATGCTCATCTGCGACACGGACATGGTTGCATGGCCTGCGGCACGCCGTCCACCCGCAAGACGTACTGGGCATTCCTTCGTCGCTGGTGCAAGACCTGTCTACAGTCGAAGACCATAAAAGAGCAAGATGCAATGGATATGTTCAAAGATGCGAATGGCGAGGATATCTCTTTCATTTCAAAATGTCTGCCGGCCGGCATCTTCGACTCCTGGGGTAACTTTGTGGGCGTCGGACCAGCGAACGCCCACTCTCTCAAGACCGTATACCTCTATTCGGATGTTAAGAAACTCGTAGACGACTTCGTCAAGGAGAGCCGCGACAACTATGTCTCGTGGCACGCCGAAATGCGGACCTGGATCAGCAACAGGGTGAAGGTGGTCGAGGAGCGCCGCGAATTCGCAAGGAAGATGGAGCTGTGGGAGGACGCGACCCGGCAGTCGAAATCCTTTGATTACCACGAGAAGAAGCAGGCGCGCAAGTTGTTCTTCGTGGACAAGGCGGCACAACTGGTACCACCCATCAGCCTGATGGAAATGGAGTGCTGTCCGTCGTACCGCCGCGCTATCGCTATTCCCAAAGATCCCAATATGACGTCGTGGCTTCAACTGAAACCGAAACTGGAAAAGGAAGCAGCAACTTTGAAGAGCAGGGGCGGACCTCGAGAACGGGGGCTATATTCATTATCCGAAAGCTCGACGCCGAGCATCGATCCTTTCTAATTCTGGTCAATATCTAGGCAACGCTCTTTGCTTCGGCATGTTATATGATGGCTAAATACACGATACGTTCATGGCATTGGGTCCGGAGTTCGGACGCGGTTATAATGTCTACGTGGCGGCTCACGACTTTTCTTACTTACGGTCTTCTCTTCTTGCATAATAGGACATACATGGTTGGAAACGGCATTGCGGGGAACAGCGGTGCAACTTCACGTTATAGACTTGATGATATTTCTCTGTTGGATGTTTCGCGCATATTGCGCAGTATCTAGAACCGCAATGTTACTCATCAGCTACATGGATGATCGCTCAACACGTGTCGATGATGCAGAGCTAGCGGAGCCGTCTCAGTTCCATCAGATGATGTGGTGCTGATGCTTAATGAGCCTTTCGCGCCAGAACAGCTCGATGGCACCACCACAGCGAGTCCAAAATTACCCCTTCCAGTATGCGCAAGTACCTCAGACCTTCGACGTCTGAAGAGGAACATGTCCATCGCTACCCCTCCCCTTCCCCTCTTTAACTCCCCGGTTACGTTGTCGATCAGATGCGGCGGCAGCGAATCACAGCGCGCGGAAGTCGACTGACAAGGGAGGGGAAGATGAGGCTCTGCCGAGACCCTGCGAGTACTTGAACGGCTCGTCGCCGCCCGGGTTTTCGGACTGCCCAAAATTTCTGCCGGGACCTCTGGCCTGAAACAGACGGCGAATACGCTTCCTCCTCGGCGAAGGCTGGCGACGCTTCCCAGGGACTTGTCATGGCCCCAGCGATTAGATGAGCAGCGAGTTCTAGATGATGCGTAGGCAGGGGCGCCCGCTGATTGGCCGGCCTGGTGGTGTCATTGCTCCCAGGGTCCCACTTTGATAACGGCGGCCGGCTGTAAACGAAGGAGACGGAATTTCTGCGAGCTTTCGCCGCTGTCCGGGTAACTAACTCTCTTTTTAAAGCCCGCTCTTTTCCGACCGAGTTCCTTCGTTTCGTATACACTCCTTGATCTCTATTTCACTGCGCCCGCCACCCGTTAATTGAGACTGGAAGCGAGCTTCAGAGCTTCAGAGCTTTATCGGCTTCACGGAACGACGAACACTGCGATTGAGAGACATCCGACATCCGAGGTCTGATACCTCCAAGACACCATAGACATACACAATGGCAGCAACGGCCTCGCGAAGCTTCTCCCGCGCCCTGCGCACCGCTGCGCCCACCTTCCGCACCACCTCGACCCGCTCCTCTGCCCGCTTCGTCGCCGCACCCCACCAAGCTTTCCGCCAGCAGTGGCGCCGCGGATACGCCTCCCAGGAGGGTGGAGACAAGTATGAGGGCAACCCCAGGGGCATGCTCTGGGGCGCTGGGGCGCTAGTTGCGATTGCTGGTGGATACGGGCTATACACGCAGAAGCCGGAGTGGTTTGGCCAGGAGGTCAAGGCGAAGGGGGTCTTCCAGCCCAGGTTCGAGGACTACCAGAAGGTGTACGATGCCATTGCGAAGAAGCTGGAGGACGAGGACGAGTATGATGATGGGAGCTATGGCCCTGTGGTGCTGCGATTGGCATGGCATTGTTCCGGAACGTGAGTATATGCCTCCCCACTATTGCAGCTGAATCATGGCTAACAGAGCATCAGCTACGACAAGGAAACCAATACCGGAGGCTCCAACGGTGCGACTATGCGCTTCGCACCCGAGAGCGACCACGGCGCAAACGCCGGTCTGAAGGCAGCCCGCGACTTCCTCGAGCCGATCAAAGAGCAATTCCCCTGGATCAGCTACTCCGACCTGTGGATTCTCGGCGGCGTCTGTGCCATCCAAGAGATGCAGGGCCCCAAGATCCCGTACCGCCCCGGCCGCCAGGACCGCGACGTCTCCTTCTGCACGCCCGACGGCCGCCTGCCCGACGCGTCCAAGGACCGCAAGCACATCCGCGCCATCTTTGGCCGCATGGGCTTTAACGATCAGCAGATGGTTGCGTTGTGCGGCGCGCACGCTCTCGGCCGCTGCCACACCGATCGTTCTGGGTATGACGGCCCCTGGACGTTCAGCCCCACGACGATGACGAACGACTACTACAAGCTGCTGCTGGAGGAGAAGTGGGCGTGGCGCAAGTGGAACGGCCCCAAGCAGTTCCAGGACGTGAAGACGAAGAGCCTGATGATGCTGCCGACGGATATGGAGCTCGTCAAGGACAAGAGCTTCCGCCAGTACGCGGAGAAGTACGCCAAGGATAACGATGCCTTCTTCAAGGATTTCTCGGAGGCGGTGCTTACCCTGTTTGAGCTGGGTGTGCCGTTTACCCAGAGCGAGGACCAGCGGTGGGTGTTTAAGAGCTCGTTCGATGAGTAAGCTCTCTCTTAGAGATTTCAGAGGGAAGTGGGGAAGATGAAATGGGGACGTGCATTTAGGGCGTCCAAATGGGAAGAAAGATATCCTACTAGACCGACTAGACTTTGTGTTTTCCGCGGAGGAGTGCTAATATGGCTGGAGCTTTTGGCACATTCAACTTGGTTGCATGTCCTTTTCCACTCCGTGTATTTATATGTTCATCATAGGTGCGAATCTATATGTACTCCGATAAATCATCTGATGTATTGCTGTGTGCTTCATGCCTATGGGGTACAGTCGTATACTCTCAATACAACGCATGACGTTGACGTGAAAAGCCTGTAGGCTGCCGAACACATAACCCTAGAAACCTCATATATCATTCCTTCGACACTACAGCAAGCGCGCAGGCCTCAATCATCTCCCAACGCCATGGCGATCTGCTGCGTCTTCTTACCCCACCACTTCTGTTGCTCCTTGTCGATTCTCTTCAGCTCGTCGATCTGCTCAACACCCAGCTTCGCCACCACATCCTCCAAGGTCTTCGCCTCCTTCTCAGGAAGGTCGGGCAGCGTGGGGATAGGATGGTTGCGGTACACTGAAGGCGCCAAGAGGAACCTGGGCAGGTCACGCTGCGGTGTTTGGAAGGTGACGTGCTTCTTAGGGTCCTTGTTCTCTGCAGTTCGGGTGGGGAGCGGAGAACTGCCTTGCTCAGGGACGAACAGCGTCGGCTCAGCGTTTCGGGCCGGGGAAGAGGGCGGCTGTTGCTCGAGGAGCTCGCTCATTGCATCCTCGCCGAGGCACTGCGTGCCTACTTTCCATATCTCGCTCACAATCTGCTCCCACTGCGATTCCAATCGCATGATCTCCTCGGCTTCTTTCTTGTAGCGCTCTTCAAAGCTTACAAGCTTCTCTTCCAGCGTGGTTTGGACCGATTCTTGTTCGCCATTCTCGTTCGTCTGGCGACTGGTGATGTTGTACTCACGAAGGGATCGGAAGACTTTGCTGGCCACGCGGTCGTACTTCGCCGGAATGGTGAGCTTGACGGGAGAGTCATGGGGGTCGTCGGTGTTGGGGGCGGAAGAGATAGGCGAGAGGTTGGATTCATGCAGAGTGGTGAGACGCTTGGAGAGAGTCGCATCGAGCCTGGCGGTAGCGGTGGTGTAGAGGTGCTTGCGGTACTCGTTTGCAGTGTCTTTAGATGTCGTCAGTGGAAGAGCTTAGGCCAACGAGGGCAGTGCTAGAAACCTTTGAATACCACAGCAAGAGGATGCACATCGTCGGCCCTTTTCTTCTGTACTTCCCACAAACCCTTCTGAGGGCTGCGCGTGCTCGAGCGCGCGGGCTTCTGCGCTGAAGACGGATTGGCTGTCAACCTGGCCGCAGCGTCAATTGGCCTCGACGTGATCTCGACTCTCTTCGCGTTCTGCGGTCGCTGTTTGAAGATTGTAGCGGCTGAGACCGCATGCTTTCGGGAAGCCGGAGTGACTTCTTTGGCAAGCGCGATGGCACGTGTAGGCCGAACAACCCCGGCCGGGCGCTCGATACCCATCCTGGAATTGTTACCTGAAGAAAGCTGAGGTGTGAGATCAAGATGAGGTGTGCGAGGTCGGAACCCCAGACGACGCTAGAGGTGGTGGCAGCGGATGAGGAAGGAACGAACCCGAAAGAGGCCTCATAGATGTTCCGGCTCTGAGACAACGTTGGAAAGCACGCATCAAGGTCCCTATAACGAACACCTAGAAAAGATAAGGCAAGTGGGAAGCTGGCTAATCGCGCGGTTCTTGAATGGATATCTCATCGGCCAAAGGGATGTGAACCGGTGAATGACGAAGCCAGGAAGGAAAAGGAGACGTCATTCACGCAATCGTTCACTCCTCCAAGCAATTTGCTTTCGTATGTGCAATATATATACGCCCTCAATCTTACATTCCCAGAGACCGCTTCCACTGGTCTTCCGCCATCCGATGCAGCTGAGGTAGTATAGTACAATTATTCGCTCACTCGCTCTTTCGTTCCTTTTGCGTAATTACGTTACTTCGGTGGCTCAGCTTCCTTCTCCGCGGGGACTAGCACGCCCTTCTCTTCTAGCATCTTCGCGAGCGATCCGTCCTGGTGCATCGTCATGAGAATATCGCAGCCACCGACGAATTCCTTGTCGACGTAGAGCTGGGGTATCGTAGGCCATTCCGAGTACTCTTTGATGCCTGACATAGCGCATAGTCAGCCATTGCTCCTAGGTGCTCTTGGTGATGCGCCACAGTCGTGGCTACCAGGTGCTGCTGCATGCCCGAACGGCGCAGCGCATGAAGGCTAGTCACATACCTTGCCTCAAATCATTATCCTCCAGCACGTTAAACGCCGTGAACTTCTCCGGATCCACTCCCTGCATGCCCAGAATCTGTATGCTTGCTCTCGAGAACCCGCATTGCGGTGTCTCTGGTGTGCCCTTCATGAACAGTACAACCGGTGCTGAGCCCACAGCTTTGTCGATCGCCTTTCGCATATCATCGGAGAGAAGACGTATCTGTTGCGCCGTGAGGAAGCAGGGGTTTGTTGCGGCGGAGGGGCGAATTGCTCGGGTTGCGGCGCGGAAGGCCTACTAATTATTAATTTCGAGTGCTTAAAAAGATCGGGTCTCCTTTACCGATGGGAATACCCTTCTTGAGAACATTGCTTAGGATGGTACAGGTGTAGGTGTTGGTGTTGGTGTTGGCGTAGGGATGGTGAAGGTGGAAATTGTTAACCTCCGCGTTCGCCGCAAAATGTTTGGATGAGGGTCAGGGTGCCAAGAAATGTTCTGATATCACTAATCTCGAGCATCCACAGGTCTTCTACTCCGATTTTTTATTACAAGAACGCCGTATCTAGAGCTCGCGAGGCATGAAACATATCCGAACCACCGTGGGTTCGCTGCGAAGGTTTCGTTCACGCCATTCACGCCGAGCTTACCCTTCCGTCGCTCCTGATTAGTCGGTGTCCAAAAGAGGGCAACTTGGACAAACTCGAAGACTAGAAGCCGAGCAAGAGATAGTCTTCTTCATGTTACTCGGACACATGTGGGTCATTTGTATGTTCCTCCTGATTGCTCGGCCAACCTTCGATGACCAGATCTCCCACCTTAGATTCCAAGCCAGGGCTAGGGGACGATCCGAAAGACGAATAGCGATGCGTGAGTGGGCATCCAGTGGTCGATAACGAATATGCAGAAAGACAATGCTTCGAGTGAGGATAGTATCGATTGTGAACTCCGGTTCTAATGCTGATGCTATTGACGGGCTATGCTCATGGGGATTTGTCGTGAATCGTTATGCGCAAGCTAGCAAGGCGGCAATAATATTGGTATCGGCCAAGCCAGAGAGCTGGTAGTACGACTATATGCGATATCGAGCGGTAAAGTCCAGTTCCACAGCTCAATGGAAGCTCAATAGAGCCGGGCTTCGCACTGTGCGAGTACCTCCTGAACAGAAGTCAGAGGCTCTGTATTCCTGTCTCAAGGTCCCACGGGTGATAGAATAACATACTTCGTCCAACAAGAAGGGTGCGTCAATGTACCATTTGTTCAACTTGAACTGCAACCCCGTGAGCGCTTGAAGCGTTCCTCGAAACATGGCCGACTTACGTAAATCTTATAGTTCCCACATCCGAAGAGCTGTTTACATATCGCGAGTAGTTTCTGTGTGTCCATGTATCGATCTTCGATAATTTGCGGCTCTTTTCGGTGATTCGGCGACTCCGGTGGACCTAGAAGCTGTGGCAGCGTCTGCATCGACGAACTGAGAGGCTTTGACAGCTTCTGTCTCTTCAGAGGCTTGAGAGACCAACCCATGGTGATCGTTGTAGTGGCGGGTTCATGGGGCAACCCTCTGTAAATGTGAGTCTACCTTTTGACTTAGAGGTGGTTTGGAGCGCTACGCTTGCTTCCGAGCCTTGCAGAGATGCAAGCATCCCAGCGAACGAAAAGGTACCACGTAGCCTGTTCCGACGCCCCGTCCTTCCGAGTAGAGGGATTGATACCCACTGCCCTCCCCATTGCGCCTTGTAATATGCAGAGCGTATCGGGACAACTGGCTGATCTTCTGCTCAATCCGCGTGCGCCTCGCACCTGGCTTCGCACTCTGCCTTGCGTCACAACGCACATTTCCCCTCTGTAGAGAATGAGGCTGTGCGCATCTTGAATCCTTGTTCAGGATGCTTATGGCTCTTAGACGTCCTCGAGCGCATTTGACAAACTGCCCGTGCTGTCAAGGGATGCCCCAAAAAGCATGGAAGGCGCACTGCACGTCTGGGAGTCACCGCTGAAAGTGAAGGCTGCGTTGGCAGCTGGCTGCCGCCTGCACTGCCCGCGCCGAAGAGAGCGTGCTAGCAAGTAGGTGAAACAGCCATTCAGAGTGCGTCCAAGAGCTGCAAGATTCGACCAGTGGGCTTCAGAGGTTGGACCCTAGCCGAAAGGCCAGATCAGACAGCCAGTAGAAGCGCGCTCATCGTCTAGTGGAGCTTCGGATGTCCGGATCGCGTTAACAAAGATACAGTGGACTGTAAATCAGAAGACGTTGAATGAAATTACGGTGTAGATGGCCGATAGTCGCATCGGTGAGGCAGAGTGTGTGTGATCTTTAGCGCCGCCTGATCCGGATTAGCCGAATCGCGAAGACGTCCCAACTCAGCCTTCCTCTTCCCCACACAATCCCTCCCTGAATGACAAAATAACGGGCTTTGCCTTGAAAGAACGCCTCACTATCCAGACAGAGTAGGCGGCAATGGTCTTCTTCGTATGAAAACCCCTGGGTCTGCTCAAGTTTTGCGGACAATATTCCCAGCCTCTTTCCTATGGCACCGTGACAACTCGCAAGGTCGAGATGGAAACGTCCCGCTATTTCGAACGCACCCTTTTCTACGATCGCAGTCCCGCCGCCGATGAGTATTATGCGAGGTCTGCCGATAGTATATTCGAAAAGGACTCTAGAAGGTCGAGGATTGAAGTCAGGGTTCAGACTTCTCTAGACGTATCGTACTACGAAAGAGACAAAGAAGATGGAACAACAACCGGAGCCAAGGAGGAGACCGAGGCAAAAGATTCGGAATTGCCTCCTAAACACGTCGGTCCTGCGGATTCGAAGACCGAGTCTCGCGGCTGCGAAAAGGACCTCCAATCCACGGTTAAAGATGCAACCCTCCGCACTGAGCGCGGTCATGATTCAGACAGCGAAGATGCCTGGTCGCTATCTAGTAGAGCATCCAGCACCGCTCTTCCGACAGCTCTAGATCAGCATCGAGGATCGTGCCCACCCACCTACCCTGGCCCACCCAAACTAACTGTTGTCGATCTTGATACAGCGACTGTTCAAAGCTTCATCAAGCGGACAAAGAATGACTTCAGAGTGTTCTATCTACGTCAGCGGCACTCCTATAGCCGGCTCCAAATCACGAGAGAGCTTTTCGAACAGCTTCTGAAATCTTGCCACGTATTTCCCCGCTTCAACGAATATTTGATTGGCTTTGGCCTGAAGAACAGTGAGTCAGAGGTGGGCCCTCCAGCTCTGAAGTTCAGGCCACTCTGCGAATCCTACAGCAACAACTATCACGGGTTTGGTGCGTCCTTTACCTCCTAGCTGCAGTCCGTCCGCTAATTCTTGTCTCTCAGAGTGTTCCTATATCCTGCGCTACGTCGAGTTTACCCGCAGGCCAGGAGGGAAGCAGCCATGGTCTCTTCGACAGTTCGCCGTCTATCATAGATACAAACCCAAATCCGAGACAGGCTGCTCCACCTGGATCCTCGTGGGAGCCTCCCAGAGAACAGAAGTTCGTCTTGACCGGTACACGAGGAGTATAGACGATCTGACTGGCTCGAATCCGTTTGAGTTACATGTCATTTTCCTTGACACGGCAATAGCGAGCTGGAGGCCTTATCTAGTCGATCTAACCAAATTGGTGACGCACCAGGCAAGTCCAGGTATCGAGCTATGTCTAATGTGGTCCTAACGAGATTCAGTCGAATAAAGCCGTTGGCATTTTGATCGGCGATGAGGGTGACGATGACTTTGTCACTATTGAGGTTGAAGATCACCAAGAGCTGAAGCAGATCGAAGACCAAATTGCTGATCTGATACTGTGTCTTGACTCGACTCTAGATACCGTTGACACCTTCGAGGAGATGTATGAACAATTCCGTACCCATCACAGTCCCTCTTCTGCGACGAGTGCGGCACAATGGACGTCAGCGTATGGGTCTGATGCAGTGGTGTTTGCGTTGAAGGAGAAAGCGAAGGAGATTGCATATACCCGCAAGAAAGCAGAGGCTCTACTTTCGAAAGTTCAGAATACTAGGACATTGGTATGTATTCTTAATGCACTATACAGCTTTGTTACTTCTTGGGTTGCTAACCACTTGCACCGCAGATCTCTTCTTTGCTTGAGAGACAGAGCGGCCACAATCTAGACCAGCAGATTTCTGCTCTTCAAAAGCTTGAACGGCAAGGCCAGGATGAGAACGCCATTATGAGGCAGCTTGCGGAGAAGAACTCTCGGGACTCATCTAGCATGAGAATTCTGACAATAATCACCATGATATACCTTCCGTGTACAATCGTCTCAGTAGGTTCACATACGTTAAGCATTCTGCCTATAAATATGGCTGACGTTGACCAGAACTTCTATTCGACCCAGTTTGTTGATCAGAAGGAAACAATATCAGGCGGCACAAAGCTCGAATACGCGCAAAATGCCTGGATCTTCTTCGCCATATCCGTTCCCTTGACCTTGTTCACCATACTCGTCTGGTGGCTTTGGGTGAACTCTGAAAAAGTCGTCCGGCTTGTTCGCCACCGCGAAAGCAAACAAGAAATTGGACCTGCTCGCAATACTAGGGTGCTCGCATTCAGAAAGCAGTTCGTTGAGTTGCCTCGATGATATGCTTCATGAGGGACCAGCACTGCCCTCTCACGGTGTGGAATACTCCGGATCTAACGACGCACGTAACAATCATCCTAGAGGTCTTTTCAGGTGCATACAATAGTACGTATAGCTAGCTGTATGAGCAATCTTATCTTTACGGCGAGCCCTTGAATCCGGAGAATTCCCTATCGCAGGAGACCGCCACCACTTTCGCATATCGACCACGAGCAAGGCAGGGCTTCCCGGTCAACACAGCACGGCAATTTATCAACTGATTTCTTCGCGGACTTGCGGGCCAGATCACCTTTCAGGAGTAATGGGCCGTCAGCTGCATAGAGACGTCACCTCGGAATAAGTTCATCAGATATGGCGAACTTACGCTGGTAGACATGGCAATTCGCTTTCGCTGTCGCACGCTAGCTCCACCATCCTGAACCAAGGCATTGGGGAAACTACGCGGGGCCCCCGCGCACCAATGCGATAAGGAGGTGCAAGGCTGTCTTGGGGCAGCAGACTGTGGACCTGATTTGAAGCCGGGGTAAGTTTTGCAAAGTAGCTCGCATGTTCTCCACTGACAATGCGAAGAATTCCAATGCCGGATTTTCAATTCAGCCCTTTCAGTGTGCCAATAATGACACGCATGCTCAGCCCGCTTCCTAGCTGTCGCGACATGCAGCTTGTCGCCACAACACCATATGACTGGACCACCGACAGCGATCATGCAACACCCCTCCACCCCACTTCGTTCGCGATCACGTACCGCTGCTTTCCGTGCCAGAGGATCACTCACCGGTCAACTTTGCTAGAACGTCCTCCATCGCGAACCTACGAATTGCGCCTCTCATCGTCGTCGCCAACGAAACATGCATGCGTTGCGGTCTAAGCCACCGGGTTCCCCGGCTGTTTTATGAGTCCACCCGTTCATACTCTCTCTGCGCTGTCGTATAGCAGCTCAGAGAGGTGCGCGACATGGGATTCCCGGCCGGCGGCCTCTGCCTTCTCGACAAGCTGTGTAAAATGGCTGCCTGAAAGCGTTATGGGCGTCGAGAAGATATAAAATGGAGACATACGCCCTTTTGACAGCCATTCGCATGCTTCAGACTTCAGCCTTGTCAGAGCCGTCGTCGCGCCACTTTTGGATGTACCCTTTTCCAGCCTTGTCCAGTTGACTCATTACCTCGACACACTCAAACGCGATCCCAAACTTATTGCACACATAAAGACGGCCTACAGTGTGCTCCGCAGGAAAATGGCGTCGTCACTTCACAATTCCGATAGTGTCTGGGAATATATGGATGCGCATATGGTGACACTGAGCTTTAAAGGGCAAGCGCAAGTATTCCTACCGAAGTCGGCCTTCGACACAGTTACCAATAAGGATGTCATCAGCCGACTCATTTCAAAAGATGAGGACCTGTATCTGAACCCCCAGGAAGAGGCCGAGCTGGTCACGAGGGTACACCAAGAAGGCCGCAAGCTGTTCGCCACATGCGTCTACTGCGACCTCCCGATGACGTGCCTTAAAGCTCTTCTGGACAACGGCCACACAGATGCGAAAGTTCCTCTCACATTAGATGACTGCCCCAGGGAACGGCACAAGCGAAAATTCGTGACCGGCTTCCTCGTCCACCAGAAGCGTTTCAACACTCCTTATTTCGCCCATGAATCGAGTCAAAGCTTGGACGATCGGGTTATACCAATCTGGCTTGACGAGAGTCGCTCCAACATGCGAGGCAAAGGAGCTTTCGGCGAAGTGTATCCAGCCCGGATACACCGCGACCATCACTCATTGTCATGTGTGAGTATGCAGTATGCCTAGCTTTTCTTCCTATCGCTAACGAATGGATGATAGGTAGCGAATGAGAATGACCTGTTTGCGTTGAAAGTTACTCAGCACGCGGGTCGAGAACATAATTACCACGTCGCTATGGCAGGGCTGAACCACCCTCATCTCGTCAAATGCCTCGCTAGCTTCACTTTCAGGACGCGTCTTGCCTTTATTTTGTCTCCCTCGCCAACCATTTATTTATTTGTACTTTTAGATTTTTCAAGGATTTTGATACCCTAATTTATAGTTGCGTTCTCTTTCCGGGCCGAAACGGCGTGTCACAGCACAATTTGAAAGGCTTGGGTATTCATAGGGTGGCTTCCACTTTGGCTCATGATTCTCTTCCACTCTCTATTGCGCTGCCACCGCCTTTCGCTATCATCAAATTTTCTCAGTCCCACTTGACCCCTCCTCCAAGTCGCCGCCAGCAATGTCTACCTCATACCAATATTCGGCGTCGCCGCAACGTTTCAGGTGCCACTACCAGGCTCGCATCGAAGAAGTTCATCCTACATCGGATCAGAAGTTGGTGGGTGACATTCCTGTCCTTGCGACTTCGACGACTCGAACGCTACATACTTCTGTGAGGAACTCCGGAACTTTCAGGATCCATTTCTTCCTTGTGCTCTTGAAAACGGCCAGCGCTAGTCGGTAACAATTTCGATATAGCACGAACATTAAAGCACGAACATTAACTATATATCCGCCAACTCCCCATTTCTGCGTGCACAGGGCCTCCAATTTTGCCCGATCCAGATAACGGCCGGAGATCGTTTGTTCCAGCATCATTCGAGTCAAAGGCGTTCAAGATGGCAGGTTTGGAGATATAGAAAGAATACTCCGGATATAGAATCGGACTAGCAGCGACATTTATGAGGTGAGCAAATTGCGTTTCTTGCCCTGTCGTTCACAGCATATGACCAGAGCTTGCGCCGAACTGTGCACCACTAAAGCATCTACCCGCCTCCCACCCCCTGATAGGCACCCATGGAACCGCGCCAACCGTCGTGCTCTCTGTGACGCTCTCTGTGACGCTCTCGAAGACCGCAAATGCAGCACTCAACAGTAGCACCAGAGGCTATATTCCCGAGGTACTATTACCAAGTGGTCGCAATCGGAGGCACAAATTTATTGATGTTTTCTTGAGGTGGCATATGTGGCACCACGTGAAGAGTAGCTGTACCATCCTATCAGTGTTTCCAGCGACATTAGGCAGCCGGTGTAACCCTTTCAGCCTCGCCCCTCAGTACCTTCCGTCCCTCACCTCTTCGACTCCTGCATCACAACTCGATGCACCTTCACTAATCTGATGTCGCGAATCATGAAGCGTACGTTCTTCTACGATAGCAGCCCCGTTGCCCAGGAATTCTACAAACGTAGTGCGCATCTCATATTCGAGAAAGAGGCGGGTGAATCAAGAGTCGAGGTGCGCTGTAGGTCTTCAATAGATTTCAACAGATATCGGAGAAACAAGGGAATCAAAGATCTCTCAGGGCGTATCCCGCTCGCGGTACCTATCGAGCAACATGTATCGCCTGACACTACTTGTGGAGCACCGTCGACTGGCAATGAACTAGACATCTCTAGTCGAATTACTTGTAGCAGTACTCCTACGCTAGAACAAGGCCGACAACTATGCCCGCCAACATACGTCCACCCGCTCGTAATGGCTAGCGTCGATCTGGATCTCACCAAGATTCAGGAATTCGTTCAGGCAAGTTCATGTTCAGAAGTGGGAACGCCGCTAAGAGATGCGTCCAGGAAACAAGTAGAGACTTCAGAGTATTGTACGAGAATGTCGCGCTATAGCGAAATGCAATTGCTGATTGGAGCCACAGTTATTTGCGGCAGAGGAACTCCTTTAGCCGTGTTCGGCTAACCGAAGAGCTCTTCCGGGACCTACTTTTTGCGTGTGGGGTCTTTCCAAGATTCGATGAGTACATGATAGGGTTCGGTGTCAAGAACAGCGAAATGGAGATAGGTCCGCCGTCAATGAAAGTCAGATGGGAGCTGGGCTCTCGTGATAGTTGGTGTGACAAATTCGGTGAGCTTCCTTCGCAATATATGAGACCAGAATATGACTGAAGTCCACGCAGAATGCGCATATATCCTACGTTATATTGAGTTCACGAATCGGCATGGCAAGTGGCCGTGGTCTCTGCGACAGTACGCCGTATACCACAAGTTCAGGCCTTCTCTCCAGGACTGGTGTTCCACTTGGATACTTGTCGGCGCTTCGCAGAGAACCGAAGGCTGTATTGATAAATATGCGCAGCAGTATGTTGATGAGCTGAGAGCATCGAACCCTTTGGAGCTTCACGCCATGTTTCTCGAAGGCGCCGTTGCGTCCTGGAGACCCTACCTCGTCGACCTTCTTGCGCACGTGACCGATCTGGTAGACACCTCTTGTCGCCGTACAAATTCTGCGCTGACCTATCTATGTGAAGTCAGACCATGCCGTTGCCATGATGATTGGCGAGCAAGACCATCCGTCAAACTTCGTCTCTGTTGATGTGGACGACTATCAAACCCTGACCGAGATGGGCGACCATACTTCCGATGTGATTATGTGTCTGGACTCCACATTGGACACCATCTCCACACTGATCGACGTGAGCGATCGCTTCAGCAAGCTGTCAAAAGGCACTCCATCTTCGACCGAGCCACGCGACTATTCGACCACGAGCTCGGATGCTTTGAAGGCGCAGCAGAGAGACGTCATGTACTTGCGCAAGAGTGCTGAAGCATTAATGTCGAAAGTGAACAGCACGAGATCGTTGGTACGTCTCTAATAGCAGATAGATTAGCAATGTGTTAACGACTACTAGATATCTTCGCTAATCGAACTTCAAACCGCGTACAACTTGGATAAGCAAATGACCGCCCTTCAAAATCTTGAACGACAAGCGCAAGACGAGAACGCGATAATGCGAGAGCTGGCCGAGAAAAGCAGCCGGGAAACTTCCAGCGTGAGGATTCTCACCATCATTATGCTGATATATCTCCCATGCACCGTGGTATCAGTAAGCACCGGCCACACTGACGCATTGTGGATCCGCACTAATAGTCTAATAGAGCTTCTATTCGACACAGTTCGTCAACCAGAAAGAGACTGACTCCGGTGGTGTGGATATAATATATGCGCAAAATTACTGGCTTTTCTTTGCCGTCTCTATTCCTCTCACCATCGTTACTCTCCTAATTTGGTACGTTTGGGTCAACTTCAGGAGAATGTGGCGCGCTTGCGTCTTGAAGAGGGATCACGAGGAAGGGTTTAGCCAGCGTGTGAAGTTGCTGGATATGAAGAAGCAATTGCTTGGTCTGCCACGCTGAAGGGTTGTGAGCATGGAGAGGCCATTCAGGAGGAAGCAGTCAGTAATTTCAGCGTCATTGCCGACATGGTGTGGGAATGGTATATGCGCATGTCACTTCTTTGATGCTTACGCGCGCTGATATGAGGGTAGATGATGAGGTCTTTCGTTTGCTACAGCACATATGATCATGAATACCTTCGGTGGCTGTATGCTACTTATCACGCCCTGTTTCCTTTCAGTCATGCCCGCTCGACGGCATGGTAGGTCAAATGAGATGGGTATAAAGCTTGATATCGTAGCCTCCAATATGGCACCATAGCCTTGCCCGGTGCCTTAGGGCGTTTTGGGATTGTTCTTCCACCTAGATCGCCCAGAATGCCATTCACATTGGACAAGACGGACCTAGCTGTCCAAAAAACCAGTAAACACATTTCAGGATGCGTCCAGAACCTCATGTTAAATGGCAGCGCGCAGCGTTATCTCTGGCAGAGCACAATCAATGAAATTCCCACCGAGAACAATGTCCAGATGCTTGTCGATCAGGACAAAAGCATTCGGTATCTTGACCCGGAAGCAAGGAAGGCTTTCACTAAGAGAGTCGTTGAACACGCTAAGAAGCTCTTCATCATCGTGGCCGCCAGCGATATCGATAATCGGATGGACTTCCTGAGAGAACTCCTTGACCACGGTATCACAGATAACAGTCTTCCCTTCACCCAGGATGACTGTCTTGCAACTCGACACCACAAGCGGTGGGCTGACCACATCCTACCGCTTCAGGGCCTAGTCCTCGCTCCTTTCTTGTCTGAAGCCACTTACAACACGAGTGTTCGAGCAGAGGCTCCACTCTTGTTCCAAAGCGAGGGAAATACTATTGGAGAAGGCGCTGGCGGTGAAGTCTATCCAATTCGTATTGACAGTCAGAATTACGACTTTCCAAACGCACCGCTGGCACCCAGTGTTGGCCCCTTCAGTCAACAGTTCGCCCTCAAGATCATCAAAGAGGAGAAATATGCGAAACGAGAAGAGAAATTTCTGATTGCAATCAAGGATGTTCGAAACGACCATTTGCTGAGGACTTACGCGGCGTTCTGGTTCGACGGGGAGTACTATCTGATATCTGATCTTGCTGACAGTGGGGATGCAGAGAAGTTCATGGAAAGGAACCTCAACGGGGGTATTCAAGGCGTATTCACTCGTCAGTGGCTTGAGGGCCAGATGCTGGGGCTCGCCAAAGCTCTGCGAGCGATCCATACGCCTAAAGAACGTCACACCGGATACATTCACGACGTCAAGCCTGCAAACATCCTCGTCTTCGGTTCGCATGACAATCAATTTCGCCTAACGGACTGGGGCTGCGCGAAGGTAAGCGAGCATAAATGTCCGAGCCACCGGAGTGGCTTTTGGGGTAACGAAACCTATAACCCACCGGAAACCGAAAACAGCGGAAGGACTTCTCGACCTCACGATCTCTGGGCCCTGGGATGCACCTACCTCGAATTTCTCATCTGGTTCCTTGAAGACTGGGAAGCTCTTGAGGTGTTCCGCAAAAGCCTTCGCGATAGGTCCCAAGATGAGGCATTCTGGGAAGGAAACGGGACGAGTAAATCCGTTAAACCTCCCGTCCTAGAGAAGATAGGAACTCCCAGAACTCGGTTCCGCGGTGGAGAACACACTTCGACATCATCGATCAGGGACTGCTAATCGTGAACCCGCAGCATCGTTGAACCGCTGAAGACCTTGTGAACAAGCTGGAGCCTTAGTGCTGAAGGGCATTTGTGGGAGAATGGGGTCAACGCGAGCTAGGATGGGCGGCAAGGTAGGTAAGGAGAGGATGGAATGGAAATGATAAGGACTCGCATGTGGTGGATTGAGAGGGAGGAGCAGCGTCCAATTCTCTTGTGCATACTCCTATTCACCTTGCAGCGCTTCCCCCCGCATTACCACCTGCGAGTGTTCGCATGTACTTCTGCTTACGCGCCGCATAACCTTCTTCTATGAAAATGACCGGCATCATTTCGTTGGGTGTGATTTATAGGATGCGACAGAGTTCTCCTATTCTGTCCTATGCGCCCATTCACTGCTGTGTAGTCACACTTCTTGCAGCTATGGGGATAGCGTCAGTTCGCAGAAGAGGTTTTAACGATGATCGAACGTGAAAATAGTGCAAGTATCTCACATTCTTTTTGCTTTGCTCATGAGGGCTTGCCCGAGGGCAAAGTCCAGGAGATGATTTGCCTTGAAGTCCAAAGTATAGCGCGCATGTAGGAGCTGGAGGATAACAGGAGGGCGAAGACTGAGCTACTCGAGCAGTTGCCTACGGCGGGTGCCGAATCGGGCGTGAAGTTTGCTGAAGTACTCTAGCACGGCCATCACAATTACGAGATTATACGCGAACGAAACCGCATCTAGGAGCAGGGAGCAACTGATGGGAGCACCCAGTGAGTCGGAATGGCAACAGTTTTGCGAGGCGAAGGGTAGGTTATGGATGCTCGGCCACTCAGAGGACCCTGAAGTCATTCAGAGACTCGTATACAATCCAAGCTTCTCAGTGTGAGCGCCTCTCTATGGGGTACCAACGGATGGAGATGGCGCATGTTATGGTCAAGCCACATCGCTATTAATGGGTCGCTGAGTTAGCACGTCTAAGTAAATGCATTTCTCTGCTCTGACAAATACCATGTTTGAAATAACATTGACTTGACGGTAAGACCAGGAGTATTGATTTGGAGGAATCTAAAGCGCAGATAGTCGTTTCGTTCTTTATTTCGCTTCTATCTTCTCAGAATTTACTAAATATCTGTAGCATTAGACGTTCGGATCCCTCTAACCTACTCCGTAGCAAGCGAATTTTCACCCGCCGATATCGTCTCTTGTCACTATTGAGTGCTCTATGGCTCAACTCGATGCTCAAAGCGGAATCCGGCGACTCCCATCGTTCCGAAGGATCACGATACCCATCCCCGCACCCGCGGTCAGAAGCTGAAGGCACGTGAACAAGCGAACGTACAGTATCGTGATGAGCCTGTCGACTGACAGTGCTCCGTCTTCGTAACCTCGTAATCTGAAGATTTCGTGGCCCCCGTATCCGTACCAAAGTAGACATCAACACGTACGTTTCATGATCTCGTGAACTCGGTTTTATGCACCGAGCGAATAACGTGTGTGCGTTTCGAAGATCGAATGTTGTCTCCCCATGCATGCGAGCCTCGTAGGGCGACCTTCAGCCGCATCAAGCGCAAGTAGCTTGCGATAGCACAGGGAATTCGGGTCTGGGCATTTGTTAGTGAAGAGCTTAGTATATCGGAGCAGCACTAATATGCATGAATGGAGAGATCTGGCCATGCACAGGTCTCTTAGAACCACTCTTCCTCCGTCCGTGCCGCGGCGAACATCGCGACGACGTGAACGTGTGGGTCGACACTTCGAACCGACTCTCGAATCGAGATCACGGCAGTTCCATCTCCCTTCGTCAAAACAATAAACTCCGTCCGTGACGTCGCGTGCTCAACTCAAAAACGGTAACCTACCGTCGTACTCGCACAGCGATCACGATACCACAACTGATCAGCCATCCTCCCAGCCCAACCATAGTCCCCGCCAAACCACCTCTTCAACACCACAATCTCGATGCACTTGTTAGCCCATACAGCGCTCTCGATAATCGCCCCACGTCGATCAGCCACGAGGATGGCCCTCGCACTGACACTACTACAGTATGATTGCATCGACCAATCAGAAGCGAGCCGTGGCGCGACGCTGGCGTCATGATCAGCGCATTGAGAGACCTCACCTCGCAATTTCTCTGACTTCACAACTGTGAAATTGTGCCTAATGTGTTGCAACTTATCCGCTTTCCGAGGGCCGGGAAGCTGGTAGGGTCGTCATTTTTGAGTCGTGAGAGTAATCCGCTCGATCCGACTTGATGTCATTCCGCGGCCACGATCGCGAGGAAGCAGAAGATGAAACGAGTCCCGGTAAGGCGAATGGGCGAATAGCGCAAAGAATGTAGGTCGCATGAGCATGACGGAAGGTTTGGAGCGCTTTCATTCCAGTTTACCGGCAATCAGTCTTGAAAACGTGATGCTGACGTCGCGGAAAGCACTCGCGCACGTTTCTCTCTGTGACGTCTGAGAGACGGATTATGTAATACTGGAGTGATGCTGGGGCTGGTTCACGACCGTTGCAGGTTGATATCGATAAGCGGCTCCCACCGATGACGCAATGTACATCCACATATGCCGAGCCATTGCCGAACCCTCGGCGGACTTCGGCCAGCACATCGGCACTTGATGCTCACCAACCCTCCATTTTTCTCGGAGATGCAACGGACAAAGACATACCACAATAACGCTAATTTAGCATCAGAAGGTTCCATCGCAGACTCCGAAGCCCTCCCCTTCTAACGCAGCATTATGAAGCCTTGGCAGCAGCACAGCCACGGCAACCCTACCGCTGCCCCACCGTCCGCTTCCACCCGGCAAGCCTGTGCTTCTGTGCATCTCCACGGACTCAGCCCAGCGCGGCGCCCCAACCGTGCCTAGATCTCAGATCTGCTAATAAAGTGCTGACACGCTACACCAACCGCGACGCACGTCGACCCGGAAAAGAAGGGTGGACATGCGCTTTTGGGGTTCTAGATGCGAATGGTAAGGCTACCGTCAGCTCGGTCGGGATACAGCGTTGCTGCAAGGCAGGTAGAGAAGGGTTAGACTTCACGCTGTGATAGGGTTGCACCATGGCCTAAGGCGCGCAACTGCCGGTCCGAGTGCGACAAATTGTAGTTCTGCGCCGCCATGCTTGTCAGAATAGACGGGCGGGTAGGACGAAAGTGGTAGGGAGTACAAGGCAGCCCTGTGCTAGTCTTGCATCTCGGCGAGACATTGTATCGCGATCGTAGTATGGCTCGATTGTCAGATGCAGTGTTCACGGGGACCGCGAAGAATAGTGTGTACCTCCGGGTAAAGAACTACCATTGCGTTGAGCCATTGTTCTAGGCCCATGCAGAATTATCTGTGCTATGTATCGTACATCCCAAGCTCCCTTGCTTTTCAGGGGTATCATGTATGGATTCTCAAGGAAAGGTGGTAGTACAAGGCCCAGCTCGAATGCGTGTACTGAGCCGATAGAAAGAGGGAGACATACAGGGGGGCTTAGGAGTACAAGTGGCATGTGTTTGAAGAAAAGGACATTCCAGTGTGGAGGAGATCATTGTGTAGCATCAAGGAGAGGCAGTGCGAAGAGAGAGAGAGAGGCGCGTGTTCTTTCCAACTCTTTCAGCTCGGTGCAATCTGATGATGGGAACGCGACAATTTGGGGATGATGTTTTGACATGCGAAGAAATAGTATTACATCGAAAGGCGACCAAGCAACTGGCGCCGACATTATGGAGAAATAGATAGACAATAGAGATTTAGAAGGACGAAAATGTCGAACCGAACCGTTCCCAATCCAGTCCCGGCCTATTGTGGCCGGCCGTCTCGTCTAGATACTCATCGCTTTTGCGTTCAGCCCAGAACGATCCTCTTTTCATTCCTCGTCAAATCATCGCTGCCCGCTGAACGCTTGACGGGAAAAGCAATACCCAAAAGTACGGTTCAAGGAGATTAAGAAGGGAGACTGAAAGGAAGCGGAAAACTCCGTAAGGACTGTTGCAGTCGCACTCCGAAAACGCCGGACCATCCATCCTGTCCCATCCCGACCAGCGAAATGCGGGCGAAAAGTGCAAAACGCCGTTACCGGACCGGACTGTTGGGCGGAATATGTCGCACGCCCTGGACACCCAGAAATGCATCGTGTCGGGATGCGACGCAAGATTGCGGAAATCATGACGAAACCCAGAACGTGGCCGTGGCCGTGCTGTCTTCCTGCGGCATAATCGGAAAAATCTATCAAAGTATCAAAGTGATCACAGCCTTCGTTCTCGGCCAAGTCGAAAAATTTGCATTTTCATGCGATGAGAAGGGTGCATGCGGGCGAAGAATCGGGCGCGTTCTGGAAGGTGCGGGCCATCGCAGCGGGCCCTGTGAGTGGTTCAGCGCCGCGGGCCTCGGCGCAAGCCGCTAATAAGCAGGCAACTCCGTGGGAAGCACTCAGTCGTGGTTTCCCCCGCGGCGCCTGTGCTTGCCGGGGAAGTCGACCTCAGGATGGACAACGCGCTAGAAAGCGTTAGCAAGGCTGCGACTCTGTCTAGGGCTCCGGTGATGGACTCTTACCATGTGGCGCGTCAGTGCATCGTTGCGCGAGAATGTCTTCTCCTCGACGCACAGTGCACATCGCACCTTTTGCTTGCGCGCGTTGTGAATCGTATCTTCGTGCCTGGTGAGGTCGTAGGGCCGCGAGAAGATGGTGTTGCAGGGCTTGCCCGTCGTGGGATTGATGCGCTCGCACTTGTGAGGCCCCGCTTGCGAGTTGCGCTCCAACACAGCCGCTGATGTCATGCTGGAACCGATGTTTGCGGCATTGCGATGACCCTCGCGCTTGTGCTTCTGCAGCTTCTGCGGAGTTTCGAAACGCTGCGTGCAGCCGTGATAAGTGCAGGTGTATGTACCAGTGTCGGCGCTTGAGTCCGCAGGCTTCTGAAGGCGCTCGCTTGACTGGTTGCCTGGTTCAGGCCCAGCCTCGCTCGCACTTGACTCCATCGAGGTGAGATGCGCCGGAAACTCCGGGGTCTGATCGGATGCAGCCGGCATGCTGGGTGTTGGGCGGTACTGCGATGTAGAGGCGAAAGGCAGGCCGTGCATGGGCCCCGTTATCGACGGCTGAGCAAAGGCGAAAGTCGAGGATGGCTGCGATGTTGCTGCAGCAGATGTCGGGAAGTTTGATGAGAACTGCGGTGTCGCCCAGCTGTCTCTTCGGTATGACTGCCCCGATGTTGTGTCAAAGGTGGATTGGGTGGCGTTTCTATATTGGTCGCCACTGTTGTATTGGTGGTCGTACTCGCTTGCGCCACTTTCCGGGAACAATGGCACCTTCGACTCGTCGTCAGCTTCCCGGTAGTCCAATAGCGCATCCTTTGGTGAGATGGTCTTCGGTTGAGCCTCTTCGCTTGATGCCATTTGCGACTTCATTGCGTAAGCCGCATCAGCCTCAACCTTTTGCTCACGTGCCGCCGCCGCAGTGCCGACAGCCATGCGAGGAGACTGATGGAAGGCGCTGCTGGGCTGACGGTACGGCGATCCGCGTCGGAATGGTGAGTCACCCCGCGACACTGAGCTGGACGGCGACTGTGACCGTGCAATCTGTGCTGCCTGCAGGCTGCGCTGGATGATGTCGTTCGGGTTGCTGGTTCGGTAAGGCGACAGCAGCGTGTTTACTGGCTTGGCCTGTGGTAGTGATTGCGTCTGCGCAACTACCGTGTTCGGGTCGTATGAATAGTCGGCAGCCACGTCCGTGTACGTCCTTTCGAACTTGGGCACGGTGTGCTGTCGCAGGTCTGGTTCATCGTAAGTAAAGAACTGATCGAACAGCCACGAGTCGACCTTGCGGAGAGTCTCACCACTAGGAGGCATCTTGAAATCCATTTCGTCTCCATGCGCTGTGTGCGGTGTCGCCGGCGAGTCATGCCCGTAGCTCGAGACTGAGTGCCTCGCTGAGTGGCCGAAGCCAGGTACCTCCTCTTCTGGGACGTGCTGGTCCATGAGCGCCTGCTTCATCGACATGTGTGCAGCCATGGTGTGGTCCATGCCGGCAGTGTGTGGAGCGTAGGTGTTGAAGTTGTTCGGATTCATATGGAAAGAATCTTGAGTAGGCGTGTGGGTCGGCGTCGGTAGATGGTTCGAGACGTTGGAGAAGGCTCTTGAAGCTTCGTCAGCGCTGTTAGATGACTCAACCATGGCAGCTGAACTGGATGGCAAATTCTCGGAGTGAGCGACGTACGGATAGCCGGCAGTCGGCGCAACGGTCTGATATTGCGAGCCGCTGGATCCTATCGACGAGGAAGACGATGCGCGCTGGTGCGTCCTGCCCGTCCGACTCTGCATGGGTGTCTGCAGCGACTGGCTGCCCTGCACATTGTTGTAGGTATTCCAGTTGTCGAGACCGGAGGCGCTGGCGTTCGACGACGACAGCATCGACGCCGGCGAAAAGCCCGAGGAAAGCTGCGGCGTAGGAGTCGACTGCTGAATCCTAATGGCAGGGTTCGAAAAATCGTATGCGCCCGTCATGTACGGGTCGTTCTGCGAGTCGATGACGACGTTCGGATTCGCGAACGACTGCTGCTGCGATTCGAGATAGTCGTGGAGCAGTTTTTGGTTCAAGAAGTGCTGCGCGGACAGTTGCTGGGGGTAGTGGTCGAGCGAGAACTGTTGTGGTGATGGTGGTGATGGGAGCGTCGAGGTGGGATGATGTTGTGGAAGGTGCTGACGTCTTTGTGGTAGTGCCAGCATAGTGTCGGGAGGGAAAAGTAAGGGACCAAGCGTGGGTGGCAAGATACTTTATAGGAGCGAGTGACTAACTACGACTCGGGGTGGGCGGCCGATGCGAGCAGGCCCTGATGAGGTGATCTAAACGATGGAACGTAGTGGAATGCTAAGGTAGCCCGGCTACGCTCGGAATCTCGGCGCTAAGATTTTCTGTCACGGGCCGGAACGATTGTAAATTGGTTGAGCGAATGTTTTCGGCTTTTTGGGGCACTGAATTTGCGCGGGTCCAGTTCTCTTTCATACGGGTGTACACAGACTTGGGGTGACGTAGAGTGCAGGGATGCCATGACGCCGGCGCCGATCGCGCCTTCCTTACTCGCTTCTGGAAGGCGCCCAAAACTGCACCCTCATGCAGGGTCTCCGTAGCGCGCAGACCCGAGAGAGGCGCAGTTCCCCCCAGACAGCAAAAATTTCAATCCCTATCGCTCGGCAGCGTTCCGAACAGTACTGCCGATTCCCTACAGCGCAACGATGTGCTGCCCCAAGAATAACGATCCATAGACGGCCAGCATGCCGTGAACGCTTGTTGCCCTGCGCAGGGTTGAAACGTGCGGTTAGGAGCCGAAGCCCGTTACTCATCCCCATGGCCTCCGGAGACGCATCTAAGCACCCATCGGCATTCTCATTGTCGCACGACGGACGCCGTCCATCCGCTCGGCTACGGATTAAACGAGCCGGATAGTCTGGGAACTGCGGACATAACTCCAGCGGCGTCTGTAGACGTCCTCTCGTGCACTTAGATGCGCACGCACGAATGAAGGATAGAGAAGTGCCAAAGCCACAGCTCTGGACTGAGGTCACCTGCAGCACCGCGTGACCTCCATTCATTCTTTCACGTCGCGGTATTGGATGCTCCGTTTCCTTCAGCTCATCGAGTATCGTGACGCGCAACACCGCAGCGCAGCAATATGGGCATTCCCGGCAAGCGGTCGCGGGTATAGCAGCGGCATGTAGACTATCGCAAGCTGAGGGAGGTGGCCATCCACAGGAGACGCGCAGACGCACATCTATCCGCAGCTAACACAGCGTTTGGTCCTCTAAGACCAGAGGTGAAACCGGGGATCTCCTCATTCAACCAATACCCTGGATTCCCACGTACACCAGAAACCAAACAGCCGCAGCGCCAGTGCGAGCTGTAGTCTCGCAGATCAGCGCACAACGCAGAAGATGCGGTGTCCCCCCACGGGTTCTACGTGAAAGGTTTCCCAAAGCACGAAGTCCAGCCGGACCAGGATGAAAACTCTGCACTTGAGGCACTTCACTTTGCGGAGCGCCCGCTGGAGAGCGAGCTTGCAACGTGCAGCAAAAGCATCCTGCGTGGTTTACCACAGAGTATGCAGTGACAGCCCAAAAACCGTGGTGTAGAGCGCGGGCGCTCTGAGAAAGGCAAGTACATGCCGGTTGGCTGCAGGAGCGATGGGGGTCCAAGGGTCTGTGGCTGTGCTCGGCGAGGCCGGGGTCACAAGGGCCGTGCGCCAGCCCTACGGCGGATCTCGACCGTGAAGGGTCGCATCGCGCCGTTTACTGGCCGAGTTGCACTGCGTTGTACACTAGCCACGCAACAAGCCACTCGTCTGCGAACCGACCCTTATCCGCTCTACGGAAATGTTGAATTCCGAATAAAAGGCATTCAATTCGGACAAAATTCGTGCGACTCGTTCTTTCCCTCGAGTTCGCTTAACCCACCGCCAAGGTCTACCCTGGAGATCGATGACATCACATCTGAACTTTTCCAGTCGGCTACATCACGCACAAATCAGCCGGTTCAAGTCTGCGCCAACTGCTGCTTCATGCTTCTATTTTCGCAAAGACCCTTACAAGCCGACGCATCATTTCCTTGATTCTCGAAAGCGTTATCTTGATTCGCAGGGTCATGGCATTTCAATAACTGGCCGTGGCGATTCCCGCCCCATCTAGTCAAGATCGGCTACCGGTACGGAAAGTTCCCCGCGCTGCTTGGACCCCCGTCTTTTCTGACGATGCTAGCGTAACTGCTGTCCAATCCGCACGCTTGGGTCAAAGGAATGCCAGGGCCGAGGAGCGGGAGTTGGAACCTAAACCATCAAAGGCGCACTCCCCCTGCGTCGTTCTGACGACTTCCGCCCGCTTCACGAATCCTACAGGGCAACTTTGTATGCTGATCATGACGCCTCAGGCATCATTCTTCGAGCCTTGCGGCTCCCTCCGCCCTCTTTCCAGTATACTCGCTTATCCATATCATTTACCGCCAATGATGTCGCCGGCATTGGTTTCTATTTCCGACTTCCGCTACACCCTTTCTTCATCCGAAAGGAAATGCAGGGCTTCCGTGATACCGGCATTCTCGTGCATTGTTACATATGCAGGGCAAGTGGCGAAAATCTCGCAACCCAAACCTTTCTCAACATCCTGCAGGGCTTAAATTAATCGACGTCAACCACCGCTCTTATGCCAGTTCCAAGATTTGTGGGCCGCCTTCCAGATTCGGAAGCAACGGGAAAGCTGATGCCAAGACCACCTGCACCACGAAAACCAAGTTAACATTCTTCCTACAAATCCCTTGGCGCGCGGATAGCTTTTTCCGTGTCGTCAAAGCTGTAGTATGGACTATAGAGATGCGGTGCAATCCTCACCTTTTCGGGTAGTTATTCGGCCGAGAAACTACGAATATGCCCTCAACATTGTCCAGCTTACGGCTTACGGAGAATTTGGCTGGGAAGATGCCGATATAGCAGCCGACGGCAGAACTTCGGCCGTAAATATCCCACTGCTTAGAGCCGACTTCGCCCGTATCACAATTTTTATAATAACTCCGGCCCAAAAGCGGCACCTTTACTCATGCATTACATGGCGCTTACTCCAACATGAATCTGGACAACTCAGGGCAGCGAAAACGTCAGCGTTGCTATGAAATCAAATTTCGACTGGAGTTGCCGAATTTGGGGAACAGGAGAAGACGCGTGCTAAGGCGAGGCTGATGCGGATGAGCTGACTGCTAATCGATATTTTCGGCTTGGCTTTTCAGCTGTGGCTTCTGCCTTCGCAACCACATCTCGATTGATGCGGCCGTATGAGATCTCGGTAATCTGGGGTAGCTGTACCTAGGTAGTCAGCCAGCCCGGCCACGTGGGCGTTGGGAGGCTGCGTTAGTCACAGCTGATTCAAGGCCGGCGGTCAGTCTGCGGCGGGCTGGACGCGTGTAGTGCAACGATGTGTTATACTCGATCGCGTGAGCTGATCAGTAATTATCGGCTTTCTTCCTCCAGCTGTTCGATTTGGGCTGCCTGAGCTCTCGAGATAGAGACCGCACGCTTCTCAAGTTCTATGGCGACATCAGCGGAACGAAGAACGAGAACACGAACACCTGTAGAGCATGATTCGATATTACCTGGACGGGTTAGCCCTTTTCTCTCCCGCACGCAACTGGCCCCCAAAATAGTGGAGTTACATCTCGTGCTTTATCCCACCCGCCTATCGTACCTGACGATCGCTCGTATTACGGTCAGCCAACATTGAAACAACATAGGTAGCCAAAGCTTAAAGCAACATCTAAATGTCACATTCGACGGATACTGACACCTTGCTTCATCATCTCTTCCTTTGCGTCGAGTGGATTCTAGGCTATTCGCATCATCCGATTTATGTCTTCAGGAGTCTGCAGTCAGATGTTCAACCGGGAGATGTTGGTAGTCAGTCCGTCGAGACCGCCGAAGATCCGGCGTAGCCCTAAATCCCTTTCTGGCTCCGTAAAGCTCTGCCCGGAGTCTTTCAGCTCGTGATCCGTGCATCAATCGCTGCAACCAGCCTGTGTTTCTTGGATATCCTAGTCTTGATGGCGGATCGTACGAAGCAAATGGCTATTTCGAGATCGTAAGCCCCTGTTTTCAAGTCCCTCACCCCATTCTCTGCGATAGTTTCGTTAGAGTCCAGCTAAACACGGTGGAACATGAACCAGCTGATAGCCCTCCTAGTTCCTCCATATGAGCAAAGGCCGACACTCAAGCATGCGTGCAGAATGGGTGTCGAAGTGATGGCGGACCTCATACAATATCTATCATGAAAGGAGGTGGCCGGCCCTTTGTTTCAGCGCGGGCGTACGACCTCTGCACTACACGCCAGTAATCGTCGTAGTCATAGCGATCACTGTAGCGACTATCCCGACTCCAATATAAGGTCTTGGTCGATGCGGGGACGACACCAACGCACGGGCCCACGAAAGTCGCCTTCAGAGGGGGGATAGTGTCCAGCGTCTGTCCGGCAGCGTCGCGCATCTTTGACCTTTTGCTGAAGAATCTGCTGATCGTAGAGGCAGGTGTTCGTGAAATATCATCGAGGGTTTTAACAGCGAGCATGTTCGTGAGTGCAAGGTAGTGCTTCCCCTTCAGGGCGTCATCGGTGCCCATTGCCTCCACCATGCTATGTTGTGTCTTCCCCATTCACCTCCCATATGGCTGGCGAGAGGAATCAGCCGCATGCTCTCATCAAGATCCAAAGGTCCAAGAGCATAGCTGACTTCGGATGGTCCTTGCAGTTTCACAATTGCGAGCTTCGAAGTGTGCAAAATGCGTGCCAGGTCAGCGAAAAGTTGGGCCTATGTTTCGGGTGCCAGATTGTGCGTGCATTTCGGTGGTGGGCACAGTTCTATGCCCAAAAGTGCACTGATCGCATGTTCCAACAAGAAGCGCCAATCGACGGCAGGATCAACATACACTTCCAAGAGGTGACTGACCATGTGACACAACTTCTTCATGTGCTTCTTGTCTTTGTCATTTTTGGAGTCCAAGGAGCTGGTCAACGGCCGGAGCCAGGCGGGGGCGATTGAGGGATGATTCTTGACGGAAGGATCTTCTAGTATTTTCACAATATTTGTGATAGGCCTGCCGTACTCACCTACCTATGCGTTTATCTAGGAGATATTCAGCATGTAATTGTTGGAATGATCCTTCCGCCATAGAGGAAAGTACATGGTGCTATGGAGCGACGAGTGTTCCACACGAGCCTCTCGTTGGTGGCAAACGGTGACTCAAGGGGTCTCGTCTTAAGCCAGCGCTTCCAGATATTCAGTTCGCCTGGGAAGCATTCCCTGACCCTTCCAGGCTTCTCTGGATAACCTGCTAGACAGCGCCAGCGTTGGTAAGCCTCGGCGCCCCCAGAAACCCCGAGAGCTTCGATCCCCGGATTAGGTGCTTCAGGCGATAGAAGCAAATGCCTCCGTTCGCGACGTTCTTGAGACCAGTCCGGTATCCACGATGGGAACCGAGTCTCCACGGGCATCCGCAGAGCGCCGAAATGCAGGGGGTGGAGGATCAGACTATGCTGTGAAAGGCTATCATTGACAAGAGCAGCGGCATGTCGCATGTATATGCTGTGATAAGGCTGTCGATAATCCAGGGAGAGTTGGGCCGCGCGAGGCAGCAGCCCATACAGCGCAGCGATGCGATCTTTCTTGACAGAACAGCCAGACTGATGAAGCTCCCACAAGAGGGTGGCCGGGTCTCTGGACGTCTTGAACAGCGCAAGAGCCATCTTGACACCGTAGTCGTTTCGCCACGGATCGGAGTCGGCCATACAGTGACCTGTGAATATCGTTGTACACATTAGCAGATGCATATTAAAGAGTAGAGGGAGTCCAACACTCCAGCAGATCAGAATATCTCCTCAGTCCGCTAAAGGCATTCAAAAGTGCGTTTCTGGAGGCAGAGATGGGAAAAGACAAGCGGGTGCGTGCACCACGACCTACGTACATGCAGTGACGAAAAGTGAATACGGCGGGGGGAGGGGGCGTGGGATCCGCAGTGCATGATCCCACGGCGCGACAGAGCGGCTTCTCGGACGATTCAACGTCTAAAAAAACAAGGACGCTGGAAGATCCTTTGGGGCTGCGTTGTTGCCGTATTGTCGTCACCGAATACGCTTGAGGGGGACACTTCGTCTAGACATAGCACAAGAAGCCAAAAATATGCGAAGACCTTGGCCACGTCCCCTGTATCCTCCTCTCCCAGCCAGAAGTGGACTTTGTGCGCTTCTGAGTAAATCTCGCCCATTAAAGGAATCTGGACCGCCTTCTCGGCGTCATCGCGCTGGTTGAGACAAATTGCGTTAATCCATAGAAATCGCGCCTTGTGAGCTTTCCGAAGGTGCTGAAGCATGATCTTGACGTTTTGAGTGATTGGCAAATATGCGTTGTAGTCCGCGGACTTGTTGCTTCTCAGCCAAAGCCGCTGTGAGAAAGCCGGCTCCACCCAAGTATATGATACGGCGGAATAGAGTTGAAAAATTTCCGGCTTCGCAAGCTCTTCGTATCGTCGGAGATGTATGACGGAGCCTCGCAATGGCTATGACTCGGTCTCTACGGGATCCAGGCAGAGGATGCGGATTGTGTCCGACGAGGCAAGAGGTTCGTAGGCATAAGTAATCGGCTTCCATGCTAGCCGGTTCTTGATCCCCAATATCCGCCATCGCGCTCCTTCTGATTTTGTTGTGTGATTTAATGCTGGCGTTGCTTTCTGGATCTTACTCGCAAACCTCTAATATCCATCTACTTCTCAGACGACAACAGTTTCGCGTGTGGATGAAAGTGAAGGTATGCCGAGGCTGGCAATAAGGCTGAGAAGAATACTGATGTTACTCTGCGTGAAGCACTTTTAATATCGCCATAAACCTGTCTCCACAAGGTGTTTCATTGGCAAGGCTTTTGTCGGAGTCGGGGACGATGATGGAAGCCTCCGTCCCAATACGAACAGTTCGGGGTGAACACTAGCGTCTTGGCGCGCTAAACTCAGGGTCCAAGCTCCCCGAAACGTCATCGGCTGTGGCGCGTGAAGCTCACGTTCACGTCTGCGAAATCGCCGCCTACACTTCGCCAAAGCCACCTGTCCACAACAGAGACCGCCTTCCACCGCCTACTCTCAGCTATCGCAAAACGACAGCATAACCCAAGCAAGATGGCAGCCACGCGCCTCCGCCGCACCTTCCACTACCCCTCCGAATCCGACGACGAAGACGCCGTAGAAGCAGGCATGGATGAACAAGGTATCCCCACTCCCCTCTCTTCGCCCCGTCGTCTGTCCTCCTTACAGACTACTAACCCACATCAGACCAAGAGACTCTCATAACCAGCCTCTCCAACCGCGACACCACCTCCACGCGCTACTACACCTACTTCCTGCTGCTCCTCCCCCTCAGTCCAACCCTCCTCTACGTCCCGCACCTCTTCGCCTTCTCAACCGCAATCCCAAGCCTCGCAGCGATAATAAGCCTCCTCGCCAGCGCATACACACTCTACTTCCTCCCGCTTCCGCCCGTGCGGCCAAACATAATAACGCTCTCTTCGATGGACCCGACTTCGCCGTCGAAAGGGAAGTCGATACAGCGCGATGCACACGGCTTCAAATCCTCCACGCCGCCGTCTGAGCGCCGACCAGTACCGTACATATCTGAGGAAGTTGCGGATATGCTGGCCAAATACGTAGTACCCATCAACGGAGCGCTGTGTATCCTTCTAGCGCTGGTGGAGCTATGGCAGGGCAGGGAGTGGAGAGAAGGCATGACGATAGGAGGTGGGTATGTGCCAGGTTTCATAATGGCCATTGTGATGTGGGCTAGGAGAGAGTTGCGGGTTGTTGATTTGGGGGAGTTGGAGAGGTTGCGTTATCGGACGAAAGGCAGCTGAAGAGATTGTTGGTGCATCGTCGGATGAGGAGTGTTTAGATGGAGTAAAGATAGTATATCCAAGTTGATACCCAAGTTTCAATCCAACGATCGTCATGGAGCTAAGCCAGCTCCCGAATACAGCGCTCCGCAAACCAAAGGTATCATCAGCTTACAGAACGCCGTCGCTATGGGAAAAAGACAGAACGGTGAACCTCTAACACCCAACCCTTGATCTCTCGCTCCCAAAGGGACCATTCACGCTCAAATATAATCATGAACATGTCATCAAACTTGCTTCTCCATTCGAAATCATAGCATCATGCTTTTCCGCCTACTCGCCGCTCTTTCTGCTCGGAGACTGCCAGTCCCGGAGATATCGCCGTTAACCTTGGCCCTCAGATCAAGACCGCTCCCGCTCGCAGGCAATGCACTCGCCTTTCTCTCCTTCGCAGAAGCTCTTGCCATAGCCGTGCTTTTGCCGAGGCTTGTCGTGCTTGAGCTCTTGATACCACCGCTTCCCGTCCGCTTATGCACCGACGGCAGTGCTCCATCTGGTCTGGCGGTTGCCTCCGATCTCCTCTCCTCGGTCACCGCGGAAGCAGGGACGGACGAGTGACGGCGCGCGTTGCGTGCGGCTTTTGCAAGATCGATACGTGGCCGTGATGTTGTAGATTCTACCGGTGAGGATGCGTTGAAGTCGAAAATGGCAAGGTCTTCCTCCTGTTCTTGCTTGACGACAGGGGCTCTGGAAGCCGTAGGTTTAGACTCCGACTTCGAATCAGGTAGGTCCCATGCGACTCTTGTTGAGGAACCGTTAGAGGACGCAGCCACTTTCCGTTTCGCAGCGCTCGTCTCATTGATCATGGCTGAGATCGCATTGGATGCCGCTGCCGAGTTCAATTTAGGTGGTTCAGGCGCAGGACCTCCTATTGCGTCCTGGTTACCTTCTCTGCGGTCCAGTTTCTGCCTGAGCGGACTCCCCATCTCTCCATCCTCTTCGCCTCCTCGGCCACCTATCGCGCCCACAGGCTTCCAGGAGGAGTCTGACTCTTGCTTGATATACACTTCTGCCGATACAGATGGAGGAGGTTGAGGTCCCACACTCCTTCGTTGCGAGTCAGGAAGTACTGCATCCACGAGTTCTTTACCAGGACGGCGCATTTTCGTGGCCAAGCTTGGCTCTTTATAGCTCACTTGTGCTCGAGCTCTCCGAGACGGGCGGCCTGCTAAACCTGTTTGATCCATCGAACTGAGATCTCCGGGCGGTGGCGTATCCTTGGACTCCGGTCGCGAAGTTGAAGGCTCCGTTGAGGGAGGGGAGAAAATGTCTTCTGCGGCGGGAGTCTTAGGTGGAAGAGAATCGAGGTTTATTTCAGCCACCGGGATCGGCTCAGGCATCTCCAGCGGCGGAAGCTCCGGCTGCACGTTCCGAGTTATGGTCAGACGGCCACGGCCAGTTTTTGGTAAGGGCTTCTTCTCCGGTTTGTCCTGCGCCGAAGAGCGCTGCTTCTTTGGAGAAATGACCAAGTCGGTGTTGACAGGTTCTATCGGGAGTTAGTACAGATCCAACATAGGACAATGTCATACTTACTGCTTCCAAGGACCGGCCGCGCAGGCGATTGTGGTCGCGATTCTTCCTTTGCACTTGCATCGTCAGATACAGCAGGTGTATTCCTACGGCTAAACCGGAAAGGTTCCGCTTGAGGCTGAAACTTCTCTTCATCCTCCTGCACGCTGAACTTCCGCTTGGCTCCGGCTCGTACGGTCTTCGTAGGCCCTCCTTCCGACTCTTCAGGTGGGGATTCAAATAGGGAAACGCGGCGAATATTGAGCTTAGGCCCACTCTCCCTCCGCTTTCTCCTAGTCTCCAGAGTGATGGGAAGCGCTTGCTCAGATTCATCGACAGCTTCCTCGGGCTGTTCTTCAGGGGACGGGCTAGGATCGAATGCGATAGGCTCCTCACTTCCGAAGCGCGACACCGGAGGCGGTCCAATATCTGGAGACTGACTGTCGGGGTCATCCAGCATTTGTCGCAGTTCATCCTCGCTGTGATCCGTCAGCACTGCTTTTCAAACAACAAGTGTCTCCCCCTTTCGCGGCGCTTGCGCAATAACATCAGAAAGCCTATTGACATACTTCATGGTCTGCCTCGGGTAGTGTCTGTCTTCCGCGATGGTCGGCAGCATCGCGTTCTCTACTTCCTGGAGCCCCAATCCACTCCTCCATTGTCTCTCATCCGGACTTCGTCTCGTCGCAGCGGTCTGACTCTTGCATCGCGGTAGGATGTCTTGCTTCTTCAGTTGACCCAGCTCTGCGACTAATCCCCCGAGCTCCTGTATCTTAGCTTCCAGCCGGTCTTTGACGGAGTCGATATTCTCGAACGAGGGACGATGGGACTGCTCTTTGAGCGCATTTTGCAACTGCAGGACTTGTTCGCGCAGAGAAAGATTCTCAGAGAGGAGGCGGGATGCGTCGTTCTCGAGGCTGCGGATGCGGATCGATTGTTGCGAGTTTGTCCTTTTCATCCCATTAGCGCAAGGACCCAAACAATGCCATCCCCTGACGGGAAACATACTTCGCAAGCTCGCGATTCTGTCTCAGAAACCTCCGTTTGACTGCGCATATCGTGTCAGTGCAGGTCTTCTTTCGAGTCATCGGGCCTCCGGAGCCCAGCACAACTCACCAGCATCGATAGTCTCCGCCGACGGCGCAGGCGCAGGCGCAATAGGCGGCTCGTTCAGGCGCGCCATAAGCGCAGTATAGGTATGTCAAGGTAAGTAATGTGTTCCCGATATTCGAGGTGCGTAATCGTTGGAACTGAGGGTCTTGTGCCGTTCGTGGTTTCCGCCGAGCGATGTCTATCGGGGGGTTATCGAAAAGATTGTTTACCATAACAACGGCTAGCCCAAAAGGGTAAGGCTGGGTGGCACCCTTGTGCGCCCGCACGTGAATGCGGGACGCGTTCAACGGCCCAAGAACTTCATGACTACAGCAAGTACACCGTACACGCGATACTGTTGATTCCTAACCCTAAGCTGACAAAGATGTCGTACTCTGGCCGTCCGCTCCCGTCCCACCTGCGCAGCGCATCCGGCTCCCTCGGCGGCTCGCAGCCCTCCGGCCAATCCCCCGTCCTCCTCGCGCGCATCGCAGAAAAGAAAGCCGAGCTCGCAAATCTCAAGGACCTCCAAATGCTGAGCGCGGGGCTGGCCGACCAAATGCAGATGCTGGCGGAGAAGCTACAGACCCTCTCCGACGGCACAGAAGGTGCGTAAATCCCTCAGAAGTTGGATCCGACAATCGTGGTTCGGGTCGAAGGGAACCAGGTGGCAGTGTTGACGTGTTGCGCGTCCAGCGGTAGCAGCAGTATTGTCGAATTGGCACAACGTGCTCCGCGCCATTAACATGGCGTCCAGTAAGTTGCTCTCTTCGTGAAAATGCCACCCGGCAATTTATCTGATTTGCGCACAGCCAAATTGCCCAAGCCGAAAGAGGACGAAGATGCAGAGAAGAAGCCTGACGCCGAGCCGCCGCTTCCCCAGACTCTCGTTCGAATACCGACCCAGCATGCCCCTGCGATGATGCCCCAATCGTCATCTGGAAGCGCAGCCGAGTGAGCGGGGTATACGGCAATACCGCGATGTCCGCTGGAAGAGTGTCCGAATTGGGGGAGCCGAAAGCGAAGATAAGAGTGTATCCCGAGGATTGGTCGCCCATCTGCCGTACCTGATCCGATTCGAGCATGCGGCTTCAGGGCCGATGCAAATAAAGGCGATTGCGGGTCGAGATGCAGGGAGAATATGCATATCAGCCTTGACATCGTCAGTCATTGGGTTATGCACGTGAAAACTCTTCACGAGCAACGTATCCGTATGGTACGAGGGTAGGATGAGCGTCACATGAAGGGATGTAGAGGGAGCTAGAAGTAAATGATATGGATTCATGTTGCTAACTATACTACGTTGTTCCCTCATCCCGCGCGTATCGAACATGCCTGCGTGATGCATCTATCGTCTAACACCAAATACAGTCTTTGGATCTCCTAGTCCATATCGCTATGCAGTTAACGCACAAGCGCGCCATATTTTCTGACAATAGGATAAACGCCGGACTCCTTGCCTGCTATGTGAAGCTCAAAAGATAAATGCCCTACCATCTCCGCCACTCGTGAAGTCGTTAATTCGTGGAAGCGGCCTATTTCCGCTGCTTCGGCATCCGCTCGTACGCGTTCGGGCTGGGCTTTCGCCGCGGTCGTGCCCGCTTCTCAGGCTTGTCCGACGGACCCTCGTCATGGTCGTGGTCGTGGTCATGTTTGTGCTCGTGATCATGATCGTGGTCGTGGGGACGTCGGCCATGCGGTTGGCCAAGTCTCCGCCCGCCAACAGGACGTGCCCTGCTATTGTCGAGCTCGCTGTCGGAATCCGAGTCTGAAGAGTCGGAGGATGATTCATCGGAGGACTCGTCTATGGGGCGCTGCTTGTGGTAAATGCAGCAGACTAGAGAACATTAGCGTGAACCATGCACGGTGACGTGTGGCGGCATACCTTTGGAGGACTTCTTCCCCATGCCCTCATTGTCGACGACGTCCTCTGCCCATTGAATGTGACGCCGTTCCGCAGGCTCAGCCCGCAGACGGAGGGTTCCTGACGGTGCTGACAGCCTCAGGACAGGCTGGGGACGGATCTCAAGGACACTGCTGCCGGGCGAGGGGTTCGCAGTCTGGGTAGCCATGGTGGTTGGATTCGACATGCTGAAAGAGAGGGTATGAGAGTGCGCGGGAAGGCGTGGTTTAAGAAGTCGATTGCCTCCGCGTAGGAAGTCGATCAGCGGAGCCGAGAGTCAAATCGAACCGAAGAAGGCGCACGGCCGAACTCAGGCGTTTGATGTGTGGGGGTTGTTTCGGGGAGAGCAGACGGATCAGCGGCGGTGGTCGTGTGAGGTGCAGACATACAGCGCGCAGGAGTGAAAAGGAGGGCAAGCAGCGGATTTGCTGGGCGTGTATGTATGTCTTTGTTGGAGCGAGGTGATTGAGCGGATGTCGCATCCAGGTTGGTTTCCGTCCGTGCGTCATCGCTCGCTTCCGCTTTCCCCCGCGAAAACGCATCCCGTGCCAGCCACCTCCACGCTTGCCATGTGCTGGGTCATGCAGCGATGTTTTTGTTTGGGCGGTATTTTCCTCGATAGCCGTGCGACCATGAAAATCTATTTCTGACTGTGAATGTGAATGGAGGATGATCAACGCGTTGGGATGGTGAGGCATTTTAATCGCTGTTGATGCATTCATCGGGGAAGCCTATCGCAGAGGTTGAGGTTGCTCGGATACCCTATCCGGATAGGACTTGAGCGATATCACGTCCAGGTGCGGAAACACCCCGTCACCATCACTATGGTGAGCCCCTAGCACACCCAAGTCGATACACTATTTGCTGAAGGGCTTCAGGAGTACTTAGGTAGGTTTCCAAACCCAGAAGCCAACGCCAAAATCTCCTGCGGCGTCCACCCCCGTTGAAGATATACATCTCTCCGGCCAAAGTGTCTCGCTAGCGTGGGCGACCAACACTCCCGAACGCCCACCCTGACCTTTCCAAATATTCCTGGGAGTGTGGCCTCTATCAGGAAGCGCTCCGTATGCGCGGGATACTCCAACCTAAGACTCAGCTCCGTCAATGTCCAGTTTTCGTTACGTATGCTTCGAAGTAGTGGAAGCACTCGGCTGAGTTTGGACATATGGAAATTACGAGGAACGACGGGAGTGGAGATAAACGCAAGTTTCCGAGCCTGGTACAAAGTTAACGGATATAGCGGGTGCCCCCTAGGTTTTTGTCCTTACAGACCGGACTCAAATTCCCTGCTAACGCCAGTGAGCTGCATAAGAAGGCAGGAAAGGGTGAATATTGCCCGTCGAAATAACTGCTCCAAGGCTTCAGCGCGGATTTGGCCATTGACCTGGGACCAAGTGAGCCATCTGGATCGAATATCAGTCGAATCGTAGCGCGCAAGAACCCTGACGTTAAGTTAACCAGTTGAAGCGAGCCTGTGTGTCTAAATGCGATAAAGGTACCCTAAAGCAGGTGGTGTTATATCTCGTCTCTCAGTTCTCGTGGAAGGTCGAGGAAGCGGAAGTCCGTGAAGCAATGGATCCCAGGTTCACTGCCGGTCCCTCCGGTATCCTCGCTGACCATGTCGATAGGGCCTTGACGTTTGTGAGAAACTGGAGCCATGGCAAGCTATCTTCCAACCGGAAGAGATCCTTGTCCGAAGAGAAAACACAAGGAAACAAGCTCTGCAAAGACAGAACTTTCTGGGATGCGAATGTTAACAGGAAAGAGAAAGAAAAGAGATGGAAAAGTCTTATAAACGGTGTCAGTCAGGCAAACAGGTGCCCGGCTCCACCTTCCTAGCAATCAGCCTCTACTTTTGCTGACGGCCCATCTTTAGGAGGCACTAGCATGCGACATCATCCTTCGGTACCGTAGATTTCATTGAGTTGAGTCAAGGCCAGGTCTACGGGACCGCGAGAGCAGACAGTGCAGCTGGACGCGGACCTGGTCGAAAAGAAGTCACCGGTGCCAGTGCTCCGGCTTTTGGATAGCTCAACATGAAGCCCTTCAGCCCCTGCTAGGATTTTTGGCGCTTTGCCGTCCCATATTCTTCCCCCATTCGGAACCACGACCTTAGTCCTCCTCTCAAGCCTTAGCTTTCGATTCCATATCAACTGCATCACTCGGTTTGCGCTCGGTGGCGTCGTCCTGGCTTTCCCGGTCCGACCGATTCACGACGTCCACCTCCTCCAATCGTTTGTCAAGCTGCTTTTTTTCTTCGTCCGTGGCATCGTTGATGTGGACCGCAACTTCGTCGCCGAAGTTCTTCGCTACCTCTTCAAGGCTAAGACGCGCCGTTTCGGGCCAGAAGAAGTACACCACTTTTTCAGTCAGCGAAAGATATTTGGAGTAGGGTTCACGGAGATGCACTTACTCGGGATATACACAATGCACCAAACGATAATCACAAGGTAATACTTCCAGCCTACCTCGTCAAACCCTATCGGAGCCGTCTGCAGCAGTATCAAAGACGCAGCGAACTGTCCGAACAAGCTAAAACCCATACCCATAGGCCTCAGCTCCGTGGGGAAAATCTCGGATACGTAGAGATACATGGTCGTATCGCAGCATGTGCCCTGGAATGCCAGGTACAGAAAGATGAAAAAAATGCCCATGCCATTACCAGCGCGGTTCGTGGTGCCGGCAAATTCGGCTGTCATAGCAGCAAGCAAAGAGGTGGTGAGCAGGCACCCGCAGAGACCGAATATGTACATGCCTCTGCGAGAGTTGACTTTGTCGTGCAGCCATGCACCGCCCGGGTTGTATATCAAGCCAGCGGTGGTCAGCCAGAGGGCCGAGAGAAGGAGAGGCATGTGGCCGGTTTCGCCGAGATTTGTGTACAAGATGACGGCGTAGTTGTTGATAATCAGGGGTCCTGCGAACTCAGCACCCCTTGATACGGTTAGCTGGATACCTTCACCTTCGGATGGCCTGCTCACCATTGCGTAAGGAATCCGATGATCATCCGCTTGCGATAACTCTTCTTCTTCCATGCCGCAACCCAAACAGTATGCCCAGTCGCCGCAAGCTTCGCAGCATCGAGCTTCAACTGCTCCTTCGTCTGATAAAATTCCTCTTTCGCGACGAGATGATGCGGATCGTCCGCTGACATCCTCATCTTCTTGATGACATTAAACGCTTCTTCGCTATGCCCCTTCGAGATTAACCACCTAGGCGACCTGGGAAGCCATGGAGACCCTATCAAGAGGATGAGAGGGCAGAGCACCTGGAAGCACAACGGGAAGCGCCATGCGAAGGATGCGTTGACGGTAGTCGCGAAGTAGCAGCCATAGCCGATCCAACCAGCGAACATGTACCCGAAGACGAGGAAGATGGCGTGGTGGCCTACGAGCCAACCTCGCCTGAAGGGGCTGGACATCTCCGAGAGGTACATGGGGCATATGGTTACGAGGACGCCAATGCCTGTTCCGGAGATGAAGCGGCCGGCTTGGAACATCCTGCTCGCTGTTAGCCATGCAACCACCCTATTGCTGGATAATCCTCCACAGCCGAGCCTAAAGATTCAAAGGCGAATATTGCAAAGAATATTGACAACATACGCCAGCGTCGCGGCTCCTCCTTGCAAGACACCACCCAGGACAGACAAGAAGCATCCAAGCTGGATATTTCTCTTCCTCCCAAACTGCTCAGCCAACCACATGATGAATAACGAGCCAATAGCTCCGCCAGCGCTGAAGAGACCATTTGCAGTCGCAATTGTATGCGTCGTCTTACCGCCATAGCCTGGCTCGCCTTGCTGGGGCAGGTCGAAGTATGTATACCATCCTGGCTGTCCGATAGTTGAACTAATCACACTCGCACAGTATCCATATGTCTGAGTCGAGAGTTAGCAACTGCTGTCACGCGGATGCTAGAAAAATGCACTCACGAATGATCCAAGAGCGACGAAGACTGTCACGAGCCGATTATATCGACTGGTTTGTGACCCTGACTTAATGGCGCTCATATTTAATAAGCGCCGTCTCTAGAGGCGGTAGAAATAGAGTTGGACCCCCCCAAGATGGTTCGACACGGTAAAATTGAGAAAGGACTTCAGCGGCAGGACGAGAAGTCAGATCGAAATCTTCGAAGGTATGACTGAGGTCGGACAGCATTCTCCTGAGAGCTGAGCTGCACGTTAGACAGGAAGGGAAGGGCGGAATTACTGACCCTGGTCCCATGGAAGTTTCCCTGCACAGATCGGCGTCACTCAGATGCCTTGATCGGAGAGGATATGCGGTTACACGACACACCCGGCAAGTTTAACGATCGGATGATAAGACGGTAAAGTTCCGCGTCCAGGTGTTTCGAGTAGGAGTTACTGACTCTCCTTGTCCTTTCCCCGTCGATCGGCATATCCGACATTACCCGCATTATTCTTGCTCGATTCGAATTGTGCATGTGTTTGGTACGACTAACAGTCCTATACGATCTGCTTTTCTGTGTGTCGTCCGGAAACCCTGTGAAATGGATCAGCACCGTTCAATTAATCGTATATCCCGGGATTTCCTGTTATGCACACATGTCGCGGATAGTGTAACCACAACCGTTCTTCCCGGGCCCACATACCCCACTCCCGCAACGATCAACCCCGCAGGCAGTACCTCAGGCGTAAATCTTACAAAGCCGGATCGCTGCATTGAAGTCCTAATTTTACAATGAGCGAATACAGTAGCTATGCCTCGGCCTGAAGTCAATCGAAGCCTTGTACGGTACTAGCCTTGCAAGAGCCAAAGCGAGAGGCCTAAGTTGTTGATCTGCAGGTGATGTAGACGGAGACGTGGATTAGTCCTTTCGCAAAAGTGTAGCACATGCGAGGGGTCTGAGGCCCACGCGTGTCGATCCGAAGAGTCTTAAGCGGAGAGGAAGGTGGAGCGGCGATAGCCCTCGTTCAAATGGTCTCCCCGAACCGACCTCGGTATTGAGCCGAGCCCTGCATTCGAAAAGTTGTTGTCGAGGAATCCTGCATCTGAGTAGTGGACTCCGGTGAGACAAACTTGAAAAGCGTCAGTTATCTTTTCTAGCCGTAAAGCTTCGTCGCTATCTCCCACTCTCTTATCGCGCGATGTCCTCCATTTTCGACACATCCTACGACTCTCTCCCCGACAAAAAGCGCGTCTGGCTAGGCACTCCAGGAAGTCGCGAAGAGGGACTAGGCAGACTGGCAATCATAACACCCGACATCGTCGCCAAAGCCGCGTCGCAGGAGATACGCACAGGAAAACGCGTGACCCTGAACTGGGAGCTCACCAAACTCGAAACAGCAGCTTTCAACCGCCAGCCATGCGAACATAAAATCGTGCCGTTGTTGGACGGGTTCGCGTTCGACGACATCTACACATTCAATCCACAGCAGAGCAGTCAATGGGATGGGCTGAGGCACTTCTCGCAGCCGATTCCAGGAACGGAAGGGAAGAACGTAGAGGACCGCGTTTTCTATGGCGGGACGACGGCCTCGGAGATTCTGGATAGGAAGAATGATCGCATTGGACTGCAGCACTGGGCGAAGGAAGGCATAGCAGGGCGCGGAGTGTTCATCGACTACGCGGCATGGGCGGAAAAGAAAGGCATCCAGTACTCCACGTTTTCTACACATGAGGTCAAACTCGTGGATATCGAAGAGATAGCGAAGGAATGTAACATCACCTTCCAAAAAGGCGATATCCTCTTCGTCCGGATCGGAGTCACGAAGGAATGGGACACCATCATGACGCTGGAACAGAAATCTGCTTACGCCTCGTCACCCTCGCCGCAGCATGCCGGCGTCGAAGCATCGCAGGATGTGCTGCGCTGGATATGGGATAACGGGTTCGCTGCAGTAGCTGGCGATGCTATCTCCTGGGAAGTGTATCCGCCAAAGGATTCGAATCTGTTCCTGCATGAGTACTTGCTAGCGGGGTGGGGCATGCCGATTGGGGAAATGTTCGATCTTGAGGAGTTGAGTCGGCTGTGCGCCGCTGAAAAAAGATGGTCGTTCTTCGTGGCTAGTACGCCGCTGAATATGCCAGGTGGTGTGTCCAGTCCACCGAATTGTATGGCGATCTTCTGAATGCAAACGTACTCGGACCCTGGACAATGGTGACGTACGTAGCTAGACGGAGGGAAGGTATGCCTCTGCAATAAGTTGAGGTTCTCCGCGCGGGGACGGCATTTGGCGGGTTGACCCAACGACTCTACCATGAGGTGGGGGCTCCGAAATTTCGTGAGAAGAGTAAGTCATGATTCATTCCTTACGGAGGTTGTATCTAGTTCTCCAATCCCGAGTCCGAAAATGCTCCACTCCCTGCCACAGTCTATCTCGCACGTCCTGCACCTTTAACCGTTGACAACCACACCACCGTTGGCATGAATCGTCTGTCCGCTGACGGAGCTGCTATCTGCGCTGGCCAGGAAGACAAAGCACGCTGCAATCTCACTCGGCTGCGACGGCCTGCCCATCGGACTTGTGAACTGCTTCATCGCGTCGTCGGTCATCGTGGACGGGATGAGTGGTGTCCATACAGGCCCAGGCGCTACGGCGTTCACGCGGATCCCCTTGCTGATGTACTGATTGTGGAGACCACGGGTGAAGGAGACGATGGCGCCCTTCGTGGAGGTGTAGTCGAGGAGATCTGGTCGGCCAATGTACGCGTTGATGGATGCGTTGTTGATGATGGTCGAGCCTGCCTTCATGTGAGGTAGGCAGTACTTGGCTAAGTAGAAATACGGGTGGATGTTGACGTTGAAAGTATAGATCCACTGATCCCTAGTTATAGTTAGCTTCCCGTGTTGCTCGAGCAGAGCTGATTGAGCTTACTCATCCAGATCCTTGATATCCTCTACCATCATCTGATACGCCGCGTTGTTGATCAGAATGTCGATCCCACCCATCTTCTGCAGCGCGTCTTCAACCAACTTCTTGCAATTGCCCCTATCCGTAAGATCCGTCGGGTGCAGATAGCACTTGCGGCCCTTCTCTTCCACCAGCTTCTTCGTTTGTTGCGCGTCCTCCTCTTCCTGCGGGAGGTAGGCGATGAAAGAATCAGCGCCCTCCATGGAGAAGAGAATGGCTATTGAACGCCCAATGCCTGAGTCGCCTCCGGTGATAAGTGCCCTCTTGCCCTCGAGCTTGCCGGCCGCCTTGTAGAGTTGGGAGCCGCCGTCGGGAGTGGGAAGATGATCGGGCTGCGGCTTGGGGTCGAGCTTGGACTCAAGGCCAGGGGCTTGCTGGTGTTGGACCGGGACGGAATGTCCTAAGTGTTCCTGTTAGTCTGGGTATATTGAATGTATTAGAAACGCCCACCTTGCTCGAACTGCGGCTTGTCACTCATGGTGTTTTTTGAGTATCTGAACGCTTGCTGAGACGAGGTTTAGTCGGATTCCAGTGGGGGAAAGTATTGTGTCTGGAGTTTCGAGCTTTTATTGTTCGAAGATAAAGGTTTATTCTAATCGATGATTTTCTGTGACATCACTGACTTGTCACGTCAACTGCCAAACCATTGGGAGTGGAGCCATTCCACGGTGTTTACGATAATTGCAGACGGCTGACCGCATCCAGACACGTCCATAATTCAAAGGTAAGGTGAGTGCGCCTGCTGTCGTCGTAGAGCGCCCACAGCCATGCTTGGCCTGTAGGAAGGATTGAGTCGTTGGCGCTAGAAGCAGCTTCCGAGGAAGAGCTTGTAGCTCATATTACCCAAATCAACCGAATCCGCACGGGAACGACACATCTGGGTCGGCAATACTGATTGAGGAGTCGAGGTGCTTCAAGAGACAAGATTGTGGACATAGACGCTGGCATGCGCGCTGCCCCTCTACTCCTCCCTCGCACGGACTTAAGCGTACGAATTCAGTCGCGGTGCGCTGCTCACATTATTCGGCGAACCGGCTTATTCGACTGCTTTCCGCAAGCCATCCTTCCAACCTTCCAACGCCCACTCGCGATCGCGATGACGGAGTTCAAGCCATCCTCCTGGTGCCAAACTAACCGTAGGGCTGAGCATGACATCAACCCACCCCACCAAAATCAGGGTCCCTAGCGCAGCGCCATGACCGCATCCGGACCCCAGCCCCCTCAACCCGCGTTCTCGATGTCTGCACGCCCCAGCAATTAATCCCCATCGGGCTATTTGCAGCGCCTGACAAGGAAATGCTCTGAAGCGTGCACAAGCCACGAAACGTTAACGGTCGTCATGCGCCACGCTGCCCTGCGTCATAGTTGCAGGGGTTCCCTTTCGCGCTTTACATGCACGGTTTCCTGTTTTCAGTGTCTGGGTGAGCGATGGAGAAAGAGCTATAAAGATTGCTATTAACCCTTCGTACTTTCGTCTTCAGCATCAGACACACACAAAACAATCAGTTCTATACAACAAAGAACCACCTTACAACCAATTCCAATTCTTCAAACCTCCAACTCAATCCAACATCTATCATCATGCCTATGCGCCGAACCCACCGCGCTCCCCGCACTGTGCGGACCACCCGCACCAAGCCCAGCCTCAAGACTAGACTCCTTGGAGGCGGCCGAACCACACGTGCTGCTCCCACTACCACGACGACTACGACCACGACGCGGACGACCCGCAGCACCGCCGCAGGAACTGGAGTGGGTGTCCATCACCAGAAGCGTCATGCCACAATGGGTGACAAGGTCTCTGGTGCTCTGATGAAGCTGCGTGGCTCTCTCACCCGTCGTCCTGGATTGAAGGTTAGTGCAAGTATGATGAACTTTGTTGTAACGCTCGCTAACAAGCACCCAGGCTGCCGGCACAAGGCGAATGCACGGTACCGACGGACGTAACTCGCGCCGACAAGTGTACTAAGAGGGCTTGGCGGATGATTTGAATAGCTTCAGGTGGCTTTTGGCTTTTGCAGTTGGTGCTACTGAGGTGGCGGACATGACTGTACGATAGTACTTGATGATACCCTATGAACTGAGACTTAATTTCGCATTGCTGCATTCATATCATCTCTGTAACTTTGGTGACTTAGTCAAACGTGCTCATAGCACGTGAGCAGACACCCACTATCATCGGAACCATGCTTTGCCGACAGCTGTGTATAAGCCCCTGAAGCCCTCCCGGTTCAATTACGTCGTGAGGCCACAGACACACATCAAGCCTTCATCCCTCGTCTCCCGGACGATAACCGTCGTTGCCCCTCAGAAGCTTCTGGCGCGTATCATCCCTACCGAGCCACGACACATACCAGGTTGCCTGGTTGTGCTTGATCCGGCACCGAGTGTCCCACCGCCCACCCATGCTCTCATTGTGGCGCCAGTACTCGTCGTCCAGATCTTTGCCCTTCGGCTTCGACCGATCCATGCAATCCAGGCACAGACCGTCGAAGTATGCCTCGGTGGCCGCCACAGTTTTGCGGACGACGTAGACCCAGTCGATACTACGGCAACGATTGCACGCGGGAATATAGTCGAACTCGAATTGCTTCAGGCGTGCGACAATGTCATTGATGCTCGCGCGCGGGATAACGTCGTCCACTGGAAAGGTATCAATCTTCACGAGCGCTGCCAGGTATTGGCCGATGGTGGCGTCCCAACACTTGCAGGCAGCGGTCTCGAACCGCAAGACGCTACCAGCCTTCTTCCAGAGATTCTTGTGGAGAGTGGTCTTCAATCCACCACGTGCGTGGTTCGCTGGACCTATAAAAAGTCAGCATGCTCCGAATATAGAGTACCTCTTTTAGAGGTCTTCCGAGGATGATACGTACCTGTGAAGAGTAAGCATGTTCTGGATGTGGAAAGGACGTCCTGGGATCGTTTAGAGGGCTAATACATACCAACAAAGTCGGCGGGAGCCAAGTGCAGGAACTTAGCCTTGAAGCCCTTCGGCTGCCGCTCCTTGATATGCCCGATATGGTTGTACGCCAAAAACTTCGTGACGCGGGCGAATCCGACAGCATGATCGAAGAGCTGACACGGCAGAGCCAGGAGCCTAGCCGAATCGATATCGAGAGTTGCGCCGTTGATCGTCGTCTCATAGACCTTGTTGAACCAAGGCTGAAGTACGTCGAGGGGCTGTCCCGGCTCATGCCACTTCCACAGGCGGATAGCATGACAGATGCCCGTGACCGAGATCTCGTGAAGACCGATCTCCTTCATGCGCTGGTCGGAGAGCTTGTGCAGGTGAGCTAACCACACGAGCGCACCTTCCTTGTTCTCGCCCTCCTCTTGACCATGTTTGTTTGCGCCTTCGCGCTTCAATTCGCCGCCTAGAGTGATCTCCGTCGGGTCCTCCGAGGCCTTGATGACCGTCCTCAGGTAGTTCGATTGTAGGCAAACCTCCGTCGAGACGCGGATCTCCGTGACGTGCTTGACGCCATCTTCAGCGGGCCCGAGGAGCGTGATAGTCAGATCGGCATCCTCCGCAAGGGTGACGTCCTGGTCCAAGACCAGTGACACCGGGGCGCCCTTCATGTTGTCCGTGACCGGGAGCAGCAGTACAGCTTCCAGTTACCTTGGAGGTTCGCAATCGATATGTGGTTCGAGATGTGCAGCGTGTATTGGAGGCGGGTGAGCAAGAAGGAAAGACCGCAAGGGAAGTGGGGCGCTTGTTTGGGCAGTCGCCGGGCAATGGCACGTGACAAATTTCGCACCTGGGCAGTCTAAGCGGTGAAGGCCCAACAGGTCACCGCCGCACTGGAGGGCTTCAGCAACTACTGGGGCTCTGAAGCTCATCAGGACGCTGAACCCCAAGTCGGTCTTCCTCGAACCTGCTGCGTGAAATCAAGCAACTTCTGCATCCAACCGCTGAGACATTGAACAAAAGAGAGCAACGGGGCACATAGACCCGTGTGTAGCAAAGGAGACGCCGAAACTGACTGGATTGAAGTGACTAAAGCACGGGGTGGCGTTGAGCGATCGCGGCGACAATAGGCATTGTCGCCGTTCCGGATCTCTAAAGGATGCTCGCCATCGTTGTCAACCTAGAGTACAAAGGACCCTCCTCGCAAGCCTAAGGGACTGCGGCTCGTTCCTCACGACTGACCCTCGAGAGTGAACGTTCCGGTCTTCGTAATCAGATATTCAGCCACAGCAACATCTTTCCCGGACTCTTTCCCGTATCCAGACTGCTTGATGCCACCGAAAGGTGACTCTGCGGCTGATGAGTTGCCTAAAGAGCATTTTAGTAAGTTCTCCACATCCATATGAGAAAAGAAGGAACTTACCAGTGTTCATTCCTATCATTCCTGCTTCCAGATTCTCGAACAACCTCCACATGCGGTCGACGTTCTTTGTGAAGCAATATGATGCAAGACCCATGCTGGTGTCATTGGCCGCTTTGACAACCTCTTCTTCCGACTCGAACTTGATGAAGGTCGAGACGGGAGCAAAGATCTCTTCTTTTGAGATGTCCATATCCGGAGTGACCCCTGTGATAACCGTAGGCTCGAAGAAGTAACCCCCGTCCTTGGAGATAGCGTTTCCTCCCATGTGAATGGTGGCGCCCTTCGACTTTGCATCCTCCACAAGCGCAAGTGCTTTCTCGATACCTCGCGGTGTGGTTACTGGACCCATGGTGGTAGCCTTGTCTGCGCCATGACCGACGACAATCTTCTGACTTTCTGCATTCCAGCGTTCGAGGAACTTGTCATAGATCCCAGACTGAACGTAAATCCGATTGGCAGTGATGCATGCCTGGCCAGCATGGCGATACTTCAGAGCGAAGATCTGGGCCATGGCTTGGTCAATATTGGCGTCGTCAAAGATCAACACGGGGCAATTGCCCCCAAGCTCCAGCGTGACTTTCTTGAGGTTATCGGCACACAGCTTTGCGACTAGTTTGCCAACCCTGGTGGAACCTGTAAAAGAGACTTTCTTAACGAGAGGATGTCGGCAAAGCGCCTCACTGAGCTCTGGGGTCTTGTCTAGGTCCGTAGTAAGAACGTTCAAGGCACCTTTAGGAAACCCAGCTTTGTCTGCCAGATAGGCCAGAGCCAGGACAGTGATTGGCGTCTCCGGGCTGGGCTTAACAATCATGGTGCAACCAGCCGCGAGAGCCGCACCAGCCTTCCGCAGAATCATAGCGATCGGGAAGTTCCATGGTACCAGGGCCGCTGCGACTCCCAAAGGCTGCTTGATGGTGAAGACTCGTCGGTCTGGCAAAGCCGGGGTGAAGACACTGCCCTGGATTCTTTCGGCTTCCCCGGCGAACCACCATGTGAAGCCAGTAGAGTAGTCGATCTCTCCGTACGCCTCGGCTCTCGGCTTCCCGGTCTCGTATACGAGAATGGTGGCTACATCTTCTTTGTTCTCCCGGATCAAGGAGTCCCACTTGAACAGCATTTGTGCTCTTGCTCTAGGGCTGATTTTCCGATAGCTTTCGAAGCATTCATGCGAGCTCTTGACAGCTGCGTCGACATCTGCCGCATCATTCGTAGGGCACTCTGTCCATGGCTTACCAGTTCCGGGGTCTATCAATAGTGAGCATGGAGATCATTGATATTCCGGAGCACTGACCGACGACTTCGAATGTCTTGCCGGACTTGGACTTCACCCACTCTCCGTGGACGAAGGACAGGTTGTGTAACAACTCGGAGTTGTTAAGCTGTGTCGGCATTAGACATCTTAATTCAACCCTCTGGACAACAAATTACCTTGAACGGCAACTCATATTTCTGTGCTGAGCCCATCATTCGCAATCCTGATTGTTACAAGCAGTAGATGTCGTATTACTCGGTCCAATGCGGGTTCGCCCAAATACGTTGTCGGCTTTCGACGAGCAGATATTTGGACGGCTATAGTGTTCAATTACTGCCCAGGTGGTGGCACTGAACGATGAAGGCAAGTGGCAGGTGAGCTTTATGCAAATGGAAAGCGCCACGCGGCTTTGAGCTTCAAGGGTCCACTACGACATGCATAAAAACCCCACCTTGTCTCCATCCGAGCTCAATGCCTGATTGGCACGCTGTCCGAGCTGCACGTCCCGAAAGTGGTGATCCGAAGGCGAAAGGTGTGGATGGCCTAAGCTGTGAGCAACGATGGAATTGATTCCGTTGCAGCTGGCCCTTGACTGGTTCGCCTTGGCGGACCCGGCTTCTCCAACGACAGCTCTTTCCCCTCTTTACAACTCCGCATCCCCCTCCTGCGCCCGATGGAACGGTCTCTCGGCAGTGCCTCGTGCGCACCTGATCTGCCAATGGCGGAGAGAAGACCGTGTTGGCTGGCATTTCGATAGCTGACGCGTCTTTAAATCTCCTCTTCACTCATTCCTTCCCCTGCGTAGCTTTGTAGTACCCTTTTGTGAGCTCCGAGCAGGTATAATTGAGTCACCTTTACAACACAAGCACGATGAATCGCCTGCAAGGCAAAGTCGCCATCGTTACCGGTATAGCTTCCACTCAGCAGCCTCGCTTGCGGAAAGTGCTCACGTCGATTCAGGCGCGGGATCAGGCTTCGGAGCCGGGATCTCGCAAGCCTTCGCTGCCGAAGGTGCCAAAGTGCTCGTATGCGACATCAACCAGGCCGGCGGTGAGGCGACCGTCCAATCGAACCCCTCCGTGATGGCGTTCCTCAAGATGGATGTCACGAAAGCGAGCGATTGGAAGGCAACAATAGACGCCGCAATCCAGAAATGGGGTAAGGTGGATATTCTGGTGAACAATGCGGGGACGAGCTACAAGAACAAGCCTACCGTAGATGTCACGGAGGAGGAATTCCAGAAGACATTTGACGTTAACGTCAAGGGCGTCTATCTTGGGTGCAACGCATGGGTCCCGCAGGCTATCGAGAGGAAAGAGGGAGGTGTCATAATCAACATCGCGAGCGTTGGTGCTACTAGGCCTCGACCAGGACTTGTGTGGTATAACGCTTCCAAAGGTGCCGTATGGAATGTAAGTGCACCTACGCAGGACCTATGAAGCTATCGCTGAATGCTGGAAAGGCTACCAAAGGACTCGCAGCCGAATATGGACCACATCAAATTCGAGTCGTGAGCATCTGCCCGCTGGTCACTGGAACTGGGTTGTTCTCCTCCTTTACCGGCGTTGAGGACACGCCAGAGAATCGGCAGAAGTTCATCTTCAACGTGCCGATGGGCCGGATTGGTGAGGTTGATGATGTCACGTCAGCATGCGTCTTCATGGCTAGTTCCGAGGCGAAATTCATCACTGGTGTTAATTTGGAAGTTGATGGCGGCAGATGTATCTAGTTAGAAGCACAGGAGTTGAAGAAAGCTGGACAGAAAAGCATTCTCCGGTACCGTAACTTGGAAGCCTCCGCTGTGGTGGGACATCTCTAAGCGTAGCACGTACGAGAGGGTTGACTGGACTTCGATTGTCTCTATCACGGTTAGCGTACCCCGTTGTCATCGTGACACTGGCAAGCGACAGCCCTCAACCCTTTGCAGGGAGCATCGTCGCTAGGGCCGGAAAATCTACTCCTGAAGGCCTTCAGCAAATCAGGACTAGACTTAAGGCGGTCTCCTAACAGTGCAGTCTCTTTAACCCTTGATACCACGTAGTAGATGCGATCACAAATCAAGGTCTAGACGGCGGAGCAGTGAGAAGATATATTTTTCTGAGGCAGCAGATGTGGTGCCAAAGACTGCCTTATCGGCAATATGGGAATGCCGCACAAGGCAGCAGAGAAAGACCGGCAGAGAAAGACCGCCAGCCAAATACCTTTTCGCCATGTCAATGCATTGAGGTTCCGAACTGTCATGACCATTTTCCAACGCCAAAGTGGATATCATCGGATGCAAACGCCCACCATTGTTGCTTACAACTAAGCATGACTGCCATTTCCGATGGAGTACTTTTGTTCAAATCTCGTAAGACCAGGCCGGATCATAGGGTAGGGTGTGCCTCCTATGCACCGCCAGCGACACCGCGAATGAAGAATCCACCGTGCTGTGAAGCAGCGCCACGAATGTTGATGCCCTCAGACTGTTCGGATCGTCCACGGACGTGTACTTCCTTGTCGTCCCTCGTAATCCGACTAGCGAGCCCGAGTTTCGGGGCAGACTCTGAGAATTCAGTACTCCTGGGGTCGCTATAGTCGTTCTTGAGCCGACCGTATGTGGAATCCTCATCATTATCGTCATCGCGTGTTATGCGGCTAGCCAACGACCGTGGCGCCACCACCGGCTTTCCGTCCTTTGTCATCCGAGCGAGAAGCGAACCCTTGCGGGAATTGGCGGTCTCGTCGGTTGCGTCGCTCCGTCGATGATTGCGATTGGTTGAAAACGCATCGGAATACCGCACAGCTGAGGAATCTTTGACCCATCTTCCATCCGATGGCCCATGTCCCTGATCAGTGAACGCAGCCCGGTCGTGGGTCCATCGCTCGCCACTGGGTTCAAGGCGTCGTCGGTTGTTACGGCTGCAGCTCCGGCTTCGATAGCGACGGCGCATCGACGTCCCATCTTCAGCGAAGCCCAGGCGGCCATCGCCCTCATCGGCCGAGCCAGGTGAAGCGCTCCGCCCTCTCAGACGTCCATAGCGCGACTCGCGTGAGCTAATTGATGTCAGCGATTTGTGACCGTTAACGGAAGCTGAGCGACCATACCTCCCGGAGCTTGGTCGATATGAATCAAGAACATCTGCTCCTCGATGTCTTCCGCCTCTGTCTCGATTGCCATTCCGGCGGTTTCTCCGGTTGTCGAACTCGGAATCGTCGTTCATTGACGTATCGCCGCTCACGCTGTCTAGTCAGCAAACCATGTGTGATCTAGGATGGCTCTTCCATACCCTCGTCGCTTGTGCTCCCTTGGTTCTAACCCATGCCCATCATAGTCTAGGAAATCCCTTCGCGGCGGCGGACGTCGCCGAAGTTCATGTCCACGATCGCCGCGAACCTCAGGATTCTGCCTATAGTAGTTGCTGCGATTGGCAGCGCCTCTCGGCTTCTGGTCTCCGATATTGGCCTGTCGTATGACGAGCTCGACGCGCGGCTGCTTCGAATACGGTCGCGCTTTGCGGCTTGTGTCGGGGGACAATGAGGCGGGGGCTGCAGGGTCGGTGAGCGCTTGGAGAGCTACCGCGGCATCCTGGGCGCTATAGTATTCGAGATTGACCGACGCATCGTTTATCCAGCGCAGTTGTTTGACGCGCGGTTCCGGGCAATGCTCCATGGCTGCAAGGTGACGGTATACTTAGCAGATGTCTTAGATTAGGGGAGGAAATGTAACACTAGCATGCCCTAGGTCATTGCGTGCTGAAGGCCCTCAGGAAGAGTGCACTGCAGGCAAAGCTAAGACATGCTAGAGTGTGTACCGCGGCCTACGTACCATAGTATAGCGGGTCATTGGGGTCGAACTCGTTCACGCCCTGCAGGTTCAAGATCTCGGGCCATTGCTGGACAGGCCTTGCGTCGAGGTTCTCGAAATAAGCGGCAGGCATAGCCGTGTTGCCGTCGTCGCCTCCGGTGGCCTATAGAGCGCATTGTTAGCTTGAGGCGGACAAAGGTCAGCCTGAGGCGCGTTTGCGGTCACGTACCTGCGCGGGTTGCTGCGTCCCGGTATCCATGCCCGTACCAGCGTCAAAGTCTATATCCATGTTAACATCCATTGTGAAGTGTAGTGCAGCGTGCGACGGAAAGACGGTGGCCGGGGTGAAGAGAGGCGGGGTGGAGTTGGAGCTCGAGCGGGAGAATAAATGAGGCAGCGCGCTAGCGCGAACGGGCACGGGCCCCCACGGTGGTACAATCACGTGCAGGTCACGAGTGTTTGTTTGGGCAAGCGAGCTGCATTGTTTGTCTCAACAATCATCCATATGGATACATATCTGGCTTGCGTGCATCTGCCAAAAGAGACAGATTTTGCTTACTCATCATACAAAAGCGTCTCATTTTTGTGGCAGATGCGTGGGCACAGCCTGCTTATGTCTCGGACCGAGTCTCAGGAGGAGATGGGATACTCAGAGAGCGAAACGTGTCTTCAATTGATCATTATCTGGTGAAGGCCTCTAGGACTAGCCGTCCGAAGCTAAGAGCGAGGACGTGGTGCCCGACTTGCGCTTGTCCTTCTTCTACTCACGATGTGATCCTCCCGTCCTTGACCATCTCTCTGATCGTGTCGATGCTGGATTCAACGGCTTTCTTTGCCATCTTCATCCGTCTGTTAGTAAAGTTCTTCTCATGCGCAAAGGGAGCGTTCTTGAGGGGCTTCAGGATACCAGTTCCTCATATGGCTTGCTTCGGGCTTTCGCTCAGGACGGGTGCCCTTTTATTGCCGATAGAGGCACTGCTCTGGTCGCGAGGTGTTGGCTAGCGAAGTAGAAGACTTACAGCTTTCAATCTCGCGTGCTCTTTCGCCGCCTCTTCAGTCCCTTCCTGGATATGTGGAAACCGAAACTCGAACATATACGTCATATGCAGGTCTGAGTCGTCGCCAGCTGGACCATCAGACACGACATTCCGAATGTGCGTTCCATCGTCTTGCGCGAAGTCGACCTGCCAAGCTCACTATTAGCATCCTTACTGCTCTCCCCATACCCAAACACCTTCCCTCTCTTGTTTTAACGTCTCGAAGAACAGACACTCATGAAAGGGCAGTGGAAGGCTCACCCAAGCGTCCGCCCAGCACCTAACAACCTCCTTCGCCTCGCTGCGCGGTCCCTGCCCTTCTTTGAACTTGACTTCTCTCGTCACGACGCCTTCTTCGTCTTTCAGCACCTTGCAGCTCTCGATGACGGGCACGAATTCCTGCGCGAACCGGATTTTGCGCTGCAGGCCGGCCCAGACTTGCGCGCGGGTGAGGACGGGCGATGCGCCAGAGGGGTTGATTTGGGATGTATAGGCGAGGTTAAGGGCGACCATTTTCGGATTTTGGGAGATGCTGGGAACTGGGCGTAAGGCCGAGCGAGTAGTTGACGGAAGCGATGATGCTGCAGGGATGCGATATACGCTTGAAAAAGTCGTCGGAGGTTTTCAAAGTCAAATTCGATGAATCTAGGTGGTTTCAACGTTATTCATGAAGTCTAAATGTAGGAATGGGGCACAGTCAAGGGCGTTCCCCTCTTTTATGTAGAAACCTGTGTAACTGACGGGCGTTCGCCAAGTCGTTAACATGGACAAGATTACGACCCGGTTCTCCGCCATGTCCGAAATGGCTAACGTACAGGACTGAACGGTCCGAAGTACAAGGTCTTGTTATCCTCTCAATCTACTTGATTTTGGTGGTCCAATAAGCCTAGAGCCTCTCTCTCGAAGGGGTCGCCCTGCATACTTTTCCCGTCCATCAATTCTACTCATTACTAAGCATCCAGACAGATCCAGAATCACGCTACGAAAATAACCCGTACCGTCACCTAGCAATTGCATGATACTACTTCCCTAGATCCTCCCTTTATTTACGACGAAAGCCTCCAGCGCAGCTGCGATATGTTAGCAGACGGATGGGGTGATAGCCATGGAAGAGATACTTACAGAGCGCCGCCCACAGCCTATTCTCTGCTTCCCTGAATACAACGGACCTTGGACCGTAGAAGACCTCATCGCTTACCTCCTCTGGATGGCGAGGCAGGCAGTGCATGAAGGCCCAGTTCTCCTTGGCACCTCCCCGTTTGGCGAGCTCTGAGGTGATCTGGAAGCCTTCGAATGCCTTCAGTCTTTTTGCTGTTTCCTCCTCTTGTCCCATTGACACCCACGTATCTGTCACCAAGATGTCTGCATCCTTGATGGCCTCCTCCGGCACCGTGGTTTCAAATAGCCTGCCGGCCTTGGGAGTCGTAGTAGCTGCCTGGTCAATGACACCCCGCATCTCCTCAGGTATCTCATAGCCTTTAGGTGTCGCGACCGATATATCCACGCCGAGCTTTGTTGCGCCGATGGCCAGGTCGAATAAGACATTGTTCGCGTCGCCAATCCAAGCAATCTTCAAGCCCTCCAGTCCTAGGGAGTTTGTCGAACCCGAGGGGTAAACCTCGGCTATTGTGAGGAAGTCGGCGATGATCTGGAGGGGGTGGTATAGGTCGGAAAGGGCGTTGATGACGGGGACGGTAGAATGTTTTGCAAGGTCTGCTACGTCGGAGTGCGGGCCGACTCGGGCGACAATGGCGGCGGTCATGCTGGAGAGAACTATAGCGGTGTCGTAAAGCGACTCATTTACCTACAAGCAGTGAGTTTTGATCAAAGAGCAGCACGAAGCTCATACACCCAACTGGATGTCGTCCTTGCCCAAGAACATTGGAATGCCGCCCAATGCCGCAACTGCTCCTTCGGTGGATACCCTAGTGCGAGTACTGCGCTTGCTGAAGGTCATGGCCACGGTCCTGCCTGCCAATGCGGTCCGCAAGCTGTGCGGTATCTCGCCGGTGCCTGACTTGACATCGTCCTTGTGCCTGTGGGCATTGCGGACGAGGGTAGTAAGCTCGGCGGGCGTCAAGTCAGCGGTGGAGAGCAGATGTCGTGGCGCGAACGGTGAGGTTGGGGGAGCAGCGGCGGAGGTGGAATAGCAGCGAGTTGGAGCTCGAAGCAAGCTTCGAAAAGCCGTGGTCGCGGGGCGAAAAGGCGGCATCTTGCTCACTGTGCTGGCCTGACTGGCCTGAAGCTCTACGAGGCCAATTGAAACTTATATGGCCCGAAGTGTCAATTAGCGGAGTCACGCCCTGTGGTGATTTTTTTCGCATCGTGCAGCTCATGCGTCACCCGCAGATCTGGGGTTGGTGGCTTGTCACATTCGTGGACCTGGTCTAGCGCGCCTTGGCGTGTTGGCATGCCACAGCCGCCTTGATGACGCCTGGTCTCAACACCGAGCATCCTCCCCAGCACCCTGTTTCTGTGCAGCTCTCCTCACGTCTTCCCTCTTATCTTTCCTTCCACTGCGGCACATGAAAGACTAGGGGCTTCTTGCGCACCTGGCTACCCTATCCTCCGCCGCTATGGACACTCCCGACGGCCAGTGGGCCTCGACCCGCACGCCTAGCTCGCGCCCGGCTTCCCGGAGATCAGGCCGTTCCTCGCGATCCGCACGCTCGCAGACGTCAAGCAGAACAACAGAGGTGACGCCACTGTTAGCAAGAGAAGACAGGAGCGACGACGACGAGGAGGAGGAGGGGGAGCAGACACCGGCGACGACGTCGCTACTGCACTCGTTGGGCAACGGCTCCTCGTCAAGCGGCAAAACGCCACTGTGGAAGAAGCGATGGCCCAGCATACTCGCGCTTGTCATTCTGTGCATTGTCGTGGTCGTTATAATGCTTGGCTTCCTGGCAACAGAAGGCATTGAGGAGTACGCCATGCAGGCTGCCGACTTCCAGCCTACGAAGCTGTCATTAGACTCGTTGACCGATCACGGCGTGAAAGTGCAAGTCGAAGGCCATTTCAAGATGGACGCATCCAAGGTGAAGAAGCAGAGCGTGCGCAACCTCGGTCGCTTTGGAACGTGGATAGCCAGAGAGGTAGAAAGTGGACCCACTAATGTCGATGTGTATCTGCCCGAATATGGGAACGTTTTGGTCGGCACGGCCAAAGTGCCCGGGATCAAGGTTAATATCCGCAATGGACACACAACGCACATTTCATTCTTCGCCCATCTGGAGCCGGGCTCCTTTGATGGGATCCGCAACGTCGCCAACGACTGGATCGATGGACGTCTGGGTCAAATCCAGGTAAAGGGCAAGGCCGAGGTGCCTCTGAAATCCGGCATAATACGCATTGGCACGCAAACCATAGAGGAGTCTATGGTGTTTCTAGGTAGGTTCTGGTTCGACAGCGTGACGTTACCGATTTGATTGTGCTAATAGTGCCCCGCCTGCAGGAAACAACCTTCCTTCGCTCCCTCGGTACAACATCTCAAGGCTTAACCTCCGAGAAGCCAAGGACGGGCACAAGGGCATGGGGGCTGACGTTTCCGTTATGGTGACCAACGATTTCCCTGTGCAGCTTACTGTACCCCCGGTCGCTGTTGACGTTCTTGTTGACGGCTGCCTCCCTTCGGACCAGCACATCATGGTGGGCACGGCCGAGACCGCGAGATTGCAGGTAAGACCGAAAACTGATCTGGAGGTCAATGTGACTGGCCGTGTTGAGAAGCTGCCGGAATCCCTTGTTGAGGTCTGCCCGGACTCAGCCAAGTCCCCACTGGATGCTCTCCTAGGTGACTACATGGACGGGCGCGACGCTACCATCTACATCAACTGCTGTAAGTTCCCGGATCCGGAGACTCCTGACTGGGCGCGAGGTCTCCTCCAAGATATTACGGTTCCCATTCCTTTCACAGGGCGAGATATGGGAAATCTGATCAAGAACTTCTCCCTGTCTGATGTTCATTTCCATCTCCCAGATCCGTTCGCTGAGCCCAACACTCCTGAGGCTGCACCTAAGATCTCTGCTATCATCAAAGTGGACATTGGCCTGCCTGGTGAAATGAACTTCCACCTAGACGTCAACCGCGTCAAGGCCGATGCGGACATCTACTATCACAAGAAGAAGCTCGCGAGGCTCAACCTCGAGAAGTGGCAGAAGGCCAATTCCACCAGAATCGACGCACACGGCGACGAAGGACCATCCTTGCTGGTCGAATCCGACATTGAGAGGGCTCCCATTCAAATCCTAGATGACGACCTATTCAGCGAAGTTGTTCAAGCTCTGCTCTTCGGCAGCAAGCCGGTTATGATGGAAGTCAAGGCCGCAGTCAGCGTGAAGGTTGATACGCCCATGGGAGATTTTGCAATGCGAGGAATTCCAACGGAGGGAGTCGTCCCGGTCAAACGTTCGTGACCCAGTTCGTGATCCATCTTGAGCCACTTCTTCAGCAGCTCGCTAACGTGAATGGTTCAGCAATTGGAAACGACAAAGGATCCAGCAATATCAGCCATCTATCTCCTCAAATCGGCAATCTATCGATCATCGGCACGTCGCGCACGTCAATCACTCTACAGGCGCACGCGAACATCACGAATCCCACCAAATACTCCGCGACCGTTCCCTATTTCAACATCAACATCTTGGTCAATAACACTGTTCTCGGACAAGTTGTCGCAAAGGATATCGTCGTACGTCCTGGGAACAACACCAATCTGCTCGTGACGGCCGTGTGGGATCCGTATACCCACAGCGGCCAAGGGGGGAACGAAGTCGGCAAGGAGCTGCTTTCCCAATACATCTCCGGTAAATATCAAGTGAGCGCCTGTTTTTCAATAGTAGCTAACTCACGCAGGCTACAATACATCCCTAACCCTCCAAACCCACAACGGCACCATCCCCTCCCAGCCTGTGCTCGGCGACCTCATGTCTCACTTCCCCATTACCCTCCCCGCACCCCACCTCTCCACGCCAAAGAAGCCCAAAGACGGGGATGACCCAGACAACGGGGATGATGACAAGTCAACGCACTTCATCCGCGAAGCTACCATGCACATCATCTCCTCGACTGCAATTTTCACCCTCGCATCCCCCTTCACTACCACAACGCTCTACATCACGAACCTCAACGCCACGGCTTTCTATGAGACCCATCCCGCAGGCAAGATCCTGTACGATCTGCCGTTCGCCGTGCCGCCGGGCTTGTCAGAGACTCCGCGGTTGCCGGTGGACTGGAGTCTGGGGAGCGTAGGGTATGAGGCGATCAAGAAGGCGCTTGGGGGCACGCTCAAGTTGAGTGCGTATGCGGATGTGGGAATTAGGATCGGCCAGTGGAGACAGCAGATTTGGTTTAGAGGTGGGAGTATTGGCGCGCATGTGAAGTTATGAGCCACTAGAGGTTGTTCTTCCATGTTTTTGACATATTGTATAGTATACAAAGCCCCGAGTTGGGATGGACATAGGGACCGACGTTCGGGCTAGGACTGCGTCATCAACATACGCACAGTGGTATCCAGCGGATATTGCTATCCTCGTTTCGCTTTGCTTTTACATACAGCATACACATACAAATCAAGCGCCCGATATCCCACCAAATCATCCTCTTCTTAATCCGACAATTCGCTCGCCCGCGTAATCTCCTCCCTCTCCTCCCGCGCATTGCGGGCCAAGAGATTTAAAGCGCTGCCTGCGAGTATGAAGCCGCACTGGTCCTCGCTAAGCGTGTGCCTCGTCTTGATCGCCTGCTCGCTTCCATCTTTCTTCTTGACCGCTATCTGGACTTCGCCCTTCCCGCCGCTCCTCAGTACATCCAGCAGTCCCCTCGTCGCCACTTCATCGCATGCGTCGATAATATCGTAGTCTGCTTCGTTAACGAATGTCAGCGGAACGATACCCTGCTTCTTCAAGTTCGTCTCGTGGATGCGCGCAAAGCTCTTCGCCAGGATAATTCGGCCACCTAGATAGCGGGGTTGCAGGGCAGCATGTTCTCTTGCAGAACCCTCGCCGTAATTGTGCTCCGCTACAACAAGCCATTCCTGCCCCTTATCCCTCCAGCGCTTCGCGAGTTCCGGAATCCCAGACTTGCTACCGTCAACATCGTACGCGACGTTGACTTCGTTGGTAGCGGCATTAACCGCGCCAATGAGCGTGTTTTCGGAGATGTTGGGAAGATGGCCTTTGTATTTGAGCCAAGGACCTGCGGCAGAGATGGTGTCTGTTGTGCACTGTCCTTTTACTTTGTAGAGGACGCGGAGGGACGTCAACTCTGAGTCGGGGAACTCGGGGAAGGGTTTGAGCAATGCTAAACGACTGGACCCTGGGTCGACGATGACTTCGACCGTGGGGTCGGGAATGCCGGGCGTGGGGAGGAACTCCGGATTTCCTTCTGCAAACCCGGCGGATGGCAGGTCTGAGCCTTTTGGTGGTGAGAATTTGAAGGGGGTCCCGGAGGGTGTAGGAATACTATCAGTCATGGGGTTGAAGGTCGTCGAGCCAGAGTAGGACATTGCGGTAATGAGCTCAGGGGAGGCGAGAAAGTTCATGGTTGCGCGGTTGCCGTCGTTGCGGCCGGGGAAGTTGCGGTTGTATGAGGTGAAGATGGCGTTGGCTTCGCCTTTCTTGGTGCCGTCGGTGCGTTTCCATTGTCCTAATCATGGGTTAGCAAAAGCATTGGTAAATATGATATAGAGGCAAGTGACTAGGAGCGGTGGAGGCCGCTGCCTCGGTGAAGATGGTCCCAAAAGAAAGAGGAAAGAGAGACCTACCAATGCAAGGACCACAGGCGTTTGCTAGAACAGTGCCGCCTGCTGAGGAAAAGGTGGAGAGGGTGTTGTCGCGCTCGAGGGTGGCTCGAATCTGTTCGCTGCCCGGCGTGATGAAGAAGTCGGCTTTAGGCTTGAGTCCAGCGGCGGAGGCTTGCTTGACGATTTCCTCAGAGCGCGTCATGTCCTGGTAGGAGCTGTTCGTGCAGCTGCCAATGAGACCAGCGCCGAACGTCCTCGGCCAGTCCTTCTCTTCCACTACTGACTTGAATTTGGACAGGGGCGTCGAGAGGTCAGGAGTAAATGGCCCGTTGATGTGTGGTTCCAGCGTTGAAAGGTTGATAGTGATAACTTTGTCGTACTCAGCTTCCGGGTCAGCACGCAGCAAATTCCGCTTCATTGGTGAGTTTGCAATATCCGAGGCTGCTTTCGCGATGGGTCCTCGGTGTGTAACTTCCAGATAGGGGATGTGGGCGGGTGAGAATGGGAATAGGGATGTTGTAGCGCCAACTTCAGCGCCCTAAAGTTACGGATACAAAGTCAGTAAAGCCAATAAAAAGGGTGTTAATCCTGACCATATTACAAATCGTACCCATGCCTGTACAGCTCAATGACTTCACGCCAGGGCCAAAGTACTCGACGATGTACCCGGTGCCGCCCTGAATACTCGTTAGACGCCAGAATTTGTGCGGAGGGCGTGTACATACCCGAACGGTAAGCTGCCCGACAAGGTTCAAGATTACATCCTTGGGCGAGGCCCAACCGCTCAACTCGCCCTCGAGGTTGACGCCCAGTATCTTGGGTGCCTTCAGCTCCCAAGGCGCATCCACAAGAGCATCCACCGCGTCCGCACCGCCAACACCGATTGCAATAGCTCCCAGACCTCCCGCGTTCGGAGTATGACTGTCTGTCCCCAGCATCATCAACCCAGGCGTCGAGTAGTTCTCCAACACAGATTGATGAATAATGCCCGCGCCAGGCGGCCAAAACTCAATGCCATACTTCTTCGCCGCAGACTCCAAAAAATCAAACACCTCTTTATTCCCCGCGATTGAATTCGGCAGATCCGTATCCGCGCCCTTCTCTCCCACAATCATGTGGTCGCAGTGTATACTCGCCGGAACGGCAGTCGCAGGAAGCCCGCACGACATGAACTGAAGCAGCGCCATCTGCGCGGACGCGTCCTGCATCGCCACCCGGTCCGGCTTGAGCTTGAGGTTGGCCTGCCCTCTGATGTCCTTGCCATTGTTCGTGTTCGACAGCAGCGACTCCTCGGGACTGTCCAGGTGCGAGTAGAGAATCTTCTCCGCTAGCGTCAACTGCCGTGAATGGCCCAGGACCCTCCTGACTTCCTGGAGCTTCTTGACGAGCCTGTGGTACGGCGGAGTTCGGGAGACGATGTCGACATGGTGATGGGGAGGAGCGGCGTGAGCGGTAGCTAGGCATCTTCGCGATGCTACTTGCGAACTGCGAAGGGAGGCGTACTGTCCGGACTGCGAGAATCAGCATCGAATGTTACTTTGTGCTTGTGTGCCTGAGGCCCTCGGTCGGCCTTTAATGCGGTCCCTTCACAATTCAGAGACCTAGAATCGGGCTGCTTACCCTGCAACTAGCGAGCCGGCCGGCCCTTATTGCGTGCACCCGCATTGTGAAGGCTTGTCCGGCGCAATGCGGTGGTGCTTCGAGGGCGAAGTCCACAAAATTTATCGATTGCGAAGTCGGCCCGCACGCGACCCTGGATTCTGGGGCAGGGAAGCTGCGACCAAGGCTGACCAATGACAGTACACTCAGAGTCATCATCAAACCCACGAACCCGATGAAATTGTCAACAGGATTCGAGGGAGACCGACGTGACCCGTAAGCCCTCGAAGGGACACTGCCCCAGAGCCCGCGGGCAGCACAGTTGTCACTCGAGTTAGTATGCGACGTAGCCGTCGACTCACGATGCTCGACACCCGTCATGATAGGATTCTGTCTGCTACGCATACAACCGACAAGATGAGCAAAAGCGCAGTTCAATTTTTAGTCCTATCATAGCCATTGCCTCTCGTTCTGAGCAAAGGCCAAAGTATCAACGTGCCGAGGCATCGAAAGGTACCACAATCCAACCCATCCTGCCCATGCCCATAGCCTAGGGAAGAAGCTGCAAGACGCCGCCCTTGAGGTGAGACCGTAATCCGAAAGTCCGAAAGGATTCCGCAAATGATTAGTCTGCGCTTACATACCCGGCGGCGGAGGAACCTTTCCAAACATTAGCAAATACAGAGAGCAAGAGCGCGATCAACATACCGCATTGTACGTGCCTGGGGGCGATCCAGAAGGAGGCGGTGGAGGGGGCACACCACCGCCTGGAGCCGGTTCTGACGGCGGAGGCGGTGGCGGAGCAGCTGCCGTACCAGGAGGCGGCGATTGCTGGGTGACTGCTTGAGTACCCGCATAGTATTGATACCACTGCACGTACGCCTCGTAGCCACCCCATTGAGCGTACGGGTCTTGTCCGCCGTTCTGCTGCGCATAGTACGCAGCCCACTGGCTGTTTAAGTCCGCGGGCTGGGTGTTCGCAGTAGATGCTGCGTCGGGCGATTTGATGTCGTTCTGGCCACCATAGCTCCCGTAACCGTAGCTCTGGCTACGATCTCGGTCACCGTACCCTGGGCGCCCATTTGAGTATCCATCACCGCCTTGTGGATACCGTGGCCGCTCCTTGAAAGCTTGGTAGTCTGTCCTCACCTTCTGGAGGAGTTCGTCGCATAGCTCCTTTGCGCGCTGAACACCCTCGGGACGTGGGCCACTGCATCCCGATTAGCGTGGGCAATGTCAGAAGGGAGCAGATAAACGAACGCGATGTGGAGATACATAGGCTCATCGCTCTCACGACCAGACTGGGGCTCCATGAATCCTGAGCCACGGCCCTTGATCTGAACCTTGCAGCCGGTCTCCTGTTGGATGAACTTGACATTGTCTCCACCTCGGCCCACTACCTGAGCCCTCAGGTTGAAGCCACTAATGGGCTCGAGGTCGACTGGGAGCTTCTCCTCTGGCCATTTGCGCTAAGCTAGTCAGTATTTCAGCATCAAAACTCTAAAAGGAGAGATATACCCGGCCAAACTCGTCGCGCTCGAAGTTCTCGGGCTCGCGACGACGGAACCTACGCTCATCAACCAGGTTCGGAAGTTCCTGTTGCATCAGCTCCTCAATCTGCTTGACTGCAGCATCGAGGCCTTCTTTCGTAGTGCTAGTGACGCGCAGATAGAGCGGCGGGTTCTATAGGATTAGCATTTCGAGCAAAAAGCTTGGCGAAGCGGACTTACAGCAGCCGTGGCCATGCTCTTGTCTGGATAATATTCGCCTCGGGTTGTGACATCTTGGGCACGCATAAGCAGGCTATTCTACAGCGGGTAAGTAATGTTTCGGGGAGAGCGTACCGGCGCCTGTGTCGTCTTTGATCTAGATGTCACAATAGAGGTCAGCAGATGCAAAACGAGTGGAGGACAGCTAGATGTCTGTAAGCTCGATCTCTGCAAAGAGAGACGCCCAAACGCAGGGGGACTCGACTCCAGGCTCGAAGCGATGTCAGATCAGAGACGGCCGGAGACGAGGTTGGAGGGGACGGTCCTGGGAAGATCAGTGGACGGCAAAAGCTAATTACCCTTTTCTGGACGGCTCCTTTGGTCAGTGTGTAGCGATTTCGGAGATCATTGATTTCTATGTCCTTGATGTAGTCCCCATCCTGCTGATATGTCTCGCTGGCGATAGCCTTGCCGGGAGTAGCGGGCGACTTGACGACGGGAGGACTAACGGCCTGTGTGCGGGTCAGCGGATGCGGATGCGCCTGCGCTGGGGGGGTGAGTGAGCGTACAGTGCGAATTGGAGGCACGTCGACATGCTGGATCCCCTTCTTCGCCTGGATCTGCGCGTTGATCCTCGCCGCCGCTGCAGCTGCGGCCGCAGCCGCGTCCGTTACCTTGGCCTTCTTCTGCTCGGCGCTCGAGGGACTGTCTGAGGCGCCGCGTCCAATCGGGCTGCGCGTGCGACGAGAGTCGGGCTCCCTGCTTGAAGGGGACCGCGAGCGGCGATCGAAGCGCGAGCGCGGCGGGCGGTCGGACTCGTCTCTGTCGAAGCGCGAGCGCGGGCGGCGTTCGTCGGACATGTTGCGCGCGCTCCCGGTGCAGCGTTTGTGGGCGTTGAAGAGCGAGGTTGTGGTCGACAGAAGGCTGCTCCCCGGCTGCAGAACAAGATCGGGAAGGCTTGGCGCCAAGACGCTGCTCTCCCGGAAATCGGCGGGCCAGTCAGAAATTCACATTCAGGTGAATCACCCACCGCGGGAGCACAGCAGCTCTCGTCTTCGTCAATTTTGACTGCACCTCCCCGCCAGCCCCCCAATTGCCATCGCTGGGGCGCCGCTTCTACAATGGCATCTCGGCAGGCTGTTCAGGCTCTGCCTCTGCGCAGTCTGCTCGCTCGACAATGCGCCTCCGCCGTCCGTCAACAGTCAAGAGCGCAGAGCTCCTCGTCCACCCAAGCTCTGGCGTACAAAGCTCTCCACCGCCGCATCGCGCCGCTGCCGACCGATGACCGTCCTCCCGCGTGGTCTGCGCAAGCCGCCGTCAGCAGCATCCTCTATGAGACGCCGCTCCCGTCCCAAGCGCCGCCGAAGCGACACATCCTGAACTGTTTGGTGCAGAACGAGCCCGGTGTGCTGTCTCGCGTGTCCGGTATTCTGGCTGCCCGCGGCTTCAACATTGACAGCTTGGTCGTGTGCAATACTGAGGTGGATGACCTCTCCCGCATGACAATTGTGCTCCAGGGGCAGGACGGTGTCGTCGAGCAAGCCCGCCGTCAGCTCGAAGACTTGGTTCCAGTCTGGGCCGTGCTCGACTACACGCAATCACCGCTTGTACAGCGTGAGCTGCTTCTCGCAAAGATCTCCATCCTGGGCCCTGAGTACTTTGAGGAGCTGCTCGCCCATCACCGTGAGCTGGCCCAGATGCCTGAAGTGGATGAGGGTGTTGAAGAGCTCTCGGAGTCAGACCGAGAAGCCATTGCCGCCGAAGGGGCTAGAGAGTCTCTAAGAAAAGACTTCCATCCGAGCAATCTGGCCGTTAGTCAAGCACTCAGGCACAAGCACGAGCATCTCCGCGCCATCACCTTCTTGACCCATCAGTTTGGAGGCAAGGTGCTGGATATTAGCACGAACAACTGCATCGTGGAGCTCTCTGCGAAGTCGACTAGGATCGATTCGTTCATGAAGTTGGTGGCGCCATTCGGTATCCTAGAGTCTGCCCGGACAGGTAAGCTTGTCCCTTGTCTATTAGTTCCCCAAGTACCCATCTGACGATCACGCAGGCCTCATGGCGTTACCTCGTTCTCCGCTCCACGGGCCAAATGAGGTCGAGGAGAAGGACGCCCAGGACGTCGTTGACCAGAGCATCCTGCCCCCCGGTTAAATGTACCATCTAACTACTTTTTGGAATCACCGCGAATTCCGGCCATGTCGGGCGTTCTTGCACTGTACATAACGGGTTGGCGTTCTTCGCGGGCGGAATTGAAATGTTCACCTCTCTCTCTCTCTCTCTCTAATGTATTTTCCGCAGTGAAGTGGCAACCGAGAAGTATCAGTTGGATCATCCTACAGTCTGCTAAGGGCAAAGTGCATTATCTATCATCCATCTGGCGACAGTATTACTTCACCTGCGGCATGGGCTTGCGGAGCCGATCACGCATCCATGTCGGAGGCTAAGCACCTGGGGCAGACGCTGCAGCTCCAGCGATATCGGGCAAACGAGCATGTGACTAAAGCATGCATCCTGTGAACGTCTTCCGTGAGCCCCGCTTAAGCATATTGCTCCTTCAAAAGTTTTCGTCGCTTATCTGCGGGAACGGACCAGGGATTGCATGCAACGGCTCCACCGTCTGATGTTTTCGCGGTCCAGACTTTCCACGGCCTGCGCTCCAGCTGTCGTTTTCCAGCTTTGAAGATAATGGGCGAGCAACAGCCAATTGAGGCGACGAACCTTTGAGACGAAGCTTTAACGCGTGACAGTCAAGACTTTATACATCTGCGCCAGTCGACCCCCAAGCGAGGACGGATGCGGCTCCCACGGCATTTCTGGCCTTGCCTCTGGAGCATCCCACTCTGGATTTACGTGCGTCCACGCCCGCAGTTCCGGGACTCGTGGTGAACGTCGGTCCAAATCGGGCTATATTTGCAGCGGAGGAAGCCAATCGCAGCTGTGCTCCTAGTCCTTGACGTCTCAAAGGATGTCTGCTGACCTTTTATGCGACGTCAGAACCAGCGCCCCGAGAATTTTTGCTCTATGCGCTCCCTAGACCACCCTGCAGCGTTGCAGCACGTTCTGTTGAAGGTGGCTGCGGGTGCCAAGACGAACAGCTCGATGGCGGCGCCTGCCGCCAATAACAAGCTCGTGCGACGGTTGATAAGGTCGACAGCTTCCTGCACGGGCCGTCCCAATGCGCCGTATCAGCAGCAACGTGCCTCAATTCAGTCTTCTAATCGCTGATCTGATGTTTTTCTGCTTTCTCTCCGCTCACTCACTGCCAACTGCAATAACTATAACAAGTGCCCGTCGCTGCGCCACTCCTTTCCCCTCGCTCAGTGAAGCCCAATTGCCAACTCCACATTGCTTGCTTCCTCAGGCATTGCGTCACACATCCCAAGATACCCAGCTTGCCCAAAGTCGCCGCTCTCCAGTAGCTCATACCTTTCTTTCTTTCTGTCGTAACATAGCGTGAGTTCTCCTTTTCTCTCCTATACCAGCCGTCTGCCCCCCCCCAATTGACGCTTGCAGCCGGTTGTGCGCTCGAAACCCAGCTTGTCCAATTGCTCGGATTTCTACGTTCCGGGAGCTGACCGCTAGCCAGCCCCTCCAACGTCTTTGCGTAACGAGACACAAAGAACTCCATTCATTGAACCACCTCCTCGAGGCCCGCTCGTTTCCGGACTCGCCTATTTTTCATAGGTGGACATGAAATACGGCGACACCTTGCGTCAGCGTTCTATACCGGAATGGGGCCACTGTAAGCATCCAGCAGCACTCCTCCGTTCAAGCTCCAGCTAAATCAACCTTCTCTTTACAGTCAACATCGACTATGATTACCTGAAAGACCTCATCAAGCACCAAACCACCGAGGGCACCGCTAAAGCAGTATCGATTCCCGGGCAGGGCGACACGACCGAGAAAGCCTTCGGCGATACCTTCTACGACGTCCTCAAAGCCCAGCATGATCGCATCAACCTGTTCATACGAAGCAAGAGCGGAGAGATTGAGCGCAGGCTGGAACACATCAGCAGGAGCCTCGCGCAGCTGCAAGCCCGTCAACCACCTCCCGAGGGACGCGGTGGCCGGTTACCCGCCAGGATAGTAGAGCGATACGCAAAGATCGACGCAGATGTCACAAAGTAAGCATGCGCAGGTTGAATGCTGGCCCGTGGTGGAACAGGGCGATGTGCGCAGGGCATGGTCGAGGCATCATGCACCAGATCTGTCTCATTTCCCCGCTCTGTTCGCCAGAAGCCATCAAACTCAATTCTCATCATTATCACCTACCTAATGGGATCATAGACTGACTTCTGATAGGGCCGGCGAGGAAATTCGGTCGCTCTCCCGCTTTCAAGTCGCACAACGAACGGGCTTTCGCAAAATACTGAAGAAGTACAAGCGGTGGACGAGAGACAATGAACTAGAACGCCAGTTCAAGGAACACGTCACCGACAGGCCCGACAGTTTCTACCAACTGGATCTAGGATATCTCCTTGATCAATATATCGATGTTCTTGGCGCCCTTCGTGCACCCTTTGACGCTACGGGTGCTCCTCCGTCAGACAGCTCCAAGCCGACCTCACGAATCTCCGATATCCTGCAGAACGGCGCCGAAGTTGATCTTGATCTTGCACTTTCTCTTACCCCCTTGGGTCCGCGAGGCAGCAAAGCCACATATTGGATACATCCGGAAAATATTGTTGAGGTTGAAGTCCTCCTCCTCCAGCATATGCGCCTCGCCACCGCATCCAACGCAACCTCTCCGTCAACACAGAGGGAATCTCCTTATGCGACACCTCTCCGCCGTAAATCTTCCGCGACCGTGGATAAATATTTTGGCAACGAAGATAATGTTGGCCTGCTCGTTCTTGATGATCCAGAATCGTATGCCATAAAGCAGAATGCAAGCACGATAGGAACTGGCGAAGAGTCGCCGGGTACTCTACAAGCCAAAGCGGCGGGCAACGCCCGGTGGACATCATCTGGCGAGGCGGCTGTTGTCGTTGGCCTTGAATCTGCCCATGACCCACAAGCGTCCGTAGATATACGGACGGTTAAGCTGAAAAGAAAGCACCTTGAGACCTTCCTCAGCACATCAAAATCTTTCGGCAACATCTCCGAATCCGCGCTTCCTAAACGGGAGTCTGGAGAGAGGGATGATGTTACCGCTGTCCAACAATGGCTTATCGAGCACAAGGACAAGAGACCTATTGCTGGCGCATGTTCCAAACGCACTCGGTTTGTGGGTCTTCACAATAACGCCGAAGGAGGTATGTGGGCTATTTTGGATCGGGACATCTTCATGAACGATATTCTGCACGAGTATTTGGGCAACGACGAGTGGTCATCCGAGGCTCGTACTAGTTCCATAGGATTTCCCCATGCCGTTCTTGAAGTCCGCCGGGAGGGAAGTCATTCGTCTGCATTGATCCAGACTCTCGACCGCAGTCATCTTGTAAGTTCGCCCTCTTGTTATTTTCAGGGGGCCCTACTAACGATCCCAGGTTGAACGTGTGCGCGGATTCTCCTTGGAAGCGCACGCGGTATGGACATGTTGCAAACCTGATGCAATGGCCGCACCTTTTTGGGTGAGTACTACTGTCCAACGAATTGTATCCCCTTATCTTTTAAGCGGATGGGAAACCACCAGATCAATCGACCTCTTCACTGTCTAGCATTGAAAATAAGTGCGATCTGGCATCGGACAAGATCTAAAACTCCTGCGGATACTATGGCACTTGGGCTGACGATGCTAGATATCATTGCTGGACAAAGACATTCGAAAACTTCCTGCACTGTTGAAGCGTCAGCGCCGAAAGGCCACCAGTACTGCTGGCTCTCTATCTCATACCTCCCCTCCACAGACCTCAACGTCCGCAACTTCGCCTACGGATGGCCAGTCGAGTCCTTCTACCCTCCGAAATAGAGAGTCGTCCGCAACATCTGCACCGGAGTTTGTAGATCCCCCGTCTCTACAAGCATTTCGCAAGAAGAGGAGGTCGCACGTGGGACAGCGTCCCGCAGTTCAAGCCGAGGCCGCGAGTGATAGAGAAGGATATTGGAACGAGTATGACAATCCCGAATCGGAAGACGAAGGCTACTACATTTACGTGGACCCAAACGCATCCCTGAAATTTCCTGGCCAAGAATTCCTCGAGACGTGGACATCCAAGACTAGGAAGCTTTTTGGTATACGAGAAGCGCCTGAAGAGTCACCGCTTCTATCCACAGCTGAGGGAAGCAGCGACGATGATGAGACCGCAGACGAATCCGTGGTCGCACCAAAGACTTACGGAACAATGGCCTCCAGACGCCACGCCCCGCACGAAGGCTACTTCAGCGGCATTTTCCGCTCTCTTCGAGATCCACATCGCGACGTCGAGGCTCTGAATAGTATCAGACGCCGATCAGCACAAGAGCGCCGCACTCTCCTGAGCGAAATTCGCATCCGACAGCACAAGACTGAAATGACTAAGCTCCGCTTCTATTCCACCTGTCTCGTTATGGCCGCCGTGCTCGATGCCATCTTGGGCACGATGACGATGACGAGCCGCAAAAAGGAGCGTGGCGTCGTCGATTCTGTGGTTCTGTTTGGCACCATTTGCAATTTGTTGCTCTGTGTTATTGCGATTATCAGTATGAAGACGAGGCGCGAAAGGTTGGGCTGGCTCCACCAGGGCGTGGTGCTGTTGGTTGTTTGTGGGAATGTCGTTGTGGATGTGCTGTTGCTGCGATGGGCCTTAGCTGGTCTCTGATGTGCTGTCGGATAGGAGCATCGGTCTCTGCTTTCGGTCTCTGCTATTAAGATCTTTTGGGAAGGGGGCATTTGGAACGTTCTCGTACTTCAGGGGTTACTATTTCGGCTTCGGGGAGGGGAGCCCTTAGTCTGGCACGTCATCCTGTATGAAGCTCATGAAGGAGGCTTGGAGGCTTGGACGTTGTGTGTGCATACGCGGTAGATGAGCCCAGAGTAAACACGAGAGATATGGTGTGATCACTCCAGCGTTTGGATACGGAGTGCAGTACCCCAGATTCTCACGCGAATCGCCGTGACGTTGTGCTAGATGCAGCTGGTCAATTTCGGGGATTGCATTCTGCCGAACCCGCGCCCAGCCAGCGCAACCCAGCGCAAATCGCGTCTTTCGTCATCGGTAGCTGGACAACACTGCACCTCCACTCTTTTCCTTCCACCATCCTTCCTTGCACGACAAATCCGCCGGAAAATTTTCTTTTCAATAGTTTGAAAGTCGGCATGTACTCATAGACGCTTTTGGAGGTGAGTGGACGGCCGAGGCGGTTTTTCCGCCGCATTTGGAGCTAACAGCGGCATGTGAAAGGCCTTGAGCCTAGTTTGACGAAACATTTCTTTCCATATCGAATACGCGCAGTCACGACCCTGGACGCAGTGTCGAATTGATCGCATAGAAAAGGCCCAGCAGACACAATGGCGACCAGGCGTTCAAGTCGGCTCCTCAGGCCGCTGCTCTACACTACGGGCGCCGGTCTGGCTGGTGGTGCAGCGCTCTATGCGATATACCGTCCCCGAGATATCCCTGGCACCGAAGCTGCGGCAGTTCCACCTCCGACGTATGGCGAGGGCGGCGTCTTTCGGCCACCGAAGTTCCCCAATGTTAAGTCGAGAGATGACCAGATCGCTGATCTCAAACGGAGCGCCGGCGTGATTGCTGGAGCTGCGAATAAGGTTAAGAGCGGGATTAGCAGCTGGATTCTCGGGAGTGGTACCACCCCGGCGGAGAAGGGCGAAGAAGAGCCGTACGATCTGTTGATCATTGGTGGTGGTGCGACGGGATCCGGGATCGCGCTCGATGCTGTTACAAGGGGACTGCGGGTCGCGCTGGTTGAGCGGGATGACTTCAGTAGTGGGACGAGTAGTAAGAGTACGAAGCTGGTGCATGGCGGTGTGCGATACCTAGAGAAGGCGGTTTGGAACTTGGATTACAATCAGTGAGCCATACGAGAACTTGTTCGGGGTCGTACTAAGGTTTGCCTTGCAGGTACAAGTTAGTCGTAGAGGCCCTTCGCGAACGACGGTACTTCTTGGACACAGCACCGCATCTTTCGTCATGGCTACCCATCATGATCCCAATCTCGAAGTGGTGGCAGGCTCCTTACTTTTGGGCCGGTACGAAATTCTACGACTTCCTGGCTGGCTCGGAGAACATCGAGAGCTCGTACTTCTTGACCAAGAGCAAAGCGCTCGACGCATTTCCCATGCTCAAGAAAGATGGGCTGTTTGGGGCTCTTGTGTACTATGGTGAGCTGATTCACATTATCCGACAGGCTGGTGCTGACTCTGTAAGATGGCGCACACAACGACTCCCGCATGAATGTGTCCCTCGCGATGACCGCAGCGTTGTACGGTGCGACCGTTGTGAACCATATGGAAGTCACGGCACTGGAAAAAGATGCTTCTGGAAGACTTAATGGGGCACGGGTTAAGGACTGCATTACTGAGTTAAACGGTAAGAAAGCGGAAGAGTTCACCATCAAAGCAAAGGGCATCATCAATGCCACAGGGCCGTTCACAGACTCAATCCGGAAATTAGACGATCCGGGCGTGGAGGAGATCGTAGCCCCGAGCTCCGGCGTGCATGTCATTCTGCCCGGGTACTACAGCCCCGCGAATATGGGTTTAATTGACCCGTCGACGTCCGACGGCCGGGTGATCTTCTTCCTTCCATGGCAGGGCAACACGATTGCAGGTACGACTGACACAGCGACTACGGTTACTAAGGATCCTGTTGCAGGGGAAGACGAAATTGAATGGATTCTGAAAGAGATTCGGCGCTATCTGCAACCGGAGATTAACGTCCGTAAGGGCGATGTTTTGGCGGCCTGGTCTGGCATCCGACCGTTAGTGAGAGATCCCAAGGCGAGCAAAACGGAAGGCCTTGTCCGGAATCATCTAGTGACCATCTCTCCGTCGGGTCTCCTCACGTGTGCAGGCGGCAAGTGGACTACGTACCGAGAAATGGCAGAGGAAACCGTGGACGAGGCAATCAACGAGTTCAACCTTACGCCGAAGGCTGTAGTCAGCCCACCGCGCGTCAGTGGTACCCAAGTCGAAGACGAAGCTCCTCTGGATGGAACGTGCCAGACGCACCGTGTCAGGCTGGTCGGTGCACACGGATACTCCAAGACGCTCTTCATCAACCTAATCCAGCACTACGGAGTTGAGACCGAAGTGGCCAAGTATCTCTGTGCAGCCTACGGCGACCGAGCATGGACGGTTGCGGCACTCTCATCCCCAACCGAGCAGCGCTTTCCTGTGCGCGGTAAACGTATCTCAACCCTCTACCCCTTCATCGACGGTGAAGTCCGCTACTGCGTGCGGCACGAGTATGCTCAGACGGCCACCGACGTCATCGCGCGGCGAATGCGACTCGCCTTCTTGAACGCGCAGGCAGCGCTAGAGGCTCTACCCATGGTGATCGACCTCATGAGCGAGGAACTGCATTGGGACACGAAGCGGAAGGAGAGGGAGTGGACGAATGCGGTAGCGTATTTGGGGAGCATGGGCCTGCCGAAGAATAAGCTGACGCTGACGAGGAAGGATGTGGAGAGTGGCAGGGTGGGCAAGTATACGGACGAGGAGTATCATTTGTATGCACGGCATGGTGAGCGATTCTACAAGCGAGGTATTTGGGTAATAAGCTGACCAAGAACAGATAAACCTGATGAGACGCTGGAGTCGGACTCGAAGTATCCGCCAGGCCATAATCCGGTCATGGGCAGCGAGTCTGGAGCGAACAAGTAGACTCAGTCCTTCCCTTCTGGATGCCCTTTGGTTGTGGAGGGTGGACCCCGTTTCCGCTTCGCGCAACATCCTATGATCTTTAATCATATTCTTCTGTCGTAGATACTTCTCCAGTACTCATTCCTCGGGCGTTCCTCTTGGATGCTTCGCCTTATTCTAGTTCGAAACAATTAGAAAACGGGCATTGGGGGGCAGTCGGCGACGCCGCATCATTCACTCCTATCGCGGAACGGCGTTTAGCAGCTGCTGAAGCGCCGAATATCAGAAACTTCGCCAGACCTGATAAGAAGCCAGACATGAATACCGTCGTTTCAATTCGTTACATCCCACTCAGGGCATTTTCTTGCATCACGGCTGGTAGACCAAAGCTGGTAGGCCTTTCCGAGAATATCCAGGACCCGCGCTCGAAACTGCATTTCAGGGCCATTATGCTATGTATATACCTTCCAACGGACTGTAATCCTCGTCGTCCACGCTCCGCTGCCTTGAGCGCGGGCAAGCTCGCTCAACTTCCCATCCGAGAAATATATGCAATGGGACTAGCTTTTTCTAAAAACCGTCCTCAGCCCCACAGAAGAACGTGAAGGCGGAAATTTCTAACGGTCCGCTGTGCTATGTATATACCTCCACGAGAAGCCGCCCCAAATCCGCATTCCGACTTCTAACCACAGGCCAGGTCGCTCAATTCCCCAACACGGCCTCCACTCTCCAACGAGATATTCACGTATCTCGCAAAAGGCCTATCTATATCTATCCTGCTCCGCGCCGCGCAACGCTCAGGTAACCAGCCAACCGACCATGCGGTCGCATATTTCGAAACAAGACAAGTCCGATCATCTTCGTTCCCGTATTACATCATCTCATCCGGCGCACCGTACGTAGTGTTTGACATCACGAGGGCGAGCTGCGGTCGCACAAAGTGCTTACGTGGTGGGTCTCAAACAAACATGAGTGAGGCTTGGTCGCACGAACCCGCGTTCAGCGCAGTCAGATGCTTATTAGGGGCCTCCGGTGCATCAAGGAAAAAAAAACCGGCTCAGAACCAGCCCAGCACGGCTTATTACCAGCGTCAGATTCCTTCTCCAGATTACATGCATGCGCGTCGGCGAGGAACTGAGTTGGAGATGAGATGCGATGCCTGTGAGGCGGCTGCATGTATGTTTCCTGCCCGATCCCGCTGCTGCAGTAAGGAAGGTTAGCAGGCGTCAGCGTCTGTGTGCCAACGCTTATGCAGCAGCGAGCAGCGGTCGGCTCAAGCTACCAGAAGCAGAAACTCCCCTCGTAGTGTTTGCATATTGCGATCGTGTATTGATTTGTGCCGTTGGTGCTTTCTGGGCACTTTACCAGATAGATTAAATGCAGCGTGTGTAGCAGCGGAAACGTTAGATTGCTGCGCATACAAGAGATAGTGGGATGGGAAGTGACACCAAATTACTGGTGTTTTGAGTGGTAGGCAGAGATAGACGGGGGAGTTAAAGCAGCAATGTGTCTGGGTTGATGGCTGTTTTCGGAGGAGTATTGTCGCGAACTGAAATGTGGTGATGCGATGGGAAGTAGGGCTGGATGGGACTAGGCCGGGTTTGGCAAGGCGTTCGCGCTAGCGAGACGACGACGTCTACCACCCATTGGAGCGACAAGTACTCTTCAATTACCTCTCCAAGCACGCGACCACACCACCATGGCGTCGCCAGCTCCTCTCGAGGTCATCGAGCGGGATGATGCTGGTAACATAGCCTCTACGTACGTCGAGTCCGCAGGTCGCGACGGAAACTCCCGGATCGACATTATCGTATGTGTAGCCTCTTCGGTTTGACCTATATGACGGGAGCGGAGCCGCTGATGGACACGGCAGCTTCCGAAAGAGACGAAGAGCTATGCGCAGCAACTGCTCGATGTGTTTCTTCCAGCGGGATATCCGCACAGCGTAACGGAGGATTATATCCAGTGCGTTGATCTCTTCCATGCGAGTTGCTGGGCGGGAGGAAGGGATGAGGGCAGCACGAGCTGGTTACACAAAGTTAACAACACGCGATCGGTGATCAGGTACCAGATCTACGTATGCTTACCTTTCTTACTCATCTTGGGAGCATACCAATTGACGGATCATTGCTCTACCAGGACTCACTCCAAGCCTTCTCCTCCTCAATAGCCGGCATGCTATCTTCACGGGCAGTCCTAGAAGGTAAGTTTCTCGTTATCGATTCATCTGTCCCTTATTGTTTCTCTTCAATATAAGATTGCAATGAGGTCACCAAGCGAAGAGTCTATCCGTGGCCCTGGGTTCGCGTCCTCAAACGCGCCGGTTCCGGGGATATATATTAATCCCGCAGGGCCGTACATTGCGTGCTCTCGTAAGAACCGCTAAAGCGGATGTCCGATACAGGAAACTGCAGGATAGATCAGTCTAGGCATTGGGGGAGTGCACAGTTTGCGTGGAGTGGTGAGCTGATGCACTTCAACAGGTGTCGGAGTCGGGGATGCGTCGGCATCTCCCACAGCTGCGCTGCTGCTCTCGGTGCTGCAGGAATCCATGGGCAGGATAGCCACGATTCTGTTTGCGCACAAGCTGGGCACGTCGCTCGAACCCGAGTGCAAGATGTATCGGCTCGCAGCGGACATCTTCAACGACGCCGCAATGATCCTAGACTGCCTGTCCCCTGCCTTCCCCAAAGCAGCGAGAGTCATGATATTGTCCTTCTCGAGCGTGCTTCGGTCGCTCTGCGGTGTGTGTGCTGGGAGCTCCAAAGCGAGCTTATCGGCCCATTTCGCGAAGCGTGGAAATCTCGGAGAGTTGAACGCTGTAAGTTCATTCGACTTTGCATTGAGTGGCGGCGGCTGTTTGATTGATTGTGTGTTGGTGTTGATATTAGATACTGGCGCCTTCATTTATTCGAACACGTGTGGATAACGGTCAGATAAGCTTAACGCTGATCTTATTTGCAGAAGGACTCCAGCCAAGAGACGGTTATATCGTTGATGGGCATGTTGGTAAGTTCTTCCCCAACCCTCTCTAATGATGGACTACCCTGCGTCGCGGTGGTTCCTTCCGATCACGGTGACACATCGGACAATCTCGTCCACTCAGCCTGTTCCGGGGAGGACATGGGTAACCAGGGTACTGACAAGCAATATAGGCTGGTAGCGTTGTCGTCTCCTGGGTGTCGTCGCCAATGGCGACCTGGGCTACCCTTATCGCTTTGTTGTCGGTCCATCTGGGAACGAACTACGCCGCTGTCAAGTCCGTGAATATGCGGAGCTTGAATCGACAACGGGCCAATATAGTGCTCAGTAATATCCTGCAGGACGGACGAATCCTCTCACCAACGGAGGTCTCGAAGAGAGAACGGGTGTTCGAGCGTGAGGGAGTGCTGCGCTGGGCCGATGACGGAATAATTGGACACTGCAGGATTGGCGTGACGATGCAAACAATGCTCGGCCATATGGGACCACGCCACGAACGGACAGGATCGCTCGACCTGCAAGCCATCAAATTGTCCGATCTCATGCGTCTCTATGAGTATGAGACATACATTCTGTGGTTTGCCCCAACCGAGGCTCTGATCGTCCTGAAGCAGGGCTGCACTCCGATTGATCAGCTCAAAGCATGGACGCAGGCTTTGTTGCTCGTTCGGAGAGAGTGGGTCAAAGCATCGGATCGTAAGCCTGACACATCTGGCGAGCGATTTGCTGAGCTGAGATCCACCGTGGAAGAGACGGCAAAGGTATTCGACACATACGCAGCACAGTTGAGAGACGTCGGATGGGACCTTGATGTCGCCGCCCTTGAGACACGGGCTGGTAAACGAATTGAAACGAATAAGAAAGCATAAGACGTACCGACACCGGGAACCTGCTGCCTAAGGAAGTACACCTGGCTACATCTCCTAGCCGTCAATGCGTCTCCGATATTTGCGAGCAAGGAGTATCCGAGACTGGCATCCACATAATGTTAGATTAAAAGTCGACGCTTCTGTTGGAGGGCACCAATATCATGATCGACGACAGCATTTCCTTGCGCCCCGTGTTTCACGGCAATTTCCAACAAGCGTCTCACTCTCAACAAGCCGGGTCGCCTCCAAAGGTGCACTGTCACCTTCCACGTTGGATGACCGCCCGTTCCGTAAAACAGGCTGTATATCCTTTACGGAGCGGTGGCCTCAGATATCGGGCTAGTAGGTTTTTGTCGACGCATGCCGGCGGCGAAGCATCTTGCTCCCGGGTCTTCGGTTCCAGTTTGCACCGGATCCAATAGAAGCTCTGTAGAAGGGTGGATGCCGTCCTGGATGCACAGCGTTGCAACACCAGACCCCCTTCGAGCTGTGACCTGGGAGTTTGTCGCGGCGGGACGGCATGGATATCGCGAACAATTATTGGGGTGGCGCGTGCAGGGCGCGGGTGCCAAGTCGCCAACTGAGATCTCCGTGATGAAAATGCGGCTAAAAGGTCATCCCACGAGGCGGTGAAGCGGGTGAAATGCACATGACGATAGTGAATACTCCACTTTCTGCCCCAAGTCCCAACCTGAGATCAGGAACGTGGGCTTGGCGGAAAATTTTCTGGCCTTTTTTCTGCTCTGTTGAAGCTTGGAGCCGCTTACTGTCGGTCGCGCCACGATGGATTCGCTTCCAGAAAGAGCCTCATCGGCCGTGCGAGGGTCAGGCGTGAAGAGATGCCGAGGGAGGCGCTCGACGTGGCCTCAACTATCACGCTATGTCACGTAAAGGGACTGACGGCCGCGTTGGTGTTGGGATGGAATGATTAAGGTGATCGACATAAGCAACTGATGCCATTTCGGTAAGCTTCTAGAAGGAATTTTCGAATGTTCTGTGCATGGAAGGATGGCGCACGGTGATGAGTGAGGACAGGGGCAGACCTGTCTGGTGGTGAAACGTCAGCCAGCACCTCACGCCCCTTCTCTCGCGCTCACAAAACAGCGACGTGTGGTGATCGGGCGAGCTGAAAGTGGTACTGCTCGGCTCCATTATTAATGAATAATGGCGTGTACAGTAGAGGGAGGCTAAGGGGCGTCTCAACAGTGGTAATCCGCTATGACTTGAGCACCGGCGGAATCTTGAGTGGATCTGCGTGGTGTTCAGTGCGTGCTGTGGGCTGTTCATAATTACCGTAATGTTCGGTCTCAGCGCTTGCCCGCATCCGACCTCAGGCAAGAGAGGAAGACTCGCGTGCCACGACCCCAGCGGTAGGGCGAGAGTCAAGAGATGTGGCCGTGCACGGATTGCAGTGCGAGCGGGGCCGGCGTGGAAGCTGTATGGAAGCCGCTACAACTGGCAGCCCGCGGCAAGGAGGCGCTGGCCTGGAGCGTTGGTGGGCGACGGCCTATGACCGCAGGGCAGAGGGGCGTTAGCGTCACGCATTGCGCCGGCGCCGATTCCTTCCTGATGCTGCACCGCAGCAACCGATGGCATCATCGCCTGGGACGATTACTCTTTGTCCGCCCGCCGCCTGTGGTGGCATCTGCTCTTATTGTTGTTGTTGTCGCAACACCGCGCAGACAAAGACCCGCGCATCGCCATCTCAAAGCAGATCGCCCGGGTGGTAGGGCGGTTTAGCGTCCGGCCGCCGTCGAGACGGTCGTTTGCGGCCGAGACTGGGGAGCGCCGGTGGCCTCAATGGGACAGACGCAGCTGCCCACGGGCTATCGTGGGCCCGAAGAGGAAGCACAGAGGTGAGTCGGGCGCAGTAGGGGGGAACAGGCCGCGCCAGGCGCCAAGGCGTAATTTTGGCGGCCTGTCCGCTTAAGGGCCGGGGGCGGACGACGGCGCAGATTGGTAAATTACTGCGACGGCGGCCCTGGACACGAGCATGCAGCGGTCTGCAGTGACACCAGCGCTCGGGAGCGCTGCGATGCCGTCGTCTGGCTGCTGCGTGCGCGACGAGATGTGCTGTCGCCCGGCGTCTGCAGCATGGGCAGTCGAGACGGCGGCGCAGTGGCACGGCGGGCGACGCGCTGGCTGCGACAGCGCTCGTTGCTGGTGCGCGGTGGCGACTGCCCCCCGGCCAGGGCTCCATTTTTAAGGAGCGTTTCAGCGTTAGCGCTCGCGCTAGAATTCTTCGTCTTCTCCATCGAAGGCAGGCACGGCCAATGGCCCGCGGGGGCGCTCCTGCCGCTTTAAGGGCACGGCCGCAGCGCACCTGCCCTCACCAGGCCCGCTCCTGCTGTGACTCTCGTCGCTCTGACATCGACGCCATTCCTCTTCCACCCATATCGCCAACCCGACCGCAGCGAACACGCTCCGTTGTGGGCCCTGGTCTCTGCTGACCTGACCCATCCATCACCCATCACCCATCCGCCAAAGCTTAGACGCTCCGCGCGCTCCTCAAAACCACGCTGAGCCGCACCTGCTGCAGCCTTCTCTCCGTCTTTGACTCCTGCGTGCCACCCCTCCTGTCTTACCTCCGCCGTCACAGCCCGCCCTCTGCGCCTCTGCTCTGCAGCCTGCTCTGTGTACAATACCAATCCGCTCCCCTCGCGCGCCCGGCCCCTCCTAGCGCCCTTCTGCACCCTCCCGCCGTCCTGCTGCCGGGCCTATATAGGCGTGCCACCGTAACCTGCCTCTCCCTCGATCGACCCTCGGCCGCCTGCGCTGTCTAGTCGACACGCAACCCGCTCGCTTCTGCCGTGCCTCCGTTCGAGAAGACGCTGCAGAAGAGCAAACTTCGGGAGATCCTCGCGCGACCACCGGATCACGCCTAGCCGCAGCCTCCACGCCGCCCACTGGCTAACCCGACCGATCGTACGCCCTCTGTCCTACCACCACCCGCCAGAAGCCCTCGATGCCCCTGCTCTCGCGGTAGCACCTGTCCACGTTATTGTCTTGCCACTTGGTTCTGTGCGAACCTTGTGCCACGCTCCGTCAAGCTGGCGCAACAATTCCGCCCTCAATTCTGTTCCTGCGAAGCCTTCGACGGCCAGAGGAGAAATAGCGCGCGCCGGGTGTACAAACAGCTGCGGAGAAGTGTCATGAATTCACGGAATACCGGAGGCCAGGCCTTATCAATACGAACGGCTTCCTCGACCGCCTCTTCCCCCACCTCGTCTACGGCTGAGCCTGAGGACGACGAGAAGATGACCATGGCCGAATACCACCCATCATCGCGGCCCCTGACCGTGTCAATACCTAAGAGCATCAGCTCTCAATGCACCCGAAGACCGGGTCTTTCCGAAATCCTTGCCAATACCGCACCGCCGCCATATACGCTAAGCTCCTTCATGGCCTTTCTGTCACAAAACCACTGTCTGGAGAACCTGGAGTTTACCATGGACGCATCACGATACCGAAAACACTACTCAAAGATGGTCAATCGCCACCCCGGAAGCCCAATATCACCCCTCTCAGATGAATGTTCTTACGTACTCATGCTGTGGAGGCGGTTAATAGACGCATACATTCGCGAGTCAGGTCCACGAGAGGTGAGTAATAACCGCTTTTGCCACGAACGCTCTTTTTCCTAACTTGACCAGGTCAATCTTCCCGCCGATGTGCGAGATACTCTCCTGAATCTCTCAGAGTCGTATGTTCCGCCGCACCCATCGGCATTGGACGAAGCTGTTTCTAAAATCTACGAATTGATGGAGGAGAGCGTACTGGTATCATTTTTGAACTCCGCTTCTCCCCAAAGCGCCTATCCGACCACAACCGGCCATGAGAGTCATGACTCTAGTCTGACGCGCTCGTCCACGCGCAGCTATGACGAGCGTACCATCTACCACACCCGCACTCATCCACACGCTCCCAGTCACCAGCGGGCTTCTGCACCATCGTCGCTTACCTCCAACTTCATGCATCCTCGACCATTTTCTCACTCCCGCTTCAACTCTCAGCCTGCAACCTCAGCAGGCTCGACATCAACCCGTGTGACACCTGGCTATGGCAGTGGCAGCGACGCGTTGACGGACGACTCTGGCAGCGGAAGCCCATCCGGTATGAGCGATCCTCTCACTCCCCCTGGAACCCCTCCCATGAGCGACTATCCAATGTCCGACTTCCATCAAGCGTACTACGAGAGCGGATCAAACAGCGGTACGCCAAGCCCAAGGACAAGCCGGGGAGAACACTCTGGCTTGGCGAACGCAACCAGGGACAGCTGGAAGCGCGTAAGCAGCAAGCTGTGGCCGAAAAAGAGAAGTGGAGGTCACCTGCGTGAGGAGGAGCAGGGAGTTGTTGAAGGGGGTCTCTTCTAATTCGTACTCTTACCCGTTTCTCGGGTCTCCACATACGCAACGGGCTCCCTCCTCCGGGCCGATTTCATCTTCTATTCGCAATGATCCGGTAGAGCCTCAACCGGATCGAAAGCAGACATGATTACGACCGTGCGATATCAGAGCGACCTGCATCTTGCATTTGGGCTGCATACCCTGGCGTCACTTCGATTTCCATCACTCCAACATTCAAGGCGCATTGGCGAACTTGCGACCACCACCGCTGGGTGGTTTTCAAATCTTGATCGGACATATTCCAACTAGACATGGCGTTTGCAAAATTATTCGGGACTCGGGGAAGGATATCATTTGCTTTTCAGATACACCAGCCCTCACCGGGCGGGTTCGGGAACGGCGTTTCTGACACTGATGGCCGGTTACGGCGGGTCTGCATCTTCCTTTCGCTGATATCATGACGACTGGGATATACGGATTGGATTGGGCGGTTTTTGACTTTATTACTTGTATATTTTGCGGTTGTTAATCTTCTGGAAGGGGATGTTGTTGAGACGATGGTGGATTGAAGTTATATCCCAGTCGCACTCGATGAGGCGACCAATGGAACATTTTCCTGTCCGGTCGATTCAGAGAATGTATTCAATCCCTTCTGCGTGAAGTCCAAGAATTGCTTCCGTATCCTCACCGAAAATTAAACGCTCGTTTGAAGTCCCGGCAATTGAGTTCCCCTAGCCGGATGCCTTCTAGTATGGACCTCACTGGCGGTGAAGACTGTACCACATCACAACTTCATCCTCCGTCCTCCCGGATCCTGGAAGAATCCGAGCCCGAGCCGTTGCGTTGCATGTACGGTACCTTTCTTCTCATGCCACATGCTCAGAACAGCAATGCAGCCCTAGGTTTTCTTCCACATACGCAACGTGCCATAATTATAGCAACCGCAATTTACCGGGAGAACAAGCTACCCCAAAAGTTACCAATCGCAGCGGATAGCTCTACCCGCGCAATGGGGATGGAATTCTCGCTACCGCGTGTGGGATCAAGCGAGAGTGTTGGTGGCGTCCGTCCGGTCGCACCGTACCGCGCGTATGCGCGTGCTGCTCCAGTAGGATTTCGCTATATCCGGAAGCGGAATGAGCGAAGTTAGGACGGGAGAGCGGAATACGGGTATGTGTTGGGTTGCATGGGGAATTGTATGGGGTGCATATGTAGGCGCGCGTGGTGTTGTGGAGGGGCATGGTGTTGGTTGGGGTTGGAGTTGGATTCTAGGTGTTGGGGAGCTTTTCCAATGGCGTGTTCCGGGGAATGGGATATGGAGGGCCTGAAAATAGGGAGCGGCGGTTAGAGACGAGGAAATAAGGCTGACCGGTGGGTGAGGATTGTTGGAGTGTGGTGGATGGGTGGTTGCCTTGGCGGCTAGAGGGGCGGTAGGGCTCTGCAGGTTGATGGAAGGCTGTTTACTGTGCCGCATTTACGAGGGTTCTGGAATGGTAGCACTGCGCATGCGCCGCTTCTAGTGATTACTCGCAGGCTAATCATGCTTGGGCGGTATGCCGTGCACTTTCTTCGAGGTGGAAAGTGTAGAGTGAGCGCTCGTCTTGGCATGTAGCTACAACACTCCTAATCCTCTCCCTAGAATAATGTCCATACCTCCACAGCTACCTCTTCAGTTTCTTTACCGTACACTGTGATAAGAAGTACCTCGGTACAGTAGCTACACAATTTTTATCAGCGGCAATCGCGCACCGCTGTCCATTAAATGCGGGTAAAACTCCCCGTTTCAGATATCAACCCGGCACTGCCGTTTGGGACCTGTAACGGCGGATGATCCGAGCACACCCAAGAGCGGAGCGCTGCGGAGAAACGGTAGTTTCCGATGTCAAAAAGGGCGGCTAGATTGAGTGTTTCGAGGACGCGCGTTTGGGTGTTCTCATGACAGCCTCTGGAGGGTGGCAATTAGGTCGACGAGCCTGAGGCGCGGACGTTGATACACAGAGCTCGGCGAGGCTGAATTCCCTCAGTCGACGCTTTGGAAAAGGCGACTGATACGCCGCATAAGCAAGCTTCTCAATGGTAGACAGAGACCCACCGCAACACGGTACAAAGCTCAGCCGTGCTTCATGCTTCCCAATCAGGCAGCAACCTCTCTTCTCTCCATCACGACATTCCACGCCCTTCCGCATGCGCCGCTTTTGCCCGCCAAGTAGCCTCTCTGCATCTACACGAAGTCGCTCCACCATCGACCCCATCTGTCGGGCCCATCGCCTGCGTATTCAGCCAACCCAACCGAAACGTCCACGCATCGCATTTCAAATCATAGTCACGATGCCTCTGTCTCTCCGCGGCCGTCCGGTCGGGATGCCGCTTCACCGACTGGGCTGGCGGACACGATCATAAACGAGATGAAGAGAACCGGGTAATAGTGGTGAGCGCCCGTACTCGGTTGGGAGAGAGTGGAGCTTCGGTTGTGGTTGTGGTTTCACACGATAGCTTAACACGGAGGGGTGGTGGAGTGAGAGCGATGTGTGTGATTGGTTGGACTGGATCGGGGGGAAGGGCGAGCACGAGGGCGGGGTGGCTTGGTGGATCTTGGAAATCAACGGTTTGTGTTACCGTGGGTTTCCTATTGGAGATGTTGCGATCGGAGGGGTTGCACGTGGATGGGATTCGAGAGGGATTCTGGAATGTTGGGCTTACGCGGTGACGTGGTTGTGGATGACGAGCTAGAGGGGGTCGAGTGAGGTGATGTCGTTGTGCATCGTGATAGTGCATCCATTCTCCTGTCGTCTGCCTAGGAGAAGCGGAACTGCCTCAAGAGTGAGTCGTGGCAGATTGATGCTATCACTCGCTGCCCCCAAATGGTGAAACCACACTCTCCTATCCAGCAGTCATCTAAGCAAACCCCAAGCCTGAGGTCAATTTTGCCTCCCTCCCCACTCCCTATCATACAAACTATCTGTACAAACTATCTTGCTTAGCCCACCATACCCCAAACAGCGCAGGGCAAAAGCAGCAATACATGATCGCCCTCTAGTCCGCGGCATTCTGACACCACACCCCTTCTATAGCCCCATAGCGCTCACGCCTACCCCGCCAATATCTCGCAATACCCTCCTACCATTCGCCAACCGCCCTACCCAGCGGGAGATAAACCATTAATGCCCCGGAACTTGCCACTTCCTAAATGAACCCATCTGCCCATGCTGATGTCACTATCAAAACTGCCGCGGACCGCCGATCACATGGCCGATCAGTAAACTCGCTCGCGAGTAGACGAACGAACGACCCATAGCATCGGAGATATACGCCTTAAGAGTAGTCTACCAGGTACTGCTGGGTCGGTTAATTTACACGGGTCTTGTTCAAACCGGGTATTGCTGTAGACTAGGCCGCGAAGAGAAAGCGAGTAATTTACGACGCGAGGCGTTTAATATCCAGCAAGGCTGAGAAGGGAAGGTGAGCATATCAACTCCATCAACTCCTCGAAGTCACGATAAAATCGAGATTATGGGTAGAGGTGTAATTGGTGGGGTTCTGGGAATTTTCTGGGATAAGAGAGGAAAGAGGGTGCGTGACACGCATCCACTACTATTTACCATGGGCGTATGTTTCGATGGATAATGGCGATGACGCTAGTGGTGATATTTTTGACACGAAATTCTGATGCTTTTCGCAGGAGTACTCCGACTACAAACGGCGCCACGCAGAGCTCACTCCATCCTCCCCTTTCACCGATGGATAAACACTGCTGACGAAAGGATCCATCATCCGTCAAACTACAGCCGGTACGTCGGGTACCGCCCCAGCAGTATGGCTGGTACAGCGCTGCAGCAGCCGAGGAAGCGTTGCATATAACCGGACGCGAAGAAGTCATTTCCTGGCTACGGAACCAACAAGTCCCGGGTTGCCACGACTGTCCCACGTCTCTGGTACATTGCCATTGAGCTACCGCATCTTTGGATTCGTCGCCTGGATGATCATGTGTGCCCATCTGCCGTGCTGGATATATTGCCGACGTGGGAGGTAAATGAGGAGAGCGGGACGAGAGAGATAGATGAAGAGAAGGTGAGGTGGTCGATACCGCAGCGGGGTTAAGAGAGGAGCGAAGCGAGCGTGCCAAAAGCTGACGACTGATCCGATATGGGCAGGGTTGGGGGTATTTTTGGGTCGGTGATCGTATCTCTCCCACGACGGCGGACGGGTAAAAGCAGCAATTCCGTGGCTTCGCGGATATCGCGCCGCGAAAGGGCTAGGGCACGTGGGAGCCCGCCGTTTGACGACATGTCGCTCCGGGGAAGACTTCCTCTGAATTGGTGCGTTCTGCAAAGCGCTGGATTCGGAAATAGAGAAGAGGAGGACGTCTGCTAGCATTAGAGGGATATTTTCATTACCGGCTAACATTGGTATCATAGAAACGTGTTCCCCCCGATGGGGCTCACGCATTTGCCCTTCCTCGCTGCCTTCATCTCGGCATACAATGCTGGGTTGATGCCCTTCTTCTTGCATTTCTTCAAGTCCGCGTCGCTTAGGCCTCTTGTGTCGTAGCTGCTCGCTTTCCAATCCTTGCTGGACTGCGACTTGTGCGATATGCTGCCACCTTCCGAGGAAGGATACCCCACTTCAGACGGTCGGCCGGAGGATATGGTCATGATGGAGCTCGAGGAATTGGTCCGCATGGACCGTTGATCAATTGACACTCTTTTCTCTATCTCAAGATGTTCTGGTAGAAGCAGTGGCTCTTCCGATTTGCCGGGCTTGAGTTTGCGAAACATGGAGCTGACCGAGTGCTTATTTGAGCCGTTGGATCGCAAGGTAGACTGTACCGAGCTGGAGTCCGAGGAGTGCGCCAGCGAGGGTGATGACGGCGCGCTTGGCCGCTCCAAAGAGCTGTCTTCCTCCAGAAATATGGAACTTGGTGGCGACATCTCGGCATCAGGGTAGTCAGGCTCGTCCCGAGGGGTTTCGTCTTGGGTCGACGCGGTTGTCGTCACAGACTCTATCGTCTCCAAGGAGCTCCATCGCCGCAGGCTCGGTGGGAGGCGCGAATTGCTACGATATGATAGTGGCCGTTTTGGGTTGCGGTAAGGAACGGGGTTCGGGCGCCGGAGCAGCTGCTCCTTGAACGGATGCGAGTAGTTCCTGGGAGGTCGCGATGTCTTCAAAGGCTCGGGGCGCAACCTGAGCGGGCTTTTGGGGGGAGGAAGAGGTGCTGAGGGTTTGCTGAAGCCCGCCGAGGATGATGAGCCGACGGAGGCAGGTTGTCTTCGCTGTATCGGCGGTGGTGCCGCTAACGTGCTCTGTAGAGCCATGGCTTGCCTGGGGGAGCGACGAATTGGCGGGGGAACGGCGTCGTCCGGATCCATGGTTTACAAGCAAATGTTCAGCGGTGCGGTAAGTGATGGGACGGATACATTCAGAGGCTGGATCACGCGCATGGCGGGGCCTGATGTCGGCGGGTTGGATGACGATAGAATCGCCAACCGTGTCCGCTAACGCGCTGCCTACTGTTAGTGTGCTCCTTGACTGACATCACTGCGACGGCTGCCATTCCGGTTGCTGGGCGGCAAGGCTGGCTGGACATATCGAGACGGGTCGGTGCGATGGCAGGTATATCCCTCCTGCCGGCGAATCGTCGGTCCACTCATGGCGGCCAGCGCTCGACGGCCGGAGGATCGATCTAGAAGGCGGCGATGGCGCGTTTCTCCGGGGGCCTGGTATTCGTCAATGGCCCGCGTGGCCGTAGCTGGTGCCCAGGCGAGCCGTTTGAAGCTTGTCCAACGGCGCCGCTCACGTGCGCGGGCGGCGGCTCAGCAGGGCGGAGCGACGGCAGGGCGGGTGGTGTGGTGTGTTACAGAAGCACTGCGGGCGCGACGCGGATTCAGGCTGTAGACGTGGCTGCGGCTCGGCGAGAGGTCGAGTGTCGTGGTTGGGTTTTGCGCGGGCGGGTTCCTGACGCTCTGGGGCCCGGAGCGGCCTAGCGCGACCAGGGGGGCCTCCAACCACCACGCCGAATGCTCCCTTCGTGCTTCACTGCGCTGTCCTCTCCCCTCCGCCGCGAGCACCATGAGCAGCGGCCAGCCGGCAGCCTTCGCCCGCACACGCTCCCCCCGCCGCCGCAGCGCACGATGAGCAACGACGTGCCCACGCCCATCTCGGACGAGGAGGTGGTGGCCCTCGCCAAAGCCGCCTTCGAGCAGTCCCGCGAGGACATCACGCACCGCGCCGTCGCCGACACGCCCAATGCCCCGCGCGAGCTGCAGCAGCAGCAGCCCGGCATCACCATCGACCTGGGCCACAAGAGCATTGCCCGCCTGCCCGACGAGGTCATCGATGTCATCCGCGCCGAGATCGAGAGGTGAGCCCGTCTCCGCCCGTGTACCGCTGCGGTACCTCGTGCCGACCCCAGGCGTGGCCGTACTGACTGCCCCAGGCTTGCCCTCTCCCACAATCTGCTCGCGACGCTGCCGCAGCGCCTGGTGGAATGCAGGCGCCTCCGCTACCTCAATGTGCGCTACAATGCCATGCGCGAGATCCCCGATTGCGTTCGTCCGCCCCGCCCCCAACCGCGCCCTTGGCCGCAGCTGGCAGCAGTACTGATGCAGCCCAGATCCTCGACATGACCTCGCTCGAGATCCTCGACGTCAGCAGAAACAAGCTCAGAACCATCCCGCCGAAAATTGCAAACCTGACTTCGCTCAAAGTGCTGGCAATCGCCAAGAACAAGATTGAACAGCTCCCCGTCTGCTTGGGCGAGATCAACAGCCTGCAGGTGCTCAAGCTCGACGGCAACCAGCTGGTATTCCCCCCGCCAGAGATCTGCACCATCCGGAACAATGCTCCCTCGCCGGCGAACGAGAATGAGCGGGATGCTGTCATTGCTACCCAGGTCAAGCGCTTCATGCGGCAACATGCATCCAAGGAGAAGCAGCGCGCCGAGCTAGAACGACTGCGGGTCGAGTCTTCCGGCGATGAGAGGTACGTCCCTCATTCGTTGTGATCCTTTCCGCTGACCACAGAAAGCTGGACCGAGAGCAACCCCGAGACTCCACGCCCGTCGAAGCGCTTGAATGGCGGCAGGTTCCCCGTAAAACCTAGCATCAGCAACATAGAAGGCTTCCCAGAAGGCCGGCCCGATTCCCCCGGCGCACCGCCCGCGATCCCCCCTCGCTCCCACTTTCGCGTCGCCTCCCAGACCAACGGACTCTCCCGTCGACCTCAGATCTCGCCCCTGATATTGACCAACGGTGCCAATGAGAGGAATCGGAGCCAAAGCGAGGGAGCTGGCTCGGCCAGCCATCGGCAGAAGCGCATGGGAATCTACACAAACAAGACTTCGGAGCTGGGGTCGGTGGACGAGTTGAAGAGGACAAGCCACTTTCGTGGATTCAGTCAGGGCTATGTCGTGCCCAGTAATAACGTCGCTAATGGCTATTCAGGCCCGGCGACCGCTGTCGGCTACGGCGACACTGGCACCGTACGATCGCTCGCGAACCGTCCCCTATCAGATGTCCGCGAGCACAAACGCGGATCACGCGCCCCAGACATCGTCGTTGAAGCCTCGAAGAACTTCCTCTACGCCGTCTCTCAGCTACACGATTGCGTTTCGCACATGATGCGCTCAATCAAAAGGAGTGGCCCGACAAAGGACGGCCTTCGCCGAAAGGAGGACTTCTACCGCCGATACTCTACCACGTATCTGAACATCCGTGCCCTAAACGAGGTTCTCCACCGGTATGATATGCTCGCCGAGGAGGACGAAGAGGATGCGGATAAACTTTCCAAATCGGTATATCAGTACGCCCTGCGGTGTCTTGACTCTTTCCTGGCTGTCAGCCTATCAATCGCAGAGAATCGGGTAGAGATATCCCAAAACTCGGACCCACGCATTGTCCGGACGTTTCTCTTCCTACAGCAAGGCAGCCTTGTAGAGATGAGGAACGCGTGTTCTATTCTTGGTGCGGAATTCCGGGACACGACAATGGCTTCCCGGAGGCCAAGCGGCATCGATACAGTCGCTACGGTTCGGGCACGGCCGTTTAAGATCCGACGATTCCAGACATCGCCGCCTCAGCGCAATGGGACATATCAGATTCCGCCGCCTGTCATCCTTCACAGCAACGACAATAGTAGAACAAACACCTTGACGAGCATCATCGCTGCCACACCTCGCTCCGGCGAATCGTTCTCCACTTTAGCAACGACTATGTCGCGGACGAACACGCTCACAAGTAGCTTCGACGAGGCGGATGAGGATGCTCAGTTCGACAGGATATACTCAAAGCTGAGGATGGCATGCGATAATTGCCGAAACTCCATCCCCCAGATTCTACGGCTCCTCAAAAACACATACGACCTGTTGAGGAGGGACCTGGATTCAGAGCATCCGAGACTCAAGGTCCTAGGAGGCTTGATTGAGAAGAGCAACGAGGTACAGGAGATGACCATGCCATTGGCCAGCCGCCTCTCGCAGATGCAATTGAAGGACAGCTATACCCGAAGCCAGCCCGACTTCTGGCAGCAGTGCATGGGTTTCATAAAGGTTTGTTTCACTGTTTCGCACGTTTCGAGACGATCAATTGGCTAACGTGTTTCAGGCGTGGGGCGAACTAGCAGCGGCCAGCACGGGACAGGGTCGAAACATGGGACTCTTGAGCCCCGAGGTAAAACAATTGATGAAGCCGCTCCACAAAACGGTCAAGGATGCAAGCCTTGCCATAAACGACTCGCCCTGGTCGCATCTCACGTCGAATAACCCCGGTCTTGTGGGTCCGCCCTCGCTTGCCTCCTTCACGTCTCGGACTCAGCCGCCGAAGTTTCTCAACAAGCCTGTTATGACTTCCGGCGGTGGGTCGTCTTTCCCCGGTCCGATCAATACGTCCATCACTTCAGTCTCCTCGGCTTTCTCTCAACCGTACTCCACGAGCAGTCTCGGGTCTCAGGGCTCCGCTGGATACGTGACGCCGGTGCCAGCGACGCCGCTGAGCGCAGCCCTAGGTGCCGCTGCGCAGGCAACAGTTCCCAACACTCCGAATCATCCGCCTGTTCAACCGTCGAGCACCATCAACGTCTTCGAACGAGCGGACAGGCTCCTAAGTCAGACCGCCCGGCGCGTTTGACATTCAGTTCATCAAGATATGAATCTTACCAGGGTCCGTTGACGAAACCCATTCTGTACTATATACTACTGGGCTTGAATAGCCTGTCCGTTCCTTCTTGAAATATGCAACATATTAGCGACGGCGTTGGCTAGGTGCACTCTCTTTTGCGCTATAATCTGTTTTTCTTTGGCGATGCATGGGCCAAGGTGTTACGATGTATTTGGGATAAACGGTCTCGAAATCGGGGCATTTATGGAGTTATCCGATGGTCAGCAGAGGCATGTTTAATTGCGATGATAGATGAGGGAGCTGTGAGGATCACTTTGACTAGGAACAATCATTCATGTAGGGATACGTGGGGAGGTGCAAGTCTAGTCAGTACCGATCTCCTGTTAGAGCTAGGGGACAATATACAGTGTACCGAGCAGCAGAGCATATCGCTTTTCCAGTTACCTTGGAACGAAGGGACATCATACTTGAAGGATGAAAACTGCACCAAGGCTGAACGATTGGCTTGTCAAGGCATGAACCCTCCGTCGACTCACGACCGGCGCTCTGCACCATCGGCAGGTGCACAAGCCGATCGCGAACGGAACTCAGATTCACATGTCTATGCTTCTATATCTATCTAGGGATCGCATGAACGCCTGCGCTATCGGGCTCGAACGGTCCATCCACATTCACTGCATCTGCTACACGAACACTCTCGTATCGCGTCGCACCGAACCACACCGAACCCGAACCCGATCACTCCACCTCCAGCGTCTCTCCCAATCCAAACATCTTGATCGAGTTACGCCACGCCCTATATAGTTTGCGTTAGTGGCACGCTCATCACTCCACTCTCAGCCCAGCTGAAGCCGCGGCCCAGCCTAGCTCACGAGGCCGAGCAACACCGCTGTCGACCTCGCCGAGTGCATTGACGGGGAAACGGGAAGCTTCAGGAGCTACTAGTAGTACTTACGCTTCGCACACTTCCTCCACAGTGACGCCTTTTATCTTGGCGATTGCGTGCGCGACGTGTGGGATTGTGGCGGGCTCGTTGCGGCCCTTGACCATGAGGCCTTTGGCGAACTTTTCTTTTTTGACGGCGCGCGGCAGGGGCGGCGCGTCGGTGAGGTAGGCGGCGGAGGCGTGGGAGGGGCGCATTTCGCACTGGGGAGTGGGTTAGTAGGGGCCGAGGCCGAGGGGAAGGGGAAGGTGTGAGAGTGTTAAGAACGAGAGAGTTGAGAGCGCGAAAGTTCAAAATGGGATAGTTGAGAGTTGGAAAGTTAAGAATGGGAGAGTTAAGAGCGAGAAGGATGAAAGTAAGAGGAATAGAAGTAAGAAGGATGGAACAGAGAGGGATATGAGGAAGAGGCTTGGGATAGCTTACCCAGGGTCCGTCAGTCTCAATCTGGAGATGGGTGAGCGGGATTTGGCGGACTACTTCGATGTTTTCCTCCGCTGTAATACAGGTGTTATCTCTATTTTAATAGCAGACGAGGTCTGGGAGGAACTCACTTTTCATACTGCACCCATTAACCCCGATATCAAACCCCATACCAACCACTCCCAGCATCTCCTCGACTGTCCCAGTAAAGCTATGGACGAGCCCCCGCTTCGGCAGCTCACCCAGCCTGTCCCGCAGCAACCTCTCAAAGTCGTCAGCCGCGGCCCGCATATGCAGAAAGAGCGGGAGCTGAACTTCGACCGCGACGTCGAGTTGGGCTTCAAAGTACTTGAGCTGCGTTTCCTTGACGGTGAGGAAGAGCCTGTCGTAGTCGAGGCCGATTTCGCCGAAGGCGACGACGTGGCCGGATGCTTTGGCGGAGAGGGCAAGGTCTTTGAGGGCAGAGAGGAGGGCGCTGGGGCCCCCGGGATAGCTGTCGAAGTGCTTTGCGGAGCAGGGGTGGACGCCGACGGTTGCGTAGCAGAGGCCGACTGAGAAGTGTTAGCATAGCTCATGTCGAGTAATAAGGGCGCGAGCTGGAATGTTGCATGAGAAGGTATCTGAAATCCCCAATGGAAAAACGCAGAGTGTATAGTACATGAAATTAATGAGTTGACTTACGATGCGCTTTGGCTATTTCCACGGCATGCTCCGACTGCTTGAGGTCTGAGCCGGTCACCATGAACTTCTTGCACCCGGCTTCTAGTCCGCGTTGAAGGACGTCATCGAAGTCATTTTCGTGCTTCTGAGTTCCGTGATACTCTCCGCGAAAGACGGGATCGGTGAGGTTGATGCCGATCTGCTGTACGTTAGGAGGAAGTCACGGGCTTGAAGGGGGCTCGCGGACCGACATCGACATAGCGTAGTTGAGTAGCATCGGCCCCCATCGTGAAGGAGCTCAATGACCTTGCTGTATTACAAGCACTTTTTCCTGCACGACGTTAATGTCGATTCAAGGTGGAATATAAATGGTTACTTGTGGCGTACCGAAAGGGTGCACTTGCTGCGGATTGGCGCACTTGCTTGCCTGAAGACGGAGGCTCAACAGATGAGGCTGCCGTATGTGAGCTGCAGCCTTTTGTCTGACGCTTCGTGAAATGGAGACTATGCACATGTGATGGCTTTGGTTGTGGAAACGCAGGAGGTCATCGAAGAGCTGGAAGGATATTTTGGGCTAAGCTCTTTTGGGACTAGCTAGGTCCCCTGCGCCACACTAATTCAACGACACAATGACTTGCTTTCAGCATCTCTCCCATTCAGGGACTCTAGCAAACCTCATCTGTGCGACTTCTGCGCTTTCTCACGGCATATGTTGCTCTTCCGCAGACGATAGCAGCGAGGCGACGAATCTGACGGACGGAGCGTCTTTAATCCGAGCCGCCGCTTCTCGAGCCGGCAGCTCAAAGCAGACTTCGTATCCGCCACACCCACAATCAGTCCTCGCGCTTGGCGAACAACTGTGCAAACTGTGCAACATGTCACTCCAGAACGTTTGGCATCATCGGAAGGTCGCCGAAGGCTCAGGCAAGGCTTGCTGGATCTGCTACAAGCCATCGACAAGCGTCCTGATCACGCCAGACAAGAAGGTATAATCCTCAACGGAGGGACTAGCAATACTAATGCTCATATAGCGATAGGACTTCTTCTATATATGTGTTGGTCATCTATCGGACAGGGGATTCTGTCAGCCCGATGCTGATGAGGCGGCGGCGGCAGCTACCCGCAAGAAGAAAGAAGAGCTCGATCGCGAGATCGAGTTGGTCAAGAAAGAGTACGAGGAGAAGCAAAAGTTGAAGCGCGAAAAGCGCAAAGCTAAGGAGAAGGAGAAGGGTAAAGGGAAGGATAAAGACGCAAAGAAGACGGAGGATGAGGAAGACAAGGAGGACGAGAAGTCGAAGGACGACAAGGTTAGATTCCCTTCTCACCGCATTCAACTTGCCGGTTACTCATTGGTGTCGCAGATAAAGGAGCTCTCCAAGTCGAAAGACCAGGCCGAAGTCGATCTGGGGCCCCGCATCTTCACGTTGAACAAGTATGTTTCCTCAAATCACCGTTTGCCCATAGTCTCTCACCCTAACCGTCCTTTCCGCTCGTGCTCAATACTAAACAGCAAAGGAACTTCTACCAGATGCGAGTCGACAGGATACGCAATGCCGAGATCGCGAAGAGGAACCGCGAAAGACTAAACAACCCCGCGAATTTCCCGTCTCCACCCAGCGGCATTCCTTGACGCACCACGTGCGCTTCAAATTCAAGATATCATTGGATTGACACACATACTTTTCAATCTTGACTCGGTTGTTCTCTCAATTAGCCATTTTCGAGCGGGGGAGTGCGGTCTTGGCATTTTCGCGCTTGCTCACAATTTGCCTAGACCGGCCAGTAGTGATCGGATTACCAGCGTCAGCCTTAAAGGGCGCTCTACAGATGCAGACTGCGGTCAGCAATTAGCTGCCGGTCAACCACGTTTGCCGGAATCTCACAGGATAATACGGCCGGAGTTGGTCCGTTCTAGAGATAGCTTTGTGGCAGCACTTGCAGCCGCTTCTGTATTGTTGGATGCCCGCTGACCACATTCTTTGGAAGCACGTTTGGCCCTCCGCATTTCGCGAAGCGTGTAGCCGTGCGTTGGCTTCGAAGATCAACTATCAGCTCCACTTAGTCCTCCTAGCGAACCTAGTTGCAATCATTATCTCTAGCGTTGTCATCTTGCTCGATCAAGTCGCCAGAGCAGCATACAGGATACCGACAATCACCATGACGGAGGCCCAGAGGTCACCTTGACGTTGGTTGGACATCTTGACCTCCCTACCGATCGCTCGTGCAGCCTCCATATCGCGGCAAACGCTGCACGATGCACAAAACATTGCCATACGCTCTACTTCCGGTAATCCGTCCTCCTCTGACGCTACTCCGAGGAAAGCCAGCGTTCACGAATCAGCAAGTGCGAGCGACTCACCGATACCCTGTCCCACCGGTATCCGACAGATGTGATCCGTGCTGACTCGAGTTTCCGACGTTCGCCAGACAAAAGCACTGTCTGTCATACAAGATAAGCGGCAGTATTGCTCGGTCTTGGCGAACCGCTCAGCTGCCAGCACGTCACAAGCTTTCTCACCGCTCATACATAAGGTCGACGGACTGTTCATGCATGCAGTCCAATCATCGTAGCCACGATGACTGCTCCGCATGTCCACACAGACTCACGCGCATGAAACACATCTGTTACCCGACGCTAAGACCAGACGAGCGGAACGGCAGCAAAGCTTTGGGCAACTCTTGGTATCCTGGACATTGGAGTACTCCGCCGGCAAAGCTTTCCATTTCCAAGATCGTAAAACGGAAGTTGCCCATGCCCTGCAGTCCCCGTCTGCATCCGCTTGCTCTTAACCGTCGTGTCTCCAGCTTCCACTTTGGAACTTGCTTGCAGCTTGCAGCTGCCCTGAGTTCGATCTCTTGGCCTGCTTGGAATACACCATTCGTTGAATCTAGCTTCCGATTGTCCAGGGAAGATCTTGCGACACCGATCAAGGTTTGGCTACAGCTTTATTCCTTCAGGACTCCGAGTACGGCGCTCAAATATGCATCCCTATCTGCTACCAGGGTCCATATAGCCCGGTGAAATATTGCCATGAATGAAAACCAGCGAACAGGGTTATATAGTTGCTACCTATCGGAAAGAGAACCCTCTCCGCGGCTGTCATTTGCCTTAAAACGCACGAGATACGGCATTCATCCACAGTAGATCGCTGCTTTGGTTCCGGATGCGCTCCATGCCCATTTCCCCAATCCAAGACTACCATTGTGCCGTCTATCCGGTCCCGTGAACGGCCCGTTGGTCAAGACGGGAGACGGCTCTCTTGCAAGGAGAATTTCTCTGCTCAATGTTCTCCAGGCATTTGAACAACGAAGTGGGGTCTTCGCAGCCGAGCGGATCGGCGAGCATCGTCCCTCACTCAGCAATTCGCTTCATGATCATTCACTAAGCCCTGAGTCTAGTTCTCTCTCTAGTGGAGGTGCGGTCGATATCGATGGCGGTAACTATGCCTAAATGGCTACAACATGCCAAGAACCCACCGCGTTATATACCGCAGAACCACATCAAACCCTTCCAATTTCTTTTCACATATTGTCTCCAGGCTAGTCATTCCCAACACTTGAAGACTCGGACATCACCAAACTAAGTCCTTGTCCCCGCAAAGTCAAATTTTGCGTCTTCCCGTAAAGGATAGGCGTGGGAGCGGGAAGTCGTCAGCAACAGCAAGCCCTACCCGCTTTAGCCAGCCCTATACAAACTGGTGTCAGTGCGACAAACTTTTCTGGAAACGGACTCAATGTCTCGGACACGCCGAAGCCCATCCCCTTTCTTGCATCATCAAGCTCTACCCTGCAAGGTTGCTGGGTCAGGGTTGAGATCGACTCCCGACTACCGCACCTCCGACTTGGACCCACATCCGATGCTACATGTCGGACGAAAATTCTGAAAAGAGGTTTCAGAATGCCTGTACAGCGTGGTATGATGGGCGCGGTGTGCCTCGGGGTTGCGATGGTTCGTGAGAGGTCAGGGTCGTTAGATGCGTGCGCGTTCCTCGGAGCTTAGAGCCTGACTATCAGAAAATTCTCTGCAACCATGTGCGTGCCTGGTCCATCAACACCCAGGCCAAGGAAAGCAAAGAGACGGCGCCAGGGCTGTTTAGACTTACTACACAAGTCCAGACCGTCGCGTTGCTAACGTCCGCCTCGAACCCCGGAATAAAAAAAAGTCAGGACATCATAATGTCTCGAACCCTGCGTACGCGCATTACATATAAGGCCCCCAACGCGCTTGACAAGCGCCTGGGCGCGGTTCGCCTCGACTACATCGCACCTCTCAGGTATCCAGCAGCGCAGCTCCAGAAAAAGCCATCCGTACATGTACACCTCGTATGATCGTCTGCGAGCCGAACCTTCTACGATCTATCTATATCTCTTGCGCCGGCAGGTATGAACTGATGTGAAAGGTTCTCGACCGCGTCGCGGACCCCTTCGCCCTCACGATCTTATCAATCCTCCCATCTCACCACACCTCCTCAGCCTTAATAACCAGTCCTTTCGTCGCCAAGAAGCAAGCGTTGTATTCGTGGCTGCTGTTGCTGCTGCGATGCCATGTCAGAGATGGCTGTCACCAAACCAGCGTCTAACTCCACACGATGACGGGCGCGCGGCTCGCACACCGATCCCCGACTCTAGCGCCAGCTACTAACTCGGGTCCATGAAACCGAAGCCGCCATATGATAGCGTACACCTCGCTTCATACGGCTATTTCGGCGCGGAGGGGGAACGTGACGGGCGAGCAGAGCAGAGCAGAGACGGGGAGGTACAGTATGACATAAGCGCTAGTCGAGCAAACACATCCGGGGGCGGGCTGGCATTGACGCGGGACCAGCCGGGCTCTGTACATAATCGCCATTTGCGTGGTGCCGCAACGGGGATAGGATGCGGGAGTGGAGGGATGATGTTGTTGTTGTGGTGGTGGTGGTGGTAGCGCGCGGCTGGCACGGTGACGGACGAGCGGCCCTGTGATGTAACAGTGAGGAGCTGTGTAGATGAACGGCGAGCTTGGGGAGATCTTGCCGACGCCTGAGGCTCTCAATGGGTATGTTTCTCGTTCAGGCGGTCGGACGTTTCGCTGCGGTCGAAGAAATTTGATGGCTTCGGTCGTCAGGGGGAGGAGAGGGATGTGGGTTTAGGTTGCAAGGAGGAGGTCGAGGTTGCGTAGGCTAGTATCGAGCGAGCTGGTTCGAGGCTTGATGCCTGTCTGCGGTCAGTCAACAACCGGGAAGAACTTGTTGTAGTAATAATGAGTGATGTTGCGGAGGAGGCTGATGATGTTGTCCCAAGCCCCAGAAAAGCCGGGCACGTGTGAACTGTGGAACATTGCTCGTGTCCCACGATAGTCCGTGCTCCCCCTTCTCGCAGGTGGGAACCGACACAGGAATGCAATAAGCCGATCGCCTTCCGAGGGCCCCATAGTGGTGAGAATAAGCTTCGCGCTGACAGGCGCCAGTGCATTGCATTTCGCGTCTGAGAGCGGGCAAAAAAACGTGGGGAGTCATACAGTCTGTCAACCATGGCTGTCAAACGTCTGACTGTTCTCATTGATAATAGATATTCGAGATGCCGAGATTAAACTTGCAACATGATCGCATCACATGCAACGGGCTGGGGTCATGTCAGGGTGCCAGGCTTTCTGGTCGGCGATGTCGCGCCTGGCGATGTTTCACAAGATATCTTTGCGACTCGTAGTGACTAAGGGGGCAAGCGCCACATGAAGCTGGAGCTGAAGCTGAGTAAGGAGGGACTGGTGATCACGTTGTGGTGAGACTCGTGGGAGGCGCCGGATAACTGGAGACTTCCGTCTATCGTATCTTGCTCCACTGCTTGGCGACTTCGTGTCCATCATGGCCACCGCAACTAGATGAACAGGATACGCTCTCATTGGATCGGCCGACATCCGATGAGTGGTCATGGGGACGATGGCGACGACGCACCTCGGGAGCCTCAAGGAATCTTGATTGCGCGGTACGTAGTGTTATAGGACAAAGAAGTGTGCTGCCTGGTCATTGCAGGCGAACACATGAAGTGATCGATCGGTGTGGAGAAAAGAAACGAGATGAGCCAGAAGGCTTTCCGACAAGCCACGCCAACCGCTCAAAGACACCTCCAAATGCGCTAGACACCCCTGATAGAAAATGACTTTGAGCCTAATAAGAGGCACCGCTCCCGTATGGACAGAACGCCGTCATCATGGTCGTGAGTATTGAAAAGCAAGCTGTGCCAAGCTGCCATGATATCCAATGATGGCCAACTGAAAGCAGACGCAGATTTTGGTGGACGCAAGACATGGCGAATGCAGATAACAAGAAGATGAGACGCAAGCCAACCCACTCCAGGGGGCTTCGCAGCAAGGAATATGCTCTGCAGGAGGCGCTGAAACGGAAAACTTCGTAAAAACACGGCAGCATATGCCATCCGCAACCAATGATGCTTAGATGCTTCGCTCAACACAATTCATGCCCAGCCACCCAACGCCTCATGATTCATCGTGTACTTCGTTAATAACGCCAGGTTTGGGTGCAAGAGGAGCCGTGGAGGCGTTCGCGATGGAACTTATCGAGCCAACGCGCTCCTTTGGTGGAGGTTCGTCCTTCATACACGCGTTCTCGAGCATGTTCGTCCATTTCCCGCTAGTGCCAGCATGGCTGTGCTTCAAATGTTGTCGAAAATGATCGGCGCGGAAGAATTTCTTGGCTTGGTTGCACTCGCCGAACTTGTGCACGTGATTCAGATGTTCGGTCCGAGCGTCCCAATTCGCGGGAAGTGGGAACTCCTCACCGCAATAACCGCAGACGTCGGCTACGCCCGAATGGGTTGCGGAGGGGTGGAAGGCCGCGTGCACGCCCGCGAGCGCAGCGCACGACCACGAGTGACGCCGAAGATGGAGCGAATTCTGGTGCCGTTCGGCCTCGTTCTTGTTCTTGAACCTGTTGGGGCAGAACTGGCAAGTGTACTGCTTTTCCAGCTCGTGGACTCTGTAAGATGTCGTCAGCCTGCTCTACGAGCAAAAGGCGGTGGGGGAGTTTCGGATGCAAACCTACCGTAGCTCTTCCTCGCTGTCGAATTTCTTCGGCTTTTTGGGGCAGCACTCGCAGATGTACGCTCCTGGAAGGCGGCTAGTAACGGAATTTTGTCGAGATTGAAGGATGCTGTCCGTGGACATCTTGCGAATCTGGGAATGTTCGTTCTCGGAGAGGCCTCGCTGGTGGTGTGGTCTCGATAATGAACCACGCGGGCTAGGATTTAGTGACCTGCTAGCTGCATATGGCGAGACAGGGCCTAGTTCCGCCTCCGCAGGGGGGGACAGTGCGCTTGGCGAGAGACGTTGATCCCCACTATAACTGGTCATGCTACTTGCCGCAGAAAAGCCATACGAGCTAGCGAACGAAGCTGTGCGTTGACTAAGAGATGAGTTGACCGACGACAACGACCCTTGGTTCACGTGAAATCGCGATACTGGCGAGTTGCGGCTGACCAGCATCTGGGCAGAACGCCGGTGATACAAGTCAGTGTTGCCACTTGCGGTGGGACGATCCTCACGCGCGGCTTCCGAAGGAGGCGATGAAGCACGCCGTTTCAGGCCGCCCTTTGGCCCAGTCTGATACTCCTCGGATCCGGGTGGGCTGCGGTCATTGATGTTCAGGTCGCGCATTCCGCTCTCTTCCATTCCAAACTCGGATTCGGAGAAGATGCTGTGGTCGTAGCTTCCACGATGTTGGGAGGCGACGTCGTCTAGTGTCCCCGACGTCGAAATGCTGCCAAACCTCCGCTGGTGAGGGTCCGCAGACCCAGGGTCAAAGACAGGGCTGCGGAAGCCTGAAAATCCGGGCGATATCGCTCCAGACGGAGGCCACCTTGTTGACGCCGGGGAGTCGAGCGAGGGATGTAGTCGCTCGGGCACGGATAGTGGCTTGAGCTGGCCGTTGAGATTGTTGAACGAGGTGTGGGCTTTCGGAGCGGATTCTTGCGCGCTTGCTGAGAGGGGAGGCGCGGTCGTCCTTGTGGGGGTATTGGGACCACCGATTTTCGAGAGGAGCTGCTTATCGTAGGCGTGGGACGAGTTCTCGAGCGCCTTCTGCCCTAGCTGTCGCTCGCTCGTTAATCTGTGTTAATATGTGGTGTCAGCGAATGTCCGGAGGGATAGATAGCCCACGGGTCTCGTATGCCAGCCCAGGCAGACGTGTGCCAACAGCGCGGGCACGCGCTGACTGGGTTCGCAGCCGAGCAGCACCCCAGGCGGCGGGGCGACAATCGCGTGCGTCTTCAGTGAACGACGAAAGGCCGTCAGAGCAAGAGCGAGGTCTGAGAATGCTTACCTGTGATTTGCGAGCGTCGGCCGCGACTTGCCGCCGCGGTCTTCGTCACTGTGCTCCAAGCTGCCTTGCGAGCTCATGTCGTCGAGGGACCTGGAGGTCGAGGGCTCGCGCGCACGCGCACTGAAGACATGCTCGCCAGCTCGGTCCCGCGGATGCACGCGGCCGGGAACAGCTCCACCCAGCAAGCTCGAGCCGGGCTTCACTGCCACCGGCCGATTCCCGCCAAAGCCAGTGTCGTTCGGGGAGTTCGTGTTACCCCATTGCCAGCCGGGATCCTGGCCCTCGCTGAGCTCCTCGCCAATGTAACGGGGCGGAGGTAAGGGCGGTGGCACTTCTTCGCGCGCCCGCGGAATCGCCATGGCTCCAGACGGGCTTGCGTAGGAGGGGCGGCGGTGGTGTGGCAGCGGATAGCGGTGGAGCGACCCAGAGTCATATATCCGAATGCTCGGCGTCGAGCTCGCGGGAGATAGGGTCATGCTAGCGGTGCGGACGCGCTGCAGGGGCGTGCGACGAGTGGGCAGCTGAAGCGCGACGGTCGCTACTGGAATGCCGCAAGTGTGGCGAGCGCAATGGGAGCAATGCCTGGGTAGTCGTTGCTAGAGTAGAGTGGATGCGACGGCGCACAGGCCCAGGGACTACTATAGTTAGACGGGCAGCCGGCGCCAGCCACGGGATGGCCGAAAGGGGCCGGGGACTGGGGACAAGGCGTGCCGGCGGGCAGCGCACGCGCGAGGAGGGGGAGGGCAGAGAATAAAGTGTGGCGCGCGGTGGGAGAGCGCGCGGTGGTGGTGCGCGGTGGTTGTGCTCGGGGGCGAGGCTGCAGGACTGGGCCAGTGAGGGTCCGCGGGCGGGGCGTTGGCGATTCCGATCTAGCGCGAAAGCGGATCAGCCCTACGGCCGTCGACTGTGCGGCTCGCGGCCGGGCTGGCAGGCAGCGCGAGCTGAGGACCTGGACGAGTCGCCGCACCGCCACGCAGCTGCGGACTGAGTGAATACGCGTCGAGCCTTGCGGCAGCAGACCAGATCAGATCAGATCAGATCATATGATTCCAGCGGGGGTCGGCGTCGAGAGCGCAGGGCTCATGGTAGCACCAGCGGCCGTCCAGACGGGCAGCACGGCGGGCGGAACTGCTTCGGCCAGCCTCGCCGACGCTGCGAAGAGTGACGAGTGGGCGTGCAGGGAGCGGGTGCTCAGACGGCCGGCAGCAATGCCTGTTTCTGCGCCAGCACGCGCGCCGCCGGGGGTGGGAGAGGAGGAAGCTCGAGCGAGCGCTGGAGACTGCGGGCGCTGGACGGGCAGCAGCAGTGATCAGTGAGGAGGTGAGCTCCCACATCCCACGGGGGCCTCTGAGCATAAAGGACGTCGGTCTGCCTGTGCTCACCCCCCGGCGCCCGTTGACGGGCCAGGCGATTGGCCGCCCGCCAGCCATTGCTAGCACGGATAGTTTGGTGGATTTGGTGGAGTCGCAGGGGTGCCGGGCATGGTATGGAGAAGCCTTTCGTCTGCACGTCTAAGTCGACGAACCACCACGTCGGGGTACACTTTCCAGAAGGCCTGCCGCACATCGCAGAGGCCGCCGCCGCCGCGCCCACGTCGTCGTCACTATCGCACGCCCGTCCACGGCCCTGCCGCCCGCCCTCTTGCACCGCGCCCTCGCCATCCGGGACCTTTCGCGACGGCGGCCACCGCGCACGACGGCAACATGCTGCCCGACTGCGTGGGACACGGGCTCACGGGCTCACGGGCTCACGGGCTCACTCAGACCAGCTGCGCCTTACCCAGAGTAATCAATCTACGGTTGGCCGTCGCCCGCTCACCCGCCCTGCCCGCCGTTGTGGTGATTGCGCCAGAGTGCCCAGCTGGCCGATCTCGCGCACGACGTAAGACTGCGCGGCGCCAGCGAGACAGCCCGCGCTGCTGCAGGCGAGTCGCTGATGCCGCCAGGGCGAGCCTGAGGCATCGTGCTGCAGCACTCCGCACCCAAGACGCCGGCGTAAGAGCGGCCAGGTGCGAGGTTAGCCTCGACGCGGGTAACGGGAAAGGTCCGAGCGAACTGCCAGGGTTGTCGAACGCAAGCAAATGCCTTCAGCCTTACCGCCAGGCAGCATTCCTGCCAGTGCGATGCGCCGCTGCGAGTGCGTCATGTGCGCTCCCGAAAGCCTATCCGAACGTGGCTCCGGCCATCGCAGCGCTCGAGTACGGCCTGAGTAGTGGGAGCCTTTGGGGAGAGGTGCGCACACACTCACTGTCCGGGAATATGCGGAGGTCCCTGTCTGCTATTATTAAGATGAGAGCAAAGCGCTACCAACGTCGAGCATGCTCATTTCCTCGGCCTGGCTGCCAGTGACGGGACAATTGGGAACCGCCGCCATCTGCCGCCTGCTCCTCTATTTTGGTCGCGCAAAATATACCGGGTGTAGCATGCGCTTAGCAGGAACCCGATGGTCGGAACTCGCGGGCGCGTCGGGGAGTACTAGCCTATTGGCCCAGAGACGGTCTCGAGAAAGGTGTTGTCACTATAGCGGTCTGGAGTCCGCAACTGCCAACGGACATGCACGTTATCCGGCCCAGCCCCCGCAAGCTGATAAAGCATGTGTTATTGGGACGTTCCCCTGGCTGCGACATGTTGCTAGCACGAGGGCGAAGTGGGCCTGTAGAACCACAGCCCTTCGCCGTGGAGAGACTCTCTCCAGGCGTTGAAGTTGAATGCCAATGCAAATTCATAAAAACGCCCACTGTACCTGTAAGCGGCTGCAGGGTCCGCACCGCCCTGTTTCAGCTCACACCTGCCGGGTTACGTCTAGAGGGTTTCCCCTATCTGCTGGCCTACCGGTGCAGCATCCCGCACGCTCTACTACTACACTGTACACAGGCTATATTACCGCCGGCCGATGAGAGCGGGGCTTGCGCCGGCTTGGGCTGGCAGATCTCCAAGCGCGTAGGGCTGTGGATGTGGCGCTCTGGCGAAACCCTCTGCCCTCGCCTCCTCCTCCCTTACGGGGGCTCCACGAGGAAAATGCACGCCAGACTAGTTCAAGCCCGCTCCCGTCGAATTATCCCAAGGTCGCCGACTCGAAGTCTCACCTTGAATCGGCATCAGACTGTGTCGTGCCCGCTAGCCCAAACGAGCCATACGGCCGCCTGGTTGACCACTCACGCCCGCCGCTTTGGGCAGGCACGCGCTTCTTCTGCCTCGGTGAAAATTCCAAAGCTTCGACCACCACTTCAACCGACGCCCCAACGCCTCCGCGCGCAATCTTCTTACAAAGAAAAACACTCCATCTCACTGCCGGATCGCCGACAACTCTCGGATTCGGATCCGCCCATGGCGCTGCTCGACCGCGTGCCCGGAGATTTGAACCTCTACATCGGCGGGTACGTAACACCCCTTCCTCCGAGGCCTCCTCGCGCGCCCATGCCTGGCCGCTTGAGATGCGACGACTGACGAATTGCCATAGCATGTTCACGCTACGCCGGCGCGACGCTCTTCAACAGGCTAATATCACTCACGTGCTGTCCGTCCTCCGCATGCCGCTGAACCCAACCCTGTTCAGCCCCTTCACGCACATGGTCGTTGAGGTGGACGATGTCGACGACGAAAACCTGCTCGAGCACTTTCCGGCCACCAACCGCTTCATCCAAGAAGGACTTGACGGCGGTGGCGGGGTGCTTGTGCATTGGTGAGTTCGCATCCCAGTTCAGCTGAGCCCTGCATGTCAAACCTCCGATCACCATCATGAATTGCCTTGCTTGGCAATTTTGCCATCTTCACAGAAAGGGGGTGTGGTAGTTCCTTGTCATTCTTTACTTCGCATTCGCCATCGTCCTTCCGTCCGCGCGTCTTGCATGTTCTCTCGACCAGTATTTCGCTTTTCTCGAAACCTTCCTTATTCAGCGAACTTATCCACACCGCTCGTTTGCCACTCTATTCTTTCCAGCCACTCGTCTCAGGATCCCAGGATGCCAACTTTTTCCTCTTCTCTAGTGCCATGGGAAAATCACGATCGGCCGCATGTGTCATCGCTTATTTGATGCAAAAGCACAACATCAACGTCTCGGAAGCCCTGGCTCACGTGCGGCAAGCGCGCTCCCTCGTCGAACCAAACGAGGGCTTCATGCAGCAATTGGAGCTGTATGGTCGGATGCGGACCCCGGAGAACGTCGAGGAAACTCCCGCCTACCAGCGCTGGGTCTATCAGCGCGAGATTGAGCTAAGCCGTGCCTGTGGCCAAGCACCAGAAGCAGAGAAGATCCGCTTTGAAGACGAGCATGTCACCGATCAAGCTGCAAACTTCGAGCTGAGATGTCGCAAATGCAGGTGAGTGGAGCCCCATGGTGAATCTCAGTGTCACGCCGTCACTTTCCTTACCGCCCCTTTCGTGCTCAGCGCTTACGTCTCTGTAGACGCCCTCTCGCAACGTCCCAATTCCTCGTCCCACACAGCTCTTCCCCGATAGTCAACGACCAAGGCGAGCAGAGACCTGTAGTCGGCCCGCCTCAGAACTGCGCCCACTACTTCCTAGATCCGTTGTCCTGGATGCGCCCAGAGCTAGAGCAAGGCAAACTGGACGGCCGACTCGAATGCCCCAAATGCCATACTAACGTAGGTAAATACGCCTGGCAAGGGATGCAATGCAGCTGCAGTGAATGGATCGTGCCTGGAATCAGCCTTTCCAAGAGCCGTGTCGATGAAGTCAGGAGGAAAGCCGTTGCCGAAATTCGCCGTCCACCAGGAATGGCAGTCCCACCCCCGGCGAATACAAGCTATTCGAGGCAGAACCTATAGGGCTGGGTGAGGGAATGAAACATAGCGTGTCAGATACCCTACAAGGCGTGTTGGGCCATAGGGAGTTCGTCCCCACCTCAATGCTTGTTTCGGCATATCACCACCGCTAATAGAGTGGGTAGTATCACGTGATCGCCAATTCTGCCTCCCAAGTCCCTCACCGGTCGCCGAGGATCAATCTGCCTCGTAACTGCAATGAATATGGCTTGCATAACGGCTCAATGTGAGGGATCCACTACATGCCTCAAGGAATGTCCGCGACATTCCGACCTGCTCAACAGGTGCAAGGCAGCACAGCCTCCAGGCACCGTTGCACCGGGATTCGCATCGGGGAGCAACAACATACGCGTCACCAAGTATGGCGCTGCGCGAGCTCCAAGTTTATCGAAGGCAATGCCTAGGAATGCGCATGCATAATGGGATATCTTCATCAACTACTATTCGTGGTTGGATTTCGGAGCTCGCTGGCCTGTCATTGTTTACCGCTCATCTACATGCATCTCACTTGGTTTCACATGGTTTTATGTGGTATGTCTCCACCACCATCGCCAGACTCCAGTCCTCACCAGTTGATCACGCGTCTCCGCTTCTTATCGATTGTGGGCCAATTGCTCAGCGTCCGAAGCGACTGCAGCGGATTCCAAAGACGAACCCCATGATGAATCCCATGGACCTGCGTCCGCTCAACCCCTTCCATCACATGGCTTTTCGTCGCATTTGATACCGTCCAATGCGAACTCGCCATTCTACTCATTTTTCGGACTCATGACGATTCCCTGTTCTCTTGTTTAAAATAACCACTATTGCCTTTCATCGATGTCGCCAACAGAACGCCGACACGGGGTTCCTTACGATCGGTCAGCAGTGCGCATTAGTTGAAGTCACTACATCTTCCAAGGGTTATTGCGTGTCTCCTTTCGCATACGTGTTTACCGCCCTCCACTTCTCTAGCTGTATACTCACCGCCTTCCACCGACGCCCATCTCCGAGGTGGCGCACGCTAGCAGGCGACGATGAGTCGCCATGTTCGCTAGCTAGGTACCAATTTCCTTTACAGATACGGTCCTAGCTTGACTTCGGCTACGCAGGCAAACGTTGGCGACAACGTTGGAATGTGATGCTATCGCTGGCGAAAATGCTGGGTTGGTGGCCCCTAACTAGACAATCTGATGCTGCCAGGTGGAGAGCGTCGAAGTGCATTGTTTATCGCCTGTCTCTCGATGCTAACATCCTGTGAGAATCCTTCAACAAGGTTACCAGGAGGTGACGCTAACGTTCTAGTGCGACTGCTATCCCCCTACGGCAGGATGCCAAAGAGGACCTTCGCCTCGTCTCCCTAGGTATCTGCAGAGAACACCTCGCGGGATCTAAGATTCCGGATCTCTCTAGTTCCACAGGACGCAGCTTGTTGCATTTCGCAACATAGAGTACACCGCTACCCGAAGTCGCTTCTACAGATAACTAGGTACACAGTACTTTCTCTCCACGAACCCTGCGCTCGTTTCCACCCCATCTCCACGGGCCGTTCAAAGCGATTCCCCAACCCTAATCCGCGATAATATCATGCAGATGTCGATCGTCACTGCGACGAAGCCAGCCCTCGCGAGAAGGATTCAGACCCTGCGACCGCATTCCCTTGCCCATCGTCGCTTCCCGATTCCCACGCTTCTATACCTGCCATTGCTTCACCAACCCCCAACAGCCCGGCCCCGCCCAGACTGAGCTGCATACCGACGCATAGATAAACGGGAAGCCTTGCACTACACCCCAGAAACAGCATTGTCTCAGAACTGCGGCTGCGGAAGGAACGACCGCGCCGGGGGAGGCCTGAAAACTGCAACAGTCCGCACTCCCAAACGGACGGACACTGATACGACAGCAGGGAAGGAAGCGCATGATTTCATCCCTAGGTACGCCTTGTGTGGGGATGCGGGATGTGGGATGGTGGGTGAGGGGAATGGGCTTTCATGCGCCAACACAGGGCGACCTTATCGTACGCCGCCGGCAGGAATGAGGGGAAGTGCGTCTTTCTGCGCGATATGGAATCGCATCGTGCAAGGTCCGCGGCCGCTTCTCGCACGAGGGACGCGCTTGTGCATCCGCGAGCAAGGTCTGACCGCCTTGCGCACCCTTGACCAGCTGCTGCATGTTTATAGTGGGTGTTGGACAAGGGACGCGTTCATGTTAGGATGGAGGGGCCAACATCGTTCATCTTGGCTATGTGAAACGTCACTGGTACTATATGCGACTATAAGGCTATTAGGTTTGGAGGATGCTGGACGGCTGGCCGGGTGATCCTAGTGTAAGTTCTCTGGGGTAGTGATCCTTCGCGGCAGGAAATGTGAGGCGCCTTATACAACGGTCGGTATGCAGTCGGTGAGGACCGAGCGTGATCTTTCAACACGACATCATGGATTACAGACTTCATACAGAGGCATTCCGAATTGGAGCGGGGAAGGAACGACGCGGCAAGGGGTTTGGCAATCAATCAATTACTCGGATTCCTAGACGTCCTCATCTTCCTCCACCACCGCTTGCCTCGACTCTCACTGCCTAAACACCTTCAAATAATTAATCCTCCAATAGCTCTCCGCAAACACCCCCGGATTATTCGCAACATACTCATTACAACTCCCCGCCAGCGCCTTACTATGCCACTCGTCAGTCCCTCTTTCCTCAAACGCTCCCCAATCATCAGCCAGTCAGAGTACTCACCAGTCCGCAGGCCAAACCGCGCCGGCCCAATCCCCACAAAACGTCGTATCAATCACGATCTGGTGATTGACAAAGTGCCGCCCGATATCGCAGCCGCCCTGGAAGCTCGCCTGCGGCGTGCTCCACTTGCTCGGATCCGGAGCGTTTCCGGCTGCAAGGTCGGCGGGGATGCTGTTCCGCGGGAAAAACCAGATTTTGATGGAGGAGGTTGTCCATTCCATGGCGTAGACGCCGCCGCCGCCGCCGTTGAAGGGCGTCCCGAAGGAGGAGGCGGAGGAGGACTCGATGCCGCAGCCGGCGTTGCTGGTTTGGCCGGGCGCGGATATGAAGCTAGGGGAGTGGGGGGTTAGTGTTGATTGTGGAGTGTAGAGAGGGGTGAGAGAGGGCAAGGCTTCGGTATGGCTTGACTTGTCGATGCTCTTTGGGAGGGATTGTACAAAGGGGGAAAACATATGATGGGATGCGCATCGTGGTGTACGTACCAGTTCGTGGTTACGACGCGGCCGAGCATGCCGTTGGCGTCGATGGAGCAGCCGTCCGACGTGTGGAGAGACATGGCGTTGACCGTATTGGTATGTATGCCTGGTGAGAGCGGTCAGTTCACTGTTCTTAGTTCGCAGTCGCAACAATCTGACAGAGGTTGACCGTGCCGAGCGTGCTTCATTGGGGGTTTCCTTCTCTTTGCAAACTATGATGCTGCGTACCTTCAATAATGTCTACACACTGTCAGCCTTTCCCTCTCCTGCCCTTCTCGCCCCTGCTCACTTACCTATCTCCCCATTCTCCGGCCACGGCTTCTCCGCTCCCCACGTCCAGAAACTCGGCCAAGTACCTGTTCTGTATCAGCAACCCTTCCTCTCGTCCCCGTACGCTCCTGAATTACGCCTCCCTACCACAAGTGCTACTCGGCATATGCGCCACATCCAGCACAAACAGGCCCCGATTATACAGCTTCTTGGACTCTAACCGGATACTCGCCCGGCCATTCGGCGCCTTGTTCTTGCTGTCTACGCCCATGTATACGCTGTTTCCCGAGACCGAGAACAGGCCCTGAGATTGGGCGTCTGACTGAGAGAGGTAGCTAGAGGGGCGTCAGATATCGATCCTGGTAAGTGGAGGTGGAGGATGGGGGCACGAATACCGAACGAAGCCATGCGTGGGATCGCCTCCGGAGAAGAAGCTGAAGCACGACGCGAAGGACGAGCCAGCGCAATTGTCGACTAGCGTGTACGCCGCGGATATGCTTTGCACCTGGATGCAGAGTGCTAGCAGCAGAGCCGCCAGGCGCGCGCGGGTGAGGTGCATGTAGTTTGAGAGAGGAGAGTATGGGAAGGGAAAGACGCGCCGCAGCGGATCTAAATGACAGCTTGGCGGTACGTACGTCTGGCGCGGACCGGACTATAAAAACACTCTGCTATGAAAGAGAGGAAAGAAAATCTTGGAAGCACGCATGATGGTGTGAGTTTCCCTGCTACTTGGGTCGACGGGGATATACTCCAGGAAGCGTGGCAGGTAATTTCCTTAGATTTCTCCTCGTCCAAAGCACGCATGTGTGGGTTGGGTTGAGCTGGGTTGGGCGCATACACCAGACGGACGGAATGGTAGTTCTGGAGCTGGTGGGCGAACACCTAGGCGTTTGCTCTGCAGCACCCTTTCCGGGTTTGTAGCTTGTAAATCATCTCTCATACGCTGCATGAAAGACTATCGCTATCTCAGGAGTAGAGACTCCATATCGGGAGGGTCATATGAGCGCTCCCTAATTATCCGGGAGGGTTACTTGGAGGCATTGGCAGGTAGACTGTTGGGGAACGGAGGGCATAATAATGTGATCTGGCAGATTTTGAAGACCATTCGCGGTGGACTGAGATCATTTGAGTCGGCTTCGCGCAATATATTTTCGAGATATTAAAGTAGGTAGAAGTACAGGGGTTGTCTGCAAGGCACAGTTAATATACATGCGACCGGGCCTGGACCTACCAGAGCCTGTATCTGAAGTCCAGCTCGCAGGTTGACGAACGTCCGAAACAACTATTTCAGCGGACTATTAAGCGGTTCCTGCAACCTCAATGTTTTCGCTCTTCTCATCGTCGCCGTACCAGCCAAAGAGCTGCGCGAAATACTCGCCGGCAAGGCCAAGCGCGATCCCACCTCCTGCGAACCAGGCTCCGTTCTTGAACCACCACCAGCAGTTTTTGACTTCCTTCAGTCTTACTCTCCATATCATGGTGCCTAGTGTGATGGCAGCGCTCCCGCATGACCCTACGAAGAACACCGGGCCCATTCCGGCAGCAACACCGCTGGCGGCTAATAGTCCAATCTGGACAACCGCAAGGCCGGTCAAGACTGCTTTGGTTTCCTTGTCGTGTTTGAGGGCGATGCTCTTGATCCCCGCTTTCGCATCGTCCTTGATGTCCATGTGGGCATAGATCATGTCGTAGAGGACGGTCCAGGCGACATTGCTCGAATAGAGGCAGGCCGCTGCCGTCAAGGCCGCTTGGTTTGTGAGAAGGTCGACGCCTAGCGCAGGAAAGCCCATCATTGCGCCCCAGGAAAATGTGAGTCCTAGGACGAACTGAGGATAGTTGGTGACTCGCTTCGCCAGAGGATAAGTGGCAACGAGTAGGAGCGATGGCGTTGCGTACCAGAAGCACTCGAACGGTAACGATAAGAGAACAGCGAGACCTGTCAGAAGCTGGCCGCCAGTGAAGATAATAGCGGCTTGAGGACTGACGGCTCTTCGGGCGATGGGACGCAGGCGGGTGCGCGCAACGTGCGGATCGAGGTTGCGATCCCAGAGATCGTTTATGGTACATCCAGCTCCTCGCATGACCAAAGCTCCCGTGAAGAACAACGCCGTGGTGCCGATAACAGCGCCTGGCGTTGCCATTGGTGTCGCCATTGTCGCAGCCAAAAGTGTGCTGAAAAGACATGGAAAGAAGAGGTAGTAGGTACCGGTGGGTTTGTCTAATCTGATGAGCTCGGCGTATGGGACCACGGGTTTTGGGAGGTACGAGAGCAGTCCGGTTGTAGGAGGAGTATATTCCGGGGGCGCCTTAGAAGTTGTATCCTGCGATGTTGTCGTTATGGCCAAATATCGAGTGTTAGATCGGACCAGAGAAAGCCTTTGCCGCTCAAAGTATGTCGTGTGCTTGGTTATAGGTGAGACCGCAGCTTGATATGGAGATTGTAGGAGGTTGGAAACGGTGGAAGTATGGTGTCGTGCCCAGGTGATGGGTACTGTATCGACATGTTTCCAGCGCGACCTCCATGATCCGTGAATGGTGTGATGACGGAGGATGGGATTACAGAGGCGAGATGAATGCAGAAGAGCCATCTTGACTACTGTTCGGGTAACTTTCTTCTCTCCCGCCAAACTAACACGCGTTTTCTTCTTAACTGTCGTTACATGAAGGTTCCTGGAGAGCGATCATGGTCCGGTCTTTGCTGGCGAAAGGCCGTTCAATTGCAGATGGGGGGAAAGGTACCGGGATTGGTCCAATTGTGGGGAGGGGTGGACAAGAGGGAAGCTTGACGCGAGTGAAAGTGAAAGGGCCGTGCGCAGATCTCGATGTCACGTGATTGGTCGAAGCTCCACCAGCCTTCCCAAAGTTTACCCGCAGGTCGCGCCTCATCTTCACCCACTTTGACGCCGCACCTTCATCGTCGCCCACCGCCGTCTACCCCGTCCACTCGCTTGGCTCCAGCTTCGCAACCTCCGCCCGTGGTCTTCTCTGCAAATCGCATCTCACGCGACAGAGCTTGGTGGAGGTGGTGGCCAGACTTCCGCGACAGCTACACCCGCGCAACACCCCGTGGATGCGCTCCAACGACGACCCAAATGCCTGCGGCACGCCCCAGGGCCTCGTTTGAGCCCATTCCGCCGGATTTCGACGTGCGCACGTTCGTCGAGACGGCGGATAACTTTCGATATGCAGATCGCATTTCATACGAGATGATCGCCAACAATGGCTTGGAGCAGTTCGAGAAGCTGGTGCTACTGCACGTAATAATAGGAGGGAAGCCGCTGGTCATCGACGGATTTGAGGAGGTTTTGGATCCCTGGACATTCACGCCGTCCTGGCTTCGAGACAACCACGGGGACAAAGGTAAGAAGACATTCTAAGGTTAGCTACCGCAGGGATGGGCTAACATTGGGCCATAGTGGAGCAAGCGCGCAACCTGACCACGAAGGAGAACATTCCGCTCACGATCAAGCACTACCTCAAGCATATGGGGAAGCTCACCGACCAGTTCTTCGATGCGCCGGAGCGATACCGGGACAAGACGCGCCAGCGCATATACCTAAAGGACATCGATTGTCCCCCGGTTTGGCAGGACAAGCTGAGAGAGCACATCCCGCAGGCTTTATTCTATCTGAACGAGAGCACCGGCGAGATCGGTGGACCTGGAGCACTCGATGAGGATCGCGTTCGCAAGGGTCGCGGAATCGGACGCGCCGGCGATCTCATGAGCAGCCTCCCGCCTGAGATGCGGGCGGAGAATCTCATGTGCTACATTGGGCACGAGGGCACCTATACCCCCGCACATCGAGAAATGTGCGCTTCCCTTGGGCAGAACATCATGGTCAATGCTTCTGCTCAGATTAGCGAGGATGGAAAGCCGGAGCGGCCTGGGTCGTCCATCTGGTTCATGACCGAGACCAAGGATCGGCATCTCGTCTCCGAATACTGGCTGTCCGTATTGGGCCACGACATCGAGGTCGAGAACCACTTTGCCCAGCTTATTGCATGGAAGAAGGCTCCTTTCCACACCTACGTGGTGGAACAGAGGCCTGGGGACTTCATTCTGATCCCACCGTTGGCACCGCACCAAGTCTGGAATCGCGGTACTCGCACGATGAAGATCGCTTGGAATAGAACCACCGTTGAGACGCTCGAGCTCGCACTGACAGAAGCCCTACCTAACTCCCGCGTGGTTTGCCGTGACGAACAGTACAAGAACAAGGCCATTGTCTACTACACCCTGCTCAAGTATTCCAACCTGATCAAGTCGGCCCGGGCACAGGTCGAAATGGGCGGGGAACAGGCAGAAGCTATTCAGCGCTCCGTTAAAGTCCGCCAAGTGCAACGAGACTTCAAGAGGCTCTTTGATCTCTACAAGAGCATCTTGCTGTCTGAGATGTTTGCGCCCGACTCACGAGAACACGCTGAGTTCGTTCCATACGACAGCAACGTCACATGTGCCTACTGCAGGTGTAATATCTTCAATCGTTTTTTGACCTGCAAATCGTGCAAGAATCTATTCAGCTCCGAGATCGAGGAGCCGTATGACGTCTGCATGGATTGCTACTGCATGGGTCGAAGCTGCGGTTGCCAATCCGGATATACATGGGTCGAGCAGTGGAAATGGAAAGACTTAATCCACAAGTACGAAGAGTGGCGCGCACAGATTATCGACATCGATGGACACATGACTGAAAAGACGCCGCTTCCGCTTCAGGAAGAGCGAAGGTACTTGGGAAAGAAGACACTTGCTCAGGTCTGTCAAGAACAGCTCAAAGTGCGACCTATTGTCGACGTCAAGAACCCGAAGCCTGACAACGACGAATCAGAATCAGAAGACGTCCAGGTTGATGAATATGGTATGGTCAGAAAGTCTGTCAAGAAGAAGTCAAAGCAGTGGCTTCGGGATCACAAGTCGTGCCATTTCTGTCTGCACCGCCACCCCAAGTGGAAAATGGCCTTTTGCTCTAACTGCGATTTGGCCTACTGCTACGGCACGCTTTTCCGAGCCCACGACATGATGCCACTCTCCGTTATGGAGAATCATAACTGGAGGTGTCCGCACTGTAGGAGGGTCTGCAACACCGGAGCTTGTAGACGCGACCCGCGCCAGCACCCCTACGAACCGAAAGGCACCCTCTTAGGACACGATACCAAGAAAGTCGCGGATCCGCGATCAGTCGAGTGCCTCGTGGATTTCAGCATATCGAATCTTAACTGGTTACGCGAGGATGAGGGAGGCCAGACCGCGATACAACGCCGGCACGAAGAGGCGGAGCGCGCCAAGTTGGCCGATCCGTCCTTGGATGACCGCTACATGGATGAGAGCCATGACCATGACCACAATGGAATAGCCTACTCTCCAGTGAATGGGAATGGCGGGTTTGAGGATCACGCCGCCAATGGCACAGGTGGGGACGGCTATGTTGCACCTGCCGCAGTAATGCAGAACGACGGTTTCGAGCCGTTCTACCCCGATCCTGATCCGAATGGCGAGATTCCTCGACTAGGCAAGCGAAATCGGGATGGCGAGGAAGACGACGAGGGCAACAGCCGGCGCAAGAAGAAGAAGAAACAGAAAAAGAGCAAAGACGACACTGCGCAACCCCTCCAGCCCAAGGACGCTGCTGGAAAACACTACCAGAAGGAAGTGCAGAGGAAGTTGCTTGACGAGGCTAAACGGGAGGATCGCTTTATTCTGGTTGCGGCTAGAATGAAGGGCAAGTCTAAGGTTGTCAAATTGTCTCTGAGTCCGGATCTTCTGGAGGCACTGCGGGGAAGACCATTACCGGAGCGGTCTCAACCAGAACGGCAAAGGGAATCAAGCGAAGAGGTGGGCGACCTGCGCTCAATTCTACAATCCGATATCTTGCCTGTGAACAGCGCCGCTAGCAAGGCGAATGAGAAAGAGAAAGGGCCCAAAACCTTCCGTTATCGTGTGGACCAGGACGAGAACTACAGCACAAAAAAGCGGAACTCTGAGATTAGCGGTCCAAAACAAGGTCCTGGTAGACCAGCTCGCAGTAGCCGACGCTACGAGGAGATTACTGTCGATTCAGATGAAGAGTTCAGTGAGGATGAGATGGTCGAATATGCTGGACCAGCCGCTAGTCGTCCGAGAGGACGCGCTTCAAATTGGCTGGCTCGCAAGAATGAGGGCGAGGAAGATCTACCCACCGAGCTCCCGCCGAACTTCAAGGACGGAGACGTCCGTCCGAATCGTGAGAAGAATCGCGAGCGCACCCGGGAACAGAACGAGCGTAGGAAGACGATGCCAGCTAAACCGAAACCGCAGATTCGACCATCCGGTCGACCACCAGGCCGACCACGGAAGAGCACCGGGAACATGTCAGATGAAGACGGCGTCCACGATGACGATGATCAATCCAATTCGGCCGTGTTGTTGGCGCAGTCTGCAGCTGCGGCTCTAGAGGCTCAGCGAAAGGCTGAAGAGGAAGAGCGACGTGCTGAAGCAGCTGCGAAGGAAGCGGAAGAGAATTTACGCGCAAAGATGCAAATTGAAGAGTATCTCGAAGGATCGGAGGACGAGTCTTTTAACGGCTTCATTGACAGCCTTGCTGCACAAGACGAGCCGTTATTCAATGAGAGGGAAGCGTCTCTGAAGGAGTCCCTTGCCCCAACTCGCACGGGTCCTCCGCAGTCCGGAAACTCAATCTTCACTAAACCGGGTATGACAGGCAAGAAGATCAAGATAGTGTCCGCCGCTTCTAAGCGTAATGGTGAAGGGCCTTCCACGACCACGACGACCAAGACAACCACCATCATGGCGCCTGTGTCTAGCTTCATTAGTGTGAACAAGAAGTCGAAAGCTGTTTACCTTTCGGATGACTTATCGGATAGCGAGGACGAGATTCCGGCGAAGGCACCTGCACCGAAGACTCCTTTGGGGCGACCGGCTGGAAGGCCTTCGATGGTTCCGACGCGAGGTTCTAGCTCTGGAAAGAGGGGTCGTGGGCGTCCTCGCAGGACGCTTTAAGTGGGAGATGCGGGCGTTCTTCATCGGATGGGCGTCTGGATGGCTAGATACCTTTCTTGTCATTGAGCAGTAGCTTTCGCTGCGATTGGTGATTTGGTTTTGCATCAGGATGACAGCTGTCTATTAGTATTCTAGGGCCTTTGTCCGAAAAACCCGTTTGCATAGTTCGACTTCTCTTCTTCCATCCCTCCGTTGCTTACGTAGGTATGCGGACTGCAATGTATTGATTGGAGAAGTTTCATCAGGCTGTAATGATGGTGGTGACCGGGCGCTCATTTCACCAATGCACGTGATCTCGTGAAACGCCCGCGCGCCCGAACTTGGAACTTCAGCGCGCCCTCCATCAATTCACAACCTCCTCCACTCCCAATCCTCTCCACAATGTCTTCGTTAAAGCATACGTCGATCCCCAAGGAATCATTCGACGACATCCTATCACGCTATTCCGCCACGGCTCCGGACAAGCTCCAAGACCTGGATACCCTGCGCTACGAAACCATCCCCGCCACGCTGGCAGAGCGCAAGAAAAGCGGCGCCGCGTACCTAAAGAAGGAAGAAGTAGAGAAGCTCGTGGAGTGGAAGCTGTGCGCCTCTTCGTCCTCCATATGCAAGGTTCTGATCGCTGACGATACGTGTCGCCAGGAAACACGGCACATTTCGCCCCAAACTCCTCCAGCTCGTGCAATCCAACCCCTCCTCTCTCATTGAAGATACAACACGCAAAGCCTTCGCCATCATCACCCCGGAGCAGCCGCTGAAGGCGCTCAAGGTCTTGACTGAGCTAAAGGGTATCGGACCCGCTACTGCCTCGCTCCTCTTATCCGTCTGTGACCCGGACGAGGTGCCGTTTTTCTCGGATGAGCTTTTCCGTTGGGTGATGTGGGATGAGGAGGGTGGCGGTGGCCCGAGCGGGTGGAAGAGGGCGATTAAGTATAATAATAAAGAGTATGGGGAGTTGGTGAAGCGGGTTAAGGATGGCGTGGAAAGGCTGCAGGTGAGCGCGGTGGACTGTGAGAGGGTGGCATGGGTGCTGGGGAAGGAGGGGGTGGATGTTGTGAAGAGTGGTGAGGGGGTTGTGAATGAGGACGTCGAAAAGGCCAGTAAAGGCGTAAAGAAGTTGGCGAAAGAGGAACGGGTAGTAAAGGGCAAGCGCAAGGGGAAGGAGGTGGCGAAAGAAGAGAAGAAGGGCGTGAAGCGGAAAGTTGAGGCTATGAAGCCTGCTGTTGCAGAGGGTGTGAGGAGGAGTAGCAGGAGAAAGATGGGGAGTTGATTACACGGATGCCGAAGGCAATCATGAGCGTTGCGAAATTCATTATCATTGAACGCGATTCCACACGTATTTTGTACAAAGCACTCCAGAAAAAAAGCGGATCCGAAGTGTTCTAAAACACTTCAAGAAGGCATTATAACTCCAGACGCCGAAACCGTTCCGCTATATCACATGGGTATCCATATACCAACAACGCCCCTGGCCAATCCCACTCAAACACCAGGAATATGATCTTTCTTCGTGCGTATCCTTCCTTCCTTCACAGCGCCGATTGTAACGCCTGCTTCTCCAGTCATCCAACCCGGCATTTTCTCCCCGTCTATCACCCCTTGTTCGACTAGCTGTCTAATACCAGCGAATACGTGCGAGCCTCGGAATACGACGCGGACATCTGGGACCCAGGCCTCTTCGTTTTGAAGTTCTTCTACCTCTTCTAGTGAGCGGTCCAAAACGGACGGTCGTCCCTTACGGTTGCGACTGGTCGGCCCGGGGTTGAGATCGGACGTGTCTACCTCTTGTTGGGCTGAGGTATTTGGGATGGCGGGAAATGGATCGTCGATGCGGACTTCGACCCGCTCGAGCCCTTGGCCATCATTTGGTTTTGCAGAGCTGCCGAAGCGCCCTTCGGCGACTTCACGCCTTCTCTTTGCCTCTGGCGATTCTGTGTCGTCCAATGTCCGCTTTGGCCGTCCTGGTCCTGGTTTTGCGCCCGTCGATGCTTCCTTGTCCGCTCCACTCTTTTCATGAGCATCCCCGCGCTCTCGCTGGGTGGTGATGAAGTCTAGCGCATTCTGGCTGAAGCTGTGGTCCTGGAATATGCTCCATCCACCCGCAGCGGCATTACCCCTGCCTGGTCCTCGGTATGTAAGAAGCGCCTCGAGGGACTTCGTTGTGAAGTTTGTGCTGGCGAGCTGGTACCGCGCAGACGGGCGCGAGAAGGCCTTTGGAATGGCTTGCTGGACGATGTCGCGGAGATGTTTCCCATCATCTCCGATGATCTGCCCCAGGTGGTTTGCGATAGACGAGTACACGAATGGTGAGCCGTTCGGCCAGATGAAGAAAACCGATCTAGCGCTATCTGGAGATGCTGTGGTCGCCGCAAGTGAAGCTTCCGAACTATACGGTGAATCATGTATATAGACGCGCAGTATCGTCATTGGCAGCGTCTTGATCTTGGTGAGCAGATAATGCGCCTTCATCAGCGGCGTAAGCTCCCTCGCCAGGTTGGACATGAAGGTCTGCGCTTGAAATCGCGGCAGATGCTCCGAATCGTTCGTAACCTCCATATCCAGCACCGCGCTCTTAGCATTCGGTATCTTCGCGAGCCGCTTGGCCGTCCAGCGCAAGCTATTTGGGTGATCCAGCAAGTATTGGATCTCTGCCGTCGCCAATTGGTACATTGATATTCCCGTCCGCCAGTCGCCCTCGAGTATGCGATCCTGGATCTCGCGCTTCCCGCCCTTGCGTGCTGCCAGCTCCTTGTATACCTCCTGCAGCTCCTCGAAGCTCTGCGCTGGCGTGTACGCCTCCTCCTCGTCTTCATCGTCGGCATCGCGGTCGCTGAGAAGGTAGGGGCGGCAGAAGTCGCGGTTCTTTTTGGAGAGCCATTGGTGGGCTAGCGAGATGAGGGACTGTCGCGAGAGCTTGTTGAAGGTGCGCTGGACTTCGCGGTGGGTGACGGGCAGGCGGTGCGAGTGCGGGATGTTCTTGTAGTCCGGGACGGTGGTCGTGGTGTTGGGCGCCATGGCGGGCTACATGGAGGGAGCTGGACTCAGTTGTGTAGAAGCTCTCCGCATTGTTTATCGCTGTTATCGATAGGGTGAAATGTCGCGGTCCGGCGACGCGTCCGGGAGGAACAACCTTGGAAGGCCTCGATCGCACCACGTGATCTTTGAACGCGTTTCCAAGGTTCTCGAGTACGACGCCATTCTGGGAACAAAGACATCTTGCCCAATGATGCAGCGCTTGCATTTGGGTATTCTTCCTGCACGATCAGCCGGTGCAACGGTTATCACGTGATGAGCCAATCCCTGAAAACTGCCGGCGCCGATCGATCCAGTCTCGCGAATCTGCGGTCCAAGCTCGGGCGTCTTCGGACCGGCTATTGACCACCAGCACTCTTTGATCCCTCTTTGGCTACTAACTCGCCACGGCACTCAGCCGGCGGGGTCGACAATGAAATAAACAAGGGCTGCACAAAGGAGAGAGCTGAGCAGACTGCCGCGCGAAGCGCTGCCACCTGCTGGCTAATTTGGACCCGGCAATACGAGCAAAGAGCGCGTGGGGTGAGTAGAAAGCGGGCATCCAATCAGGGCAGTCAAACACGGTAATAATACTACACAGTATTGCCCGTCGCCGCCCGCCGCCGATACGCGGGGCTTCAACGGACGAGCAAAACCCTTTCGCAACAGAATCTCCCATTATTCACAACGTCACGACTCCCTCACCATCTCTACTTCCCGCCGCGATACCTCTCTGCGAAAACTACTCTTCCTGTACTCGCGAGTCCCCCCAACCGCTCTGCACCACCTCCCGTGCACTCTCGTCGCAGCTGCCGATTTGAAATCAATACATTCATCCTCGGAATTACTCATCTCGACGCAAGCGTACCCGCGAACCCCAACGGCCGGACGAACACACACAAAGCATCCATTATACATTCCGAATCCCCAAAAAGCGGCAGCGGACGTCACGATCCTCCCCGCTGGCAGCGCAGCAAACACTCATGTCCGCCTACAGCGGCCGCCGCGGGCCCAACGTGTCCCATTTCATCGCCAGCCTGAACGCGGTGCAGCCGCAGCAGGAGCCGCCGCTCAACGAGCCGGTCAACGTCGGGGACGAGTTCGACATGTTCATGAACACCGACTTCTTTGAGAACTTGGACGGCGGCACCGGCAACGTCGACCTGAACGCGCTGCCAGATTTCGACCAGACAAGCCCCACAAACACACACAAGGGCAATAGCAACGGTGCACGCCAGGAAAATATGGATTTCAGTCTGAATAGTGAGTCTCCTCTGCCCTTCTTCTCTCTGTTTCGCTCAATTTCGTCTTTCATTCTGTCTCGCTCCCCAATGTTCCGACGGCTCTTCACATTGCATGCTCTCGCCCAATAGCCGCCCGGCCAGGGTGCATGCGCACCCCGCCATCTGCAACACTCTACCCCACGCAATCTGGGCCTTCGCAGCCACTCATACCCACACGCTGCGGACGGTCACCGTTGCCCTATCGCCGAGGTGCAGCGAGGCAGCGTGCTTCCTAAGCACGCAATTGCACATGATAGCCAACACTACAGACAGCCACTTCGCCTTGCACACACGATCGTAACCCATATCCATGGAGACCATGGCTAACATCGATCTCTTCATAGGCGACTTCCAGTTTGCCGATTTCTCCAACTTCCCCAACGCCATCAATGTCGATCCATTGATGAAAATTCCGCCGCATGCGCAGCCTAGCTACGCTGTCCCGCCTACCTACACCTCGCCAGTGTCGTCCGCAGTATCTCCTGCCACTCACGGATTCGATCACCCTGCTGGTAAGAAGCGCAAGCTCGATCACGCCGAGTCCCACAGCCAACAGGCAATAGATGAGGCGGCCCGCGTCGCAGCTGAAGAGGACAAGCGTCGGCGGAACACGGCCGCGAGCGCACGCTTCAGAATCAAGAAGAAACAGCGCGAGCAGGCACTCGAGAAGACAGCAAAGGAAATGTCGGACAGAGTCAGCGTCTTAGAGTCCCGTATTCAGCAGCTCGAGACGGAAAACACTTGGCTCAAAGGGCTCATTACGGAGAAGAGCGGCGGCAAGGCGTCCGCATCGGAGATCAAGGCGATGCTGAACAAGCATGAGGAGAGCAATACCGAGCGGAGTAGCGGAAACAGGACCGATGGCGTTGGAACCAAAGCCGACGATTCGAAGGCTTAGGCCAAAATTCGTTTGTTTGCTATTGCCCTTCTTCACTGAGCTTTCTGCTTTCGCCGGCTATTCTTATCGCTGGCGCGCATCCTTGTATCTTGCTTTGGTATTTACTGGCTGAAGACTATAGGCGTGCGAGATTAGAGGACATGCGGTCCCTGAACGCACAAGCCGGAGCGAGAGTGCGATGCTCATTAGCATGAGTTTATGGAGGAGCTCGGTTAATAATTTTCTACAATTACACCTTGTTAAGATTTTGACGTTGTCATAATTCTTTCGTGGACTTCCGGGCTATCTATATTCACAATAATCGTTCTGACCGTGCAAAGACGGTCTTGTCATCCCCGGTCGGATTTTCGCAACAACGCGCGAACTATAGATCGATCGTCCACAAAAGCATCAAAGTCTCCGCACTACGGCGTGTGAACAGATTCAGTTCGGAAACAGGTAGTATTTTCAATTTCGTGAATGCTCGAACATCCGATAAAGAATGCCCTTAGGTATACGTAAGAGCCGTCGACATGAACTTCCAGACCAGCATATGAACATTCGAAAGATGGGAGGACACCGTTGATGCAAGGAAGCACGCACGCCGGAACCCCCGCACCCACGTATCCAACAAGAATAAGAATCGTGAGTAAGGTCGTCCGTTTGACGACCCTTCTCATCACCCCTCGTCCTCCTCCTTTTTGTGTCTTTCACCCCCTTGGTGTCTGTGTCTAGATGCCGATCCAGTTGATGCTGATCACCACATCCATGCCCTTCTTCTCCGCACCTTCCCACTTGTACGAGAAAGTGCCGTCCTTCTCGGTGTTCCAGAAAGCTCCGACAGCAGAGTGCATGCCGCGTCGGCCAGCAGAGCCGGATTCTGAGGGCGCACCCGGGTGTTGGATTATGGTGCTGTTGGCGATGTATTTGTATGCTGGCTGCTTCGATTCGGCGGCGCCGGTCTTCTCGATGAGGGATTGGAGGATGGTGTTCTGTCGGCCACCAGTCAGTTATTAGTGAGGGTGACGGAGAAGTGAGACGGATATGGAATGTGCGGAGTGTCGTGTGAGGCTCGTTTGGATGGAAGGAGGCATACAATGATTGCGGTGTTCCAGTCTGCTACGCTGCCGTGCTCATACTTTTCTACTAGACCAAGGGCGCTTTCGCAGGCCTGATACAGTGTCGTTTAGCGTGGGAATGCAGATCAAAGGGTGAAGGATGCCTACATGGCTAGCGATCTGCTGGAACTCTTCCGTTGGGAGAGGTGACTGCAAGTGAATTAGTCTCAACCCACATTAACTTTCAAACTAAATTACTCACAGCCATTGTGAATGTGAATGCGACGGTAGGAATGCGGGAGGTATTGCGGTATGTGTAATGGCGTTCAGATGAGGCGCTGCGCAGTGAGGTGTTTACGTCGGGTGTTTTCGACCCAAAGTCCGTTGCGCACGGTGCCCAGAAGCCCCAAATCGGGTTACCGTCACGTGGGAGCTTTGATTGGACGGCAGGTGCGACCCTCGTGCTTGCCCATCACGAGCTGCTCGAAGAGCTTGATCTGTTGACTTCTTGCGATTGCCCTCCACTACCACACTTTCTTCTCGCTACCATATCTCATCTAGAGCTATTACCCAACTGTACCGGCTTATCAATAGCTAATTGACCCTCTTTCGAGCTATCCGGGCTCCATCTCCATTGACAACCTTCGTTTCTTCTTCCTGGCGGGGTACAGTCGTTATGTCTAGCCAACCGCTTCTCCAAACTGCCCCAGGCAAGCTACACCATCTCCCGCTTCTCATACCGCACCTACTGACACATCCCAGGCAAACGCATCGCCCTCCCCACGCGCGTCGAGCCCAAAGTCTTCTTCGCCAACGAGCGCACCTTCCTCTCATGGCTCAACTTCACCGTCATCCTAGGCGGCCTCGCCATGGGGCTTCTCAACTTTGGCGACAAAGTCGGACAGATTAGCGCGGGCATCTTCACGCTCGTCGCTATGGCAGCAATGGTGTATGCGCTGTATACATTTCACTGGCGCGCGAAGAGCATACGGCAGAGGGGCCAGGGCGGCTTCGATGATCGCTATGGGCCGTCGATTTTGGCCATTGCGCTGTTGGCGGCGGTGATTGTCAATTTTGCCTTGAGGGTTACGGTTGGCGAGAAGCATTGATGAGATATGCTGTTGACTTTGAATTAGGTCGACTGGACCTGGGCTTCGTCGATTTCGGCAGTCGTGTTGCTGCCGGCGATGATTGTGATTTTTAGGTTGAGGGCTACCGATGAAGACTTGACGGCGGATACCACAATCGAGGACGATTACAGTATTGGAAGCGGATCGAGCGCACAACGGTCGTTTGGAACATAGAGCGGCGAGGCATCTATCACTATGTGTATATGGTGGAGCTGTTCATAGAAGAGTTGCGGGATACCATGGGCCGGCGTGAGTTTCAATTGCGCATTGTTTCTTCAGTCGAAAGCAGCATGTCGCGGTTCACGCATTCATATATGCCACAATGTCTATTCCTCCCGATTGTCGCCTTTCTCGCTACAACTCATTGCCCAGACCCGCGTCAATCACCTATTCGCACATTGGGCCAAAATCAAATATCAACTAACAGTTCTATCACCTTCTAAGGCATCATGCTATCAGATTCTGTTTCAGAAAGCCTCCCCGATCGTATGCTGGCGCCGTTGAGACATTTAGTCTCAGATTCTGCTCTTCTGCTAACACGGACGTTCCCTCAAATACTTGGGAGAATCTAACGATGCCGACCACCAAATTGTCGAGGCTAGGGGACGGGTTCAAAGTGGGCTCTCCTGCGTGAGTCACCTAATCTTGCCGTTTAGCAGAGGTCGCAGCTAACCATTGCCAAGCTCAATCTCAGACAAACTAGCTCACTTTCAAGTCAATGATGAGGTCTTCACCATCCATCTCGACCTTCTACTCGATCTCGTTAGCGAGTGGCCAGACTTGTTCGAATTCACCCACGACGACGAGAACCGAGAGCCACACTATTCTTACGACTGCGACGACGGCCCGTATGTGGTTAGAGGCCTTGTGTACTGGATCTATACTCGGGACTTCCCGGGCGATGAGACGATCAGAGAGTGGGATTACCCGGAAGAATGGGACGAAGGGGAAGAGGAGGAGCCGCTAGCCTGCAGCTTGGTAATCGAGCTATACTTCTTCGGCTGGCTGATGCAAATTGGAAGGCTCCTAGACGAGGCCATGAACTTCCTCTTCTTCCAATACAAGAAGCAGCGCATCCCACCGAGCGTCGGCCGCATCAACCAGATATACGAGACGCAGCACACCAGTGGACTCAAGGACTTCTGTGTCGATATGCATACCAAGTGGTGCATCATTGACTGGAGTGCCCTCGGAATCGACCAGCTGGACGATGAGAGTGGGGGCTACCCTACGGCATTCCTTTGGGACTTCTTCGTTCGCATGGGCATGCGCAACTACAAGACTGCCAAGGATGGCTCATCGGCGGAGAACTGCATGGTCTTGAAGCTTCGGGACTATCACGAGCACTGGGATAAGAGGATGGAATTACTCTGCCCGTGCGGAAGCCCGCAAGAAGGGATCCACTTCATCATTGAATGAGAAAATTTCCAGTGCAACGGCGGATACTAAAAAGCCAAAACAAAAGGCTTACAACGGCAAGCGCTTTTCCACCGCGAGTGCGCTATACTGGAGATGGCAATGGTAAGCCACGGCTTCGTCAGCTAGACAGGAGGGCCTCAGGCTTCATTCACGAGTGCACGAAGACTAACAATCATTCCGAATCATTCTACGACTCTGCGTCCGAAAAATCTATTTGATCATCTTCCATAGCGTAATTTTTACTTCATTACGCAACCTTTACCTGCTCCTCAGCCAACACTTTCTCGTCCTGTCCTTTTCTCCACGGCCGTTTCCACGTTCCCAACATTTCGTCCCTCCACCTGTCAAACGCCTTCTTCCGCTCCACTAAGGTAGTCTCGGTATCCCTCCTTTTCCCAGAATTTCCGGTTTCTTCCATCACGTCTCCCCCTTCCTCAAGGTCGAACCCGAACCTCCGAACCATGTTCCGCTTCTGCACCCAAGAGAACAGTATCCAGGCAACCAGCACTACCGCTGTCAAGGCGCCGGTCAACATAAAATATACCCAAATATATCTTGAGACCATATTCCCACCTCCGCTTTCACTTCCACCTGAGTCGTTATTCTGCGTCGGATCACCATTCCCCCAGTCAAACAACCCCGTCGAGAACACGGTAGCAACAAACGTTCCAGGCAAGAAGATCAATGTAACGGCAGCAATGATGCGCATATCGGTGCTGTCACGGCGGGTCAGGATAGCGATTCGGCGAGAGTCGGAGGCGATCTGGCAGGACGCGCTGGTAGCGGAGTGGTTGAGCCGGTTATCTTTTTGCGCTATAAGAGAGTATATCTTGCGGTCATATAAGCGACAAAGGGAAATGGGGGAACGAGGTGTTGGGGACGTACTGTTTGTACTTGCGCCGAGATGGATCGTTCAAGGTACTGACACTTCTCTTCGGCAGCCAGCAGCGTCTGGCGCACGAAGTCTAGCCTCTCCCTAAACATCCTCGCATCCTCCATCCCAGTCCCATTGCCACCAAGCATACCCTCAACAGTCTTAACGACTCGCTCCTGGAGCCCCACAAAACTCTTCTGCGCCGCAACCCAGTCGCTTAAGCACGTCAACCTCAACATCACAGCATCAAGATCCAGATCCTGCCTCTCATCGCCCAAGCTCTTCCGCGCCTCCACGCCTCCTCCCCTGGCAGTCCCTGCAATCGTGGCGCTCTTCAACGAGTTGAAGCGGTCCATACCGGTGCGCTGTTGGATTTGGCTGAGTAACTTGATGCGCAGTTTGAGTAGGGATGATGTCTCATCGGCAGCGAGGTCTAGTAAGATAATGGGCAGGAGAGAAGGGTGCGTGGAGACGTGCGGTGGGGATGCATACGAGAGCTGGGCGAGGTAGGAAATCACGAGGTCGATTTCTGTCGCGGTGAGGCCGACGATTAGGACGTAGGTTGTTGACGTAGTAGGGTCGTGGGTTAGGAGGAGGGTGTAGTCCCATGTCCAGTCGACGTCGCCTCTGACTAGCAGGCATTTTGCTTGGTCGGATATCTTACTGGATCTCGAGCCGGCTTCGGCAGGATATTTCCTATCCTGCGAGAACCACGGAAAGGAGGGTGAGGATGTCGGTGAGGAGATGCATGGGGCAACAGAGCATTGCGTAACGATGGAGAGTTTTTGGGTTACGGCTCGTAGGAAGGTAGATGGGATGCACCATGCGTGGGATAGAGATTGGTACGTTTCTCGCGTAAAGGGGAGCTTTCCGCTTGAAGGTTTGCCGGAAGGTTTTGGCGACAACCTGGGCAGTATTAGCTGGCCATTACAATTTAGACAGTATGATGAAAGGGAGCCATGGACCTACAGCACTCTCAACCCAGCTTGCACAGGGCCACCCGCGGATCGATCCTGGACGCCGGTCAGCTACACCCACACGCTAACAATTCTCGATGAAGCCATACCTCATGCACCCAACCCGCAATCTCCTTCTCCTTCAAATCTCCGCATCGGTATATCGGCGTTCGCGAATCCTATTCATTCCATCAGTTCCAGGACCGCACCGAAACCACAGTGTCCTCTCAACTCACACCGATATCCCAAATCTCCACAAACCGATGTCCATTCCTCTCCGCAAACCTCTCCTCGCACTCCACCAACCTCTCGGCGCAGAGATCAAACATCCGTTAGAATTGGCCAATTAGACACATCCGAAACTGCGAATCCCGTTATCGCGACCGGTGACCATGCGGCACAACAGCAGGAATCAGGAAGAAGGCAGACACGAGGCTGCGAGAGGCGGGGTGTCTTTTATTAATACGATGAAAGTCAAATCCTGGAGCTGTCGGGGAAGCTTGAGCATGCGGGCGATACCAGGCAGCAAAGGATTGGTTGGGTAGATCGCATGCATGAACGTGAGTGGCTGTGCGAGAGGCGCAGCGGAAGAAGCACGTAGTAATTCGTTACCGATGCCATGATACTAACCTAAATCAACATACCGTTAAAATATGTACATTATTAGGAAGATTTGTAGATTACTCTACTTATTTCTTACTATATGATAATAGGCATCTATTATACACATTATATATCCTATCAGGTCGAAGGCCGGCCATCTACTAGCTCGATATCGGAATCTGATCGTTCGGTGCGGTAAATGTTCACGTCTGTGGACTTGGAGATGACACCAAATGGAAGGCTGCCAGACTTCTGGTCGCGGCCGGAGCCCTGACGCAAGTATGACCCTTTGCCCGGACCGTCGCTACCATAGTTGCTCTTGCCCGCGTAAGTGCTGGCGCCGCGCACTTGCCTCAACGCCTTGTGGAAGATGCTTTGTATGGCGGGCATGCAGGCGACGACGGTAAAGAGGTTGGATTCGGTCGCGCACCAGTAAAGACCGGCAGTGTTGTCATCTACAAGCCATTAGCGATCGATGAAACAACAGTCGCTGAGGTGGATACGTACAGGTCGGGTTTTGAGTGTTGGCAAATTGCACGAAGGATTGAAGCCGGAGGCAGCTCACAATCGTAATGATAAAGCCTACACAGAATATGGACATGATCTGCAGCTTCTTCTTCCTCGACATCTTCAGTCCGGCCAGCATAGGGAGAGGCAGCGTCAGAATAGCCAGGTCGAGAAAGATCTCGATCCCGCCTCGGATAAAGCCGAACAGACGAACATCGATGCAAGATCCGGGTTTGTCCCCTTTCCAGCCGTCCCAGAAGAAATGAATGGGTGCGCACTGGAAGATCATGCTAAACGTGTTTGCGAGCCCGAACCCCAGGACGAGTCCTATCAAGATCCAGACGGCCAGGCGCGACTTCTTGTTTACCATGATACGGAGGTAGAATGCGAGGATGGAGAGCTGGCACAGCGCTTCGGCGATCATGTACATGAAGTAGGCGACATAGAGCCACTTCAAGCTGACGGTGATGTTGTCGGGCCGCATGCCCCATATGTCCGTTCCAAACCCCAAATGACCCGCTACGATGACTGGCACGTTCATTCCAATGGACGAGAACTATAGGATGATGGTCATTAGCATGCCCTGACGCAGTCGACATGATAAGGTGGTTGCATACCCCCGACAAACCGATCAGTAAATCGTCCCATCCAAGCTGCGCTACCGAGGAGATGGCTCGATCAGCTAGCCGCATCGTGACCATCACCAAGGCTAGTGCCCCGAGTGATGCAACGACCCCAATCAGCGTTGCGCTCTGATTGCGCGTCGGAACGCCGCATGCTGCGTACGTCTCGTTCGTGGCTTGCAGCACCTCGACGACGGTACAATTGGCCGCATTGCAGGCCGCAGCGGCGTTCATGAAGTTTGCATCGGCACAGAGGCAGGTGAAGTCGGTGGGTGAGCAGGTCGTCGTAGGCAAGGTAGCTTGAAGACATTGAACCTGAAATTCCGGGTCAGTCTGCTTTCAATTATGAACGTGAAGGCGGAGTGAAGCTCACAGAGCAAGCAGGTAGTCGGGTTAAGAAGTCTTGCTGGGCGAAGACGCCCGCTACGAAGAAAGCGACTGTCAGGAGGGCGCCGTGTAATCCCATTGTAGCTGTGGTCGAGTCAAACGGACTGCACGGCGGCAGGTGACCTGGACGGGTGTGTCGACATATATGGAGGCGACATTAGGCCCGAGTGGAGTTGGGTTTCTCGCACAGAGCAACACTGGTCAGGAGAAGAACCCCGTACCTTGGACGTTTCGACATGGGGGTTCGGAGGAGCTTTCATCCTGAAAGGTACGAGATCTGCATGCCCCGGCATGTCGTAAACGGCCCGACATGTTGTCGCTTGGGAGCAGGGAGCACGAGCCGACGTGTTGGGATAAACCCGTACCTGCAGATTGATCTCACCCCATCCGTCCCTCGCTTTTTCACGAGGGATTAATGCCTCTTTGATCCCGTTTCTTTAGCATGGCTAACCAAAGCCGGGTAGTTGGGGGCGTATTCACGCCTCGACAACACGAATTAGAATCCTTACCTGCAAGCCCGTAGCCGATACTTGTTGAGGGCGTTTTCCCGCAGCGCCACCTGTGAGAGGCAAGGGCCTGAAACTACCATGTACATACTGTGGAATCCGGCATAAGGTTTTTTACAGTACCATTCTCCACTTCACGCGCACGGCCTCGCACGGCCGCGCACAATTCTTCTTAGGAATTCTACGGTGGCTCCCTACGCACGGGCACGGGCACATGGAGAATTGGTATAACTTATGCCGGATACCACAGTGCACGACGGCAGGAGCCACATCAAAACGGCGCCGAAGACATCAATGGGGACTGCGGCTCTTTTGTGGGTCGCTGATGAAAGTTCTGAAGGATTGCGGACCCGCTTCCTTTCGAATGCGCCCAGTCGATGGCTACGCATTACATGCCAGGGCCAAAATATCTCCTGAGCGAAAGGGAGCCGTATGCCTGTTCCTCTGAGTCTGGCAGTGCAGTCCGCCACGTGCTAACCGAGTTTGGAGATGTATGGCCTAGCCGCGTCGCTGGTTCGCGGCCCGAAGGCGCTAGCACGCTACCCCCGCAAAGAAACGGTCCCTAGCCGCGAAGAAAAAAGGGTTAACGTCGCAGGAAAGAGCAGATTATATGAAAGGTGTTAGTCAAGTCCCCAGACCCGCCGCATGTGTTCCCCCTTTCCCATTGCCGGACGCGATTCATTTGTTTTTAGGTTAAGCGGGGCCTTTTTGGGCGTTGAACGGGTGGCTTGGTGGGGCAGGGTGACATCCGTCCCGAGCGGCGCTCTCGTAAAAGCTCCACCTGCCCCGGCTCGCCCCTCACCCCTATCACGGCTTGGGACCTGGAGCGTAGATACCAAACCCCTATCATGTTCGGCGAGCTACACACGCCACCCGAGGCGAACAAGCCTCGGTATCTTGAGCCGCTGCCAGCTCCGGCCAAAAACGATATCACTGTCGATAGGCTTTCCCTCTCCAAATCCCTTACCCTCATCCCCAGTTGATCGCTACCGCCAGGATGGCCATCGTGTGGACGACAATTGTCCTCCTACTCTTCAGCATCGTCGCCGCGTACCTTCTCAACCAATTCATACGACCAAAGAATCATGACCTACCACTCCCTCCAGGACCGAAAGGCCTCCCAATTCTTGGAAATGTGAACGACCTGCCGAAGCCTGGCATGCTGGAATGTCACCACTGGCTCAAGCACAAGGACCTTTATGGCCCGATCAGCTCTGTTACGGTGTTGGGGCAGACATTTGTGATCATCAATGACGCGCAGATTGCGCTTGAGCTGCTTAGAGACCGCTCGGCTATCCATTCTGCTCGGCCTCATATGGTTTTCAGTAGCGATATGTACGTACACTTAGCTGTAAGCGATACACGCCCTTATACTGACCCGTAACAGGATCGGCTGGAAAAACACCCTCGCATTTAGCGGTTACACCGACACCTTTAAATTGCACCGTAAAAATATCGCCAAAGTCGCCGGCAGCAATGTAGCGGTCTCCGTCTTCAACCGCGTGCAGGAGGAAGAAGCAGTGCACTTCCTACTCAACGTCCTCTCCTCGCCAGAGGACCTGTTCAGCCACATCAAAAAGGAGGCCGGCGCCGTGATCCTAAAAATTACCTACGGGTATACGGCCAACCCGCATGGCAAAGACCCCCTGGTCGACATGGCTGTTAAGACGATGCATGAATTTGCAGACGCGACAGTTCCAGGGAAGTGGGCGGTGGATATTATGCCCTTCCGTAAGTATATATACCCTATGGAGCAGCGGACACGAGGGCGCAACGTATATGTGGCTAACCCGACTTTTCGCGATAATAGTGCGGTACGCACCAGACTGGCTCCCAGGCACCAGCTTCAAAGCCACAGCGCTCCAAATGGCGGCCCAATTGCGCCAAACAACCGAGCAACCCTACCAGTTCGTTAAGCAGCAAATGCGCCAAAACAAGGCCAAAATATCATTCCTCTCACAGGCCATCGAGACCATCAACTCAGACGCAGATGTAGATATGGAGCGCATCCACAAGTGGTCCGCATCCTCTATGTACCTCGGCGGCGCCGACACCACCGTCTCCTCTTTAATGACCTTCTTCCTCGCCATAACGCTCTTCCCTGACGTGCAGAAGAAGGCGCAAGAAGAGCTCGACCGCGTTATCGGCGACCGACTGCCTGTCAGCGCCGACCGCCCAAACCTGCCCTATATCGAAGCCGTGGTTAGTGAGACACACCGCTGGCATCCAGTTGCGCCTATGGCGCTACCGCATTCTAGTACGAAGGAAGACGTTATTCATGGATATAGAATTCCAAAGGGTAGCCTGCTTCTTCCGAATAACTGGTTAATAGCCCCTCGTCCCCAGCTCCGCATAGCCGAACTGACAAATTCTAGGTGGTTTACCCACGATCCCGCCGTGTACCCCTCGCCCATGGACTTCATCCCGGACCGCTTCCTCGACACGCCTACGCACGAAGCGGAGCCAGACCCGCGAAACTGGATCTTCGGTTACGGGCGGCGCGTGTGCCCTGGCCGCTACGTCGCCGATAACGCGCTGTTTCTCACGATTGCGCAGTCACTGGCGGTTTTCAAAATCGAGAAACTGGTCGAGGATGGAAAGGTGGTGGAGCCGGAGGTGAGGTTCGAGCCCGGCATTGTCTCGCATCCTGTGCCGTACCGCGTCTCGATTAAGCCGAGGTCGGAGAAGCATGCAAGGTTGATTAGAGAGGCGGAGAAGGAATATCCGTGGCAGGAAAGCGATGCGAAGGCACTGGAGACGGTGAAATGGTAAAGCGCGAGCGTGTCCGCTGTTTCGTCTTGCGCTGGGGAAGGTTGCGCTTCGACTGTCTGGAACAGATGACTGTCTGTGGTGCAGCTCGTTTGAATGGCCTTCCCGCATACGTAAGCGGTCGGTGCTCTCCCCTGTGGACTGTAATATAGACATAACGGAGCAACGAGCGCTTGGACCGACACACCGACCCTAGACTTCCAAGGCTAGCTCAAGTGGACGGAAGTGTGAGCAATAGTTTCCAGGCTCGTCTTCGCAGCTGTAGTTTCCGGCCGGCAAAGCCGCGTCCTCCGTGTCTTCGAACTGGCAAGCGTGCTTCGCCGCTCACCTGCATAACCTGCACCCGTGGACGACGCATCGGAGCCCTGTCGGATTTCAATAACGGCTCATGCCACCGTGTATGTTCAATATGCGCGGGCGTGTGGCGTCTCCTCCCGACCCTATGTATCGTTCCTGCCGTGGTAAGAAGTCCTTCCAACCCAGAGAACAGCTTGACACCATTCTCTATCTTTCCACCTCCCTCACTTCATCCTCACTAGGACCGAAGCTATGTTGCTTCATACGGGCTCTAGTATCAACGATTCGGATCGCGCATCGATCATGAGTACTGCCTTGTTGGCCGCGACCGCAATGGCACTACTCTATTTCTTCACGGGACTCGTAGCTTCTCGCCGCTTAATGTTTAAGCTTCGTAATGCTGGATTTGTTCGTACCAGCGTTACCCGAAATCATAGATATTTTCTAATGCTTGATTTAGCCCATGCCCAAGTACAATGCTGCCTTCGGGCACCTCCTCGTCCTCAAGGAGCATATGGACGATCTACCTGTCGACTGTACAACGAACACCAGCTTCCTCAAGATTGCAAAACAATTTCCAAACGGCCTATTCTATTTCGATCTTTGGCCGTTCGCAAACCCTCTACTCATTGTCAATACCCCCTCGGCCGCAAATCAATTGGCTCAAGCTCCTCTTGACAAGCCAGAGCAGATTTACCATGCTTTCCGCCACCTAACAGACGGTCCCAATCTCTTTACTATGAAGGAAGAGCGTTGGAAAGTGTGGCGTGTTCTTTTCAACCCAGGGTTTAGCGCCAGCTACATGCTGGAGCTGGTTCCAGCAATCGTGAAGGAAGCGGCGGTGTTTTGCGACCTTCTTCACAACCACGCTCAACGTGCTGCCATGTTCCAACTCGAAAATCTCACCATCAAACTCACCATTGATATCATTGGAGCAGTCTCAGTGTAAGTACGAGAGCTTTCAATGACCCATTTGCCACATCTAACATGGCGGTCAGTAATAGCCGGTGGAACTACCAGCTGCGAGACCATCCACTTGCTTCAGCGTTGCGCACACAGATCGAGTGGACAACGTTTGGGACGGAGATGAATCCTTTCAACCGATACCACATATTGCGTCCTCTGATCCTATGGTACAACAATCGACGCCTCGGTAACCTCATTAACAGTGAAATCATGAAACGATACAAGGAGCTCAGAAATAGCTCTACGGGAAAAGGAGATTCTGCTGTGAAACCTTCAAAGTCAATCATCACGCTTACGCTTAAAGAGTACCTGAAAGAGAAGGACATTAGTGTAGCCGAGACACCCAGCAAAGAATTTCTTGAGGTCGCCAGCGCGCAGCTTCGTCTCTTCCTCTTCGCCGGTCACGACACAACAAGCAGTGTACTGATATACTGCTACCACGCTCTTTCAATGAAACCCGAAGCAATGAAACGTCTCCGTGCCGAACACGATGAAGTGTTTGGAGACGTTTCTACGACAGCGGAGACAATCGTTAAAAGCCCACAGCTCCTGAATCAACTACCGTACACTCTAGCGGTTATCAAGGAATCCCTTCGACTATGGCCCCCGGCTTCTTGCATGCGGGCTGGGAAGGCTGGTGTCAACATCGTTGATGACAACGGAACATCTTTTCCCACGGAGGGTTGTTACGTGTGGCAAATCTCGTTGCTCCTACATCGAAACCCAACGTATTGGAAAGATCCTGATTCGTTCATACCCGAACGGTGGTTGGTTGGACCAGAAGATCCTTTGTACCCGATCAAGGGAACATGGCGACCGTTTGAATTTGGTTCCAGGAGTTGTCTTGGCCAAACGCTAGCTTTGACGGAGCTCAAAGTCGTCCTAGTCATGACGGCGAGGAATTTCGACATCCAGCCCGCCTACGATCAGTGGGACCAAGAGCACAAAAGCAATCGTACCCGATCTGCTGAAGGTAACAGGGCATACCAGGTTGAGGGAGGTGGTGGTGGAGCTCACCCTGCGGAGAGATATCCCTGCACGGTCACGTTCAGGGGATGAGATTACTAATCGGTTTTTTTCCCTTCATCCCAAGTACCCAAGAGAACTTGCGACTATTTCGAGAGGTGGAGAATCAGGTTCTCATTTTGATGAAACGTTAAGGAATACTACAAGCCACAGTCTCCGAAATCGCTTCGACCCGTTCACAGTTGGCTAGATTTCGCGCCTACTTTAGCCGGAGCGGTCCTGAAGTATTGACAGGTGCTTGCATTTATTGCGGCACAGTCGTTTGCTTACCACACGATAATTCTCGAACCCTACGAAAAGCTTCGTGGTCTTCCGACAAAGCAATCCTTGCTCATGCATATGAACGTCACGTAGCTGACTTTACGCTACTCCCGCGCCTATGGCTGCACGTCCATCCAATAGGCATGGACGTATCTATCTCGACCAAGAGGGCGCGGACATCTACCAGTGCAGTGGGAAAACAGCAATGTCACACCATGACCGCGCCGTTCCGGGGGTGAGCGGGGGAAGACCTGACCCCGAGTCACCCAGTGCGCATCTGGTTTCCGCTCGTCCAGGCCGGCTTTGTGGAATTCTCTCCTCTTGTCCTGGGTCCACGAAACAATCTTGTGTTTCCACTCGACGACCCGCACCCGCTACGTACGATGAGCTTTACGCAGAGTCTCATCGCAGAGTCGCGCACCATAGCCTAGCTGCATGTGTAGGTATTTAAGTGGGCTTTGTGATTCCCGTCACGTCACAAAAAAATTTTGCTCACGATTCGGCTTAGAAATTTTCCGGGAGCGCTTTGAAATGGACAGCGAACACCAGAGGAAACTCCTCTGACCAGCTTGGATACATACGGCACGACAATGGCGTGGACACGAGGAGAAACAGGCCAGTTTCGTCGCGGAAACGGGGCTACCTTTACTCCAAAATGCTTACCGTTGCATGTCCTGTCCTGGATAGACTTCAGAAAGCATGTCTATTATACACTTATGCTTTTAGCTACTTAAAGAGCCTGTGGCCTTCTAAACATAGGTGATCTAGTTAGGTTTGATTAGCGACGTGACGTCTTCAAGATGGTCTCTATCTAGCGCAATAAGGTCCGCGTCGTAACTTGCTCTAAGCTGTCCGCTCATAGGAGCCTGCCAATGCGATGGATACGAGACATTATGAGGAAAAGTATTCACGTGTGCACGACTGGAATGAGGGATTGAGAAAATGATGGTATTGATATTGATTCGATGTTTGCAAGGGAGTGTACTGGAGGAAATGATCGCGAAGTCGCTCCTCGAAACTAGAAGCGAACGACTGTCCTGAAATTCGACCATAAGATGAAGCGAGCGTCGATGTAGATTGCGGAGTAATCCGTAAAATGCGCGAAGAATCTTCACGCAATGTCCCTTCCTTGGAGCCGATGCGCTCACTCTTCCTCGTCGTCGTCCTTCCCGGGGAACATCTTTCCCCATCCCTTCTTGACATGATCGGTGATGCTGAAGTCATTGAACAGCCAGGTATTTGCATGCCGTCCATAGTACTGAAACTCAGGCACACTCTTGGCGCTCTTCGCACTCTCATTGCTCGCCCTCCTCTTCTTAACCTTCGGCTTCGAGAAGCCTCCCCGCGCAACTTCAACACTCTCACGGTGTATAGCGGAGTGCGGGACGACACCCATGACTTCGAGGCGCGAGACACTGTTGTCGCTGGCGCTGGTAGACGAAGTCTGGCTCTTGCGGAAGGCGGGCAGGCGGGAGATAACCCTCGTGGAGTCAAAGGAGGTGGTTCGGCTTCCGGTGGGTCGGGACAGTCCACGAGCGTCTCCATTGTTGGGGTCGGTGTTAGACTTTTTAAGGTGGTTGAGTCTTGCGTTCAAGTCTCGGGGATCGATGGGGGTAGTGCGGGGATCATGCATCGCCTGGTGTGTCAAAACCGCGTTGATTGCGACCGAGCGGGGTCGCAATTTTTTTCCAGTTTGGTTTGGGTGGTGGTGATGTATCCGTGACTCGACTCTGACCCTCTTTGATAGACAGTCTGAGAGGATAGAAGGTCGGTGGTGTAGATATTTGGGCGTTATAGTGTCTGTGGATGATGTGGATTATCAATGATCGAAGCTGGACTGGTCCTTGAAGATATCGTCAGGGTTCGATGAAGATATCTGGCTGATATGAATCCCACGAGACGTGGGGACCGGTCTTCTTTTAAGTTCATCCGTCAACATAGCCAAGAAGTATACTCGGGCCTTACCACCGTATTTCCGGCGTCGCGTCCCCCAAGTGGGTCACCGTTCGAGCCTCTAAGGAGGCCGTTCACGCCGTTATCTCTACTCATCCTAGTACTCATATGCAAGGACTTATCATCTGCCCCGTAACGATCGGTTAGTCCGGGTCTCGTGTGCGACCGTGCGGTTCTCTCCACGAATCTGGGATCGTTCGTGGAATCCTTCGAAACACTCAATGACATAAGCCATGCGCTAGACACCTAGGCGGCCTAGGCACTACATCTCGTGACCTCTCTTATCCCAGATATCGTTCCGTTAGTTCCGAATACGGGCCTGGAAAGGGTATAGCGGCGCTTGGCGATTACGTCGGGCATCCCCACATGAGGCTGATGAGGCCATTGAGCGTTTGAGCCACATGCCCAACCATTCGATATCCTTGTAAGGCTGACTTTGGGCTGGCGATCCGGTCACGAACGAAGACTCGCATGTATGCTTCCGGAGGAGATGTAGCTTCGTGGACACTGGAGGCGGTTCATTCGTCGCGGGAACGCTGGGAAACTTCTAGGCAGGTTATTAGCTCGAGAATGGTATTCCCGGGTCCAAGCAGACTGATGCCATCCGCCCAACCGTGGTTTTATGCATCAGGCATTTGAGTGAACGTCTGGACGGTTTCTCACCAGCGGCGTAGCATTTTCGGACGTTCCGAGAGGCATGAGATACATCTAGCCTTGCTAAGAGAGACGAACCTAAGAGGAGATGCATTGAACGTTTCGCATTTTTGCACAGAAGTGGTGATGTGGGACGGACGGCCGTTTGAGCTTGTGCTTGTGGATTCTAGTGTGTGGCTGTGACGCTAATCCCGATTTAGGTGGTTTATACGTTCTCCATATACCTCCAACTTCTCGATCTCTACATGCCGTCTACCCACTCAGAATATCAATCACCTATTCGAGAGTTCCGCGCCTGCAGCGTCAATGTTACCAGTAGACACACAAGCACTTGTTACGTCATAGCACAGATACAATAACCGAGGTTACTCCTGCGATACCTAGGTAGAAGACAGAATTCTTATTCGGATCGTTTTTACTAACTCCTTTCGCATTTCCCATGCATCTGATGCTCCAAGCGGAGTTCTGCTCACTCCGCAAGCCAAATAATAGTCCTACATTACTGGTTTTCTGAGAGTCATCCTGTCCGCCCTGATCATCTCGTCCAGTCCGTTCCACTATACTAGCCCGGAAAGACCAATTACACGCAACTCCGCATGCATGAGATGCAATTACTATCTTGGCAAGAAGTAAGCTGAATGCATGGTGAGTAAACAGCAAAAATCTGGTGCTACTACTACACTGACGTGAGTGTCAGTAGGACGCCTGGTAGATGACAACAGCGTATATATACAGAGGAAGCGTAGCACCCTGATGGATGCCATACCCAAGTCAATTCCGAGAATCCAGTCCGATACCCTCGACTAGTCTACTTCAAGAACGTTATTGCACCCCACAGCCATGACGCACAACCGCGAAACTCATCCGAAAGATTTTCCATTGGCTGGCCTAGCCAACGACGGCTGGTCCACAGAAGACGAGGCAACGGCGACGTGCTTCTGCGGAGCTGTGCAACTAGCATTCGTAAGCCCCGCAGTTTCATTCTCATCAGTCATCAACGTACCTCGGCACCCAACTAACCACGCCCATCCACGTTTACCCCCATCCGATCTTCTCCGCATTCTCAGCTGACACGCACCCAGCCAACCCAAGGCCCCGGTCTGGTCAAAACCTTCGTCTGCAACTGCTCCGACTGCCACAAGATCACCGCCTCAATGTTTGCATCCAACTTCGCGGTACTGGACACGCATCTTAAGCACCTGCGCGGTCGCGACAACCTCCAAACCTGGGGCCAGTCGCAAACCATCGCTAGCCGCCACATGATGACAAACTATTTCTGCAAGACGTGCGGGACGCTGATGTACCGCGTCGGCTCTGCCTTTCCTGGAATAAGCATTTGTAGAATTGGTACAATTGATGACTTTAGTTTGATGGAGACGAAATTGAGGCCGAGAGAAGAGTACTTTGTGAATACGCGGGTGAATTGGTTGCCGGGTGTGGAGGGGACGGAGAAGCGTGACGGGATGTTGTAAAGGGGACGTCGTGGCGAGTCGTTGAATAGAGCGTAGTGTTCGGGTCTAAAGCAAGTGTTTGTAGTTTGTCATGAGGTCATTGTGGGTGCTCAGTCTCATATCCAAGGCTTGGCCTGAAAGTGACGAAGAGGCACGGAGCTCCGAATGTTGTGGCACTGTGCTTGTAATCGTGACGCTGCATTGCGATGCAGCAATCCGACTCCTTATTAAAACGTCACCGAAGTGTGCTATGGACGAGACACAATTTGAATATAGACTTTGTATGGGTTCGTTGTCTTCGGCAATATGCTCTTTGATGTGGCTTCTCAGTGCAAACGAGGAAGTGAAGTTTTAAGAGTGCGCCGTGTAGTGACGATTGTCGAGAATGCATCCCTAACATGCATTTGGGATCGTTGGCCTTTTAATGCTGGGTCGGCGGTTCATGCTCATCGGAAGGAGAATGGATGGCCGGCTCGCTGCCTCCTTTAGCTGGTGCGATACGATGCGTGCTGAGCCGGGCTCGAAAAGGACTGGGATATGCGCTATCGGTGGAGGAGCCAAACGTGCTTATACCACTCGGAACTCCTTCAGCCTCTGTGCTGGTACTGATTTGCTGCTGTGAAGGCCGACGTGTGGCTCCTTGTACTCCACGAGCAGGGCCTGTTGAATTCCTCGAGGCCAGGATCGAGTTCAGGCTGGTTGCGTGGTCATTGGCTTCGTTCTGGAAATCGCTGGAGCTAGGTTGAACACGGAATCCCTTCCTGTCTTCATCCGATGAGCTGCCTATATCCGAACTTTTCGGCTGCCGCGAAGTCCGCCCTAATCCATTTTGCATCTCGTCTTCATAATGGCCCAAAATATGTCGGCACCGCTCGTCCCAGGACTGAGATACCTCTGGACATAAGGGACACTGCGGGTTGAAGTTCGCGTGGAAATCAACCTTGGACATATCGAGCACTGTCTCTGCCTCCCAGCCTTTGTGCGCTTCCTTCGCATGCTTGAGGAACTTGTCCTTTCGATTGACGAGAAATGGGTTTTGCTCGTGGTTGTTCTGGTAGCAAAGGAGACAGAGCCATAGCTCCTGCGGCTCATGTGTCTCTTCGTGTCGTCGCCAATCGAACGCTCGTTTGGTCTGATACCCGCACCCGAATGTGCATCGAAAGGGGCCTGCATTCACGCTACGGCGGCCATCGATCTGAGCTCGACGTCGTTGGCATGCAGCGACGTACTTCTCCACTAATTGGAGGGTGGCTGGGGCCAGGTGACGATTCGCGTCCTTGACGGTGTAGCCGGCAAAGGTGTCTTTACGTTGCCTATCATCCGCCAAAGGGTGAGACTCAGGATCTTGTAATCTGGATGATGCCACTGTTGTCTCCGGCGTGATATATTTCTTGTTGATATAGTCAAGGACGGTTTGCTGGGACGCCTGCACAAGCGTAGCCAAAGCGTTGATCGTCTCGCTGGGTGGGAACCGTTGGGGCTGGTCGGTAGCGAAGCTTTCAAACCACTGCCGGATGAACTTCTTCTGTTTGTGCGTCAACTTGTACGCCTCCGTCCTCCAAGGTAGATGCTGACCGGATGGTTGCATAGCGTTGCTCTTGACGTATTCAGACCGGTCGGTGGTGTAGGGTTGGCGGGAATCCTCTCGATACTCCTCTTCGGATCCTAGCCTAGCGAGTTTGGGGGATCGCTGCAACGGGTCATCCGAGACCGCATTGGGAAGAGGTGGAGGATCGCGAGATCTCTTTCCCCCTTTAACTGGAAATGTAGAATTATGTGAGATCTTCGCTTGCTGTGCAATAAAGGGGCTTCGAAAAGTCTGAGAGAGTAGCCTACCATGATCTTCATGATGTTGAGCGGTTGTTGACATGGGCTGTCGATTGTAAGATGACGCTCGGAATGGTGCGTGTTGGCGCGGGGAAAGGGCGGAGGAAGGGCGCCGACCAAAAGAAAGGGCGCTGCTTTGTTGAGCGTTTGGCTGGCTTGATATGGAGCGAGAAGAGTCTGAAGTGTCGGAATGCATATTTCTCTACAGTGTGCGTCAGTATATAAACATTCGCTGACGATGTAGTAGGTCATGAGACAGAGAAAACTCATATACGCCTCACGTTCGGCTGAGTGGAGCTGCGTGGGGCTTGGAAGGTGCAGCTCACCAAAGGCTCCAAATGATGCGAATACCAAAAGGCTCCATTGGAATGAATGGTATGCGGAGATGACTGCTGGAGGACGCTTGGATTGATGAACGCAAGAGATCCCGGATTACCAAAGGGGAAGCCATCGATGCCGTTGTGCTGGCTAGGGTTCTCATGCGGGGCTAAAGATTGTGCGGGAGCTGCTGAAGATGGATTGGTTGCCCAATCGGAGTACGCGGCCAGGTCTGATTCGTTGTTGCCTGGCGTGGGAGACGCTTCAAGATTAACGTAGAAAGCATCGTGACCAAAGTGTTCCATCAACTCCACACTTCGTCAAGAAAATTCCGAGGCTCAAGCAAGGCTGGCAGCATGTGGGAGATATCGTGCGCTGGCAAAGGTTGACCGGCTGCGTTTGCGGAGTAGGAGAGAAAGAGGACGCCGTAGTCTGGTAAGTAGTCGCAGTAGGCCGGAATACCTACAGTTTTAGGCTTGCGCTGAGGTCCAGCAAATTGTGCACAACGCCCTCCCTTCGCCTTGAAAGCCCTGCGGTAAATCTCGTTGACGAATGCCTCTCCATGTGCGGCGCATGACAGAGACGGACACCGGAGGACGATGCGGTGACCTTTATGGTCCACGCTGGTGGATTGGCGAAACCCCACGAAGGCTTGACGCCCTGCCATGTACGAGAGCGAATAGTTAAAAAACCGGGGCCCGGGAATCTCACAGCTGTGCGGATATTGCAGATGCCAGACTGGATGCTTGCTTCTCGCGCTTCGCATTCTTTCAGGAAGAACGGCAGCCAGTACAAGGACTCAAACTCCTACAACTCTCTTAAACAACCTTCTTTATTAAACCCTACTTTTGCTGTCCTTCACAAAACGGCTCTGTGTCCAAAACTTGCTTGTTACACTTGGCTCTAATTTAGGGGTGCATGGGCATGCAGAGTGTTCCGAACACGTATTTCCAGGCAGCCACCTTGACCCTAGGTGTTGGAGGAGCATCATCTGCTGAGAGGCCGCCCCAGATAGCATTGGAGGTTGTTTATAACCCATTCGCCTCATTCGGCTGGGTGTCTACCGCCTTACAATTTTTCGAGGCTGTCGATGGAGCTGCAACTCTCATTGGTCGATGGAGCTGCTACCATAGGAATCGCTGGATTTTGCCCGGCTCGCTGGGCCACGAGAATCCGCGATAGAGAAAATTGTATCCGACGAGGGTATTGATGATCATAAGCCAGATTGTTTCCAGGACTAGTCGTAGGTCATATTGTATCTTCTTCAGAGAGCCGCCAGAGGAGCATCGGCTTGGGAGATTCGGCACATGCAACCGCCAAATGATCCATGGAATGATGAAATAGCGAGGTTCGACGAGAGGCGCCGTCACTACAGAGAGTGTAGTGGTTACTATCCATACCATAACGAAGCTTATCTGGCAGGGCTGACGATCGACATCGCGGCTGGTAGGACGGGGCTTCCCACGGTTTCGCTTCACATCCGCCTCATTTTCGAGCTCCGTCCCAAAGGGATGGACGGTCATCCAGGCACAAATAAAGTACAATGGCACTGCTAGATATTTGATTGCCAGATGTCGATTCAGGATCCGGAAGGTGTAGAAAACGTAGTGGCGGTTGTCTGCTAGAGTATAGGGATGAACGATAGTGTTGTAGTGGACGGCGGCCAGACCAAAAAGCATGAACAAGGTTGAAGAGACGAAACCTGGGACCACTGTTCTGGATTTGCGGATGAGGTGGTCTTCACAGAAGGCCTTGACGGGACCAGGAAGAAACTGAGCGATAGCCGGTAGCAGTGAGCTCATCGTAAGTGGAATGGAGAAGAAGACCATGTATGGCCAGAAATACAACATCTGTGGCACATGTATGGTCGCCATATGGGCCGATTTATCTCCTATTCAGGTGAGTTCTGAGTCTGCAATTAGATGAAGGTGGAGTTACCAAGGACGACACCGCCGTTCCAGGCCACGAAGCCAGCAAACAGGCCCAACAAGGCTAGATAAGGAGCCACAGCCCTTAAGACCAGAACAGGTTTTCTGATGGCTGCGAGAGCGATGGAAAGGGGAAATAGCATATAGTCTCGCACACGTCAGTTTGCAATAAATCATTGAATTGAAGTGGAAGCATACCGAGAATACCAGCATTCTGGACGGAGCAATCGTAGACTTGATCATAGCTCCAGCTCTTTTCGAGAATACGATTTCCATCTTGGGGAGTAGACTCTGCGGAAGCTGCTTCGTCCTTCTTTAGAGATTCGACAACCGCGAGTCCAGCCGGAAAAACTGCCACCCAGAAGATGTTTGTTTGCCGGAAGAGAAGCGCTGCTATACCCAGTACAACCGATACGATATTCTTCCAAATGTTGGCCCTGTCATCCTTGCTTTTGAGGAATACATAGTAATTGAGGAGCAAAACCAGGGTTGACATAACATCCGTGTAGTAGAGCGCGGAGAAGAAGAAAAGCGGCGGGAAGAGGCTGATGTTAACCGCTGCATGTGCATCAAGCACCGATGATCTTTCATCCGCTGGTTCCCCTTGCCCGTCTTCTTGTTTTTGTGATGGCTTATGAATGGTTCGGAGGATGTGGTAAGTCAGAAAACAGGTAAGGTTAATAGCTTCAAGATTCAGCAACCTGAGGGATGCCGTATCACAGCCTCTTAGGAACTTTGGGAGCATCGAAACCAGGTATCTGTCAACATTAGCAAATTACATTTGCTCTACAACTCTTGAGGGGAGAACTCGCAGGCCTGGCGGGGTGGTGATCTTCGGGTCCCACGTATAGTCGTTGTTGCAGTATCTCTGCGCTTGCGGCACATGAAAGAATTCATCCTGAATTCCAGTCAGCAAAAAGTTGCATTCTACTTCCCAATTGTTCGCCTGGTAACTCACAAGGTACGGGTCGGGCACATTTTCATAAACCAATCTGTACCACGCGCCCGAGATGACGGCGAACGCCATGAGGAAACCGGGCAATGCCCATCCCTGCTGAAAAGGAATCATTGATCCGCTCTATTCGATTTTACGAGGACCCGTGAATGGGAAGAGTGATGAGGTAGGACATCGAAAAGAGGACACCGCTCTGTTCCTGAACCGGCTAGGCCGAACTCGGTAAAGCTTCACTGGACGCGTCTGTGCCTGCGTCGCTTGCACCTCAACACCAAATCTCCATCACGACTTTGCCCGTTGGATTCATGGCATTGCCGCTGCCGCCGGGGCTTACGCCCCCTGAGATTGCCTTTCTGTGCGAGATGGAGCTCGTCACGGTGATACCGCGACAGAGACTTGAAGGGCTCGAGCTACTAGGAGTCCGTCTGCCCCTCCTATGCCCCACCACATACAGCTTCACGCTTTAATAGATTTGGTGATGGAAATTTTAGGCAGCTAATTGCTATTCAGGGCCCTCTAAAGCCGCTCAATCCTCCACAAAGAACCTCTGTGCCGCTCTGGCTCGCCCTGCTCCTAAAGCGCCAGCGTCGCGCCAACATCCTCCCTCCGCCGTGGCTCTCGCCCGAATCCTTGACCGCGATATTGGACCACGAAACCGAGTACGCCGATGCCTTCTCTCCGCCTCCACGGTTACCGCCTCTCGCCTCGAATAACACGCTTCCCTTCTCCCCGCCCTTCCTCCCTAGCTCGACAGCAGACGCTGCGCCAGATGCTCTACCATACCACTGGTTAGAATTGGGGGAGATGCTACTAGAAGCTGCGGCGGATGATTTTGAGGATCCTGATAATGTGCGCAAGCTGCTACGAGGGCTCCGAGAGGTTAGAATGGCGAAACTGAGGCACGGCGTGGAAGTCTTAGATGCTGGAGGCGGGGTACCGATGAATGGAGTTGGAGGAATGGAGGTGGGAGAAGGGAGGGCATTTGTCACGGGTGTCATTGACGGCTTGAGGTGAGTCGCATGGGTCGGGAGAGGGCATTGGCTCCTCCCAGTTACTCTCATCTCAAACATGTTGAGCCTATACTAATTCGCCACCAGGAAAATCGCCGCATCACGAGAACAGCAGAAGAAAGACCGGGAGCGTGAGGAAAGAGAAAATGGATACTCCGACTACGACAATGACGAGATGGACATGCAATGAGCAAAGACGCGATACCCCGCCTACGCGCAACAATACAAACAATGCCGCGCTTCCGAGGGCCTTCTGCCCCTCCGGCGTTGCTACGGAAGGAAGGTGCATTACATCTGGTCCCCTGCCACTCATCCCACGCTCTCGCTGCGATTCAGATCCTGCTCGCACCCCCCTATCACACTCGCATCACACGCCTGCGACTTATCTCTCACATCACATCGGATCAAACTCTAAAGCCAAGCCAAGCCAAAACCAATACTCCCAACATAAACTGTCATCACATCAGGCTCCAGCCTGGGCGTCCCCTCCCCGAAGTCGGCCCAAGGACCAACCTTGCTACCTCATGTCAAGATCATACCTTGCATTTCTCGGACACCCTAAACGTAGTGTAACCCCGCGAGAAGCAGGGCTCCGAGAGGCTTGCAGGCCAAGCCCGCGGACGTTGTGTTACACGTGGCGCTGTTGTCGAAGAGACAGGTGCCTCAGCGTATTCGTCCAAGCGGGTAAGCCACTTATAGCTGCTGATCCACGTGGTCTAGTGACGGGTATTGTTTGTGGGTGTGTCGTATACAGTGGCGCAGGGCCTCGGGACTTCTTCGTGGCTTTTGCTGGAAAAGGAAGAAGCCCGAAATACTATAGAACGGAGAGGAGGGGTACATCCCGCGGAGAGACCGGTCAGCAACGCGGGGGTGTACCCGCAACGCGTCCAAGGCGCGCCGTGATGGAAAGTTAGAACCTACTGAACTCACGATACCATCCGATGCTCAGTTACTCTCGGCTTCGCTTTCAGTGAGATCGGAGTGGCAGACGCGACCTGCTGCTCGCGCGCATTGCTCCAACCTCCCGTCTCTCCTCATGATGTCAAATCCAGAACTGCTTTTTGTTTACCAACGGAGCGCGTTGAACCAAAATGGAAAGCTCTCCACGATCAACATCGTATAGGGACAGGTCGAGACCTTGCAAAAGCAAACAGCCGTGATCCACCCATATGCATAGCCTTCAGTTTTCGTACCCTCGTGCATACCTACATTTGGGTTGACACGGACGCGTAAAGCGCCTTTGCCACGTCTAGTCGTGCGTAGCTATGACGACAGTGCCTTCCACCTCGGTCGTTGAGAATACGTCGTACAAGATGCCATTGCTTCCCGACGGCGATTTCGCTTCAAACTCTGCGCATCTACGCCTCCCTAGAGACACAGATCACTCCCAGAAAGCAAAATCTGCAAGGCGTCCCACGCCCACACCCTGACTCTGTCAATAAGGTACCAGGGTAGCATATAACAGCGTTCAACACCCGTCCTAATTCCTTCCTCTCCCAGCAATATTCGTGCAGCAAGGCAGCACTAATGAGACGGGCCTCATCTCAAAAAGCGCTGGGAAGACGTAGATCAGGAAGAACGAGAGACGAAAAGGCGGTTTGGAAGCTTGCAGGTTGCAGAATTCGATACTATTCAGAGAAGTTACCGAGTTTTCGGAATTTGACATGCGCAGCCAGAAGGTTTGTGGAGATTGGCTGGTTTTTCCACGAATGGGGGCGTGGGTTGGGGATGCCGACGCGGAGCTGGATTGGGAGGGATGAAACGAGGGGAATGTGCAGGCGAGGAGGGATGGCGTGCAGATGGGGGCGAGATGCAGACAAGAGGTGTTTGGAGAGAGAGTATGCGAGGTGGACTGGAAAGAGGAAGGAGATAGGGAAAGAAAGAAAGACTGGAATTTGTTGTGGGAATGCGGAAGCTGGCAAATGTGATATCGAATGTGATATTGAATGCGCTTGACAAGTCCTGTGCGTTGTGTAACAAAGCTGTCATGTGCGGAGGGCCTTACCGACGTTGCGGTTCTGTGTAACGGTAAGACGGGATGATGCAGGCATCCCGAACAGGGAAGCTTATTCTTTGCTTTTGGTACAAGGATTCAAGCTCTATGTAGGCTATGGGGCTGCTGATTGCTCGAGGCCTTCTGCAGTTGATGAATATGGATGGTTATCAGCGATAGCCATGATAGCCAGTGCGTTCGAAGCTATCGAAAGCAAGTCATATGCTGCGAGTGCTGACATGGAATGCTCAGACATGGGCCAAAGCGTGAATCCGGGGAAGTCAGTGCTGACTAGCATCTCCAAGCGACTGTGCCTGCTTGCTGACATCTTTCCTGCCACTTCCTGTTGGGAGGCTGTGGCGCGCGTCCGACACTGGGTCTGAACAGCACCTGGCTGAGCCAGTACGTCGGCTCAGCTATTGGCATTAACAAGATACTGAATGGGGAGAAGGTCACATGCTCTCCTGCGCATGCACCTCAGAACCTGTAGCACAGTTCCTCCCTGCATGGTGCGCGCAAAGCGCCCGCGCATGATCTTGTATCACTGAGCACGAAGCCCTCTTCGTAAAGAACACCTTGGACAGACATGATCGTGATGCCGCGGCTTCTCGGACGCAAAAGCTGATGAGAAGTGCCATGATTCACTTCGGCAACGCTAGATTTGCCGGACTTGGTGGCTTGCGGTATCAACTAGGATATGCACCTCGCGTGTAGCACTCCCGCGAGGCAACACTATTGAGCTTCTCGAGTCGAACGTCGAAGGGAAACGGTAGCATGGGCGGTCGCCCTCGAACCGATTCTTCGTCGCGGTATTGGCATCCCTGATCGCGACCACCACCACATCCGCTTGACGTGGAGAAAATATTAAAGATGAGGTAGAAATTGATAAGCCGGCAAGACGCAAGAAAAGTCGCGGAAAGCACCTCGTACGACGCGGCATGCACAAGGGCTTTATCTTGGCGGCTGTTTCGGGAAAGTCGGCCACGCGGGGTGACTTTCATGCGCATGTTACTGAAGGATTTGTTATAGCAGGAGCCTCGTGTAGGAGAGATGAGATGAGCAAACATAGCACCTACAATTATGCGCAATGTTTCGTGTTACAATCTGAAATTCTCCAACGCTTCTGACCACGAACACTTGACTTGAGCAATCGCATCGAAGGCCTGTTGCCTGTTGCCGGTTGGAAAAGTCGGGGGCATGATGTTAAAGTTTTGCGGGGGGCCTTTGACGCCTATCATAATCGACGAAGGCTGGAGCCTGTCGCAGGGTCCGTGAGAAATCGAAGCGAAGGTTGATCGCGATGGCGACATTTCCGCTGGCGCACGACTCGTGAAGAGTTTCGGCTCTGTCGACAGCCCCGAGCGGAAGCTATCTCAATACACCTTGATGGTGTGTGCTGCCCTCTGCTGTTGATTTCGGCCTGGTATCTACAACCGCTGATCGCACTTTGCTGCCCAACTCTTTTCGTACGTCGGCGATGTCAAGGACCCTATAGCGGTGCCGGTAGAACCCGTTTTGAGATTGGGTTGTCCGAATAAGTCGCAGATCAGCGCGTGCCGGTGTTCGACAAATTCCCTGTCGCGCTCTTTGTCAACGATGTCTCACATGAAATTCACACCTGCCGGTCGGCGCACTCGGACGGATAGCCACGAGTCAAGAATGAGGGGCCAAGGTGGACGAGAACCGCGTCACGCTGTAACAGTATCCCACGCGGCGGCTCAGCGCGGATCGCACACGGCCGGGATAACCGTTTTCTGTTGAGGGCAGTTGTGCGCGCCCTGGCCGTGGGACGTGCTTGTGGGGTTCGACTCGGGAGGAAATGTAACTTCGGGCGTGGCAATTATTGTACTTCGCAAGGCATGGCTCCAAAATGACCAAGTGCACCCTGGTACACCCAGGTTAGCGGTCGGCTTATCGATATTGCTGCAACATTGTCCAGTCATCGCAGAAGAGCGCTGCACTGGACCGGCGAGGCGAACGGGCATCGGAAATGGGGCCCACTTCCCCGCGATGACTGTGGCGTTACGAGATTTCCGAGCCGCTGTTGAGCTTCATTAATTCGATGCCTTCGTGCTGACGATCGGGCCATAAACTTTAGGAGTATACTGTGTACATACGACAATATCAACCGTGAAGGTTTGAAGAAGGAAGGGTAGCCTGCGGGATGCAGGGGAATAGCGTAAGTCAGCAATTGGGTTCGGAGCCGGACCGCAGAAATACCGACCTGTGCCGCAGATGTTGGAATAACAATGGAAGAAGACGTCGTTTTGAGTGCGGGCGAAGAGAGCTTGCTCCTTGGCCGGAGGTTCCAGGCGCAGAATTTTGAGAGCCGATGCGAAGCTTCCAGTCTTTAGGGATTAAGGGTCGCCCGACCATAGTTGAGGATGGTCGAACCGTGGAAGCCCGAGATAGTACCGGTATCAAGAAGCGAGTCGTGAACGGTGTCGTCTTCAACTGAGTAGTATAATCCCGGAGACTCTCGGCGGGGAACTTCCCGTGAATTTTAGAGCGTGGAGCGAATACGATCTTCCCGCACCAGCGTTGAGCTATCTCGTGCTTCCACGCGCCGGCACAAGCAAGCTTTGGGGACAGATGGACCGATGCTGTGAGAAGAAGGCTGCGCCATGCGCACTTTCCCCACAATCTTAAGATTGCTCTCTCACGGTGATGCTGCTCAAAAGCAAATGAATTCATCAGTGCATGTTTCAAACAACCCATGCGTAGATCAGGGTCCCGAAAAGGAAAGGTGACTTAGAACAGGGATCTTCCTCACCAAGCCCAGCACCACAAGATGATCGACGACGGGGAAGCGGACTTCAGCTTCGACTTCGACGCGACAGCAAGATACTGTAGTGGACGGAGGTGCGCTAACGGAATCTCAAGATTTCTCAGGGTTGCTCTAGGTAGTCGCCGGGGACGGTTGCTGCCGCAGTATTCGGTATGCTGACTAGAGTTACACTCCCGTGGTCTGGCCATATTCGTTGCAATCTGGTACGGATGTCAGCTGAACAACTCCTCTTTGCTTCCCTCTTAGGTCCACAAAGCGGCTTGAATAATGAGGGCACTCGCCGCTGCTGGGATCCACTAGAGGATTGCGAGGTGCGGCGTAGTGAGAGATAGAGCGGCGATCGGGTGGAATTTCGGCCAAGCTTATAATAATAGAGAGCGAAGTGGCTTACATACCGCCTGCAGTAGCGGCGCTCTCTTGCGCTGCACTCGGGTTGGTGGGAGTCGATTCGGAGATTTGTTGCGCGGGAGCACCGTGTTTCATTGTCGAGACTTTGGGGACGGCAAGACAGTAAGCTGAGGGCAAGGACGCGTATGTAATTTGGTCGTTCCCACACAGTTGGATGTCCAACACGGCGGTTTCCAGGAACACCTCGCTCGGCATGCGGCTTGTTGCAGGCCGGGGCGTATCGACGCCACGTGCAGCCGCTTTGACGAGCGCACAGCATCAGACGGACTGTTGTATCACCCTCAAAATCCCCATCAACTTCTGATTCCGCCTGGGCGTACTTCGACGAAGGTGGCGATGTGTTTTTCGGACGTAGCAGAGCAGTATTCGGGGAGACAATAGCTGAGGGTGCTGATCGTTCCACGCGGAAAAGTATCTCGCTCGGTTCCAATTGGCTGGTGGCGAGAGGCGCAGCTACGGCTCCTCCATCTCGCGTCCTGCAACACCCAGATACTCGTCTCCGAACTATCAGGACATCGTCACGGCATGGATGCATTCAAGAAGACATGTGCTTTCTTTTTGCGTTGCTTGCGTACCGACTTCGGCCATATTGGGCGGCGCTCCTTATCGGCAAGGCGTGGCCATAATGGCTTCGGTATAGCATGGACAGGGATATACGAGCATTGTTTACATGCTGCTTGCTGTTAGGAGTAGGTGCCTCTAGCAGCGCATTCAATTGTCTCACCTGGCGATACCGATGGGACCAGGATAGAATAGGGCACGCTTCGAACAGAAAGACTCTAGTTGCGGACTTTTTCGAGGCGCCATGGATCCTTCTCTAGGCGCAGCATTGATCGATTACTTCCGCAGAGACATGGAATTGAGCTTGCCATGAGCAGATTGTGAGCTGAAGGCGATATCGGCTCCGAGGACTGGGGTTCCAATACTGCAAGGCACTCGAGTCTACATAGGTATGACGGAGGCGATGAGATGAATTGACTGCAGTGGGATCCACAGTGGGCCCTCGATGAGCACCCGGGCAGACGGATATGCGGCCGTGATCTGGAAGCCATCGCGGTCGACCTGAAACATGCCTCAAAGCTTCAGAGGAGGTTTGTTTGTTTTTTCTCGTATCTTCACGACGCGACTGAGCCAAGCCCCAACGCTTTGCTAGCTGCAGGGCCGGGAGAGATGGAAATGGGAGGTTGCTTTGAACAGAAAATGCTCAAACCTGGCCAATGGGGGTCGGTGGGTGATTTCGGGCGCATCTCGACATGGAGCTGATTGGGGGCACTGACCGTGGCAAGCGGGGAGGGCTTCCGCTCGGGATGCACTCGAAAGGGAGTAGCAAGAGTTGATCTTTGCGCATTTCGTCTCCAGACCCTGACTAGGGACAGGGCCGGGGTCGGGCTGCCACTGACCAGCCTCACGCTGCAGCCCAGCACGCTTTCGGTTCGCGTCTGCCATGCGACGCTGCAGGGCCTGATGCAGGGCGCCGCGTCCTGTGTCGACGTCGTGCCGTGAAGCTTTCCACTAGCGTGGTGGTGAGGAGAGCTTTCGAGTCTCACGATGGTGGCCCGCACAACTGCTGCCGACGGACGAGGTGCAACGAGGGTCGCCGTTCTGGAGAGCCAGTACCTGTGTGGCCCTCGTCACGGCGCCTTCCGCAGCCGATGTCGTCGCATTGGCTGGATGAATTGACGAGAACTGGACGTTTAATGACGGCGCAAGGAGCAGCAGAACGGCGGCCAGGGGCGCGCAGTGCACCCGCGAGCCCGCCCGCTTTGGGATCGCGCGAATTAGCGTGGCGTCGTCTTCTTCGTGAAGGCCCAGCTCCACACCAACGCTCGCACCAGGGCCCCTGTCCCCTGTCGCGCACTGACAGGCCGCCGATGGCTCCATTTTGGGCGGGTCCAGGATGAGCTCTGCGGGCCGCCGTCTCCTCGACCGTTGTCGTTGATAATACTGACGCGGGCTGTCCGTCGCCCTTCACGCTGCATCTCGTCGCCGGCCCAGTGTCGACCCTCCGCGTTTGCAGACTTGCAGTTGTTGTGCGGGCATCACTCGACGTGCACCTCGCCTGGACGTGCCTTCCTCGCTTGCGTGTAGTCGACAACCGTTGGAGAAAGAACACCACCGCGACCCGACCCCCGACAGGCAGGCACGACCCTTGCGACCTCCAGTCCCTCTAGTCCCTCCAGTAGTCCCTCCTTCACAACCTCGCTCGACGAGCAGCCCCTCCTTAGCATCCGGAGCACTCGCTATTTGGCCGGCCGCGCCCCTCCCATTCAGAAACAACGCTCCGTGGTCCACTCTGTCATTCACTGCCTGCGCAAACCCTCCTGCTGCCATCCGTGTGCAACAGAAACCTGACCTGTCACAGCCGTCCACAGGTGCAACCGGCTGCGCTCGCCTCCACCATCGCTGTTTCAAAGCTTGCTCCACGACCGTTTTCCAATTCGTCATTCTGCTACACCAGCCCGCGTTCCCGAAGAGGTACGCCTGGGACCCTAGCTCGAGCTCTTCCCTCGCCCTGCTATACCGCACAGCAACGTGCTGCACGCCGCGCGGGACGAACGCCAGGGCCAGTTGCTCTCTGAGACACTTTACATCATCGGCAGCAGCATTGCGATCGCGCGTTCGCAGCCAACTCTACGGGTATGTGCCCTTCCGTGTTCGACATGTGCGTCGTCACATTCTTCGCCCCCGCCCATTCCCACGGAACCATTCCTCAACGATCCATCACAACAACAGTACACACTCGGCTAACATCACCACCAGCCAAATAACAAGCATCGATAACGCTCGGAGCACCGTCACCAATATCGCCAGTCAAGCTCGGACGCCATTGAAGCACAGGACCATTCGACGCGAGTTTTCACCAACTAACTTGACTCAATGACTGCGAAGCGCGCCAGCGAAGCTGCGTCGCAAAACTAGCGCATCTCCCGCAGCGCGGCCTTTTACTCTTGGGACACATTCACCTACCGTTCGCTGCAGCCCGACATGGCCGACTTTCTGTTGGCCAAGGACGAGGTGGATAAGCACGCGAGCGCATTGGTGGCGCCTTTGAACATCTCCAAGTCCCCCAAGAAGTTGCAGAACAGAGAACCCAGGCACATTCGACAGTCGTCGTCAAGAGGCGGACACTCCATAAAGTCGCAGTCGCAAATATCGCCGCCGTTGACACCGCGGTCCTCAAGAGAAGGACTCCCTCCGCACCGACTATCACAGCCCGTCTTCCACAACTATCTGCGCGCCTTCTACCACTTCCATCCCAGTTCAACCGTCTCGTCGTCGACCGATGAATCCTCCATCACCGTTCCCATCAACCAAGGCGACGTCATCCTCGTGCACTCGGTGCACCCCAACGGCTGGGCTGACGGGACTCTGCTGGCCTCCGGAGCCCGCGGATGGCTGCCCACGAACTACTGCGAAGCCTACGATCATCTCACGATCCGTAACCTTTTGAATGCGCTGACGCACCTCTGGGACCTGGTTCGTGATGGTGAGAACGGCGACCTCTTGGTCTTCACAAAGCAAGATTATGTAAGGGGCATGATAGCGGGAGTGCGGTTCTTCCTGGTAAGTCGAAGCTCCCGCAAGGGCTTCGAGCCGACGCGCAGAACACTGCTCACTGTCAGTATAGGAAAAGACGCAATGTCTAACAAGGGATTCGCCCCTCATCGTCGCGCATGTCGGTCTCCGACGAATGCGCAAAGGGTTGCTGGGCGACCTCTCATCACTCGTAAAGAGTGCCAAAAAGCTGCAGGAGACGCTGCAGAACGAGACACCCGTACCAGTATTTGAGCAGCTCGACGAGCTAGTCCTCAGAGCGTTCAAGCTGGTAACGAGAGCGGTGCGCTTCCTCGACATATGGGCGCAGGATGCAGTGTCGCTGTCGTTTGACCTGGGCGATGCGAGCAATAATAGACCTCTGACCCCTCCATCTGACTCCGCCGATCCTTCTGTGCAACCGCCGGCACCGTCGAATCAAAATGGCGAGGACGTCGCGCCAGCAAATGAGAACGCGTCTGCTGTAGCACAAGCGAGCGCGAATGCAACGCAGGAGGAATTGGACAGCGCAGCAACCCAGCCACCACGTAACCTCCATCGCCTTTCTGTCGCCTTCTCGATCCCTTCAGATTCGGACGCTCTCCAATCACCTTTATTGCCGCCTCAGCCCCAAGGTCAGGCGAAGCGCTTTTCTGTTACGCACCGTCTGTCGTACACCGGAAAGGTTCAAGGCACGCGAAAACAAAACCTGGCTTCAGAGCGGCTGAACGCAGCACACGACTCCTTTTTAGGTTTCATCGGCTCCTTTATCGGGTTGCACCTGCAGTCGCGTTCGTCTGAAGAGCTCACCCTGACTACCCAACGATCCGTCGTCGCCTGTCGACAACTCCTCGCCATTGTCGAGACAGTATGGGAACGCGACTCACGAAGATCCGAACAGCTGGAGCAAGCAAGGGAGATGATGTACACACGACTCACCGACCTTGTACAGGCCACCAAGGATATGTTCAGCAGCTCCGAGGCAGGCCTGGGTGAAGAGGTGGTCATGCCGGACTCAGGAAAACAGCTCGTTACTGCGGCCACGAGCTGTGTACGGTCCGCTGGCGACTGCGTCACAAAAGCTAGGCTAGTGATCGAAAGGATAGGAGACTTTGAATTTGAGAATGAGGAGGAGGGTCTCTCGAAGACGATTTTCGAACAAATCGGCCAGGAAGCCTCGCAAGAATTGGAACAGCCTGAGGAACAGCCCGAGCCACCAAAACAGACTGAACCAATTGCGGAGACCGACAAGCCGCTCCCCGCACCGCCAGTCGAGGAGCGCAAAATGCCGCCTCCCTTGATCATCTCCGAATCGAAACCGCTGCCAGAAGTGCCGCATTCGCCGTCGATCGCTAGTAACAGGACAAGCCTACAGCCCATACAGCCTGCTATTGTCGAGAGTCCCACGGCCGTCTCCTTTAGATCCTCGCGCTCCTCTCTACCACCTGTGAACCAGCTTCCGACTCCTCATCTCCCTCAACCTAGTCCGTCTGAGTACTCGCAGAGCCCCGCGAGTGCAACTCAACGGTTCTTCTCCAAATCCGCAAGGGCCGACAGCGTCAATGCCTCTGTCGCCGACTCGAGTAGTACTTACCGGTACAGCATGAAGGGTGACACAGGAAGCATCGTCTCACAAACTTCCACACGTGCCACTACCCCGGATCACTCCCCGGCTAAGAAACACAGCTCGCAAACCCTGGTGAGCAGCTTTGGAAGTTCATCTGAGCTCCGGTCTATGGCTAGCGAGGATGTCGCTGCGGTTGAGGAACACCTGCTCGAAACGACATACGCTCATGAACTCATCTATAACAAGGAGGGTCAGATCTCTGGTGGTTCACTACCTGCGCTTGTCGAGCAACTCACGACGCATGAGTCGACGCCAGATGCCGTCTTTGTAACCGCCTTTTATCTCACCTTCCGACTATTCACGACCCCCACCGAACTCGCGCAGTGCTTGATTGATCGTTTCGATTACATCGGCGATAGCCAGTGCGTTGGTGTCCCTGTCCGCTTACGAGTCTACAATGTCTTCAAGGGATGGCTGGAAAGCCACTGGGTCGGGGAGAGCGACTCCGCTGCTCTCGGTATTATCTTTTCATTTGCCACCGGAAAACTGCGAGCAGCTTTGCCCGCCGCCGGGAAGCGTCTCGCCGAATTAACCTCCAAAGTCACTGAAGTCCGCGCTGGAGCTCTCGTGCCACGGCTAGTGTCCTCCCTCGGCAAGACTGGAATCTCAAATACCGTGTTTACGCCGGCTGATAACAACGTTCCTAGTCCCATCATGACCAGGAGCCAACTGAGCGCACTGAAGGCCTGGAAAGAAGGGAAGACTCAGTGCAGCATTCTTGACTTCGACCCGATGGAGATGGCCCGACAGTTCACCATCATCGAGTCGAAGCTCTATTGCTCCATTCAACCAGAGGAGCTTCTTGCCTTGGAATGGACGAAGAAAGTTGGCTCTAAAGCTGTCAACGTGCGGGCAATGTCAACCCTCTCGAACGATCTCGCAAACCTAGTCGCGGATACAATTCTGCATCTGGAGGATGCAAAAAAGCGAGCCATCATCATCAAACAATGGGTGAAGATTGCGGTGAAATGCCTTGAGTTGAACAACTATGACTCGCTGATGGCTATCATCTGCTCGCTGAACTCGTCAATGGTGCTGCGGTTGAAGAGGACCTGGGAGCTCGTCTCCGCTAAGACCAAGGCCCGCCTCGAAGAATTGAAAACCATCACAGATGTCGGTCGCAACTACGCAGTTCTCCGTCAGCGCCTGCAGAACCACGTGGCGCCGTGCATTCCTTTCGTCGGCATCTATCTGACGGATCTCACCTTCGTCGATGTCGGCAATGGCACGACACGCCAGCTTCCCGGCGAGTCCGGTCGAGATAGCGTCTCCGTCATCAACTTCGATAAGCATATGAAGACAGCGAAGATCATCGGCCAGCTCCAGTCGTTCCAGGTACCCTACCGTCTCGCGGCGGTACCAGAGATGCAGGAGTGGATGGAGTCGCAGATTCAGCGAGTTCGTTCAAGCGATCAAGCGAACGTTCAGAGCTACTATCGCCGCTCGCTCCTTCTTGAGCCTCGGGAAGCTCCCCAAATCCCAAAGGCGGCGCCACCTCCCGTTGACAGCAGCGCCGCCAGCACCATCACGGCCGACAGCCGTACCAACTCGAAGGACAGATTCGAGTTTCTCAACTTCCACTTTTCCTCAACGAATTCTGTTAAAGACCGATAGAGCTAATGCGTGCGCTTCGATGCGCCTTCTCGGATTCAAAAGCCGACATGTTATGCTTCGTTTGGATAGATGCCGGTGCATGCCCTACGGTGTGCCATCAGACTTCCTTCTGCTTCCATATGGCAGGATATGTTTCGGTGCGAGCATATCTTACAGCTTATATTTGACTTACATTTCTTTCGTTTTCCAACATGTCACGGCCCGTTACGATGGCAATGCTCGTTTTCCTTTCCGTTTCTTAGATACCACTGCTAGCGATTTCTTTTCTACCCTGGACGGGCATTTGCATGGTTTTGGGGAAGGCAACTCATACCCTCGTCTTTTCTCTCGCTTGGCTGGGTTTTGCATCGACGGGAGCACCGGAGCAATGGAGACGGGCTTCCGTGGAAGGTGCAGTTGTTATGTGGCCGGGGCAAAAGAAGGCGTTCCCTGTGTAAGAGCGGAGGACAAAAGCATGAGGCGAGGAGCGTGGAGACACTGCCTCGATACAATCTTAAGTCACCAGTGTGCATATGGACGAAGAATACTGGAAGTAATGTACGAAAGATTCTGCCAACCAAAGTGGTCTTGTGTGCTTGAACGTGCCGAGTGAACGCTCGTGATAGCGCAAGTCGTTCGGGAGCGCCAAGCTACTGTGGACGGTAGCCATGCTGCGATTCACTTCCTTTCGCCCCCCTCTTGCCTCCTGGAAGATTTGGTAATAAGACTGCAAGCGATCACGAGCGCAGTCGGTGACGGCGGTGGCCGTGGCCCACAGGTGGCGCCGCGGAAGGAGCAGCGCGCAGCGGTGCAGGGCAGAAAAGGTCCGGGTACCACCAGGCCTTCAGTACGAGACCTCTCCCTCCACGCCTCCTACACCTAGCAGTGGAGCATGTCCCCATGAGTCTATTCTCTTCCTTTATTATTGACCCAGTAGTCCGCCATGCGCGTCGCATTTCCGGTGCCATACCGCAGGTCGGAGAAGGCGGCGCGCCTGAGGGTGTACTTTCACGTGCAAATCGCAGTTCCACGTCTCCCACTCCAGCGATCGCCCCTCTTGACGCGACCGTAGCGCACGACGAAGACGCTCCCCAGACGGAAGACGGCAGCCCAGTGATAGATCGCTTTCGACAGTACTCGCCGTTCATTCGCCGTCCCCGCTCTGCTGGTGCAGAGGACGAGGGAGCAGGCGGCCATGCCGGCAGCTTGCATGAGCCTCCGTTAAGCTTATCGCGCCGGCAAACAGCACCGAGCACGCCCATCAGCATCCCGGCCGATGTAAGCATGTCCTCCAATCCGTCGCGCACACTCGGCACGCATTTTGAACGGCGCCATCTCGACTCGCCGCCCGCTGCAGCGCCCTCCACGACGACCCTCCAACGCCCGGGCAGCCCCGGGTTAGATACAGAAACCGGCGCACAGCATGCTCCAACCATGTCCGAGGCGCTGCCCGCCGACGATGGCATGCGCCATCTCCGGGCGCGCATCCACGGCATCAGAGACCTGAAGATTACCGACGCGGAAAAGGCGCGCATGATGCACAGTCTGATGACGGAGCGCTACAACTTCCTGCGACCAACCTCACCGAGCAGCTTCGTCTCGCACGACCGCCCCTTCACGCCTACGTCTGGCCAGTCCGTCTTCTCAGAAGTCCAGATCTCGTCTCCCGTTTCCGCTGCGTCCGAAGTCGACCCCGAGAACCCCTTCAACCTGCGACCCGGCGACACCAACCCCACGTATCGGCGTCGGTCTGCCGACCACACGGTAGGCATTGCTGGGGAAGACGAGGACTTGGACACCTTTGAGGAGCATGTCTCACTCGGGTGCCAGCACTATAAGCGCAATGTCAAGGTGCAGTGTTACGACTGCCGGCGATGGTACACGTGCCGGCACTGCCATGACGCCGTCGAGGAGGACCATAATCTGAACAGGGTGAAGACGCAGAATATGCTCTGTATGGTGTGCGGCACTCCGCAGAAAGCCGCAGAGTACTGCACACAGTGTGGCACACAATCGGCCTGCTACTACTGCGTCATTTGCAAGCTGTGGGACAACAACAGCAGCAAGCAGATCTACCACTGCACCGACTGCGGAATCTGTAGGAGAGGCGAGGGTCTGGGGAAGGACTACGTACATTGCAAGGTATGCTTCGTGCTCCTGTGGATTGGCTTGTTCGCTGACATCCATCCAGAACTGCAATGTGTGCATATCCATCGCCCATGCCACGTCTCATAAGTGCATCGAGCGCGCCACCGACTGCAACTGTCCGATATGTGGCGAGTATCTGTTCAACTCCTCCACTGCCGTGGTCTCCATGCCTTGTGGCCATTACTTACACAAGGAGTGCTACAACCAGTACATGGAGACGGCGTACAAATGCCCCACATGCAAGAAGAGCGCCGTGAATATGGAACTGCAATGGCAGAAACTAACGCAGGCGATTGAAAGTCAGCCAATGCCCGAGCAGTTCGCCAATACTCGTGCAGTCATTCAGTGCAATGACTGCTCTGCCAGATCTTCCGTCAAATATCACTGGCTCGGGAACAAGTGTAGCACCTGCGATTCCTACAACACGAACGAGCTTCGAATACTGAACGGTCCGGAAAGTGAGGAGACTGCAAATGCTCTCCTAGATGCCGATGTCGATTCAGGAGCGAGATCACCGGTCAGTGTAAGCTCTCCCGCTTCCCAGCCGCTTCGCTCGCCTCGTTATTATTTCCAGCCCGACGAACCAGAACAGACATGGCTCCCAGGACAGTTACCTTCTTTCCCCTTCCAGATGCCTCAAATGCCTCAGATGCCCCAGATGCCTCAATTCCCAGGGATGCCCCAATTTCCGGGCATGCCTCAGCTCCCACAGTTCCCCCAGATGCCGCAAATGCCTCAGATGCCGGATCCCTACGAGCTGATGGAGCGCGTTCGTAAATCGTTTGATCACTATCTCAACCCGACGGGCGAAGTCCGTAACGAGGACGTCCCGATCATCGACCTGGGCGAAGAGCACCGCGAACGCCGCGCCACGGATGGCACCACTGTCCGGGAGCCCTCGCTTCCCCAATACGTCCTCGAGCGCTTCCATAGGTCTATATCGCCTCTTCGCAATTATCTGAATCCATCTACAGACCAAATTCCTAGACTAGATCTTTCCGAGGGACATGACCCAGATGATCTTCAGTTCTGGGGCGAGGACGGCGGGCGAGTGGATCACTTTCTCTCTGGCGGTGAAGTGGACGATGGCGACGATGAAGAGAGCAGCAGCAGCAGCGAGGAGAGCATGGATGATGAAGAGGAGGATGACGAAGGCGATGTTGAGGAAGACGGCAATGACATTGAGCTACCAGGGCATCGGTGACCTACTCGTAGGTATCTTCGGCGTTCACATGGAAAGAGGGGCTTCCACACTGGAGTATGGATTCATCAATTCCTGTGTCAGCATTGGAGGTGTCATGGAGTACTGGAGATGCCTGGCACACTCTTTCGTGAACATAAATACCCATCTCATATAGAAAATAAACGCCCTATGAAGCTCAAATCTACCGCTGTCTTGTAGCTCTGGTTTCAGAGTCACGTGCCGGATGGCCCGCGCCGCTCGGTTAACGCTTGGCATGGATTTTGCAACCCACACGAACATCACCGCCGCGAACTTTCCAACCTCAAACCGTCCCCGAACCTCACCCACAACTAATTTTCAGCGAGGAATCATTCGGTAAGCGCCGATTTCTCTTTTCAAAGTTGCAATTACCAGCATTCCGCAATTGGACTCGCCAGAGCAGTCCCTCCGCACGATGCACCTGCTAACCGCACCCTCTCCATTGCAGAAATGCCCAACGTAGGCAAGAGCAGCGGCAAGAAGCCGGCCGGCAAGACCACCCGCAGCGCCATCGCTGACGTCGTCGCGCGCGAATACACGATCCACCTGCACAAGCGAGTATGTTGAGTTCAGTTTTGTGAAGTCCAACGATGGCCCACACACATCAAAGCCTTAGCCGGCGAAGTGTGCGTGGGTATCGGGCGGAAGACTGCAAACACAACATGCTAATACGGAATGCGTGGCTATAGGTTCATGGCGTTTCTTTTAAGAAGAGGGCCCCAAGGGCTATCAAGGAGATCCGAAACTTCGCTGAGAAGGCTATGGTATGTGGCTCCCAACTTTCACTGCCGCATTGTGGGCGTCGAAGTTCCTGTCGATGCCTAGTCGCTCAGATTTTGCTTCGCTTTGAAAGGATGAACGCTCACGCAACCATAAAGGGCACCAAGGACGTCCGCCTAGACCCCCAGCTCAACAAGAAGGTCTGGGAATCCGGCATCAAGGGCGTTCCCTTCCGTCTGCGCGTCCGCATCTCCCGCAAGCGAAACGATGAGGAGGGCGCCAAGGAGAAGCTGTACTCGTACGTTCAGGCCGTCAACGTCAAGGACCCCAAGGGTCTGCAGACCACCATTGTCGAGGATTGATAAGCGCTTGGAGCGAATGGGGACAGAGTCGAGAACTGGTGCATGCATGGAAAAGGATGGCGTTTTGGCGGGATGCTGAGTAGCTTTGCAAAATATACCGCGAAAGGCTTGAATGATATCTGAATCAATGGTTCATCCCCGCCATGTTTAAGGATTCTCGATCGTGAAACTACTGTAGAACCCATGCCCCTGCTCGCTGTCTCTGCTTCGCACGAAGTACTTCACATCATTCAAATTACGTCAAGTTCAAACACTTCTGATTTCCAGAGTATCCACACATTTGAACCCGGTTTCACACCGTGTAGTATTCCCCGGATATACAAATGCGCGTAACAGCCAGCCTAAAGGTCTTCGCGAGTGTGCGCAATAGCACATATAGTCAGCTGTACGAACCAATCTCCTTGCACGGCGAGTGCTTTAAATTCGGAGCATCCCCTTCCGCAAGGGGCCAATCTCTCTTCTAACGTTTTTCTTTCTCGTCAGGTGCCTCTTTCTCCAGCTCCTTTTCGCTTCGCCTTTCCTGAAGCCCTTCAACACCCTTTCCCCATGCGCCAGCTCGCTTGCCCCATCGCATAGTACCCTATACGTGCGTCCATCCGATATTTGGCGGAGGATCGCTTGTCGTCCTGAAGGGACTGGCTCCGTGAGCGAACGTCCCCTGCTGCTTGTCCATCCGTGGATCTCTGTCCGCTGACAGGTGTGCATCCGATATCTCAGAGACATGGGTCCGCTCCGCGGAAGCGTCAGCAACTGGCTCAAAGCGCGATGGGCGCTCCCAATGCCGGGACTCCGGGGGCAGCGGCCTCCACCAACTCCTTCCCTCTTCTCCGGCGCCAGCGTCGAAAGGGGAAGCGGACGCACGCTCCCACCAGCGCCGCGAACACAGCTCCCACATCCTACTTTGCGCCCGCTTCACCGCGAACTTCTCATCCTCGCCCGTCAGCCCACCTATATTAGCGAAGTCCGGCGCTTTTGCACTTAGCTTGCGCTCGTCGGTGTAGGAGCTGCCGGGCCGGCGGACGCGGTTTGGCGGATCGTCTTCCAGGGCGTCGGCGGAGAGTGCGGGGATGTGGTAGGAGCTGACGTTGGGGCGGAAGGGAGATGTTAGGTCTTGGTGGATTTCGGAGTAGGTTTCGGGGTGGACGGCATCGGCGGAGAGAGCTTCTGCTCTCTCGTCGGGTGTGGGAGACGCGGAGGAGGGGGAAGAGGGGAAGAAGAGATGGTCTGGAGAGGCGGCCGCTGTTATGAGGAGGCGGCAGCGCGCTTCGTATAATGCGTCGAGCAGCGTGATTAAGCGTCGAGCTTCGTTCTTTTGCGCAAAAGAGAAGATGGGGATGTCGGTGAGGATGAGTGTGTGGTAGGTCGATGCGAGGGTGATGTAGTCTGCGGGGCCGAGGGTGGCGCCGCAGAGTTGAGAAAAGGTGAAGAGTGTGTTGCCGGCGTATTGGGCTGGGATGTGGAGAGGGCGGCCGTAGACTATGAGGGTGGTGGGTGCCCAGAGAATCGGAAGGTGGTGAGGGGTGGATGTGAGGTCGTGGAGAAGGACGTCCAGTGTTGTTTCGTGGGTGGCAAGCTCGGTGGGTGATGCCGTTGATGAGGGCGTAATAAAATAGTGCTTCGGCAGGGTGGTTTCAGAGGAATGGGATGGGGTAGCTTCGGCGGTCCCAGTCGAAATTGGGTCAGACGGTATGCCTTCTGCAGGCACGCTCGTGGATTTGGAAAGATCTTCGAAGACCTTCAGCCCTACCGTTCTATCTTCCCCTCCTGTCACTCGACGGTAATCCTTCTTCCCCTCCATCTCCCAGACCTCGCACCTCGCTCTCAACACTTCCAGAAACTGCGCAAACTCCCCCGCCTGCCCTGGTCCATCATCCCTTCCCACCAAGCCCCCAATGCCTAGTGTCCATCCCAACCGACTGAGTCTCGACACCGGCCTTGCAAACTCTATGCCAGCGGCTTTGGCGAGTTCCTCAGGCATGCGGTTACTGGTAGCAATGAGCACCCCGCCGAGTTGGAAGAAGGAAGTCATGAGGTTGGACAGAATCTTTGAAGCTGCGCGATCCGGGAGTTGAAATTCGTCCAGGAAGAGGATGGGCGACGTTTGTATGAGATCGCGCGCTAGCCACAGTAATGAATACTCATCCTGAAGATTCTCGCCCTTGACCACTGATCTCGACTTCCGTAAATGCTCTAGACGGGAAAACGTATCAAGCATGAACGCGTTGAAGTGCCATCGTCTCTTCTTCCGATGGGGCAGGCAGTCTGCGAATAGGTCGACGAGCATAGATTTTCCAGTCCCGACTTCACCGTGCAGCATCAGGCCCTGAGGGCTTTGGAGTTGGAGAGCCGCCTCATGGCTCGTAAGAACGCGGGTCAAGGCCAGCGAGTCGCGTTTCTCCTTTTGCGCGAGGAGGGACGTCCATAGGCCTCTTGTTCCAAGGGTTCGCTCATCCGGAGAGGGCGGCCGCGGGACATCATGGCTAGCAGCAACAGCTCTACTTAATTGTTTCAGGCGGTCGGAGTATTCTATGCTCGGTTCATAGTCGATCAACCGCTCATAGAGTTTTTGGAGGTGTAGTGCTGCATATCAGGTCAGTGGCGATGGGCTTGGCGCAGTTAGAATAGTAGACGTCACCTACCGAGGCGATGCTGGGAGGGATCGGGTTGTATGCGGTTGGTGGCTATGAGACTGCGGTACAAGATGAGAGGATTGGTGATTGTGAGATGTGTTCCATTGGGAGGCATGAGGGTACTGTAGGGGAGAGAAAGCGGGATATGGATCCGAAATTTGAAAGCCCGAGGTGGTTGATCTGAAAGGTTGGCGCTAGTCTATATCGGGATTTAGCGTCCGCGAAGAATGGGCGGCAAAGCCGCCTTGGTAGAGGACAGGAGAAGAATATTTGGAGGGAAGTTGATAGGATTTTGACTTTCGATCTTTGAGGGAACTAAAGTGAACCGTAAATCGAACGCCAGAAAATGCAGTAAGGTATCTGCGTGAACGCATAAGTTCCGTTAGATCAGATATTTGTGACACCAGGGGCCCATGTATCCCCTATCCTCTTGATCTCCTGGATGAACTTTCGACTAGTGATTTGTGTCGAGCCGACTCTCTGCTCAGCGTTTGCTGTCACTGGTGAGTGCTCGTCCGGGTTGTAGAACGGGTTCCGCAGGAGCATAATGTATGCCGTCTGCAACGCCCTAAAAGCCTAGCACATGTGAGCATTACTGAAGGTAGAGCCTAGAGATTCCGGACCTCTTACTGGCTTCAGGTCTGCATCTCTGAGTCCGACGGCAATGGAGGCTTTGCTGTCTAGAGCAGTCGCCGGCCTTCCCTCCATATCCACCACGATGACGAACTTGACGCCGGTGTTCGTCAGCCAGCCATACATAGCTAATCGTTCATCGACAGCCTGGAGCAATCCGAAGTCCTGGTCTGCCGTCTTGTGCGGTAGACGAGCCTCGAAGATGTCCAGGCAGGACGAGAGAAGGAACTGAAACTCCAGCGGTGCTCGTTCTTCCGGCGGGAACAGCGATATGTGAAGGGGGTTATTCTGCAATACGTGAGCTTAGATGTACTTCAAGAGGATTTGATCCAAGTAATACTCACGTGCTTCCCGATGACCCCTATGCACGCTATTGATGGCACTCTGCCTGACATCTTGCAGTGTAGTAAGTTATAACTGTCGATATTACTGGAATCAGGCGCAGTCCCGAGGTCTTAGTCGCAATGTAGCACTGGACTTCGAAGGAGCGAATTGGAGGCTGTGTTCGCCGATGGTGTCCGAAAGTGGTGATGGCGAGGTTGATGGTTTGCGCGCCAACATCTCTAGCCAACCAGAAGCGAGCTAATCGAGGCGAAATGCCAAGCCCAACCTTGACTTTGACCTCATCCGCTTCGCGACCTCCCCTCCCCATCGCCACCCTGACTTCCTTCCCTCTCCACTCCTTCGCCAAACCTTTCCTTTGTCCCTGTTGTCAACATGTTGTCGACAACGAGGTCTGCGGCCTCAATGGCCATGCGAGGTGCGCATCCACCGCCCCCGAGCTTGCCTTTACCCCGGAGCTAACATTGTGGACAGCCAAGCCTTCGACCGCTTTGCTGCCATACCGCGCCGGAAGCGCAGCGTTCCTCTCGTCTACCTCGTCCAACTCCGCGACGCCAATGCAGAAGCCTGGTCTCGTTGCTGGGAACCCGGGAACGCCGCCTCCGATGAAGCAGGCGCGGCGAGAAGTGCCATTGCCCAGCCAGGAGGGCAACAAAGGCGTGGTACAATACGCGCTGTAGGTGGAAATTTCTTAGGCTGCTGTTGGAAGGTTTCGTGGAGGCATGAAGACCTGGGCTAATTCGCATGCAACAGGACCACTCTCGATCAGATCGCGAACTGGGCTCGCCAGAGCTCGCTCTGGCCCATGACTTTCGGTCTCGCATGCTGCGCCATCGAAATGATGCATCTGTCGACACCCCGCTACGACCAGGATCGACTGGGTATAATTTTCCGTGCGTCGCCTCGGCAGTCGGACGTCATGATTGTGGCAGGAACCCTTACAAACAAGATGGCACCGGCACTGCGGCAAGTGTACGACCAGATGCCTGATCCGCGATGGGTCATCTCTATGGGCAGTTGCGCAAACGGCGGAGGATACTACCACTACAGCTACTCAGTCACAAGAGGATGCGACAGGATCGTGCCCGTGGACATCTATGTTCCGGGCTGCCCGCCCACGTCAGAAGCCCTGATGTACGGCATCTTCCAGCTACAAAAGAAGATGAGGCATACGAAGATCACGAGGATGTGGTACAGGAAGTAGAGGAGATTCTTTCATTTCTTCAGCGGTCAGGTCTTGCGTTCATCATGCCTGTGGACATTCAGACAACTCACTCTGTACAAATCGAATTTTCTACTTCAAAAAGTGGTTTGCTACTGATGACAGCTTACAGTGCGTTCGTCTTTTTCCTTTCGCGTCCCAGACGTAACTTGGGGCCCCGCCGTCCACCGGGTGATCCTCAACCTCTATTGATCGCGATCTGGACGCGTCCATTGCCATGCACCATGCACGGACTTGCCTTCCGTTTCGTCTTTGTTGCCAAGATTAGCATCCACCGCTCCGTGACCTGCCTGAGTTGCCCGCAAGCGCCAGCGACATCTTCATTTTCTTCCGAGAACCAACACCTCGACAGTCTCGCCACCTTCCCGGTCTGACGAATCAAGATGGCCGCCGTAAGTAACTTTTTTAGGCCTTGCTTTTCCTGCTCAAGGACCGTTCCCGCCAAGAACCGCCGGGTCAAGCAGTAATATGAGGTGAAGTTTGGTATTTAAGTTGGCATTCACTCATAGATCCTGGGCCATGCTTCACCCCTCACTTCACCGTAATGGAGCAAGCGTGGTGAAGCAGATATTGGGCGGACTCGGCTAACCACGACGGTATTATGAGCGAAGCGAAAATCGCAACTGCTGCAACTTCCTACTACCACCAATACCGTGGGGTTGGAACTCGCCATGAGGGGGGTGATTGGCAAGCGCGAGCTGGTCGAGCTCGGATTATCACCAGATTTATGGGCAGGAGGAGCGAAACGAAAGCGGACCACACGGCCCACTCCCAAAACGAAAGAGCGAGAATGCGCGAGCTGCTCCGAAATCCTCTCCAAGGACACATTCCCGCGGCTTGCCGCTTGCACGCATGAACCGGACACCTGCAAGCAATGCCTGGAGATGTGGGTGGAAACCCAACTCAATATCGCAAATTGGGATCGGATCGCCTGCCCCTCGGAGGGGTGCTCTCAGCTGCTATCCCACGACAGCTTGAAGGACCAAGTGGCAGAGGAGCTATACAACCGGTGAGTTTTCGAGCTGTCTCCACTCGGAAAGCAAATGAGCCGTGATACTGATAGTTGTCAGTTTCGACGAGCTCTCCGCGCGAAGCGCACTCCGCGATATTCCCAACTTCCGGTTTTGTCTGGCCTCGGGATGCACGTCCGGTCAGATCCACGACAGCGGCATTGAGGGCAACATCTTCCGCTGCGCTGCGTGCGGGTTTCGTGTATGCACCATCCACGACATAGCTTTCCACGAAGGTGAAACTTGCGAGCAGTACGACGAGCGGAGGAGACAGGAAGCAGAGCGAAGGCAGCAGCTTAAAGATGAGGATAAGGCGAGCGTCAACACTGTTGAGCGCGTCTCGAAGCGGTGCCCTCGCTGCGAAACGAAGATCCAGAAGAATGGCGATTGCGACCACATGACCTGTAAGCACGGAAGATCTTCTCCTCTATGATTGGACTAACAGTTGATACGCAGGCTCCCGTTGTCGACATGAATTCTACTGGCGTTGCTTCGCACCGCATCGCGGACCTCAGGGCATCTTCACCATCGGAAATAGCGCACATACGAGCAGTTGCCGTCATCATACGCGGAACTTGCCGCAGTGAAGCTGGCGAGTTGCGGTGAAGATGTTTGCTCAACCTGAAGCCCTTGGGCAGATAGTTTGTGCTTGCAATGCGAAACTTGCCAGGGAAATGCGAGTGTGCATAGACGTTTTACCTGTCAACTGACGTCCGGTTATATATTTCTGCGGCTTAGGTCCTTGCCTCCTAATAGCCCGCTGCTGCAAGGTTCGCTGGATCTTGCTCAGAATTCGTTGATCATAAACAGGGAAATTGGAACGAGCAATGTGAAAGGAAATGGTCATAAAAATCAATAGAGGGGTGTCCCCTTGCCGCACACTCATCTGGAACGTCACGCTACAGTTACACGATTGAAAGCTACGCCACTTCGACGATTGTTTTCCCTCGCGAGTTGCACCCTTCAATGGCCTCCTCCCATGCACTTTTCCACAATTGTTTAATTCAAGCATCTGTTTCCGTTTTGCTATAGAGCCATTTTTGTTCTACAGTCTCTCTCTTCGTGCTTTTGGCGCGCAGACGCGTCAGGTCGCCTGATCTTCAGCCTGGGGAGCTAAGCCTCGGCCATCCAACTCCTTCCTCACAGAGAGAAGGCCCAGGCTGTGGGAAGCTCGGTAGACAATTGAAAACAAACAGACATCGTTCAAACGCAGGGGACGGAGTTATTCAAGCCAAGGCCAACAGCACGACTAGTATTGCCTACATCACCTACATGATCAGCCTAAGTCAAGTCTCCTCCGGGATAGGATCAACAATGGTTGCGGCAAACCTAGACCCTGACTCTCTCCACATAGAAGTCCAGGATTCTACTATCTCGACGATAGAGAACAGAAATGGGTCCTTCGAGACTTCTTGACACCCATGAATGCGGAGACAGTGCGGGCCACACCGTTCGCTATTGTGCTAGGGCTCTGCGATCAGCAGTGCATGAAGGACGAGTGGTTTCGTGGGAGGGAACAGATGCTGCTGCCGAAGGTTGCGGGGAAGATGGAGAGGTATGTGGAGAGGTTAGAGCTAAGTTGGGGAGGGATTCGAGCTCAAAGGAGGGACGTGGAGAGAGTATGAGGGATACTAAGTAGTGGCGCGGAACAGGCTTAGGGTGAGTAATTGTTGAGAAGGTGTTGGGAATTCTATGCCGAGTTTGAAAGTGAAGACTCGCGGCACGTTTGCGAGCGAGACCCGGCCACTCTTCTATTAGCGCATGTCTAAGGCGTAACGAAGCAAGCCGGCAGATTCATGTCGCGTCTCGCATCCCTTTCAAAGAATCTATAAATCAATCTATTATCTCGTAATAGAAGGTAGCAGTGGCGAGAGGCACAGCCTCTTCTACCTATGTACACTACTTGCTAATACATATATGCATGATGATCAGAACAGCAAGAATCGAATACTAGCCCCTCGCTTCCGCCCGCCATCCAGCCCGGCACACCACTCTTTTCACGCCGCCTAGTGCTTGTTGCCAATCTCCATGCGCTTCTTCAACCTGTATGCAATAGCCCTCTTCCTCGCCGCCTGGGTCTGTGTGAAAGCAACTGAGCCACCGAAAGGACCGGCTCCCGCGCCGTTGCGCACACGTGCAACGCAGACGTTGGGGACGCCAGCGACGGTGGCGTCGCAGGTCATGCCGGCCGGCATCTGGATCTGCATGGGGAACTCGGTGCTAGTCGCGAGGGAGAGGCCCTGAACACCAAGTCCCGGGACATCCTGGGTGACTTGGGCGTCCTGGAATGCAGCCGGGTCGGTTCCTCCGGATGTGCCGTCAACGGCGGCCTCAAAAGGACCAGCGCCATCCTGGTTGATCTGTCTTGCGTTAGATATCGTGCAGTGGGGAGATAGTGAGGGAGTGGCATACCTGACGGAATGTCATGTCCACAGTGCCATCATCACCAGCAGTGGGCATACCGCTGACCGCACCCTGGCCGGCAGCAGCAGCAACACGAGCCTCTGGCGGGCCCTCAGCCTTGGTGCCGCCACCGCCCAGGAGTCCAGCGATGCCCGTCGCACCACCTCCGCCGGCACCCTTGCCTTTGCCACCAAGAAGGCCACCGAGGAGCTGGCGCCTCTGGTTCGGGATGTCAATGTTGTCCTCGACGCCGACGCTGGCGGCAGCTCCTGCGTTTGTGGGAACATTTCCAGAACCCATGAAAGCTGCAATCATGGTGGCGGCATCTACGTTGCCGTTGCCCTGGGTGCGGCCGAGGGGACCGCACTTGCCGCTCTGGATTTCGCGATCGCGGATGATCGCTGTGTCCGCTTGAGAACCGCAGCCGCTAAGGCAGTTGTTAGTATGGACAATATGGGGAAGAAAGGTGGGGAGCATACTTCGAGGAGCAGTCACGAGGAGTGCCGTCGGCGACAGTAAGACCAGGCATTGTCACACCGTTGGCTCCGTTCATCGAAACGACCATACCGTGGGCAGAGACATAGCTCACCAGTCCAGCGGTGAGCGCGATTTGCTTCGTGAAATGCATGGTGCTGAGGCTCAAGACTAGGCGAGCCCAAAAAAATTATAAGACTAATCAATAAGATGGACAAGAAAAAGACTGAGAAAAGGAAGTAGCCCCAGGCTAGATGCAAAGAAGACTCGAATGAAGGCTGAGTGGATTGATGCTGGATGATGGCTTGAACATCGCTACCGTCCATCCTACTTATACACCTCCGCGAGCGGATAGCTTCTTCTCCAGACTTCTTGGAATTATGCCAACACACCAATTGCCTTCCCAGATGGAGCACAGCATCCTCGGATGGTCGACCAGCCTGGAGGCCCAAGACCGACCACTTCTTGATAGTCGCAGCGTTGTTTGCCTCACAGGTAAGGACCAAGCTCACTTGGCTGTGCGATCGCGTTTCCTAAGGAGCTTGGCTTCCTTGGAAATAGGTCATCCAGAGGTGCCCAGCCGCCCGAGTTTTCCGGGTGCGTTTTATATCGAGGCTTGGTAGGGAAGAGATGTGTGTTTAAAGGCGCAGGCTGTGTTTTGGGCATTGAAACGCAACAACTTTATGCATCGTTTCTATTGTTGCAACCGCGGCTTGTTTGCGGGAGGTATCGACCCGAGTGCCCGGATGAGTGAGATTTTGAAGCTTTCGAAGAGAGAATGGACGGGACTCCCATTTTGCTTTCTTCCAACTCTTTCGGGAGTTTTCCCATGCCCAAATCGATTACTACTTTGCAACTTGCCAAAGATATTGCTGCTAAGCCTCGGAAACTAGGGCCAAGATGAGCTAAATTTATCGTGTGGTGCTTGTTGTTTTCCACGATCAAACATATCACGGGCTTGGCGATGGTTTACTAACGTTTCACTCCACGTTTCCGAGAGGGAAAAGAAACAGATCTCAGACCGCTTGGAATTCGCATACCTCGGCTGGTCGTGATCCGAAAATAGATATGGTCTTGGTGCTGACTCTTGGTTGTCGATGATCTACGTCCAAGAGAAGGATGCGCACTTGGTACCGAGGAGAAATTGAAAGTCCATTAGACGGTAGGTAATAACGATTGAAGTTATCAAGAGTGACATAACTGGTGTATCTTTACTGACCAGGCTCGACTTTCGGGTTCCATCCGGTCCGACATGCGCTGCTGGTAATCCCTGGTCTGGATGGTGGGATCGATGCACTGAAACCTTAAGATGTTTTCGCTTTCGAACATCGACACTTGAGACCCGCGGCTGGAGAAATTGCGGGCTGTCGTACCACCGGTGGTAGAAGAGAGGCTCGAGGTCTTTGGCTGCGCCGCTTCAGCATCCTCCACCGCAGGCACCAGCGGCAGCGGCAGCGCCAAGCCCAGCAGCTCCACCCGTTGCACCTCTCGTTCCCCCCTTCAATCCTTGATTGTACTCCATATTGGATTCCGAGGCCCAAGCCGGTGGTCCACCATACCGTTCTATAAGCGCTTTGTTGATGGCCTGCTGGCTATACGGATCTAACTCTTTCTTTCGGTGGTGGCGTGGCCGTAACACGTTTGAGATCCTTCGCAGTTTTGACAATTGAGCAGTACTCTCCTCTTTGGATGCCGATTGGTTCTCCGAAGGCGCCCTCTTTGTGGTCGTGTCTGGTTGGAGGTCAGATGTGTGAGAGGCATCGAGGACGTGTTGGTGCTCACCTGTGTTCGACATGATGAGGTGCGTGCGCAGTACGCTGCTAGTATCAATTAGGACTTCGGAAGGACTCTTCGTTTCTTTGCTCTTTATGTGCTTTGGGAGAGGGCTGAGAGTTTTATGCCTGAGGTTCGATGAAGCTCAAGGGATGGCGTCATAATGTAGTGGCTGTGCAGCATCACGTGCTAAGAGACGCTAGGGCTTAGACTGGTTTGGAAGCTATACCCCTTTTGAGACGGAAGGCACGGACCGACAACCGCATCTCGTTATCAGCCTCATACATTGCGACGGCTCCATATGCAATCTCACTGGTCCTCGACGTCGGCACAGCGTCTATAGATGCCGAAAGCTTGTTCAGGAAGTTCAAAGCCAAGGTATTCAACAATTATGGGTAGCACACCGATGTCCCACTCATTACTGTCCAATCTATTCCGTGGCATTTATGACACGGAGGCCACCCTCCTGAGCAGAAGAAGCACGATTTGGACACGCTCTCAATGAGTAGGCACAGCGAGTGGCACACGCGTGGATGCATGCTTACCCCACAAAAACGTGGGCGCCTCATGTAAGATGAACCCGGACTGGAATCTGGGGAACACTTTATCTTCACTGCTTCGACGCCCTACGCCCAGGGTTTGCTATATTTTCTTTAATCAGTTTTCATTTCCCTGTCTAATTGCCATATGACAGAGGAATTCTATTTCCTTGCCTCTCGTTTGTCCTCTACGGGAAGGCCGTAGCAGATTCTCTTCAACCTCATGGCTATATAAACGCCATACTCCTATCTCCAAGATGGACCGGCCTGCCCCAAGTCGCCCTCTCGCTTCTAATTTTAAGTCCCCACCATGAAGGTCTCGTCTCTTCTCTCCACCGCGGTTCTCGCCACCAGCGTTTCCGCACATACCATCTTCCAGAAGGTTTCAGTCAATGGCGCCGATCAAGGACAATTGAAGGGCGTTCGAGCTCCCGACTCGGATTACCCGATCCAGAACGTGAACGATGCGAGCTTTGCTTGCAACAAGGACCTCCGACATAAAGACAGCACCGTCATCTCTATCCCGGCTGGCGCGAAGGTTGGCTCTTGGTGGGGTCATGTTATCGGCGGTGCTCAGTCCGCGGGAGATCCTGATCATCCAATTGCAAAAAGTCACAAAGGTAAGCTGTCTCTTTCTCAGGGCTCGACTGGAGCTGACACATGATAGGACCTATCATTTACTATCTTGCCAAGGTCAGCGACGCCGCTTCGGCCGGCACAACCGGGCTACAGTGGTTTAAGGTTGCCCACGAAGGCTTAAGCAACGGTAAATGGGCCGTCGACAACATGATTTCGAATGGCGGCTGGCACTACTTCACGATGCCCAGCTGTGTCGCGCCCGGGGATTACCTTATGCGAGCCGAACTCATTGCCCTACATGGTGCTCAGACGTCGGGAGGGGCCCAATTCTATATGGAATGTGCGCAGATCCGTGTCACCGGCTCCGGGACGAACACTGGAAGCAACTTGGTCAGCTTCCCTGGAGCGTACCGAGCGAACGACCTCGGGATCCAAGTTAACATCTACGATAATACGGGTTCGCCGTATATGGGTGGCAAGCAGTATCAGATTCCCGGGCCGGCGCCGCTTACTTGCTCGGGTGGGAATGGCGGTGGAAGCACTGACACGACAAATCCAGCTCCTGTTACTAACCCTCCGGTTGATCAGGCGGGACAGACGTTGTGGGGTCAGTGCGGTGGATTGACGTGGACGGGGCCGACGACATGCGCTTCTGGAACTTGCAAAGTTAGTAGCGAGCACTACAGCCAGTGCGTACCGTCGTAGAGAGGTTTTCATTTCGCTGCATCATAGCGGTATGATTTGGCGGAGGTGGAAGCGGGATCCCAACATAAATTAAACGCTAATGCCCCCTGTGTGTAATCTTCTTTGAGAGCTAAGACTACATAGAAAATTTCCTTAGCCTATACGAGCAGCCCACACAGGTGCTGTGGGGTTGACGGAAGTTCCCCCAACACAATTCTTGAAACTTATCAAACCCGCAATTATAATTAGGAGCAATTCTGAATGACAACAGATACCGAAACTCTCAAAAAGTGAACTGAAATTTGCGCTCGACTGAGCCATTCACGGGCCATCGAAGATACGAACGATAAGTCGAGCGCTTCCACATCCGAACTTATGGCCAATGCAGAACATCCTCGGCAGGATTACCCTTCCAGCTCGAAAATGGAGGCACTGGCAGACGAGGCTCTAGCTAATGAGTGATCGAAGTATGCCGGCGCCCACATCCTAGAATGTAACTCTAAAGGTTGTTCCTCATCGTAATTCCTGGCGTCCTGATAGCTCTCGCTTGATAGGCTTGCGAACCCTGAAAAGCGTGAGGAATGGACAATTTCGGAAGGTTTCTCACTTACCATCGGCCCATGCCCGTCGAAGTTGCCTGCAGAAGATACCGCAAAGCGAATCACGATAATGTATACCAGCTACAGCCGCGATTAAGCTCAAAACACCGAACGTGGCCAGGAGAACTGTATCCGTTGTTCCATTGCCCTCGGCCATTCTTGCAAATGGATCGCTTCCAGGTACGTAAGGTAGGTAGGCAGTGCAATGATGAATTTGGAAATTGATATTGACTTGAAAAGCAGCAGACTGAACGAAGGGCCAGATGGTAACCACTCTAGGAGCTAGCATTAATTTGTTGCTAATGCATACAAAGAGGGCAGGAAGAGCGAGCGCTACCTACAATTTTAAGAAGGAAGCCGTGGCCCTACCTTCTGTGCAGCTCACCAAAGGCTTCCAATGATGCGAATACCAAAAAGTTCTATTGGAATGAATAGTACGCGGAGATGACTGCTGGAGGACGCTTGGATTGATAAACGCCAGAGATCCCGTATTACTGAAGGGGAGCCTTTAATACTGCTGTGCTGGCTAAGGTTCTTATGCGGGGCTAAAGATTATGCGGGAGCTGCTAATGGTGGATTGGTTGCCAATCGGAGCGGTACGCGGCTAGGTCTGATTCGTTGTTCCCCAACCTGGGCGACGCTTCAAGATTAACATAGAAAGCATCGTGACCAAAGCGTTCCATTGAAAAGGAATTCGTTACGGCCCTGGGGATAGAGAGTCATGAACGTCTGCCAATATGTTAAGCGGGAGGGTAGCCACGCGTCTGGCGTTTCGGGAGGCTTGAAAACCTTTGTAATGAAGGTGGAGGGAGGCAGGGGCTTGTTGAGGGATCCAAAGTGCATCGTGCTCTAAGCGTGAAGACTTTTACATCTTTTGAGGCGTTTGATATCCTCATCCGGCATGTATCGAGGTTTCTGCCGTTGTGCTACAGCGATCCGCGGCTCGCCTTCTATCTAAGTTGCCCACGGGGCTGAAGCTGGTCGCCAAAAGGAACGCAGTTATCGGTAAGCTGGATGACATTCCTGGTCGGTCACGCTGCCTCCTTGTAACCGGGCTTAGGTCTGCCCGATATGATTGCACAAAAGCTCCACTTCGTCCCGCCAAACTGTCCCCAAATTGTGCCGTAGATCTATCGCGGGACTCGTAGGGAAGCTCCGGCAGGTAGTGGCTCAACCTATTGGTCAAGCGCGGAGGAGGAGCGCAGCCTTGACCGGTGAGCTGACGCCGAGTGACCCCATTGAAACCCAGCTCTCAGCAGAAACATGTTCCTATGCGAAGGGCGATGCGTGGAGTGCGATGTGGATCCCGCAGCTTGTGAGCGAAAGCTCGGGCTTGAATGCGCACCGAGCAAAGCAACCTCTGACAAGGCGATCTTTTCGACCTCGGGGCTGCGGCTGCATCTCGAAGACACGATTGCGGATCACGACTCGGGCTAAAATCCGGGGTTCTTGAGAGCTCCGAGATTCGCGTGCTGGTATTCATCTCAGTCCAACCGCATTGCTCATCTGTTACCAGCTGCGTCCCCACATATCCGAGCGGAGAGAACGGCATTCCAACAGGCCGTGCCTAGTGCGCTTATATGAGGGCTTTCCGCAAATGATCGCACATATGCGAGGCCTGCAGTGGGAAGGGTAAGCCAGTTCAACACTTATACCAAGTCGCAGGAAGCAGCGAGAAGAATTGGGGAGGAGAGGATACTAAAAAACATGCATGTAAATTGATGAATCGAAATAGCCCACCGCACAGAAGAATTTTCGTTCGTCCAACCCTGTCTTAGCTGATATAACGGAGTCATTCTGTCTGAGTGCCCCCGTGCGCGGAAACATAGAACAGGAGACACTCGGTCTGCTCGGTTGCTGCGCAGGCATGGTCTGGGGAAGTAGGAAAACACGCAGTGTACGTAATAGCTAACCGCTATCTTAGAGCATACACACCGTGGTTGAAGTATACATCATGGGACACTGGCTTAAGGCGCCTGCCCCGAGGGGATCCCTCATCGCGATACATTCCGCCATCGCCTAGGTTCTCGAGCATGGAGTTCTTCTCACCGGCAATACTTCAAGTCGCAACTGATGGGCATATTCTCCGAGATCTTGAAGGCGGCCGTTCAGAAGCTCCATGATTCATGATAAATCCATCTCTTTGAAAGGCTTGTGGTGGTCATTGCCCCTCGTCTTGCCTATGCTGTTCGTCGGTTTCATAGACTGATCCTTCGGAATTGGATCCACTGGTTGAGACGTCGAAATACAACGGGAAGGGTGGTGTGGGTTGCAATTCAATAACAGCATCATCCCCGAGCCCGGCTTCAACACCAATCTCTCCACCTAGCTTATTTCAGCAAAAGAGCGAAGTTGGAAGCCATCCAGACTTACGGCGACGACACCACGCACGAATTAGAGTACGACAGAATAGGGAACCGAGAGAATCCCTATAGTGAAAACTCACTATTGTGGCCATAAGGGTGAAGATGCCGAACGCCACAAGAAGCGCAGCGTCGGTAGGATCGTTCGACGTCGACATAGTCAAAGAAGGGATCCTATGGGTGGATGTGCCCTCGGCGAGGCTGAAGTGAGGCGGGGTGGATCAGGCTGAGGCGTGGTGATCCCGTGGTAGCGAGAGCTCGTGCCGATGGGGCTTTGGAAGTGTCAACGCCAAAGAGTGGAAGCTCAGCAAGCGTGGACGAATCGATCTGGATAATGTGTCGAATGCCTAGGGAGGGCGGCTGCTTTATACACGCAAAGGTGGGTACGGATAGGTACCGAGGAGACAAATGACAAAATGATACAGATATGACAACTGACAGCTCTAACCCGCGATGCGTACACTAATGCCTCACGGACCGGAGAGCTTGGCCTATCTGGGGACGGATCATTGGCTACCTAGGTACACGCGTGCAAAGCCTCAATGCACAAGTATCGACGCGGGCGGCATGCACCCCGCCTTTCAACCTATGAACGTCCGTAATCCGCAACATTGCGCTTATCTTGGCAGCGGTACTGCGACCAGCACCAGCCGCAGGATGCAGCGCACGTTCCGTAGAATGCACCGTAGGATGCAGCGCACGTTCCGGAGAGGCTTCCCTAAACGCATGTAGAGCAATAAGCTTATTATGTATACAACGAGCCTAAGCTGGACGTCGCGTTCGAGAGAGCCCCCTGCAGGTGAGTCGAGCCTGGTCTCCAACGGTTGCCAGCAAGATCCCGGCCATGCACCTTCAGGATCGATCCATCGCTCACAGCGCAGCCAGAGTCCCTCACGTGATGGTCGTCTTCATTGCCCGCTTCTTGGATATGCATTGCTAATGCTCAAGAGAAGAGCGCTTGCTCAGTGACGCCATTCGTACACTCTGCGTATCGGAACTACACCAGAAGTCTTGGTGACGGCACCGGCCGGCAGTGTGACGGATATGGGATGGTTGTATTCGAGGTGACGGAGGCCAAATACCTTGCAGTAACACTTCTTCGCGCTTGGGCAATGTACCGGCCCTTTGTGGATTGTCACTGGCTCGTAGTATTAGCAAATGATCAACCCAAGGGCGTCGAGGGATAAAGCTCCGGATTATTTACGGTCCGGCCGTGTAAGGCTACCCTACACTTCGCGTTCGAGGCTGCAGAGACCGGAAAGCTTGCAGTAGCAGTCCCCGGCAGTCGGAGAGTGAAAGAAAGGATTGAAGGCGGGCAGCAAGATCAAGTTCTCGGGACGAGACGGGACGGGACGAGACGGGACGGGACGCGACGAGACGGGACGAGAGATTCCTTATTCGGATTAACAGGGGTATGTAGAGAAGTATGCGTGGTTTGGGGTCCTTTGCAGATGGAGCTGCAGGTCCCAAATACCCCGCAGTAACACTCCGCAGCGCAGGGACAGCGGACTGGCTCTTTACCGAATATCACTGGTCAAAGGCGAATAGAGCATGTTCTCCCCTCATCCCTTCGTAGTAGGATACGACATTAGTGCTTCACCGAATATCAGTGGATGTTAATGCACGACGACCATAATAATCAATACGACTACCCCAATAGAGGTCGACTCGCTTGCGGGATATCACTAGATGACACTATCTGATCAAGTTGAAGGCGTGTAAAAAGGCGTAGAAAAACTGCTCAGGGGAGCAATTTGCTTACCATCCGGGAAAAGACATCGCAAACTGGCATACGCTCTGGAACGGAGAAGCTACGTAATTCTTGAATCAAGAACAGTAGTGAAGCATTTACCCGAGCACTTCTCCTTAAGAGTACGTGCTTACTCATACTCAATGGTCTGTCCTTACTTCATCTCTGCCATTCTCACGCGGTCACAACTCATAGAGAACTTGAGTGGAATTCCGTATCTTCTATTAGTCGAAACCTACATAACACGGAGCCTACCCAGACCGCGACGAGGAGACTTTTCAAGAGCCCTCATAGACCAAGGAGAAGCGGGAAAGGGACCGCGACGAGAACTCCATCACACCCATAAGATGCAAAAATCAGAGGCTTGCCCGGGTGCCCCCTCGACGCCGAACCGCCAATCCGTCCATAGCCCACCGCAGAAACACGCATGAGGTAAAACACGAGCACCGTCGCTATGCAAAGAGCCACGTAGTCATTTTCTGGGTTCATGAAGGCATTAGTTGGTGTTAGTATTCGGACCACCGCCGCCGCGCATAGATGCTATCTGAGGGGTACTGCTAACGTATCCTGGTGTCGGATTGCTGGCTACGCGAGAGACAGGGAAGTTATGTCCGGGTAGATTCAGCTTCGGCGCTTGTTGTTGTGGTTGCGGCGGCGGAGGCCTAGCCGGAAGATGAGCCGGCGTTCCATACTTGGCTATGCTGCTCTGCTGAGAACCTTGAGAGGACGGCGTAGGCTGAGACGACGGAGATGAGTTCGAATTGGTGGGCCTGGCAGGCATCGGAATGCTGTTATGCATGACTCGAGGTGAACCGAATGTTTGTGGAGTACCAGTTGGTGGGCTAGGCACCGGCATCTGGGGATGCATTTGAGCGCCGGCCGACATCTGGAAATTACCATAGCCATTCATTCCCTGAGGCGGCATCCCAGGAACGTTTGGCTGCACCTGGAACGGCATGTTGCGACCACCAGGAACAAAGGCCTGGCTCTGCGGATTGAACTGTGGGCGCTGGTAGCTGCCGGGAATTGGGTGCTGGTTGCGGTTGGGTTTGCCATTATACGTAGGAGGTGGGAATTGGCCATAAGGGTAGGTTCCTGGCATTGGACCTTGGATAGGAGCGGACATGGGTCGATTGCCCGGACCGTTTGGAGCGAATGGACCTTGGGCCATAGGATACTGAGGCTGTTGGTTCATTGGGGACCACCCTGGATTCATCGCCATGTGCTGAGGTGGAGGTTGGTACGACTCTGAATAACCCGCCATCGGTACATTCGCCATCTTTGGCGTCATCTGAGAGGGCATGCCCGCTGACTGGAAAGACTGCATACCTCGCTGAAAGTCAGTAGAGAGGTCGTATCCATTCTGCATTGGCGCATAGCCCGGGTACATCGTCGGACCACTAGACGGATGGTATTGCTGGCTGGGCCATCCGTACTGGGATTGGGTCTCTTGAGGCATCATGCCCGGATACGCATTGCTGTACGTCGGAGGAGGGGAGTAATCCATAGACGTGTATTGCGAGGTTGGCACCGGCCCCGGGAAGCCGCTGAAATACACGGTGCCGTCTCCGCTATAGCCAGAAGCGGGATACGGCCCCGTATAGTAGGCATTGAAGCGGGACCGTGCTTCGAATCCGTCATCGTCGAAGTTGCGCTGTTTTTTGCTCTTCTTCTTGCCGGAAGCAGAGCTCGACCTTGACGTATTCTTCTCTTCCCCAGATCCAATGGCTTCAGTGGACTCGTTCTCCTCACTCTCAGCGCTACCAAAGATTCGCTGACGGGCCTCTCGATACCTGGCCTCGCGTTCTTCTCGCGTCATTGCGGACTTGTCTTTTGCTTTGTTGCCGGTGTTGTCATTGCCACCGTCGCTGCCACCTGCCTCAGACGTAGTCTTGGACGGATTCTCGGAATTAGCTGTGGTGTTAGTTCCTGACTTGCCATCATCACCGCGGCGCATAATCTTGCGAGCGGGAAGATCGACGGGAGGGGTGTTTGCACTCTTCGATGCATCCACCATTTGTGAAAGTGGGGGAGGACTGCACGGTATCATTAGCGAAGATCCGCAAGAGAGAGAGAGTATACTTACATTCTACAGTAAGGAGTCCTCGTGATTCTCACTCCAGTCATAGTAGAATCAACTACATGACCGAGGAGGTAATAGTCAGCGAGGCGATGGGCAAGCATCCTGTAGAACGTATTACAGTTCGGTAGGCAGTACTCGTTTTCACTGGTGTCGTTAGCGAAGGTAATCTTGCACAATAATGAAGGATAAAGCATACCGAGAATCCTTGATGAAGTCAATGAAGTCCTGCTCGATCTTGACTACAAAGAGTCGATCTCGAGGGGACTGTAGCGCTTCGATGAGCTTCTCATCTGGAATCGCAGGCAGACTCTGCGGGCCTGCTCCTGGTGGCATGCCATTGACCAAAGGTTGAGACATCGGTCTTCCCATGCTATTTGGAGGCTGATTGGGGTCGTAGAGGGTGGGAGGCCCATTGGCGGTTGGGTTAGGGAAGCGTCCGGGTGGCACACCTCGCTGTGGCTGCGGGCCCATGACGGCAATTTCGCGCAGCTGGTCACGGAAAGCACGTGCGCCGCTGTCAGAGCCCACACGCGATCCGGCAGCTACAGAATCAGGCGGGGACGCCACATCTTCTTCCTCAACCGCTCGAAGGCTGGCGCTGTCGTCGGGGCGAATGGATTCCTTTTCATCAAGAGCAAAGGTGGTCCCCGATGCAATACTCTTTCCGTCGAGACTTGGAGGCTTAGCGGAGCCATCAGACGAAGACAGTTGCGTTGTGCCGTCCTCGGCAGCCGTGAATTTGACCAAGGTGATAGGAGGACGCGCCTTCTCCACTTCCTCTTCCTTGGTTTCCTTCTGAAGAGCCGTCTCCACTCCAGCGGAGCTGGCCCATTGTCCAGTGCGGGTAGCTGTGTTACCAGCTTTCTCCTCCGTACCGTTTTCCTCGCCGTGATGCTCGACGTGGACCGCTGGCGCCTCGCCATTAGCGGGGCCTGGGCGGTTTGGATTCTGCAAATGAGGGGAGGGATGAGGGGTCGCGACAGGCGGCTTCACGCTGGGTGCAGATTCTTTGATATGTTGTGGTTTTAATGCAGACGCCGCGACCTGGACTGGTCAGTATATTGACCTCTGTTGTCACCTGTTGAACTCACCTTGGCAAAGGAAGGCCTCGTCTGGGCTTGCTCCGTAGGGACCGCAGTCGTCGAGGCCATCGTAGCGAGTCGACGCTCAGACTATGTTGCTGATATAAGAAGTTGGACGCGACCGGAATCGCTCGCGCCTGATCTGAGACAGGCACTCGTCTGTAGGTAAGGCAGGCAAATGGCAGTTGGAGATGTGCTGGCAGGCACCGCAGAAATCAGTTGAAGGGCGGAGCCTACCTTCGGGGTCGAAGAATTCACCAAGCCTAACGCCGTAAAGCCGCAAATGGGTCGTCTCGACCGAAAGGAAAGAAATCGAACCGATGGGGCGATGCCTCAGGAAATGGGGTGCTCAAGGAAAGTAGTAGATACCAAGGCCAGAAAGCTGGACATGATGGAGTGTCGACATTCGAGCCTGGTGTGGGGTGACGGAGGTTAGGCGAAGCAGAGACGTGATAATGCGAGAGCCTTGCGACGGTGCGCCTGGTGAAAGTGGAGCGGCCCGGCACCGGCGGCAGGGTGCGCAGGGGAAAACGGGCGGGTGATGGTGAATTGGCCTTTTTGAGATGAAGGGGAGCGCGTTGCAGTGGGCGCAAGGCTGGCGGGCGGGGTGAAGGCTCGTGGAGCCAGGCGACGATGATGAGGGTGGGAGTCTTTCTGGGAGGAGGCTCGTGCGCGATATTTCTCCGATCCGAGCCTTGGCGTGAGGCGCTGGGAAAGAGCGACCAGCCATGGAAAAGCTCCTATCACGTGCACCAGCCCCATTCCTCGCCCCTGCTTGCGCAGCAGGCCGTCGCTGGTATCAAACGCAGACTCACTTGGTTGTGCGGCGGTGTTACTGACGGTGCGCTCCCGGACCAGGCCACCTTGCAGCTCCGTCTCTCATTCGAATTCTCACCTTCATCAATACCTGGAACTCGTCGCGATCCTCTATTGCCGCAAGAATCCGAGCTGAAGGCATTATTCTTCGCCGAGCTCAGCTTGACAACTGCGCACCTCTACGACCACACCATGTACCGCGGCCCAGGATACGGCGGCCGCTCCAAGGCCACAGCAAACATCCTCTGCCAGAAGTGTCTGAAAAGAGGCCACTATAGCTACGAATGCAAAGTCTCGGCTCAGGAACGGCCCTACAAATCGCGGCCTTCGCGCACCCAGCAGCTCCTAAACCCTCAGTTGAAGCCAAAACTGAGCACAGAAGTCCCCAATGATCTTCTGCGAAAGTGAGTAGATATCCCTTCACCACACTATTCATCAGCTAAGGCTTGCACAGAAAGGGCGTTGCCGACGAAATTCTAGCGAAGAAAGAGGAGGAGCGTGGAAGGAAGTCTGGCCGTGATGATGACAGCCCCGCCCGCAAACGCTCTCGATCGGTGTCATCCTACTTTTCTGACTCCGACTCCGTATCCACCATTTCGACGAACCGTTCGCCTTCTCGCTCGCGGTCACCGAAGCGCATCGAGAACGGGAAGCCATCGCTACGCGGAGGAGACATGCTGGGAAAGCGGCCACGACGTTCAGTTTCTTCGGAATCGGTCCACTCGCCCCAGGTGGTAGAGCGTAACACACGGCGGCGGATGAGCTCGTTCAGCCCCGCGGAGAGGGGTCGACGTAGGACCAGGTCGCGATCAAGCCACATGGACATGTCGCATGGTGGGCACAGAGCAGCCGTACGAAAGAGGTCAAGGAGCAGGAGCTATAGTAGAGGAAGAGGCCGACCGAGGTCACGCAGCAGGAGCAGGGAGACATACGGCAAGCGTGGAGCTCCGCGGCTTTCATCCTCTGGGTCACCTTCGAGAAGTCTCAACAGAATGGATACTTCAGAGGACCACAATATGTCGCGGAATGGCGAGGCACGATCGGGAGGCGGTCCAAAGAGGCATTGGGGACCCTCGCCTACAGGCCCTCGCCTTTCTCCCTCCAAGTCGCGGTCAAGGTCTCCATACCAAGGTCGTCAAAGTCCGAGCGCTTACTCCAGGAGACGCCATGTGAGGTCACCGAGCCCGTACAAAAAGAGAGATGGCGTGCCGGCTGTGGGCAGCGCCTATTCTGAACGATATCATCGATTTGGCGACCGACGCCCGGAGCGGACTGCCAGGAATGGCCCGCCGCCCCAGCCACCTCTTCAGAGAGAGCGCAGCCTGAGTCCTTACAGTAAGCGAGTGGCTATGACGCGGGCAATGCAAGCGGGTCGATGAAGATTTTCCTGCAGTATCGCAGCAGGATTGTCGCGCAGCTGGTCTCGAGATCGCGCACGATATGGACATGCAGTCGAAGGAATTGAAGAGCCCGGTTCCTTTGCACACAGTACAAGGAAGAGGATGAAGGTTGACATTGCTTTAGAAGTTTAATGGCTTGGCTTTCGCTGCTTAGCGGAGGTCGCTATGGAGAACGAGAGACAAAAGCGTTCAAGGCTCGGACAGTCTTGTTTTATCGTGGCTATCTAGATACCCTGCGAAGAATGACACAATTGTAGTGTCCTCTGAAACATTCTGTGCGCATTTGAATGTGATTCAATTAAGGCCTTCAGCCTCCCTCCAATCCGCGCGTTCTAGCATGCTTCTTGCGCGCGCGGAGCCCCGCATGTTCCTGGGTGTCTTAAAGCCTGCCCGTGTCCAAGATTGACCTGAGGCTATGAAAGCCAGTCGGCCCACCACGCTTCAACTGACGTCCTCATCCGCCACGTCCCGTTTCCTCTCCTCCTCTTCCTCCCGCTCCTTCAGGTGCATTGCCTCCACCAGCTCACTGCCACCCATCCCGACCTCCTGTCCCTCCCCGTCTCCATTCCTTCCTTCCTCTGCCTGCCTCTCCTTCCTCTGCGCCTCCACCCTCTCTCTCACCAGCTTCGCAATCGCATTCTCAGTCTGGACATCCAGCCCCCTCATCTTCTCCTGCAGGTCCCTCTTTAGATCCCAATTCGGCTTCTTAGGCTGCAACTTGAACAGGTCGAGCGGCTGGTCCGCTATCTTCTCTTCCTCCTGCTTTTTCCGAGTTTCTAGCGCCAGCTGCTCGGCTTTGTATTCGAGGGTGTTGGTTGGGTCGGCAATAGGCGTCGCTTCAAAGCCGAGCTTGACGTTGCGCGTTTCGGGGTCGTAGTTGCGCCCGCTGAGGTAGGCTTTCGCGATGGCGCGATCTTCGGAGGGTGAGGGCGATTTTGTGGAGGTAAGGGCGGTGGAAGGGGTAAGCGAGGGGCCATCTTCTAGCGCGGAGGCTACAGGTAGGTCGGAGGAGTCGGGTGCTTGTTTGCGTTTTAGGGACTTGAGTTGGGCGAGGCGGGCTTTGCGGTCGTTGGCGGCGGCGGAAAGGGTCTCGTGGGAGGACATGATGGCTGTTTGCGTTCGACAGATGTTTTGGTTTGAGTATATGGGCTCGTTTTGGAATGTAGCCTCTGCGAGGTCTTCTTGCCTTAGATTCCCAGAACTCCGCTGTGCTCTTGAGGTTGAAGCTGCACTCCGCAAATAAAAGCTAGGTGTCGATCACTGTGGCGCATGTAACTACCAGCCACATAACCGAACTTTTTCTCGCGATGGACCATCCATCCACCCTTCGTCCGGTCCCGCGCATCATGGCTTGATGAAGGCCGCAGCAGTTCCCTCCGCCCATGCCCCGAGCTTGCCTCCCAAATGCCAGGTGCTTCACCAGCGCAGAACTCCCCGTCCTCCCCTTTCTCGCGCCTCGAGTCTTCGCCGAATCTCCTTTTCCGCGAGCGAGCTCTCAACGCGATGTCGGCACAACACAGGAAAAGCAAGAGGAGAAGAACCGCGACAGCAAGACGAGTTGGAACGTAAAACGGTCATCACGGAGTGACGGTCGAGAAATCTATTGGAGTAGGGGATCCGGGGCTGCGGCCTCTTGCTCAACGTTTGGTAACCCAGGAAATACGGCGAACTTGTCGCGCATACCATGTTCTTCGATCTCACTCAGGAGCGCTTCTTCTACCCATACGGCACAGATGTTCCTAGGCCTGCGCTACGCCGACATATTCTCCTTCACTCGGCACCAAATGCGAAGCTATAGTTCTAAAGGCTTGGAGGTTGGAAGTTGGATGGCCGCAAACGACGATCCCGTCGAAATACAACCCCATGATAAGGAAGAATTGAAAAGCAATATGAGGAGAGTAGAAAGTGACGGTCACACTGTCGTTAGGACCGAGGAATCAGAGAGTACCTTCAGGAAAGTCGCAAGCGAGCATCGGGCCGCACGAAGGAAGCGGGCTCCTCGGACGATCATACATTGTGCCGATTCTGGAGCGCTTCTCACCGCGAGACGCAAGAAGGCGCTACTTTCACATCGCAAACGGATGAGCAACCTGCTCTCCTACGAAGTGACGACCGAGTGGAAGTCTCTCATGCGACAGGGCAGATACCGGTCTTTACGACGCCGAATATTCCTTTTCTCGCGAAACAGGCCCGCTGTGGTCAACCTAAACCTGCGCGGGGCCGGGCCGACGACTTACCGGTTGCTGACAAAAGCTTTCGGTGCTTTAGACCGGCGAGTATATCCATGCGCCCGAAGGCAAGCCCACAAGCTCCGATTGCAACATCATCCGAAATGCATTCAGTATGCGACGCTGCTCTTCGATAACGTAGGGCCTCCGGGCGATGAGCAGATGTGGAGAAACTGGATGGACTTTGACGAAAACTCAAGGGAGACTTGGTGGCCTGCATTGCTGCTATATGCCCTGGACCGTGTACCAAGCCATGCTTTATCTTTCATACAAGCTCTCGAACACGAGCCATGCGTTAAGAATTTGCAGCCCGAGATACTCGCGGACGCCCTGGGACACCTCGCGAGAATACACGCCGGAAATATTTATGGGAAAAACGAACATTTTTCTTGGAGCAAGGAAAACCTCGTGCCGACCTTCTTCCATATCTTTCGCGGCCACTTTGCCCGGCATCCCAAGGTGTGCTCGCAGGATCTCTTGATGAATATCGCTAGATTGGCCAACGCCGCGGATCTCAAGCGTATCTTCGACCTTTTGGTTGAATCAAAAACGTATCTCATTCACGACACCATTTTGCATTACGCCAACGCCTTCGCCGAAGCGGGTGAGCATGAATATGCTCTACTTTGTCTAAAGGCAATTGCGGAGAGGACGGCGAATCCGGTTGCGAGGCACACCATTGTCAACCGCGAGAGATTTCGGTGGACCTGTGCGCTAATACTTCGCAAGAGCATGAGCGTGTCTCGAAAATACCATGAGACAACGGGCATTGTGGCAGCGTTCGTGAAACTAGGAGTCAAGCTGGATATCTTGCTGTACAACGTTATCATGCACAACGCTATGGAGGCTGGCGACTACAGTACCGCGTTTCGAGTATACAACACTCTCGAAGAGAATGGACTAAAGCCGGATAAACACACATTCTCCATCTTACTCTATGGATGCACGATGACGAACAATCCGGCGATGTTCCACGATTTTGCTGAGTATTGCGCCAATGCTGCGACAGAGTTAAAAGATCCTTGGCTGGCGGCCGACTACCTTTATTATCTCTATGTTTGCGATCGTCGGAATGATGACGCCTCCCAGCAAGACTCCACTAAGATCCTACAAGCATATCGCCGTTTCTTCTCGGCAGAGCCCCTGGAGCCCTTCTGGACTGGACTTCCGACAAGGCAAGCGCCTGAGGCGCAGGACCATGCCACGATCGACTTAGCACCAATGGAGCCCCCGCCTGTTGCTCTCTACATTATGCTACAGACTGAGATTCGTAACGCACTCACCATGAGGAGCACCCGAGTGTGGCGCCTGTATCTCAAGTTTCGACGTCTTGTTAGGGAAAACCATCACCCCGTTCTGAACGAGCTGGCCCGGAACCCAGTGATCTGGAACGCCTTTCTCCTCGCTTTCTGTGAAAAACAGCAGTTTGCAAGCGCGTCCGCGCTCATCAACCACATGTCAGACAACTCACCCCACCCGAATGTCTATAGCTGGAACATCTTCATGCAAGCCTTCTTCAAGTCTTCGCAGGTGCAGGCAGCGGAACGCGTGTTCGAGATCATGCGCGCTCGAGGTGTCGAGCCTGATCAATTTACTTACGGCGTTCTACTAAGGGGATACGCGAAGGCGCAGCATGTTGAGAAGATTGGAGAGACCATGGAACACGTGGATAATGAGCAGCAGCTTGATCCAAAGTTGCTGCAAGCGCTAGCACGAGTGCATCTCCGGCAGAGGCTGATGTTGGCGCTGGAGAGGAGTCGGCTGAGGAAGGAACGAAAGGAGAGGGAGAATGCGGAGACAGAGGCTGAGCGGCGAAGGGAAAGGTGGAAGGCCCCGGCATTTACGCCGCTATTCTCCCCGAAGCCTTCCGCCTCAGATGCTGGCGGTGATCCGAACCGAACTCCCACGTTCGCGTCCGTGCTCCGGCCTGCACTGAGTTCGCGGACGAAGGAAAAAGAGGCACTCCTGACGGATGTGCGGCCAGTACCTTGGCGAAAAGTCGACAGTGGGATCTCGGAAGAAGAGTACCAGAAGCTCAAAGAGCGCGATGCGGATCCCTTGCTGTCCTGGTCCGAGCCTGCGAGTCTCCCGGGGGAGAACGTCGACAGCAAATCCCCCCTGGTACCAGAGGACTTTCCGCTCTCCGATTTCGGGCATTTCGGCCAAGACTCCGGCTTCAAGTCCGTGCGGCGGCAAGATGAAGAACCCTTGATTAAACGATAAAGGCCTCTCATCCGCAAGCAAAGGGGATCCTAGGCTCCGGGTTCGAGGCGTAGTTTTGCGGCCAGTTCGTTATCCACGATGAGGCCTTGTTGTGGAGTGAGCAAGAGATGGAGCATGTTCATATTGTATAGTTCCATATTGTAGTAGCAGGTTACGGATTGTACACAATCGGTGTATCAGTTATAGCTTGGTAGGCGTACTGCATGCATGGCGTTCAGGATTTCCTAGGCCACTTGTTGGAGAAATGGGCGCTGTGCATTACACTTTTTCTCCTGGCCTCCAGGAGGTTTCCCCTGCCATAGACTTTTCAGCGCATAGCATTTTCTCATTCCAATGGAACGCAAGTTCGTTTCTGCTCGCAAATCCCGCCGTTTCTAGCACGTAGAGAGAACAAGGGCCGTTGAAAAAGTGCCAATCGGCACCACACTTTTTCCTTCTCACTAGGTCACGTGTGGATAAGAATGTCTGTTTCCAGGGTGCTGTTGCCCCCGCAATCGACGGTTCTCAACAACTTGCCCTATTAAGTAACTCCCTTTTCCCCCCAAATAAATAGGGAAACACACTTCACGATGCTCTAAACTGCAATCTCTATATCTGTTTCGCACTACAAAAATGGAGTAGGGAAGTGGGTGGTGGTCGTAGGGACGATGTGAAAGCTTTTCGGTTTCGTGAAAGTTCGAATTTCCGCAGCTTTCAACGGTTGCGAAGAAACTACCCTGCTAGGAAATTTCTTCCACCAAAGGCTGTATTATCAGTATTGCTCTGCAGTACTCTAGGTAGGCATGTAAGGACGATATCTAGCTTGAAATTCGATGCATAGGTAGGGGTATTGCGTTTCTAGTACGTGCTGGAAAATCGTTGGTCGAGAGCCGCCGAAATTTCTACAGTGATCGACACCGTCGGAAACCTACCCTTTTGGGAGATTTTCGGATGTACTGAGGAAAATGAGAAAATTCATGGTATTGCGGTTAGGTGGTATCATCGGATACTCTGTATCAGAGCCGACTCTATAGAATGGCTGCCGGCCGTTGTGCGCAGAAGAATACTTAAATATTTAGGTTTCGTTTTGGAAGTAGAAAATATGGTTCAACGTCACGGTTAACTAGGCTATCATCTCGTATACGTGAACATGAGGATTAAAATTATCATTGACCACCGGCGGCGCATGCCTGTAGTAGGAACAGATAAGCTGCAAAACCATCCCAATCAGACTGACGCGGCGAATCCGAGCGCAGCCATCCCCAGCGCGACAGGCATTGTATATATCCTCGGCACCCCGCCAGTAAACATCTCTATGGAGGAGGTAGCGTTTCCATTTGATGATCCGCAAGTTGTGGTAGCGTTCAGCCACGGACCGCGTGTGATTGTTGCTAACGATGTTCCGGTTGTTGATGGGGATTCGGTTGGAATAATTGAGTAGCCTACACCACCCGAAGAGCTGCTCATCGTTGTCGGCTCGAGAGATGGAGTGGAAGAAGGCGAGGGGGTTGCAGGAGCGGAAGCCATGGTTACGGCGCTGAAGGCTACAGCGCATGCATTGAGATCCATGCCCTATAGCGAGATCAGCAATGTAAGCCAGGAGTTCGAGGAGAAGCTTACCTCAGGACAGCATCGCGGAACAGACGCAGAGTCGAATGCGCAAGAGTAACCCCCTTCGCAAGAAACTGCGATGGATGAGTTTCTGCGGTCAATATCCTGGACAGTCAATACAAGGCTTACCTCCAGTATCTCCAGTACAGCAGGTTTCGCCGGCAGAAGGCTTGTAACAATGTAAGATCGAATCCTTAGAAGGACACTGACGGTACTTCTCGCCGCAAGCCTCCTCGCAGGAAGAACCAGTCTCACAGATCGCAACCTCAGGATAATACCCGCCGTCCCGCCTGGCCAAGCCAAGACTCTTTCTGTGCTTCACCCATTGAGAGTCCGAGTTCCCATAGGCAGCCCCAAAGAGAAGACCAAGAAGAAATGACTTGTGCATTCAGTGAGCTAGAAGATCGATCTCAGAAGCGTAGGTTGCAGTGCTCGAGTGCAACCCCCGAGGCATGAAGACGTATCTCATCTTAACGAGCACCATGATGCTCATACGATGCCGAACTGGTCTCCCGACCTGCAAGAGATTTCTTGAGGCTTAATCATTCGACCTATATTCTCTTGAGGTCGTCTACCCTTGGAGGTGTGGTGCGCTCAGCCTAGTGCTGGATTCATCGACCAAAAGCGTTCCAAGGCGCAGTGAATCAAGAATCAATTTCAATGAGAGTCAGCGATCCTTCACCCCCAGGTGTTTTTGAATGTCGAGAGAATCAGGTAAACAACTAGAAACTAGGTGCCAGAGAATGAGTGCACGATTTTGTGAGAGGGGTTAAGTATTGAGCCGGAACAAGACCTTGCGCTCCGTGGATCGAAGTGATAGTTTTGGGATAGCCACATCACGCTATCAAGCCAAACTGGGCCATGGTGGGAGAGCTGAAGTACGAAAAAGGTGTCAGACTGGAGTGTAGTGGAGGTGGGAGGCGCAACACCAGGCGTGTGGTTGACGCAAGTTAGCCGAAACGCTAAGGGTGCGGGCCGCTAGCGACCCCGGTCAAGTTTCAGCTTCAACCTCACTCGTCCTTGTCACAAGCCATATGGCGTCTCCGCACCACCCTCACGGCGACAATGTCGTGAGATCTCAATGACTTCATGGCCGTCTCTCAACTCTGCCGCCTCCGGGTCCTTCCTCGGCACTCATTTCTGCTCGTCTTCGCCAGATCGCCTGACCCTCAGGACGAATTCGCGTCTTCTATAAAGTGTACCGCGACACAATGGAGACAAACAGCCAGGTTCAACAGCCTTTCGAACGTGGGTGACTTTTTTTAGCCATTCAGTCGCTGATTCGCCCCATGTTACACCAGACATTTCACCGTACGTTACCATTGGTCTTGCCTGCCGATGATCTGACACGGACTACAGCTCTGAGTGCCTGTTCATGGCCGTTACTATTCGGTGTTTGGGCGCTACTTGTCTCTCCAACACTACAGGATACCGTGTATAGCGCGAATGGCACCCTAGCAGTCCATAGTATTGCGCCATGCCACCTCTACGGTGACGGAGATCTATACGGCCGAGGTGTCCGCTGGAGCTTCTACATACAGTTTATCGCCGGCACTTTTGGAGACATCTGGGGTCTAAAAGAGGAGCTTCGTGCACTACGAATCGGCTTCAATATCATCATATTTGCCGTCCTGGTCGCCACAATCCTGAGCACGAATCGTGGCAGCCTGGCCGCTTTGGAATGGTATCTTGTCTCCTCCATTGTCCTAATCCTGCCATTCTACGTATCTTGGCCTCTTCGGTTCGGCTTTATCAAAAAGGCGGAGTGGAAGGAAGCATGGATTCAGCGCTCGAAGCAAGAACTACCGACTTGGAAGACGTTCTGGAAAGGTTGGCTCAAAGCTTTGATTTGGAAGAGCATGGCCAAAGCCTTGAGGAGCAAGGTCCGCCTTCCCATCTTCGGCAGCTTCATTGAAGCAGGAAACGAAAAGGAGTATGCAAAAGACTATCTCTCCATGGGACTGCTTCTACTCCTCTACACTGTCTATCTCGCACTCCAACCCTGGCTTTATTTCATGCGCGCCTATCAAGGATATAAGACAGGGTGCGCCGTCCGAATCTATGTCGTCTACCGCTACGTGGACGTCCATGGCCATAAATGGGTCATTTTGATGAGGATCGGTGCGGTCTTGGCAATTTTGTTTGCCCTCTACACGTTAAAGAAATCTGTTCTCTATATTCGCCGAGGTGTCCATAATTGGCTCAAGGAAATGCGGGAGAAGGAAAGGGAGAAACTCGTAGCGGACTTGGAGCGCAACGACGAGGAGAGGGAAGAACCAGCTCGGCCAAGGTCCAAATTCTCGGAAGAGAACTGCCTCCAGCACTGACACAACACAAGCAGGAATCTGCTAGAACCCACCTTGGGCTGGCACGGGAGACCACCGTCGATAAAGAGGACTTGACATCGCTATCCAGCATGGAATACAAACGACGCAAGAAGTTCTATGACGACAACAAAGCAATATTCGAATCTTACTATTACTTGGTATCGATCTTAATGCACATCGCCGCTGCAGTTCCAGCCTTTGTGGGGACATCGGTCATCAAGTTCGTCGAGGCCACAATCTCCGAGAACGACATCGACCTATCGGCGTCTCCATTGAGTTCCACAAGTCAGCTGCTTCCACTCATTGTCGGCATCCTCACATCCCTCAATGTTGCTTGCGCGCTTCTGTTCAAGGCCAAAGCGTCTTGGGAAAAGAACGGGGAGTCCATTCTCCTGAATCTTAGCACCGCCACCGAGAATACCGGAGTTGCCATTATACAGGGCCTTAAGACATTCGCCAAGGATACCGCTAAACGCTATCGGTCGGCCTGGGGATGGCTCAAGGATAAGTGGGAACCTATCCAAGCGACAATCCAGCGAACGGACGAGGGATTCAAGGAGCGCGTCACCTGGATTCGCAGAGGAATAGTCGAGCAAGTCTTATGGCCGACCATCCGGCACCTTGCCACCATGGTCAAGAAAATTGGCGCCTTTTGTACTCCTCGTCAACGTAATAGCACCCCAGGCTTAATCGCCGTCCCAGATCGTCAGTCATCTCTTCGAAGTCAGCCAGCTTTGGAAAGCTCCAACACTCGTCTTCACGCTCCACAAGGCCAATCTACAGGGCTCCGCTACTGAGGCTCTCCGTTTCTTCGAGGTTTTCTGTAGTTTGTTGGTAGGAATGTCGGAATCTTGGCATATGCAAAAAGACTTGTCTTGCATAATAATTGGCTTCTTCATCGCACTCTCTCTTATATATGGCTCAGACCCGGTTCGTCCGTAATCATAGCGCAGCATGCGCATTATTTGCCTTACATAAGTAACCTTTTGCATGCGAATGGAGCCCATTCAGCCATCTGCCATCTCATATCAGGAATCAGTGAAAGAGTGTCTTAGTTACTATGGACCGCTTCTGTGGCCACTGCCAAAAACATTATCCACGCAAAAATTCTCTGTATCAAGGCAAGAGCGAGGACAAGGCTGAAACATTCAAATAGGGCGAGAATGCGTAGCTGTCGATTCCTACCAAGCCCGCGCGAAAACCACTTTGAAGATTCCAGGGGGTTACAGTACTGGGCCACCACATGCCACCGTATCCTTATTTTTCTTGCAAATGCGATGTAAAATTGCTCCTCAAGCGCACACCGATCCCGCAGTTCCACTTCTTAGCTATGTAGCGGTACTTTCCTAAGTAGGCAAGTTCCAGGCAGCCATTGAAGGCTGTCGTAAAATTGGCCCAACTCCGATTCCCGCCAAAGAACCCAAAATCGCGTCACCCACCACCAAAATGGCGCAATCGCCACCAGCAAAACTCACCCACGCAGCAGCAAAAATGGACTACAACGCATCCCTACGCCTGCAATTGACACTGCAGCTCTCGCGATGGCACGATCAATTCCGCAAGAAATCCTAATCGACGTTCGCACGCCCGCCGAATTCGCGACCGGCGCTCTTTCAAGCGACCTCTACGATGCTATGAACATCGAGTACCAGCTCATCGAGCAACTACCACAAGTTTACGCCGCGCTCGGCATACATGTGCGGAAATCATATGCGATAACGTTATACTGTCGCTCGGGACGACGATCGAATATCGCGCTGCAGACGCTGCGGGGATTGGGGTATACCAACGTTCGGGATATTGGTGGCTTTGAGGAAGCCCGGGCTATACTGAAGAGAGAAGAACTGGGGAGGAAATCTGGAGCAGACGTAAAGGCGGCGATGCTACGGGAGAGGAAAGAGGAGGAGAAGAACGAAGCGAGGGTGAACTCATTCGGAAGCTTGTTCCATGGACTCAAGAGACTGGAGGTGGAGAGGATGCAGGCATAAAGAGGGAATGGAAGAGAAGTGGGTATTTCAACAATCGTGGGCATATCATGATATTCAATATATACAGTCAAAAGCCGGATTTTTGCACCCAAACGAGTGGCTACAGTTGGAGAAGTTCACCCAGTGCGCCGCGCCCAATGCTCGTTTCGCAACCAGTCTGTACCGCTCATCTTCCCCATCTCACCCAGCTTAAGAAGACGGCGCAGCAGTCGGCGCAATGCCAGACGGCACAGCACCGGATGGCGGCGCACCACCACCCATACCAGCGCCAGCATTCGGATTGGCAACGCCACCATTCTCCGTCAAAGTGGCTGCGGCTGTGATGTTATAAGCCACAGACGAGTCCATGCCGAATGCGATCCAACCAAAGACGCCCTCGGAGACATCATCGCCCAGCAAAACGTATTCCATAACAGGATCATAGCCCTCGGATTCCTGGGACATGATGCCATCCTCTTCGTTGGTAGTCAGGTCTTGCGTGTTGCTGGAGTACGGCGCAGTCGCCTCGACGAGCGAGATCATTGATTGATCGAAGAAAATTTGGCCGACGTGGGTGATGGCACCACCGGAGATGGTGTTGTTCGAGTTGAGGGTTGCATTGAGATGGCTCATGACGTGGATGTGGTTCTGCAACGCATTAGCAGGAGTGCTGGATGGCTAGAAAATGGAGGACGTTACAGTGCGACCAGTGTAATGCCCAGGGACGAGAGTATCGAACGTAACGACACCACTATCGTCAGACGGCTGAACACCACGCAGGAAGGTAGCGTTAAGATTGTCCGACACATTCGAGTTGCCGTTACCGCTCGCCACCACACCGCCATAGACACCAGTCGAGTTGCAGTGCCAAATCTCTAGATAGGCTTGCGGCACGGGCTCGCAGGTGTTTACGTCGATGATTTGAATGTCGAGAGTCAACGCAACACCTTCCTGGTCCTCGGTGATGTCCTCGCGAACAAGTTCACCCGAGACCCAATATGGGCCTTGTGTGACCTCTGGAGTGAGGATGCAGCTGTTGTTCCCGGCGAAAAGGACTGACGGGTCAGTGTCGGGCGTGATGCCGGTCAGGTTGGAATGGTGGTCGGTGGCGAGGACTTCGTCGATATCGCGAGCGCGGAGGTAAGGCTTGTCTATAGAAGTGATTAGCGAGGGGTAAATCAAGATATCAGTCTCGCAACACTTACCCTGGCTAATAGATCGCTTCTTGCGCAGCTTCTCAACCATAGCGCTTCGGCGAGCGTGCATAGCGACATCGTTACCCCGAGCCTTGAGCGCATCCGCGCAGTGAGCGAGCGATCTTTTGTGTGTGCTCAGGTACGTGGAGCGTTCTTCCACCTCCTTCTGCAGCTCAGCGCGGCTTTCGCCTGGATGAGCAACGCTCTGCTGAGCAAGCAGAGAAGCTCCGAGGATAGCAGAGACAATGGAAGACTTCATCTTGACAGCTGATGACAGTGACGGGAAACAAGAGCAATGAGCAGCTGAAGAACAAGAACTGGGACGAAGAGTGATTGACTGCGGTGGGTGGTGATCGAAAGCACCGCCATCTTCGACCTCTTATATACTTCGAGATGCTGTTCGAAGCTCAAGGAAGTCCCGTTGCAGTGGTCGCCTGTCGTCAGCCCTGGGAGTATACGCAATCAGCCATTCCAAACTGTTCGTCCACCGACTTGGCAGTATCCCCTCTCATTATTCTGCCATACCTGGATACCATTCAGCACCGCACGTATGCATGTGTTTACACGCTCGTCACCTACGCCGTTTCGTTTCACGCCTCTTGGCAGAGCAAGACACACCAGGCAAATCCCTGAGGCGCCGCAGGCGTCAAACTAGTCCCACGAATCATCGCACAGCCTTTACAAAGATCGACAAGGGAAAGCTCAAACAAAGCTACCGGCCCGCACCCACCTCCTGTCGGCGATTTTGTGAAGCCACGCGTCGCGATGCCGGAGTTACCCCGTTTAGAGGAAATCCGCCGGCGCGCGCGCTCATGCCTGACGACGCTTTCACACATGAATCCAATCAGCTTCTTTGCATTGCCAGTCTCCTTTGAACTACGGATTTGTTTCCGCTCAGCCCGTTGGGAATGTGAAAGCCAAGACGACGCGTGTGTAATGAAGGGAGCGTGATTCGAAAGCTTGCGTTTGCGCAAGGTGGGGACGTTGGGATTAAGCTCGAGGCGCCTGTGCTTGTCTCCACTGCCAATACTTTCTTCAGCCTCATCCAATGTGGAGGCTTGAAGAGCCAATGTGGAGAAGGTCCGTTCCCATATTAGAAACGAGGACGACGCCCAAAAGCGCAGCTACGTCGTGCGTATGCGGCGGCTGGGGAAGTGGAGGGTTGGTTTAGATTGGGCGGCTTGATGCTGGCCGGGGGAGGGAATGACGTTCGACATGAGATCTCGATGGTGCAGCAGCTTGTTCACGGATAGAGATTCCTTCTCGGACAAGGTGTTTTCACGTGCAGAAGGCCCAGGGTGCCTTTGGGCTCTGCGGAGCCGGAACATTTCTCGAACGGAGTCTTTGATGCAGGAGATTGCAGATTTTCAATTTCCTAAAGGTCTCACATGGTGTGTCCTAGGCGGTCGAGGAAGACCTAGACAGAGCGAGGCCTCTCTTGGCTATAGCTCTAGTCGACACTCCTGCCTCTCCATGTCTATGCCCTCTGAGCCTGCGTGGAAGGGAAGTGTATACATTAGCGTACCGCATGCACCGAGGCACAATCTTCGAGGATACCCACAGGCTCCTTCCGCGAAAGCCCCGCCATGTTTAGGGGTCAGTTTAGAATTGACATTCCATTCGTGCACAGCTTAGACTGGAAGAAGGATTCTTATCTCTTCGTCTCAGGATCATCGCCGGCTTCGAGAATGTATACTTAGGGCTTCTTTCAATCGGCAGATAGGATCCCCAAAAAAGGAACCAAGTGAAGGATGTCTCCTTTTGAACGGGTATGCTGAACAACAACGTCCTAACACTTCCTGTATGGTGGGATGCCCGCCATGCTAAATTGTGCACCCTCTAAGACCTTTTTAAGCACAACTGTACGTGAAGTTATTCATGAACTCTTCAAGGGTGGAGGCTGATCATACCCTAGTCCTTTCCGGGGATAGCGCAAAAACTTGCACGAGTCAAAAGAGGGCCGCCACTTCCAAGCTCGATCATTTCCTCCATCGCACATGTTTCTCCGAAGAACCCTATCGAATGCCTTCACGGGTCGGCCATATCTCGACGCGCCTTTTCCGTAGGCGTGAACGTGTGGGTGTGGCAAGGCTGACGGCCAGCCACAACTAAGCCAAGATGCAACACGAGAACACCAATGCGTGCTGAAGAGCTTCTGCCTTGAGCCACCAAGTGAACATTCCCGCTCAACATCAATGTACTACTCTATGCTGTTACATTCCTAGCTCTAGGGCGTCTATCGATACTTCCGCCATGGAGTCCGCTAGCTACAGTTACGAACCACTCGCGTCAGAGTCTTCGTTTCGCCTTCTCCGCTTCAACCCGTCTCAGCCTTGTCCCTCTGGCGGTCCCGATACAATCAAAATCGCTTTATTCGAGGCGAATTTGGACTTGCCTCCTCATTTCGAGGCTATATCGTACGGCTAGGGTCAAGAGAAGCCGGATTCAACGATCATATGCAACGGCCAACCACTTCACGTTACGCCAAACGTAGTGTCCATTCTACGAGCTTTACAAGGCAAAAGCTCTGTCGGAGTTTTATGGATTGATTCTATCTGCATCGATCAGACTTCGGTCTCGGAGAAGAACGTGCAGGTTCCCAGGATGCGCTCCATATATCGCGAAGCGGAAAGAGTTTGGGTATGGTTGGGCGAAGGATCCTATGAGGTCAACACCACTTTCGATTTCTTATCGGAAGTAGTGGCCATCTTGGAACGACATGACCCGCCTAGCATTTTCCACGACTCAATGGTGCGCGAGCTAAAAGAGCCGCTCGATCTCTTTAATGGTAAGCCTTGCGGACCTCCCAAAAGTCAACGAGAGAAGCGCTCATTCTCAAAGCCAAGATTTGCGAATGCCGTGGTCTCAATGACGCGGTTGATATCAATTTCATCATGGACATTCTTCATTTCCCATGGTTCCATCGCACGTGGCCCATTCAAGAACTAGTCCTAGAGAGAGAAGCGGTCATAGTCAGTGGATCCAAATACCTGTGGTGGTCCAGCTTTGTGGAAGCCCTTCGAATCCTTCAGGAAGTGCACGAACACCACCAAATCGCGGGGTTAGATGGGAACTCCCTATCTAGTCCGGCTTCTTTCTATTATGAGACGGATTGCTATCGCTTGCTTGAGAATCTCTTGCGTCCTGATTCCCATCGAGGTTCCGCTGTCTCCACTGCTCTTAGAGTTGTGCGACAGAAATTGTCGTCGGATTCGAGAGACAAAGTGTACGGATTGTACGGCATCTTCCAATACCTACGGATTTCTGGCCTTCCTCAAGTGGACTACCGCCAAACAGTGCAACAAATATATACAGACATAACGCAAGCAGCCATACGCGACGAGCGGTCGTTAACCATCTTGTACCAAGTATGTCTACCGTCTCTCATCCCTAGTTTGCCTTCGTGGGTTCCGGATTGGAGTAACTCGGCTTACATTCTGCCCATCTATTCTGACCGTTGCTTTGCGTCGGACTCGCGCGAACCTCAGTATTCGTTCAATGGTACCAACCTGACGGTCTCCGGGGTTCTAATCGACGAACTTTGCGACTTGGCTATTTCCACCTCATCCTGCACCCCAAATTTCCGACGTGGGTACAACGCAAGGGTCAATATGAAAAATATTGATGAACGGTATGCAGCCGTAATCGAGTTGGTTCGGACACTACAAGCATGGGTTAGATCCAGCACGCGACTCGATACATATCCGACGGGCGAAACTCCATTAGAAGCATTTTACCGTACGGTGACTCAAAGTGCCGGCTTCGGTGATGACAAGGACTGGACTCCAACCGCGTTTGCATATACGACATTCTCGAAGTGGATCTCCATTGTGACCGCAAACTTTCCGAACAATTATGTCGATCTCGAAACACTCCATAGGGATGTTCAGACCAGGGCCGCGTATGAGCCGATAAAGAGCGATTACATAGACCTCTTCGGAGGCAGCGCTAACGTAGAAGAGTGGGTGGATGATCTGAAGATACGCCTTTTCCTCAGAGTTTACAACCCCCAAGTAGCTAGACTTCAACACGATATCGCTCTGAACACCTACCACAGGACATTCTTCACAACTAGGGATGGGTACATGGGGATTGGTCCCCGCTGGTCCGAACTGGGCGACCATTTCGCTCTAATAGCTGGCTTACGAACTCCTTTCATTGTGAGGAGGACTGGCCCCAACTACAGGCTCATTGGACCTGCGTACATCCACGGCGTCATGAGAGGTGAACGATGGGACGATTCGCGAATTGAGGACATTACACTCGTTTAACTCTAACCTCGATATTCCTTCGATCTTCGCTGCGCGCGCCTCTTCGACCACATATCCAAGCCGCCACATCCTCGGTGCACTGAATTGTTTTTCTCCGGGATCCATATCTTCGATATCGACTCCTGGTACGGTCATTTCCCATTACCGCTCGCTGGCATATTTTTAGCCCTAAAAAATCCTGACGAAGACTTCGGCCACTACAGCCGGGACGCATAGAAGCTCGGCCAAATCGCCCGCAACAGGAACAACCTGGGTTGAGCTAAGCTGAGCTGGATTCGGTGTGGTTTGCTGAAAGTCATGGCAATGAGGGCACGCACTTGATGGGCCAATCCTGATATACTGGCGGAGGATGCAAGGACGCCATTCTTGCAGCTTGGCTCATCATATGCTTGAGAGTTTGCTGTTGCCGAGGCTCTGCTGCCAATCTCTCAAGGGAAAGATGAAGCAGGTCACGTTCAGCAGAACGTTACTTGAACACATCAAGCACAAGCATCTTCAAGCGCGTCCTTTCGATTCCAAGACGATTCAATCTCCTTTTGCATTATCCATCCCGGCTACCAGCATCAATCCCTCGTTCGAACTACATGCTATCCTTCCTCAATATCCGCCGTCTCACTCCACCCCATCGAACATGCATGTCAACATTCCGGCAATGAACTCTTTCAACCTCACCGATCAGCTTATCAAAAGCGTGCATACACGACTTTACGCGGATATGGAAGCCGTCGTTCCAGGACGCCATTGACGCCCTATCGCCACCTCTTATCCAGCCCTATGCCCGGCCCTATGACCGGTCCTACTCCTCTTACTGCGCCCGAAAACGTGAGGTGAGCATGCAGCCGAGCATGCATGCGTGCACCGGGCCCCGAGAAGGGCAAAGGAGCATGTGCGCAGCTCAACGTCGTGGGACTCAAGCTTGACTGGACGATTGGACTCCACTCTAGCAAGCACTTCAGTCTCTTGCTTTGGGAGTCCCAAGAAGAAGAATGCTCAAGGTGAATATGAAAATCCGCGAAGGCATGCTCGCGTGCAAACCCTTCCAAGCCTATCCAACCCCTCTAACCTCCACCAACCCTGCTAATATCTAGATTGATAAGCACCCCAACCATCACTAATCCCTCCCGAGGTCATCCCTCATCCACGCCCCTTCCCAAACACCCGTTCATTCCTTCCCGCCGACCCCTCCCTTTCCTCTTTTAGAAAACCCTCTGCACGTCTTATCAGCCCTATCTCCACCCCACAATCTGCACCCCAATGCGTCCAGCCCAGGCTCACCCCCGCCGAGAAAGAAGAATAAGTAAGCGGCCTTAATATCCCCACATATTACCTCCTACTCTCCTCTCCGAATCGGAACGGCCCTGCATGCAAAACTCGCTTGCCGCGAACTCCCACGATCGGAGCAGCCTCGCGATTGCCTGCACGCATCGGAACACACACCCTGGGCATGCAGTCGCAAGCGATACAGCAATGCAGCGCCTTCCGCATTCAGCAGAACGCACAGGTAGGAACATAGATTAGCACCCCATCTCGCGCAGACAGAAACGGGCCCTGCCCTGCATCGGCCCTATTCAGAGCGCAACCTCGCACGACATTTTGATTGCGCAAGCGCTGGGCGCTGGGAAAAAAGGGGGCCAGGGCGGTCGGGTGGGTCCTCCGGCCGCCGTCCGACCCAAGACCGACGACCGGTTGAAAAGAACCTTGGAAGGGCAGAGATCGTCGTCCGATTCATCTCCTGATTACACATGTACACCGTAAGGCCGTCTGATAGTGGCGAAGGGGACTGGCCACAGAAACGGTGAGCGAGGCGCAATTAGACGGACATGCCGTTCATTGGATTTAGACCGCTCTTGTCAGGTGATTGTCACCAAGCTGAGGCTGCCGTCGGCTCTCAGCGGCGAACCCGAGTAGGCGAACTTGTACACGGAAAGAGGTGAACAGCACTTTCCAGCCATGTGAATATGTACAAGCAGAATTCTGCTCGCCGTCCTGCCATTATGCTACCTAGGTAGAAGGCGAACGGGCCTCAACGCTATAGCGGAAGCCGAAACCCTCCTGTGATATCACGTCCATCTCTGAAAGCACAAACGCCTAGCGAAGCATGAGTAAAACGGGAGAGAAGAGTGGTGGCCCAACCAGAAAAAAAAGAGATCTATCATGCGGTATTCCCATTCCCAGTCCAACACCAAAACAACAAAAAGACATTTCCATCAAAGGTATACAAATCATCCCTTCATATAGACATATCTCTTTCCAAGGCTCAAGGGAGAGAGAAGCCCCGATGGAGATAAGATCCCTAATCCATGCCATGCAAAAGATTATACCATGAATAGTGAGTGAGAAGAGGGAAGCAACGAAAGAAATGATACGCCAACCTATGATTTTTGCGAGAGAAACCGTGTTTGATGCAACCTCATTTTTGCGTTTGCGCGTAGCTCCAATCAATGAAGCAACGCGTTGCCAGCCGCCCAAAAGGCGAATTTCTGCCGGCAAAGGTAGGACAAGTGAGATGTTTTGTACAAGAGACTCCTGATGTATGCGAGGCCGAACCAGCAGCGAACAAGCTGAACGGGATATAAATGTGCGCGCAAGAGGTATCTCCGCAAAAGGGACACCGCAATAGTAAAGGATGATAGTCGTACATGCAGATCGTATGTAGGTGTCGTCCAAACGGGGCAGTCTTGCTGCTTATTGGGTTTCGGGGCTGTTCTCGTCTCCAGAGTCGCCAGGAGGTGGTATCTTCTTCACCGTCCCGTTGCTTCCGCTGCGTGCGGACCTTCTGCGAACCGAGACTTCTTTGCGGAGTCTGGACCGTGCCAGTTCCGCATTCGAGATGGACTCGCTCCTTGGCGCAGGCTTCTTCTTCTTCCCCATGACAAGGAAATCGTCATCGGAATCTTCGTCATCGTCCTCAGTTTCAACAGCGTGGTCACCGTCGTAACCCGCAGGGTCATCGGTTGGGGCGTCGAACTGATTGATGTAGAGTGAATCGGCAGATGCTGCGCCTGCTCCTCTAGAGAATGAATTCATAGAGACGCACTCGTCCGGCGCCATGGATGAGTTGGCAGAGGCTACCGAGGGGATGGAAGGGTTGGAAGTAGATTGCGACATGAAGGTAAAGTGATCTTCAGACGAGCTGGAGTTGACGGTCCTTGTCTGTGGTGGATGGATGATTGGGTAGCTGATGGGACTGGTATTATGGGAGGAAGCGTGTTGTTGATTCAAGAAATCCTCAACCTTCTGTCGCTGGTAGAATGTTTCATCGTCAGGGCTCGGAGGACAGGCTGTCTGGCTGAGGGACGATGGAGGTCGTTGAAATGTCGCTGAATGGGGTCTCTCGCGACCAAGGTTCTCTTCTATCACCCTGCGACGAACGAATTCATCTTTGGCTCTGCTAAACCTCTCATCTGAAGTGTCACGGGCAAGCGGGGCATGTGCAACGGTAGACATGGCCAGGGTCGACCCGGCTTCAAGTTCGTGGCTTCGAGCTGCCCAGCTCCGCTGCAAGCGAGACGAAATGGATGAAACCGAGGATTGTCGGGAGCATCCTCTATCCATCGAGCCTGGAGAGCGGGAATCAGAGAAGTTGGGGGACGGACCACAGGCAACAGTCGGCGACAATTCCTTTAAGAGATCCGGTTGGTCCACATGTCCAGAAGCAACAGCCGTGCTTATCGCCAGACTTGGCCCGCTGTGCGCATCAGAATCCGTCCCCACCAGCCTGTCAATGGACTTTGCTCGCGCGTGCTCCCTTGGAGGCATTAACATCCTTTCGTCACTGGTCCGATTTCTGACGACATGACGAGGAAGCCCGCCAAAGATGCCGCTAAGATTGGAGCCGCCTGGCGTGTCGAGAACGGTTGGAGTGCCCGGGAGTCCTGGCGGGATATTTGGGGATGGCGGTCGACCTCTGCTGGATGGCTCAGACGGTCGAATGGTTCGTATCGACCCAGTCGTTGACGCCGTTGTGTTCGCGCGTCCTAGTGTAGGTGGCCTACCGGCGAGTGCCAAAGACGACGGGCGCTCATGAGCTTCTGTGTTGTGGGCAGGTGAAGCGTTGCGGGCATTCGGGCTTTCGAAATATCTTTGCCGGTCACTCGCTTCCGGACTAGCAGTCTGACTTTGGGAGAGCGGATGTTCGGGTTCTCGCGATCTGCTCAACGCCTCGTAGATGGTCATGCCTGGACCTAAACTAGGTCGCCGGCCATCCTGGCTGATCGTGCTGCTAGACGAATGCGCACTCCCGACCGTATGTGGATCCTGGCCGCTCGCCGAGCTCAGGCCACGTTTCCTGGACGCCTGGCGTGTGAGGCTCCTAGCCATGTCCCCGATTTTGCGGACTCCAAATCGAACACGATCCAGGAAGGTAGTGAACGGAACAACAGCATCGTCGATATCAGCCTTCGAAATCTCGATCTTCCTTCCATGAGAAGATTTGTCGGGATCGGTACGTTCGACCCAAGCAGTGAGGTCCTCAATACCCTGGGTAAGCCAAGGGTGCCGCTTAATGTCCTGGACAGATATCCGGTAACGTGGATCTTTGACGAACAATCTACGAAGAAGATCCTGCAAGTCCTCACTAACTTCTTCATATTCGAGATCGTGTGGAGCTCTCCGACTAGTCGTCATCGGGTGATACAACCGCCCATGCGAGCTCGGCCGGGAATTCGAGTTCTCTGCAACAGGCTTCAACCTGTACTTGGGGATGTAGGGTTCCGCATCCGTAATGACCTTCATGAGGCGGAACTGATTGGGGTCATGGAACGGCACACGCCCGTAGATGAGACAGTACAGGGTTACACCGAGGGCCCAGATATCAATTTGGGGACCTATCCGAATAGCGTCGACATCTGGGTCGGTATGGCATAGCTCCGGAGCATAAAAGGCTGGAGTGCCCACGGTCTTAGCCAGCTCGATCGCCTCGTCAGCATCGTGCATGTCTGACTCGGATTGGTCGCCGTTGCTGTCGTCGGCAGCTGGACGCCCGAGGTAAGATACCCCAAAGTCGGATATCTTGATTCGATGTTCTGCCGTCACGAGCAGATTGGCGGGCTTAATGTCTCGGTGAATGACACCCTGATAATGAAGATACTCCAATCCAAGCACTGTATCCCGGAATGCCTCCCGCGCTGCCTGAATCGTCATCAAGGGAACGTATCGGAAATGCTCTGGAACCTCTTCCTCTCCATCAGTGAAGTGAGAAGAGCTACTGCCGGCCAGACTTGGGGTCCGTCCACGGAAGGTTTCGGTGTCATAGGCTCCGTACATGGTCCCTTCGAGACCGGTGGAGAGGGTTGGGTCTTCCCCTTTGGTGCTGGCTGTGGGGGTGCTTGAGCGAATCGCGGTTTCCATGTGCGTGCCCTGATTGCTAGTGGAACCGTGATGTTCTGCATAGTGGAGCCGACTTTCAGGCCTGTCTTCCAATGCTCGAGAGCTCCGTTCGTTCTCTGAAAAATCTTCCTCGGAATCACCTCCAAGCTCGAAACTCCAAGACTCGAGGTCGTCCGGGAGCTGTCGGCGCTGACGCAACGCCTTTGCCCGCCGGCGTTGTTGGCGTTCGAGCTTCTGGTGAGCGAGTCTGATGATCTTCTCGTCCTCCAGAGCTGCGCTTTCGTTGTCGAAAATGCCTTCAGACTCCCGCTGGTATCGACGCCATTCTACCATACACACCTCTTTTGCACCTTCCGTCCGCCACTTTACTTCACCATTCTTTACGTGCTCTAGGATAATATATACCTTCTTCTTAGAGGGGTCATCAATGACTTCGAGCAGACTGACGATGTTCGCATGCCGGGCTTTCTTCAGAATGGCGATTTCTCGCTTGATCTTGTCTTCGTGGCTTGTGTTCTTCCCCAGGCGGCGGCGTTTCGAGTATCTGTCGACTATCTTGATAGCGACAGTGGCACCGTCCTCTAGGTTGCGCCCTAGCTTGACCTTCCCATGCACACCGCGGCCTAGCTCGCCAATGACCTCGTAGTGGTTGACTAGCTTCCGCCCGGAAACAGGATCAACATCGACGTCAGCGACATGCGTCTCCTTTGGCGGCTGCCTGTGGGTGTGGTGCAGCCAGGGCCCGGAGTACAGGTTGTCTTCGGACTGCTGGGTGTGACGAAGAGGAGGAGTGGCGGGACTAAAGAGGCCAGGGCTGCTGGCAGGAGAGTTGCCCACGGTGCGTGAACCAGACTCCATGATGTTGTGGTGGTGCTCGTTTGCATGACTGAAATTCGAGATATTGGAGACGGAGTGACCGTGAGTCGGATGGGAGCTTCGTGTACGTAGGATTGGCGGACCATGTGAGTTCGGGTATTGTTGCGACTGTAGGGCGGCATAGGACTGGTTGGGATAGACCGGACCATCCCGCTGCCTCGAATATAAAAACGTGTGGAAGGGCTCTACGGAGGTTGGACGCACGGTCGAGGCGCTAGCCGTGGAGGCGCTGGAAAGATCTCGCTGATACACGGGGCGGTCGACATGTTCTGCAAGGCCCGATGAGAGTTCTGTTATGGGCTCTACCGAGCGAAGGTGCGGGCCATCGAGGGCAGCGGTCGTCGTCGGCGAGGGCTCAGTGGAGGGGTTCGATCGCGCGATCTGGGAGGTGTAGACCCGCCGCGGCTGCGGAGAGAAGTAGCTGGGCTCAGAGCCGTGGACGTGGAGCCGCTGTAGAGCCTCGTTGACAGTATCGGGGACGGAGGGCGCCTCTGAGCGCGGCGTGCTGTCGAAGTCGTCCTCTGCTGGCGTCGCTGGATCCACGGACCCCGCATCATGCTCTGCGGCGAGCGCGGGACCGTGGTTCGCGATCTGCGAAGGCGCGGTATCATGGGCCGGCTGTGTCTGCGCCTCGTCGAAATTCATGTAGCACACGGCGGACGCTGGTGAGCTTCGCTGCGGCTGTTCCATGCTCGGTTCCACGGGCGCCGCCATGCCCGCGTTGGGGTCACCCACGACGCCCGCGAGTTCAGCGTCTTGCAAATTGACGTTCATTCAAAGCCGTCAGGCGCCCGTTCGCACCAACGTCACCTCGCACGTCAGCCCGATAGTGCGAACATGTCAAAGCTGCGGGGCGTCGTCGTTCGGTCGTGTTCAGTCAGGAAGGCGGGCGACGCGGTATCATGCTGCGCGGAGCAGCACTCGGAGGCAGGGCGGAAACAATGGCGCAGTCGTACACGGCGGAGCGGGCGGGAGGCTGCAATACGGTCGTCGGCTTCGGGGGCGCTGCGAGAGTGGTACGGCGGGGGGTGTCTGAGAGGGAGGGCGATGTGGGTGTGCAGCGAGTTTCAACGGGCGATCAATGGGTTGAGACGACGATCGACACGGAAGCCAGGACCCAAGGGCACTAAGGCTGCTAACCAAGTGGGCGATGTCAGCTCGTTGCCGTTCCTGGCAGTGATGGGCGCGGCTTATTTTTACCCTACAATTGCTGGCGAGGGCGATATATGACGATTGCTGGAGGGGCCAGGGACGGTTAGCGGGCGAAGGCGAGCCGGCGGGCAGCGTCAGATATGAGGTGACAGGGCTGGCGGCCGAACTTAAGACTGGGGGCAGGGAGAGGGCAGACAAAGAACACAGGCAGCGGACAAGGCAGGGAGGCGCGCTCAACGCAGCCGGCAGGCACGGGACGAAGCTGTTGAGGGCGCGCAGCAGAATTCGGGGCCTTTTTTTCATTCGGAGAGGTGCTTGGGGATCTGCCTCTGTCTGTCCGTGCAGGCGAACGGGGGCCCGAGCGCACTATCTCCGCGACGCCATCGCCTGAGTTGCACAGCATCGGCCATGCCGGATGCGGCTAGCGCGCGGCCGCGGTGGGTCCGGGCGCGCTCGTCATTGGCCGCGCGCGCGCCGCCGCCGTCCTGCGCCTTCCCACAGGGCTCGTCAACGAACTCAACAAGTTTGCGCTGGCCGCCGTGTGGCGTCGGCGGAGAGGGTGGTGCGAGCAGCGCATGCTCCTGCATCGAGCTGAGCGGGACGACGATTTCTTCGCTGCAGCAACAGCATGACCGCAGGCGCGGTGGTGGGTGGGTGCGGCCGTCTCGTGTGATTGCTTCGCGCACCAGCCGAGCGATTGATTGCTTAGGCGCTGCTGGACGAACGCTACTGTATTGCCCAGGTGTGTCCGCCGTCGTGACGGTGACGTCCCAGCGGCCATGGCCTGATGCGGACGGCGTGCAATGGTTCTGCCGGCGCCGCACGGATCCCCGATTATTCCACAGCCGCGATAAGAGACTCTCTTCTGCATGATGATGCTGCCCTTGCTCCAGGGCTCGCAGCAGGTCCAGCCGGCGCTTCCCCAGAGCGCGAACCATGGGCGCCCAGCTACAGTAACTTTCTGCTCTATCCACGCGCATCGAGTTTAGCTTCAAATTCTTCCCCAGATCTTCGTCGGTTTTGCTTCTTCGTTCCCGCCCTGCTGCACCCAAAAAGTCCCTCATCGCCCAAGATCCGCCGAGCCCGTGCACACCTCCCACCCCTCCAACGCCTCCATCGACGGGCGCCGTGGTCCAGCAAGCAGCCATCACCCATCGCCGCCAGCCAGTTTGCACGGCCATCGCAACCAGCTCCGCGGCGCTCTAGCCCGGCCTTGGGTGCGGCACACCCGACTCGAGCCGGCAGCGTCACCACCGCGATACGAGCGGGGTCGCCTCACCGTCGACCGGTCGAGCCAGAGCCAGGCGCTGTCCGCGGCGCGGCTTTGGGCACAAGCGACGTGAGAAATGGGCCCAGCACCACGAGCATCGTGAAATACCTCTTCGGGTTAAGTCCACGGCCTCACCCAAGAAGCCGTGCCTGGCCGGAGCGTTGTGTGGCGGCCGCATTCGCCATCAAAGCGTCGTCGTGCAGCGCTCCCCTGCTCTTTCGTGCATCGTGCCCTCGCGCCCCGAGCACACAGACGCGGCCTGTGACGTTCCAGCCCGCCCGACGCTGCTCCTCCATCGTCACCACCTGCAGTCAATTCAGACCATTCCATTACCGCCCTCGCCCGCCGCCGTCTCGTGCCCGACTGCAGCGCCGTCGTTTGATTGCTCAATGCCCGCCAGCGACTCCCAGAGGGCCACGATTCCCCGCCGGACTGGCGCCCACCCGCGATCCCGATCCTTCAACAGCTATCGTGACTCCACGCTAGCCGTCCTCGCGCTGCTGCTGCCGTTGCGCATCGTGAATGCATTGACCCTACGCACATTCTTCCAGCCCGACGAGTTCTTCCAATCGCTCGAGCCAGCATGGCAGCTAGCCGTTGGCCGGCGCAGCAACGCCTGTATCACATGGGTAAATTTTCCTTCTGCTTCACTCCATGCACATGTCGTCCCACGTCTCGTTTGGCATCTTCCATCCTCGCACGCTGTCGGCTGTTGTCTCACCATGCGCCTAGGAGTGGAGAACGCAGCTGCGGTCGTCCCTGCATCCAGCGGTATTTGCAGCAGGCTATCGAGTGGCGGTAAAACTCGCCGACATCTGCAGCTTAAGTTTATCTGATCGAGCCGAACTCCTCCTTGCTTCGCCGAAAGTTACCCAGGCGCTATTTGCAGCGCTGCTTGACTACTACACCTGGAGGTTTGCAGAAAAAGCATACGGCCGCGGCAGTCGCACAGCGTTGACTACTGTACGCAACCTGTCATTCCAATTTTCCATCGTCAATTTCTAATATTGGAGTCTGCATCACTGTAGCTCGCGCTGTCCATATGCAGCCCGTGGCAGTGGTTTTGCTCGACCCGTACCTTGTCCAATTGCCTGGAGACCTCCATTACGGTGATCGCTGTCTACAACTGGCCTTGGCACTGGCCGGGGCCCGCAAGAGATAGGGAACTTCGGCACCAGGGCAAGCAAAATGTGGACCAGGACATCCTCGGCTCTGTTTCCCAGTAAGTGTAAATATGGAACTTCCCATCCTCTTCCACCTTCATTGGCTTTAGTGCCGAATTAGGTTCATCTTGTGCTGCAGGCTTCGTCTGTCTCTTCTGTTGGCAGCATGCGCCTGCATTCTGCGGCCAACCAATGCCCTCATCTGGCTCTGCTTATCGCTTCCGACCTTGTGGCACGCCTCGATTCGACAGCGATTCGTGCTTGTCCGTGAAATTTTTTTCTGCGGGTAAGTGCTGCATCCGCCTGCCGCAACCTACGTCGCCCTGGCGCGACATTCTCGTTGCAAAGTTTCCTCGCCCAGTAACCGCTGGTAGATGATTGACATTTGCTAGCTCTACCATCCTCCTCTGCTCAGTTCTATTCGACAAGCTCTACTACCAAGTTTGGACGTTCCCGCCGCTGCGGTTCCTTTACTTTAACATAGCCCAATCTCTGGCCGTTTTCTACGGCAGGAACCGAACAGATTACTACCTGACGGAAGGGCTACCTCTACTGCTCACGACAGCGTTGCCCTTCGCCGCTACTGGACTCTGGCAGGCGCTGTCACGGACTGCAACACACCCTGCGGAGCATATCGGACCACAAAGGATATTACCACGTCTTGCATGGACATGCCTCATCGTGACCCTAGTATTAAGCCTGATCTCCCACAAGGAAGTCCGCTTCCTGTATCCCATCCTCCCATTCCTCCACATTCTCTCCGCAGGCCCCCTCTCGTCCTTCTTTCCTTCCCAGGCCCCAATATCGCGCAAGGCGATCCTCACGTTACTTCTCGTCATTAACGTGCTCATTGCCGGGTATGCGTCGCAGATACATCAGCGCGGGGTAATCGACGTGTTGTCCTACCTGCGGCATAAACATGAAGCACACAACAGCCTATCATCCCAGACTCGCACCGGTTTTTCCAATCAGAGGAATATAGCCAATACGACCGTCGCCTTCCTCATGCCCTGCCACAGCACGCCCTGGCGCTCTCATCTTGTCTACCCGGAGATCGACGCCTGGGCCCTCACCTGCGAGCCCCCACTCGACATTCCGCTTTCGGAGCGCGATGCATATCTCGACGAGGCAGACCACTTTTACATTGAGCCTGGCCCTGTGGGCTGGCTGAAAGACAATATGGAGGATGTTCAGACTGTCAGCGCGAGTGGATCGCGGTCGGGCCGTCACTGGGCACGCCACGACCCAAAGTACAAACGAGCATATAGAAGACCTTGGCCGCAGAACTTGGTGTTCTTTGAGCAGCTGGAGCCAACAATGAAGAAGTTTTTAGCGGGCAGTGAGTATCGGGAGTGTTGGCGAGGGTTTAATAGCCACTTCCATGATGATTGGAGGCGGAAGGGTGACGTGATCGTTTGGTGTATGGACTGAGTGGAGCCGATGGACTGATGGCAGTGACGGTACATCCCGGAGAGCACAATACGTAGATGCACGCAAGATGTGGGTACCTCCTCTCTAACGGGTCCCGTAATCTCGTTTGGGTATTTAGATGTAGTGCTGGAGCCTGGAATGATGGATGCTACAGGACCCACACCCGCGTCGCAAACAAAAAAAAGAGCTAGGACCAGCATATAACAGAACGCTGTGCTCCTTAGTAGCAATCAAGCTCCACGTCCGATGGCGGACCCATTGCTCAACTTTGACTGGTACCCCATTGCCACGATCATCTCCTCTGGAAGCGCTCGCTTGCCTTCTACCAGCGCAGTCGAAAGGTTGTCATTCATTATTCTGTTGCTTGTCACTGCGATGCTGTTCCTCTGGCTAGACGCCTTGGAATGAGACAGCGAATCTTGGCAAAGGGGATAGCAATGGCTGCCTCCCTGGCTGTAGCAATTGTGCACTTATAGACTCCGTCCAGGGTAAGAGGCGCTCGCGGGAACTCTTTCTTAGGCATTGTACGTGAACAGTAAGACGCTATGAGCGCTGCGATGTTGTAAGATCGATAAGCTATGCTGAATAGCTTCAATTATGTATCGCGAAGAAGGTTATCGAGGCTGAGATGCGCACTCTAGCTTTAGATCTATCGCGTAAAACGTAACCAGGCAGTGTCCGCGCAAAAGATACAAATTAGAGCAAGACCTTCGACGCAACGCCGAGCAGCCATGCCGCATCCGCCCATCCTCCACCTTCTTCACCGGGTGCAGGTTTGGGATCTGAAGATGCAGCATCCTCCTCCGTATCGGTGGCCTTCTTGTCATGCGAATGCACAGCCGACGCTGCGATAATGGCTTCACGCTCCAGCTTCCTCCTCTTCGCCTCGACTTCTCGGCGCAGCTTCAGCTCTTCCTTGGTCATGTTCTCAGGCCGGGGTGCATCGTCCTCATCCTCATCTTCTGATGAGGAATCCTCGCCGTCTTCGTCGACGCTGAACAGAGTCCAACCAATTAGTCTGTCCATCCAACCACCAAGGCCGAAACCTCGTTCTCGTGCCAATCGCGCGATTTCCTCTTCGTCGCCGTCGCTCTCTCCATCGCCTTCTACAAAATCTGGCTCGACGGGTGTTTCTTCGAACACGCTATCGTCCGTCTCCAAGCTATGTCGGCTGCTAGGGGGTTTGGGCCCCGCGGACATCATCAAATCAATTTTGCTTCCTACTCTTGAGCCTCTCCGGCTGTTGCGCGCGCTCGCTACACGGCTTCCGACGCGGCTATTAACCCGGCTGCCGGGTCTCGAATAACGCGGAGTGAACATGTTGTACTCGGCATCAGCTAGGTGTTCGCCCGACAGCAACGCCATGTGCCGTTTATCATGAGAAGGATGCTCCTCAAACTCATCCATCTGGTTGACCAAGCTGGTGGAACTCTCTCTCCTCACAAGCCAGCCCTGTCCCTTGGAATCCCGTGTCTCGCCGGCAATTGCCAGTCCAGCTCGGTGGAACCATTCGTCTGTCGTCTCGCTCGTATGATGTCGAACAAGAGGCGTGTGGACTGGCAAAGGCGCAGTGCCCTTCCGCCTGTGATGCCTGCCCGGTGTTTCATCCGCGAAACTCACACCGGGCAGCAGGGTATTGGTGCTCTTTGCCTTCGGTATCTCGCCGGCGTCCCTCAAAGGGACATCGGGGTTGAGGAAGTAGCCTTCATACGCGTAGCCCTTGTTATGACGTCTACCATTGCGCGAGCTACTGCGGCTCTGGCTCAGGCTCAATATTCCAGGAGTGGTGGGTGCAGACTTCTGAGCGATGTATGAGGTGCGCGGGGTGCGAGCGTGGTCTTCGGACGGGGAAGGCGGTGTCGAGGCATCGAGGGGGTATTTGGAGCTGAGCGGGGCTAGCGAGAGATTGGGAAGGTTTGGGTAGGAACGACGCCCCGAGCGGGAGGAGGAGCGTGGAGAATCCATTGCGGTTATGGTGGAGTTGCCCTCGGGGAGTGAGGGCAGGTGAGCTTAAGAGGATGAGGCAGAGGACGGGGTGGTGAGATAGTCTCGATGCCCGAGGTCCGTCGAACTTTCAGATGCGCGCACGGACTCTGGGGACGGGAGCGCCAGTGCGGGATAGGCATAGCGGGGAGATGTGTCACATGCGAGAGGCTGGCGACACCACTCCATCAAAAGAAGTAATTCACAACATCACAAAAAATTCGATTTGATGGTCTCTGAAGGCGAATTGCTCGGGGGCACATTATGACGAAAGCTCGGCGCTCCTCGGACTTGGCTCTGCAGGGAGCGGAGTTCTCAACAGCCCTGGAGCACGATGGGAAAAGCCGGCTCAGTCTAACATTACGGGCTAGCCAGCATCGCTACCACGCGACGTGGAGTGATGGCCTGCTCGGCGTACCGCTTCTCGAACGTTTCCAAAATGCCCCTCGCTAAGGCAATAATACAACAACAGGTTTTGTTTTGCGATTCAAGACTCACGGGCATGCGGCTCTTACGATCCACCGCACAAAGCAAATCCCACGCGTCCCTGCGCATAAGTGGGCCAATTATATGCTGAACTTTGGAAAGTGACGTACGCGGGGAATTCGGGTGGCTTCACTGCCCGGAAACAAGGGTGACTAAGCTGCATGAGCTACTGATTTTCAAGTTCCTTGTGCCTCACCGACCGGACCAACGAATCCCACGACAACGGGCGTTCCAATTTCATCACCTTCTAAGCCTCGCGTAACCTTGCCTAACGCCGAAGCTCGCTTCCGCCGTTCCGCCAGCTTTCACACCACACCTCTGACGACCTGCAAACACCGTCCTCCACACAAAATACCACCCCGGTCGACAATGAAGCTCGCCATCTGCCTGTCTCAATACCACCCAACGCAATGTGTACTTTAGACGGGCTGTAACCGCGAAGTATGTCCCGAACTTTCCTCCCTCGCAATTTCCTTGCTGGCCAAAAGGTCCTATTTCACGATTTGGGCTTTCACAGGCGCCGCTTGCCCTCCCACGCCACGATGCATAGTCTAAATTCAACGGCCACGGTTATAGCTAACCTACCAACCAGGCTTTGCTCCGCCGCCTGCTGGGTGCTTCCCGGCGCCCTCAACCTTCAAATCCTCGCTCTCCACGCTTCATCCCACACGCTCGCCTTCTTCCTACCCATCTCCGCAGCCTCCGACTCAAGCTTCCGTGCCCCGGAAGCCACGGAGTCTATAGAGTCAACCCAAGTACCTCCACGCGCCGTTTCCACGTTACCACTTACACAATCGCACCGCTCCGGACCGCTCCACAACATGTCTATCTCAAATGGCCAGCCAGAGGCGACCGAAGGACAACAGCAGGCTGCCCGGGGCGGCTTGTTTGCGAACATCAAAAGCTATATCACATCTCTCGGACTTGATGCAAGCCATTTGCTCACGCAGCACGCCGCAAACCACCATCACGAAGATGTGCCGGCCGACGTGGTTAAGGAACCGGAAGGTTTGTGTTCCCCAGTCCCTCCCCGCTCTCCCTTACTTTCATAGCGGTTTCTACCGCCCTTCTATATATCTCCCCGACAATTTCAAAATCTAATCAGTTTCGACAGCCGTCCTATCCGCAGCTGTAACCGCCGAGTCACTGCGCACCTCGATTCCTGTACCAGATTCGAACGCTCCGGGGCGACTCCGCTCGTTGTTTCCGCCTGCCAACTATGGCGCTGTTGTGCCCGGAAACGTGTATCGTAGTAGTTACCCGCAGGGGAAGAACTACGAGTTTTTGAAGAGCCTGAAGCTGAAGACCATCATGTCTGAAGCCCATTCACGCTGAGTTCTCAGCGCATCGATCAATATATTGCCAATGCTGACGCTGATTCAGAACCCTCGTGCCTGAGGAGATCTCGCCCGAGTATCGCGAGTTTATGAGGTCAGCCGGCATTCAGCACTTCCAAGTGCACATCAACGCCAACAAGGGCGGAGTCAGGGTGCAGAGCTGCGATATGTCCAGGGCGCTGAACGTTGTCTTGGACCGCTCCAATCACCCAATTCTGATACACTGCAACAAGGGCAAGGTGAGTAGCGCATTTCCGAGGAATTTCAACTGGCAAGCCACTAACGGCAATTCAGCACCGCACCGGATGTGTCGTAGGCCTGTTGAGGAGAATACAGGGTAAGCACTAGCGTACGGAATCTCTCTTCTAAAATGTGCCCTGACGATCTTAGGATACGACATCGAGTTGATCCGCGAAGAATACCACACTTACGCGGATCCCAAAGCACGATTCCTGGATGAGGTATTCTTCGAGCACTTCGACTTGAACACAGTCATGTGGCTCGCTCGTCAGGAAAACTGGGCTCTTCCCAGTTCAGAGCTCGCCCCACCATCCCCTCCACCTTCTCCGGTCTCCGCTCTCAGTGTCGCAAGACCGCGGGCTTAAAACCGCTTCCGCGCTTCATCATTTCTACGGCGTTACGGAAGATGTTGCATAGACTTAAGAGGATCGGGCAAAACTTAGTCTTGCATAGCAAAGGCGTCCCGGGGGAAAGGGCTTCACCACGGTGAAAGCTAGGCAAGGCTACCGGATAGCACGGGCGTTTCTGGATGAGCGGCATTGGCGACATCGGCAGTCAGGCTTTTCCGCTTTTCCGGGTTAGCTCATTCTTATAGGCGGCGTTTTACGTTTTGGCTTCTTGTTTCAGCATACCCTAAGGCTCATCGCCCGGAGCCAATTGCATCTTTGAGTGACTTTGTGGAACTACACATTGTAGAGATACATGTTTAATTACAAAAGCGATTCGGACGAGGCGGCGCTCCTCGTCCATGAACGTGGGGCTCTTTTTCCCTCGCGATCTTCAGGCGCGCGTTATGCTAACTGAGCAACACAGCACTATATCACGTCTCGCAAACTCCTCCACATCCGTACGGAGCTTTGAAGCTATTCAGGGAGTGGATTTCCATGGATAGATGCGCGAAGCAAAGAAGGGGTGTCTGAAGAAGGCAACCCTTGCGACGAGTGACGACGCATAGAGCACCGCTCGCCTCCGTTAAATGTATGAACAGCCCATTAAAGCATCGGCTTGCGTACGTGCTCAGCAAGCATACAAACTTGATAGGCAAGCGAACCCGAGGAATACGAGTAGGGGCCAATCACGGTCGAGGCCGCCTCGTGATGCTCGGGTTAGCCACATCACGGGGAGTGGCTAAGGTTGTAAGGGAGGCGGTAGAGGCACGTGATGGTGCGTTTGACCATTTAGCCTGGGCATGGGTTAGGGAGAGTGAGTGCAAAAACTCTCGCGTCCTTCGCGTTGAGGGTCGAGTTGTTCGTGATGGCAGGGTGAGGAGATGAAGTAGAACATACGTGTCATTGTTTGTGCAATAATATGGCTCTGTCTGGGTATGCTTGCGATGATTGTATGTGGTATGCTTCTTTGGAATGGAATAGCGAGGATGATGCGCTGCGCTAGCAGAGGACTCGAGATGGAGATGGGTATAAAGGAGAGTGTGGATTCCCTCAAGGTAGACCATCGGTGCAGCTTCATATCCTTAACAGTATCATCTTGTTTGACCTATTATTTGGACTTTCCTTGACTTCGAAATAGTCTCTCACTCCAGCATGGCCGCGGATCCAAACGACGATAGCATCTGGCAATACTCCTGCAGCACTGCTCTTGCCATCGTTGTGGCGATCATATTCCTCTTTCCAACAATAGTGCTAGCATGGCAGACATTCTTCAAATACCGTTCGTGGTTCTTCCTCTGCGTACTCATTGGCTCGGCGCTCGAGGTCGGGGGATACATCGGCCGAGCTGTGTCGAGCAGACGGCCGACTGAGATTGTGAGTGCCTCCTTCTCCCAACGACGTATGCTGATAGCTGCCGTAGCCTGCATATGCCACCTCCGCAACGCTCATCATTGTTGCCCCAATCTTCATAGCCGCCGGCAATTACCTCCTCATCGGCCGCCTAATTCGCGCCGTCCTCCCCTCGACCCACCACCGCATCTTCCTCATCCCCGCGCGCTTCATCACACGTACCTTCGTTGCCTGCGACATCATCTCCTTCCTCATCCAAGTCGGCGGCACGAGCTATGCGTCGTCGGAGAGCTGGGAGGGCCAGGCGGCGGAAAACGGGACAAATGTACTGATTGCAGGACTGGGGACCCAGGTTGCGACTTTCGCGTGGTTCCTGGCGATCGTGATGCGGTTCTGGTGGTGTACGAGGAGCAAGGTGGGCGTGAGGAGTGATGCGCCGAAGGGGTGGTTTAGGGTGTTGCAGGCTATTTGGGTGTCAAGTTCGCTGATTCTTGTAAGCCCGCTTCTTCGTGTCGTCCGAGGAGGGAGTGTCAGCGCTGACTATGATCTAGGTTCGCTCCGTGTATCGAGTCGTTGAATTCGCGCTGGGTATCTACGGGTATCCCTTTACGCATGAGTGGATCTTCTACGTCTTCGAAGCGCTGCCGATGCTGCCTGCTATCGCAGTGTTTTGCTTCGTCCATCCAGCGAAGTATTTGGGACGGGGCGGCGGGCTGGGCATGACGGAGCGGGCAGAGGGGACGGAGCTTAGAGACAACGATGTGTTCGTGGCTCACAGCCTTGGTCGACGCCGGGACAGCAAGTAGTGCCATGGAGAGGGTCAGTGTGCGCTGCTTGCCGCAAGACGATCATAGAGGCTCCGTTTTGTCCTCAAAGAATTGCGAGTGGTCGGGTTGCTGGTAGAACCGAGTACGAGTGGAGTGTTGGAGAGAGTTGAGGCTTTTCGGTGTTGCCGTTGAACGTAGAAGGCGCAGATTGCGCTTGCCAATTTCGAAGCTAATCAAGGTCACCACGCACCTTCCCTTGCCAATTGAAAATTTCTTCTTCAGCTTTCCTTTCTCTTTCTGCGCTAGTCGTACTCTATTTACAGTTGACTGCCAGCGAGTGTCTAAGCGAATGCAGTGGCGTGGCCTTTAGCCAGCCACGGGTATCATAGAACGCCTTTTCCGTCAGCCCATGCATGCAACATGCTCCTCTATTCTTACCATCACTACCAAGTATGCCCATCCTTCTTCAGGGTCCTTTGCTGACACATCCAGGTTGGAGGCAACGCCCCCGTTTTTCGCGCTTCTTTGTGACTCCCACCCCCAGCCCCGGAGGCCTACTCATAGTACTCTATCTGCCTCTGTCCCATGAACCGCATGAACGGATACCGCGAAACCTGTCTCGGCCATTCAACGTGATGCCTCAAGCTCTGTGGCACATTCTTATAAACGCCCTCGATCCACCCCAAGACCGCTGTCGGAGCGTCGACGCCCTGGAAACCCACTCGCTCAAGGATCAATATCGGTGTGAGCACAGCCTGGATGGCGATGAAGTGTGCTAGCAGAATCTGAGCGACTTTGTTGTTCGGATCGATGAACGACTGGAACTCGTCGTGCGACCACCTCGACGGTATGTTGTAAAGCAGGACAAAAGTCGTATACGCTTCGACGGGCCTATCGTAAGCGCTGTCTACTGTTCTGACCAAGATGTCCCAGAAAGATTTCTCAAAGTCGCTCATGTTGAGCAGTTCGATACCCTGAAGCGACATCGCGGCCAGGTCGAGATCCTCCCGGTTTACCGAGTTCATTTGCGACGATGCAAGGCGGTTCTTCATCGTGGCGAGGTGGCCATCCTCTCGAAAGGCCTGCATGTGTCAGCCTCCATTTTCATCCCAGCCTTCCAAGCCTCAAGAGAGAAATGCTGACCGCCGTCACCGAAAGAGGATCACCTACGTGGAAAGCCGAATCTCTGTTCGCCAGCGATTCGTCCATAGCAATCAGGTTACATCCTCTAACCATTGTCAAGAATTCGAAAAGTCCATCTTGAAGATGACTCGACTGAAAGGCAAGCGCAAGCGCCGCCGCCATCCTTGCGTCGCGCTCACACTTCGATGCCGGCGGTACCGATAGTGCTTCGTTCAGGGACTTGACTGCAAGAATTCGATGCGATATCGCTTCTTCGGCGACATTGGCATTTGATACCGCGTCCAGATGTGATGCAGCCAATGCAAGGATCGAATGGATGAGGTATTCGTACTACTCAAGTCAGTCTGTACGCTCAATACTGGCAACAACGGCATCGCGGCGCAATGAACCCGAATTCTATCCCGACTTGACCAGATTGATGCTGCACTGTCGAGCGCCGAATGCGCCACGAAACCTTAGGAAAATGCTACATACGTTGTGCGCAAAGCTGGGGATCACCGTTATCCAGATCTTGTCAGCGCCCACTGGCAGATGGGGATATGCTGTGATCAGAAAGTGATGGAATAATCGCATATCGGACATGGTCTGTAAGAGTCAGGTACTGCGAAGCTGACCGCATGCCTCAGGACCACTCACGAATGTGCCTGGCGTCGAACGCAGGTTCACCATCTCTTGCGGACTCTGGGACGTCGGCGATCTCTGTGTGGTTTGAATAATGTTCGCAGGATATTCGCATCGCAGCCCTGCCTTGATGCAGTGGTTGCATTCTGGATGTCTTTCATTGCACTTGATTCTACGTCTTTTGCAATTAAAACATCCGCGTCTTGATTTGGTATGTCCCTTTCTAGGGATAGGCTTGCGGGGCAGCGGAGGAGCACTCTGGCTCTCGCTTCGACTGTCCGGGAAAGTATCTGGAGAATTGCTCGAGCCGTCTGAATTGTCCATGGAGCGGCGAACTGGCAGCAATGACAGCGACATGAAAAGGTTTCAGCACTGCAAGGCCGCACGCGGCCTTTCCCCGAGGCGAGGCGATATATACCCCGTTCGTGATTGATATGCAGTGGCTCGTGGGCGAAATTTGGGGGCTTAGACCGGGGACGTGGAGCTCTCCACGGGTGTGGGTGGTGCTGGCTCGATCAGGGGAGATGAGGTGCAGTGCCAGCTGAGTCACAGCCCTATTTCGTATTCTGGCGAATTGCAGGCTGCTGGTCTCCAGACTGTCGGCCGCGCAGACGCCTGGAGTGTTTAGCCCGGCTTGTGCCCGCGCGGAAAGAAGCTCACCGGAATCGAGCCGACGTTGGCGGCCTCGATGATGGCTGTGTGGGCTTTGCGTCAACGTGCAGTGCGCAGCCTCCCGCGCTTGCCCCACGAACAGGCTGATTCTGCGAGCAACTCAATTCACACCTCTGCGTGCCGCTCAGACAGGCGCTGCGTTCATGTTGTCGCCGGCCTGCGACGATAAAGCCGTTTCATCACACGCCTCTATGGGCCCCGCCGCGGCGTTGTCCCGGGCTATTTTTGCTTCACGAGGACACAAGCATCGCCAAGCAATGGCAGAGGGGCGGCCCATAGGGGTTTGGGCAATGATCTCCGTCTGCTCAAAGGGCGCGATGATGCCCATCCTGTCATTCGTGACTCATGGCGATACAGAGCCACCGCGAAAGAATGGCGATCCAGAGCTGAAAAGCACCTTTGCATCACGGCCTCCAAAACGGGTTCGCGATGCAACGCTGGCGGCCGCGAACAATCTACTTGAAGGCAACAGGCGCTATCCATGGCTCAGGCCAAGCCGCCCTAGACCGTTCCTGACGTGAATGGCTGAACGTCGTGCAGCCTTCTCCGACTGCCGTGCGTCCTCCCGCACGTGCTTCCGTCTTTGCTGCTATATCTGGATGCGATACGAGCTTTTATTGACCTCGCCCGCGAGTCCAGAATGCCAGTCCTCGAGCTTACCCAGCTCCGATTGCTGAACGGCGTCGCCCCCAAGGACCCTTTGTTGCTCAAGGCCCTATCAACTGTTCGCGATGCGCTGCAAACGCAGTCACAGTTCTACAGCTGCATCCAAGATCCCGCCCTGATCTATATTCTGGGACTCTGGCCAAATTTGGACGCGCACCATGAGTTCCTGGCCTCCCCTCGCGCGAAAGAGATCCTGGGATTGCAGGAGGACATGCTCGGGTTCACTTGGACCGTCCACGTGGAGCTGGACGCCATGACTTCGCTTCCGTTGGAGGCGCCGGTTATGGGCATCACGAGGCGGACCGTGAGGCAAGGACGCGATGACGCGCACATCAACGGCCTCGCGAAGGAGAGGCAGACTCTGCTTGAGAGCAGCCGTTACAAAGTCGCAAGTGGTGTGCGGATCGATGCTGCGCCAGGAATTCACGAAGTTGTCACGTTCACCGGCTGGGAGAACACGCAAGCGCATGATGCCTTTACGACGAAGCTGGCCGAGGTTGGTGATCCTGCCGCCACCGACATTTACGAGACGGCCCAAGTCTACCTCGCATGGAATTTGGAGGGGAAATAGACGTAACGTTAGGCTGCCCGAAGCCCGTCCAAGCCTTTTCGGTCGCCGCGCAGACTTAGCGACAGCATCTGGCGCGCGGTCACATGAGTGTGCTCCATGCATGGCAGCTGCAGTCATACAGACCAGATGTGCTTCTCAGCCTATCGCTAAATGGGCCCGTCAGGCGGACGAGGCAGTGCTTCCGATTCTTCCGAGTACAAAATCTCACTTAGACATTCACCGGCGGAAGTGTGGAGCAGCCACGCGCGGATGGATTTCGCTCCCTGTCACGGTTGCATGCGTTGGAAACTTGAAGGTGGTACAGCAGCAGGGGAAACCGGACGTGGGGTAGTGCCACCCTGCTGACAGTCCCTTTACGAGGTGCGCATCTCATCGCGTGCTGGCGGCAATGACTTCGCAAGCTCAGGAGTTTGCGGTGATACAGTGGCCAGGGGATCGTTGAGGAGCGATGGATTTTATCCAGAGTTCAAGAAGAAAGGCTCCAAGGTTGTGATGATCAACAGGTACCGGGTGCCCTCAACCCCGCAATATACGCTCCTCAATCAGGCAGGAGCTTTGTATCCAGAGTGACGTCGTCAACGTGCGACTCCACTTTGTATCTTCAGCACCTGCATTAAAGATACAATGTCTTCCCTCCAATTTCCAGGCCTTTTGGTCGCTCGCCGCCGTCATTATGGGGCTTCATGCGGTTTCTGTCGCACTTCTCTCTTTTTGCTATACGACTGCGTTAACGGCGAGATTGCCGAGGCGCGCGAACACCACGGATGTACTTGATTGGGTTAATCCGTTGATTGGAAGTAACAGTGGAGGTAATGTGTTCGCGGGCGCCACATTGCCCTATGGCATGGCAAAAGGTAGGTACTCGAGCGCAATCCTAAGCGTTGAGTATCTTCAATCCCATGATTCCAAATCTACTTGTTTGCAAGGCTGAACTACCTCACACTGTTGCTATCATCGTCAGGGCATGGAAGCCATAATGATAAGCACAATGGACTGATATCGACCTCTTCTTCGTCTGGCGCGCTTTTCAACAGCTGCTGACCGTTTCACAGCTGTGGCCGACGTAGATGGCGAGAACACCGGCGGATTTTCTACAGACGGCTCTAACATTACTGGCTTTTCAGCGCTGCACGACTCCGGTACAGGAGGAAATCCTAGCCTAGGGAACTTCCCAATCTTCCCTCAGATATGCCCCTCGGACGACATCAATACCTGCAGATACCCCGTCGGAGCCCGAGCGACACACTACAAAAACGACTCCGTCGTAGCGAAACCGGGATACTTTGGCGTTACACTCGAGAACGGTATCAAGGCTGATATGACCGTGTCGGAGCATGCTGCTCTGTTCCGCTTCGACTTCTCAGGGACTGCGACCGGAAACGGCAGCTCGGATCCTCTAATAATGTTAGATCTCACGGATCTTTGGCAGAGCCGTCAGAATGCTTCGGTTAGTGTCGAAGCGGAAGACGGCAGTGAAGGAGGGAGAATCAAGGGAAATGGCACGTTTCTACCAAGCTTCGGAGCTGGCTCGTATGTCGCGTACTTCTGTCTCGATCTGGCTGGGGGTACAGTCAAAGATTCCGGCGTATGGGTGAACGATCGGGCAGGTACGGAGCCAAAGGCTCTCTACGTCACCCGCGGTTTCAATCTGTTCTACCTGCAAGCGGGAGGTTTTGTGCGCTTTCAAGGACCGGTTTCTGGGCCTATATCCGCACGCATGGGCCTCAGCTTCATCAGCACCGACCAGGCATGTCAGAATGCAGAGCGCGAAATACCTGGTCCGGACTTTGACTTCGATGGCCTGGTATCCTCTGCCCAGGATGCCTGGCGAAAGAAGCTTACGCCGATATCAATTGCTACGGAAGGTATTGATGGTAGCTTACAAACCAACTTCTGGAGTGCAATTTATCGAACCATGATTTCCCCCCAGGACTATACCGGCGAGAACCCTGACTGGCAGAGCAATGAGCCGTATTTTGACTCATTCTATTGCATCTGGGATATGTGGAGAGTGCAGCTGCCCTTCCTCACCATCATGGACCCCGTTCAGCAGGCGAGGATCGTACGCAGTTTGCTCGATATATACAAGCATCGAGGCTGGTTGCCTGACTGTAGCATGAGCACCTGTAAAGGATGGACCCAAGGAGGTTCAGATGCTGACAATGTGTTGGTCGACGCGTATGTCAAGAACCTGACGGGCATCGACTGGGAGCTCGCATACGAAGCCGTCGTCAACGACGCGGAGAACGAGCCGCTGGAGTGGAGTATTGAGGGAAGAGGCGGTTTAGCCAGTTGGAAGAGCTTGAACTACATTCCTTATCTAGACTTTGATCCGAACGGTTTCGGCACCAACTCTAGGAGCATTTCGAGGACCTTGGAGTATGCTTACAACGACTTTGTCCTCGCCACTCTCTCAAAAAGCTTAGGAAAGGACACTTATACGAAGTATCTAATGCGCGCATCCAGCTGGCAGAACCTCTTCAAAGCCGACCAGAAGTCCTTCATCAACGGGACCGATACCGGCTTCACTGGATTCTTCCAACCCAAGTACCTAAACGGCACATGGGGTTACCAAGACCCGATTGCATGCTCCCCGCTCACGGACTTTTGCTCGCTGACGTCGAATCCTTCGGAGACGTTCGAGAGTAGCGTCTGGGAATACATTTTCTTCGTCCCGCACGATGTCAAGAAACTCATCGAGCTGCTTGGCGGCGAGGAGACGTTTTTAAAGAGGCTGGATTTCTTTTTCACGAGTGGGTTGGCTGATATAGGGAACGAGCCAGTGTTCCTCACGGTCTACCTGCCACATTACGCTGGCAGGCCCGGCTTAAGTGCGAAGAGGGCGCACGAATGTAGGGTATTGCTAGATGGAAGTTCGACTCCCTGCTAACTCCGGTAGACATCCCCTCGCGCTTCAACTCCTCCCTAAATGGCCTCCCTGGAAACGACGACTCCGGAGCAATGGCGTCTTTCACGCTCTTCTCCACCATCGGGCTCTTCCCTAACCCTGGCCAAAACGTTTACCTCATTATCCCGCCGTTCTTCCAGTCCGTCAGCATAACCTCTCCGCTCACCAACAAAACCGCCATGATACGCAATGTGAATTTCGACAATGCATATAAGAATATTTATATTCAGAGTGCGAAGTTGAATGGGGAGGCGTATACCAGGAATTGGATTAGACATGAGTTCTTTACGGAGGGATGGGAGTTGGAACTTACGTTGGGGAGTGAGGAGAATGCGTGGGGTTCTAAGGAGGAGGATAGGCCGCCGAGTATGGAGGGGAGCTCGGGAGCGGTGAAGATGTTGTAGTGCGGTACGGTTGATGCTGTGTCTCAAGCACTCTCCAAAAACGGTGTAGAGATTCGATGTCTGACTTCTACAAGGCAAAATAGATCCGATCGCCACCGCCGCCCTCCATCCTCTCGGGGTTGCCCTCTCGAACTTAATCAAGTGCACCTTTCGAGCTTTTCTATCCCTCAAAATTAGGGCAGACGCTAGAAGAGATGCGTCTCTGCAGTGCACTAAAAAGGCTCTCATAAATTTCTGGTTCCATACTCTACGATATACGCCGATTGAAGCATGTACTACAGGAGATTGTGTGGACACCTGCGCATCTTTGCCAGTACATCCCATCTTTCGCAGCCCGCAAGACAACTTGATTCCTTTTTTCTGGTGTGAACTTTCCTTACCGCTCCTAAGCGTGTCAACCGACGCATCGGATCCTCTCAGGCTAGCCGATGAAGATATCAGCCTTATTACCGCTTACCGGCACGTCAGTTTACTTTTCTACACCAGAGACTTCCGACTGAGCGAAGTCTCTTACTGGGCTTCTCCTGCTTGCGATCGCTCTCCAAGCAACCACGATAAACTGGCTTCTTCCGCCGCCAGATGCACGCGACGCCGTCTTCAAGCGTATCACAATGATGAAGAGAAGGGAGTCTTCTAGGCTTCGCAGACTCGCTAACGCAACATGGTATCCCATTAAGCGTGTAGCATGGATCTTGCTCTTCTTCCTCTGGCCACGTTAATTAGATGTCCGCCTTTCGGGAACCAGCTCGGCAGCACGGCATCACGGTAGGGCCGTCTCTGCCTCGGGGACAGCCACATCCTCCCATCCTAGATTCTCAATCAGCGCAAACGCCCTCGGCATCAAATACGACATGCCGATTGCCGTATAGCCCTCCTCCTCCTTCCGCGATACCAGATAGACAAACGATATCCCTAAATGATCGAATTCGTCCTCCTTACGTCCGTTCTTGAGAAAGACACCGACTGATTCGACGCAGCTCCAATCCGCCATGATGCAGGCCATAAACCTCGCACTGCCGTCGTCTCTTTCTTCGCTGGATTCGACCCATGCGTTGAAAAGCCTTACATTGGATTAGTCGTGACGCTATAATGAGGACAGGTGTACTTTGGAGAACAAACTTACTCCTGCACCTCTTCGGGGCCGGCTTCATCTAGATCAGACTACAAACCTAGTCAGCAGCGTGCTCGAGCCGCTCCACCTCATCCTCGTCTCGCTCCTCCTCAAACAGGACATCAACAGACTACAGCCAACAATCATATATGCACAAAAGCGCGCACCGCCATCATCGCTCCCTTCGCCAATTCAATCCATTGTTTGAAACGTCTAGACGAGAATTAGAAGGAGATCTGGTGAGAACGGGAGAGCTGCAACTCACTCACGCACCTTGACGGATTGGACTTTCCAGTCTATGAGTGGAATAAGGTTGCTCTGCCCTGCCAGTTCAAGACCAGCCCGCACTTGTGCGTTAAGATAGGATATAAAGCGGTCCCATTTGGCTTCGTCGCGGTAGTCGGTCCGATAGATGATGAAGCCGTACCTGGGTTCTAGTCGTTCGCGCGATTCTTCTGAGTAAGCCGGCCGGGCTTGTTGTGCGTCCATGGCGTTCGTTCTTGTCGCTAAGTTGGTCGCCCGAGAAACAATATTGTGGTGGTTGAAGGGCCAATAGAGAAGTATCTGAGCTTAGGGAATTTGGAACGCAGGTGAGGAGCAATGAGCGGAGCGGTGGGTTGTGCCTCAATGCCAAGCCCGTTCACGTGGACTCGTGCCACAGTGCAGTCCGTGGCTGGGGCACGCATTTGCTCTACAGACTAAATCCAGATTACGCCCCCACAAGAGGCCCGACAATTCTAGGCAGACTTCCCATCAGGGGGAAGAATAGACTTCAATTCGAAGCCGTACTGGACCTCAGGCTAGTTCTTGGACCCGACAACCAAAACTGGTTTCCGGGGAAAGATACCCCTCATTGACTGTGCCAAAAATGATATCCAGGACGCAGGTGTGAGGTTATGGAAGGCGAAGCCTGCTAACAGGGACAACATGTAACAGAGCATATCGTGGAGGTAAGTAGTGGCTGCACTGCACTGTCTCGTTCCATTTAGTTTACTCGGTATAGCTTGAATCGGTTTTCCAGCTTATCGAAGCCGCAGTTTGCTATCCTCCAGACGGAGTCAAAGGCCGAGAGAAAAATCCCCTGAAGTTGAGCAAGAAAGTAAAGGATTACTATGTTCTTGCTCTATCATCGTGGCCTCAAGCTCTTCTACTTTCACTTCTTCCCGAAGTCATCTTAGTCTTCGTCCTCGTCAGGCTGTTTCTTCTTTCTTTGCAGCTGCATCTTCCTGATAATTTACTCCTCTTTCCTTGATATTCTCAATATCAAAACACCGAATGTCGGGCGCAGGGGAAGTCGGATGTGTGCTTACATTGCTCTCGAAGGGTCCAAAATCTTGCTAGTGCAAGCGGTACTCTTTAGCCGGTAGTCTCATCGGAGAGATCGAGGGCGATCTAGCATGGAATCCGACCGAGGTGCAGGAGTCCTCTTTGATGAAGCTTCAAAGTTTGATATCTCTAAGTCTTCTGGAGTAGACAATCTTCTCAGCCGAAGGAGAAGCAAACACTGAACAATACTGAATGGCTTCTCTGTGACTCGTGCGGGACTGAGTTGCGGTTTACATGCCGAAAGTTTGGGGTTATACCAGATATCTACGAGCATAGAGACATTTGAGCATAGCGAAATCGAATACATAGCTGCAATTACGCGTTTTCGTCTCATGCTTCCAAAATTATGTCATTTCAAATGACGAATTGTATGATCTAGCACTATAAGGGCGCAAGACCAGGCACCTCGCTTAACGTACCCTCTCCTACGAAGCTAACTCCAAAATGAGGCCCGGGATGCGGCAAAAGGTGCCAGCAGGAAAGCAGAAGCAAAAAGAATTCGCAAAAAGGAATATCGGGCCTGACCGGGATTCGAACCCGGGGCCTGTCACATTTCAGATGCTAAGCATCCAGGCGTATAACCCGAAGCGACAATCACTAAGGGAATGTTAGAGAGCGGAAGAGGCGTGATTGGAGGGGGAATACTGACTACCACTAGACCATCAGGCCGACTGAATTTGGTGTTTTCGAAAATTAAGATATACTTATCTGTAGTCATTTATGCCTGCGGGACTGTGCGCCCGTGGCTCGCTCGAAGACTTACGGCCCAGGTGGCACTTTACCACAACAAGGAGACTTTGCGAACTGTGCCCTGAATATCCAGGGACGCGGTACAACGGTACGTGCGCTAGAAGTGTTGAACCATCCCATCCCCATTTTTATCTTCCAACAACGCCTCCCGACGTCTAGACTGTTTCGCTAGCAGCTATCGCGACTCCAAAACCTGGGTTTCGCTCTCCGAACCACGCCTCACTCTCTCCAGCATCACTCGGAGCTTCATGCATAACGGCGCTGGGCGGAGAGCCGATCTCAGGCACAGAACGCACAAGCATTCGGTATCCGAGCCCACCGACATCGCACGCCAGCCTGATTAAGCCGAATCGGGCCAATTGGACGTGCGCTCAACAGATTCCGGCACACCGACTGTTGCCGGCGAGTTGATTCGATGCTCAGGCGACTTCTCGTTCCGTATCAGTCCACCCGGTCTGCCTCGCGCTGTCTGCGGACGGAGCCGGAGCTCCAAACACTGCTAGAACACCAAGGGCCCTTTCCACGAATGCCCAGCTGCCCAGGTGCATCATTCGAGTATTAAAAGTGCGGGGAAGATCTGGTGGTTTGAGAGTGGAGCGGGTAGCTTATTGGCGCGGGCGCTGCCGTAAGCTTCAAGCAGCTTAGCCGGCGCGTGTTGGGCGGCCCAAGCTCCCCGCGACGAGATGCTGTGTGCGTGGTTGAACTGCGCGACGCCATGCCGGCATGGCCCCCTTACCAATGGCTTCTCAGGCTTTGTGAACAAATAGTGCCTGGAGCGCCTCCTGCCAGCGCCCTGACATAAGAAGCGACACTTGTTGACCGCCTTCCGGACTCCAGCTCATATATCCGAACGCGGGTCTGCTTCCAAGAGATACTGAGTACCTATCTCGCTCCTCGTCCTCATTCTTCTCTGCTGCAGCTTACTCCGAGGGCACCGAACCCCCTCGAGCCCTCCATTCCATCTTATCAATCACCTATTTAATCAACCTACTAATCGCTCATCCCTTCTTTTCCGCTCTTCTTCGCTCTTCCAGCTGTTCCGCGAGTACCCCTTCTCATCATGCAAGCCTCACGAGCGTCCTCCCGCGCCCTCGCGGCCATTGCTGCTGGCAGCAAGCAGACACGCAGCCTTCATATGACGGGGCCAGCGACCTTCTCCTCCCTTCTCACGTCTGAGCGGCCTGCGCTCAACCTCCCCCGCGACCTCGCTAGTCTCCGCGCGGAATGCCAGAAGCGCAAGCTCCCCACCTCCGGCACAAAGGATGAGGTACGTACCACCATCGAACCACCAATTGCTATCTCAACCCCAACTCAAGGACCTCTGCTGACACCAATCGCTAATCAGCTCACATCCCGCCTGTCCGCCCACGAGCTAGCCAACACACGCGCATTCAGCACCGCCGTCCAAGACTCGAAGCGGCCCATTCCGGACCCTACCGCGGTCGGAAAGACAGTCCGCCATTTCAACACAAGCCGCAGTCTCAAGGCTGTGAATGACACCTCCACAATCGACTTCGCGTTTCTTCCCGACTTCGACCCTGATGCCGGAAGCTCGCCGGTTAACATTCGGGTGCCCATGGTCGGACTGGCCACTGCGTCAAGTTCCGAACAAATAGCTGCTGCTGAGGAAGCCGAGGAAGAGGTAGGGACATGTACATACCAGCGGGTACTGCTGTGATGCTAATATGGCTTAGGTTATGCGCCCTCAAATCGTGACTGTCGCCGCTGACGGAACCCACATCTACGCCCCGGCCGCCATGTCCGAAGTGTCCGACAACAACACCATAGACTTTCAGGGCATGGCGAGCCAAGTCGCTAGCAAGTTGGCGAAGCCAGTGGAAGAGGGCGCCGGAATGGCGCGCCAGCTCTGGGGCGGTCTGGTAGACGACATCCTTGGTCCCAAGGGTCCCAGCGCTGCCTAGTCCGATATCAGCATACTATTACCATTCGGGAAAGCGCCGGAACTCTCTGCTCTGGTGCCACTCAAACGTTTACGCGGTGAAGCAAGCGGATCGTCCCCCCCCGTAACAGGCGATTGATTGGGGTTATCTCGTTTCTTCGATGTTTTTCTGGATGGGGTTTCAGGGGTACGAAAGCCAGCTTGAAGTGCTCAGACTGAGCTCATGAGAAATGAATCCATTTCAACCCTCGTTCTTCGGGGGTCTTGCACTACGATATGCTTTTATACTTGGTTGTCGTCCCCGATGTGGCAATGTACACTAACTTTTCTCCAGGACACAAGATTTCAAGTATGCAGGTCACTAGAAGCGTGCTTGAAGGACTTGGGGAATCCTGCACTCGTTCCGGAACCCATTTGTTCAATATGCAGACCGCCGTTCCCACCACCGCCGGCTCGATACTATTCCTCCGCATACCCATGACCGAAGACCATGTAGCTTTTAACCATTGTCTTGCTCTGTCAATCTCTTTTACGCGGTTCAATCCGATGCACGATCCCTTGTGCCTGGACGTGCTCACTCGAAGGATCTAATTTCGATATCCTCTTCGAAGACCATATGTCGCTTTGTGCATCGCTCCTTGTCTTCCTCCGACGCATGCTCTAAGTAGCAACGGTTTCGCATTAAACTCTCTCCGGATCCATGCTTCAGCTCGCACAACCCCCTCATCACCCGACGCAGGAAAGCTGCAGGAAGCCCTTTCTCCAGCATTATGGCCTCGTCATTGTCGGTTTCACTCCAGCTGTCGCATTGGTAATCGACGAGGAATTGCAGGATCAGTGCGCTTGCGGGGATGTGCTCGAACGCCCATATGGCCGTGGGGTACAGGTGACTCTTGTGGAGCCAGTATACATTAGGGCCCACAAATAGGTTGTGCACAGTCCTACGAAATTTGGTTGCCTGGAACCTGTCACCGAAGGCGTACGCTTTGATCATTGCGAGGTATTCGTCGCCGATTGTACAGACGACGCCGGGATCGTCCTCCAATAGTTCAGCCCAATCGAGGTCGTCATCGCCTAGATTTCGACCGTAAATCCACGCTATGAAGATGTTGACTATGTTTCCCAGGTCAGCACGCAGTGTTTAGTAGGAAGTCTTCCAACTCTAAATCCGGACAAGATAGCTTTCAAGTTTCGGCTACTCTTGGGGATAGATAGTGAAGGTGAGACTGCTTCCGCCATGATCCACTAGCGGGTGGAGCATTTCTTACAGGCGACAGGCTCGACATCTTCCAGGCGGACAACGCCATCCTGCGCCTCCTTCCAAGACCCGGAAAGAGCTTTGCGGAAGTAATCGGAGTGGTGGATGAGTAGCGCCTTGTGCACATGGTACTTCCGAGCCTGTGGTCCGATTTCCACCACCACGGTGCCTCACCGAAGGCGGTTCTGGCGCGCAGAAGTAGCGAATTGGGAACATCGTCCTCATAGATTGACTTACCCGAGACGCGGCGGTTTCGTCTTTACGGCTTCTGGTTTCGATCCTGCCATTGTTTGCTCGGTTGCGAAGGAGCGCGGGGAGAAGATGGAGGAGTTTTGGTTGTGGGAAGTTAATCGGAGAGTGACCCAAGCGAGCTAGTGAGGGAAACTGAAAAGGCAAGAGCAGGTGAGAGCGTCTCGCGTAGAACGGGAATGGTGAATGTTGGGTGCAAATTATTCAAGCAGCTATAGCGCCGCATATTACGGATACAGTGCACATGAGTATCGCCGTCGGAGTGACTCGATAATTAGAAAAGGCCATGTACCAACCCACGATCCATGCGCCGAAATCAAGAAGCGGACCCAAACGCATCCGCATAGACCTTGACGGCCCTATAAATCATCCGGTTTATTCCAGAGCCAAGCGGAGTGCAGTTGCAGAGCAGAGCCTTCAATCCGCCACACCGTGCCCTCTAAAACCCCATACATTCAGCCCGAAGATGGCGGTCCATTGGCGACGCCCTTTACCCTGCTCGATGCTGTATCGCCTCATTTCTCCTCCTTGTCCTCTTCCTCATCACCGCTCTCGTCCGTCTCGGGTTCCCAATCGCTCCGTTCCTAACACACTCTCTTCTCCTCGTCGAATCCATGCTCATGATACGAACACCAATCAAGCACCTGCAACTCCGGCTTCTGCAACACCTTCGAATACCTCAGCATGACGCGGATCAGGAACTCATTCGGCAGCTCAGATCGGAGGTACGCTTTATCTCTCTCTGCATCGAGGAAAGCGCACTGGACGTCGACCAAGAAGTCCAGCAGAGGGTCGTCTGAGCGCAGATGCTCGAAAGCGTAGATGATCCCCGGGTAGCAGCAGTTGGACTCGTATACGCATGTTCGGTCGACTAGGTCGATTTTCACCGCTTTTCTGAAGCCTGGGACGAGGAACCGGTCGGCGAAGACGATGGCTTTGATGCGTTCTTGGTCCGATTGCGCGTGTCTACGCTGGTCTACTTCCTCTACTTCGGTCATCTTGAGCCAGGCGCGGTCCGTTGGTGGGAGGTTCTGGGAATAGAGCCAGTGCACGAAGACGTTGACTGATATGAGCAGTTAGTAAACCGCTCCCAGGGGCGGCAAAGAAGGACAGTGATGTGATTGAAGAATAAGACTTACAGATGCCTACTTCAACATCCTCCAGGACAACTTTCCGCTCATCACCCTCTTTCCAAGAGCCGTTCAGCGCGCCTCGAAAGTAGTCCGAATGATGGGCGAGGAGGGGGCCATGGATATTGAACTTCGTATATTCAGGGCCAACGGCAACTACTACGATATCATGCTCTCGCGTGAGGGTACTAGTGGTGAGGTTAGCCATTCTTGCTGAATGTTCGGTGCTGGTGGTCGTACCTGAATTGCGGCGCCTTCGCCTTCGTACGCGTCTTCGTCACTCTCTGGTTCGGCTTCGCAGCCCATTTTGTTCCGATGGGATCCTTTGTTCGTGCCATTGTACTTGGTTGATCTCGCTCAGTTGTGCGAAGCGCCTGGAGTCACAGTAAGCCTGGTTACGAGGGAAATGGCACAAGATGAAATATCGGCAGCGACCGTAATCTGGAAGGCAGAGTTAAATATCTAAGGTTTTCGAGCGGGAAGGTGTTTGCGCTAGCATGTAATCACGTGGTCCTGATGCCTATGTCTCTCGGGCTCTCGCTTCGTATTCACTCTCGCCTTCACCTCCATTCTAGCTTTCACCTCTGGTTTTGTCTTCGTAGATGATCTAGTCTTCTTTCACGTGCCGTGCTACTCGGTTGATAGGGTAAATTGGATAAGGAAGGCGGTCAGGCAAAGAGTCGAAGCAACAGTATGGATTAATGCACTACTGATCCCCTTACGGCACCTTCACGAGCTGTTTCACTTGCTGTCGCTCGCGTTCCCGCATTCCTAAATTTTATCTGCTCCACAGATTGCCTTTTCCCTCGCTGATGAGTGCTCGTGGTAGGAGCATGCGTCTAGCTGTTGAATTTTTTGGTTGGACTATGTTTCATGTCGCTGTATCGTCCCATAACGCGAATGAGGAAGTCAACCGGCAGCAGGGACCGCAGTTCACGTTCTTTATCTTTGTCCTCCTCTCTGGTCCAATGCTCACAGTGCGTGTCGGCAAGTAACGGCAGAATCGGACTGTCTGAACGAAGGCGTTCGAATGCGTATATGACTGACTCATAGTAGGGCGGAGACTCGATAACTCTGTCCACGAAATAATTGTTGACTGCTTGCCGAAACTTCGCTGCAAGGATGCGGTCACCGAGGACAAGGGCTTTGATGATCTCGAGGTGGCTCTCAGGAGTGTTATTGGTCTCATATTCGCCTCCGTCTTCGTCTTCATTATTACCATCACCGCGGAACCTCGAAGCTTCCTCCCATCTGGATATTATCCCGGGAAGTCGCTGTGTATACAACCAGATTACGAAAATGTCGAACGTGTTCGGTTCAATGTCCTCCAGCGTGACCTTGTGTTCTTTCGACTCTTTCCATGGACCTTTCAAAGCCTTGCGGAAGTAGTCCGAGTGGTGTATGAGCAGGGCCTTGTAGGCATGATAGACGTGATGCTCTTCTCCGATTTCGACAGTGACCATGTCATTTTCGCGTGCCAGTGCGCTATGCCAAAAATTAGGTGCCGTTGTGGTGACTGCTGCATATGGCTAACGTACCTGATAGTTGGCGTTCTGCTTCTCTTTCTCTTTGTCATTGTTTCTTGCTCGTCGATTTGGCGTGGGAGCGAAGGGCTGAACGTGAGCGAGCAAAATCCATTGAACGAGAAGGTGGGATCTTTTTTTGGTTCCGGCCCAAAGTGCACCCATGGAAAAGTAAGGTTGGGACCAGTAAAATGAAGCTTGATGACACTGAGATCCTCCTCTCGGAATTGCTGTCGTGCCCATAACAAGCGCTTGTACATAGGAGCAATGGTTGTAGAATTGGGATGCGGTACATGTATTAAGTTTGGTATATGAAAATGCAAACAACCAAGCCCAGCTTCATGAACGATCATCCCTCGCACGTATTAAGCAAGCGATGAATCCTACCATTGAACGCCACTCCCATATACAAAACAGAGAAATACAAGGCACTTGCATGCCCTCAACCATCTAGCGTTTACCTGTACACATCGCATCATAATCCAACATTCTGCTTGCCTAACCACTGCACATCACGCAAGCCTCCTTGTTCTCTATCGAGCAGGCGAGCACGGCGTCGGAGTAGATGTCACCCTCGCGAGCAGCGCTCTCATCCCCCTTATCCTCCTCCTGCTTGGAACGAGCCTCAGGGAGGGCCTCTTCCTCTACGAGCTTGTTATCCGGATCTGTGGTAAGCAGCTTGGGGCTGCCGTCATCCACGTCCGCCTTGATGGGTTTGGGGTCCAGAGCATTCTCCTTCGCGGCGCCGTTCAGCTGCTTGTTCTCAGAGCTAGTTAGCGGTGTAGCGGAAGGCGTAAGGAGGTTGTTAAGGGACGAGATGCCATTCGCGGTGCCATTCGGGGTCTTGGCCATGTACATGGGTCGCGGCACGGAAGACGGAGATGGTGAGGCAGCGTGACTCTTCCGCTTGTTAGGCAGAGCGCGAGCAACATTGGTATCAGCCACCTTCAATGCCTCCTGATCGACGGTGAATTGGATGGGAGCAGAGGCGGCCATCGTGCGGAGGTAGTACATGCCAGTCTTGAGACCAAGCTTCCACCCAGCAAAATGCATGGAGGTGATCTTGCCCATCGTAGGCTCCTTCATGTGGATGTTGAGGGACTGGGACTGGTCAATGAAGGCACCGCGGTCCGCAGCCATCTGCACGATGGTGCGCTGCGAGATCTCCCAAACGGTCTTGTACAGAGCCTTAATATCATCTGGGATATTGGGGATGCGCTGGATGGAGCCGCCATCGGCGATGATACGGTTCTTCATGTTGTCCGACCACAGACCCATCTCCACCAGGTCTCGGAGGAGCCAGGGGTTTACCACCTGGAATTCACCGGCCAAGACACGGCGGGAGTAGATGTTCGATGTATACGGTTCGAAGCACTCGTTGTTCCCGAGGATCTGGGAAGTGGAAGCGGTGGGCATGGGCGCAACGAGGAGCGAGTTGCGGACACCGTGTTGGGCGATCTTGTCCTTCAGCTCTGTCCAGTTCCAGAGATCCGTTGGAGTGACATTCCACATGTCGTACTGGAGGATACCTTGGGACACGGGCGAGCCCTCGTAAGTGGAGTAGGGACCCTCCTCTTTGGCAAGCTCACACGACGCGGTGAGCGCAGCGTGATAGATGGTCTCAAAGATCTGAATGTTAAGTTTCTTAGCCTCAGGAGAGTCGAAAGGCATGCGCAAAGCCAGGAACGTATCAGCAAGACCTTGCACACCAAGACCGACAGGCCTGTGACGGAAGTTGCTGTTGCGGGCCTCTTCGACTGGGTAGTGATTGGCATCAATGATCTTGTTGAGGTTGCGAGTGACAACCTGAGTGACCTCGTGGAGCTTCTGGAAGTCATACTCGCTATGCTTTTGGTCGACGAACATGGGGAGTGCAAGGGACGCAAGGTTGCACACAGCAACCTCGTCAGGTGCCGTGTACTCAATGATCTCGGTGCAAAGGTTAGAGCTTCGGATGGTTCCGAGATTCTTCTGATTGCTCTTGCGGTTGCAGGCGTCCTTGTAGAGCATGTATGGGTTGCCAGTCTCCGTCTGAGCCTCGATAATGGCGTACCAAAGCTTTTGAGCGCGCACCGTCTCGCGGCCGCGGCCCTCTTTCTCATACCTGCGATAGTTAGTCGGCGATGCATCGATTAGTACACAAAACGACTTACTGGTGGTACAATTCCTCGAACTCATCGGCGTAGACGTCGGCAAGCCCAGGGGCCTCGTTAGGGCAGAAGAGAGTCCAATCTCCGTTCTCTTGGACGCGCTTCATGAAGAGATCCGGGATCCACAAGGCATAGAACAGGTCGCGCGCGCGGATCTCCTCCTTGCCGTGGTTCTTGCGGAGATCAAGGAAGCTAAAGACATCGGCGTGCCATGGCTCGAGGTAGATGGCAAACGCACCAGGACGCTTATTGCCACCTTGATCCACATACCTAGCAGTATTGTTGTAGACGCGAAGCATGGGAATGAGACCGTTCGACGTCCCGTTGGTTCCGCCAATATATGAGCCGGTGGCGCGAATGCGGTGCACATTCAGACCAATCCCGCCAGCGGTCTTGGAAATCATGGCACACGTCTTCAGCGTGTCGTAAATTCCCTCAATGCTATCCTCCTTCATGTCGACGAGGAAGCAGGACGACATCTGGGGTTGGGGAGTACCCGCGTTGAAGAGCGTCGGCGAGGCATGTGTGAAGAACTTCTGCGACATCATGTCGTATGTCTGGATGACCTTCTCAATGTTCTCGCCGTGGATGCCCACCGCCACACGCATCAGCATGTGCTGCGGGCGCTCAGCAACCTTGCCGTTGATGCGGAGAAGGTACGAGCGCTCGAGGGTCTTGAAGCCGAAGAACTGGTAGTTGAAGTCGCGGTCGTAGACGATAGCCGAGTTGAGCTCCTCGGCGTGGGTTTGGACAATGTCGTAGACCGACTTGGAGATCATGGGCGCGTGCGTCCCGTTCTTCGGATTCACGTAGTCGAACAGGTCTCTTATCACAGCAGAGAACTGCTTCTTTGTTTGCTTGTGGAGATTCGACACGGCGATACGCGCGGCGAGGATGGCGTAGTCGGGATGTGTGACGGTCATGTATGCTGCTGTCTCGGCCGCCTGCAAGCTATTAGAATCTCGGAGGATGCAGTGGCTGCAGACAGGCATACCAGGTTGTCTAGCTCGACGGTCGTCACGCCCTGGTACACGCCAGAGATGACTTTCATTGTGATGGCGGCAGGGTCGACGTGTTCCGGGTCCAGGCCATAACATAGCCTGGACACCCGGGCAGTGATCTTGTCGAACTGGACGCGTTCTTTGCGTCCATCTGATTTCGCTGTTAGCACTGGCGACGACATGCAGCAGAGAGCAAGGGTGAGAACAGCAATTGAAGCAGGAGAGAGTTCTGTTCATACCGCGCTTGAAGACAAACATATTGACCGAGGAAAGAAACTAAGGGGATATGGGTATCTCGGGCGTGAAGTGGTGTGGTTGAAGTGGACAGGACGTGGAGGGGTTGGAGGCGGCTCTTAAATGGGCGACGCGTCGAGGAGAGCAAAACACGGTGCACGGTCTCGCGTAGCGCGTGCCTCGTGCCTGCCGCCTTTTGTCAGCTAAAGTGCTTTCTTGGCGCTGGCGGAATGGTTTCGCCGATTGCTCCGAACTTTTCCCAACGACAGCCGCCATCCGCCCATTGCGGTCCAACACATGCCGCGAGGTCTTTCGGCCGTCTTCTTTTCGTCTCTTCTATTTTAATAGAACAGCACTCCGCCCACTATGGCTGGTGGGCACATGAAATACCGCCACCTCAGCCGGTCGTCGTCGCATCGACAAGCCCTCCTGCGCAACCTCGTCACATCGCTGTTCAAGCACGAATCGATAACAACAACATGGCACAAGGCGAAGGAGGCGCAGAGGCTGGCTGAGAAGCTGGTAACTTTGGGGAAGAAGAATACAGAGGCAACGCGGCGGAGAGCGCATCAGATATTCTACGTACGGAGCTGGAAGCTGTTCCCGTCAATTGCATACTAACCATTGGAAGACCCCGAATGAATTGGTACCTAAGCTCTTTGGACCTATACGGGAACGATACCTCAGTCGCCCTGGCGGCTATACCCGCATTCTCCGCCTCGAGCCCGTCAAGGAAGACCAAGCCGAATCCGCAATCTTGGAGCTCGTCGACGGACCAAAGGACATGCGCTTTGCCATGACCGCGAAGACACTCTCGCGATTACCGGAGAACAAGCAGCCGAACGAGATCACAGCCAAGAACGTCAAGAAGGTGACGCAGTTCCGCAAGGCTGGCGTCGAGCAGCTACGGCACATGGTCGCGAGGATGAGGGGAGAGCACGAAGAAGGATGGGACAACAGGACTCTGCTTGGCCCGAAGCGAGTCTATCTCCTAGAAGAGAAGGTCAAGAGAGATATGCACTATCCGGAAGAGGTGGACGACTGGCAATTACCTAACTCATACAAAGTAGAGTTGGGAGTGGAGGCGCCTGCACGAACATACAAGTGGGATCTCGGGAAGGTTTTGAAGCAAAAGCGGGCCGAGAAAGAGAAACAGTTGGAGGCCGAGAGAGCGCAACAGTTGGAGGCTGAGAGGAAAGAAAGGGAAGCTAGAGGCGGTGGAGCGCAAAAGCTCATTGAATAAGGTAGAGGTCCTCCTTGTTTGTATTATACCGTGTTTACGTATCAGGCTTCTCGTACCCTTGGAATAATTCATGGGCTTGTTTCTATCTCATAGAATGAAACAGATTCCTGACCAGCTTTCCGACCCCTTAAGCGTCGGCCTTGCAACGACTGCACTCGTCATCCCACTGGCGTCCGTAATCACAGGAATCTGACTTGGTCGCGCCTTTCAACGTCTGGTTATACGTCTTCAAACCCCTAAAAAATGAATTCGCGCGGAGTCAGGTCCATGTCCTTCTCGCTCTCTGCCTTTTCCATCTTCGATGAAAAGACCGCCGGATCCCCATAGTTGCAGTGCTCATCAGCCAAGATGAATAAGAACTTGACTCGTGATTCCTTGTATGTCGCAGAATTTAGAGGGTGCAGCTTCAAAGTTACTCCTGTGGTGAGTTGGGCAGCGCGGCCCGAGGAAAGATGTTGCACGGCCCACTGTCCATTCACCGCCACGCCATCGTCGAATTACCTGCTGCTTTCACCATGTCCAGGATTACGTCATGGGGTAAGTTCACCCTCCTAGCGAGCTAAATTCTACCTCAGTCCGACCTCAGTACCACGCCACACTCCATCTTCCACTCGACTCTAGCTCTAGCCACGTAGATCGCTATAGACCAAGACGAGCGTTCCGGCCCATCCCCACCGCGCTTCAGGTACGCTCTCTCAAGCAAAATACGATATATCTACTGACCCAACTCAGTGCTATTGCCCGCAAGGGACTGGAAGAGAACATCATCATCGAAGTCGGAGCAGACCATGTTAGATACCACGTAGCCAAGTCACTCCTCATCCACCACTCAGAGTACTTCAAGAGCGCACTGAATGGAAGTTGGAAAGAATCGTCCGACAACAGTGGAGCTCGAGGACATCGTACCCGCTGTTTTCAATCTGTTCATTGACTGGCTCTACTCTCAGAAAATCTCCATCCCCGACGAGGTCAACATAAACGTGGGCGAGAAAGCAATAGACTGTATCCAAGGAAACGAGTACCACATGTTGGCTATAATGCTTTACGCTTTGGCCAATAGGTTTCTCGTGCGCGACCTGACGCGTTCCATGAACCGACTACTGGTAGCCGACTACGCGGTGAAGGCCACGAGACCCTCCTTGGACATCATAATCTTCGCCTTCGGCAATCTCCGGTCTAGTGACACAATTCTGGACCTCCTCGTCGACTTCCATTGCTGCGCTTGGCATCCATGGCTACGCGACTATGAAGAGGAAGCAAAGCTTGAGAAGGAGCTGCCACACGACTTCTTACTTCGAGTCATGCACGCGCATGCGTGCTCGAACGAGGCTGCTCGTCTGCAGACACCTGGAGACCTTGTCCCTTGCGATTATCACGAACATGATACCTTAGCCGAGTGGAAGGCGTGCGAATACAAACGCCCAAAGGGAGTCATGTAATCGTGGGACCTCGGGACACCTGCGCCAGCATTTCGAGCTTGCCCGCATGATTTATGCAGATGCTTCGAGCAGAAAATGGGCATATTGGATGGTCGGGGCGACTGCTTCCATTCTCTGTCCGTCCTGAGTAGCTCCGAGCAAAGTCACGATAAGAAGTAGTCAATCAAAGGAGCCCATTTCTGCCTCCAAGAGTGCCGGATGCTGAAGCCTAAACCTTGAGGAAATACCGACTGTCTTGACTGTAACAGATAAATCAAAGTTCTTATCATGACTAACATGACAATAAACCCACAAAGCGGAGCCAAAGCATACAACAGCTACGTGCATGCCCCGATTCCATCCCCATTCAGCCCATGCCAGTAGTCGAAAGCTCTTAACAACCCAACACTGTAGCACCACGCTCCGCATATCACCAACACATGCATGATCTGATGGCTCGACCCGAAGATATCGAACCGCTTTGGGTACCATCTCTCCGGAATTCGTGCGCCGTAGACGCCTCCTCCGGACCCGTTCAAAATCCCTAGCCCAATGAAATGCGAAAGCCCCATCCGCCGGTCATGTTCCGCGAATCCGTTGATCCGTACGCCATGGATTGCGGGGAGAAAAGAAGAAAGGCCGAGTATCGTGTAGAGTAAGAGTCGGGTTTTGAGTCCAGCGGGCGTGCGGAACATGGGGTGGAAAGTCACGAAGGCGCAGAGCAGGGCTGCTGCTGTAGCAAGATACCAGAAGAAGTGTTGCAGCTGGGGATCGCAGTAGTAACCGAAGTGAGCGCTGGGGACTGTTGAGCCCCAGATTACGAGGACGATTCCGAGGTGGTCGAGTTGCGAGGTGATATACCAGGTTCGGGGACTGTGGTTCGTGAAGGTGTGGAAGCTATAGGATGCGTTAGCTATAAATGCTTCGGGGAGAGTGTCGGGGACGTACCATGAGGAGAAGAAGAAGCAGACAGTGACGGATGCGAAGAAGGTGAAGAGGGCGAACACATCGGTTGGCGTGGCATATTGGTAGCGTGGAGTCCACGAGTGGTACAGGTAAAAAGGTATAACGGAAAAGGCAATGGTGCCTAGACCATGAGACCAGATGTTGACTAGTAGGGTCTAATGAGTGACTGCAATGCTTATTGTTTAGGAAGAAGTACCTGTCTCATTATGTAGGCGCAAGGTGCTGCCGATTGAGCGGAAATAGGAATATGATGCTTGCCTGGGACCATAAGATATAGCTACAAAGAATCCGAACGCGCTGGCATACCGATAGCCGGTAAGTATGTGTTCATTATCTCTGTATGTACCATGTTACCTCGTTTGTCGTATGGTATGAAGGATGCAGGGCTGTACCTTTGCCATGTCACTGAACATCAATATCAGTAAGAGATGCATTATGAAGAAGCTGAGCTCCACGGGGGACTCACGAAGTTCAGGCCATTCCATCAGCGTGTCTGAATCTTTTCTTTTCGGCATGGAAAGATGAAGCTGCGATGTCGGTCTGGACTTGGAGCACTGGAAAGGAGAGCAGATTATCGGCGTAGTGCTCTTCCTCGGTGGCATGTAAGTAGCAGAATGGACTAAAAGGGAATCTATGAATCGAGTGGTTAAGACTAGGTTTGGACTATCGGAAGGTATCGAAAGGATGAGGACGAAGCGGAATCACAGGCGCAGGGTGACTCGATTGAGGGGGAATTCGCAAGTCACCCTGCGTAACTTAAAGGTTTCTACCCTAGCATACCGCTCTGGCCAAGTTGATTTTATGGTTTCCAGCCTAAGTCTTTGTTATTCTGGCATTCCTGGGCATGTCGTTGGGTTTCTTTGTTCTGAATACTGCTCTCCTTCTCTAGAGGCTTAAATTGTTAGAGTAGCGTGCTATAATTAGCCGCGAAGGCACATATTGTCGAGCGTAGCGCAAAATGGTCCACAATATACGGAACTTTTTAGCTTGCTCCTTGGAAGGTTGAAGAAATGGAGTTGAAGAAATCTTGACAAACCGCGGAACTTCCCAATTCGTCCAGCTCCGTGCCCCTCCACATGCGGAACACTTCCGAGGCACACACGCCCTACCGTAACCACGCCTTACGAACTACAACCCCAACATCTACCTTCTAGCCTCTTATTCCCTTCCAATCTGAAGCTAAATAGGTACGCCCGCCCCTCGCTCCTTCTCTCGCACGCCTACAATCCCATCTGACGCCATCACAGCCAGCTTCCTAGGCCCCACATCCCGCTCGCATGCCACCTCTCCTCCGGCCGCGCTTCCACATTTCCACCACCGCGACTACAACGCTCAAGACCTTCGGCGTAACTCCTCCTGTTACCTGTCGATCGATACCAAGGCTTTTCCGAGCGATACCCCTACAATTGAGCAGAACAATGGCGTCAAGCAGTGCCCCGCTGCAGGAATGGCTCGTCATTGCGCCGGATTTTCCGAACTCGATGGATAAGCGGTTGAGCGTGAGGCAACAGCACTTGGGCGGATTGAAGGAGGATCCGGAGACGTTCTGGCTGTGGGGCGGTACGTTCTCCTCGTTCTCCTCCCATTCCCTGCGTAGACGAGCGGTGTTGGAGGATTGCATGCGCCTCTTGATAGGCGGAATACGCCCGGAATTTGGTCGTACCTTGTCTTTCAAACTGAGTGCATGCTAATAGCAGCGATAGGCGCCATGCTCGAAGAGCCCATTAAAGAAGGCGACACCAATCCACCGAAGATGAAGGGCTCGGCGATGTTGATCGGCGCGAAGACGAAGGAGGAGGTCGTTGAGCGGCTGAAGAAGGACGTCTATGTCACGGGCAAGGTGTGGGATTGGGAGAAGGTGATGATTATTCCGTTCAAGTCTGCGCTGAGGAAGGCGTTGTAGGGCGAGTAGGGGACCTGAGAAGATGGATGTGTGGAACGAAAACGGGCCGGGTAGAGCCAGGGAGGATGCAGCATTAAAAGGACCAGGAAACGGGCCACCTAGGTATAAAGAACTAGCATTGCGGCGATGATCGCATTGAATGAGTTTACGACTCTAGACAGGGTATCACTTTGTGCTATGCAATGAAAAAGACGCCAAAGACGCCCAACACGACGACCCATTTCTAACAATTGGGTGACCGAGTACTTTCCAGTGCCTTCTTGACCAACGAATCGAAGCCTCCAACGCCCGTGTATATGACCCAAATGACCCAAACCGTTGAGTAGCCCTGCTCTCTTGACTATTCCACAAGCGACCGGCTCCTCCCGGTTCGAATTAATCTTCCCAATGATGCTATTACAGTGATGTTACGATGGGTGTCTGGTGATCCGTGATACGGAATTTGATCGGTTGTAGTGGGTGCGCGCCCAAAAGCCTCGCCGAAAGCGGTATTCTTCAATACTCTTGTGTTGACGCGCAGTGGTTCTTCGGGCGATGAAGCGTCGCGCCTGGTGCTGTCTCTTTGGAGCGGCGAAGGTCGTGACTGAGGGCCAGGCGGCTGAGTGGCGAACCCATTTCCTCGGAAATTGATAGCTGCGGATAATCGACTCGCAGAATTAAGATCCCGAATCATCGTTGAAGTCTGTCCCCCGCTCAATAGGCGCATGGTTGAGGAGGCCAGAAACCGTAGTGATTTGATACCCCCTCCTCTTAATCTCCGGAATGACCTTCTTCAACATGGGAATCGTCCAGCTCCTCCTGTCATGGCAAATGATGATCCCGCCTGGCTGCAGCATACTCAGAATATGCGCTGCGTTAACATTCGGATACGGGATTTGCGGGTCGTGAGGATATATGTTTCCGAGAACAAGTCGATACTTGAGCATCTTCAGCCGCTCCCTCATGCGCACAGAAAAGAATCCAGATCCAGGGCGGAAATACCGGGGCGGATGCTCAATCCCCGCAGCATCATACGCCTCATATATCATCGTTTCCACAGCATCGATTTGCTGAATCAAATCCGCATCAGACAGACTCCGCGACGGCTCATCATGCATGGCGTGATTCCCCAGCTCATTCCCATTCTGCACCAACTCTTTCAGCACCTCCTCCCTGCCCGGCACCTGACCCCCAATCACAAAAAACGTCGCCGCGGCATCATTCTCTTCCAGAATCTTCATAATCTGCGTCGTGTACTCCGACGGCGCGTCGTCAATAGTCAGAGCGATAATCTTCTCCGTCGTGGCAACCCGCCAAAGCACATCCGGCCAGCGATACGCAAAGTACTTGATGAGCAGCGCGGGAGGCTTGTAGATGATGTAGAAGGGCGCTATTAGCGATAGGAAGACGGTCAGGATGATGATCATTGTGAAGATGCGGCTGCGGCGTGCGCGCCGACGCAGCTTAGACGGCAGCCGGCAGAGACAGCAGCCCGGGCGATACATTTCCACGAAGTTGCGGTTGCAAAGATCATGATAGGAAGAAGAAAAGAGAACTTGGCGGCATAGTTGGGCAGCTCGTGAAGGAATGCGATGCGCAGCTAAGGAGCTGTGGAACCTTGGAAAGGTGATCAACCTTCAGGGATCGTAAAGGGGGTTAGCCGAACGCGGTGCAGTGGCGCACGTGAGGCCCACATCAGCCGAATCCTTCCTGAATTCAAATGTGGATCGCGAACTTTTCTTTCTTTCCGCCACGCCTCAATTGCGACGATATACACACCTTCCATTCACGACCCCGCTCCTAGACGTAGCACAGAAACATACGCAATCCATCTGTAAGGATATTCAGCAGACGATCGCATCCGGAGACTTTTTCGGTATCTCCGTTTCACAAAATATCATCTTTGTGGCCGCAAAGCCACAATGCAGTCATATCGGGGATTGGTTGCGACAAGACGACCAACGGAGCTCTCAGCCAGGCATGAAACCTAGGAGCGAGAGAAACAGAACCTCGTTCTCGCTCGTGTAGCCCTCGTGCAGCCCTAAGATGCCGAGTTAGTTACTCTTCCGAGACGGTATAGAATCCCGTGATGCATCGTAGCATATTCTACATGTCCTGCTAGCTACCAACATCGGAACCAATTTGTCACGCTTATTCGAAATCACCACCTTCGCTATAGGCCTTCTAAGAATGTTCCAAGAGTAAACATTGGACGTTAAATTGACCTAGCTGCTCTATCATATAGCTGCCCAGGTCTCATTGCGTTCGCACATGCTTATTCCCTTGTCCAATCTATGGTCTTGGGTATCTCAAAGCCAACCAGGCCGCAGCCTAAACGCCATACGCAATGCTGGTAAAAGTACTAACAAGCCAAGTTTACCTCCGCCTCCATTGTTTCCAAGCATACACGAAGCCATTTTCTGCATGTTGTCTGCTTTCGCAGGTGTTGGAATCAAATGGAGAATTCCACACTACTCCAGCAGTGCCCAGGTCTACCAGAGGAACCATACTCGGCCGCCCATGTGCACACATGAATGGGAACACGCATCTCGACAGCTTGGCCACCAGCTCTTCGCATTGTTCCAAGCTCAAGTCATCATTGAACATGATTGCCGATCGGCAAGCGCGGGAATTGACTAGATCGATAAGCCCCTCAGGGCAGGTAGAGAGTCGCCTGACCCAGAGGGGAGACTCTTCGTCGGCAGAGCGGGTCGAAGCATCGTTCCGGAGAGATTCCAAAAGCGGATCGTCAACATATTTCCAGACGGCGGAGCGAAGAAGGGATATCAGCAGTTGAGGATCCGCCTTGCAACGTTCAGATACAGCCGGAGGTAGAGTCGCCACTGAGAGGACGGCTTGTTGCCTTTCTGACGTCCCCGACCTTGTCACGAAGGTTTTCGGGGGATAGAGGTCCAGAAGGATGCCCCATGCCGCAAACCTTGGAGCATGCGCGGAAAAGTATGCATGTTCCTGAGAGGAAATGGTAAATTGCATCGGCTTCTCCAGTATGGTGAAGGCGACGTTGGACTGATGTCCGAGCTTCGAGCGGTATCCCGAGTCGTTATATGCCTGTGGTAATGGAGCGCAGAACTCGGCGAGGAGTGCTTCTACCCGGATGCGCTCATCCGCAGCATGCTGATCTATTAAGGCCAGAATTTCGGCCCTAGACCCGCCCTCGTATCCCACTTCTGTGGAGTTTCGCATCTTCACAAGAATGAACTTCTTATCTAGCTGCGCTAGCACTTGTGCACCTTTGAGCTCAGCTTTCGATAGTCTACTGACGTTCAACTCGGCTGGGTTGCCCAGTGCCTTGTCGAGCCTATTATGCGAGTAGTCGAAGCGGTTCCCATTCTTGTGGTCTCCGCACCCGGAGTGATGCTCGTGCAATGTGACCTCCCGGATGCGTTTCTCGACGGGCTTGAATACCGGATTGTCCCACGACTGTAATATTCCCTTCAGCCAAGAGTCCGTTTCTCCGCCGGCAGTGACTGGCTTGGGTTGAAGTCGCATAGGCTTGTTGAATTCGCTAAGGGTGCTTGGTAGACGAGAGATGGATGGCTCAGTGCTGGGTCTCGCTGGAAGTTGCGGTAGAACACAACCAGTACGGGCATTCAAAAGGAAATTTTGGTTGGTTGATGGATCTGTCCAAGTTATAGATTTGTCGTACTTGTCGTCGTCCAATGAGTAATCTCCATTACCGTTGTGATCCTGTAGATGAACGGCTGCGTTCAGAGAGCCTGGCATAATGGGCGGAAGGTCAAACTCGTCGGAAGGGCCAGCAGACCCAGTTGACATAGGGGTAGCGTCCACCGGATTGGTTAACGGCAGGCCTGAAGGCTCCCCATCCCGCGCCTTCAGCCTGGTACTGGCATTGTCGAAGAAATCAGCTCTAGCGCTCTTGATCCGGGACCATTCAGCAAAAGGCCGATGCTGGCTCCGTTCGGATATAGTTTCTGCTACAGCTGGACCTGTTCCCTTCCTCTTCCGGCTCTCCAAGCTTGCTGACGCCGATGCAGGGGAGTCGAATGCAACGCCTTCAGCACGCAATGCAGCATGGTTTACTAGTGCTTGAGACTTCAATCCCGATGTGCCCTCCACAGCTTCATGACTGCCGGATGTGGATGCAGTGTTTAGTCGAGCGTGTCTGGAGCGAGGCTTGCGAGTTCGGAAGTGGTGAGCTGACAGCCATTGCGTGACCATGGCAGTCAGCACCTCCAGCACCGTCTGGAGGTTACTCTCGACTTCAATAAACTGATCTTCTGTTCGTTTAGCATCGTGATCCTCTTTCAACGATATCCGTAAATGGAACATCGGGTATCGATCAACCCCCTTCCGTGTCTTGAGCTGTCTGTTGGTGTAGCCATCGCTGTTGAAGCGCTTGTCGCGTTGGCAGCGTGTCTTCTCGTTGTCGGGCACGTCGATATCGTCCTCAATGGTGCCAAAACTGGAAAGAGCGAATATCCGATTAACTTCGTTGTAGAGCTCGTTGTGCCCTGCATCAGCGAACAACGGTCGAATCCCGAATGATATGAACTGGACACGCTTGCTTGGTGCAGGTTCAAGGGAAATGGCACCCCTCACAGTTATGGTCGAGGTAGATGCGGAGACTGGAACCCACGACGACCATGCGTCGATGGAAATGTAGTTGGCTTGGGTCAAAACATTGAGCATTCGCTGTAGCTCTGCGGAGCGAGACTGCGGGGAGTCCGCGTTACGAGCCGTGTTGAAGCTAAGGGACGTTCTACCGTCCCCATCCCGGATCTTCAACGACAGGTGGCTGCGCCAACTAAGCATGACGCCGGTCACTTCCATTTTCAGGATGTCCCACAGCCGGTCATGCTCAGGCCTGTGTGCCGCAACCACTGCTCGTTGCTTGACTCTCACGGGGAGGTTACCAAACAGGTTCCGCACTGTCACCCGCGTCCCATGCCTCCCGTGGATCTCATGTTGGGGCGGCGCCGGCAATTCTCGGCCCACAGGCTTCGAGTGATGGAACGTTATCAAGTTGTGCGATCGATGCTCGTGGTGCCGAGAGACTATGGTTAGAAGAGACATAGCTGCGAGAGAGGCGAGGAAGGTGCCATTGCGGCCGAGGGAGGCTTCTTCGGTATAGTACTTGGAGGTACCTAAGCTGCATCAGTTTTGGTCTAACTTCTGTGGGCAGAGAAACACACAGTAGAGCTTCCCCAGTCCGCCATCTTCTCTGAATTCAGCGGGGGGTATCCCCAGCCCGTCGTCTTCGACAGAGCATCCTCCCCGCGCGAAGTCTACGGTAGCTTCAATCTTTGTGGCTTTGGCATCTAGTGCGTTCTTCAGGAGCTCTGAAACAACTCCGGTGAGGGACACTATTGTAGTGGACGATTTGACCTGGGCGATCACGTCCTCTGGAAGAGGCAGGATGGATCTATTCCGGGCGCCTGCCGTGTCCACAGCCCCTCCGACGCCTCGCTTCGAGGTCATGACGTGCCATCCGCGCCGCTATCCTACAGCGAGCGTGGAGGTCGATCCGCAAGCGGCCATGTTGTGGGCAGCCGAGTGAACGAAGGCTGGTAGTGGTGGCGATGGGATGCGCATGGGCGGGCGATGCAAGTGCACCATAATCGCTCGGCGGAGGCACGGGCCGCACCTACCACAGAAGGAAGGACGGACCCTTGAATGGACGCAAACGGATGGTTCCAGATCGTCGCCGCCCTCAGCCGCCTCAACACCAAACACGCCAGCCTACGAAACGATCGGGCCCTTTTCGTGACGTGCCGCTATTCTTAAGGCCGGCCATACTCCAACCCACGCGCTCACTCCACGCATCCGCTCAGCTGCTCCTTCGCTCAGCGCCTCCTCTTCTGCCACAACTCCGCAGCCTCGTCATCGCTCAATCTATTTTCCACGTGGACCTGTGAATTACCCGCCAAGTACCGTTGGTTCGCCAGCAGAGCAGCCCGGTTGCCTCTCCAAATCTATACGTCGTCAACCAGCGTTAAGCCCTGAATCGCAATGGCCACCGCCGAAGCCGCGGCGACACCTCATGGTATGTCTCCTAGGCAGCTGGGCTCGAGCACAGCCATTATGGCCTTCCCAACGCCCCGGCCAGGCACTACCTCTCCACCTCGTCTCCGCGCACACACATTTTGAGTGCTACTGACACACATGGCTAAAGACCGACACACCCGCAAGCGGCCCTTTACGGGCTGGATGAAGCGCCTCGCGAATCTGAAATCTTCAACCTCTGAATCTCCCAATGCGTCTGGGAAGAAGGGTCAGAGCGCTGCGCAGCCCAAGTCCAAGAAGACCGCGGCGAAGAACAATCCCTACCCCGAATCCGGCCGCTTCAACAACAATGGCAACGGCCACCTTTCCTTCTCCAGCCCCGTCACCCCTCGATCCAACGACAGCTTCGCATCGGCAGAGGCAGGCAGCGGCTCGGGGCAGCAGCGCGCGTTAGCGAAGAGCAACAAGTCCACTGCGCCGACAGTGGCTACCAATCCCGAGACCATCCACTCCGGCAGGTCGAAAGCGGACACGGGCATCAGCACAACAATAGGCGGCGGCAGTACATTTTCGTCTCCCAACCACTCCGAGCGCTCTCTCACTACAACCTTGACCACTATACAGTCCACCGCCCCCTCTAACGTGCTCGTTGGCGGCCATGTGCCGAACGCACAGACTGCAAATGCACCACCAGTGCACTTCTCGCACCAGTTCCCGGCTTCGCCGCCACCATCAGCAATACCTCCGCACTTAGTGCCACAACCGCATCCGCACACCTACCAAGCCGCAACAGCGAACAATATCCTTACGGACAATGCATCCATCTTGACGCTGGCTTCCTCCTCGAAGCGCCGCCGGCGCAACTCTCTCGACACAAATGCCTCTGTTCGCGCCCTGGCACCATCGTCGGTTTGGGGAGGCAGCCGAGAGTCACTCCCACTCAGTGTGCTTTCAGGCAATGCAGACACAATATACAGCCCGCAGAATAGGCCGAACGGTGTGGGTGGCTTTGCGAATGCTGAACGCGCGAGCCTCTATTCCTCATCCGGAGTCGCAGCCCCTGCGCTCAGCAGTGAGCGCAATAGCTACTATGCGAACAAGCAAAATGCAGACGGGGTGAGCGTGCGTAGTGGACTGCTCGGTCATGGACGGACAGATAGTATCACCGGCAGCATTGGACCCAACCCTACTAGCCCGCTGGCGAGCCCGAGAGATCCTGTAGGCCCTGCAAGAATGAGCCGACGAAGTTCGGACTGGAAGGAGGCCGGCGAGGACGGTGACGATGACGGCGAGACCCCTGTCAGCCCTGTTACTTCTGAACATGAGGACAAAGGGAAAGGCAGGGCCGTCTCATAAGCGGCTCCTACAACCGATAGGACATGGCACTAGGGTAGGGCTTGATCTTGGTATGAAGGCCTTCAGGCCCGGTTTTGCGGAGGGAGGGTGGAACAGAGGAAGTGGGTGTGGAGCGTTGGCTTTGGTGCTTGGGACTTGATCAACATGCATGGGGGAGTCAGCATCGGCAAGGCGTCTCCAGGTTTGCGGATATGGCACTCAGCTTTTTGGTTCATCAAATTATACCCTAGGTCTATGGAGAAGACATCAGCCGCAGGGGTGAATAGATCTTCAAACCTGCTTATACGATGAGTGACTTTCTTAACTTTCAATGCCTGACACTATGTTTCGTTCCTGTTCTTCCTCCGTTGTGCAGTAAGAGTTATAGACGCGGGGCATTGGAGGGCGTTGGAGGAACTTCTTTGGTGACCAGTCGAGAAGTAGCAAATACCGCGAGGCCGCCCATGCCAATCTATGACGGCGATTACGCTCTGAAGGAAACCCCACGAACACCTCCACCCTCTGAAGGCCTTCAGGACGGTGTAAGTCCTTCCTCGCCATCACCTTCACTGTCAGGTCGCCTCTAGAGTGAAACCCGCCGCTCGAGCTTAAAACTTTCTCCGCTCCGACAGGGCCCACGCCTGCCTTCCTAAACTGCCCTACCGGTTTTCTGCCTGCCTCACCTCACTTCACTTCACCGCTACGTACCTAGCTACTCGCACTAGCACGAACACTACCAGGGCCAACATGGAGACCTCGAACCGCGCCATCCCTACTGCGACTGCGGCCGCCGACGGCCCTCGCCCGTTCGCCATTGCGATCAACGGCGACTTCATCATCCAGCTCACTCCACCCGCGACGCCTCCACTCTCTGAGAGGACAGTCAACAGCGGACAACCTTGGCGCGGAGCCCGCGTAGTCCAGTTTCGCGTTTCGAGAGCCGTTATGCAGGAGCATTCCACGCTCTTCCGTGACATCTTCCGCGCTCAGCCAAATTTGGTACGTTGTTCTTAGAAGTCTTCCTGGTGGTGAGTCACTTCGAGCTGTGCAATGTTGACGTGGAACTAGACTATGATCAATTTCGAGAGCAAATGCTCCGGCTTCGGCTATGCCCTCGAGATCTGGCTTCGAGCGATCCACAATGGCGTTAACAGTCTCCCGGAGAATCTCAAGGCCACTCACATGGAGCGGGCGTGGGTCGCTATTGGAGTAGGTGAATCTTTCGGCTTCGCTCCACAGCATCTCGACAAGATCAAACCTTGGTTCCTTGACGGCTACAATTATGCGCTCAATCATGGACCGGGCCTCAGCCCCATGATGGCCCGCTGCTTGGCCTTCCCGTGCAGCGTCTTCGACTACGCCGAGGGCTTCATGAAGCTAACCAAGTATCTCGCTTATAACACGAACGGCAACATCTTCACATACAATCCCAGCAACTTTCAGGCCCTAGCATCGGACGCTCGCGTTCTTGACGGTATGTGCACCGATCCGTAGCTCATCCTCCTTCCGTTGTGCTCTGTTGTCCGGTTCAAGACTAAGAATCTATAGGTCCGCTTACCACTGCGCGCGCTCACATTCAATCCGTCATCGACCGTGAGCTCTTCTTCCCGTTGGAGAAGCTCCACCGCGCCACTTGTGTCTGCCGTAAAGAGACCGCCTTCGACTACGAGGCCACGCTAAGGTCGCTTGGCTGTTGGCCAGTCGACCAAGCTGTCAAACAGTATACTCTCGCCGACATCATCGACTACCTTTCAAACTTTAACTTCACACCCAAGACTCAGGCCTGCGATTCCGGAGCCTGCTACCACGACTTCAAGAAGTCCGTCGACATTGCCATTCAGAGGGCAAAAGAGTACTTCGACGGACTTTGCCTGGATTGCACGGAGCGAAGCCTCCAGGACGAAGGACAGTCCCGTGAGGACTACATTCAGAAGAATTCGCCATACAAGGACTGTTGGGACATGAATTGCCGCTTTGGGCATGGGAGGCCTTCGTGGTGAGTGCTCGTGGATGCAAGGTTCCTCTAGCACGAGGCTAATTCCGGTAGGTACTTCTCCTGGATGGGGCCCTCTGACATCCGCCGAGACATCTGCTCCAAGTTCCGCGAAGAGAAGCGTCAGGAAGCCCTCGAAGGAAAGGGCAGACAAGGCCGACGAGGCAAGCGAGCTGGCAAGGGCTCTACCGCACCTCGCAACCAAGGCGCTGCCCCCTTCGACCCAAAGGTCCCTCCCTGTGGTCTTCCGCAGTCTTCCTCACAGTTTCCGAATAACAACACTCTTAAAGAGAACCCCGACGAAGGTGACGACCACCAAGACTCGGAAATCGACGATGACGACGATGACGAGTTCTTTGACGCCGAGGACACATCTTTCGAGAGCCAAAATGTCGCTGCTGACGACGAGGACGCTGAGGGCCTCGACCACTACTCTATCAACTGAAATCGCGGCAGACACGAGCATCTAGGCTATGATATGCAACCACCGATTTGTCATGCAATCTTCATATGAGGAATTGGTTGTTGTATTTTTCCTATTTGCTTAGGAGAGCGGCGTTTGGTTGGAAGCAGGGCAAGAATACGGGACACGATTTATCATATTATGGAAGAGGCATTATCTTTGTGCCCAAAGTATGACAGACGAGAGGGCGATGGCACTGCTTCACACGCTGTCTCCCCTCGGTCTTTCCTATTCACTGTAAAATAGGAAACTTCTATCTAGCAACATCATCTGAGATGCGTCTCGAAGAAAGATAAAATGCTCTCTCTCATTTAACTTGCGTATGCGCACTATGCCTTTAGCAGCAGTCCACGACTTCTCCCGACGGACAGTGCATAACACTGTACGTAAGGAAATCCATACGGTTAAGTGGACTTCGAATTGGTCTATCAAAATTGTGCCCGCGCACCCGTCCACCCTTATCCATCTCTTGCGGTCAGAAGGAGAACACAGATTTCGAAGCAGAATAGAACATGATAGCCACAAATCATGATGATGAAATTCCATCCTTAGCCAGACGCTTGTAGGACCGAAACCTTCGGATGCCAGATTTTCATTATCGAAGAGACAGACCGAAAATACTGGAATATGGAAACACGGAAACAGCGCTGGGACAGGTAATGGGCTGTCAGTCCTTGGTGGAAATGCCGTACATTTCCACAAGGGGCTAGGAACTGGAATCGATGTGAAATGAGTAGATAAGGGAAATGGAAAGGGGTTTGAAGGCGGCCTTTTGTTGGGTAGCAGATGCTAGTTGGGACGCAGGGGCGAGAAAGTTGGAAACGTCAAAGAATCATCGAAGAGGTAGCGTTATCGTATTTTCCGGCTGGTGATCTCGCGGACGGACAGACTAGTTGGCCCAAGCAACCCGGCAGTACGGGCAAGTCGCCTTGTGGTACATTTGCTGCTGAGAGCGGAGCCAGGTCGCAATGCAATCCTGGTGAACGTTGTTTCCGCAGTGCGCCTTGCAGTACGTGATAGATTCCTTTGCAGGCTCGAACTCCATGTAGCAGATCGGGCATTCGCCGTCGATAGGCTTTCGGTCGGCGCCGGTACCGTCTGAGGCCTCTTCGGTGGCGACATGCTCCTCATCCACTTGGACGAATGGGGCTTCCGGCGCTTGCTCGAAGATCTCGTGGAGCTCGGCGGACGTGAAGGCCTGCTGGTAGAGGAGGGGTGAGTCGGTGGGCACTTTGAGGACCTTGACAAGCGTGTAGATGATGTGCTTGCAGATGGCCTTGCGGAAGGCGTGGTCGGGGCAGGAGCATTGGGGAATGAGCTTGATCTCGACGGTGTCTGTGGATGGTCAGTGAGGGATTGAAGGCAGAGATTACGTTCTGTGGGAAGCTTACAGTTGCTGAGCATGCTGCCGGCGATGGTGAACTTCTCTTGTGGTATCATGTCGGTATCGAATCGCTGCCGGTCGATGAAGCGAAGTGGTTGCGAAAGCGCTCGTGCCATGGAGCCTAGGAACTTGTCCGAAGGCTCATCTTGGTATCTGTTTGTTGTGTTAGCCGCTCTGTACTAAGATCGCTGGACATATTAGCCGTCCAAGCAAATGGTCACTTACTCCCTCTTCCGGATCTCATTCCCCTCATCATCGTATTCAGGCTCGTCTGGTCGCGCCTTTCTCTTTCTGGCTTTAGACTTCGGCTTCGGCTTCTCAATCTTTGCCGGAGAGTCATCGATCACAATCACTTCTTTCTTAGCGCTCTTGGTCTTCTTCCTGACCGTCGCTTCGCCATCCGCGTATTTCACATCTTCTGTAGCCGCGATCTTGCTCTTTGCAGTCACCCTCGTCGCCTTACCAGCAATCTCTTCACCTGCATATGCCGCATTCTCCGGAGTCTTCACATTGCTCTTCCCTGTGACCTTCTTCTTGGGTGTCTCAGGAGCAATGTCAGAGTCGTCTTCATTCAGCTCGCCGTAGCTAACTCGCCTTCACAAATTTGACTGATTAGACAAACCTACATAGCACAATAAAAAGAAAATAACATACTTCCTCTTGCGCATAGAGCGCTTTGGTGCGCTGGCGATAGCAACCACATCGCCCTCACCAGACGAGACGGTAGCAGTCGCAGCTTCCTTTTCGCCACCCGCCATTGCGTCTGTTGTTTGGAGGGACGTAGTATGAGATTCGGAAAGGGTAGATATGAAAACGGAGGAAAAGTTTTGAAGTCGTAAGTTTGTTATTGTGGGGAGGTGTCGAGGGGGAGAGCTGCAGAGAGATGGTGGGGTTGGTGACGCGTAAATGGAGGTAAATGCCACTGGGTCGGGGCGGGAAGGCGCGAAAGCACGTGCTTGACCTCTACACCTTCCCAGGTGCCCAGATGTGAACGATAATTTGAGTGGATAAGAGAAAATAGGTGGAGGGTTAATCGAGAGAAGATGGCTCTCAGCTTAAAAAGTAAAAGACGGGAGCGCAGGTCCTGCATGTAAGTCTCACATTGACCGTGCTAGCACACTTTCGAATGAAACATCTACGTTTGTGATGTTTCTTTCTCTTGATATATGAGTAAGTGAAATTGTGCGCCTAGGATACATCTCTGACATCCGGCCATTTTCTCGTCTCGTCTTGCTCTGCTTTAGACGTGCAGCTCCGCAGCCTCGCCCGCTTTCAGTGTTCCCGCATCCACATACTTCTTCAGCGCGACCTTCACTTCCCTCTCATAGAAAGCGTCCACCTGCTGCGGGCACCTCCCAATGAAAGTCTCCGGCTTGAGCAGCTCCTCCAGCTCACCCAGAATGGGTTTGAAGAAGTCAGTCCTCCGTATCCTCTCGATCAAATCGTTATCCCGCCCATGCTGCTTGACCTGCGCGCCAGCCTCATGGCTCAGCACCCGGATCTCCTCGTGCGCATCTTGACGAGAGACGCTCTTCTTGACGAGCGCCATGATAATGTTCTCGGTGGCCATGAAGGGCAGCTCGGCGTCGACGCGCTTCTTGATCACCGCAGGGTAGACTACCATGCCCGACGCGATGTTGTTGAGCAGGATGAGAGATGCGTCGGCGCAGAGGAAGGATTGCGGGAGGCACATGCGGCGGATGGCGCTGTCGTCCAATGTGCGCTCCATCCATTGCGCTGCATACGTTGCCGAGGCGTCGGCATTCAGGTTGCGGAGTTTGCGACCAAGGGAGCAAAGCCGCTCACTGCGCATGGGGTTACGCTTGTAGGCCATGGCGGAAGAACCAATTTGGGTCGATTCGAAAGGCTCTTCCAATTCTTTGAAGGATGCAAGGAGACGGATCGCTTGGCCGATGTGCTCACATGTCGCGCCGAAAGAGCTCAAGGCGTTGAGGACGTCGGCGTCAATCTTGCGCGAATATGTCTGGCTGGAGATGATGTAGGCAGACCCAAAGCCTGCCTTCTTCGTCACCAGTTCGTCGAGCTGCTCGACCTTTGAATGATCGCCATTGAAGATCTGGAGGAAGGAAGCCTATCGCGCGGTTAGCCCTGTGCGGACCTCGTGATCGAAATTTCTGTACCTGTGTGCCAGTGGTGCCCTTGACACCCCTGAACCTCAGGTCGTCCCTCGCTCGCTCGAGGTTCATCAAATCCTTCAAGAGATCCTGGATCCACAAGCACGAGCGCTTGCCCACAGTTGTCAACTGCGCGGGCTGCAGATGCGTATACGCCAGACACGGGAGGCTCTTGTACTCCTTCGCAAAAGAAGACAGCTTCTCAATGACGGTAGCCAGTTTAGGAAGCAAGATATCGAGCCCATCCCGGAGGAAGATCTGCTTCATATCAGCAACTCACTTGACCATTCTCTCACCGAAGACCCTACCAGATCCGCATTATCAGTGCAATAGCAACTCGTAGCGCCCCAATGAATGATCCCCGCAGCCGCTGGCGCCTTCAGCCCAAACGCATGCACATGCGCCATAACATCGTGCCTCCTCTTCTTCTCCTCCTCTGCCGCCACTGCAAACTCCTCGTCCTGAATAACCTGGTGCGCCTTCATCTGCTGGATAGCGTCATCGCTGATGTCGAGACCTAGCTCTTTCTCGCTCTCGGCCAGCCAGATCCAGAGCTGCCTCCAGGTACTGAAGCGGTTGCGCGGGCTGAAGAGGTACTTCATCTCAGCGCTAGAGTAGCGCGAGTTGAGCGGGTCTTGGTACGTGTCGTTGGCGGACATGATGGCTTGGGTTCGTTAGCGGGGTCGAGTTGGTGTGAGAAATCAAAGGAGAACAATTGTAGTCTTGCAGATTATATGCTTCGTAGAAATATTAATACAATTGAGTGACGAAGGAGTCCGATGGTAGACTATGCAGGAAAGACGGAGGTGCGTAAAGTCACATGAAAGCATGTAAGCCCTGGAGAAGTACTTACCTAATCCCTCAATTTTCCTGACAAGCAAACAATTGAGAATGAATAAGATATCAGCAGGAGGCCTCTGCGTAGAGGCGTGCCTTTAAGACCGACTGGGGATCTCGGAGATGTGGAGCGGATCTGGGGAAGATTCACACGGATCGTTCCATCATCCCACATTCACGCGTGCGTGCAGAAAAAAAAGTTAGGCTTGTGGCGGGACAAAGACCGCCGAAAACCGGAGCCAAGACCAAACTCAGGTCAACTCCTGCTGATATTTGAGGCAATTTCTCCACGACACAAATTCAAAGATCCTGGCTACTAGGCAATTACGTTGTAGGTCCTTAGTTCTGGGAGATTCGTGGAGTACTGACAGAGTGCAGGAACCGGTGACGTCATCCCCGACACGAAATATAGCGTTGAGTTGATGATCGAAGTTCATTGTCGGTTAGAAATAGGAAGTGCTTTCTTGATGTCCGTTCATGCGATTCGCAAAAAAACACCCAGAACCGTCGCAATGCAGATTGAACCAACTCAAAAACCCATATACCGTCTGATCACCTTTCTCTGCTCGCCGGCGTGGACGTTGAGGCCCACGCGCCCGAGGAATGCGATGGATGCAATTGTAAACACCTCAAACGCCAATTCAGACGCTCCGTTTTCCGAATCTGAACCTTCGTCTCCCGGCAGACTTCTCCTGTACGCCATTAGCCTCTCCATTTGCAACCACCCCGTCACGACCATTCGTATGGTATGCCTTCTCATTGCCCTTCTTCCTGCCGGTGCGGACATCTCTTCTGCTGGCGCAGCAGCAGCACAAACCTGTTTGAATGAGGCATGCGAAGATGGCAAACGCACTAGCCGTCCACATGAAGCCAAACAAGTATGACCCAATTTTGGCGCTGATGTTTATTTCCGCCACGCCGGCGATAACATTGCGGAAGATGACGAACATGACGGTTGCTATGACGGACGCGACGGTGACGAATATGGCGTTGAGCAGCGCGAGGATGGCGATTGGAAGGGTCCACCAGCGAGAGAAGACGCTGATAGGCATAAGGAACATGAGGATGAAGGAGAGGCAGGCGGAGGTCAAAAAGAGGCCGAACATGACTTGTGACACCAGCTTGATGAGGTCGAGGATGTCATTGATATTGGCCGGCAGGTTGACTAAAATTGATGCGTTAGCATGCGGACAATTGGTCCCGGTTAGCGGAAGAGGAAGAAGACGTACTTGATGCCCCGGCCAACAACTCGTTGCTGAGAATCTGTATGGGATTGAACCAATACAGCGTCTTTGGAGGCGAGCAATATGTCACACCCTCGTTCAGATAGCCCTCGCAGAAGCCCCATAACCCGACCTGATAGAAGTCGTGCAATCCCAGTGTTTGCGCAATGGTATTGATCAGAGAGAAATTGGGCACCGAAGCGGGGATGATATGGCTGACATCGATCTTGAGGAAATACCAATTCTTGATGGCTGGTTTGTTGTAGGTACCGCCGAGTTCGACGAGGATGAGGAAGATGACGGTCAAGAAGAGGAAGAACGAGGTGAGGAGAGCGAAGATTTTGCGTGTCCGCGTTGCACGTTTGAGCTGTGCTTTCGAGAGGTCAGGAGTCACGGTAGGGGATGTTGTTGAGGATGCGTCGTTTGAGCGTCTCCGGCGGTTGAAGATCCGCATCGTGAATGGCGAGAGAGAGGAACACAATGGCGAAAGAGAAGAAGAATGGACAAGAACCGATAGAGAGAGAATGAAGACGGCTGGGCTGGGTCTTCTGGTACCGTAACGCGCGGCTGTCTGAACTATCGAAAGTTTTATGGAGACGTGCTGTACTGTGGTAGGCGATGACGTCGGCCGGGTTGATCGGCACTGGCCCAGCGACCCAGCAACGAAGCAACGACAGACCACAGCACAGCCATCGGATTGGGATCTGGAAGAAGTAATTGGATGGAAATAATTGTGCTTCTCTACCCAATAGTCCCTGCGGACTCGCTTCCTAGGCCTCTACAGCAAACCCTGGACTCTCGGCGAGTACGTGTCGTCGATGATGCGGCCGGTTCCATTGCGCAATTCATGCACCGCCGCGGCCGTTTCTCGGGGGACTGACGATTTGTTTTGCATGAATGAGCAGAAGGCAATTATCGCTGGGATTAGGTGGGAGATCAGCGAAGACGTGCCGTCGCTGCCGCGGGTGTGATGGTCATCTTAGTAAGCGCATCAGACCTCACAGCTCATGCGGAGATGGTTCGTCTGCAAATCGCTCCACGTAACCCTTCGCCCACACTATAGCACAAACCTCTCAATTACAATGTTATATCCTCCGAGAGGCGTTAATTCTCGCAGCAAAAGGACCATGGCGAAAACATCAAGGCCCTGATCCCACAACCCACGGAAGCCGTCCGGCCTATGCGCGGCATAAAGTATGTCAAGAACAGTATGTATTCCTAACCATCGCGGCACCGAATCCCCAGGATCTCTGAATCCAACAAGCGAGCAAAGCTAACCAACCGTTCACCACAGGAATAGCACAATGCCGGGTCGGCCAGCTAAACCCCCTCTCCTGCCGCTCCCACCTCCGAACACCTCTGCTGCGGAAGACTAACCCGATAACTACGCTAAACACTCCGTGCTCTTGTGCACCTACTCGCCGTTATAAGCTTCACAACAGACATGGAGAAATCGTTGCGAGCCGCGGGCTCGTCGTGGCGGCCGTGTCTGAGGCGCGTTCCAGACGGGCCGCCGCTCGTATACCTCGAGCGGATCGGGACGCTTGCAGCAGCATAGGCATAGATATGAAACTGTATAGGGAAGCAGCGCTGTTTATCGAGAAGCCCATGAAGGTATCGTCTAAGCAGGGCGTTATACCAAGCATAGGGGTCTCCAGCATGCCATTCCAAGCCACGCGGAATGTATCGGCTATAGCCATGCTTCCCAACGTGGAAATGTGCCACTTAGCAGCATAGCCGGAGGCTGATGCTCAAGATGCTCCTGGCAGCGAGTCAGATTTTGATGAGAGGGCGTCGGGTATTTCCCCCAGCATGGTTTCGAAAAGCGAAAGCAACGGCGCGGCTCTTGCTCAGGGCGTGTGCCGCACTTTGAATCAAAAATATGTAAAGACGTACACAAAGTTCGCGTTCAACTGATAGTCCGCTCTTGCATTTCCTTTCTCTATTCCAAAAGTTTTCCATGCTACATATACACCACACAAATCGCAATCACCACCACTGCTGCTGCTACTGATACTAATCTCACATCTCTCGCTCAACTGTAGTCAACCACCTCACACCACTTTCCATCCAAAGATAGATGAATAAAAATTACACAGAAATATTAACGCCTTCCGTCGCCGCTACCCGCTGTATGATATGATGATAGAGCCCTGGTAATAGATTGCTGCCGGTCGTGTACAGTAGAGCCAGAAAAGACCGCGATAAGAGAGTAAGAGCAAGGTGGATGGAGGAATATGTACCGGTTAGAAAGACTCGGTGTGTTGCTGAAAAGTCAAAGTCGAAAAAGGATGAGCCACGCTGTCTATGCCGTTGGAGGTCGTCATGTCCGCAATGAAAATGGAGGAATGCATGTGATGAGCTTTTGGTGAAGGATCGAGAAAGCCCAGCCAGTGAGCGCGAGATGCTTGTCATGAAAGGCGCATGAGCATGAACCGATCGTTGAGGGCAGTCAGTGCGAAAAGGAAACAGCTTATGCCGGGGTGACTAGGTCAAGCTTCGGTCTGAGACTGTTCATCAAGTCGTCCTTCGTGCCGACGACTTCCTTTGGTATCTTGCTGACACGGTACGCCCCATTCCGGACCGCCATTCTCCCCGCAGTGGACATGCCAGAGCGGTTAGAACGGATGGATCCAGCGTCGGAAGCATTGGAGCCTGGATCGCGGAAACGTGGCGGAGGGGCGAAGTCTAGCGCAGTGAATGTGCCTGACTTGCGGAGCGCGTGGCTAGAGCGAGTTAGCATGTGAAAGTCATTGGGGCTTCCAAGTAAACTTACGGGCTGGGCATCACCATCAGGTCGTCGAACGCGCTTGCCAACGGGGTATGCGGCCTCACTGCTGGGCTGTACGGCCTAGGAGTACCCAAGGGGCTGTCCGGCCGCATGCCGTTTTGCCGTTCTCGGAAAGAAACAGGTGGCGCGAAGTCAATCGGGTTGAAGACCATGGAGTCCTCTGTCAGCTTTGCAGGCGTGGGAAGGGAGCTAAGAGCAGTGGGTGGGGGCAGTGGTCTCCTAGGTGCTGGTAACCGGCCGCTCATGGAAGACATGCCTCGGGGCGGGATGAATCGGCCAGAAGACGCCATGGAGCTTCCAGACATGTGCGGTCCACGCGGACCAGTGTTGCTGCGGAAGCGTGGCGGTGCTCGAGGCGGAGGTGTCATGGCACGACGAGTGACAGGTTGGGCAAATGGCGTCTGAGGCTGGGCGACGACGAAGCTACCAGTCTCCGGATCGAAGATAGCGCCGTCAAGGTACTCTGATCCGTAGTCCTCATAGTAGTCATTGTAGATATGGCCGCCAGCCGGTTCCGGCTTCGAATCGTCAAAGTACTCCTTGTAGAAGGATCGGATGCGATTAGCTCGCTGCTCCGGGTTGTCGTTGGGATCATCCGGCGGAAGAGGGCGCAGGCTCATGGACAGGCGGTTTGTGCTGTATCCAAATTCGTCGACACCAAGGCCAGCATTCTGGGGGCTCTGTTCACGGGGTCGCCGAGGCTGGGGAGCTAGGGGAGCCGGTTCTGCGATCTTAGCCTCTTGCTGAGGCGGCGACGGAGGGGTCACTTGGAAGCCATCGCCATAGCTCGACTCGCTCATGAAGCTTGTTGTGTTGGGGTTGCTCTGCACGACAGCTTCCTGGGATTGAATTCGGGGCAGCGTAGGGTTTGGTTGGGCAGGTTTTTGTGTCTCTTGCACAGGAGGCAAGGTCGGCTCTTGGGATGACCCAGCTGGTGGAGGCGCGGGAGGGGTGGGTTGAAAGGCAACATAGGCGTCCTTAGGCTTCTCGGGTGCTGGGGGTGAGACGGCAGCTGGCTGCAACGGAGCGACGGGAGGAGGTGGGGGAGGCGGCAGCGGCTCATTCTCGTAACGTGGGTTGAGCGGGCTTCGAGTGGTGACGGCAGGCTCAGGGAATCTGATTTCAGGGGTGTTCCGCTCCTGTGGTGACATGGACTCCCCACGAGGAGGAAAGGATTGAGACATTCTCTGCGCGTTTCTCAGGAGGCCGTCGTTCATCCTGTTCCTGTCGGTTCCTCCGCTCGAAGTTGTGTACATGGATCCATTGCCTGCACGGCTCCCACTGCGAACGCTTGCGTCGTCTCTGATGAAGGTCACCGGCCGGTAGGGATCATGCGGGTCCTGGGTCGATCGGGAAAGAGAGTGGAAAGACTCGCGGGAACCTTGCAGGCCAGCAGGCAGAATATAAGGGCTTCCGACGGCCAAATCCAACGACAAGCCTCTGTCGTGTCCAGGCCGTATCGACTTCTCGGTGTCTGCCAGCGCCATCTCTGGCCCCTTCTTTCCCTTCTTCTTCTGTCCTCCGGCCGCCATATCCAGTCCAAAGTCCAGCGACTTGTACTTGTCATGCGCGTCTTCCTCCTTGAGCTTCCTGAGATTCCTGCGGTGAAGATAGAATAGTACACATGCTGCGATTACGATAGGGACGCTGGGATAGGTCAGCCAGAGCATCACAGCGAATGGAAGTCAGCCTACACGACGGCAGCGGCAATAGCCACTGTGGGCACAGAGGTGGGCTTGACGCATCCTGAGTCGGTGTCGTTTGTGCAGGAGGCGCGGGCAACGAGGACACGAGATCTCTCCATTACGGTCGTTCTGCTAGGCATTCCACCGAGCCCAATGTTGGCTTCTCTCCTCCCATGGCGATGTCTGTGGCCGTGTTGATGTATATGTTCCATGGCGTGAAAACCTGTTTCTCATCCGTTCGCCAACTGATATTGCTGCACTGTATCCGAGGTGGAAGCGAGTCGCTTGATAGTGAGGCCGGCGCAGTTCTGGGGCGGTGTGGGAGTGCTCAAGATATCATAGAGGTTTAGAGATTACAGCGTAAGGTCGTTATTGGTCGTCGAGACGAATTGACTGCGTGTATTGGGGAAAGCTGCTGGGGGCGTGGGCTGAAGGAGTGACAACAACGGGCGAAAGACACAACAACAACAAGGCCCAAAAGAATGACTGGGGTAAGATACGGAGACCGGACCTGGTGTTGCGGCGAGGAGGAATTAGTAAAAAGAGCGGCTCCCACGAGAGGTGAGGTGAGGAAGAGGACGCAGGCCGGGCGCGAGGAGAAGAAGAGACGCCAGGCTGCTGGTCGATGGTTCTTTCCGTAGTCCGTGTGCGCGCCGCCCTTGATTGGCCGGGGGCTGCAGGCGCGTCCGTGCCCCAGGCGGACCCTGCGCGAAACCCGGGCTGCGGCCTGTTTGCTCTTATCCACGAGGCGGCATTCCGTGGCTCAAACACAACACATTCGCTATACGAACACTCGCTATTGTTGTTGGCATTTTGGCATTCACAGACTGCGCTCTCCAGTCTCGTATCCTCCCGGCGCGCATCCCACACTGCCCTGCCCACGATCGCCGCGCTCAGGAGAGGCCCAGCAAATCCAGCACCATTAGGCTGTTCCCAGCACCGTTTATTTAGAATAGGACGATCCCTCCTCCTCCCGATGGCGCCAATGCAGGTACAGGTGCCCGGCCGGCGCCGCTATGCTGCTTGTGGCTACGGCGAGGCGCGGCAGCTCGCTTCATTGGCCTCCGGCTTCTCCAAACGTGTGGGCGACATCTCGGCACAAGCGCCTCAGGCCCCTGACGGCAAGCCAATGAGTGGCCTCAGGCCCTGCTTTCTGCTCAACACCGTCGTTCCTCGTCGCTCTCACGACCGTCGGCCCCTCAGCTAATAATTCTCCAATCGTTCTGTGCTACGCTGCTGACCGCCGAGCGTGCCCCGTCAGCTCAGCATCTCGCCCGTCTCCTTTTCCGAAGCTCCCCAGTCCGCCGTGGTCCGGGCAGGCCTCATTTCCCGCGCCCACAGTGCCACAGCCTCGCCCAGTTGTGCACGTCTCGGAGCGGAGATGCGATGCCCGATACGGGAGGTGGTGCGGTGGCCAATCCATGAAGAAGCTTGGCCCGACTTGTGCTCGTTCTCCTATCGTGCAGGTGCACCAACGCGACTTATATTAGCCATGCCCAAATTAGCAAGGTACGCTTCACAACCTCAATCTCAGCAAATTGTGCACGCTATGGAGCCATCTTGACTGATGTCATCCAGTCCCTTTCTCCTGCGTGGCGCTGCAAGTGCTTTGATGGACCCAACGGCGAACCTTGATCGCTAGCTTCCTATGGAGCCGCAATTTCAGCGTGCAACAAGAACCGACAAGGCGAGTCAACGCCGCTTGTCTGCCTTTCCGTCTCGAAGCATTCCAGGCCATGTTTTATTTTCGGATCCAAGCCCACGCGGTAGGGGGAGGATAAGGACCGCGAAGCGAAGCGAAGCGGGTCGCCTTGTAATCAAACACGCACGTTTGATGAAGGAGGATGCGCTGCACGGGTCGGAGATTTTGAGAAATTTGCTAATCCTTCGCAGTGATTTCGGCATGGCGGGCCTGACTCGACCGCATTCTTGGTTCTTGGACTCGCGAAGATGTGTTTCGGCTTTCAAAGCACGATATTCTCTGTTATCGATTGTCGACGAAAAGGGAGGTCTGATGCCCTGACCGGTTCTCGACGGCACGTGAATGCGTACTATCCATGGTCGAGATGTTCAGGTCATCACTTGGGCGATAAGCTCATGAACTTCCATCTAGCGAAGGATTACCCTTATTCGCCCGCCCGCTGGAGGTTCTACAACCACAATAGCCAACATGGAATGAGAAAGGAGCCGCTAACATGCAACTTTTTTGACCAGGAATGCAGCAAAACCAAACATGCATACAGCATCGCCGTCTAGATTCCCTTGCACGTTCCAACCATCCATCTCTCTCACTAGCGGGGAACATAACTCGCTCGAGATGTCCAACCAAAGCATACCAGGAAAGAGTGTAACAATGTTGTAGTAGACTGAATCAACTCATTCACTCTCAGCGTAGATGTCGGACTGGTTCGGCCACACCGTATTAGTCGTGCTTTTACCGATGGACTGCGCATCGCCTCGTCCCCAATACCTCCAAGGTCGCAGTCCAGATGACCGCGACCTATTCCCCAGCGTTGATCCAGACAACTCTGACTTATATCCGATAGCTTGTTGAGGGGGCGGGCGACTACCCTCCCCGCTCGTCAGACCTGCAGGCGCTGAATTGAGTCGTTCGATGGGACGTTCTCCGGACTCGTTTCGTTTCCCCTTCTTTCTCCAACTAGTTCGAGACCCAGGTCTTGACGTCGATTGCAGCTGATTGCCTGCCGACACTCTGCCCGCGATACCACCTGCAAACAATCCCCCCGTTGGCAGCTCGACTGTTACAGGAGGTTTACGGCGAGAGTAGGATTTTAGATCCGGGTCGTCTGGAATTGCTAGTGCGTATCTCAGGACCCTTCCGATCTTCTTGCCTACTGTGACTAGAGGCGATGACGGTCGCGATGCGGGTGATTGGGGAGCTGGTGCTGGCGTCAGTGCCGTCAGTGCCGGCTGCACAGGTGCCTGTTCCTCTTGCGGTTTCACCAGCAAGAGTATTTCCTGCAATAGTTCGCGACCCGTTCTAGGAGAGTTACCACTCTCGTCCACTGACTGTTCTAAGGTCAGTGCACACCCGTCAATGTTCAAGGGCACGTCACTCACTTTACCATAACCCAGTTCCATCGCCTTTTGTCTGTACTTGAAAATGAGCGCATCTTCCCGGAACTGGATTTGCTGCATCTTCCGTATGGCGTCCAAGTCCGAGTTATGTATTATCTCCAGCGCCTCCTGATGCTCTCGCATGGCTTGCGTCAAATATTGCTTAATCTCTCTCTCGATCTTCCTCGCCATCTCCATCTCATGGTCTCCTACAAGAGGTCCTTGTACTCGCCCTCTGTGGTCCATGCGCTCGGCGACTACCGATTGTGATTCATGGTAGTCCGTTGCGGCGTCGTTGAGATCTGGACCGTCCCAAATGGATACCCGGCGGATGGTGGCAGTTTCCGGATCAGGGAGTACAGGTGGCCCTCTCTCCACGTCGTCATATGGGCCTACGTGAGCATGTCTCGGGGCACTGCGTTCTATGTCAAGCGCGTGAGGCGAGCAGCCTTTCACCGGCTCGCCAGCTCCACCACTGAACCGGTTGAGATGTGCGGCTCGCGTGGGTCGATTCTGGCGCAGCGACTGGGGCTGCTTGTTCTCTTCTCCGAGTCCAAACCACGAGACTTCAGTGGCCGAGAACTCAGGTGACTTAACCCAAACTCGAAAGCCTGGGAACGCTTCACTCCCGCCCACGGTCCTTTCAGCTGGGACCCCAGTTGGCAACGCATTGTATGCTCGGTTGAGGTGGGACACCTGATTACCATTTTCCCACAAGTCACTGATTGGGCTGTCCTGGGTATGGTGAGTTGGCCGCCGATCGCGTTTAGGAGTTTGAAATGGAGAACCTAACGATCGCTGCTCTCTTTCTCGATCGGGCCGGTTTTGATCGTAGATGCCGCTGGATGCGCCTACGGTGTCGGGGGATGGTGGGAACAAGCTGTACGGACTCCCCTTTCGGCCGGGGTTGCGGATTCTCCTTTCGTCCTTGGGTGACGGCGTCCGAGGGCTAGCGTATAGCGTGAATACTGGAGACGGCGTTCGAGGTGCCGGCGCACGAGGAGGTGTCTGTGGTGGAATTGGAAACGCAAGCTGAGAGTCTCGTAAGCGACGGTTGTTGTCCGCTCTCTCATCTTCCCCTTTGGCAACCTTGCTGCCGTTCCAGCTCGCGATGCTGGAAATCTCGGAGCGGAGTGTATCCGCTTCGCCACGTTCATCCGGGACTTCTAGGAGGCTGCTAGCACCGCCTCTCAAGTGGGCCTTCGACTGCTGTTTCCTCACCGCTCTTACAGTAACTCCTTTGTCCGCTCTCCGCCTGCTAGGTCTCTTCTCCTCCTCTTCAATCTCCATCTTCCCAGGGGAAATCTGATTCGCAGCAAAGAAGTCCGCCAGATCGTCGACCATAGGCGCCCAGGATTCCCTATTGCGTGCCTCCATACCTAGCTCCCCGGCTTGCTTGAGGTCATCATGCTTACTCTGCGGCATCCTGACCGCGTTCGGCATTGAACTAGTCGCCTTCTGTCTCTTCCAAGGACTCTGAACTTCTCCTCCATACCCCACCTCGGCGCTCGACGAGCCGTACACATTGTTATCAAGGTCCTCGTGCGTTCTCTTCAGCTCTGAACCGATGCAACGATGAACGGCACACGCGACAGGGCTAGCAGGCACGAACGAATACTTGACAAGTTCTTCCGAGAACGAGAGTCGCTTCGCATGGAGGAAATCAAGCTGCAACTGCGGCGGGGGACCCAAAGGCAGAATCTCCTCTTCCTCTTCCTCCTCGATAGGAGAAAGATTCGGGCACGGTGGAGGTGGTGGCGAGTACGGTGACCCTTGCTGCACGATCATGGCGATGAAGTGAGCTCGTGGCTGGAGGCCTTCATACAAGAGGCGGACTGCTGGGTGGAGGTGACGCTCGAGCGTTGAGTGTGCAGACATGGGGACTAGATTGAGGGATTTCTAGGAGATGGACGGGGGTCGTTTGTTTGCTGCTGTGGGCTAGATGTGAATGAACGGCCGAGGGGCATCAAGTGCAATTTGATATCTCCATGACGGGGTGCTGGGCAGCAAGGAGCGTTTGCACCTAGCCCTCGTGAATGCCGCGCTTTCGGCGAAGCGTTGAGGCCAGTGTCGGTCAGCGCGACGGTGGTGTATCCAGCAAACATCGTCAGTGGACCAATGTTCGCCGCCTTTTCTCCGCTCCCTTGCTCGTATGCACCAGTGTTTGTAGTGTCGCCGAATCATGTGCGTGTGGGTGGCCAGATATCGATAAGAAAGGGTGCTTTGGTGGCTGCGGCGTGGATGTGGGGAAGCTTGAGGGACGAACGTCAGCCGCTTCATCTTCAGAGAGGGATATTATTTGGCAAACGGCGTAGTTTTTCGGAAATTTCCTTGCTTTATTGGACGGTATGCTTTGCTGATTGGCCGATAGCCCTTTTGCATGTGGAAAATGGTTGCGTGGAGCGTGGGCCCTAGGGAGAGATCCCCGGGAACGCCATGCCGATCCATGCGGGTCTGAAGAGACGTTAAGTCTGAATGGCCTCCCAGGCGTGTCCTTTTGGACACGCGTTTGAGGCATCTCCCTTGGATGATGTGCGAAATGCAACGGCGTGCGTTGCAGTAATCCATCAACCTTTGCTTCCTGGGCTGCAACGGCGTCTTGAAAGGAAATGCATGTTCTACTACATGTATGAACGTCATGAGCAAATGTCTGTAATCAACGGACCGTGGATGATTGCCTCATCTTGATAGCTTCACATGTTTCTAAGTTTACGGACCCGGGGCTAGCTGTGCTGAGCGCCACGGTTCATCCGCGCACAACCCCCTTTCCCTTGAGTTTTGGACTCCCTTCCATCGCATCGCCGGGTCCATCTTGAAAGCTTAACGCCACACTCGCCGCGTGCTCGGAATCCGATCTCATCGCCTCTATGGTCTATGACCGAATGCAAGTAACACCGGCCAGCTCCCACAAGATTAAGTTCGAAGATCGCGCAATCGCTAGCGACATGCAGCGAGAATCTTCAGTGCCTTTGTAAGTGCCAGTATTCGTACTGGGAGAATGGCGTACTGAATGAAGTTTGGGAAGCTCCAACTTGAACGGGATGCAGCACATGGAAACGGAAGGCTTTGCGTACCCTCGACATTGCGCTACCCCCTCAATCCCCCACCACCGGGACTACGGTGCCCTTCGCATACGGCACCACTCCCGTCTTAGAGTCATCCTCCACAAAGTCATGGCCCTCAGAAACTATGTAGTGTACAGCGTCATCTTCCTCTCCACACTCCTTCGTCAGACCCAGGGTTCACCGTAAGTGCACACTGCAGGTCGAGGTAACCGTGGACGTTCTTTTCATCCAAGCACTAGCCAACCAGATATTGAGGAACCCGTCGACCTTCAAGCCGGAGAGGTGGGAAGTTCTGGACATGTTTTTGCTGTCTTGCTTATTGTCTCCGGCGGCGGATTGATGTGCTGGATCGAAGTTCGTGGCTAAGGAAGAAGGCGAGCAGACTCGATAGTTGGGATTCAAGCTTGACGATCGCTGGCGTGGTGAATAAGAACGTTAGAACTGACTTTTTGGGCAGTGTAGGGCTTACTTGGCAGTATGGATGGCCGAGAAAGGTTGGCAGACCCCCTTACGGCCCGCGCGACGGATATAGTATTTCTCGCAGCCCTGCTTGACCCATCTCTTTGCTCTTAGGGTGGCCGCATCAAGCTATTTCCGCTTGTTAAGAGATTGTACAAATCGGAGAAGTAGTACAGATAGAATAGGAGAGGGGAGAATCACAGGCCCTTGAGAGCATCTAAGTAAATCTCTATCTGCTTCTGTCAGCCGCCGGGGCATAGCCAGTTTATCATGAATGTTGAAGGAAAGCGTGAAGGTCATCACTGTTTATCATGGCTCGGCCTTGTCTTTCAGTATCGGAATGACAGCGATAGGGGGCCTCCATCGGCCCATGCCATGAACCACTCTGCCTCTTCACTCTCGACTCGGCCAAGGAACTCTCTATTCTCTGTTAGAGACCTATCCTTCGCTCATTTTGACAACGGGATTACACCACAACTGCCGCTCGTGCCAGTGCTGTACGTACAAAAGAGAGCTCTTCTTGTGGTGCATAGCGCTTGGTCTTCCTCTTAGCTGAAAGCAATTCTCCGTGGTGATGGCCCTTTATTTCGCGAATGAATTATTTGGATATTTTGTGCGCTTCTTCGATGGTCGAACGAGAGAGGCTTCAACACCTGTTCCTAGTGAGCCAGAATTATATGCTCGGCTGGGGAAGACACCTTCGGCGTGGGTTGCCAAAGAAGAAAAAATTGGAATGAGGGGCAGTCTAGTGTGAACGATTTCAAGTATATATTGTCAAAGTCCCGCGGATATGCGTACCATCCACAAGTATGCTCTCAAAAGTACTGATAGCTCCAAACGCCTGTAGCTCCGATGCCTGCTAACAATGGCTTACCATACCACCCGAGATGCTGTTCAGGATATGTACAGAAAGGGGAAAAGCGAAAGCGGGAATGCTCACAGGGGGAATATCGCGCTCCCGAAAACACAACGCCCAAGGAACTCTATGCGTACGAGCAGGAATTCGACTAGCGAGACTGCCGCTCGATCTCTTCTCCTTCGTTCTTTAGCTTCTGGTGCATTGACCTTAGCGTTTCGTACGTCATCATGGTGGTTACTGCGGCTGGTACTGCTCGGATCATGTTGGTGCCCATGCCATTGTAGAAGGCTCTCCATCCTTCCTCTTTGAGAATGATGGCGCAAGTCCTCAATACCCCGCGATATCTCGGGATGTTGATCATACCGTCTGATGATGCAGTGCCTGGAGGACGTGTATGGTGACCAAGGCCTTGATGTCCGCCTCGAAACGCTATCTCCTCATGTGAAGGCGAAGGAAGGGTTCGCTGCTGAGTCTGCAGTCGGGTGCGAAGGACTTCATGCGGGTAGGTAGCAGATGTTGCGCAGATCTTGCTTAGTATGGTCGCTCCTAGGATGCCGACCCAATGCACATCGCTGTCTGCTGATGTGGTCTGTCCCATCTCAAGACCGGTGAACCTCATCTTGAAGTACTCGTATAAGGGGAATTGAATCGCGACGTGGCTGAGTCCCAATAGTGCCGGTGTGAGACCAGAGTAGAATGCTGACAGGCCTTCGCTCGCGTACATTTTCCGAAAAGCATCGAAAGTACTTTTGTAATGCCATGGCGGACGGTGTTCTTCTTGAGCTCGGGAGCTTACTTGGGACATGAGTCTTGTCTTGATGACCCATATCGGGTTTGTCGCTAGCGTCGAGCAAGCGCCGGCCGTAATCGAGGCAGATATCCGCGAGAGCCATTTATTTTCTGAGAAGCCTTGTCAGCCCCACCATGCAGTTCCGGGCTACTTGGACATACCCATTCGCGTATAATAGAAATCTTTGGAGAGATCGTATACGCTCATGTAGACGGCCCACGTGGGAATATATCCAAGCAGCATCGGGCCGAGCCCTCTGTACATGCCTCGAACCCCATCTTGGGTCCATATCACCCGCGCGGTGCCTATCAAGCCGTTGTATACTGCGCGCGTCGGCCGGGTGAAGCTGCGAGGGCGAAAGGAGCCCTGCGCTTGGAGGCGGGTCTTGATGACGTCGAGCGGGCATGTCACGATTCCCGAGGCGATGCCTGCTAGGGCCCCGCAGGCGGCATTGACGCTTGAATTTGGCAGGGAGGCACACTTAACGGCGAGGCTAGAGTGGAGTGAGCTCCAGCTTGAGTCTTGCATCGGTGGATCGCGGGAGGAGAGTCTCGCAGGTGTCGGCGCATACCGTTCTGTGGCAGTAGTCGGGGACGGCGGCGGCGGCTCGGCTTCGTCTGTGGACATTGTAGAGGCTGGCCATAGTATCGCAATTAGAGCAGAGCTTCTCGGTCTTCAGAGGGAGTGTTTTCGTACAGGCCGTCGTCCCCTTGGTGGTGCCTCAGTGTGCGGAAGCCCCGCAGCACTTGAGTGACACAATATCTAGCGATTGACCAGCTCCATTGACGTTCCGAGGCAGAGGAAAAGCCGTCTTTGGGAGCGAAGCGTGATTGCCTACGTAAAAAGTGGACGAGATGCGGCGCAGCGAAAGGTACTTCTGGCGCGGTTGTGCAGCGTTGCTGGGGGCGTCACAAGGGCACGGGGAAGCGTGAGGGGAAAGTCGGAGCTGCTTTGACGAGTAGCTCGGTGGCTTGGCGCGCTACTCCGGCCAATTCCTTTGCAGAACCTCGTCACCTCGACCTCCATCCTCCAGTCCCCAATTGACCGGCCGTCTCTACCCTCACTCCTCGCAACACGGTCCTCGAAGTCCCCCGACACCATGTCCGCACCGTCGCTCGCCCCGTACATCCTCAAGCGGCCGTGGCTGGCTAAATGGTTCCAGCCGCTCGCCAACTGGTACTGCAACGCCGCGGGCTACAGGCAGCTCGGATTGAAGTACGGAACCCCCTGTATTTGGGTCAATTGCATGCGACATTGGCGGGAAAAGCTGAGCGCGATGTTTGCTGGTGTCGGCTGGATGAGCTAACTGTGATTCCTCCGTAGGGCCGATGACCTGATTCCCGAAGAGAACGACACCGTCCAGCTCGCCCTCAAGCGCCTGCCGCCGAAGGAGGCCTACGACCGTGTGTTCCGTCTGCGTCGCGCTTTCCAGGTACTCATAATAGCATGAAGGACGCCTTGGAGGATTTGGCTAAGACGCACGCAGTGCTCTGTATCCCACCAGCTTCTGCCCAAGGCCGAGTGGATCAAGCCAGAAGAGGTGAGCGCATCGCAGAGAGTAGGATGCTTATTACTGATGTTCTGCAGGATACTCCCTACCTTTCCGTTGTCATCAAGGAGATTGAGGCTGAGATGAAGGAGCGGGAGGACCTCGAGTCCATGATTGTCCAGAAGAGGAATCAGAACGCCAAGGGCCATTAAAAGACATGTATATAAAGAGGCGGGCGTTGAGAGCATTGGATTAGGCCGAATCAGCTGTGCATTAGAGTGTATAGTAGCAAGAATCTCAGTCGCGGTACGATTCCACGTTCCACTGATACTTCCGACGTTTTTGCGCATTCCCAACTACCCAGAGTATTCCCGCCTTCGCCGGAGAAATACCGCAGGCTATCCAGTTGATCCGATCCAATGCGCTCATAATGTCGGGTGCCTCCGTCCGGATTAAACTTGCCTTGCAGCCGAGACACAAGCGGTAAACCGCACCCCCAATATTTAGCAACAACTCCTTTCTTGCTTACATTTCTTGAAAGTACTTTGGGCCTTTCCCGGCATACCCCAAGGTCTCATAGTCAGAATGCATACGGCTAGCTGAAGAGGGCTGCGGCACTTGGCACGGAACGGCGGTTCCTGTGATTCTCACGTCTCTCCTTGGAACAATGGAACCCAGTCGAACAGACAGATTGTAGGAATTACATCATCTGTAGTAAAGGTCCGCTGCCTGAGGTTGAATGGATGGTATAACGAATATTCGCTTAGAGCTCTTTCAGTATTTGGACACAATGTGAATGTCATAGCTAAACCGTTGCAATAGACTCAAGCACCTAGCACTGCATGAGATCTGTGAACAGAGACCGAATAATGCCTTGCAGCGAATAGTTTCCGCAGCCCTAGCAGCGGAAATACGAGGAATCCGAAACAGGGTGTGGATTAATAATGCGTCAGCGCGGTGTCATGTGCCATCGCGATCTGCAACCCCAAGATTCCCCCGCGTCCCGCGTCAGACGTCGCAACCTTTCGCACACCTCCATGCTCTTTCGCACCATCGCCGAATCCTCATACACAACCCGGAAAGTAAGCAACGCCCATAGCTAGAGAGCACAACGGCCTAATCGACTCCAGATATCCTCTTCCTCCCTTAGACGCCTCAGCATGTCTCTCAGGCGCTCAGCTCGCATCTCCACTAACAGCATTCCTGCAACCCCTGGAACGGCAACGCCGAACGGGACCACGAACAAGAATTCGAAGAAGAATCCTTCGCTGAACAACAAGCGCAAGAGCAGAGCTTCAACTTCCGCTACGTCACTACCCAATGGTACAAGCAGCACCACTAAGGCTGTAGAACCAACGTTCGCCGTCCCCGAGCCACCCAAAACCCCTCAATCCAAGCGCCGCAAAGCCGCGCAAGAGTCTCCGCTCAAGCCTCCACCGTTCACGCCAACGCCATCTGGCGTCGGTTTGATTGCGAATGCCTCCTCATCCGAAGAAGCCGGCCACCCCCTCGAGGACCTGCCGGGCTTCAAACCCCGCCCCGCGGAACCCCATGCCACCAACGCGCCGCTCTCCACCCCAGGAGGCTCGCGCGTGGTAGCCTACTCCTCGTCTCCGATCAAGGACCCCAGCGCATCGCAGCAGGAAGACGACGACGCTTCGCCAGCGAAGAAGCGCAAAGCAAAGGAAGTCGTTCCGCCCGACGTTGGCGCGAAATTACATCCCCCGACGTCGACTATTGAGACGCTGTTGCAGGATGCGTGTGAGCACCTGTGTGCGGTGGATCCGAAGCTAAAGGCGCTGGTGGAGAAGCATCATTGTAAGATGTTTAGTCCCGAAGGGCTGAGGGAGGTGGTGGATCCGTTTACGGCGTTGGCGAGTGGGATTATTGGACAGCAGGTACGTGGGATGCTTTCTTGTCGTTCGTGCTGTTAGCATTTGTCTGTTTTCTATTGGGATGTGGACGTACTTGGTCTTGCATTGTAAGAGAGAAGTGCTGGGCTTTCGAACTGCGTTTCAACCCACACCTAAGAAATGCGCTCGAAAGTGTGCCTTGAAGAGCATCATATGTGGACAGAAGGATTTCGGAAGCATCATCGGATGAGGAGAATAGCAAACTGACAGTGTATACAGGTATCAGGTCAAGCCGCAGCTTCAATTCGCAAAAAGTTCACTGCCCGTATGTAAGCTAGAGGGAGCACACATCCACCTCTCCCATCCAATGCCATCAAGACGGAGGAGCATCAAGCCTATCTACCGAACCCTCTTACTGACGCCCCACAACCAGTCTTCCCCACCACACACCCTTCCTTCCCCTCGCCCAGCCAGATCCTCGAACTCGACCTCCCTACGCTCCGCACCGCGGGCCTCTCCCAGCGCAAAGCCGAGTACATCACCGGCCTAGCTGAAAAATTCTCATCAGGCGAGCTAAGCGCGCAAATGCTGATCGCCGCCTCCGACGACGAGCTCATCGAGAAGCTAGTAGCCGTGCGCGGGCTGGGGCGCTGGAGTGTCGAGATGTTTGCCTGTTTTGGGCTGAAGAGGATGGATGTGTTTAGTACGGGCGATCTGGGCGTGCAGTAAGTCGGTTTCGTTCGCCTTGCTGCGTTTGAGCTGGTTGATTTGGTTGGGTCAGGGAGGTGGGTTTGGGTAACGCAACGAGGTCTGCAGAAATGAGTGTGATGAGGGTGATTGGGGGTTGGAATGAAGGTGGATCAGGTTGGCTAAACATGACGTGCTAACGTGCTGCTGTGAACAGGCGAGGCATGGCCACGTACATGGGCCGTGACACGAGCAAGCTCAAAGCGAAAGGCGGCAAGTGGAAGTACATGACCGAGCAGGAGATGCTGTCAATAGCGTCGAGGTTCTCGCCTTACCGGTGCGTCTATCTGCGTCCCCTTCTATTGCGCTTTCGGTCTTGCTGTGGACTCTTCCCCCTTTTGCATCGCGCTGTGCTAGGTCGCTTACTACAACACAGGTCTTTGTTCATGTGGTATATGTGGAGAATTGAAGACGTTGATATTAGTGTTATGCAGAGTGGGTGAGTGGGCATGGCGTCGGGGAAGCAGGATGAGAAGCAAGAGGGTTGTAGTGCATGGCTAGTATGCATGAGCGTACTCGTTTTTGCTCACCGTTTGAGGGTGGCGGATGTGAACCAGACGCTGCTACTCCCGCTATTACGATGTGCCTTTGCATATCTCGCTTCGATCTTCCTGTTTAGAGTCTGATGCTAGAAAGCCGGAAGGTAATAGGTAGATAGCTGCGGGAATCTGTCCGGTGTTTTGTGTGACTTTGACTTTGGTTTTTGACAGTGATATGTAGCTTCTCTCGTCTGCAGCTAAGGGTGCGTTTCTGCTAGGGTAGTCGACGTCATGTCAGGCCACGAGCAAGGTCTCCAAATTCTTCATGCATGCTCGGGCTTGAGAATAATGCGTGCTGCTTCTGTCACAGGCTCGGAGCATTCCTCGCTTCTTGAGGTCGGACTTGGAATGCTGGGTCCGGTCCACGCGGAAGGAATCTCGGAAAAGCTGGAAGTCAGAGGTTTCAGTGCCTTTCTCTGCACTAAGCCTTGTGGGCCTGTTCCTATTGTTCAACCAGTGGGAGCAACTGACCAGAAGAGAGGTCAATACGCGTCAGTCAAGTCCTCGCCTCGCGCCCACGCGCCAGCGACTTCGCACTTGGCCAAGCCCATTGCTTCTGCTGTTAGTCCGCTTTGTACGACCGTCTCCTCTCGGCCGAGAGCATAGTTTAGCCTTCCCGTGGGACAACGCAATGCCTTGCTGAGCTGCTCGTATTCGAGCAACTTGCTCCCTCTCGAGCATCTCAATTCGGTCAACGATCACAACTCGCAACGTCCGGGCGATCCCGATCGCAAGGCCGCCGTGATCGGATGCTCGCATGCGTCATCTTCGCCAAGCGATGCCGCGGGCATCCGTTGCAGCTGGCGGTGAGACGGAACCCGGGACTCGAGGCGCGGAAGTGGTATCCAGGCGCAAGGGCCCCAAACGATTGGAGAGGAGAATTTGGATCGAGGCGATTTGTCCAGGGACTCGCGGGCGGAACCATGGATCGAGCAACGTAGGGAGCGGAAGGAGATGCGGTTCTGTGTAATTGTGGCTGTGAAAAGTTTTGCTGGAGACTCCGGAGAGCGGAGCGGTCAGATGAACCGAGGCTGGCTTGCAGGACGGGCCTGGGCGGCAGTGGAGAAGTGTGGATAGAGCGAGTCGAGGTCGGATGGAGAATAGAGTTACATTCGCGGGGGACAGATGTGGAGTGAAACTGCTGTCAGGTGCGTAGCGCCGTGATACAGCACACTGGCACCCCACACTCATCTCCCATTATGTATTGGGAGCAAGACAATTTTTCTAGATCTGGCGGCTAGAGCGAAAAGCGCAGGAGCTCGAGGGCCGAACTTCGGTCGCCAGGTGTCGTACACACATCTGCATGTGGTTGCTAGATGTGCGTTAGCGCACTGTTGTTGTGAGCTACCCCGATGTACCCCAGCAACGGTTGTCAAACAGCTCACTAATAGTAGAGTCACGGTAACATAGATGTTTATTGGATGCTGCCGTGAGATCAAAGAGTCTCTCCAAGGGAAAAAGGCTTCCTGGGTTCGTCGGGCATGGCGCAACGGCCTGGACAATCCCGCTATATCTGTCATGATATCCCATTAGTGAAGCATACGTCGGCCTCTTCTGACCAGAGTAACGTGGTTGGAAAGACTGGAGGGCTGCTGAGGCTCGCCTTGTCTTGTCGTATCCGCTACACCTGCTATCGGGTGATGACACACGGCATAGTAAGGCAGTAGCAGGCAAATCTGGACTTTCCCGTACGTGACGCATCATGCCAAAGCGAAAGCCCATGAGCAGCACCATTTTGCCAGGCAATGGAATTATATTTGGCCTTATATGCCGTCGCGTGTCGGGATACGCCTGTCGCGTGTGAGGCGAACCGTGGATTGTGCCTGGTTGACAGCTGCCGTCCAAGAGTTGTGAAGTTGGCAGTGTAAGTGGCATCTTGATTATCCGTTTCAGAGAGATCTCTGGGCAACCGGGAGCGGAGATTTTCTACATGGTGTTGCTGATCCGGATTGGAAGGAGGATGGGCTTCTGGACACTTGGCGAGGGATCGCTGAGATGAGGTGTTCGCTCACGGGCGTCTGCAGCCGTGATGGGACGACCTCCTGCTCCTATCATGTGCAGAAGACGTTGGGATAGGGGTGCAACCTGCTCAAAGAGCGATATGGCATTAGATGCAGCGAGCTGCTGAAATAATGCAATCTGAGCAGGGCGGGCTCCTTTCGAGGTCGCTTGGTATGACGCGGACGTAGGTGTTCCAGAAAGGTGGCGCCAATAATGCTCCTTTCCGCGCCCTGGCCCGGCTGCCGAAAGAAGGCGATCTCCAAGCACGTCGTGATATTCTTAGGCCGGCGCGGCGCTTGATAGGCGGGCCAGGCGAGTCAAGTCGATATCAAGCGCGCATACCGGTAATGCACTCTTCAACAAGTCGTCGACGGGAATACGCAGCGTTTGGAGGCTTGCGCGTCGGTGATCTGGCTGAAACTCGCGGAGTCGGCGCTGGCGGCGTCAAACATGCTGATGTCCGGCACAGCGCAGTGCAGGGCATCCGCCGGCCTTTTTCGCGTCTCAAACAGAACCAAACGCCATGGAAAATCAAGCCTCGCAGTGCGCTTATTGCGCGACAAGGCTGTCCAGCGCGGCGATAAGGAGAGGGCGACGGGAGATGAGGCCGCAGCGCGCACAGAACAGACGTTGGCGGCGGCGAGTGTGGCGTGGCCGCGACGCCGAATCGAGCGCCAGCCGAAGCGCGACCAGGCCCGGAAGCGTTGGGGATTTCAGCCGAGACCGTGCATCCGTTCGACATCTGGTGAGGGCTTCCATGCAGCTCCAGCAGTGCAGGTGGTGTCATGGCGGTGATTCGGCCGGCTCATTGGGAGGCAGACCACTGGGCGGGCCTCTGCTTGGACGGAAATCAGGATTTGCAGCGCCGCGGGTGCGATGTGGAGAGCAGTGACAGCGACAGCGACAGCGACAGCTTGCCATTCCCGGGGCCGGACTCGAGCAAACACCGGTAGCACGTGCGGGCACCCGTCGACCGCTCTCCACGCCATCCAGCAGACTGCGCGCTGGACGGGCAAGCAGAGGTGAGCAGCTGTGTGTCGCTTGCAGCAGAGTCGTCGCCGCGGCAGTCAGCAGCGACGGCGTGGCCAGAGCGCGCAAAGACGCCCTCCCTCTGCCTCTGCGGGTCGGCGCACTGGCCAGTGTGTTGATATCGATGCGCCCGATGCGGCCTAGCGCATCCTGGTCCGCGCCTGCTCCTTTTTCTCACGCCCGCCTCTCCTGCGCTCCCTTCCCGCTCTCCTCACAATCACTTTCGCTTTTTTTGCGAACTCACCTTCCTCGCCGTGAGCCTCCGGGGGTTCCTTTTTAATTCTTCCTGCCGCTTTGTTTTCGTCGTCAATCGCTCAACATCTTTGCAAAGACAACTACTTATTCCGCCCGGGCCGTGAGCAGTCTTAATCGATCCAGGTCCGTCTCAAGCACGAGCTGCCGTCCACAGGCACCCAATTCCATCCCCAACGCGTCGCTGACCACCCTGCAGTTACCGACTTGCTTTCGCGCCGTCAAGAATGTCTCCCCTGCTGAGACTCGCCCTGCCCGCGCTGGCAGCTGCCGGCACCGCATATGGTACGTCCCTTCCACGCAATGCACCGGCTCTGGCCCTCTCCACTGCTGTGCTTCGTGCTAATCCGTCTCCCACAGCTGCCTGTAGCAACTCCGCCACCGCGACCGTCCAGAATAGCGGCGACGCGTCCGCGCTGGCCTCCTGCACCACCTTTTCTGGCAGCATCGCCATTGCCACCGGAACCACAGACGATATCGCCCTCGATGGCATCCAACAGATCAAGGGCAACTTGGTTGCCGACAGCAACAGCGGCATCCAGCGAATCAGTGGCGCTGACCTGGAGACCATCACGGGCACCTTGGAGATCAATGACGTGCCTCAGCTCGCCAGCCTGAACTTCCCCAAGCTAAGCGAAGTGAACATTGTCAAGATGCAAGGCCTGCCCAACCTCCAGACGCTAGGTTTCGATGCAGAGGTCACTAAGGCCTCGCAAATCGACATCCAGAACACGTTCCTCGAGAACCTGCAGGGCCTCAATATCGAGGAAGCCGATGTCATCAACATCGCCAACAACCCTCAAATCGCCGAGATCGATATGCAGGTTGGCAACGTTACCCAGCAGTTGACTCTGTCGTACAACAACGCAGACGTCAACGTGTCCTTCCCCAACCTAATCTGGGCGAACAACGCCACTTTCCGAGCTTGCGGCTCCATTCAAATGCAGTCGCTTGAGGCCCTCAATGACTCGCTGGGCATATTCGAGAGCAACCTGGAGACTTTTGCTGCTCCCAATCTGACCAAGGTCGAGAAATTCCTCGCCATTGTCGGGAACAAGAACCTGAACAATATCTCTTTTCCCCAGCTGGCCAACCTGGGTGGAAACCTCCAGATCGCCAACAACTCCAACTTGCACGAGATCGACGGCTTTCCTTCGCTAGAGCAGGTTATGGGTGCCTTTGACATTAGTGGCAACATCACCAAGTACGTGCAACCGGCCCACCTGATGATGTCCTTGCGTTTGCTAACCGAACCAGGATCGAAACTCCGAAGCTCAACCTTGTGAAGGGTGTGTTCAACCTGCAGTCTACCGGCGACATTGGGTCCGTTTGCGACAGCTTCTACGACCCTCTCCGTGACAAGGGCAGACTCCCCAAGACCAAGTACGAGTGCGAGGGTAGCCTGACGGATCCTGGTACTGCGGGCACCACCCCTACCGGCAGTTCCAAGCCAACCGGTGCCGCCTCTCCTCTCAATGTGCCCCAGAGCTACATGGGTCTTGCTGGTCTGGCCGCCGTCTTCCTACTCTAAAAGCTCCAAGACGCTGGCGTTTCTACGATCATTGCATAGACTAATAATCCGACCATCTGATTTCCTTTGGCAGCATACCAGCATCTAGCGTGCAAGCACCCCAGACGCTCGGCTTGAGCTTTCGGCGGAAGGGGGGTTTTGGCGAGGGAGTAATGGACCAGCATGCATCACTTGTATGTATCGATTGGCTACGACGGTCGGGGCTTAGAAGAATTTTAATATTTGGCACCCCATGGCAGGTCTTCCCCGAGGCTAATGTGCGGAACGACAGCGGCGCGTGGGCTGGGTTGGACGGAACCCATGGGACGCGCTCTCACTCTCTCTTTCTCGCTTTCGTGTCCATAGGTACGCTCTCTTCATTATCATGTATGCTACAACGGAATGCATTTCTTGGTCACTGATTATTGTCTGCACATGATGGTCGTTTCTCACCGATGTCTGCACCGTCCGTTTCTGGTCGTCCCGTGTCACGTCAGTCTTGGCGACCCATGGTTGTCTTGTAACTCTCCCGTCTGCCCTTCATCGCCTCGTCATTTGCTCGAGCCGTCGGGGAATACGGGCCTCTCTTAGCGTCGGCTTCTTGTGCACTTTTTCTGTCGTCTTCGGCGTGCCGTGTAACGGCGAATATGCTGGAGCTATTCCGGACTAGCGCCTCAACCCCGGGCCTGCATGCAGTCTGGATCCGCAACTCCACGGTTCCAAACGGGACGGGTGCAGACGGTCGTCGCCGCGAGCCAGGTTCAGAAGTGACTGTCCGGGTTTCCTCTGCTGGATCGAGCGCCACATACGATCATACGTTGGCATCGAATCGAGATTAGACGACAGCGCCAGATTCAGATTCAGATGCTGGTCCCTCCGAGTACGACAGCATTGTTCAAGAGGATCTGGGGTGCACGTTCTGGGTCTGACAGCGCTTCGACATCCACTAGGCGGCCGTTATCTCTCCAACGTCTTGTCTAGCGCCATTCGGAACCTGATTGGTACTGGCGGTGAACACGGGCACTCGCCTCTTTGGCTCTATTCAGCGCGCACTCCCAAGGGAGACCCAGCAGGGTGGGCGGCTCTCCACCAAAGCCTATTGTTTCAGAGACGCGCGCAAGGGGGTTTTGTGCAGAAGCGCTTCCCGATCCCTCCCCGCATCGCATATGTCTTGTCCAGCCATACCTATCCGTGCTTAGTGGACCTCTGCGCACTGTCCATGGCTTCAATGCATACTGCGTGGGGAAGCTTCTCGTACCGCACAAGTGCCTCATTTGCATCGAGGGTTGCAATGGCCCGCTCGTCTTCCGCCTTCCGCGGCAGCCATCTTCCTGCAGCCAATATACTCTCTCCGTGGAGCAGAAGCAACGACCTTTCCTGAGGAACATAAAAGGCTGACTCGAGCTTCTAACGTCTTTCACCCGTCCTTCACTCCCCATTCTCCATTTCGTCGGCTAGAGTCCGTCGCCTACTCTGATCTGTATTACTCTACCACTTGGATTCCCTCACTATGAATCCACCCATCCACTCTGCGGGCCTTCCGTTCTACATCAAGCCAGAGCATCCCGAGAGGGTGCTCCCACTCCCGAACCGCAGCAGATTGGAAAGTAATGATCACGACATGTTGAGTGACTTGGACGATCTGAATCTCGAACCGCAAGTCTGCCGCCTTGGTCATTATGAGCCAGTCTGACTATGGGCAGAACCGAGGGTGTTACGCTCCCGCCCCTCCGCGACCGTCAGCATCTTACTGCCTTCCCGCTGGGTGACCAGCCGCTCCACGAACTTGAGGAGCACAACCGTGAACGGCTTCGGTCGCCACAGCTTAGCGACCTCGTGGAGCTATCCTTTGACGGCGGAGACATCTCTAGACGATCTTCCTCGACATCGCTATCGCCAACGGTGCCTTCGCCGGTTCTCGACTCGCTCGGCCATATAACGCACCACCAGACTGCCCAGCGGAGACTGTACATGGTTACCGACCACCTCTATTCACCATACCCATCCCCCGCCTCCAGCCCCACCTATTCTCCCGAACCCAGCCCTGGAAGAACGGGGACTAAGCGACTACGGGCTGCCAGGGGCGTGAGCTCCACTCAACGCAACGGACAAGGGGAAGAAAATAGGGAACCAAACCCGAAAGCTGATCGGGAAGCCAACAGCCGTTACCATCAAGCGGTCATCATCGCCGAGATACAGAACGGGCTCCTGGCTCACAATCCGAACCTGCCGCAGCAAGCATCCTCAAAGCATGAAGGACGCAAACCAGGTTGGCGCCTCCTCACCCGCCACAATATCAGTAAAAGCGTAGAGAACCCTCTTACCTGGAACAAGAGCCAAGTTCTCCATTCGGGATCTGTTGCGATTAGTCAATTTCTTCAAACCGCGCAAGCCGCCATCGAGAGGCTCAAGCATCATGACGACGAGTACGCCGCGATGCTTGAAGAGTCTCTAGCACTCGTGGCTTGTGACGGCTGGTCTCTGCCTCCACTTCCACTTCTACCTCCACCGCCAACTGGACGACCACGTTCCTCGCTTTGAGGCATGGCGAAGGCCTCCATCTCAAGCGGCGATTTCCTACTCAGTGGAACTGGTGGTATGGTATCCTTGTTGGGCAGTGTGCATCTGTAGCGATTTCGACATGTGGCGGTACACTCTTTCAAAAATTTCGGTTTCATTTTCTGGCGTTGGGGCTGCTCGTCTGTATACTTTCATCTACTTGTTTCTGGGCAGACCAAATCCTTCCCAAGCTGTTGTGTGCATGGGGGTTCCTGTCTTTCCCGGTTGTCCCTTTTTCCTTTGCGCAGATTGTCTGATATTAGGTACCATATCTGTTAGGTGCGTCACGGCAGACCCTCTGACGGCCTCACTATTTCGGTTTGTCATACTACGTATACTACGTAGCTTAATATAGCATCTAATGGTACGCTCGCGGACGGAACATTGGTGATGAGCATTATTGCACTCGTCTTGTGGGCGGAGGTATCTAAACGAGCATGAACATAACTTAGCTTCCGCGGGGCGTTGGCTTCGGCGTATAATGCGAAAGCGAACCCTTTCTCCCCTCCCATCTGACCATTTGCCCATGAACTTTCTTTTGTCGGCTCCAGACTTCCGCCTGCGCGCGCTTTACGCGTGTCTCACCGATCATATTGGCGGGACTGGAACCAGACTTTGGGATTACTTTCACGATATTTCTCACAGTTTCGTCTGACTCGGCGGAGGAAGGGGGCGTGACTATGCAACTCATGCGTGTCATCTATGGAAGGCATGGGAGGGGGGATGCGGGCTGAGGTTGGGAAACGGGGATATGCTTGCCGGGGAAGGAGCGCTAGCGCCTGCTGGGCCAATCGCGACCCCTGTCAAGTAAACCCGACTATTACCACACCTTTCGCTCCAACTCTCTTCAATCACCATTTTCTTCCCCATTCTGCTTCCACGGTCAAGATTCTGCCAGTTCTTGCACTCCAGTCGACGCCAGTTGCGCTTTGCAGGCTGCTGTGTTTTTTTAGGACTTTACGGCTCCTCGATCACGTATTTGATCACCCGCCTGGAGAGCGTCCCGACGTGCTGGATACCGTCGCTAAAGAAATGGGATGAACGGCGACGTGAGGAGCGTCACAATCCGCTCTTGTGTCGCCAATCCCCCCGCCGCATCTCAATGTCTCTGGTGAAAGTGGCTGCAGACGGGAATTTTACGAGCCATGGGCCCAGTCCTGCCTCATTCGAAGGCTCGTGGCAAGCCTGCATTCCCAAATCTGGCCGTTGGCCAGCTCGGCGAGCGGCTACACACGCCTTCAGACTCGTCCAAGTCGCCACCTGTTGTTGTTGGGATGAGGCGCCGTCTTCCGCAGTCGACGAACACAGACAGCTGGATGATGCAATGCACAATAAGACAGGTGGAAGTGAGGTGAGGTGGATGCACTGCTGATTGTGCCCAGAGATTTCAGGTTGGACGATCTTCCTTTGCGGTGGTACAACGTTGGTGTGCACAGGCGGACAATATGCGCCAGCCAATTAGACGGGAACGGAGAGATATGTGAGCACGCACCAGGCTCTCTCATTGCGGAGTGGAATGCAAGACGCATATGGACAAAGTTCTAGCCCATGGCCTGCCTCCATGACGCGGAGAGCAGAAGGCTCGGCAGGCGCTCGGAGCAATATGCGAAAACCGCTCCATTCGATGTGGAGGGGAAGTTCCCGCCAGTATTGGAGGAAGAGGTTAGCCGTCCCGTGTCACCACCAGACCAGGGAGCATCTGACGATTGGATCTGGCTGAGAAAGTGGTAGAGATTGCCGATCGAGGGAGGAGTGGCAAGGGTGTCCAAAGGAGGAGGAATCGCGACCAAGAGTGAGGAGACGGCACACAAGGTTGAAGCAAGTGGAGTTGCGGCTGCGGCGAGGCTCTTGACCTCGTGTCAGAGTCCTCGTGCAGAAGAGGGGGTCCGGGGACGCTGGTCCAGTACACGTGTTGGCTTCGAGGGCTGCTCAGCTGTGCTGTGCCGCTTTTCATCCAGTTCCTCTCTAGAGCCCGTCATTTTCCTCCAGCGAATCGCCCTCAGGTTGGCTAGGTGGCGGACATATTGTGGTTTTCATGAGCAATAGTGACACGAACTGTGAAGTCCTTAGAAAGACAGTCCACGACCGCTCACTGCTTCTCCTGATGGACCTCAATCAGCGAATACTACAACCACAAGGCTGACGAAGGGCCTAGCGAAGCCACGGCAACACCCTCAGCCGCCGTGGCGCGAGCCCAACCTTGCCAATTCAAGCAGAAATGTCAAGACTCGAGGCGCCCGGGCGTTATCCGGCCAGAGGCTAATGTGACGACGCATCTGATGGACGGCCACCGTCGGCGGTGCGGATTGCGCAGGGATTTGTAAGGCATCCCCGTCCTTCGCCAAAGCTTGAGCTCGAGCTGCGAGTGATCGTCGACGACGGGTGTGGCGTCGCGCGAGCTTGGCTGATTCGTCCAGTCAGCAAGTACGAGTGAGCTTCACGTGCCGTTACAGGGGCTATCGAGGTCGCCCTCAGGCGGTGACGTTTGCCTTACGCGGGTGAGCTTACGACGAGAGTACGGCACGATGAACTGCAATTGCCAGCTGTGAATGTCGAAAAAGTCCGAAGTCACCAGAGGGCGCTCTAAACCAACTTTGCCGGAGCGTCGTCATCGCTGTGGGCCAATCGCGCCCGGCTATCTCAGCGGGACAAGCACCCAACAACACCCTGCGACTGCAGCAATTCACTGGACTCTGCTGCCCATTCCGCTCGTTACTGCCCGCGCCGCTGCCCTACCTAGTAATCCATAGTGAATCGCATCCGGATAGCCGTTTCCCATGCGGCGCGTCTGACCCTTCCCCGCGCTATCGGTACGTGCTTGTCCGTCGCAGCCTCTAGCTCCATCGCCGATAGCTCGACCTAGCTCCTCCCGCGACATCGTTCACGCTGGCCTCCCCACAGTCGCCGCGCCTCCACACGCAGCGCGAGAGGAGCAACACAACCGGTATCCGCGCACGGAGCTCGAGCGTCCGCATATCGCAGAGCAGAGGGGACGAGGAAAAGCGCGCTGCGGGCGTCTCGCCGTTCAAAATGCTCGCCGGCAAGGGCTATTCGTGGAAGGCCGCCCGGGCGAGACTGCCACCGAGCAGGCAGATATGGCACATACTGAGGAATACACGGACGCTGTTGGCAGTTGGCCTGCTCACCATCATTATCCTGCTGTGGCGCTCAATGGGGTCCGCTGCGGGAGAGATGCAGAGGTACGCATTGCTATCTTTCGTGCAATTGATAAGGAGATGGAAGATACTGCCAGCGCATTGCGGGTACTCGTAGCGGCGGCATCATGGCTAACAAGCTTCTAGGTTCTACTGCTGGGGTCCCTCAAAGCCGCCGATGCGCATGACGCCGAACGAGTATGAAGACTGGCATGCACATCTCCAGACGCCCGTGCTCTTCAACCATCACAAACCGGTCGAGGTCAACAATACGACGATAGAACACGTCGACCTCAACGTAATCAAATCAACAACAGAAGCCCTCAGGAACAAGGAGCGCGTGCTCATCCTCACGCCGCTGCGTGATGCCGCTTGGTACCTGGCGCAGCACTTCGACCTCCTCACCCAGCTCACGTACCCTCACGATCTTATCGATCTCGCTTTCCTTGTCGGCGACACAAAGGACGACACCATGGCAGCGTTGGCAAAGGAGCTGGAGCGAGTACAAGGGAACCCCGAGGCTGCATTCCGATCCGCAATGATTGTCGAGAAAGACTTTGGCGTCACCTTGTCCCAGGACGTTGAATACAGACATAGCTTCGAAGCTCAGGGCCCGCGGAGGAAGGCGATGGGCAAGGCGAGGAACTACTTGCTCGCTACCGCGCTGAAGCCGGAGCATAGCTGGGTGTACTGGAGGGATGTGGACATCAAGGATAGCCCGGCGAAGATTATTGAGGACTTCATCGCGCACGATAGGGATGTCCTAGTTCCCAGTAGGTGTTCCAACTGATGGCTTGTGGATGCAATCGCTCACAGAAGACAGATATCTGGTTCCACAGGTACAAGGAAAAGGATGGCAAGATGGTCGATATAGAAGGAAGATGTACGTCCTTCTCCCTTCTGCGCTCCCTTTCGCCTGTGTCGTGCTAACCATCACCAGTCGACTACAACTCGTGGCAAGAATCGCCCGAAGGGCTCAAACTCGGCGCCACGCTCGATAAAGACGTCGTACTCGCGGAAGGTAGCTCCCCTCCTCCCTCTTAGTCCAACACCACCTATACTAATATATACCTAGGGTACAAGGAATACAAGACCAACCGTAAATACATGGCCAAAATGGGCGACTGGCGCGACGACAAGGACTTCGAAATCCCCCTCGACGGCATCGGCGGTGTCAACATCATCGTGAAAGCCGACGTCCATCGCTCCGGCATCAATTTCCCCTGCTATGCTTTCGAGAACCAAGCTGAGACGGAGGGATTCGCGAAGATGGCGAAGAGAGCTGGATATGGCGTTTATGGGCTCCCGAATTATGTGGTGTGGCATATCGATACGGATGAGAAGCCCGGGAATGCGTAAGCATTGCAAGAGAGGAAGAGGAGACGTGCAAGCGAGGAGAAAAACTGTATGACTATGATGCATCTAGAGGGGAGTTTTGACCGGGCGGGTACATTGAATGCCTGACCGTCCCGCACGCCGTGCAAGATCGATTGCTGAACGAGCTTGAGATGTTTTGGGTTTTGCCAGACGCCATGCTTTTCATGTCTGGTTAATGAGCGAGCTAGCTAGTAACTAGGATGGGTCCGGGCTTTTAGATATTATACACCTTCTGGTTTCCTTTCCTTTCAGGCTCTTTTGACGATGATGGTGAGGATCAACGTCACTGAGCCCAGTTGATGGTGATGGTGATGGCGTGGGTGTTGGGTCCCGCGGCCTAAAGCTCACGTAGGAGTTGGATGTAAGTTGGACAAACAGCAGCCAAGACACCATAAACGCGGAGGCGAATGTCTTTTTTTCAAATTGAACGTCGAAGGGAGACATCAGTGGTAACGGCAACGGCTTTGGTGCTGCGCTGCGCTGCGGCTGAAAGGAAGGAAGGGGAAGTCCGGCTCTCGACATGGATTCTGTCGAGAGAGCCTTTGATGTAGTCCTTAGAACTTCTAATCCCAGGCATTTGGGAAGAATTGGGAGTATTTTGGAGATTAAGTAGTGGAGTTCCCTTCTTCTTCGCAAAGAGTGCGATTGAAATAGGGTTTTTTTTGAGAAGGCACAGCACATGCGAGGGGTTTTGTTATTCTTTTGGCGTAGGGGTGGGGGAATCAGAGAAGAGACGCACGGCATAAACCCGGCAGTGGAGTGTTTTGGACACTGCGTTCAGCCCAGGGTTGCTTTGCGGGTGTGTTTTTGTGGGAAGAGGGGGAAGGAAGGCCATGGAGGTTGCGGTTGAAATTCCTTGACTCAAGGGTGTTGAGTAGACGAGAGAGGGCAGTCTGCCAAACACATTCGAGAATCCTTGCTGACTTTTGCAGAGACACGTCCTGAGTTCCATTTCTGGAGGTAAACTTCGTCTGTGGCGTGAATGTATCGCCGCGTGGCGTGGCGCTCCTCTCTGGAGGTTGGTTTGCGATGCGAATGGTAGGTAGAGAACTTTGCCGTATTGGATTCCTGGATCAAAGAAACACATACTTTCTTGTATGACTTTTTGTCGAATCGAGAATAACCATCGGAGGGGGATCGTCAATCAAAGGGGTGGTGGGTCCGTTTTTGTCTTCTGGCGCCCGGGGAGTCCATGCCATGTTTCTTTTCGAGGTTTCAGGCGCGGGTGGAGGGAGTACTCCATGTAGACTGAGGTCCTGCTCTTTGGAATCGGAGACTGCTTCAGGAGAGGGGCTGTGGGAGACTGCGCGCGCGCCTGGGGAAGGCTGATATGTTCTGGGTGGTGGGTCTGGTGAGGAGACATAGTCAGGGACACTATGGGGTTCGGAAGGATACGAAGGGAGGAGAGGGGCGGTTTTCCGTCGGACCTGAGAAAGGACCAGTTCAATAGCAGAGGCTCCCGGGTCGCAACACGTAGGTTTGTTGTACGCTTTTTTTTGGCGCCATCGCTCTGTACTGTTTTCGTTTTCGTGGGCCTGGCCGCCGCATTGGTTGCAGAAACTCCATCGACGTCTTCCTCATTGTGTTTTGGTTCCCGACCGAGAGTCCGTTGCGCTTCCTTTCCTGCTGTTTTCGCAAAGCAGCGAGTCCACATGCGTAGTTGTACCATTCGCTTTTGGTCTGTGCTGGTTGCATTTACGGTAGAGGATTGATGGGTGACGAGGAGTTTCGGAGGCTGTTTATATACCTGGGGAGAGAGGAGAGGGGCGGTTTTCCTTGGACTTTAGATAGGACGATTTTAGGAGCAGAGGCTGCAGGGGCGGAACATGTACTCGATGTGCATAGATTTCTCAACCATCGCTCGATTTCGACAGTCATAATAGGAGTAAGAGCCATGTCGGTCCAAGCAACTCCATCAAAGCCTTCCTCGTTGTGTTTAGTTCCGAACAGGAGTCCATCGTTCCGCTTCTCCCGTTTTTGTCGCAAAGGAGCGAGAGGAATACATTTAACCATCCAAAGTATGCTTTTAGTCTGCGCAGTGTGTTTGAGGCAGTGGAGGAGTAATGGGTGGAGAGGAGCTTGGGAGGCTGTTTATATACCTAGGAGGTGTGCTTGGAGGACATGACTGGTGGGTGTAGGATTTGAGAGGGTGAAATGTTTGTGCGAGGATCTCCCATAGGGAGGTATTTAGACGCCTTTTGGTATGTAGGTGTTGGAATAGACATATTCTCATTCTCTATCCTTTTTCCTAAGAGACATAGATTCCGATGGCTGCAGCCAGGCAGATCGTAGCCGGGAGCAGTCCACGAAAAGTGTCCAGGCGTAATTCGCAGATTCTTTGTGCAAGGCGGAACTCCATCTGGGCAGTTGATCGTTTATTTCAGTTCAAAGCGGACGAGGCCCAAATGAGATGCCCGGCACTATGCTTCGGGGCGTGTAATGCTGGTTTGCGCATAGGATGAGCGGAACATGGCTTTCGGAGATTATGTTTGAAGCGAGGAGCGCGAGGGGTTCCCATGCAGCCACCTTGCAAGTCCTTTAGAGCTGGAAGTATTGAAGGAGAGTACTCGCATATTTGACACCGCGGTAGAATTATGATTGCCGGGCGTCGGGAAACCGACATACCATTGCACTGATTGAGATTTTTCTTCGTGAGATCAACACGTTGCTCAAGACCGACACCATGAACTGTCCCAAAATCCAGTCTTACTCCGAAGCCGAAGGGCATGGATGTGATATGGGTACCCTTTTGGACGTGAAGCCCAACTCGGCAAGAAATGGACATGCGTTGATGGTCCAGGCATTCCGGTGGGATTCAGTGCTGACGAAGGTTACATTGTCCCAGTAAAACAGACTACGAGGCTTGCGCTCCACAGAACAAAATCCTTAGTGCATCAACCCCAAGGAGAAAGTCTCCATACCTGAGCCCGCGATGCCTTTGGAGCAGCGAGCCACAAGGCATGTATCGAGGGGTTAGAGTCCTTTTGGAACCCACGGGTGTAGAAATGGACATCGCAAATAGTAGCTGAATCGCCCGGAGATTACCAACAGACCTCATAACCAGGCGAGATGTGGAGGTATCCAATCAATAAGGGTCAGGGGAGACAAATTGAGTGGAGGAGAGGCGCACTATGGGGGTGGGGATCTTTTCAGACAATTTGTACGACACCCTCCTCAGTATTCGCAAACCGATCACTCTGTCCATGGCCGCGTCTCGCTGTCGCTGTCGCCAAAAGACCTCCTCATGATAGAATGAATCTCTATACCTCTCCAGGAAAGACGCAAGGTCCGAGGGCCGCGGTGGGTCGCCCATAAGAGTTGATTGCGCGCATGCACGAGTTCGCGGGGAATGGATTGTTCAGCGCTTAGTCTGTCTATGTATGGTATATTCCGGACCGAGCGTCCATGGCTTTCTTTCACGTTGCTTTATGTTTCTCCTTAACCTAGGGTCGCCGTGCGTGCTTTCCGGGACGTCAAGAACATCCGAAGGTAGAAGCAATATATCCTCGAAGTGGGTCATCCCAGCTGAAGCACATCTCGGCCGGTGCCTGGACAAGCTTCCAAGCGATTCCGACCGATGCTTGAGCGTATTGTAGTGTGCATGGTCAGGTCGATCGACCGTCATAACGCGTTGCTGTAGACTGATGTTCAGACGAGGTGCGAGCTGGGCAAGGTGGCTGGCGCTGGCTGGCGAAGGAAGAAGTGATCTGATTGGGCGCAGCAACGTCGAGTCGGTCCTTCCGCGAACAGGTATCAGAACCGCTCCGGAGCGTCGTCGACGCAATGGATGGAGCCTTCCTTTTCCCGCGGATTCAACCTTCTGCAAACTCTAGCTAGGTACGAAGACTCGCTCTGCTCTCGTTTGCGCTGTGCAAATGGGACGAGTCGGTATCAATATCACATGAGAGGGCGCGTTCCCTAAACTAGACCCCTAAAAGCAAGCCAGGCCAACTGCCATGGAGGAGGACTGACTGCTGCCGAAGGATAACTCAATTGGATGAACTATATCTACAACACGCGGTAGAGGGAGAGCGTTTCTACTCCAATTGATTCTTCGCCTCCTACTTCCTTCCAAACCGTCAATTCGACACCCAAATGTCGGAAGAAAAGGTTGTTGCTTCCGCTATAAACTTCGCTGCCGAAATTTGGCTTCCCTCACCCCGCTCACTCTCCTTCCCTCGCAGTAACCAAGCAAGTTATCGTAGTTGCCGGCACGGCGAAAAGTGGAGGAGGACTGGCAGACACTGATACAGTGGATAGTAATTGATAACGTAACATACAGTCTCTACATGCAAGAACCCGCGCTATGCTATTAAATCCCGAAGAAGACAAAACACCTCCCTTTCCCCAAATCTCCCACGCCAACATAAGGGAAAGTAAATATTACTGTAGATGCGGCCAGCGTGTCTCCCCCGTAACCTTGGTCTCCGTCCCCGGATCCGGCGGCTCTCCCGTCTTCATGGCGCCGACAACCTGCGCTTCCGGGGTGCCGTTTGGCGGCGGTGGTGATGGTGCTGGTGGGCGAGCCGCGTGTGGAGCTGTTGAAGGGGCTCTTTCTTCCAAAGTCGACATCGCGTTCACGTGTTGTGGCTGCGGTTGCGCGAGCGCCTGTAATGGCATCTGATTCTGTGCTGTGTTTTCGTCGTCCTGGATATAAGCGATGGGACCCCAGATACGCCAGTGAAGCAGGAGTATGTGCGTGATGCGGTTCGAAACATCCGCTAGTCTTTCTGGTTGAGTTGTGTTGGAGGGTAACGTATCGGGGTGTTGCTGGGCAATAGGCATGAACGAGGGGAATGGGCCATGTGGTGGTGGCGGCGTAGGCGCGACGAGATTGTTGAAGAGGTCGATTGTGGAGGCGTTGCGATATCTATTTGCGCAGGCAAGAATTTGCGGTAGGAGAGTCGCTTGCAGCGCGGAGGCGTGGGCGGAGAAAGAGTTGACAAACAGGGCGCGCAGATGCTGGTTTGCTTTCTGGAAGTCGTCGAGATTGTAGATCGGCGGACGACCAGTGAAGAGCAGGGCCTGGCGGTAGAGCTCAAGGGAGATGGGTTCTGAATTCACCATCCAGGCTTGAGGGCCGTGGCCTGCGGCTTCACCCATGATCGCTGAAACGGATGTACGAATGTGTTGCCGCGTGGACGGGGAGATGGACCCCTCGTGACCGAATTCTTTCAGCAGCTGTGCGAACATGTCGGAGCAAATTTCGAAGTGGATCAGGTCGTCGATTTCGGACTTCAGTACCCGCAGCCGGTCCTGGTCCAGATAGAAGGTGTCTGGAAAGCTGCAGTGACCGTCCCTGGAGAAGAGGGTGGAGACGAGTGCTCGCGCCAATACATCAAGCTGGAAGCGCGAGATATCCCTTGACGCAGGCATGCCATGCTGCTGGAACTGCTTGACTGCTGCGGCCCACCACTTCTGGGAGGCGTCGACATCCACCCTTGAGCGTCCGTTGACGAGGCGATCCAAATGGTAGTGCTTCTCAAAGCCGACAGTATCCTCAATCAGCAGGGTCCTGAGGTTCCGTATCTGATGATTCGCAACATCCTGGAACTTCTGTCAGTACTGGTCGTCCATGTCCACATCCACACAAGCGCTTACCAGCTTCATAGCCTCCAGTATCGCCAGCAAATCGACCAGTCCGCTCACGATCAAGTCGGAGCTGTTCCTAGTGACGCCATCTCTCATTTTTGCGACCATGTTATCAACCATCACGTCCCTCATCGGCGCGCAATGCTCCTTCAGAAGGTGGGCCATCCACTCTGCAAGCCGGACTAGATCACACACTCCCCGTTCAATCTCTTGCATCAGCATCGGCACGTCCAGGTGCTCGTCCACTCTTGAGTGATCCCGATCCGGTACCAGGCTCTTCAGCACGTCGTGGATCGTCTCGAACATCTTCGGTATGCGCCTTTCCGCATGCTGAACTATGACGGACCATTGCACGTGCTCGGGGTTGCAGATAGAGGGCGTTCCTTGGAATAGCCGGACGTACAGCTCCAGCTCGGCGATCAATGCCCGCCAGTACCTCTGCGATTGCCGCACCTTCTCGTACCCCTTCGGCCCATCGAGGTTCGGCCTGAAGCTGAGATCCCTGTCGAAGTTCACATCGTGTCGTAGCTTGATGTTTTTGATGATGTTCTGGATGTCGAGCTCGCTCAGCGATTGCTTCGTTACGGGCGGTAGTTCTGCTGCACTCAGGAAGGCGTCGGCCAGGCGTGCGCCTTCAGGACCAGGAAACATGTTCTCGACCAGCTCTGCCAGCTGATCTGGCATGTCTCGCTCGCTCCGATCGGTGCTGACCGTCGAGCTTCGTGACCGAGCGTCCCTCCCCGCAAACGGCGCTCCTTCGTGGTGGAAATGACGGTCGTCTTCGCGCGACGGCCCGTCTGAAGTACTGATGCTCCTGTGCCACGGCGACCCCGCAGCATCTATGCCACCCGTTGTGCCTTCCAGATCGGCAGCGGGCGAAGGACGCTGATATAAGGAATCAGCGGGCGGGAAAGGGGAAGCATTACTCCCAGCGGCCTTGGGCATCTGCGCACCCATCCTGTCTCGCCGAGGGTAGCCGTTGCAGTAGTGAGGAGCCCTCATGAGGTTTGGAGCGACAGGTGAACAAGGCAATTACGGAAGCAGGCGTGTGGGGGCGGAGCGAGTTGATATGTCTGCGGAAGCCAACGGGCTAAGGAAAGCGCATGAAGTTGCTACAAGCGATAGACTGTGACAGAGTCAGCACCCAAACCATACAAGAGGGAGGGGCGGTTTGTCAAGACACAAGCTAAAAAACGTGTTCGCGGGCTGTTTGACTGAGGCATCGGATGGCGGCATGAAGCAGGCAGACAAGCCGAGTCAGACAAGCACCGAGACGACGCGGCAGGGTGCCGGCTCCGCGCTTGCGTTGAGGTACCTACCAGTTCTCATGTGCCTACACGGCCGACGGGACGTCTGGGGCGCGAGATCAGGGCTTGTGCCGCGTTAACATGGTGTGGGGAGGACAAGGCGGTCAAGTGAGGAGGGCTCAAAGAAAGACGGGCGCCGTTTGCGGAAAGCTCAAGAGGAGCTTTCGGACGAAACGAGCTTTGCGGGAACGGCAAAGCGGAGAGGCAAGAAAGCAAGAGAAAAGAGAGACAGACAGGAATACTAGACTCTTATTCTAGGAGGCGGGCGGAGGCAAGGTGAGACGCGTTGCGGAATTCAAACAGCAGCAGCGCTGACTCGGTCCTGTGTGTCTGGCTTGTGCAATGTTAGGGAGGGTGAGGGAGTGCGGACGGTGTGAGGGAGGGCGGTGGTCGGAAAGGGAGGACGGGGTCCTTGCATATTTGGTTTAAAAGGTCTTGTGTATGCCCTGACCACATCTCTTGCATCTGCAGCAATGGATTGGGAACGGAGGCTGATCGCCACCGACGGGTGATGGCTTGGGGCGCTGGCGACGGATGCTCGCCGGCGACACGCGCTGATTGTGAAGCGACAGCGCAGGCCTTCCCAGCCGTCCGTCACACCGCCGCGGCGCCGCGCTGCCCTCATCGCGAGATGCGGCGGCTGGCACCGGGCCCACCGCAGCCGCCGTCGCACGCGTCTGAGAGGGATTGTAGGGGGAGGCCTCGAATGCGCTGAGCGTGCAGCAGTGGGAAGCGAGATTGGCTGGCGGCCGCCGCATATCGGCAGCCTCACTTTTCGAAAACCCGGACGGAGCCCCCAATATGCTCGCCCTGTTTCTCGACGAGCCTGCGCGCGGCGAGCCTGGTGGAAGGCAAAAAGCAACTGCGCGTCGCCGCTTCTGCTCATTCGACGACCGCTGCATTGCTTCACGTCAAGCAGCATGTCATCCGGCCTGCGTCGGATCACCCGTCTGAGATCGTGCAACGCGCTCTCCGTCGTGCCTCCTGCGCGCTTCATAATGGCCGGTATGCCGTTGTGCACGCAGCTCTTTCGCCGCCCTGTCCAGCAGCCTCGTGTTGTGCATCGTCCGAGTGTATAGCCGAGGGGATGACTTGTCCTCAGGATCTCCGTTGGCCGTGGAGCGAGTAACAACGGCGTAGATGTGTCGCAGACAGTACCTCAGTCCCGAGCCAGCGTAAAAAGTAGAGCGACGAGTAGCACGAGTGCCGAGTAGGATGACAGGAAGGCTGAAGGAAGGATGATGCCTGGCAGCGGACTGCTTTGTAGACCCGCGCCCCCGCTGCGTGGAAAATCACTTCCTGAGCGAGAAAGGCCAGTGTTGAGCTTCAAAACACAATGGAGGCGACTCAGAAGACTGGAAGGGTGCCCCATATTTTATATTTTCCATAGGGCTGAGCGGAGGTGCTCGTCAGGCATCAACACCTCTCGACGATACTGCTTTGGACGTCTTGGCGAAGCCTAGTCTCTTTACCCCGGCCTTCTGAGTGGCCTCTGCAAAAACGGGGCGGCAGGAGGACTCTGATACCCTGTGATATTCCTCCGACTCTGAAACACATTACCGCCGGATCGTACCGAGAGACGCCAAAACTCCATGTGAATGCCAATCCGGTGCCTCACTGCCCACACCAAGCAGGCCTCATCCTCCAAGCCAGAACACAACACCACCGAAGCTTCACTCCAGACGCGAAAACTCCGTCCAAACGCCGAAATCATGCCCATGATCCTTCCCCCTCCCCCGCTGTGAATACCTCTCCTTCCTCCCTTCCCTTCCTCTCCAGCAAACCTCCTACCAATACCCTGTCCCCGTCCCCGTCCCCGTCCCCGGCCCCCTAACCCACCTCCTCCGCATAAGCTCCTTCCTCTCCAGCCTGATACTCTCTCTCGCAAGCTGCCTACACATGCTACACGGGCCGCCCGTCAGCACCGTGCGTTGGTATCTCCGTCCGGGCGGACACGCCTGCCCGTACGGCCCACGACTCCTCGCAGCGGGGCAGAGGTGGATGTACGGCGCTGTGGGCGTCGGCGGGCAGCCGCAGGTGCCGTAGGCGAAGATGACGAGGCACATTGCTCGGTACCGTATATGGCGCTTCGTCGTGGATGCGGTAGGGGCGTGGCGAGATGTAGTATTGAGCTGAGCTGAGAGGACGTGACCGGTTGAGCGGTGGTCGAAGGGGCAATACCGTAACGAGTTCAGAACGAGCAACGAAGGGATGAGCCGATTGACACTGATCTCTCTAGAGATGGAGATGGATGATCGTAGCGCGTTCGATGAGCCTACCCGTCAGTGAAGTTTGAGCATTCAACGCGACTCCAACGGCATGTATACACCAGAAGTTCCTGCTGGATAAGTGCTAGTGAGCAATCTACCTCCCGCAGGAGCAACTCTTCTGATAAAGAGAGCGATCTGAAGGAGAAAACAATGTCGAACGATTGCGTGCTGTAGGACAACAAATCCACCGATGACGCTCGCGTTTGGACCCGAGTTTGGAATGAAGCTCAAGAGCAATCCGTGCATTACTATTAGGGCAATCCAAATCCCCATTTCGCAGTCTATCCGCGAGAAGGGAGAAAACCATCTGCTGCCAAAGGGAAAATGAAAATTACAAATATGGACCATGTAGCGTAGGGCCGAAGAGAAAGTATGGATGGCGAGATGCAACAACCCAATGGCCTCACTGCGCTGGCACGACCAACATGCTGTCAACCCGCCTCCCAACGTTCACGTTTGCCTTGAGGCGACACAGACAAGCAGTGCCCGCCAAATACAGACTGGATTGTCGAGCTGCGGCCTTCCAGTTCTGATGCCTGAGGCATAAGCGGCGAACTGATCAAGCGCGCCATGGGAACGCATGAGGTAACGGGCAGGAAGCGAGGCGAATGAGAGGATGAAAACGACTTTTATACCTAGGTATGCAGTTCGGGAAAAGGCGAGACTTAGGAGGTGCGGATGTCCATCTCATCAGATTGCGATTGTTTGCCCGATCGCCCACGTGGCGGATCTTTAGCGCTCAGCTCGTTTTGCTCGTCAGAGCTTCCTTCACTTGAAGGACTATCCGGCCTGCTGTCATTCAAGTTCCGTCGGCTCCGGGCCATCTAAAGAATGTCAGTATCCGGCTTTGAAAATCATGAGCATTGATAACACGTACCCAAGCTCGAACACCACCAATCAATCCGAGATTATAACCAGCCGCAAATTCGGATGATTCTCTCCCCTGGCCAGGTACACGAGGAATGTCGAGATGGCTCAGACGTGATAACGGAGACGCTTCGGGCCTCTCCTGAGTGGGTGTCCTTGCTGGGCTCGCAGGCCTACTGCTCTGCCAGAACTGTCGGAAATCTTTGCTGAGCTCTTGACCGGTCGTAGCCCAGTTCGCCTTGATGCTGTCCCGCAATTCGGCCATGTTCCGCTTGAAGTCGAGCTCGTTCTTCTTCAACCAGGACACGTTGAGCTCTTTGCGCGAGGTGCCGCGTTTAAGCTGGCGATCGATGTACTGATCATAGTCTCGGACGATCCTACACTAGTTAGCTGCGAACTATGCAGGGAATATATTCAGGTCCTTACTTGGTGATGATGCCGGTCGTGCTCAGGCCCTCGGTCCTCTGCGTTACCAGGAACATGCCCAACTTTTTAATCGGCGCATAGATATCATCTCCCTCATCTGCGCCGTACGGGATATCATCGTGAGCGACGTAGTCGATAGAGTGCTTCTTAAGAAATTCAAGCGTGACAACCCAAGGGCAGTCCTCAATGACCTCGTCCACCCACTTGCAATGCCGCACGCTCTCGGCACGTTCTTTCGCGGAGAGCACTGTAAGCCCCTTCCGCCGATGCGTCTCCTTGTCTCCAGTGACGCCCACAATGAGATGGGTATCCGGGAAGGCGGTCTTGGCTTGCTGTAGCTGGCGCATGTGGCCGATGTGGAACAAGTCGAAGACTCCGTCGGCGTACACCCTGACTGGCCGTCCTTGCGGAGGCGGGTTTGTCTTGTAGCCTACAGGATCGACAAGGCCTGCCTTGGGAGGAGTCGGCATTCGCATGGTGCCGGCCTCTCCATTCTCCCCGCCGTCCTCCAGCTCTGATGTTCTCCGGCTCTTCTTAGTCGCTCGTTCCGTAGGACCGCTTATATCGCCGTTTTCCACCTCATTCTCGTCGCTCGCGCCTGTGCCGCTCTTGGCGGACCGCGTTCGTTTCGAGGGGACGTGGGTCTCGGTCTGTCGCTCCTTCTTGGACGCGACTTCTTGGAGGACAGGATCTTCGGCGTCTTCGCCGGAGGCATCGCGAGATGAGGGTTGTGCAACGTCCATGGCGGAGTTCTTAACAGAGGATACGGTGGTGGATCGCTTGCGTTTGGGAGGCATTGGCGTGGGCTCTTAGCCTCAGTGTCGCAAAGGCGGTACGCCAGGAGCGAGGGCGAGGGCAGGATCGAAATGGCGCAATGCAATGGTGTTGGCAACGTACGCCAGCCGTTCACAGGCTGTGAAATGGTTGAGGGTGAGATGTCAGGCTGGGGTTGCCGGAAACTAAAATGGGGTGGGTGACGGGAGGGCGCCAGAGAATTGAGCAATGGGCGGCTGCGGCAGGCGAGGACGGCTGCAGTAAAAGGGCTGAGGGAAACGAGGATGCCGCGAACTTCAACGGATGGAAAATATCGGAGGAGATCGCGAAGACACGAAATTGGAATCAGTTCATAAACGCGGACTCGGAATTCCTGTTTTGAGCCATGCCCAGCCATGACATAGGGCCACTTTGTGGCTGATGCAGGTGCCGTCATGCCCCCTTCCCCGGAGCGAACACCACCGCTTGCACGTGCAGCCATCTCACCGTTGATTCACCTGGATCACCCCTTTCGCTAATTTCCTGATGATTTCTTGTTCCGCCAGGGAGTCCCTGGAAGATGTGTAGCAGCACAAGTCGCACCAGCCACCGCCGGAAGAGGCATCGTTCGCAATGGACTTGGAGGTGGTTAGATAATACAACGACTATCATCCGACAATGCCCTGTTCGTCTACTGCATCCTGATGTTGACACGATGCATCTGTCTATCTAAAGTCATGTTGACGCGCTCCTCTCATCTAGCGTCCAGAGCTTCACCTCTCCATCATCCCCCGTACTAACAATAACCTCCTCATCCTCCCATCTGCTCCCCTTGTCCGCTCGCCTCGCCCAGCAAACATGATTGATCTCAAAGACATCATGCGCCGAATAAAGTTCAGCAGCGACCACCCACTCGGCCAATGACGGTTCCTGCTCTTCTTCCATAGCATTCGGATCCGCTTTGGCTTCTCCGTCTGCCCTAACACCGTTCGTCATCGGGGACTTCCATCTCTCTTTGTACACGACTATTTTACCGTCGCTGCCTGCGCTGACTATCATACCCGTCCTGCGACTCCAGGAAAGTGAGTAAATAGCTCTGTCGTGCCGTTGCGGGAGGATCGCGTCTTCGAGCCAATCTTCGTCGATGGCCATGGAGCGTATGATGCTGGGTATGCCCGTATGTGAATCCGCATGATCTCCGTGTTCCTTCGGCTTCCTTCTCCATATTCGTATCGAGCAATCATCCGAACAAGTCGCCAGTCTCGGCCCTGAGCGCTCCATGAGTTCAATGTGCTGTGTCTGCTCCTCGCTCAACCCCTCTCTCTGCTTTCGGAAATCCTTCCCACTCATCCCACTCCCTTCAAACTCGACCCACCACACCGTCTTATCATGCCCATTGATGAGCGCGACCTGCACCCAATCATCCGCATCCTCTCTGTACAACCGTACGGTATCATCATAGCTCGCGCTGGCCAGCAAATCCTCCTCCGGATGCCATGCCACACACTTTACATCCCCATCATGCTCCTGCAGCACGGCCACCGTCTCGAAATTATCATCCTCCAGCTCCTCCCATATCCACACGCTTTTGTCCCTACCACAAGTCGCCAGATACTGTCCGCTGGGGTTCCAGCTCAAACTCTTGATCTCGCTCTCATGCCCATCCAGTATACACGCGAACTGATAATCGTCGTCTTCTTCCTCCTCATCGTCCTCCTCTCTCCTCCGCCTGGTGAAATCGTCTTCCAGCGCGCCGCGTTCCTCGCGCCGCCATATGCCCGCGCTCGTGTCAAAGCTCCCTGTGGCTAGCACGCTTTGTCCCTTGGTGCCGGGCTTCCAGCTCACGGACCGCACGCTTCGCTTATGTCCGCCGGTGATCGAATGTAGGAGCGTGAAGGACGTCAGGCTGTACACGCGCACGCTGCGGTCGGAACATGCTGTCGCGACGATAGGCTGCGTTGGGTGGGGCGCGGTCTGCCATGTTCGAGAATTGGAGGGCGGCGAGAGGGTGGCGAGCGGGTGTATTGTGTAAGAGGGCGCGTCTTGTGGGGGAGGCATTTTCTTCAGCGGCGAAGGCCCGCTTGACGAGCGGATGCTTTTAGTAATTTGAACACTGCTTGTTCGGGTGGCGGAGGATACGCGACGGTAGCGGGAGGGTAATCGTGTGGGCCGGATCCTGGGCAAGGGACGCTCCGGTGAGCAGCTGCAATTAAGATATTCCAGGCGTGGGTGAATGAAGCAACACGCGGGGCACAAAAAGTCGGCGAGTTGACGTCTTCGCCAAGAGCCCCTCCGAACAAACCGAGGGAGGATCGGTGAATTTGCGAAAGCTCCCCATCCTCGTTCTTCCGGATTCCAAAATGTCCATTATTCATCCGCAGATGACTATACACTCACTGTACATAATGTATGCTACAAGGTATCATGCCCATCCCGCATGAAATGTTCACCGTAGCGCCAACAGGCATCCTCCCATCCCAGATGATACACAGTACTACCCTTTTCAGAAAAAAAGCAGATAGCCGCCCACCCCGTTCTTTCCCACCCACATTCATGGCGACATGAAACGGCATTACTACATATACACCCGCCACCTAGTGAGTGGTCGACGGTTAAATGTCAAGAGAGATGAAAGAAGAGAGATCATAGCTACCGTCGACCATAATTCTCCCGTGTCAGGGCCCTCGCGTGAGGGTCACGGAACGATGTGGTGATAGACATAAGTCTATCAGCCAAGGTCAGCTGCTCTGTATCTGCGACACCAGCTTCAGATCGAACGCCCAGCTCGCGGAGCTCCACGTGACAGGAGTGCTTCTGGTCTTCGCTGATCACGACATCATGGCTGACCATTATGCCTCCAAACGGATGACCGCTGTTGCTGGGAGTATCGGCGCCAACATGCGACGGGTTGACCAGACCCTTCTCCGAGCTGCTATCTGGGTTCAAGGTGGTCTCGGATATCGAGTTGCTGTTTGCTCGGAAGAGATTGGACCATTTGCTTCCCGATCTGGCCGACGTCGCCTGGATGTCTGTCGATGAAGATAGTAGTGTGCTGAACTCCTTGTGGTTCTTGTGCGCCAGAATGGCGTGGTCTGGGCAGCGGGGATAAGTTCTGAGGTTGGTGCGGAAGAATGATAGCGGTATGCATCGCAGACCCGGACTCTGTAGTGACTGGCTGTAGACCTCCTTGATCCCACAGAACGCGAAAACGGTGGCCTGAAATGCGTCCTGGCTGGTCATGCCGTGTGCGATATCGAGCTGCTGGGAAGAGAAGATGGCTTGGTGCAGTGCGGGTTCCGGCACCTCTTTGACCAATTCACGGATCTTATTACGGAACTTCTCGAGGAAAACATCGTCCTCTGTGGCTGAGCCAGACCGGGAAAGCCGCCCAAGGCAGTCCTCTAAAGTCAATCCATTGAACGTGGACAGGAGTTTCATTTGCCTCGGATTGAGCGTGTCGGTCGTCAACTTGATCATTGGCAACCGATCGGGAGTTTGCCTGGGCACGATGACGTCTAGGCCTTTGATGACCGGGGATGGCTGGAGTAGGAAGGAGGCCAGGTACGTTCCCTTCTTCGGGATCAAAGACTCCCTGACGCAAAATTCCTGAAGGCGGGTGACTAGTCCGTTAAGGTCCTCATGGGAAACCTGCAAGCTGCGAGCGAGCTGGTCGCCAATCTGATCCATACTGGCGAACCTGTATCCCACATTCTGCAAGCGATTCGCTTCGTCGGTCCCGATCTTCCGAGTGATGACTAGGAGCTGTCCTCTCCCGAAGAGAATAGGACTTGCAAGCCCGGCTTCGTCCTGTGGCACGACGTCCGCCGCGATGATCGTTCTGCCGTGAGTATCTCTGAAGAATGTCTTCGACAGCAGCGTTCCAGTGGTGGAAACGTCCTCGTAGAGAGCCCCAAGGTCTTGTAGTCTCGTTTCAAGACTTCTCGCAATATCCTGAGCTGTCACACAGAACAGTTCACGGAAGGTAGCGGAGTACGAGGTGTCATCATCGCTTCCGAACGAAGTCCTTTCCCCACTACCCATGACTGGTGTTTGAGTCTGTAAATATCCCGTGGATTGCAGATGATCTCGCATAGCAGGAATCAAATCGATGATGCCACCCCAATGACGGGATACTCGGAAGAGCCATTGGAAAACCGGGTGTCGGGTATTGAAGTCCTCGTCGAAAGTCTAAACAAATAATAATTAGTTACCCGGCGTAGTAGTGATTCGTACTACCAAGTGGACTTACCCTTTGGTGGAATTGACGGGTTATCGTTTGGCAAGGCAGCAAGCCCCCAGGAGTCACAAGCAGTCTCCCTTCGCCGTCAAATGTTGCGACAGCAAGCACAACCTGTTGGGCGCGGTCTCTGAGCTTCTTCTGCTGGCGTTGCTTCATTAACCCAATCACGAAGCAGACAACACAGGCCGCGAGACACTGAAGAGTCAGTACGCACAACGTCGGAAGATCTCAAAGTAGACTTACCAGACAGATAGCAATGATCAAATTCACGTTCCTTGCCTTTCCTGGTCCAGTGTGATAACCTCTCACTTCGTATGCTGTGCCAGCGGCGGCTGTCCAGTGCATGCCAGAAACGGCAACAGCGAGGAAACAGGCTACGAGCATTCTTCTCCAGATATTGTTCACCCAGTGTCTGCTCCAGTGGAAGAAAAGTCCGAATGCAATCAAGCACGCCCCTATCGCGATCGCCGCGGCGCCGATGATGAACGGGAGGCCGGGACCGAGTCGGTAGTTCGTCGTTCCTTGGTTTCCAAGGTAGTGCATCTCAGTAACGGCGGCTCCAGTGCATATACCGCAGACCACGAGTGCGCCATAGCGCGTGACGGAGCGTCTGCTACCTCTGACGAACCGGTCGGCTACCAATAATCCTAGGAAAATCACGACGATAGGCAGAATGGCAGACACGGCGGTGTAGACGGGGCTGTAGTACAGCTGGATTTCGTCTTCTCCGTCACCGAGAACGATTGCGCGGTTGCCAACGAAGTGCATGCACCAGATTGCGACGAGACCGAAGGAGACCGAACAGGCTGCTAGTTGCACCCTGAGAAGTGGTGAGCTTTTCGCTGGGGAAGTAAAAGACTAAGAACTGACCAACTGCGCCATCCGCTCCCTGATACTCTGCGATGGAGGAGTTCGACTGTCGTAATTGCGCCAATCAAGCTGACGACGTAGGATATGAAGATCAAATAGGGTATGAAGTGGAGGCCGGGCTCGCTCCCGATGGGATACTTAGCAGTGATGTTTTGCTGCATCATGGCCACGGAGATGGGTAGGTGTCCGGACTGTCAAACCTGTGTCAGACGTGAGCATGAGAATTGGGCAATGATTGTGGAACGCCCAGGGTAAAATCATGAATCTGACTTACAATGCAGATCAGAAAAGGTTCCACTGCTCCGCCCTCAGCTTTTATTGGCAAGTGCAGACCTTAAGCACCCTCGGTGACCCTCCGCTGGTCCTGGTGACACGGCAGCTGCAGCGGTTGTGCTCGATTGGACGCATCCTAAATCTGCCTTGATCTTATCTCGGTGGTCGAGCAAACGTAGAACTGTGGGGCGCAACTCTAGGCAGTATCAGAACGGTAAAGGCGTCGGGCAGACCGTACTTTTCAACGAGGCGTCACCACCCTGTAAGGATGTACACGAGTGCAAGCCCCTCAATGACTTGCGCCAGGGACCCGCGACTCTAAACTAACTTTGCGCCTTAGCCTGGCACAGCCGCTGTAGCAACGTAGACCCCGCGCTCTTCTACTAGGGCATAGTTCCAGCCCACTCGTGATTTGCGTTTAGACGCCACACCAATTGACGAGCTTCCTCCTATCGATGAGGCACGATCAAACAGTGGTACCGACGCGACCCCGGTTTGCAAGTCGTACACGCTAACCGAGTGGTGCAGCCAATGGTAAGTCTGGAGGAGTAACCTGATAACCGCTTAAGGCCATAAGAGGATGCATTTCCTGTGCCGGAGTTCCGGACTTGTGGCTTTGTGGAACGAGTCGAGGACAATGGGAAAGTTGCACAACCGATCAAATAACATAGACTACCCGGCCCAACGAGTAATCGGCTGTTACCCTCCAATCAGTGGAAAGGAAAATCGCCGAGGCAGGTTGTATGGCGTGTGTGGTGTGGAAGCCGGTTGGTTAGTCTTGACCGTGGACGATTTGAGTTCAGTCTGGTGTTTGGCATAAGCCCTGTGACCTTATGGCAATAGAACGAGAATTCGAGATTGGTGACCGAGAACTACGCGGACTGGAGCGGCTCAGTTTTGGGAACAGGATTTTCGATAAGCATTACCCCTCCGACTGCATTGCGGCTTCGTTCGTTAGCGCCGCCTCCACTTTGTCGCGTTGTCTTTCCCATCGAGCAAGCCACGCTGGCTCTGATTGGCCAAAACATCGACCCGAAATGAAGAGATTTCATCATTTCATGCGCAACATCCGGCCATAGGATTCTTGAACGCAGATTCGAGAACAGAGCGGTCATCCATGCCAAGGGCCCCACCCAGGCATAGGATTAGGGGTGGTTCAGAGATGAGCGGGCTACGCTGAACAAGGGCCCTCTCCACACCCACGCGACCGAAACGTGAAGGAACATTCGGAGGTAAATCTTCTGTAGTTTAACAGCTACTCCGGGTCTCGACGGGCCTCCGCCAGAGAAACTCTGGTCCTCCAGAACAGTAGTTCATCGCGCATGGCAGTGATGGTCCGTGCGGATTGACGATCGATCTGCTTCGCTTGTCGGCTACCTTTCTAGTGGCGGATCCGGACCTCTGATCCTAGTGAACCAGGAACGTGCCTGGGCATGTCGCTTTCCCATGTTGCCTCCTTTTATCATGCCAATGGTCCCCTACGCAGAGACGCACTGCCGACCGCTTCAGATCCCATCTTCTTGTCTGCCGCGGAGGCACCACATTCATGATCACCTTGAAACATTTAGTCGGCATAGCCACGTTGTCGGCGCTGTCCGTAAACATGGGAATATCGATAGGAACTCTATCGGAGGCTGTGATCTTTGACTAAAGAGCAAGGTTCGGCGGCTGATCCATTATCAAAAGCGCTCCCTTGAGCGTAAGCGACCGATCGAGCTATGGTCCAAACTCTCTGTCAATCTAGAAGCTGGGCGCATGGAAGACCGGGAATAAATGTGGTCAATGCTTCCCCAACACTTATCGATAGGGGTTAGACGCCATGGCCCAGCTCTAGGCTCAACAATCGATATGCCGGCAGCGGAAGCAAAACATCTCTGCACCGGCCGCCTCGCTTATAGCGTGGCAACGAAAGACCAAGCCAGTTGACGTTAGAAAAGGCGAAGACCGTCGATCCAAAATGTTGCAACAGCCCTGGAGGTGTCCTGACTCCTGAGCATGTTGGGTCGAAGCGATTGCGCAAGTGACCGATGACCGGGGAGCGCGCCGAGGGAGGCACGACTGGCCGGCTGTAAGGCGCCTTGACCAGAAGACTATCCTTTTCCCCACGGAGTCCATGAAACACCGACCGAAAACCTTTTCTGTAAGCTATTCCTGAAGAAGCTCCTCTCCGTTCTCCGCGGAGGGTATATGTTGGATGGGATTTAACCGGATCTCAATTATGTACGTGCGGATGAGGATACTCTGACGGAGTGGACGTTCATGAAGCGGAGACAAGAATTCTGGTGGCTGTGCTCTGCTCGATTGATCCGACGTCCAGCCCACCGTTGTTCTCGTTGCCAATGCCGCACCGGGAGTCTCCCTCTAATAGCATATCATCATCAGGATCTATCGGCGAGAAAAGCATTTCGTTATCCGGGCTGCCGTTTCTTTGTTTCTGTTCTGCTGGAGAATGGTACCTATAGTCGATATTGAGACGTTTATGTGCAAAGCAGCGATGACTAGTCCCTTCGGCCTCAGAGTTCATCGGAAGACGTCTCGTGATTAGGGTCTTTCCCGGGTTTGGAGCCGGCCCGTTTGAAGGAAACAGCAGATCGTCATCGTGGTCGAGGGGTGCTGACAATGAATCTGTATTTCTACAAGAGTCCCGGGCTGATAGAATGCTGCTATGCCCGGATACGCCGGTTGCGGGTTCATCGAACAATTCATCGTCGTACAGGGACCCGAGCCCATCCGGATTCGGAAGTTCATTTGGCGAAACCCCAGCAGGATGTACTTCCCCGCGTGCTTGGTACTCCTCGAGTATCTCGTCTAGATCTAGCGCTGACGAAGTCTGCGTTCTGGAAGCACAGAAAGGCTGTAATTGCCCTACCGAAACCCTGGAGAGTAGATCCTTCTGGGTATGGATCCAAAGACGGGCAGCCACAGAGGGGGAAGAGTTGTTCACGCCAAACAGGTCGGCTGAATCAAGGCAGAGTCCATCTTCCCCGTGGCGAGGCAGAGGGCTGCGAAGTGCAGCGAGCTTCGCCCGTAATGTGGCCGAGTTCGCCCTAAACCTAGCTCGACTAAGAGAGAGGCTGAGCGTTGGAAAGAAATGAGCTCTTTGGGATAATGCCTTTGTAGTGGTTAGCATGTAGCAGTGGGTCAGAATTAAATTTTTATCCATACTTGCAGATACCCTGGATGCCATAACGCTGGGGCTATCTCAGCAAGCCCTTCGGTGAAAGTGTTCGCCTTGATCTTGAGCCCATTCGTCAGCCTTCCCAAAGTATTACATACGGAGAGTCGTATAGCGGCGTCAACCATGGCTAGGATGTGATCTGAGTCTGACGCTGAGGCGGTGGACGCGGCAGCGGGCAGTCCGCTTGAAATTGTCACATATCGCTTTCGCTTTCCATTGTGAACAGGGCCGGACGGTGGCTGAGGATTCCATGTTCTGGCCGGGACAGTTGAGGGTCGTTGCCGCTTTCTGTTCTGAGCAGATTTGGCAGGCGTTCGCTCGCTGTCCCGGTCTTGGACGATGGCCGGATCCTCTTGAAACAGGATATCTGTGTCCTCATCACTATCAAGCCGAAGGGCTGCATCTTCGGGGTCACTTGGGTTATGTGTGGCTTTCCTCTTCGTCCGTTTGTGTCTCGATAACTGTGCGCGATCTCTGACTTCGGCGATGACCATGGAGAACTGGACTGATTGGAGAAGAAGGGCACATACGCCTTCCGGTGGCTTCGCGTCTGCGGAAGGGACGTTTGCGCCGAGGCGGTGGCTTTTCTTCGGTTGCGGATTGGACTCGCCCCGAGCATGGCTAATGTTGATCTGGATTTTGCCGTCGACCAAGGGTGCGAATGGTAAGGAAGGTTGAAGGTTGAACTGCTCCCACGCCTGCGCCTACAATTAGCGACATTCCTCATATGTTATGTTCGACGTTACCGGGGCATTGACGATACTGTGGGCCAACTCTTGGAGCTGGTCGCGTCCCAATTCTTCCCCTCGCATGCAGATATCCAGCTCGATAAACATCCCATTCCCTCGCCCAACCCAAACATTTCCAGACGATAGAAAATCAAGAAGGGGGGGTGAACTGAGCTGTTGAAGGTTAATTGTATTCTGCTGAGGTAAGATTGTGATCAAAGTGGTCAGCCACAGGTCGAGCTTTGCGCTGGGCGAGTGAAGGACAGCTCGTCCTAGCTCAACAGTACGCGACATGACCAATTGACGCTGACTTTTCTGTCGAGACGTCGTCCGGTGAGGGATGAATGAAGTGTAGAAGCGGGCCGTTGGCGGGATTTCATTTTCTCAAAGCTCAATGCCAAGGCGCGTGGTTGGGTAGGTACAACCGACGTCATTGCTCCGAGGTCCTCGCGCTACACGAACTCCTCAACACCATGGCTCACAGTTCGAGGGCGGCGCTGTGGCGTCTCAGGCTGTGCACTCGATGCGATTGGTTCCGATCCGCGCCATCGAAAGCCCGCACATGGTCACCGAAGAGCCGAAGCTTCCACTCCAGCAGCGCAAAACGCACCGATGGCGTCTTCCGGGAGCTCACCGCGATGCGAGTCCGCACACCATGGATAGAAGCTCTGCGAAAGCAGCAGGCAGAGGGCAAGGATCCTACCGCGGCTTCGGGAAAGCCTGAAGTGCCCAAAGATCGCAAACTGTCTCCGAAGCGCATGGACGACAGCTACCACTCCGTTGTCCTCCCACTGGCGCAGGACCCATGGCTGTTGGATACATACCTCAATTCATCGGGGCATATCCGGCTTGGAACCATCTTCATGGATCTCGATGCACTTTCAGGCATCATCGCGTAAGACCCAACACTTACGCGTGGTCTTCAGAGCCTCTAAACATCTACCTAGATACAAACACACCGGCGACGATGTAACGACTGTCACCGCGAGCTGCGACCGCATCGTGATCAACCACCCGTTGACCGAGATATGCGATCTAGAGCTATCTGGAAAGGTCACGTACGCCACGGGCAGAAGCAGCTTGGAAATATCTATGCAGGTCGCTAAAGCGCCGAAGGAAGGGGAGGAGGTCAAGGACCAGGATGTCCTTATCCACTGCACATTCACCATGGTATCGCTGGATCCTGGCACAAAGAAGTAGGGCTCGCTATATTGGAGCGACACCTGGGAATGCCTCGCTGACACCCTTCAGGCCAGTCAACGTAAACCCGCTTATAGTCGAGACTCCAGAGGAGAAACGCCTCTTCAAGCTCGGCGAGCGCAACTCCAAGATCCGCAAACAGCGCAAAGAAACTGCGCTCATCAAGCACACTCCCAACGATCTTGAGAGCGATCTCATCCACGCATTCTGGCAGAAGCAGCTGCTATACCACGATCCCTATGACGAGCAGCGCAAACCCGGTACGTAAAGCTACAATACAAGCTCTTTGTTTCGGGCTGAAGTGCACCTTGGAATGCTTTTCTGGAGGTACCCCAGTGTGCCGTCTGGAGTGCGACGGAGCTGCAGATGGACCCCGCTGACCCCGTATGCCCACACAGATAATGTTCATTTTATGGACAGCACGCGCCTCCAAACCGCCACCATCATGATGCCGCAATTTCGCAATCGTCATCACTTTATGATCTTCGGAGGTTTTCTCCTTAAGCAGACCTTCGAGCTCGCGTTCACCACTGCCGCTGCATTCGCGCACGCTAGACCTACCTTCGTCTCGCTCGACCCCTCGACATTTCAAAACCCGGTGCCTGTCGGAAGCATATTATACCTGACAGCGACAGTAGTCTATACGGATCCTCCGCTCATTGGGGCGCCAGGGGAGCAGTTCGACCAGGAGAGTAAATACACGAGGGTGCAGGTTCGGGTGGATTCGAAGGTGCGCGATGTTGAGCATGGGCGGTCGAAACCTACAGGCCAGTTCAATTACACCTTCACTGGTACGTTCAGTCAGCCGTGTGAAGCTGAGGAGGCATGCTAACATTGCGCAGTGGAGAAGAACATACGCGTTATGCCGCGAACGTACCACGAATACATGATGTACCTCGATGCGCGACGGCGAGCGGAACAAGTCAGGCAGACCCTCGAGGAGGAAGGCGTTGAGCTGAGTCCGAAGACGGCGGAAGAGAGCGTCACGGAGTAGGCCAGCCTTAGGCGACGGAGCTGAAGTGAAATATCTATATTGCTAAACGCGCAACGACTGCGGTCTATGGATATAATTAAGCAAGACACAATCTGGACATGAAAGCGCGCTCCGAAATGAGACCAAGGTCTAACTATTAATCCAACCTTAAAAGCATTGAACCTCCAGACCAAAAACGCGCCAGTGCCAGGACGCTGGAACCGCTAGATGGGAAAAGGGAAAGGTATCTAGCGCGCTGTAAATGCCATCAATGTGGAATCGTATGTGTAATCGTGTGCGGAGTGGAGAGAAAGGGAAGTCGTGAGTCGTGTTCGTGGGTGTTTGGTTTGGGGCGGCAGGGAACGGAAAGCGGTGAGGGCGTTAATTCCGAATAGCTCCGGCGGTGGATGCGGCGGAGTGGGGCGGGAGTTTAGGAGCTGAGCTGCGAAATCGGGTGAGCTTCATTCCTCCCTTAACACTCCGAAAAGTTGCGATTTGCGCCGAGGGCGAAAGGGTGCTTACCCAGAAACTCATGCGCCTGAAAGGTGCTGCACAAATGTTTACAACTCGTCGAGCTCAAACTCCAGCGCAACGTCCTCGCTGCAGTCCGAGCAGTAGTAGTTCGAGAAGCCGCCGCACTGCACTGTCATGTTCTTGCACATATCGATGCTCCACGCATCGTACGAGTATCCGGACAGAAGGCGGTTGTGGCAGACTTCGATGGTGTTGGCCCTTGCGATCTGTTAGCCCGGCTGTCGCACGCATAAGAGGTCCGAGGTTCTGGACTCACCAGATGTAGTAGTCGTGGTTGCAGTAGTACCACGAGTAAGTGAAGGAGCACATTTTGCCTGGGGGTTTCCGGGTGCGGCTCGAGTGTGTGGGTGGGCGTGGGGTGTCGGGTGGTCAGCGAGCTGAATCGAGGCTGCGAATGAGGGTTCCGCGATTGCAATGTGTCTCTGTACTGGTTGTCAGCCGAGTGCTCTGCTGAGCGGCTGCCTGCTGCCTTGCTCGCGTTGCGCGTCCCGCGGCTCTGAGAATGAGGGTTCTGGACCGAAGGGTGGTGCGTCGCGAGGCTGAAGAAGCTAGGGAATGAGATGGAATGAGGATACTCACCCAGGTGGAAAGCCGAAGAATCCCAAAAGGACCGTCGCAATGCTCGCAAAGAGACTCGAACGAAAGCAATGAAAGTACTCCGCAACGTGCGTGTGTATGAACCGTAGAACGTATGTATGTCCAACTCTTCTTTTCCTTCCACTTTTCTATCTTTCCTCTCACCGTCCACGCGACCTAGACTTTTGGAAGGAATAGGGAAACAAAGATTCTTTGTCCAGACCAGGGAGGGGACAAGGCGCGGTTTATATGCCGCCTCTTTGTCTGACTTCTTCGCCCAAGAGGAAGCTCGGGCCCGCTTCGCCGCTCCGAAGGCTCCAATATCGTCCCCGGATTATTAGTTGCACCTGTGATAAGTTTGATTAGGGTGAGGCGGCCTGCTGGGATCCACATGGATGGTCGGCTCGGGGGATACACCTGCATGCCTGCAGACGCGTGGGCATGGATTCGAGGCGGTGGACGTGGCCGTGGCTTTTTGGAATGCCGCCCGCGAGATGCAAATGCATGCCATGTACAACGCGTCTTGCATGTAGAACACGAATACCTCCCCTATTCGGGCATTCGAATATGCTCTTTAGCCATGTCCTCGTTCTGAAGGTGCGAAGTAGAATGCCCAAACGACCCCATGTCTCCGATAACCGGTGAGTGGAACTTGGACCCTGGATCTACTTTGTGTACAGGACCCTGCATTTGACCGTCCCCGGCCTTGCCGTTTGGAAACCATTGGTTGGACCGCAGCCGAAAGTCACCCCAGGTTCGCGAAACATATTCAGAAAGCGTCTAGCCGTGCTCCATAAGAGGAATGAGTGTAAGCCTGGAGCGGTCGATCGGCGTGTGTGGAACGGTTAGACGGCCTGCTCCAGCCTTTGGTGTGCGGCCTGATAGATAGGCAACGAGCAGCTGCTCCGGCTCCCCCCCATGGGAACGAGAATCATGAACCAAGATGTGTCAACTCCGCAATGCATGCAAAACGCCCTTTCAAGGCGGGGTCTTCAACCCCCTGGCGCATCGGCAACCCCAAGAAACGCCGCCACGGATTCTTCCTCTTTCGATATTGATAAATTGTGCTCCTCCGACTCGCTAATAAGGTTATCGTCATCGACTAGCGTGCTGGTTATCGATTGGCGTTCTCCGCAAGGCCCGCTAAGCATTCCGTGCTCTCCTGTGCGACTTCACGGTGCTCGCGCTGACTCTCACCGCCCGTTGCGCGCGCAGAAGGGCATGGGGCATGGGCGGATCATTGGCTGTCGAGTGCATGCTGAAAGAAAGAAAGCTGCCGGTCGGCCAGATCGCCCTTCTGCCGGGTGGTGCTTGGAGAAAGGCCATGTTGACTGACTCGCACGAGCGCGGGGCTGCATCTGCTTCGAAACGAGCGAGACCGGTAAGAGATGTCGTGCTGTCGAGTGGCTCCGAAGATTCTGTTTTTGTTCCCTCTCTCGGCATCTTGCTAGACGGACATTCGAGGCCGAAAGGCTGTTCGGGGGCCTTGGAGAGTTCTGGGCTCGGCCGACATAGTGAGATTGGCGAGTCGGAATCGGATTGCTCACCATGGTGAGTCAGCCTGGCGTGTGCAAAGATGGTGCAGGAATGGGAAGACCTTTGGCTGCAGTGTTTGAGATGGACTTCATACAAGCTTCGATCGGAGCGGGCGGGCCTACTGCTGATACCGAGGTATGGACTAGACTATAATGGAAGCGCGGTGAGCTACACATCTGCTCTCCAGGGCTAGCAATTACCATAGAAGCTGATACTGAACAATGAGACGTATTGGCATCATTCAAAAATCGTATCCGCTAATGTCCCTACGGAGCGCTGAATCCTCACAAGCTCCCCACTGTCCTCTCCATCACGTCCTTCCTTTACGACCTCGGGATAGAGATACTCCTCATGCTAAACCCTACCAGCCCTTCAAAACCATCAGAATAACACAATCTCCTCAACTAGAGGATTACTCTCCCAAAAATCCCCTCCCATCATCCCATATACGTACGCGCTGCTCACGAGTTGAAACCTATTTTCATCTCCTCGTCGAAGCAAAAAGGGTATTGTCGAGCCTTCGAGCATGTAGACCACATCACCGACCTGAGTAGCATCTGGTGCACTACCCAGATATCCATTCGTGGTGATGAAGATGTGGCGATTGCCGATAGGCTGGTTCTGAAGGACTGAACGTAGGCCGTCTTGTCTTTCTCTCTCCATACCTTCTTGCCCAGTAAGATTTTCGTCGCCCTGCACTGGCCGTCGCGAATTTCTAGCCTCAGCCTGAGCGTGCTCTCGGGTCTTTGTGCAGTGCGACTCTCCTCGCTGAAAGAGGGCCTTCATTGTCACCGTGTATAGTTCCCTGTGCCACTGTCTCCACGCCCATAAATAGGGATAGACAACCTGCGCAATCGCTTCTCGAACAGGCAGCGAGGATGGTCTCCCTTTGAACAGAACCTTGACCGCATTCACCATAACTGGTACGTCTGGTAACGCACCCGAGAAATGCAATACCCGATCCACTGCATCGATCCTGGCTCCATTTAACAGCAACTCAGTCTCCCCTATCCGTTGACTCGTCAACCCCGGCCACTCGTAGGAGCCAATCACTATAGAAATCCAATGTTCGGGTTTGATCCCTGTGTGTCTCCAGTCTATCACCCAACTGGGACAATCTATATCGGATTTTCGATGAGCGAGACCGGAAAACAGCAGTACTTCTAACCCGCTTCGAACAAGTAAATGCCTCGTAGCCTGTGCGAAGACGGCAGCGTCCGGTGTTGTGTAGTCTATGGTGATGGCATCGCTGGCTTCTTCGTCGAGCAGGCCGAGAAATGCGTAGATCCGATCTTTCGCCTCGCTCGCCTCCAGGTGCGACTCATTGCAAGTAAATCTCATTACACTTGCCAGATTTAAACCCACACTGCAGCGTCGATAAATCTCTTGTAGAGCCACAATCGGTCGTCTCGAAAAATACAGGTTCGCAGCTCTAGACATCCCGTCCCCTGCCTCGCTGCCGTCATGTAGAACGTCTTCCCGCCACGAAAGAAGTGCTATTGCAGCGCATAGTTCAGTCCAAGGTACTACTGCGTTACCGCATTTCAATACCGCTGTTCTTGCTACCAGGACTTCTTGAATAACCCATGCACGTCGCCAATATGGTCTGTGCATTAATTGGATTATCGACTGTTCGGCCTCCTTGTCCAGTATTCTGGATAGTTGAACACATCGCACGGCATGTTGCCCTAGCCCAAGCCGCTGTTTGGCTGTCATCTGAAATAAATGCAGACCGCAGATGTCTGGAATGTTGAAGCACGAGGCTAGTATGGCTAATTTTCTGATCTTCTTCATCCCATGGTCACTTAAGTCGTCTCCAGCGCCGAGCCAAACAATGACTTCAACCGCGCTCTCGTATATCTTCTTCATCTTCTGGACTTGGTGGCTTCTTTCGACATCGTCCTTCTGATTGATACACAACGCGTCTATCCATAGGCTCTTGACTCCATCCTTGCGAAGCTGAAACAATGCATCGGCGAGATTAGTCGTGACTTGGGCTTCGCGATCATCGACCAGGATTCGTCGCGTTATCTTTGGATCGCCCCAGACGTAGGATAGCGCCCTATAGACCAGGCTCTCGTCGATCGAGCAGTGCCGAATCGTACATCGTAGAGTATCCGGGTCCTCGGTATCGTCCGCAGGGAGGAGCTCCAGCAGGCGGATCTGGTTTTCGGAGTCGTTCAAGGGTTGGTAAAAGGAGGGTGCACGGGGCTGGACGAGAGTGGGGCCGTCATCCCGCGTCTGTTCGGCGCTAGACTGGTGCTCCATTCTATAGTGGCTGTTGTTCAAAGACGCAAACGGTGCGTACTGGAGTGGAAGTGAGAAAGCGGGTAGCACTGAGAAGAAATGGTGAGTTCAGGCAGCTGCCTTTCGATTCAGCCTCGCACGTGCGGTGTGGCTGTGTATTATGTAAACAACGCTGCCTCATTGGTTATCTTGGCCTCATCCAGTCACCTCCTCCCACTTCTTCCTCGCATCACCAACAGCATCGCGACCCAAGACAGCCTTCTGATACCGAACATCGATCCAAATGAACGGTTCGGCTTCCTCGTCCGGCTTCTCTTGCCATTGCGCCGCCTTCAGAAGCCGATCGCGCTCTTCTTGCTCCGGCCCGTCGTCAAGATGATACAAGTGCTGATTCGATACGGACCCTGAATGAAGAGTCGTGGTCCGGGATTTTTGAAGCGACTCGTAAAGTTTCAGCGTTTCTCGCAAAGTCAGGTGCTGACACGATTTGGTATGGGCTTGTTGGTAGAGCCCGAGGAGGGTGGCAATGATGGCCCCGTCTTCGACGGCCATGGCTGCGCCTTGGGCTTGGTAGGGGAGGGATGGATGACATGCATCGCCTAGTAGAGCGACATTGTCCTGGGTTCAAGTTATCGTAAGATTCTGAACGGGCGTGCTTCGATAGCGAGTAAAGTGCTGACCTTTGTCCAGGAAGCAAGCTCGTTGTGATGCATCATCTTCCATCTTAGGACGGAAGAGAATGCCGTTAGGATCTTCGTCAGCCTGTGTGAGAGGTTATGTCAGTATGAATATGCCACCTAAGCTTATATGAAACTTACACAGGATCCCAACCTTCGAAAACTGCTTTCATCTCTTGTATATTGCCCTCCTCCGTCTTCACACCGGGCGGTAGATCGTCCGGACGGGCCATGACGAGATTGAACTCTTTGCCACATCTCACCGGATAGAACACTGCGTGGCTCTCGGGACCAATCCACATGGTTACCATACTCTGTCTACAGAGCACATCGACTGCTGGGCTTTCGAGCGCTTGCAGAGCCGACAGAGAGAATGTCCCCCGATAAGCTAGATCGCCAGTCTCTTGTGGTGGGGAATTACGGCCAAGAATTCGATCGCGCAGAGTGGACCATAGACCTGAGGCAGTGTTAGAACCCGAAGGAGTAGAACGGAACTAGGACGCAGTTACCGTCCGCGCCAATGATTACGTCTCCGGATATCATTGCTCCGTTCCTCAAAGTCACCCCTGTGCGCTCAAAATCGATGTCTTGAACGTCAGCCTTGAGCCTCAATTCGACACCCAAACGTTTGGCTTCCTCAACAAGCACCCGTTGGTAATCTGCTCGATGGATGACGCTAGGAACGTCAGCCTCCAGACGACTGGATAAGAACAACGGTCTTACAACCACGGCCATCGTTCATCCAGCTCCTCTCCAACGCTCCGTGAGCACAGCAACTCTCCATCCTTCCAGCGCCTGAGCTGGGTCGCCTTGGAGATGATGGAATACTCTTTTAATCGGTCAAGGAGCCCGTATTGAGCCCAGATACGTGAGGCATTGGGCGGTATCTGGATTCCTGCTCCCACCTGCGCATAATGAACAAATTATTCTACCCGTACGGATACAAGACCATCTCGGTCTCAACCGCGAACGACCAGACTATACGCACGGATGTAAGCTGCTCTACCCTCTCGAGCACAACGACATCCAGTCCCTGCCTCCGCGATGCAATCGCACAGGCCAGGCCACCGATTCCGGCGCCAACAATCACAATCTTGAGCGGCTGAGCCATGATTTGGCAAACGGTGAGCTTTTTGAGATGAGGACCTCGAACCTGAGCAACGGGTATCTAAAAAGCCAAACGCTGGAGCTGGGCTCAGCTGACAGCCCTGTCGCAGGTTTAGTAATAGGAAGCATACCATCGGTAATTTTTCAAGGCTCATGGGTGCACGATCCGGCGTACGTGGGCTCCACAAATCCTGTCGTACCGGCCAATACCTGCAACCCGTCTCTATTTCTCGTCGTAGTGCATTCGCTGGGAAGTTTTCTGGTACACTCACCTGCCGGGCACGGGTCAAAAAAGTACATACGTTCCCTCGAACTGGAAGCATACCTCGTGCCATGATTGGCTGCCAGGGGTACCTAGATAGTGGGTAACGCATGTAAGGCAACGCCCGGAAACTATCAGCAGGAGTATAATATCCAGCAAATCGCGGCACAGCAGTAAACAGGGAACCACCATGGTTCGCGGCAAATGCAAGCCTGCGACCTTACCGGTGGTTCTTCTAGAACTCGGAGTCCTTGGTTCAATTTCACGTGTCTCAGTCCAGCGTCCCCATCTTCAACTGCGACTCAGGGCCTGCACGATAAGCAACAGCGAGCTACAAACATCGCTAGCTAAGGCAAGGCGAATTTATTTCAGATCCTGTGTCTGAGCAAGGGATGTTGACATTGATTCGCGTTGACCTTTTACGTGCGCCGGATATGGAACGCCAGATTTAAAAAACCCCTCTTTTCGCCAATATAAAGAAGGAAGGTATCGTCTCAGCGCCGTCGACACAGAAACGCTTTAAGTGCTCAACCAATCCAAGAACTCGGGAGTGAAATAGCTCACGACAATCGAAGCACCGGCTCGCAGAATCCCCTGGGTAGCCTCCTCAGCCATCGTCCTTAGATCGAACACTCCTGCCTTCGCTGCGGCGTGGATCATGGCGTACTCGCCAGACACTTGGTACGCCGCGATGGGCATGTCTTTGCCAATTTCCTTCGCGTCGCTGATGATGTCGAGGTACTGGCTGGCAGGCTTCACCATGATGATATCCGCCCCCTCGTTGATGTCGCGTGTAATAGCTCGCCGTGCCAGACCACGACCGCCCGGCGGAAGCTGGTAGCATCGCCGGTCGCCAAATGAAGGACAAGATCCCGCGGCATCGCGGAAAGGACCGTAGAGGCATCCAGAAAACTTGGCAGAGTATGACATAAGCACTACCTGATGTGCAATGCCAGCCTCAATGAGCTTGAGTTTGATTGCTCGAATACGCCCGTCGTTCATATCTGACGGGGCGACGCAGTGAGCGCCAGCCGTCGCGTAAGCCATAGCCACATCACTAATGCGGTCTACCGACAAAGCGTTGTTGAGGCTGCCATCGTCTCGCAGAATACCGCAGTGTCCGTGTGAAGTGTACTCGCAGAGGCAGACGTCGGCCACAATGAAGAGGTCGGGGAAGGATCGTCGGAGGAGCCGGATGGCCTTGATTACGGGGCCCTTGGGATCATCCGCTGCGGTGCCCAGAGCGTCTTTCGCCCCCGGCGCAACTGGCACGCCGAACAGAATAACCGACTTCAGACCCTTCTCCACGAGCGGTGTCAGGAACGGAACGATCTTATTGAGGCCCCGGCGATGCTGGTTCGGGAGAGAGGGAATGAGCGTCTCCTCGTCCGGCTGGTCGGATATGAAGAGGGGGTAAATGAGCATCGACTGTTACAGGTATTAGCTCTTATGTACCGTAGGGCGCAAATGCCATTCCGAGCTTACCTTTGTTAGTTGCCGTTCGGCCTGCCATGCTCTTGCAAGCGGATGGCTGTATCCTCCGTGCAATTGGCTTGAAATATCGCCCACGATGCTGACGCTCGTTGCGGCAGTGCTGGTGTATGATCGCGCCTTCGAGGCTTGCGAGCGCAATTCTTCCTTGTCCGCATTCCGATATGCGATGTCTGAGACGAGCGACGAGAAAGACATGGTGATCGGTTCGCGAGGAATCAACGGGCGGTAGCAGAAGGACAGCGGAGAAAAGAGGATGCGCAGGAGGGAATCGAGCTGAAGGAGTAAGCAGGCCTGAGGAGTGCTTTATGGCGGGCTGTGGAAAAAGTGACGGAGTGGCGGGTGTGAGAATGATCGGCAAGCCGAGGATGTCGACGTTTCACTCCGAATCCTTGCAACCAGCGAGCGGCTAACACGGTCAATTCCTTGCCGGGGCAAGAGGACAGCGCGGTCGAGTTTAGTCCGAGAGATGGGAGAGATATTGAAGAGGATAGCTGACTTGTACGATGCCGGCACAAAAGTTTAGAGTGGCACTTCCGAGACTTCTCCGCTGTGAGTAAGCCCGTGCCCTGATTGGATAGTTCCAGAAAGGGCTTAGCGCCTAAGCGAAACATCACGACGCTGATTGCACACCGTAACTCCATCACACTCCGACACCAAATCATGTGGCTGCGTTGATGTCTTCCCTAGTCCGAAACACTCTACGGAATGCTTCTAAGCCGGCTTGGTGAGGTTCGCTGAATATGGTGTATAAGCTCTGCGCGACGCCACTTACTCGACTACGAACTTGCACCTCTACGGATGCCTTCTCATGCGCGTCTGTTTACTGCTCTATTTATGACACTCTGGGGGTCTGAGGCACATTCAAAGTGTAGGTTCAGCTAGAGCGCTGTGTTCTATCCACATAGGTCTGGATGTCTTCACCCCAGCTGGTGGGAGCCAATACACTACCCGCTGTTAACCATGCATATGCTTTCCAGAGCAGCGGTATATCTATGGTTGATATCCGCAAATCAGCCATAATGTAGCTCTTTCTTCTAGCGCCCCTTACTTATTCAAAAGTGTCCCTTTCCAACTCCGGCCTCCTTCGCCAACCACACCGCCACACTCTGGGAAAACTCTAGATACAGGAAGAGCTGGTTGAGATACAGCTCAGCCTACTACACCTTCAAATCAAAAACAGAGCCAGCTCCTGACATGCGTGAGTACCAGATGGTGCAAGTCATCGTTTCGTTTTCCTCTTTTCATCAACAAACACTCCTGATGGCGATTTCGCATGTTGTCACTGTCCGTTTACACACCGCCCTTCACTCTGGCTTTGCAACCGCGGGCACTCTGGCAACGACTGCAATCACGTCATGGCCTCCCAAACAACAATAAAAGTTTTCGCCGACGCGTCTGTCCTTCCGTCACCACCTTCTTTCGACCGACGACCTCAAGCGCACTCTACCGCCTTCGCGCTTTCTCGTCTGTGGGTTACTCTGTGGGCTACTCTGGGGATCGCACGTCTTTCCGAAGCGTCAGAACCGTCTTCTTCTACAAGCGTACTACCGCCTACGCGCTTCTATCTGTGGGCTTTCCGGGGGCTACAAGCTGTTCAAACCGTCACATCTACATTCGTGCTCCAACGCATCAAACCAACCAACCCAAGTTCCCAACAATGGCGTCCAGAAGCCGCAACTTCTTGCCGCTGTCCTCGGTCATCTTCAGGCGCAGGTCTGAGCAAGACTTACGCGATACGACTCAGTCCACCAACTACCAGCAGTCCGCGACTACAACTGCACTCCTCGACAACATCGATGAACAGGCCGATGACGACGACGATGACGAGATCACTGCTCTTCCCTCCACGGCCCCGTCTGCGTCCTCCAAGGCTTCCCAGAAGAAGAAGAAGAAGGCAGATACCGTCACGCCGCCGGCCAACCGCGGCACCCCGTCCCCCGGCCCCGCCACCACCCAGGTGGGCGCCGTCACTGAGCCGATCCTCCGCCGAGAGGTGGAGTCGGGATGGGACAAGTGGGTTGCCAAGATGAAGAAGCCGTTCAGGAGCATCAAGGCACGCCTCGGAGAGAAGAAGCGGCCACGCCCGCAGATCAGCGGTCCCACCAACTTCCAGCACTCGGAGACCGGTGGAATCGTCGGGATTAGGGATGAGCGCGGTCGTCTCCCGCATGAGCGCGAGCGCGAGCAGCAGCGAGGCGTTGGTGGTGCGAGGGTCGAGCTATGAAACGGCTTGAGCATGGCATCAGGGGGGCTGAATAGCTTCACGGCCTTTTCCAACGGCGATTGTAAGAATACATCATAGCAGGAGACACCCCAGGCCTCTACAAGAGAGCCAAGAGGAGGATAACCTTATTAGCATCCCGACCTCGCCTAATAACTACCAATACAATGAATGATTCCAATCCATCTAATCCCTATCCACACTAATAGTATGCTCCACCCTAATATCCTGCCCCCTCTCCGCCCTCAACTCATCCAACTGCCTCTCCTCCACATACACCAACCCCGTATCCTCCAAACTATCCCCACTCGTACTCCCAAACCTCGGACTCCCCGGCCCACTCCGAAACCACTTCGCAAAGTTCTTGCTCGCCCTGCTGCTGCCGCTGTCCACCGTGTACGCCGGGCTCGGCAGCGGCGTGTTGGACGGCGTCGGCTTCAGCTTGTCGCTCTTGTTTGTGCCGCTTTCGAGGTCCAGGCCCATGGGCGCGGAGGCGCGCGAACGCGAGCGCGAGCCAGAGGGCGTTACTTTTGAGACGATTTTGCCGAAGGAGGAGGTTAGACGCGGGAAGATGAGGAGGGCGATTACTTTTACGCTGGGCGCGCAGGCGACGACTACCGCGAGGTGGTTTTCGATTACGGACCAGATCATGGCGTTGGCGAAGCGATCTGAGTATCGGTGTTAGTGATGGAAGACTCGAGCTATAGGGAGGAGTACTTACATGTGAAGTCGGGTCGAGTGGCGAACATATGGACCGAATAGACACGGGCGGCGCTGGCTGCCAGGACACTGTCATATATTAGCCCAGCTCATCGATGATAACTAGTGACAGACTCACAGTCCACCAAGGGCGAACAAACAATTCAGCCCAATCCGCTGGGGCCTCCTCAACTGCAAATGCCACGTGAAAATCACAGGCATAATATACAACACCAAATCCGTGGCCAGCATAATATTCGCATTAAAGTAAAAGAAGATATTCATATTAGCGCACCAGCCGGGCGCTGTAGCATCCCAAGCCTTGCGAATAGGCCGGCATTGGAAGATGTCGACGAGGATGCTGCTGCTGCCGAAGCCGAAAGCCACAAAGTGCATGATGTAGATGCTGATGTGGTGCGATTTCTCGCGCGTGATCTCCGAGTAGAAGAGCAGGAGCGCGTGCTTGACAGCCCAGTTGCAGAGGAAGTAGAAGACGTTGGAGGCGATGACGAGCTGGGGACGGGTTAGTGGACGGGGAAAGGAGAGGGGGATGGAGGCGTACTTTGACGATCTTAGGCATGTTGGCGGGATCCACATCTGCTTGTTGGATCCCGAGGCCGAGGCCGGTTCCAACGATCTGGAAGATGGAAAAGATGGTCGCCGCGACCGCAGCCACCGTGATCAAAGCTATCAATTCATTAGCATTCAGTGATGGAGGCCACTGGAGGAGAAGTACTCACCATCGTGCCAACTGAACTTCCCAACGACGAAGATTCGTCGCCCAGCTCTCGAGCAGGTCGCCGCAAATGTGAGAGCAATGAGAAGGGCGTTGAGCCAGATAATGGTAGGCCGTTGGTCATACATTGCGGCTCCTCTGGTCCGAGAGCCTCACGTGTACTCAAGCTAATGGTACGTGAACAGGACAAGTCAGAGAGAGAAGAGACAGTCACTCTGTCTCAGTCGAAGGAGCAATAAGAATACAAGATAAAAATATGTGATAATACAACAGAACCGGAAGAGCAGAAACGCTTGAAAACAGCAGGATGATGAGAACACCGCCTCCCCACCGGATGACTCTGGCCTTAAGACCTGTCTCGCAGCTCGCTGAGCATACACTTGCAAAAGTAAGCAACACAGAACTAGCCCCGCACCCTCGTTCAAATGCCGCGCACTGCTGTCGCTTACAGTTACACGACCTATGACAAGTTAATATAGATGCAAGGCTGCAAGCGCTGAACGAAACATCTGCACGTTGTCAGCCAATCGTAGCCGCGCACGAAACATGCAGCTGCCGTCATCCAGTCGGTCAGCCCTAGGCTCGCTCAAGACAGCCTTTACAAAGGGCCGATCACAGGCGTGAGATTTGAACACGCAACGTGGAGAACCGGGGTGTGGAGTGGAACGGGAGCGGTGAGGTCGATCGCGGGCACCGTCGGGTAGGGCCGTGGAATTACTTGTGATATAAGGAATCCTGTGGACTATGAGGATGCCGTAAATCGCTGAAGCTCCAAGCATTCTGGATATTGCACTTTAAGACAGGAGAAATCCTGCTCGTAAAGCATCCTGCTGTGCACCACAAGTAGATGACGACCAGGCGTTCCTCAGGTGAGCGGCGTCCGCCCAACAACGGGAGGATGCCGTCGAACCGTCCCGCCTCCGCACCCCTCTAAGCTGAAAATAATGCAATGGATCACGCTGTCTCCCCTTGGCTCAGGGTGATAGGACGATCGCCGTTGGCGACCGTTCTTGGTGGCTGCTCAGCGCGATTGACATTGGGCGTTGATGAGGGCTTATCGGTGTCGCTGTAGGGCTGGCGCTGTACGCGCTAAGCGACGCTGGATTTATATTGCTTAGCGAATAGTTCCTCTCCGGTGGATCCACTACCCTGTAATGTGGTACCCTGTTTCGGCCATCAGCCGACGTTTTCGGCATAAAGTCCTTCGTGGGGAACGACTCGCATGGGCGGAAGCTTTGTGAGCTAAATTAAACCTCACCGACGCTCGATGGGACCAGAAGGCTTTCCGCTGGGCGTTTACGCCCGTTGAAGATCACCCTAGGAACCCGCAGCCACAACCGATGCCGTAGAGTAGCGCAGAATTGGCAGACGGAGACTGATTCTGGGCATTCAATATTGTCCACAGGCAGAGCGTGCGCCATTTCTTTTGCCCTATATCGTGCTTCGTCAATCTGGAATGGAGCGGTGTGTTCGCAGTGTTCTCTCCTCTGGTGGGGCCAAAATAATCCACTCCCTCAGGCGTTCTTGTTGGATGCACGCGGAAAACTTCCCTGAAATGACCCTCGGCAACGCCTGTTCGTTTCACAAGCGCCTGGTATATAGCGAAAGGGACCGAGCTTAGTAGTGGTAAGGATCTATTCCTTTCTTCCGCGTGGCCTCACTGACCACTTCTGATAGTGGATAGCTGTGTAACCCGAGAGACGAATCCAGTGAAGAGAATAAGGAGCAATTCCTGAAATAGACCGCAACACTCCGTAAAAGGGCCGTGATGGGCTGAGCGCCATGTTTGCTGCCATAACAAGGGACGGGAGACGAACCGGTGTACGGCGTGGGCACCGCTTGCAGCTTTGCAGGTCGCTGCAACTTCGTCACACAAAGGGGTCGGCCTCAGGAGCGGTAGGGGATGTCGTGCAAAGTCTGGAGCAGTTCCTCTTGTAATCAGGTTCTGGTTTTCGGAAATATTTTTCGACGATCACTGTAGCTGGCCGGCCACGTGGGGGATTCGTGCAGCGTCCCGGTCCCCTATTAGTAAACCTAGCACTCCAGGGCTTCCAAGGTTCTGCGAAGTTTTTCTCCTGCGCTATTACCAAGTTGGTGCGTAACAAAGAGGACAAAGGTTTGTTTTGGATTGGAAACTTAGCTATACCTAAAGTTCTCGTGTGGACAACGGACGCTCGGCAAAGCTGATCCGGTATGATGCGGAGTAGGGTCACGTGCTGGGACGCCTAGTGACGCACTCGATTTCAGCTATCCATGAATGTCTGCAACGACCGTGGTAATATTAGTTACCACTCCGAGTCGACTTTCAAGTACGGCGTCCTGCTCTTCGTTAGCAATGTCTGACCCGAGCGCAAAGCCGAACCCTTTCTCCGGTCCGGGCATCGTGCAGAGCTTCATTAAGCTCCGCAAGGACTCCCAGCTATCGGAAGAGGTGTTGTGGAAGTGGTGGGATGGAGTGTATATCCCCGCACTGCTGGAGACCGGCGTTGTCAAGTCCGCATGGCGCTGGAAAGCGGCCAACCAGGACTATGACAAGCAGCACATGATAATATACAAGATTCCGGAGATGGCGGAGGTAGCAGCTCAAAAGCTCAGGGGAGTTCCACGGACTAGCGACATGTTCCCGACGAGCGGACCCGTCGACGACTTTACAGAGCTAGAAGTGAGATGTCTCACGCTCACGCAGCTGTACGAGACGGCTAAGCAGCCAGAAGGTACGCGCTTTGCTCATAGCGGAGTGTGCGTTGTATCGAGTCGGCTCCTGACATAAGCAGATGCGGCTACAACGATTATCTACGCGGGCATGCAACCAACGTCGGGCGGAGAGGCGGACCTGGATGCCTGGTACAGAGAAGAACACAATGATCAGATGTCAAAGGAACCGGGATGGAAACGGACGTCGCGATTCAGCCTTCTCTACCAGGACCGGAACGACGGGAAGGAGCCTGGCGGGCTTGGCTTCCTGGCAATCCACGAGTTTGGAGAGGGGAACAAGATCGGAAAGGACGTCGAGCCTTTAGATCCCATGACGGACTGGACCAAGAGGTGTATGAGCGAATGCAAGGCGATCGATGCTGCCGTTTACCACAAGGTAAAGAGTTTCGGGAAGGCGGCGGATGGGGCGTAGGCGAATGGACCGCCAATCACACAACGCCTCCACTCATATGCTCGAACCTAGGGAAAGCTGGTGTCGTAAAAGATGGGAGCGCGATGAACGGAACAGGGGCAGGGCCGAGAGGAACCCACATGATATCTACTTTCGGTTAGCGCGCCCGCACGGGCCTGACGTGACATCGTCGTCAGATGGAAACTCCGCTCATGCTCATCTGTGCATCATCGTCAAGTCAACTCAAACTATTAAAGCTCTTCCAAGGTTGCTTTGCTGGTCAATTGCATGCTAACCACCCGTCTCGACTAACGTTCTCGAAGCTCCCAAGTGACACTATGACAGACTCGTTGGCCGCATTCAGAGATCGCAGAAGCAAGGAGCTCCGGAAGTTGGCGGAAGAGCATCTTCAGCATGAGTGCGTCCCAGAGTTTATTGCCATCGAAACAATGCTAATGTTGCGCAGCTTGAGGCAGTCAGATCGCGATATCCTGCGCAGTGCAGGAGGCAAAGTCTCAACCCACGCGCAGCTTGGCTCTCTGCTGGGCATAAGCTTCGGCCTCTACTGTGCTATTCGACTGCGCAGTATGCGGCAGGCCTACTTCAATGCATTCAGGGCAATGGAGAAGCCAATTGAGATTAAATTTGCCGACGGTCGAACATGTGGGCATCTACATGCCCCTACGAGCGTCCAACCGCTAACATCCGTATCTGCCAGCCCCAATTCCCGATATCACGAATCAACTAGCACCCTCCAAGTGGAGTGATGCCGCGACCTACTTCTTCTTCTCCGTGGGAGGCTTGTTCCTCGGCGGCGAGCTTGGCTTCTTGACTGGTACCGCGTCGGCGTCGAGAACGATCGAGAAGGACCCGGAAGCGAGAGAGCGGATCGAGAAGGCTTTCAAGAAGTACCGCATCGATGTGCTGAAGCAGGAGATAAAGCAGCTGGAGGGGAACAGCAAAATGGAACAGATCTTTGGCTCTTGAGACGCAAAGCGCCAGGATTTTGCCATAACGGCACCCCCTGTGTCGGGAACAACCCCGCGAGCACATGAATTCTTGTATATATCTGATCTTGTTCTTGGATGCAGTGTCAGTCTGTATTTGCAGTGAGGAACTGCGTCCCTGGCGTATAGATGAATCCACACCTTAATCTGGGCATGTTTGCTGTTGCGGCCAAAGGCTAAAGCATCCTATACTCACCGTTACGTGCTAGTTGTGCGCCGGCGATTTTACCAAGCCCTTCCGCAGCCAGCGGCCACGCGGCCAGTGGGAATCGTTGGCGGGTCCATGTGGCTGAAGCCTGAGGATCCCTGCGCGCATTGGTGGTTGACGTCATTGCCGACCCACAGAAATCTTCGAGCGGTCCGCCGGCGTCTCGTTGAGCTCTTCGCTGTTTATTTTCGCTCCTGTTCCCTTTCGCGTCCATACCAATATACTCCTTTTATTCCTGCGCATATTTTCCTCCTCAAGAGGTCACGATCGTTACCGAGTATCATTTCGGGTTCACGAAGCACTGCCCTGTTTCGTGGCGGCCATCGTCGGGCTCGAGTGTAGACGGAGCATTGAACTTAATTCAGATCAGCTCTATGCTTCCAAGTCGCTCGATCAGTGATAAGAGAATTGAACACTAGGTGAAGACTGCAGAGCGCGATCAACTTCGCCCTCCATTACGGCGCATACGAACCTCAGGCACAGCAGCACGACCGAACAAACCGGCATGAATTCCAGAATACTCACCCTAGTATGGCTCGCAGGCCTTGCTGCAGCGCAAGACTCCTCCCAATCCGTGGTCACAATAACGGGCACTACCCACCAGCTCACAGGGGGCGATGCTGGCCCAACAGTCACGCTTCCGTCCGACTTCGAGGGTAGCACTTTTCCGACAGGCACAATGTCAGGCATGCTCTCTGGCAGCACTGGCGCGCCGAACGCGACTGCATCGGGCACGTCCACCCCTGAAAACACACTCACGGAGATCGTAGGCGGGACACGGACAACAGCTGTCAGTGGGAACATGACAGCCACCACAGCGACCACACCACGACCCTCAAACACTCAGCCTTGCAACAACTACGCCGAATTCTGCAACCGCAAATACTCCAACATCACAGAAGTCTGCGCGCACAATTCTCCCTTTGTACGCAAGAACAACGCAGGAGCGAACCAGGAGTTTGGCGTCACGCAGCAGCTGAACGACGGTATACGCATGCTCCAGGGCCAGGCACACTACGTCAACAACACGCTCTATTATTGCCATACTTCGTGCGACCTGCTCAACGCTGGTACTGTGGAAGACTACCTCACCGACGTTACGAAGTGGGTTGCGTCCCACCCATTCGACGTGATCACCATCATCTTCGGCAACTACAACTACGAGGACAAAGACGAGAACGGAAACCCGCTCGTCACGTCCAAGAACTTTGCCGAGCCCATTGAGAACTCGGGGCTAAAGCAGTACATCTACCAGCCGCCCAAAACAGCCATGACCCTCGACGACTGGCCCACGCTTGGCGAACTCATCATTAGTGGCAAGCGTGTCATCACATTCATCGACTACAACTTCGACACGGACGCCGTGCCGTATATGCTGTGGGAGTTCTACAACATGTGGGAGACGCCCTTCTCGCCCACGGACACCGAGTTCCCCTGCACGCTCGGCCGTCCCGCCGGCATCAGCGAGGAGAAGCAAAGAGAAATGCTGTATCTCGCGAACCACAACCTCAACGTCGAAGTCAGCATCGCCGGGCTAGATCTCGTGATCCCGAACACCGTCGAGCTCACCCAGACGAACGCGCTCAATGGCTCGGGCAGTCTGGGTTTGATGGCGAATAACTGCGCGAGTAAGTTTGCTGTCCCCTCTCCTCCCCTCTATTCAAAAGACTACAGAGCTGACGTTGCTCGACAGGTGAATGGGGCCGTCCGCCGAACTTCCTCCTCGTCGATTACTACAACTTCGGATCCCCGATGAATGGCTCGGTCTTCGAAGTCGCCGCGCGGGCGAACAACGTCACGTACAATCGGAAGTGCTGTGGGACGGCTAGTCTTGCTACTGTTTTGGAGAGACCATCGGCTACATACTTCGGGCTTATGATTGCGGTTGTGGCGGCCCTGGTGCTATAGAGGAAGAATAATGATGGTTGTGTGCATATGGAAACCTCTCGAGAAAAAGCGTCAGAAGTAAATTAAAAGACAAATTCTGGGAGTCTCGGGAATTGCACAGCGGTATACTGGGCCGCTTGGATGTCTTTTCAGCATGCGTTATTTAGCGGCATAGACTGGGTGGGAAACCAATCACGGATACGCATTGAGTGCTTATCATTATTCACGTTCTCGTGCGCCGTAAGAACGAGCTGATATACCTGGCATTAGAATCTCTATTGCCGACCGAGTAACGTTCCATGCACATATATGTATAAGTCAGAGAATTGTGTGCAATTGTGGTATCATTGTCCTTCAGTCCTGAGGCCTAAAGCCAATCGTGACGCCGAACCATGTAGGTCCTCCGCAATTCTCCCATAAAGCACGCGGAAGTGTCCACCTCATAGTTATAGTACATCGAGTGCCATCGGCTGTCGAAACACGGTTGCCGCCAGAACGCAATCGGGCACCTTAAAGGTATAGTATTAAACAGAGAGACCGAAGCCGACCCAAGCCCTAGTGATCGAAGACAGCCGCCTCAAACTTGGCCTCGTTGTAGTACTGTGCGCGAATTTCTCGGCCGCGGAACTGGTACCCTTCGTGAAAGCGGTTGACAGCCTGTATATTTAATATCAGAACGGTCCGTTCCGGTCGAAGGAGCTGGAAACACTTACGTTCAAGGCGCTTAGCTCAGAAGCGAACTTGATGTAGACCGACTGCGGATTGCTGCTCATGTTGACATAGATGCGCTCCACCCGTCCGAACTGCCGCTTGTTAGCTAGAGACTACCCTCTGCGTGATATTTCTCACCTTTGCGTCGAATGTCTGGCCCATCTCCTGCCGAATGCCTCCGTCGTCTCGGTCAGCATCAGCCGCCCAGTCGACGTCGTCGACACATCCCCAGGCGACAACCACCTTCGACTCGTCTCCGAACCTGCCCGGCTCTTTCCGCTTGGTGGTGTGGCCACCAAGGATATCAAAGACCTGCTGAGACTTAATATTTCTATTTCCATCTTCGTCAACGTCATTGGAGTTAGCAACCCGCCGTGAATTCGCTCGAGCCTTTACCTCGAGGTGAGTCGTGATGCCGTCTTTGTTCTTGCCCAGCCCTTGTCCCTTGATGTATCCCATCTTGGCCATCATCGCTTCCGCTTTACTGATTTTCGGTCGCTTTGCAGGTCGCTCGCCGTAGGCCCGCTCGGCAATATTGTCTTTCATCTGCACGTCAGTAACATCATAGCGGACAGGCGGTGCTGAGATGGTCGCGCGGCCATAAGCTGCCCCTGGTGTATAGCCAGTTGGGGTCTGACGAACAGGGGCAGCAGAGATCGACGGATAGTACGGCGTAGAGGCTGGTGGAGGTGGAGGAGGTGGCGGCGGAACCTGGTCCTGATCCGCAGGTGGTGGCGGCGGAGGAGGCGGCGTTGAATCGCTGGCCTGGTTGTAGGCTACAGGCGGGCCAAGCTCAGGCTTCGTTGGGTATGATGAGGAGGATAGCCGTGATATCTTGTCCGACTCTACGCTGCTGCTGCTGCTGCTCACGTTGCGCAACCGGGAGGGAGCAGGTTGTGCGTGCAGGAAACCCGCAAAGCCGTGCAACTTCGCGCCCCAGCCTCCGCTCGCTCGATATGCCAAAATGTTTGACGGCCGCTCCGGTTTGTATGGCGCTTCGCCTTTCCAGTAGCCATACTGCTTGGCGAATTTCTTCTCCTGCTTCTTCTTCTCTTTCTGCTCCCGAATCAACTGTCTCCTATAGTCCAGAGCCTCCGCGTCGTCGTCTGCAGTGCTGCGCCACCAATCAAGGCCGGGCTGCTGGCTGGTCGTAACCGCTGGAGCTGGATCCGAGGAGCTTGAAGGCATCATGGGCTTCTTTACTGGCGGTTTCTTGGCGGTGGGGCCTTTGGCCTGCGGGCGCTTGATGTTGTGCGGATTATGGAACGCTAGAAGATGGCATGAGTCGTCGAGGTTCAAAGGCAATGCACGGAGCAACTCGAGTAGATACCAGGTGTTTTCTTCTGCTCGGCCTTTGCCTCCTCCGAGAACTTGACGGGAGGCGCGGAGATGGTCGCAGATGCATATGGATTCGGAAGGCCCCTAGAGGCATAGGGATTGGGCAAGCCTCGCGGCTTCTCTGCCTGTTGGGATGCCATGTTAGCAATGAATGTGGGCGCGGTTGTCGCTGCAGATGGACGCTGCAGGACGAAACTGCTCTGCACTGCGAGGAAAGCTGTGGGTAGTGGGAAATAGAGACAAGAAGGCGCAGCGCCAGGCTCGGACGGTAGAAGCGGCGGTGGGCTGCGACTGCCCGTGGAGTGACGGTGGCCCGGCGAATGCTTGTGAGGAGAAGTCGTGAAGAGACGTCGAGGATGGCCCGAAGCTAACGAAGGCGCGTCCCGCGCCAAGGCGCGCCAAGGCTACGTCACGTGCAGGGACGATCGTGCTTACCTAACTGCCCTATCTCCGAAATCTTTCGAGACGCCGGCCGTTGCACCGTTATCAGCAAATTTTTGGCGCACCCGAGCAGGCTCTCGTGTGGTTTCTCTTGCATTGTACATTTGCATTTAGACAAAGCGAAGAATTGTTAGTATGTACACCTATAGACCTCCGGGAGCGTTTCAATTGATGACTGAATTGAAGATCCCCAGGTACCTCTTATCGGTCCGGCGTGATCGACCTGATGGCTTCGACAACCCTGGAAAATGCCTTCTCGAAGCACTCATCATCAACCGCCATCATCATCCCGGGCAAGCCTGCTCTGACCGTTTCGTACCAAAAGCTCGCGACCGACGTCAAAGCATTCCAGCAGCAGCTTGCAAAGGTCGGCGTGAGCCCGCAAGCAGCCGTTTCAATTGCCCTGCCGAACACGTACGAATTTATCGTATCCTTCCTGGCCGCGTCATGGCAACGAGCGATAGCCGCGCCATTGAACCCTGCGTACAAGCAGTCCGAGTTCGAATTCTACATAGACGACCTCAGCTCGGCGATTGCGTTAGTTCCCAAGGGCGCATTCGCTCAGGATGCGGCAGCCGTGCGAGCCGCGAGGAAATACCATGCAGCAATAGCCGAGTGCTACTATAACGGCAACCAAGTGGTGCTAGATGTGAAGGAGGCGGGGAGGCTGGCAGGCAAGAGCGCACCGGTGGAGTCTGCGCAACCGGATGATATTGCCTTGGTGCTACACACCAGCGGCACGACAGGGCGCCCCAAGGCTGTGCCGCTGACGCACCGCAACCTGCTGCGGACCATGAGGAACATCCAGGAAACCTACCAGCTGACGCCCAAGGACCGCACCATGCTGGTTATGCCGTTGTTTCACGTGCATGGCCTCCTCGCTGGTCTTCTGGCGCCGCTTGCTTCAGGGGGGTCAGTCATTGTGCCAATCAAGTTTTCGGCATCTGAATTCTGGAGGGACTTCCTCCAGCATCAAGCGAATTGGTACACGGCAGTACCTACTATCCACCAGATCCTGCTGAAGAACCCGCCTCCCAACCCGAAGCCCCAAATTCGATTCATCCGCTCGTGCTCCTCTCCCCTCTCGCCAAAAACCTTCCATGAGCTCGAGAAGACGTTTGGTGCTCCGGTTTTGGAAGCCTACGCCATGACGGAGGCCGCCCACCAGATGACGAGCAATCCTCTTCCGCCCGGTAAGCGCATACCTGGCAGTGTAGGTGTGGGCCAAGGTGTCGAAATCAAAATCCTTGACGAAGCTGGCAATGAAGTCCCCCAGGGCAAGGAAGCCGAAATCTGCATCCGAGGCGAGAACGTCACGAAAGGGTACCTGAACAACCCAGCGGCGAACGCATCTTCCTTCCATAAAAATGGCTTCTTCCGCACTGGGGACCAGGGCAAGAAAGATCCAGATGGATATGTCATCATTACCAGTCGCATCAAGGAGCTCATCAACAAGGGTGGTGAAAAAATCAGCCCGATCGAGCTGGACAATGTGATCGCACAAAACCCAGCCGTCTCCGAGGCTGTCAGCTTTGCGCTCGAGGACGAAATCTACGGGCAAGACGTTGGCGTCGCGGTCGTCGTAAAGGCCGGCCAAAAGCTGAATGTGGAAGAGCTGAAGGCCTGGCTTGCGGAGCGCGTCGCCAAATTCAAGCTGCCCAAGAAGGTACGAGCGAATCACGTTGCCATGCGAAGATGAGTAAATACTGATTCTCGAAGGTCTTCTTTACGGACGTAATGCCGAAGACCGCCACCGGCAAGATCCAGCGACGCCTTGTCGCAGAAGCGATGCTCAAGAAAGAGCAACCCAAGGCCAAGCTCTAGTCTGCTGCCTTGGTCTCTCGTATCTGCTGCTTGTAAAACAGATATACCGTTCTTGATTGTACTTGGAGATACCTGCATAGACCATATACACCGCATCGATTAGATCATTTTCAGCTTTTAGATCCATCACGACATCCGAAAAATCAACAACTTTGCACCGCCAGCCCTACTTGTCTCTTCCGCATTTGTGCTGCCGAAGCGATGGCGCAATAGCCTTTCGCTCGGCGATCGCAAGCTGATCTTGGCCCCCAGGAACTCCTCACCTCTAGACCACTACCTCACGCGAGACACTTGCAACATCGCACAACCAGTGCATCACCAACTAAGCCCCTCTACGGTTATTGGATTCCGGTCAATCCCAAATAGCTGATGTGGAGCAGGATACGAAGCCTTTGGGGGCTGGATGTAGAACGTAGCCGAATCGTGCCTGGCCCGATGCCGGCGTGGCTTTCGTCCTCGCGCTCATTGCGCGAGAGCTGAACGCCATTTTGAGGCTGTAACTCAGCCCATGTTCCGACTTTGCATAGCTTTCAGAAGGTTGTTGCAGCCTTCCTCGAGCTTCTCCGCATTTCCGCCTTTTCTTCATCTTGCTTTCCTTGCATTTCTCTGCTTTGCATCTTTCGCATTCTCATTCTGTCGTTTCCTCGTCGAAGTCTTCTCCTTTCATTGCAGTCCACTATTCGCATCTTCCACTGCCCAGGTGGACTGTCATTTGTAAAACGTTGCCCAGGCCGGCCCAGGCCGACACAGTCCTGTTGTGCAGAACTGCATAACCCGACGGCACCAGCACACACCGAAATAACCCCAAGGGCCGCTCTCTGAGCAAGCAAAGCAGATGAGGTATTCCCTTCAGCGTCATTCGTCCGCTCGTCTTGAAATCTCACGATAACCTTGATGTTCCCCTATTTCCTGATACAGCAAGGGCGTCTCACCGGCATCACCCTCGCAAAACCACCTCGCTACGTCTCAGCCAAACAACTCTAATCAGCGAAGACATCATGCGTCATACCGTGCCAACCGTGCCTGAGAGTACTTCATCCCTTGATTCCTACGACGCGTCGACACGTCAATCCAGCAGCTCCAGCTCTTTCGTCGACACTTCGCCTTTTACTACGCCGCAATCGAGCAATTTGTCAGTTATATCAGATTGGAAACGTCCGTCGAACAGGTCTTCGCTGAAATCGAGCTTGAAGTCTTCGAAGTCCACACCAGCCCTTGCGGTACGATTCTCGCTGCCTGAGGCTGCAACTGAGATGTCTGGAATCGAATACGGAGGGCCGGTCCCAAAGCGGAAACCCGTCCCTCCGCTGAGGAACACCTTAGAAGCCATGGAAACAATACCGCCGGTTCCTACATTAACTCCAGAGTTGAAGAAGAAATTGAGCAAGCGCTTCTCGTCCCCAGCACCCCTCTCTCGAAAAGAAAGTCAAAGCACACCGACGCCCCCAATCCCCACCGCACCAAGGCTCTCTTACGCACCCACATCAATCCCGGGGTCTCGTGTTACGTCCTTTCAATCTACCGCCTCCGCACCCGCTGCCCTATCCTCGACGCAGCCACTGACTCCCTCCTATCCGCCGTCTCAGTACAATCCGCTCCAGCACTATATGCCCTGCATGGCGTCCGATTGTAATACGCACTATACTTCCTCTCTCCTCGGTCCGACCTTCTACTCCCCACAGCAGCCTTACAAGTTCGCACGGAAAAAGGGGTTCTGTCCTGCGCACGCAAACCGGGATTTGAAAGCTGCGAATGAGAGGGCGAAGAGAACGTTTGAAACCATGCGGCAGAATGCCGGGCGCAAGACGCTCGGTCTCATTGCCGCGGAATTCGAACTCTGGACGCAAGAGTTGGAGGAAGAGAGGGACGCGGAATCGCAGGAGCTGGAAGCACAGCAAAGACGGAAGGTACTAGGAGCGGAAGCGAAGGGCAAGAAGAAAAAGGGCAAAGCAGTATACGATGCCGATTGGGACTGGAGATACGCACCCCGACCCTGCACCCGCAAAGGATGCGGCAAGGACTGGTACTCTCCCTTCGACAACCGCCTCTACCTCTTTTACCACACATCGCGCTCCTCCTCGCTCCTCCCGCTTTCCACGCTCTGCCCAAGCTGTGCACGCGCGGATGTCGAGGCGCTGGAGGATCGCATTGAGGCGAAGAGAATGGATGCCGATGAGCTGGTGTGGATAGATTGGGTGGAGCAGATTCGGAGGGACAGGGAGATGGAGAGCGTGTTTTGGGAGAGCGCGCAGGAGAGGGTTGTCAGGGAGAAGGGAGTCAACTCCCCAGCAGCCGCTGGCAAGAATGAAAAGAAAGGCTCAGGGGGCGCCAAAAAAGGAAAGAAAGAGAGTTCAAAGGGTGTTTGCGTAGTCATGTAGCTTCCAAGGTCCCCTTCGCCTACTTAGCGCAATCCAAAGCAGTATAACCACTATCGACTTCCACTCCACTAGCACCCGCAACTATGCCACCAACCCGCACCGCTCCATTCTCCCTACCCACATTTCCCCTTCCCCTCACAACACCGCCGGCAAACCCCCCTTCTCTCGCTCAAACGGCACCGCCCGATTCCCCCTCACCCACTCCCCCTCCGCCTCACTCCCCGGCATCGGCGGCACAAGCCCCTGCACCTTCCACAAATCGCGATTCGTCTCCTCAAGACTGTACTCCCAGTCATACCCCTTGTCCTCGATAAACGGCTTCAGCGCCGCGTCCACGCTGCCCAGAAACCGGTCTCTGATCGCATCGTTGGGGATTTTGCGCGCGATGTTCTGCACCGTGATGCGGATGAAGGGCTTGGAGCTGTCGGGGCCGGGTTCGGAGTTGGTGGTGCTGGGGGCGGAGGGACGTGGGGTGCCGCCGATGTAGATGGAGTGTGGGGAGAGCGGGATGAAGAGCACGTTCACGTAGAAGGCGGGGAGGTTGACGGCTGTGTAGACGGTTGTTATGGAGGTTGCGAGGGCGGATTTCTCGGTGGGCGTGGTGAAGGTGTTGGTGGGGTGGTAGATGAGCCAGAGGGGCATTTTGAGGGTGCGTTGTGGGGGACTGGGGGATTGTGAATGGGTGTATGTGGTGGATGAAGGGTTGGAAAGGAGATGGTTTAGGTTTGCATTTGCTATGTTGGAAGGGTTTTTATAGGAGTGAGGTTGGGATCGTGGTGCTGGTCCTGATGCTGATGCTGAAGAGTAATCATGGGAGGTTCACTAATCGAATTCTTGACTGAGGGGGTACGGGACTGAGAATCCCGGCTATGTTTGACATTTTCCGCTACTGGTGCTCTGCAGGCATGAATGGGTGTGTGCCTCGGTAAATGTATGCGCTTTGTGTCGCCGTGAACTGCTCTTCTAAGATGGAGTACCCACCTTTCTAACTAACGGCCCAGAGCTCCCCTCACATCTTCCCCACAGCCCTCCTCACCGTCTCCTCAAGATCATCCTCCCGTAGCCCCAGCATCTCGTTCGCAAATCCCTTCCTCTGCTTCCAATCGCTCGCCACAATGCCCCAAACGGCCACAATCTCTTCCACAGCCTCCTTATCCCCGGCCGCCATCTTCGGCCTCTCTTTCGCCAACTCCTCCTCGCTACTCTGCGGAATCTTCTCCCACGTGTTCCCCGTAGCCTTCTCCAGCGCAGCCAGCACCTCATTCTGCGTAACATACAGTCCGTGCACATACAAAATCCTATTCTGCGTCTCATCGGGCTTCTCGAGGACCCTCACGACGGCGTTGGCAATGAAAGACAGATTCGACGCGCTGAATTTTATGTCGCCACCGTCCAGTATATACGCTTTCCGGCCGGCGACGTTGAACTTGAGCAACCCGCACGTGAGCCCGTAGTCGAAGAAATGCCCCGTTATCAGACTCGTCCAGCTCATCTTTCCCCTCGTACCCCTTTCTACATCCTGAAGCGAAATCAGATAGTCGCGGATAACCTTCTTGCCCGCCATAAGCGGCAGAATCTCGTTCGTCTTCTCGTCGGCGGAATCGCAGCTCCCGAAGTCCGCGGGGATTAATCTCTTCACGCCGCCTTTGAAGGCAGCTTCGATTAGCTTTTTGCTTTCTGCGACGCGCGAGCCGGCTATGGCGATGATGAGGGCGTCGATGCTGTTTTCTTTGAAGGCTTGGGCGACCCTGGTGACGTTCAGGTCGTCGGGGATGGTGATGACGTGGGTGTCTGGATAGGTGGATTTTGAGGAGGCGCGATTGAGGACGCTGAGCTTGAAGGAAGAGGACTTGAGGGCTTCTAGGATGGGTGCGCCGACGGTGCCGGTTCCCCCGATGAGGGCGACGTTCTGGATGGCCATTGGGGGGGATGGCGTAAGAGTCGGTGGAGGCTTGTTCTAGATATACGGTATCGACTCGGAAGGACGTACGGTTCTGAGTAGAGAGTGTGACGTGCAGAAAGCGTTCTCTCTTGTACCTTCCAGCGTACTTTACTGCCAAATTTTCTATCCCACTCTTGTTCGAATGGTCTAAGGAGGCTCCTGCTAGGCGTGACGGGCGCTGAACTCTGCTTTGATCTACTCTGACTTCTCTTGCAGGATCGAGGCGCGGTCGAGAGGATCGTGGAAAGTAGGGAAGGACCTGGTATGAACTCAAATGATCCATGACTTTTATTCGGTCTTCACTAGTACGCGCTAAGCCGATCAGGATTAGTAAGATCGTTAACCCGACTCTCCCCCGAGATCGGCTTGCATTGCAGACATTGCCTGGAAAGATATCTACAGATACAGGGGTATGCGAGGAACGCCCTACGTACCCGACGGCCCGGATATACATTTACAATCCATCTTACACCCCTCTATACTCATCAAAAAAGCCCTGTTGCGGTACTAGTGTCCTCAGCGTCCTTAGCATAGCTTCTAATTCTTCTGCATTTGGCTCCCACAACCTCCTGACTTCTTCCCAAGCCCTCAGCGTGCGCTCCGCGTCCGTGCATTTCTTGAACGCCTTCAACGCTGCAACAACCGCCATCTTCGAGACCCAGGTCCTTTCTAACTTGTCTTCCACAGCAACCAGGTATTCAATCCATATTCGCTCGAGCTTATCTCTTGTCCAGGATGAGTATCGTACCCCGCCGAAGGAGTTGAAGCCGTGGAACATGACGATGAAAATTGACCCTTCGAGCGGGATGGAGTTGTACCGCATTTCCTGCAGCAGTTCGTTTACGCGGTCGATGTTTCCAGCTGTGCGGGCGTGGTGGCGGATGAGGAGGCCATATGTGCGTGAGTCTGGGGCGATAGGTGCAGAGTCTTGTAGTTGCTTGCGCTTTTCCAAGTCTCCCATCTCCTTATGCAATCGAGCTTGGTGCGTGAGGTGGAGGCCAAGGAGCCGGCGTTCGCGCCACTTGCGGCCGTTGAAGGATAAGCCTCCCGGGAAGGGTGTGGTTTTCGTAGCATGCAAGCGCTTCATGCGCTCGAAGACATGTTCAGCTGCCGCGGGCTCGCCGGCGCGGATAAGGGCTGCAATAACGGAGTTCATGACCACTGTGTCGACGATATCGCCGGCTTCAACGAGGTCTTGATACGTTTTCCTCACTGCGTTCCCGTTCTGCAGAACGCCATAGTAGTATAATAGCGAAACTCGGAAGTGGCGATGCATCTTGAGCTTGCGAGCTTGCATCTCCTTCAGAAACATCTCTGCGAGCGTGTACTTCCCGGCCTTGACGGCTACGTCGAAAAGCACATTGAGCGTTACAATGCCACTCTTGACTCCTGCCCGTTTCTCCATGTCTCGCCAAACATACAGAGCGGATTGAACTTCGTCCGCGGACACCGTTCCCATGAAGCGGCCTGCCAGATAGATGGCTGTCGTCCATTCAGAGCGTATAATGTGTATATGGGCGTTCTTCATATCGTCTAGTATGGAAAGGAACCGCTGCATGGCAGTCGGAGTAGGCCGTTCGAGGATCGAGAGGTGGTGGAGCATCGCCCGTATCGTCTTTGTGCTCAGGTAGACTACACCAGGAGCAGGCAGCAGGCTATAGGCTTCGAATATATCGTCATGTGGCGTCTCCTCGTCCTTTAGCAGCTCCTCGAGCTTCGCTACGGTTTTGGCGTCCTCGGGGTTGCGAGTCGGCCAGGGTTCGTGGTCGTCGCCAACGTTCCATATCAGTGGTCCATCATCCATGACCTCTTCCTCAGGAGGAGCGGCCAAGTCTATGCCATAGTAGTCCACCAACGCCTTCAACTCCCTCTCCGCAAACTGCCTAGCCCTTTTGAACGGGCCGTTGCGCTCCGCCTTGCTCTTGAACTCCCTCTTAATGTACTTGGGCAATGTGCTTTTCCGCCGCGTTTTGTGATGTCTCGTTGCAAATGGGACGATATCCCGTAAGGTAGATATCTGCTTCGCATGTTCCGGGCACGATCCCGCCCGCGCCAATGCCCGGATGAAGAAATTGTCCATATGTTCTGTCGAAATGGAAGGACGCTTCGGCGGCCCATTCACAGAGCTCTTGCTGAAGCTACGGCGGGGAGTCTTCTTACACAACACTGGATATAGGAATGCGAGGAGCGGTCGTGCGTGCCTCGTATTGGAGACGGCGGTGGTCCGGTCGAGGGCGCGGAATAGGGACATGAGAGGGCGAGCATTGTGTCAGCGGGAGCCTGTCAGACGAAATGCCATCTGAGGAAGGGACTCAAGGGGCTCAGAACGAACCCATTGGCAAGCTGCGAGCGATAGGGAGGCGACGGCGGGGGGTGGTGCTGGAGGCGAAGAGAGCGCGTCGCCGAAAGTTTCTAGCTTTCGGCAAATTCCGCCTCCGAGCTTTTCCTCCGCGAACTCACGCTTCGTCAACATCATCACTACCACGCCCATTGTGCCTCCAGACCGGACCGCTCCTTCCTGGAAGTTAGCTTCATGTCGATATACAGATGAGATAGGACATACACGGCTGTTTGAAATCCCCCCTCAGCATGGGCCGCTACGACTTCCGCCCGATGCGAGTCCGCCAGACGGCAAAAGCGCTCTTCGACGCAAAACGCAACCCCAGCCTGCCCCAATGGTACGACATCGTCGGCGATATTCCGCCTAGCGAGACGCTTGCCCGCCCCGTCCAGCGAGCGCCGCGGCCGAAAGGCAAGAAACCGAGCAGAATGTTCCAGCCGCTGCCCATCAGATACCCAGAGGACAAGCTGCGATCAGAATTCTTCGGCGACCACCCGTGGGAGCTGGCGCGGCCGAGACTTGTAGTGGAGGATAGCGGGAACGATGCAAAGGGCTACGACTGGAGCAAGATTGAGCAGCCGGGGAAGCAGCTGGACGGCGAGAGGTACACCCGCCCTCCAAGGTAGACGCAATGAGTGCTAATACCAGACTATAGCGTCGTCCAGCGCCAAATGTGGCTCATGAAGCACCAACATCTCTCAAAGCCCGCCGCCTACGACATCGCCCGCCGCGAATTCTACCAGCACCGCCATCTCGAGGACATCCGGCGGCGCGTCGCAAAGGAGGAAGCACTGCACGTAGGGGCATACTTCGGCAAGGGGCCGCTGCAAATTGGCATGGAGCTTGAAGATCAGACATGGGAGAGCTGGAAGAGGTGGGCTGCCAGGCAGATCGAGGACGAGCAGTCGATGCGCGCGCAGATGTTCTCCGGTCCGCAGACCGACGGCGAGGACATGAGCGGAGAGGAATTTGATGCTGCTATGAGCGAGCTCCAGCCCGCAGTCCCACAGTCAAAAGAGGGGCAGCCGGCTTTGGGTGGTGCGGCGGCGCATCCGTGAGTGTGTGCAAGAGACCACGGTGTACTAATAGTGTACCTTTTCTGTAGATATACCGGCGACGAACCATTTTCTCGTCCTCATCCCAATGCCATGGATTTTTTTCGCCACCTACAACGCAATCTGATGGAGATCTAGATCCCGCGTCCTTCGTTGTTTTTTATCCACCTCGCCGCCTTGTTTCAAGCATGTCTAAGTTTAAGCTTTGCATTATAGGTGGAATTTCATTTACATTCAAAGCTTTTTATTTCTTGCCCTTGACCCTCCTTTATCCTGCGCCAAAACCTCCCCTGCGAATGCGGGGCCCCCGGATACTTTTAGTGCGACATTTTTGCCGCCTCTTAATCTATCCACTCTGGAAACGTGGACCGATTTTCCAACGATGCAATCATACAACTATTCCGGTAGCGGCACGGAGGGAGGAAGCCTGGGCTGTGAATCTAAACACATAAATACCTTCACCTCGCCCGTTTCCTGACGTTTGCTTTCCTACCCCTACCTACCGCAACAATGTTACGCAAAACCGCTCTTCTCGCCCTTGCGGCTCTCCTCCCCTTCTCCCTTGCCCAAGTCTCTGAGGACTTCGAAAGCGGATGGGACCAGACCGCATGGCCTACCTACGCGGCCGACTGCAACCAGGGCGGTAAAGTCACCCTGGACAGCTCCACCGCCTACAGTGGCAAGAATTCGATGAGGGTTGATGGTGCGGGTGGCTACTGTGGACACATTTTCTTCGGCACGACGAAAATCCCCAGTGGAGATGTTTACGTCAGGGCTTACGTGTAAGTTTCTGTGATGGCGGCGTTAACACGCTGGACGGTGGAGCAATTCTGGTGTTGAAACGCGATGCTAATTCTATACTCTTACAGGAAAGCCTCCAAGGCCCTCACCGACTCGCACGTCTCCTTCATCACCATGACCGACGCCGCCCAAGCCGCCGGAAAGCATCTGCGCATCGGCGGCCAGAGCAAAATCATCATGTACAACCGCGAGTCCGACGACGCCACGCTGCCCGACCTGTCCCCGCAGGGCATTGCCGCCTCCACCGCGCTTCCCACGGGACAGTGGAAATGCTTCGAGTACCACATCGGCACCGACGGTACGGTTGAGACGTGGCTGGACGGCACTGCTATTGCCGGGCTGACCGTCAAGCCGGGCACGACGAATGCCAATGCCGGCCAGTGGACGAGGAGCAGCTACAAGCCTAAGATTACCGCTATCTACTTTGGGTGGGAGTCGTATGGCGGGGACACGAATACGTTTTGGTATGATAATATTAGCATTAGCTCGACTCGTGTTGGGTGTACATGATAGAGATATGTGAATACGAAAGCGCTCTTTGAGTGATTCTTGCTTCCAATTTCAATCAGAAACCTAGTGTTATAGTGTTTTCTTCGTTAACTCATTCGGATCTCTGTTTCCAAATCCGATGTGAACGTGACAACACGGTGTGTCACATGACCATTAGTCATCCTCACAATGCATCCATAGCCCGCTCTTGCGGTAGGGAATTCTCCGGATTTAAAGGCTCGCTGTACAAGTAAATAAGATTGGCGCCACGAATTATACGTCCCATTGTACGCACCCGCGAAGGCCTCCAGGGTAGCTGTTACGCACGTCGTTCTATCCGGAGAATTCCACATCGTGGGAGGCCCGGTCACCACCATCGTATAGCCTCCCGTAAACAACCTCCTCATACAGAAAGAATATACATTCGTTCTCCCATACAGCGCCTGAGTTTGTCGAGCTATTTTCACGGGCCGCAAAGACGCTCTCACCCTCAAATACTTTCCATTCCCACCACCTTCCACCGATCGATCACCATCACTTCTTTTCATGACATCAAACCGCATCCACTACGCGATGGCGATCTATCCTAGTTCGACATAGCATGCTGCTGCTGCCTTAGGGTTGTGCAGGAGGCTGTGCACACGTCGCTGAAGCCCTTCTCAGCCTAGCCCGTGAGCTAAAAAAGAGCACTTTCAAATTCCCCTTCAATCCTCCTCCTCATGATTCCCTCTTCTACTCACGAGGATTGGTTGCTGCAGACTTTTGTTTAGTCCTGTCTCTATCACCACAGCTCTATCAAAAGTTCCGACGTTCCCTAACCCCGCACTCAACCACCAGGCGAACGAATAGGGCAAGGGTTGACAGGTGGGTTTTCAACTTTCAGATCCCAAGGATGAGCTCACGACTCACGCTCGACGGCGATCCATTCCATATTAGGCTCCTCGATATAGAGCACTCGAATACACAGAAGCGAGACGAGGACGACGTACATCACATCAGAGGAACGCTCCGAGTCGTATCACTATCCAGTTCTCCCAAATATGCAGCATTGTCTTACACCTGGGGCGGAGACCCTAGTCCCGCGTACATTGTTGAATGTGGATCCGATCGAATCCAAGTGACCAAGAGCTGTATCGACGCGTTACTCCAAATCAGCGCAAGGGGCGACAAGATGAGCATTTGGGTCGACGCGATTTCCATCGACCAGAAGAATGAAAAAGAGAAGAACCACCAAGTAGGCATCATGAACGAGATTTACAGCCATGCCAAAACGGTATATGTCTGGCTCGGGAGCAGCACGGAAGACTCCGACAAAGCAATTGAGCACCTGACAGACTTGGGGAGCGAGATGCGATGCCTTGAGGGCCTGTCTTGCATCCATTCTCGAAGCGTATTCAGCCTGCGCGTTCTGGCAGACTTTTGGACGAACATCATCTTCAGGGACCTCTCGAGCTTCCTACGGCGCCTGACGCTGCGAATGAGGTTGAGCAGCACTTGCAACACACCGACCCATCTCGCAACCATCAATGGCTTTTTAGAGCTCGAGTACTTCAACCGTGGTTGGACTTTCCAGGAATTGATCCTCGCTAACAAGCCAATCCTTCTGTGCGGGTCCAACTCGCTAGACTGGAATCGATTCATCTGCGGCGTGGCCCGATTGTTCCTCTATACCCTGGAGGATCCAAACTATTTCCGGCCGAAATGTCCCATTATCTACAGCATAATGTCGCTCACTTACCTGTGGATGACGCTTGATCGGCCTATTGAGCGCAGTGGTCAAAGGCCTTGGGGAGCTGGCGACCTGCGTAGTTCGTATCTCGCGCATTTGCGAGAGTTCGAACGTTTCTACAAATCGCATTCCTCAAAAGTGGCTTCGATGAAGACTTGGTTGGTTATCATACCATTTGCGGCTGGTCTGTTCTCCAGGAATTTGCTTCTCTTCATCTCCGGGCTTTCTCTTCTGGTTTTCTTCGAAATATTGGTCTGGATCGCCTGCCGGCTCACCAATAGTAGCTACACCACATTAGAAGCCTTCGACACCGTATTCGCAAACGATCCGCGGACTGCATACCATCAGACGGGACACTCCGGCATCCTTAAAGCTCTGCGGCAACGCAAGACCAAAGACTCAAGAGACAAATCGTATGCACTCTATGGAGTACTCAAAGCTATGGGACTCAGTTTGAAAGAAGCCGACTATTCAAAGACACACGCACAAGTGTACAGAGAACTATTCCTGGACTTGCTGAGCTGGAATCCCAAATCATTGGACCTGATCCTTGATGCGGGCTTGCCCCGCATGGAAGGTGGTGCGCCAACCTGGATACCGCAATGGCATCTCACAGAGGACCATCGTTGGCTCGACATGGATTTCCTCCTTGGTGATCATCGGACACTACTAAACGACCACCGTTATGGGATTCAAAACAAAGAGTATGGCCAGCGCTATTTCATTCCGCCTACTCACGATGGCGACCCCAAATTACGTGTCCGTGGGAGAACACGAGACAGAGTGGTCTACTGCAGCCTGCTTTCATCTATGAGCTCAGACCTCGACTTCATACGCAGCATGCGCATCTGGCTCTCCGCCATCGCTCAGCGGACCGCACCAAAGGTGTGGCATTTGTCCGAGCTGCAGCGTGGTATATACTACTTCCTCACTCTGGATCAGAACAAGCGAAGCGCAGTATACCACCCCAAGTGGCGGCGCAAAATGGGATCTTGTGCGCCCTCAGACCCGCTCCCGCACGCCTTCGAGAAATGGTTCGACATTATGCTCCGCGCCACGAATGTCCCCGTTTACGATCCGGACCTGGATACACATTCTGAGGGACATCCCGCATACGGGCTCTCCACGGACCAATCCCTCCTCGATGCCGTCCTTAGCGAGACTGCAGCCGCAACATTCCATCGCACGGCGCGCGAGTTATTGTCAACCGACCGCACTCTTTACGTCACGAGAAGAGGGCACTTCGGCACCGGGCCAGAATATATGCAAGGCACAGACTGCATATACCGACTGGAGGGCTTCGCCGCTGACGTTGTGCTAAGGGAGGTGGTAGTTCATGATCGTGAGGAAGAAGAGGTTGAAGTGGCGGAGCGGGAGTGCTTGCTCGTGGGACCCGCGCTTACGTGCTACAACTCAAGACGGTGGAAGAATCTCAAAAAGTATCAGGGCGGATATTACGAGTCTATCAGCATCGTATAAATGGATGTGCTACGAGACGATCAATCGGATCAGAGCCTTGCTCAAGAACAATAGTGATCGTCAATGCAGCCCGCGGCATTTACAATTCTTATTTGCATTTCTTGGATGCAGATGAGTGGCAGCTTCTGTGCACGGCTCTCGCATCCTAGGACTCAAGCGATGGAAGAAGAAACCAATGAAGCATAAGAGGCCGAATACTTTTTCCCAGGACTACGGGATGGGTGGGAACTATCCACAGACATGTGATCAGCTTCTACTGCCTGGTCCATTGTTTTCGCATACACACATTGGTTCCGAATGCTGCAGCTAAAATAGCTGCATGACACAGGTTCAGCCGCACCCCACCTTCTCAGCGACATCCTCCCACGATCGTTCCGCAAGAATTAGAGATTATCTATTCACTACATTCCTGTACAGAGATATGGTTGACGCCCTTGCTTTATGGGGCACTATCGGTACATGGGCAGCCGTTTTGCTGGCTTTGGTTGCTCTCGTCGGTATCATCTCGCTATGGCTCGTCCTGCGAGCCGGTTTGAGCGAGCGAAACCGGGCACTCACCGCGGTGCAAGACCGCAGACAAGACTACGTCACGAAAGGCATTGGGTTTGGCCGCGAGATCAGGCTGCGGCGCAAGACTAAAGTACCAGACCTAAAACCATCATTCGACATACCTTCGGACGAGTCGCCCCTCGGAATTTCCGGAACCTCCGTGGCAAGTCTTCCCTGGGTAACCGGCGGTTGGAATGGCACGACGTGTCGAACGGGATGGGCGAAGTTTTGTCGGTTGCTTGACAGCTACAAGACGGCAGACACCGTGGATGAAGAAAAACGTGTTATTTCTGGGACGAATGGCAAACTGGTCATCTATAACACGCAGACCTGGCTTCCGGTCAGTCGATATTGGATTCTCATCGCGGGGCTACTCGGGCGGTATGGAGACAGGCAATACTATGCGCACGTCCACGGACCGCCATGTCGCGCGGATCTTGATGAATACCAGGTCGACATCTCCGGCAGCGATGACAGTTCAGACGATATGAACAGTTCCAGCGGCGATGATTGGAGTGTTACGTCGTCCCTAGCAGATCGACAACGTGGTCGCAGAAGGCTTTCCAACAGCACTAGCAGCGGAACTGGTAGCCTGGACATCTCACTACACGCTCTCCGCCGTAGGTCCAAGATCCAGGGCTTGACAGGTTCCTTCCGGAAGCTCAAACTGAATAATAATCCAGGATCGGACTTCAGCTTCATCACGTCGCTATTGCAGTTCGAAATCTTCGGCCGCGTCTCCACCTACAGCGAGGAGTTATCTCTCGGTGACATGCTTTGGCTAGCTAGTGGGTTCCTTCCCCTTAGCAGACGGAAGTGGCGTAATGAGATTATGTGTCTCTAGGATCTACTGGAACTCTCTGGAGCTGCTGGGGCTGGGGCTACTTCCGCCGATCAAGTTGTACTCTTCTTCGAGCTGCGGAGCACCGAGACAATGCCCCGATTTCTGCTGCAGATGACACGATATCTTTCCACAGGAAGGTTCCATCTCTTGACGTGGCAGCGAACAGAAATGAAAGAAGCGGAGTCGTCAAAGCTCCAGCAAATCTCGACATCCGTTTGGGTCCCAATACCGCAATGCTCATCCTGGTATGTGGGCAGGGACGACTTGGAACGAATTGTGCTCTCAATGCTCCGCCTTCCCTGGACACCGTTCAGCTACCTGATCTGGAAATCTAACAACGGATTCTGGCACAGCCTGCTACGAGAGTCAACCGGCTTGCTCGACCACTTGCCACTCTTAACTGCGCGATTCGACACAGTCCTTGAACGCAAACTGGGTACGTGGAAAGACTGGAACCGTTTCGAGCCTGGAAAGACAGACTTTCTTGCGGAATTGACCGCGTCCCTAGAGGACAGCCTCTTCGAATACCCGTCATTAACCCGGCTCTCCATCGGTGTACTATATATAACCAATGTCGACTTCTGCGCCCAGATCAACGCTCTGCTTGATACGCAGAGCCGGACTTTCATCAATCTGGTTGCTAAATTCGATACGAAGAGCGGTAAAATAGAATGGGAGCGCGATTCCACCCGTTACGAATTCAGCTTCCAATCACCGGTTCTAGAGGAGGGTGCGCAGGAAATAGGGGAAGAAGTGGTAGGGGATGATGTGGTGGAGCTAAAATCGACCGACTTAATCGCGATGGCGCTGTGGGCAGCTGTGAGGTGTGCACTGTGGAGATGTTCGCCGAGCTCGAAACCTTTGTTGCGGTTTATCAAGAGCATGGACAGCGTCGCACATGTCAAGTAACTACTATGTGTTTACACTGGTACATAAAATCGGACAAGAAGTGGTGTAGCAGGCGACACCCTAGCTTTCGGGCCAGCAGTGTGCCAGGTCGCGAGAAAAGCATGAATCCGCGGTCTTGTGCTCACGGTCGAAAGATATTTCCCACATTCAAGATACCTCTCGGTCCATCTTCTCCTACTGGGAAAGCTAAGTTTTCGAAGTTTCTGCTAATCCAGCATTATTTTAGGTGTCGCACGGAATGCCCTGACAAGTCGGGTTTCCCTCCGGCTTAGGCGAGATGTCGTAGTATTGGCACATGATATTTGCGCCTCCCCCGGCTTTCTCATTATCGCCTAGGCATAAGTGTTAATACGCAAACGAATCGCCGGCTGTAGGATGGACTTACATTGGTTAACGATGTAGGTAAGAGCGGTTACACAGTCATTTTCGACCATCTCCATTCCCTCATCCGAGCATGCGTCGTCTATGTATGCGTATATCTGGATACGACCGCCACCTACATCGTAGTCGGCCATGACTGCATTGGAGAAGCCTCCGACGGCCGGACGGTGTCGAAGGTAGTGATCGCTACCACTCGTCTTCTCATGACAGAACGCCTTGCTCTTTTTTATAGCAATGTCCTTCACTAGCGATAGATCCCCCTTTGGGTTGCATCCAAAGTTCGCCGGTGTGGTTTGTGGAGGTGGAGGCGTCCAGTCAGTCCCGGTACTGAGGGCCCTTTCCATGTCCACGACTACTTTGTACGGATAAATATGGTGATCGGGGAATGCATAGCACTGACAACCGGCGTATTGATAGTTCTCCTCTTCGATCTGCAAAATAGTTCAGCGAGTGGCACGGCAGCGTGGTACGGCTACTCACCCCGTTGCACATACCCTCATATGTAGCGAGACTGATGGGCATGCCTATCTTTTTCTGCTTTCCCCCGCACTCATCGCAGTACGGCCACTCTTCTACTGCCTCGGGGCAATCTCGATTGCACTCGCATCCTTCATTGACCGCGGTACATTTGTTGTTCTGGTCGCCTCTGCACTGATCGTCATCGCATTTCGGCTTCTGATCTCTAGAGGGGCATTTATCTTCTTTGCAAGGACAGCCGGCAAATGCTGTCGTACATACTTTTAGCGTTCCTAAGCACAAGGTACAGGGTAGTTCGTTGGGATTGGGGCAGGTAATCGAATCAGAGTCTCCGTCATCTCCAGCTGAAGATGAAAGCGCGCTCGTCATGCCGTTCAGGAGTTTGAAGACCGGCTCGAGACCGAATTTGTATGCCGCTAATGCGATGGAGGTAATCGAGAGAACCCTTGCGTTGGTAATAAAGTTGATAACGGAAGCGATATCTGATGCAGTGACGGTAGCAGTCGGAATATCACGGACCCAGTCGAGCAGACCGCCTGGCTTTAGTTCTTGCGCGACCCGTTCGGCGAATGCTTCGATGTGGGCCATACATAACTGCCGCTTCCTTGCTCCGCAGGATATAGACTCAACCTCTTTTGCAATCGTGTTGAGGACGTCGAGAAATTTGGGCGATAAAGCGAAGGCCACGTCGCCTGGCTGATAACCCGATGCTGCTGCTGTCGCTGTACTGGCTACGATAGCAGCAGGGATGGTTGTCGTCACAACATTGCTTGCCGAATCCGTTGTGGTGTATGGAATGTGGGTCAAGTACTCCGTATTAACGCCAATCCACTGGTTGCTGGTTAGTTGTGTATACAGGGCTAGGCATCCAGGAGTCAAACCTTTGTCGTAGACGGCTCTTGATCCCAGTACTCAGTATGCGCGTGTGGTGCGTGATATGACTCTGGAGGTAGTATAGATACGGGATTGACGCCTATCTGTCCCTGGGAGGTTGGCCTGATTGCTTTGTCTATAGGCGTTGCTGCGATGGCTTGGCCCGACACTAAGGTCGTCCGCCCGAGTAACAAGGACACTGACTCTGAACGCATTTTTATTCGGGATGTGCAAAGGTAAATGAACTATCTCGGTGTTTTAAGTTATTCCTCGTGGCAGCGAAAAGTCCGAGGACGCAAATATATGAATGGAAACTCCGTCTTACCCACCATAGAATGGCTTGCGTGGCATCTTCGGGACCAGCACACCACTTCGCCTCCAGATGGATTCATGGAATGAAATCCTACGCTTCGAGTTAGTCTCTCTGATGGAAGAAAACTTGATTTTGGGTATGCGGCCCCTACTCCACGTGGTTGTTTTGCGGCGTAAGGCCTGTGCCATGTTCCACGTATGAGGCGCAAATCAAAGTCACGCGAGTCAATCGCCGAAAGCCAAGCTACGCAGCCATGAAGACAGCTGTACATATGGATTTTAGGTCCTTGGGATATTCTCTGGTAATAGCTACAAGCATGTCTGAAATAGCGATCATCTTAAAAAAAATAAAATAGAAGTGACAGTTGACTATGCTGTCCGAACGACTGATCTCAACGGCCCAAAAATGCCTATATGAGCAAAAGTCGCTCAAAAGAAATATCTTACTCAGTCTAGGCATCTTGTAGTTGGCATGCTGGCCATCTGTCATCCGCCATCCTTAGGTCTGTTACCTCGGCGGTCTCATCCTTTTCCACATCTCCAAGAATACACTCTCTACCGGCGCTTCCTTCGAGTCTTCAGGGTGTGTGTTTGAGTAACCCCAAAGCTCTAGGATTGACCAAGTGGCCTCAGTAAGCGGCGTCTTCACCCTGAGCCCAGAACGAGTGTTCGTGGGCTCATAGAATCATCCTCGAGAGATCCATTCAATGGCCCGTCTAGACACTTTTCCAAGGCATCCTACTCGGCACGAATTTGGATCCCCTAGTCTCATCCTGTGTTCCAATCCTACGTCTCAAAACTCTTTCAAGTCATCAGTGTGAACACGTATTCACGACGACGTCTTCCAGGATATAACCTAGGTACTGCCATGCTTAGGAAGCGACCGAAAGTACTCGTCCATACATTCCTTATCATTGCGTTATCAAAATGCGTTTTATCGGTGCTCTAGTAGTTGCCTTTACAATCCCTCTCCTTGTCCACGCCCAGAAGAAATATTACGTTGACAAATCATGCTCAGACCGGACGGAATGGAAGGGCGCTTTCGACCTAGCTATTAACAATGCTAAGAGAGCTTCAGAGCGTCTCTCTTCCCCCAGCGATACCAACTTCCAGGCTGTGGTTGACCGTTTGTTCAAGAAGGGCGCCACAAACGATGTCATTAAGGGTATGTTTCTCCTAAGCCTCCTTCCAGCCTCTCGAAGTTTCCAAAGCAGACCCTGACGTCCTACAGGTCCATTGGCTGACATAGCCTCGTGGGTGGAAGTGGAACAGAAAGCGACTACCCTGGAGACCCTCAAACCGGCAGACATTAGATTCTTCTGTGATAATGATAAGCGTAAGAACCCGTCCAATAGCCTGTATCAGACCTCGATTACTTACATTGCTGGCATGCAGTCACTAGCACCGCTAATCCCGAGAGCGACAGTCGATGGAAGAAAAGGAACAAACCTAGCAGCACAAGGACGTACTATGACTTCAAAAAGTACGTTTGGGCGTTATGTAACCAATGTAATTCCCCAAACACTAACCTACATCCACAGTCACATGTTCAATGATATCTTGAACTGCCGGGATAACAAGAATGAGGCGGGTTGGACGGTGCGTACATCTTAGCTGCATTTCCCTGCGCTCGCAGACTACCCAATGTTTCCCCCAATCCCTTGCTGTAATGGCTGCCAAATCATGTCCATCTAAGGGGGCGCATTTCCAAGTATAACACAAGTCAGATCGATACTTGAAGGATTGTTCGAACACTTCTACTTACTATCGTGCCCACTTCTAGAACTTTGACCCAGCCTCACTCCCGAAACTGGTGCCTGGCACTATCCATCCAATGGAGGGTCAGAACCTTAACCGTGTAGTTATCACCGTGAGTCACCCTGTACGCCCTTTGAATAGATGCGAACTAATCCATCAAACTATGTATAGATCTGCGATGCCGTTTTTAAGCCGCAGCCGGGATTGCCAGCGCCTGACGCATTCCCCCTGACGGTCAACGATGATATTAGGAACAAAGATTGGAACCGTATACATGTAGACCGATTCTCGCTTCTCATCGCTAATACTATCCTACATGAGGTATGATTACGGTCATAATCAAGGAGGCTGCAGAGTGGCTAATGTTACAATGCAGATGATTCACGCGTCCACTAAGGGGAGGATAGCCGACCTACCGGATAATGAGCATGCATATCTCTACCACAATTGTGTCCAGCAGAAACCCGAAGATGCCCACCTGAACGCCGAAAACTACGGTATGTGCACTCTTGCCCCTTTGAGGCTAGTCACTGACCATTAAAAGCTTACCTGGGCCTCTTTGCTATGCTTGCGGACTGGGGCTACTCTCTGCCTCGCTTGAATGTCGATGATCCTAACCTGTCTGAGGAGGATAAGAAAAGGTTCAGAGACTTCTACGAAGACCAAGCTAACCAGGGGTATCTTCGGCATTACAATGACTTGACAAAGCGGATTCTGAAGATGGTGGCAAAGTGGTTCATAGCTTGATCAGCAAGCTGCACGTAGTTAGCTCCTGATGTCTCTTAGATGGACATGAAAGTTCTGAAGCAAATGTGCCAAATTCGACCTCATCATATCAACCCACCTGCTACGGAAAAAAATGAGACGTTTTTGTACGGTGGGTAAGCGAAATCTGCCCCATTTTTTTCCGGTGGCAACCCATAGATGAAGCAAGGTGCCCCGCACAGGCTGCGCCGCACCCCACTTACGTACGAGACCCGCACCTCACCTCACCTGTCCTCTCGAATTCTCCTCCAACATCTAGAGCGTCCCGTTTCCCAAGTCTGGCATCAAGTTAATTCAAACCGCTAAGAATGGCCTCCATGACATCCTTTGTTCGGACACAAGTACATGCCATAGAGCCAGCCACCTTTAGGAAGCTCCTTCCATATATCTTTATCGTACTATGTTGTCCCATCCACATACACAGGTCTGTGCATCTGATCCCGCGGACCGTCGTCCCTCACGGCGCGCTTTCCGTCGATCTCCAACTATCCGGCGTCTTCATCGACACCCGCTATTACACCTCAGCTGCAGAGCCGTCAAGCGACAACATATCATCACACACAGACTCCAACACAGCAGCTGTAAACAGCGAAGCATCATCCAAAACAAAATCCGCAGCGAAAGCACCAGATTACACCTGCCCTGACGAAATTGACCAATTTGACATCTTCGTCTGCAAGGACTGCGGAGGTGCGGTGGATCCTACTCCCTATCTAGGCCATGGAGAGCCGAATGCGAGATGTGCTGGGGTAGGTCTTGCCATTATTTTCCCATGCTTTCTAAGTGTTTAACATACATCATCCCAAGATCTATACAGCATGACTGACTGCGAGATCGATCCACAGCTCGAAGACGAGATGTGGAAGGACTGCCGGTGCTGCGATATCCCAGAGCGCAAAATTTACCCCTACCACCACAGAGGACTTAATATCGAATTGGCGCTGAGTAAATGCCCGGATAAACCAGAGTGGGCGACCTAGTAAGGAAACGTAGTTCAGGACCGAGAAAAAAGAAATAGGAGGACAAGACGAGCATGCCCTCAAATGAACTGCGCTTCAATTTCATTAGAGCAACGTCCAGCCCCTGAATTGCGACGAACCTCTTTTAAACACACTCTCTTTCCTCTTGCTTTTTCCTTCTTATCTGTAGCCTCTCGTCCATCTGCCTCTCGGCTAAATGACCACTCCCTTCTCCTGAACTGAATAGCTATTTTGGCGGACTAAGAGTTAATCAATGTCCATTGTCCATGCTAGGAACTGGAGGTATTAGTTATTCTTCAGCGTTCCCACATTCCTGAATCGGCAATTGCCAAGTTCGAGCTGAGAAGCTCCACATGCTGCTTCAGCCCAACGCCACGCGAGGCCAAGCAAGCTTGATGCCTCAAAGTGGCCTTGGAAACGCGTTCTAGATGCGCCCGGCTGAACCACTTTGCAGATGAGCTTCAGCTATAATTTCTCGCTCTGGCCGGACCAATCCTACTAATATCCCGGGGCAGGGCATCAATCTGCCAATAAAAGCCCTTACGTTCCACTAGCATCTTCTTGCCTTACATACCTTGACGCACAGTAACATGGGCTCGTACGCGAGTGGCATGCAGCAAAAGCGTGGTAAAAAATCTCTTTGGTAAAAAAAAAAAAAAGCTACTAAAACCCAGAACCAGCCTCACCCATACTCGAACCCTAGCCTCCACCAACCACCCCCAAACCGCCTGTATAGCGACAGCAATGCCAGAAATGAGGGGGAAAAAGGCAAAAAAGATAGAATTTTCACAGCGCGCGCTGAGATTCAAGAATGAGACCTCAAGTCCCAAACCATGGTCCAACGCCGCTTTCGCCGCTACTAGCTCTACCTTTTGATGGATTGTGGTGTTGTAAGATATATATACAGCTATAAAATAACTTTGCGCCACAGTATTCGCGCAATCCCTTCAATTAGCGTACCATGCGTCCACGCGGAGGGGCTTTGAGCCGACTTTACACATGCTGCATACTTGACTTTCAGCCGGGCGCTAGTGTTGCGCCTCTAAACTTATCAATGGTATATATTAGCCCACATTTCCCTTCAGGCAATACGCAGTCCCAAAGGATATTCTACTCTCAATCCATCCCCTGCCTCCAGCACCAAATATTAAGGACAAAACACTATGGCTGCACCTAAGCCCACCTCTCCAGAAGCTGCCTCGGCTGTAGCTTCAGTCCAACCTATCATCCCCATTGCCTCCTCTGCGACGCCCAAACCCTCAACCAACAATGCCCCAGACGCCTCGCTCCTCGCTACGGCCAACGTTCAGCCGGCCCCCACCCCAATCCCCACCTTCAACACCGTCGTGAAGATCTTCATGCAATCCACCGGCGACGATTCCGGCTCCAACGCCGAAATGCACGGCTACATCCGCTTCTTCTCCATCTCCGGCGACGACCTGAAGCGCTTCGACGTCGATCTCCCAGTCAAGTCCGCATGGGGCAATGAGAACGGCGGGTACGGTCGCCAGCTGGTGGAGCATAGCCGCCCTTCCGCGGCATTGCCGGCGAGCTTTGTGGGATATGTGTGGGAGAGCGATACTAGCGCTGAGGATAGGGCGCTGAATTATACGGTGGATTTTAATCGCCCGGAGAATCTGCAGTATGCGGACGGGAGGGAGTGGGTGCTACAGCAGAGCAATAGTGAGGATAATCGGTTTGTGGTGAATATGGTGTGGCAGGTTACGAGGACGGCCTAGAGAATGGAGAGAGTGGTAGCGGTTGGATGGTACCCGTACGTCTTCTTTTCTCGTACCGCGTCAGGCATGTGAAATGGTCCCCATAACGATTGAAAACGAAGGATGCGAGTAAAATACGATATAGGGTGCAGAACATTTGAACCTCTTTGGATATATTCTACTTTGGGTCACGTTCGGTGTCCCGAGATCCATTTCTTCGCCGTGTATCATGCGCCTACACGACATCCGAAAATCAACAACTTTGCACCGCCAGCCCTACTTTGTCTCTTCCGCATTTGTCTCTCACTTCCCCCACCCCATAGCTCAGCCTACCTTTACCTCGAATAACTCAGCTTTTCAAATGCGGTCTCGCAGCATTTGCCTCTCACTTCCCCCACCCCGCAGCTAAGCCTACCTTTACCTCGGGAGCTTCCTTATATCGATACTTTCTCCCAACCACCACCTCTGCTCTTCAATTCCCAGCCTTGAGGCGAATACTGGCACTGCTTACTACACCCACCCGATACCGGAAATACCGAACTGCTCAGGCCCTGATCAAGATGGTAAGCTAACTCGTTATTTCGTGCCCGTACAGTGTACTGATTCCAGCAGAGCGGCAAGCAACGAGTCAAAGCCCAATTTGAGCGCTCCGTAGAGCCAGGAAGGATGCTGGTCGGACGACACTTCGACGGAACGGACGCCTGGGCTTCATGGACTCTCATCCGGAGCACCGGGTCCAACGCAATGTGGAAGGAAAGAATCACAGTGTTCAAGAGCCCTACCGGTAGCGGAACGCAAGAGAAAGGGTCTGCTGGGCTCGTAGATTGAGCAACATTGGATCCTCGATTCAAGAATCCAACCCATTGGAAGCGCGAAGCATATGCGGTATGGAAGTCCCAGTTTGGTGAGGCGAAGAAGGTGGAAACAACCGGATCGAAGCGAAAGCGGACCGGCACGAACGATTCACCTCGCCCCAATAAGAAAGCCCGCGATTCAGAACCCAGCGAGGAAGATAAGTCGCTGTCTAAGAAGCCCACGAAGCCCACGATGAGTCCGTCGGACCAAGCTCGAGCGGATCGCACAGCCTTCGAAGATATCTCGATTGACGAGCTGGGCAATGATACTTATCGTCGAATCGGCAAAGCCATAGCAGCAAAGGGGTCATTCGTCATACCACCACCGATCGCATTGCTCGAGCAATTGAGGGCGCTCTCGAAGACCACAGCTGGAGCACACAAGCCTATAAACCCGTTCCACCACCCCGATTGGCAGGCGTGGGCAACCAATCATGCCATGCCAAAGACTGCCACAGAGCCGGCCACGAAGCCAACCGCAAAGCCGGCCGCGAAGGGCAGAGGCCGAGATCGAGCAGATGAAGGCGCTGCCTCCCACAACGCCAACCACACCCGGACCCCGCAGATCCGCGTTGCAGCTTGCACCTGCACCGACGGACAGGCTAAGGAAGGTGCTGGCCAGGGCGGACGCCGCGATCGAGCAGATGTAGGCGCTGTGATCGAGCGGATGAAGGCACGGCGAGCGGCAGGCCCTGGGAGCGCCTGACGACGTGGTGGACTCAACTTGGTAGCTATCAAAGCATTGCTTGATTTGGTTTAACACATTGGGATTCTCTTTCTTACTGCAAAGTCCTTCATGAATATATTAGTGCGAGTGAACGGATAGCTCCAATGAATCCCTAGTCTTATAGTCAAGCTATCTTTCGTTTTTGCTGGTACTGTATATGTAGTATGCTCGCATCTTCTTTATGACGAGGTCGAGCGAATCGATGACTGCGCGCGAGCTACCTTTCGACATCCTACACTTCCTTACATTTTCAGCTTCGAGAACCTACGCTTCGTTTTCTTACGTTTCAGTATCTACGCTTCGTAGAAGTGATAGTATTATGCTTCATATGTCTACACTAATGGGCCTTACGCTTCGTAGGAGTTACTTATATAACCTACAGTTCGTACATGGGGATTCACAGGCCTACAATTTGTAGAAGTCATTTACGTAGCCTACGATTCATATGTATAGATTTATAGACTTATACTTTTCGCGGGCAGCCCTTGGAATAGTGCCGATAAGACCTGTATTTCGTCCGGAGATGCATTGGGAGCTTCGTTTCGATTGTCTTAATCAAACTTTCGCAATGATGATCGACGACTGTGATTATCTTTCGCGGAGACCACCACTTGAGCTCCGACTCCATAGAGTCTATGGACCCCTACGAGCTTACGTTATATCGTAGTTGCTTTGCGACGCAACGAGTCGTTGTCACCGAGCTAGCTACGAAGCTGTTCTGGTGTGAAATGACCCTAGGGAAGAGAGTGCATGGAGTGCTTCAGTGTATGATGCGAGCTCATTTGGGCTAGAGGCAGTTCGCTGAAGGCCTTCAGGTACAGTAATGGAGCTTGAGATGAGCGGTCGTGCCTTGATCTGCATGGCTTCCTCCTGGATTTTGGGAAAAGCAATACCTTTCCCTTCAATTCGCCGTCGAGCACGAGCATAGCCGCGTAGACGGTGATATCCTCTCTTGGATTCCAAGGTGGAACGTGTCCGTGGTGACGCAAATACTGGGCCTCCAGACCCATCTTTCCTTCGATGCAGCAAAAGGTGGCCCAAGAGCGCGTCCCACGAGGGCTCATCTGAGGCTGCCCGGCATTGTTTTTGATACAATAAAATACGCCTCGAAACAACTGCACAGGTCGGCGTCACAGTTCCCCGAGACTCCACAAAGCTCAAACAAAGTCGTGTTTTTCTGGGCGTATCTCGTTAACGCGAAAGCACACGAAACATATCGCCATGTTTCGAAACCGTTGATGGCTTTCGCCCGAATGCTCACCGGCGAACGATATACGGGGAGCCACGCTCAGTTTAAAGCCGACCACTACAAATACTGCTCGCGTCTGCTCGAGCTCAGTGAGAGTATGCGCGGCGAAGATGTGAAGGACTTCCAACAAGGGACTACAGGGGGAAGCGTATCCAATTTCGTCGACCACGCTTGGTACTTCTGCAATCGTCGCAAACTTGTGCACACCGAGAGCGGGTACTACGATTTTGCGCCTCTGAGCACCAAGCAAGGAGATGTTTGCGCGATTATCTTTGGCTGCAAGGTGCCGTTGATCCTTCGTGCCATAGGGCAAACCGGGGTTTACAAGTTGGTGGGAGAAGCATATATATAGGGGGTAATGGAGGGTGAAGTCCTAGAGTCGCGGAAGAGAGATGTTGTCCGCGAAGACGACATCATCCTAGCATGACACTTTGCCCAAGAGGTTCTGGAGTTGGTGGGGTAGAAATTGGAAAACCGTTTAACGAGACTGTTGCATGCGGTCTTTCTCCTCCACTGCGGCGTACATCCCATCGAGCTGCCTTTTGAACCCTTCCGCCATAATGAAGTTACCAAGCCTCCTTGCCATAGAGTCCGCCTCCTCCAACGCGAATGCAATTGTTGGGTCCCAGTTGTATTCTGACACCGCCATACGTCGAGTCTTAATGCACATTACGAAACTGTGCATCGAGTTTTCGAATAACAACAGCGAATGTTGAGCCGAACCAAGCAAAAAGAAACTTAACAAAATGTCCACATTCAACTGAATGTCTCCCTGGTCTTGGATCATGTGTGGAGCCTGCAGGAGACGCTGGCTGAGGCTGCGAGCCACACATTCCGCTTCTGCGAGTCTCGACTCCTTCAACAGATATCTGATTGCGGTGTGCCATAGACAGAATGTTGGGTGGCTGTAGACGCCAAGTTGCTCGTCTACTTGTTTCAGGATGAGATCGATCTCTGCCAGTGATTTTCTTCTGTACAGATCGTAGAATCTTCCATCATCCGCTCTGGGGAGACTGGCCTGATTATAGGAGTAGTAAGCTTTTATCTGGTTCGTTCCGCTTCCCCTTGACATCCATAGATGTCGGCAATAAGCATCGAAAGCCAAGTAAAGGTCGCCGGTTGTATCCCAAGGTATGCTCGCCAACGTCCGGAACATGTGTCTCCGGGGATCGTTTTCATGAAGAATTGTCGTGGCCCAGTCGTAAAGGTTGGTTGCCATGCAAATCTGGATTTCAGATAGTCCAGCTCGCTCAATTAAGAGCATGATTGCAAGGATATCTGGGAATTGTCGATGATGGTAGGTTCGCACGATGGCTTCGTGAAGCTCGAAAGCGGACCCTATTAAGGCGAAAGCCAGATTGGTTTTCCTTCTCCGGAACTGTTTCAAGGCGTCGCACAATCTGTTGTGCAGTTTGCTGAGTTGCACCAAGCCGATTCGGAGCTCATGGGCCCTACCATAGAGGCCGCAATTGTCTTTGGACCATGTGCCGGTGTCGAAACAACTGTCGAAGTGCATACTTGTAAACCACAACAAGCGCCGGAAAATATTGAAGATTGAAGGCTCTTCAAGCCTGCTGAAAGTGAATGGCAAAGGAATGAATACAAAATGCCTGCGAGGCGGACGAATGGTAGATCGTTTGGCACCCTGTGGGCCGGTCTTTTTCTTTCGCTCTCGCTGGCAGTAGCGTCTGACCTCGAGGATGTCGAGCAGTATGCCGCTTGCCACAACCAAACAGTCCCAGCATTCTTCAGGTTGCCTTAGTCCCATTTTCACCATGCGAATATAATTGGCTTCTTCCGCACAGATGTTCTTGAAGATGCCCCATTTACCTAACCGATATTTCCATTGATTAGATCTAGCGCGCTAATTAGTAAACTCACGAGCAACTCGATTATTACATGGTGACGAACGTCAATGGACGCACAGGTCCCTCTTTTGCTGCTTCCATCTCTTGTTTCATCAATTGCTCGACTGTCCAGTCCTCAAGAACATACAGACGAACAACATCGAGGCGGCGATGTGACCACAGACTACCTTGCGAGTCGGCGTTCATCACGGTGATGTGAAACTAGAGCTTTCTTGGGAGATGTTCGGGTTAGGAGGTATCAACTTCTTGTTGAAGATTGAAAAGCGCGGCCGCTTTCGATACCAAAAATGTCGCACAGGAACCAGGCTGATAGGTCAAGGCGCAGCACACGGGCAATCGACCTTGGCCACGTCAGCATACGTGAAAGAATTCAGCCGCTGCCCTACATCGTCCTTCGTTGTGGCTGTCTATGAAGGATGTCATTCATTGCCATCAAGTCTTCCGATTTTATCACCCCACTCCGGAACAGTGCTGCACGTGCCAAGGAACTTGATGTATGATTCTCCATTGAGTGTATGCCGTCGTGCGCATGTGATGTCCATAAGAACAAAGGCAGTCATTTGTTGGTCGGATGGAACCTTGGTTCAATGAGGGGGCCTATCACGTACCAGGTTTGTTGCAGCTGCGCGCTGCCATGGCCCCTAAAACAGGGCAACCGGCCAATCGACAAGCATTCCTTCCTTTAGGTGATGCATACCACTTTTGCTCGCTTATGCATAATACTTTTGCTCGTTTTCCGGCATTCAACTTTTGTTCGTTTCCATGCATGCAACTTTTGCTCGTTCCTACGCATGCCACTTTGGTTCGCGTCTGCTTCCCTGGGCTCCACACCACTGGTGTATGGAGGCGAAGTCATCTCGATGCATATGCTGTCGTAGTATGAGATATAAGAGAGCCCGCCGTGCCCAAATGGACCTTAAACAATCATTGGACAATCCGTTACAGCTGATTGCAGAATATTCAATGACACCATCTTTACAATCCTGCACCGACGGCTGGAAGAACTTCTCCGACCTGGTGTGTAACAAGCTTAGCGACCGGGCTGCCAGTTTCCTGAGAAAATAGTAAGTTGGGCCGGCCTGATCGGCATCACGGAACTAACAGCCAGTACAGTGCTGGAGCGGATCTCATCATCATTACCGGCGCCACTGGGGTCGGAAAGTCGTCTTTCATCAAAACAATGACTGGGGGGGATGTATATATTGGATCAGAACTGCGTTCCGGTGAGGGCTTGCCAATTAGAAGGCTCATGTTGCTAATAACAGCTAGGGGCAACGCAAACAGCTCTCGTTCCTGCAGTGATTCATGGCAAGAATTATTTGCTCCTCGACATGCCTGGTTTCAATGCAGACGATTTCAACGACTGGGAGATCTTCAACATGCTCATGACAGGCATGGCCACTGTTCGCACATACGTTCGATTCCGGGGCGTAGTGTACGTTGACTCCATGAACGATAGACGCCTCACGGCACCGGCGCAAAGAATCCTCACCTGGCTGACTCACTTCTGCGGCGAAGGGTACATGCCCAATCTCACTATCGTTACAACAATGTGGGACGGACATGACGAAGAGGGGATCGAAGACAAGCTCGATATCTACGAGACGTGGCGTGCAGGTGCGCACTTCCAATACTTCTTCTCACATGGGGCCAAAGTATATCACCATGGTCTTGTCAAGGGGGGTGATGGTTACCGAACACTGAGCCGCGAAAAGAAGTCGGCCGAAAGGAAGAGCGACGCGCTGCAAATGATACGAGACTACGGCGATACGGCGCCACCCCTGACGCTCCAGATCTATGACCAGATCGCCAATGGCCGTACAATTGAGACGACATCTGCTGGCCGCTGGCTGAGGGCCGGGTCCAACAATCCGGAAGGTCAGTCCTACAGAAGTACCCACATGCGCATGCTTCTCTAACGCTGCCTAGAGTTCCTACCAGATGCACGTCATAGCGGCTCCGCATCGACTGGGAATGCGAATACAGGAGCGACAAGGCAAGAGAGACGAGATCAAGACCAAAGCCCGACAAACGGCAACGGAGGACCTACTCCAAATTCAGCCCAGAGATCTCGAACTTCCAGCTTTTGGTCGGACATGGTCAGTTTTCAACCTTGGATCAAACTTCTTGTCCATGCCGCGAGGGATTACATGAAGGCGTCTGAAAAGGGCCCTCAGTACCGGGACTGACTGGACGCCTCCACCTCCACAAACCACACCGGCGAACTTTGGATGCAACCCAAAGGGGGGCCTGGCACACAGCTGGCCCGAAAGCTAGGGTGTCGCCTGCTACACCACTTCTTGTCCGATTTTATGTACTCGTGTAGATACGTAGTAGCTACTGGACATGTGCGACGCTGTCCATGCTCTTAATATTTCGAGCTCGGCGAAATCTCTACAGTGCACACCTCACAGCTGCCCACAGAGCCATCGCTGTTAAGTCGGTCGATTTTAGCTCCACCACATCATCCCTAACCACATTTTCCCCTGTTTCCTGTGCATCATCCTCTAGACTGGTGACTGGAGACTGAATTCGAAACGTGTGGAATCGCGCTCCCATTCTATTTTACCGCTCTTCATATCGAATTTAGCAACGCTATTGACGAATGTCAAGCAGAGCGCTGATCTGGGCGCGGAGGTCGTCGTTGGTTATGTATAGTACACCGATGGAGAGCCGGGTTGATGACGGGTATTCGAAGAGGTTGTCCTCCAGGGGCGCGGCCAATTCCGCAAGGAAGTCTGTCTTTCCAGGCTTGAAGCGAATCCAGTCTTTCCAAGTGCCGGGGCTGCGTTTCATGGCCGTGTCTAGTCGCGCTGTTAAGAGTGGCAAGTGGTCGAGCAGGCCGGTTGACTCTCGTAGCGGGCTGTGTCGGAATCCGTGTCGGATTTCCAGATCAGACAGCCGAACGGTGTCCAGGGACGACGGAGCATTACGGCATCGGAACCCAAGCGGATGTCGAGGGGTTTGACGACTCCGCTTCCCATTTTTATTCGCTGTCACGTCAATAGATGTAACTTTCCAGTGGAAAGGTATCAAATTTTGCAAAGCTTTTGGTTTTCTGCCTCTTTCTCGTGGGTTTGATAGTGCCCCCTTCTGACTTGTGTCGTTTCTTCTTAGAGCGGTGTATATCGTCCGTACTCTTCCGCTTCCGCTTCGATCCAGTTGTCTCCGCCTGCTTCGTCCCAAGTGCATCGGCTGCGGCCTTTTCTGCTTCGCTCATGTTGTTATGCCGATTGTGTGGGATGCCATTTTCATCCGCCTAATAGGCTATTAGGATGGCGGGCTTGGAAGTAGCGACATTGTTGCGGGCTGCGCTAGGAGCTTTGCTCTTTGCCTTGCCTTTGTTGGCACTCTAGGAGAATCACCTCTGTGCCTAGTCACGTGCTTACCTCACGTGACTATCTGTGTACTGCCCATATTTGGTGCCTCAATCGATCAATCCCTCCATAACTCTGTACCCTTCATTCAAGCAGCCTTCACATTTGCGTTGAGTCGAGCTAATCCGGTAGGGAGAATAGGAAGCTGGGAGCTTGGTGGGAACGCCAGCAAACGGGTCCGGTCTGTATTTCCATCTGCTGGATGCGCCTAGCAACCATTAGATGAGCGGGACAAAGAGAACTCGCATAGGTGTACTTATCCCGAAATTTTTGGGATCGTACCACGCGTGCGGTAGACGTAGGACAAGGCCGATCGCTTGACGGGCTGCTGGCTGTGAGGAAGCGCGCATCAGGGCCGGTCCGTATTTGTGGCCGCCGGAAGCGCTTAAAAACTACTAGATAAAGCAGGATAAAGAAATCTTTAACAGGCGTACTTATCCCGAAATTTGTGGGATCGTATTACACGTGCGGCAGACGTAGGACAAGGCCGATCGCTTGCTTAACGGGCTGCTTGCTATGAGGAAGCGCGAACGGAGGCCGGTCCGTATTTGCGGCTGCCGGAAGAGTCTAGAAGCGACCAGATAAAGCAGGATAAAGAAACCTTGTACAGACGTATTAATCCAGAGACTTTTGGAATCGTATTACGCTTGCGGTAGATAGAGGACGAGACCGCTTGCCTGACGGGTGCAAGCTGTAAGGAAGCGCGAACGGAGGCCGGTCTGGATTTGCGGCTGCCGGAAGAGTCTAAAAGCGACCAGATAAAGCAGAATAAAGAGACATTGTACGGATGTATTGATCGGAGAATTTTCAGGATTGTCTCGCGCGTGCGGTAGATAGAGATTGCTGGCTGTGACGTTCGCACGAGTCTATCCTAGACCACAGCCAGCGTCGACCCCACCGGCCAACATTTGCGGACGCCGCATACAGCGGATGAACTAGAAATTATGCAGTCACGATAATAGGTAAGAAATAAGGCGACCCTAAGATTTTTGTATGAAGGGGACAGATCCGGCGGCGGATACCCCAGGCCGCTCTCGTCCCCGGAAGTCTTGGTCGAGGTGCATGCGAGGCAGGGGAGGCGGGCAACGGCCAGCATCCACGAGCGCCGCGTGCATCGGAGGAATACGAAATTTGCGGGTCACATTGGTTACTTAAATATAAAGCTATCCTGCAGGTTTTGAGAGACTGTGAACGAATGCGGTAGACGCAGTACTAGGCCGGCGCTAGCTTGTCAACAGCGCACTCCGCGCACTATGACTTGGGGCGGCCGGCCGACCATTGCGCCCGCCGCGTGCATTGGAGGAATTCGAAATTTGCGGGTCACATTGGTTACTTAAATATGAAGCTATCCTGCAGGTTTTAAGAGACTGTGAACGAATGCGGTAGACGCAGTACTAGGCCGGCGCTAGCTTGTCGACAGCGCACTCCGACCTAGGGCAGCCGGCCGACTATTGCGACTACCGCTCGCGTCAGAGAGGTATACGAGCTCGTATGCATGGAATGGGGCAACGACATCGCGTGAATATGCAGGGCATCGAATGAGTGCGGGAGGTCAAATTCCTCACTGGCGGTCGACGCCACTCAAGAGGGAGCATGGAGGGCGGCCGGCCTGCAACCAGCAACACCACCTGCGGCTAACGTGCGCAAAATGCTAAGGGATACGCTTAAGGTCGCATGCAGCACATGTCCTGAAACTTACAAATAAACTCTTAGTGTCCGGTAGACGTTTCAGCGAACCGGAGGATTATCGCTCGGCTAAGTTCAAGACCCTGCCGCAAGAATGGCCGGCCTGCGCTGTCTCCTACCGCAACGTCCGCAGCAGTCTGGAACTTGGCGGATAAGAAGATTGATGGTATGGTAAAATGTCCTCCAATTCTTATGGTTGTAGTCGTCTTCCGGCAGGCTGAATCGGAGACCGGTGTGCCTGTGCTATAACTCTGGAGTCGAACCCGCCACACCTACCTTCGCCGGCCGACTGTAGCATTTGCCGCGTCGAGGCTACCGTCTCAAAGCCCTTCGGCTATGCGTATTGCGCTGCCACTCTCCTGTCCTGAGATTTGCTAAGCTATCAGGGGCGTGCGGTAGCCGTGGTCGTTGTCCGGCGGGGCTATCACGCACGCCACGCCCAAGCTCCTCCACGCGGCGACCGGCGAGCAACATCTCCTACCGCACCACTAGCAGAGGCTACATACTTGGTAGACAGGAAGATTATGGACACGGGAAGATGACCTCTTATTTTAAGCTCGTAGTTTATCGTGCGGCGCGTAGTATCGGAGACCGGCCGGGCTATCATGCACGCCTGGCACATGTTGGGACCGCCGGCGAGCAGCATCTCCTCCCGCACCGCCAAAAAGCACACTAGAACCCTGCGGACAAAGCATTCAGGCACGTGGCAGTGTCGCCTCCAATTTTCTGAGCGGGCTTGTCCTGGTGAGGCGTAGAATTGCAGGCCGGTGAGTAGCTGCTGCTCACGCACCCATGTCCGCTCGGATGACCCGCCGGCCTGCGACACCTCCCTTGCCAGCTCGCGAGCAGGCTCGAATTTGCGGGGGATAAACGAGTATCGATGGCTTCTTGATGACCCTTCGTTCCGGCGGGCGACATTGTCGTTCCGGTGGTCAGTATTGGAGGCCGGCGCATAGAGATCTTGGGGTCGCCCAGGTGGTTAGCGTTCCGTCGCGTCCTAACCCCAAGTCAACGTCACCAACAACCCCGCACAGAATTCCACCAAGACCAGGAGCTGTGCTTGCTACCTCCCAGTTCCGCCGGTATAAGTTCTGCGGCGTACAGGTCGCGATTCAGTACATGGATCGGAGCATGTCCTGCGTCGGCGTAGGCAGCGTCGTGAATGCCCATTCGATTGGTTGGGAGGCGGGTGCATCCCCGGCATATCTGGAATGTTTGCGGACGCGTAGAGACAAAGCAACGCGAGCTGACATGGTAGAGGCACCCAGCTTCCCTCTACCCTGTTATGCTCGAGCTGTCTTACCCGCGACCCAAAGGACAGCTGCTCTTCGCTGTGTCGCCGGAGCCGCACGGGACTTTGCTGCGCGCTATCTGTCTCTAGGGCTATTGAGTACGGGGTCACACCAAGTCTTCTTCAGGCTAGAAGATACCGAATGCCCCAATTTGTGCTGAGGACTTAGGGGAGGGATTATTGCCATGTCCATCGGACTACGCAGGAGCTCGGGAAAGGCGCTCTTCTGTCTTGCCACAGTGCCCGTCACACGAAGCTGCCACTCCCACTAGCGTCGGCTGCTGAGCGAGATAATCATCCCCTCCACTACGTCTGCTTTCACCTTTAACCTCGGGGAGGCTCCTAATCGGTCACCACTACGATGGAAAGGAGGTTTAGGCATTCTGCAGGCCTTCACAGGTGCGTACAATCGCAGTTAGGTACGAGCACCCACCGGTTTGCCAAACGAATTTGACCTGCTACATTCTTTCCCTAAATACTCCCGCGATATCGTACATGCATTCTCTATGGAGACCATAGCACGGTCCTTACTAAACCACCCTGAGTTGTCATTGCAGCAATTCATAGACAGGTATCAACTCAGAAGGGCTGTTCTCAACTCCGCGATCCTTAATTTTTTTTTCCACCAGGCCTGTCACTTGCGGTCACGCTAGACTGACAGCGCGCCCTGGAACTGTCTGAAGCAAAATCCGATAGTGTTGCATGAAGTGGCGGCCTCCGCGAGAGAAACCACTTATCACACAAGGCGAGTCAAAAACACTCTCGAATCGGCATAGGAGAAGTATGAAGGGCGGAGTTCACTGCATGTGCTACTGATTTAAGAGTCTCTGTTCTAGAAATAACGGAAAGAAACCCGGCGGACGACCTTATCACTCCCCCTTTCCAATCCAGCCCCGGAAGTCGCAGTAGCCGCTGCCCAATTCCAGGAAAAGAGAATTGAGAGAGTGTGCTTCGAGAATGAAATTGAGACCGCTAAAGATAACGAGTTGAGGATGCCTCCTCAAACACGCCCAGAGAACGAAGGTGTGAAATAGGCTATCGACTAGAATTAGCTATGGTGTTTCCGTAGACAGACAAGTACTTACTTTGATAGGAAAGCTACCGCGAAGGTTTCTGAAGAGAGGGCCGACTTCTGGCTGATTTGATAAGACAGAGAGGGCGGGGCGACTCGGCGCCTAGAATAGTTAGACGTCGCCGGCTGCCTTTCCCGAGTACGTAGGCTTGAGGACTTGGCCTCCCGTTACCTTTTCGATATCGGCAACCACCAGCTCCATCGGCATCATGTAAGAAACCAAGGTTGCCCGGTTTGACGCAAAGCCGAGGCCAACAATGCATGACGTCGAATCGTCACCCTGTTCCTGAGGCTTATCCAACAGTATTGCGCTGCCAGAATCGCCTGGCGCAAGGAAGTCTCGTTCGCCCGAGGCCAAGATGCCGTAACTGAGGATTGGCCTGCCGAATCGATGGCGAAGATCCACCGGCACGACAGAAGATCGATCATGTCGAAGCTGGAGGATCGATGCGACAGCGTTGATCTTCCCTGTCGTCCAGCCGGTCGTGCGCCCTATCTTTGCCACAGGATAGCTCTTTTCCGGATCCAATATCGCCCACTGCGATGCTATCGAGTTCGTGCTTAGCTGGACCGCAGTGCTAACAGTAGGCACGGTGGGTAACAAGACTCGCGGGCTGGCGATCTGGACCAGGCTCCAGTCTACGGCCCATTGTAGAAGCTTGTCATCGCCAATCATCTTTGCCATGGTCTCCTCTGGATCCTTGCCGAGTGGCCGAATCTTGTCGCTGCTCTCATCTCTAACCGTAGACCATTGTCGAACTTTGTCCTCATCGTATTGCTCATTTTCTACCGTTCGCCAGCCGGACGATGCATACACAGTCCCTAAGGTACGAGTAGCGCTCTGGGCTTTGATTATCAAGTCCCTGGCGTCGTTGCATTGCTTTGTGGTTGCGTCCAAGTATCCTGATTGTGAGGGATCTTGGCTCATGGCCCGGATGGATCTGACGGTGTCTGTGATGTCGTTGCGGGTCTTTGCGAGTAATATGTTGTGGTCCTGGTCGGAGGGTGTGACTACATGAAGACAGTTTTGCTTGACAAGCTCATGTCGCGGAGACAGCCAGTCTTCGGCAGCGCACACCTGCTCTACGGTCTCTTCGTCGCACAACACATGATGATTGCTCAGCCCGAGTTCCACACGGCGGCCTGACTCCTTTTCTTTCAGGATGATATGTGCTCCCAGAGTGCCAGTCCCGTCTTGTCCTGTTCTGCCGATAGAGGATCCCATTTGGACATGCCTCTCGTAAGCGGCGCCAGTGATGCAACTCGAGAGTACTCGTTGTCCGTCTGCTTTCGTGGGTTTTGGTTCACCTTGTCCGCGCGTAGAAAATATGCTGTTCTGGAAGACGAGTTCAACGGAGAAGTTTGAGGGCGCCTCGCGGAAAAGTGTGGGCAGAATATCGTTCCACCAGGCTTCATCGTCGGCATCGGCAGCCGAAATGACAATGGTTGGGGACTGCGGGGTGTCGGTTTCGCGGAGGCTTCGGTGGAGAACGTCGATACTTATCCAAGCGCGGGCCGCGATCTTTTCCAGGACCGTTGCTTGAAAAGGCTTCCATGCAGCAATTATGTCCCGCTGGGATGTAGTGATGGGGTAAGACATGAGACCCTTCTCTGCCCCGCCATCAATTATTTCCAAGGCGATGTCGAGCTCTTCGCGAATGAGCAACTCTTTGATAGCCTGCACACTCCGGACGCAATTCTGCCGTTGGCTTTCGATGGTGACATCTGACAAGACGAGGAGGGTTAAACCGCGACCCTGTGGCTGCTCTCCCCTGTGGAAACGGCGCACAATGTCCATGTATTCTACCAAGACCTCGTGCTCTTTCAGTATGAGTTTGATCCCTGGAATCATAGAGTACAGCCGAGGGGACTCTTTGTGGAGGCCCCATATCGTGTTGAGAGGGAGGGTAGGAAGTAGTGGCGAACCGACACGGTAGGCCAAGCGGGTGTCGAGGACGAGGCCGGGGATGGTATTTTCCGCCATCGTGTTGCGAATCTGCAGGGGCTGGATCCTATGTAGGACTGGTTTGCGAGCGCAGATGAGCTCGGTTGTCGACGATCTTCGAAACATTGCGGACTGGCTGAATTATATAGCCGAGTGCACGTGGAAGGTCGAGTAGTGTTACCTTGGTTACGGGCAAGCCGAACCCGATGGATTCACTGTGTTGGGGTGGGTTGAGTGAAGCTCTCTCACTCGGCTATACATTCAGATATATTCTGGCTCGTCTGAACTTTAAGGGGGACCCTTCAGTGCAAATTCGGGCAATCCCCGAATACAAGGAAGTTTTCACCGCAGCAACCAAAATGCAAGACCGCCAAAGCAAGCGCGTGAGCCTGGACTGGAAGGCAAACAAGGCCCATCGGGGAGGCCTTAAGAGAGGCAATGCAGGTATCCATACGGGAAGGATATTTGGCCCAGCGGTTACAAACTCAGGACATCGCCGGCAGAGAGATCTGTTTTCGCTTGCGCGCAACAAAGCGATAGCACGGGCCTCCGGGAGACGGGCGTCCAAGACCACCTCATGGTTGACCCTTACGTTTGAGTGTGGGCGACGCCGTCCCGTAAAGAGCGGAGACAGAGGCGAGGGAGATGGCTGCAGACATGTGTGGTTTGGGCCTTCCGTATGCCGGAGACACCGAACTAGGACTAGAGAGGGATAGAGGAAGAATTTTTAATTAGTATACATGTCAGGTATTCTGCCGCGTGTTGTGCTTGCATGAGAGTGCGGCTACCCGACGTTGTGCACCAGCGTGCTGCCGTTTGGCAACTGTGTCAACCCCCCGAACCATTCCAGCTTCTGGAGTCTCTGGAGAGAGATTACCTTGCTTAGAAGGGGCCTGGAACGGTATATGTTCCTGTCCTCAGAGAACCCGGCCAGCACTACAAGCCAAGCGCGGCCAATATCCGCGACCTGCTCGCTGCGTTGCGCGACGACAGCATAATCGAACTCGCGACCAGCAATTCGATACTGTATCCCACAGACGACGGAGTTCTCCGGGTCCATCGCACCCGCTGCTCGCACTCCCTTGGTGGCGATGACATGCTCGCGAATATGGCGAATGGTGGCGTTCCCGATTTCAGTTGGTTGAGAATGGTCCCGCATCAGCTCCCATTCAAGGTCATCCTTGAGCGGGAGAACAAAGCATCGGCTGCTATTTGAGCGTCCAATCTTCACCAAAGCTTCAAGCGACCTTCTCTTTGACTTTCTCCATCCGTGGAATGCTCCGCCGAAGCGGTGCGAGCTCTGATACGTTACGGGGAAAGCATTTTTGGATGATATTGGCTTACCTAGAACGATATGTACCTAACCCTCAATATCAAAAAGCTTCAGAAGACTGTGGGACCATTGAAGCTCACAAGTAATCGATGATACGCGCAACATCTTCAGCTCGCTGGAAGCGATTCTCAATGCCACGTGGGTGCCGCCAGATTTACCATAATAGGCTACATTGAACGTTAAGGCGTAGGAAGGTAGTGGATACGACGGCGCCTATAGTAGAGTTCAATTCTACAGCCCACACCAGCCCTCTACATCCCGCGGCCTTTGTGCTCTCGCGCGTGCGATCCGAAATGGTGAGTGGTGCATTGCTCAATTCCGCACTATTCCACAAGTGGTAATGAGAGTGAATATGCTGCTCAGCTAAATCGCCGTGATGGAATCAAGACGGTAAGCGGATACAGGCGGCTTCCAGAAACCGCAAAGGCCTGCGGTCGGCTGGTTTTTCATCGCGTCTCGTCTCAAAATCGAAGTAGCGGCTTGACGGAGCGGGCGTCCAATCATTTGACATCTAAAGTGTCGCGTGCGCCGCCGCCTCCCGCTTCACGTGCTCTCCGGTCCACCCTCGAACAAAAATTTAAAGGGTCCACCGACCAGGTTGCTTGCCGACAAGAGTTCGTAGGTCAACCACGGCTGTGCCGATACGGAATCCTCTGGGCCCCTGGATGCTCTGATAAGAAGTCGGGGAAGTCACGATATCAGGTTCGCTTCCTGTGACTCTTTCTTTTTCCCAGAAAGAGACATTGATTCCAGCCTTGCATTCCCCACAGGTCTCGATTATTGAACGCTCAGGGTCCATGAAAAGGCTGCGGAGGCGGGGCCCCAAAACCCCCTCGCTGGCGTCTTGGGGTTACGATCCTAAACGTAATGGGGCGGTAATTCTTCGGGCTATAGGTTGTGCTCCCAACGCGAGGTTAGAAATTGGGTCGCATCCAGTGGACCAACGCGGGCTGCTGGAGCATATTCACCCGCTAGGCGACACAGATGAATGACAAGTATAAACGCCTTCTCGTGGGATGTCCTTCTCTTCAAGCTCTTCACGAGTACATAACTGGTCGGCGTCTGAGATCCTCGCTGCGGCTGCGTCACTGCTAGGATCGGGATCCGGCAAGCGGGAGGAGCGCGGAAGAAAACCTGGAAAGCCGAAACGATAGGGTAAGATATGAGATCCAGCAAACTAGAACGTTTAGGCGTTCTGCTTTGGCACGCACGTGAGCAAGATTTTCACTAGGACCAGGCGCAATACGTCATAGGTCTTGGCATCCAACAGATCTTCCATCTCGCCTCCAATCTCAGGCGTCCCATCCCACAGCGCTCCTCAGCACTTTATATCAGCCATCTTTCAGGCGGGATCGTACCCGCGTGCATCTTTTCTCCTCTTCAGTTTTAGCGATCACTCGCCAACCCTGCACCTGCTGTACATACAGCTAATACAAGCTTTCACAAGCATCACCGGCATTCGTTGCAGTGAGTTACGACGTGAAGCCTTCGACTACGATCCAGAGCCCAGGCGACTTCATTTCCAGAGTTTGCCAACCCTGAGCGACAAAACCCCGAGCAGCAACCTCGCCGGCACCATAGCGACCGCACACGATCACATGCTGCACAGCCAACAACCACCAACTTTCATCTCTCGGATCGCCATTGCGCCAAAATGCCGTACTTCCTGAACTCGTTCAAGAAGCATGACGTCTCAGAGTTCCCCGGGGTCCTTGTGCCCTTGCAGCAAGCCCAACACCGGGGCTCAGTTTCGTCGCGCCGCTTCTCATTGAAGCCGACGCCCCAAACGAAAGATGAGAAGGATGAAAAGAGCTTGAGGACTGGGAGCATCTCCCCTGTGCGTGATGGCAGCACCACCGGGCTGACCCTTGAGACACTGAAGGCCGAGATTGAGGCTGACCTTGCTGCATCCGATTCGAAATCGGCCTATGACCGTACGTCACATGGAACCTAATTCACCCAAACGGACCTTCTGGGGGATAAGTAGCAGAGAGATGCTGACCGACTCAGGCAAGTCGAAAGTGATTAATCGAGCTGTCCAGGATATCGGTATGGGAAGGTATCAATGGAAGCTCTTTGTACTTTGTGGGTTTGGCTGGCTAGCTGACAAGTAAGCTATCTCACCACACCATTGACAATGATATGCTAACCCTCTGCCAGTCTGTGGCTGCAGGTATGTTCGCTCTCTATTAATTTATGGGAAGTGATACTTAACTTCTCATACAGGGTGTCGCACTGACGCTACCGCAACTTGCTGTCGAGTTTGGCGTTAGCCAGAGCGAGATTCGATATACCACACTGGCTCTCTTCCTCGGTCTCTGCATCGGTGCGAGCTTCTGGGGCACAGCTTCAGACGTCATTGGTCGTCGCTTGGCGTTCAACTTCACCCTGTTCATCGCAGGCGTGTTTGGACTAGCTGCTGGCGGTGGGCCAAATTGGGTTGGTACCGCCGCCCTGTTCGCCTGCTTAGGTCTTGGTGTTGGCGGAAACCTCCCTGTCGATGGAGCACTCTTCCTCGAATTCCTCCCATTTGCTTCTGGAAGCCTCCTGACCTTGCTTTCCGTCTTCTGGCCTGTTGGTCAGTTGATAGCCTCGCTCGGTAAGCGCAGTCAATCGCCCATCCCGCAGTATACTTTCTGACAGAAAATAGTTGCGTGGGGGTTCGTTCCAAAGTACTCATGCTCTACCGATGCCACGACCTGTCCAAAGTCCGAGAACATGGGATGGCGTTACCTGGTGCTCACGCTCGGAGCATTCACCTTCTTCATGTTCATCTGCCGCTTCTTCTTGTTCCACCTCTTCGAGTCACCCAAACTGCTATTAGCACGAGGTCGTCAGTCTGAAGCGGTCGCCGTTGTTCATGGCATCGCCTACTTCAACAAACGCAAGACATGGCTTACGGAAGACATCCTCAACCAGATTGGCGGCAATCCCGAAGTGACGGAGGATGCGAAGCTCAGCACCCCCGAGATCATTCGACGATCGCTGAGCAAATTCTCTACTCAGCGTATTGGCCCGCTCTTCAGAGACAAGAAGATGGCCATCACGACAGTCCTTCTGTGGTGGCAGTGGGCAACGATCGGCATGGCCTACCCCCTTTTCAATGCCTTCTTGCCACAGTACCTAGCCAACAGCGGCAATGACCAACCGACGGCTACGAGCATCGTCTATCGAAACTACGCCATCACCTCCATTGTTGGCGTACCAGGCTCCGTCATTGCGTGGTACACGGTGGATGTAAAATATGTTGGTCGTAAGGGTACCATGGCGTTTGCGACCCTGGTAACCGGAATCTTCATCTTCTGCTTTACCATCTCGGGTGACCCCAACTTCCAGCTTACCTTCACGTGTCTCGAGGCCTTCTTCCAAAACATCATGTACGGCGTACTCTACGCTTACACTCCAGAGGTCTTCCCTGCGCCCAACCGCGGCACTGGTTCCGGCATCGCGAGCTTTTTGAACCGCGTCGCGGGCCTTTGCGCCCCAATTGTGGCTGTCAATGCCGGCAACAGCAATCCCAAAGCTCCGATCTACGCGTCTGGTGGGTTGATTCTAGCGGCGTTCGCTAGCATGCTCTTGCTGCCGATCGAGACACGGGGCAAGCAGTCACTGTAAAAGCTCAGCACAGGATACGGGAAGCCGCGTCGAGATTTGGAAATATGGCGCAATATTGGACACGGGCAGAGGTAAGTTGGTAAAAGTCATGGGCTAGAGGAAGACGGCTGTGGACTAGAAGCACTGGGGTGGCCTTCACCGTGGCATGCGTGTCCCGCGTTCGTGTATGATTTCGATATCCGTTCAACAGGTTCAATACGAATGCATTTCTTTCTATAGCCTGGTTACACTAATCCCTCTCCACCAGGTGTGCATTCACCGGTGTTAAAGCCTGACCTTTTAACAAAAAGGCTTCGATATTCTCCATTGCCAGCCTCTCGAACCCAGACGCCGTATCCCACGCCCCACCCGCAGTATGGCACGTCAGCGTTACGTTCCGCATCTTTGTAAGCCCTGGGTGCACATGCGGCTCATTCGCATGGACATCCAGTCCTGCCGCAAAAAGCTGCCCGCTCTGCAATGCCTCCACAAGCGCGTCCTCGTCTACCAACGTCCCCCTCGCAATATTCACAAACCGACTCCCCTTCTTGAACTTCCCCAATCTCTCCTGCGTAATCAGCTTCTCGCCAAAGAACGGCGTAGCCAACACCACACAATCGCTCACCCCTAGCATTTCATCCAGCTCCGCAAAGAACTCCGCCTGTACCGCCTCCTCCTGCTGCTTCCCCTTCCGCACGACGTCGTGGTACAGGATCTTCATTCCAAACGCGGCGAAAGCCTTTTGCGCAATCGTGTACCCGATATTTCCCAGGCCGATGATGCCGAGGCTGCGGCCCCGCGGGTTATACGCCGTGTCTTGCGTGTGCTTATGCGCTTCTGCGAAGCGCTCTGCGGAACCAGATTTGGCGGCTTCGGCGCTCCAGATTAGGTTCCGGAAGACGGAGAGGATGTGCCAGACAGCCATATCCGCGACGGCCTCGCTCGATGCGCGGGCGCCGTTGCAGTAGATAATTCCTTTGCATTCGCATTAGCGAATGCTGTCCGGGACGATGAAGAGAGGCTAGGGGGCTGCGAACCGTGTTTCGACAGTGTAGGTATGTCAGCCCAATCATACCCCGCGCCTGCACTGGCGAAGATTTTACAGGTGGAGGGGAGATGCGGAACCAGGTCTTGGTCCCAGCGGCCCATTTCGCCGCCGGAGTTCCAGAAGGGGCGGAAGACGGCGTGGAAGTCGCCCCATTTGCGGGCTTTCAGGTTCTGGATGAAGGTTTCTCTTTGTCGTTCTTCGAGAGTGGGTTGGATGATGGTGAATTTTGAAGAAAAGGATGCGTAGACGTCGGGGTTGTATTTTATGTTGTCACCGACGTGGAGGACTGTGTATTTTGGCGGAGAGGAACCCATGGTGAGACTGGAAAGGACGGGGAAGGAAATAAAACTGCCGGAAAGAGTGTGAAAGTGTGATGTCTACTCGGTATTGAAGGGAAATCGAAGAGGAGCTTATGCTTCTTGAAGTGGTTAGGACCATCCCAACAGATGATGTCGTATGTCTCTTCCGATCGTACCTGAGCATCACCGGACGCAGCACTTCCGAAACCACACCATTCTATACCGACCACTTTCCGGTCGGAAGCACGAGGGGGGCACAAGCTTGTAAAGGACTTAACTCATATCAAGCCTTGATGCGGAGCTTCCATGCCACTTCCCCGCTTCTACCTCGGCGTTCTTCCCGGACGTTTACATCATCAATCGGCCCGACCTTGTACTTTCCCTGAACGCGCAAAGCGCACCCGACGAACCAGCACTTCTGCCGCGAACAATTCATTTCCATCCTGGCATGTCCCGGGAAGTTGGTCTTGGACGATGCTCGTCGGCTGTCGCTTACGCTAAACACGAAGAGAGCAAAGAATAGGGAGATCTAAATGCCACGTGAAGTAAGCGATCGGATGCAAGCTTGGCCTCTAACGAGCGACTTCCCCGGTTTCGGCTGGGGTTCTCCGCAAAGAACATGGGGAAGGCCCGGGGAAGGAATATATCAGGCTGCATGGACCCAGTGCCCTGGGTTATCAGCTCCTGCCTCTTCATCAACCAAGAATTTGGGCTCTAAGTCGAAAACATGACCAACGAGAAGCACGTCAGCGAAATGATGGAGGGGAAGGGCCGCCTACATTTGCAGACAGTCAATGCAGACGTCAACCTTGAGGATATGTATGGCGAGGAGCGGAAGAAGAGGGAGAAGGCGCTTGTGCGGAAGATCGACCTACGCATGATGCCTCTCATGATGCTGCTCTGTGAGTCGCCCCGCCTAGCCATGTATCAGGGGGGGCACCAGTGGGAAACCCGCTGAATTAGTCCATGGCGCCTGTCCAGCCTTCAGTCACTGATCGGAACAGACGTCCTCAACTATCTCGACCGCAATAACATCGCCACTGCTCGGCTGGGAACGCTGGAAGAGGATATAGGACTCCATGGGACGCAGTACAACACCGTCATCTCAATCTTCTTCGCGGGCTATATTCTTACTCAGATCCCTACGAACATGCTCTTGAACAAGATCCGTCCCTCCATCTTCCTCCCTGTCATCATGTGCGCATGGGCGACGGTCTCGGGCGCGACCGGAGCTGTTCAAAACTACGCTGGCTTGGTTGTCCTTCGCTTTGTGCTGGGATTTGTGGAGGCACCTTTCTTCCGTAAGTAGCATCCTTCTCGTGTACAAAAGGGCTCAGGAATAACAAGAGTGTTAGCCGGCGCCCTCTATCTCTTCAGCTGCTGGTACACGAAGCGTGAGCTAGCAAAACGCATCTCTATCCTCTACGCTGCAGGCCAAATGGCAGGTGCGTTCGGCGGTCTCCTCGGAAGCGCAATCATGTGGGGAATGGACGGTAAAGCTGGTCTTCCCGCATGGCGCTGGCTCTTCATCCTCGAGGCAATCGTCGTATTCCCTGTTGCAATCGTCACTATCTTCGTCGTCCCGAATTATCCCGCTACCACGAAGTTCCTTAGCGATGAAGAACGCAAGCTCGCCGTTCTCAGAATGGCCGAAGAAGCCAACCAAGAAGATAACCGCGACGAAGCGACGGCATGGCAGGGTCTCAAGATGGCTTTTGCGGATCCCGCGCTGTACATGATCTGGGCCATGCAACTGGGGCTGAATACGGCGGCGTCTTTTACCAACTTCTTCCCGACTATTGTTGCGACGCTAGGATACCCACAGACCGAAACGCTCCTGCTTTCCGCCCCACCGTACGTATTCGCTGCGATCTTGGGTATAACCAATTCCTGGCACTCCGATAAGACGAAAGAGCGCTTCTTGCATGTCGTCTGGCCGCAAGTCTTCTGCAGCATCGGCTTCATCATCTCAGCAGTGACCATGAACACTGCCACCCGGTACATCGCCACATTCATGATGATGAGCGTTTATGGATCCTTTGGCTGCATTCTCTCCTGGGTTTCTACGTGTCTTCCGCGCCCACCAGCGAAGCGCGCGGTCGCGTATGCCGTCGTCAATGCTGGCTCGAACTTCGCGTCCATCTATGCTAGCTACTATTACCCCAAGAGTCAGGGACCACGATACTGGCAGGCGAACGTGGCCAATATGGCGTTCTCGGGGGCGTGCATCTGCATGTCTGCTGTGCTGAGGTTCTATCTTAGCTGGAGGAATAAGCAGCTCGATAAGGCGGCTGCAGAGGATATGGCGGAGGGGTATAATGGGACGGTTGGTGCGAGCAAGGCTGGACAGGTTGCAGCGAAGTGGCACTGTGATCCTGCGTACAGGTACACGTTGTAGGGTGATGCGAAGGATAAGCTATATGGCAAACAGGATAATGAGGCTGCCCGAAGCAGACGATGTCGGGATTGAGGAGTCACGGAATAATGAAACAATGCCCCAACCGCACGGGTTTATCCCGGATCTTGATACCTGGAATGTGGAAGAGCAGAGAGCTCGTTCGGTACAGCGGTTCACCGACCAAGGACCAAGGAGCTGGCACGGGCCACTTCACGTGCATTTCCCCACAGCGCCAAGCCCAGCGGGTTTGCTTGGAAAACTCGGGGTGCGAGTTCTTCCACCATTCATCCTCACGCCCCTCAGCCTCCCCTATCTCGCGTCTACGTTCCCGGAATTCATCAACGGTGCGATGTCGTGCAGCAGCTCTGGCATCTGTGGTGTGGACGCACGCCCTCTTGAACCCGGTTGAAGAGACGCGCCTAGGGCAATTCTCCCGGAAGAATTACAGCGTCCTTCCCAGGATGCCGTCCAGGGAGCTGGTCGATGTTTATTTCCTCACGCAAGGGGTTAATATAAATATCATGCACGATATGCTTTTCGGGGATTGGCAGCTCATTTCTTCAATTGTTCGGCCAAAATGAAGCTCCCAATAACTTTTGCCTTTGCTCCTCTCCTGCTCGCTGCTTCTGCATGGCCAACAGGCTGTGATTTCAGTCTCGTCGGCTTCGGAAAAGACAACCCAATCGGCCCAACCACAGGCGGCGAGGGAGGCGAGAGCGTCACAGTATCCTCCGTCGACGCACTCGTATCTGCTGTCGCCGACGACGCGCCCCGGATCGTCTACGCCAAAGGAACCTTCAACTTGACCTCCCGCCTGCTAATAGGCAGCAACAAGTCCCTCGTTGGCGCGGGAAAGGGCGCAAACATCCTTGGATCCGGCATCACCATCAACGGCAAAACCAACGTGATCGTGCGTAATCTGGGCATCCGCTTCATCCTCGACAACGACGGGATTACCACCCAGAACAGCACGCGGGTCTGGATTGACCACAATGAATTCGAATCCGACATCAACCATGGTCCGGACTACTACGATGGTCAGTGCGATATTGTGAGAGCGTCGGATTGGATCACAGTGAGCTGGAATTACTTCCACGACCACTGGAAGTCGAGTCTTGTGGGGAACAGCGATGTGCTGAGGGATGTGGACTATGGCCATCTACACATCACGTATCACCACAACTACTGGAGAAATGAGAGCACCAGAGGACCAGCCGGACGCTTTGGCCATCAGCACGTCTACAACAACTTGTATGAGGACTTTTTGTACCAGGCGATCCACAGCCGGAGCGACAACCAGGTTCTGGTCGAGGGCAACGTATTCATGGGGAATACGTCGGAAGCGCTCTCAACGTACGGCTTGGTGATCCCGATGGATAGCCCGAACACGAGTCCAGAGGGTGATCCAGAGCTTGACGGCTTTGCGAACCTTGGAGCCAGCAAGTGCCTATCGGCTTCATATCGAGAGAATGGCTGGCTAACGTGTGATGCAGAGAACGACTGGGGACCAGCCAGCATCAACATCACTCAAGTCGGCAACTTCACGAAAGCGCCATACAAGTACAAGCTCACGCCGCTCAACCAGGTGCAGAAGGTTGTCAAAGCCGGAGCGGGACTGGGGAAGATCTGAGGGAAGATATGGCGGATGGATGCCATGCCACGTAGCTATACGGCCGCTGTGACAACGAATGTGAATGTACGATGGAGTAGACAAGCTGAAGTATTCGAGCGCTTGAAGTCTTGCAGTGACCGGCGTGCGTGTAATCATGAGCATGTGTACACTCCAGCACGCTCTCTGGGGAGGAAGTGTTGGAGGTGCCAACAAGTGCAATTTCTCCCGCCACTTCCGCGATATTCAACCTATGTCGCTGACTGTCTAAGCTCTATACCCTATGCGCATCTCTATTCTTCACATTTTAGGTGTGAAGGCTTTGCATCGGGTACCTGAACCGCCGCGGCGGGCTGATTCGCCACGCTATTCCTTTCCGCCAGCGGCTCTCGGTCTCCTCGGACGCCGTTTGTACTGGCTCGCTCCCCACCACACTCTCTAGCGCATGCACCCTCCTCTCTGCTACCACATCCGAGCGCTTCCAGAACCTCGTCCAACCCTGCAAACAAGTACCAGTCCCTACGTAAGGTGGAGACTCTTTTCTCTCCTAGTCCATATCCCGCACCTGCTCAATCTTCCGATACCACTCCACCCCTTCAAACAGCATAGTGCGCATCTGCTCGCGCTCCGCCGGCGTCATGACGTCTAATATAGCCAACATCGTAGCTTCAATGCGATCGTCCTGCTCGACCAGAGACGCGATGTTACACCCCACCTCGTGCCCTCATGTACGCAAACGGCCTCCGCAATCTTCCCCAACGTGTCCAGCGCATTCGCCCGCGTCGCAAAATTCGTATGCGCACTCGTCGCCTTCTCTCGGATCTTCGCGATCCGCGGACAGATCTTGAACTCATACAAGGGCCAGATGTAGGAGGACATGCGTTGCTGGGGCTCATGGACCAGCCACTCCTCGATCTAGCGCAAGTGCTGGTCGAAACCGACAACGCGCTTCTTCTCGCGCTTGATGCGCGCTTCTTCGGCTGCGCGGGCTGCGGTGGCGGCTTCGCGCTCGTCGCGAACGCGCGCGTGGTGCTGGGAGAGCATGCTGAAAACGAGCTGGGAGTGTTATATGGCCGAGGGTGGCGTGGAAGAGGGTTTCGTGGAGGACGGTGGGGTCGAGGGCGGTGATGGTTTGCCAGAGGTCGTTTGGGTCGACGGCGTGTTGCTGCGCTGATGCCGCGGCGGTGGTTGCGAAGGTTGGAGCATAGCCAGGGTGGGGATGCTGCACTGCGATGAAGCCATTGTCTGCTCGCTGACGTTTGTGGGGTTGTGTGGCCATGTTGGTGGATGGAGAGCGTTGAGCTGTGGTGGGAGAGGTGTGGTTGACGCGACGCGTCGTGGTCAAAGCACGTGTCTAGCTTCATCGATCTGGATAGCGCGAAACACCGGGGTCGAGCGAAGCCACGGGGGCATGCTAAAAGGAATGCTCGCGGGCGTAATGTGTGCTTCTTTATCGTAATGTTGTGGGTGGCATTGTTTGACACGGGGTTGTGAAGACATTCGGGTTGCGCCGAAACGCCAAACGCGCGATCACGTGAGATGTCAACCATGGCTCGTTGATATTTCTTCGTCTTGGTCAGAAAGCAATACGGCCCACAAGACCACAGACACTGAAATGTTATGATGTATGGGAAGCCTTGTTTTGAGCTAAGCTCTATTCCGATTGAACCCCTATACCGATATACCCTTATTCCGATATACCCGTATTCCGATTTACCCCTATCCCAATAGACCTTCTTACCCACGCAGGCCGAGACTGTACCTTTCGCCCATCTACCCAATGTCTTGCCATCCACAGACGCGTTCAATCCACATTTTCCGGAGATGTACCTGCAGGCATTCCCGGTTGCGGATTTGGAGCCCCAGTCCAAGGGTACCACCTCTTCACGAACATGACGTCGGCAGCCGAAGGGACTTTATTCGACATGATAGGCTCTAACTCGTCCGTTACCCTGATGCCATTGACAGTCTTATACTTCATCAAAACGCAACGGCTGTGGAAACCGTACATGCACTCGGGAGGTGAGTACTGCGTCGAGTCGTACAGCATAATTGACGACAGGTCGAAGCCGGGGTCGCCGTCCGTCATGTCCCAGGGTGCTTCACCCCCGCCGTAGATGAAATCGAGGCCAGCGAGAAAGCCGTATTTCAGCGCGGCCTCGCGCTGGCTGCATACTGCGTTGTGGGGCAAAAATTCGTTGGCAGCCTTTGCTCTGTCCACCGCCTCGGCGTATCCGGGCACGTTTTTGCAGGCATAGAATACGTAGAAATCGCCTGTTATTTGCATTAGCACTTGTGCTCTGGACAAAATCAAAGGCAGATGCACTCACGGTCCCAGCGACTGTGCTCGTGTATCATTCCCAACGCTGATTTGCATTAGCTAGGGCCACGCAATGTGAGCGGAATACGGACTGTGCCCTATCTGTGAAGTGTTAGCCCAACTCACAGTGAAAGAATCTGTACTGTTACCTCGTGTGCAGTATACCAGGTTTGATCAGGCGGGACCGGAGAAAGCAGCATGTAGTGTCGACCCTCGATATCGAGGGACCACCTCTCCACCGGGAGGTAGCCAACCATGGATTTCATTTCTCTCTTTGTGCTCAAGTGGATCGCAAGAACATCGTCTTCCACGGCGATGTTCCAGCTGCCCCTGTTGTTGAAGTCCTGGTAGCCGATGTAACAGTACAGTTCACCGGTCCCGTCGTTGACTTCGCGGAATGCAAGGCCGTGTCTGGATTGTGCGCCGGCGGGCCCTCCGAGAGCATCGATCCAGATTTTTTGCGCAGCTTTGAAACTCTCGTCCAGGACAGTCTGCGCATTCTTGTCGACGTAGCAGTATCGCACGGTCCGGGTGCCTGAATCGTCAACCGGCCATGGAGCTCGGGCTCCGGAGGAGAGGAATTCTGCAAAGCCCAACTGGGGATTGCTAGCGGAGATGTTGACCACAGGAAGCGTTGACGTGCAGACTGGGCCCGGATTGAAAGAAGAAATATTGAAGTCACGGCGTAGAGGGGAGCCGAGGGCGGACGGGATCGCAGCAAGCGCAGCAGTGAGGAGATTGAGGATCTTCATAGTGTACAGTCCTTGGGAAGGGACCAGCCAGCGATCGAGTGGCCTAGGTGGAGTTGCGCCGTCCGAGGAGAGAGGCCGCGACAAGAGTGAGGCGGGAAGGTATCGAAGCGAGGAGACTGCAGAGATACGCTATATATGCCGAGAACCCGAGGTGAGGGGGGTAAAGGTAAAGGTGTCCTCAAAGCCAGACAAACAGATACTGAGTGAAAAAGCTGAACACTTCCACCTGTGCCGACAGGTACTTAGCCAAAAGACAAGCATTCTACTTGACAAAAAAGGTCCAGTCACTTCAGTTACTGCCACCTTTTTGAAGAGCAGCTCCTCGTGCTTCCAAGTGTAAAGATGGAAGTTCATTAATACTATCCAACTCACCTCCTACCATCGCGCAACAGCCCCCAGGCAGCACATTGATTAATTTTTCTCGTCTTAGGTTAGCAATCTACAGAGGTTATGCTAACTACACCTACGCACAAAAAGACTCAAAAAACACCAAAATTAAGAGAAATGAAGAAGATATCACAGAAGCACGGGGAGGTGGCATGAGTCGACAGAAAAAAAAAGAACAAGCCGCACATAACATACTCGCTCACCTCCCTCATTCTTCTCCTACACCCCCTCCCTATCCTCCCCGCCACCGCCAACCCCACCAGGCAGCCCCTCCGCCGTTATCCTATTCCCAGCCCATGCAAACACATGCCCAATCCCCCAGCACAACCGCATCCGCACCAGCCCGCGCCCTACAAATCTCACTCTGGCTCGCATCCCCCCCTCTCTTTCTACCCCGTTTCCTCTTCCTCCCCTCTATAAATTCAACTCTCGCCTCCGCGCACCGCTTTTCAAACGGTGGGTGCAGGTAAGGCGTCGACGGCAGTGCGGCAGGATGAAGTGAACGGTGGCGATAGTCTACACGGTTCTGGGAATGCGTGTATTTATACGCATCCATCCAGCATCCAGCATCTATCCCCGCGATTCTCCCTTCCTTCCCCCTTCCCCCTCCCCACCAATTACTCCGCGCAAAACGCCATGTCTCCCCCACCTACTCGTCTTTAAATACGCGCTTGCCGTCCCAGCTCATGCTACATTTCCCCAGACACGGTAACGCCGTAGTCATACGGCGCTGGAAAAGCGAAGCAAGCTCCAGCCATCGAGGCTCAAAACCTTATGACCACACAGTCGCTAAGTAGCCGAGCGGTCAGACGCCTGAATCCAAGTACGGCAGTGGCGATGTCGGCCTCCGGTCTGCTCGGCTTGGGTACTAGACGCTTTGAATGGGATCTGAATAGAAGATGTTAATTCGATATTCTTCTAGGGAACGGTCTGACGGACCTGAAGATCCCAAGCTTGCTTTGTCCTGGGGTACTATGTTGGATAGTTCGGGCTCGTCGTTCGCTCAGGGAGGCCGCAGTTTATGGTAACAAGCAGTGCTGCAGCATTCTCATTACTAGGGGGAAGTATAGGGTGAATTGTGGTTCTTCAAGCTACTTGTGCCCTTTCTGTCATTCACCGGGTACAGATCCGTCCTACAATCATAGATCAATCCGAGCATAAACTTCATTGCAACAATATCCACAGCCACAATCTTCCCAAAGACAGGCGCTCACCTCCACGCTAATCAACAAAATACCACCCCATTCCTCTACAATATCCCTCGCTAAGCACCATCTCACGTGCTCACCCTCTTAAACTCCATCCCGGGTCTCAAATCCGCGCGATTCGCCGCCCAATTATCCTTAAAATAATTATCCCTCGGCTGCCACGGCCCCGTGCGTCCCGCATGCGGCATGAGGCCATCTGCCTTCTTAATGTACGTAGAATTAAGGGCCAGCGGGGGCAGCGGATCCTTCTTCTCCTCCTCCGTAATCGACGGCGTCGCGCTGGTATACTTGTTATCGTTCATGAACTTCATGAGGCGGGTGAGGAGGCGGGACGCCGAGTCCGCGCCGAGCGTCCAGCTGGCGTTGACGTAGCCGATTATGAGGCCCAGGTTGGGCACGCCGGACAGCATGCTCGCGCGCCAGATGTAGCAGGAGCTGAAGTCGACGGGCTTCTTGTCGACGGAGAGGGGGATTCCGCCGCAGAGTTGCAGGTTCAGACCGGTAGCTGTGACAATGATGTCTGCGTCTAGTTTCTCCCCGCTCTCGAGCTCGATGCCATCGCCCACGACCCGCTTGATCTTGGCCGTGACGATCTGCGCCTTCCCGCTCTCGAAGCACTTGAAAAAGTCGTTGTTGGGACAGAAGCACAATCTCTGGTCCCAGGGGTTGTACGCGGGCAGGAAATGCGGATCCATGGGGAAGTCCTTTGGGAGCTGCGACTTGGCTTCTTTGCGCAGGAAGTTCGCAGCGGCAGTGGGGAACTTGCGGCAGAAGAGGTAGAGCATGTAGGGGATGATGATGAACTGGATGCGCTTGAGGCGCAGCGACACCCAGTGCGGGAAGATGCGCTCGTACCAGGTGAGTTCGCCCGGCTTGGGCTGCGGCATGTTCATGACGTATGAAGGGGAGCGCTGGAGCATAGTAACTTGGCCAACGCCGCCGTCGACGACGGCGGGGAGAATCGTAATCGCGGTGGCGCCGCTGCCGATGACAATCATGCGCTTGCCGGCGTACTCGAGGTCCTGCGGCCAGAACTGCGGATGCACGCGCGTGCCCTTGAAGTCCTCCAGCCCTGGGATGTCCGCCTGCAGCGGCTTCTCATAGTTGTAGTATCCCGTGCCCATGATGACGAACTTCGCATAGTACACCTTCCTCATCCCCTCGTTGTCCACCTCGAGCCTCCACCGCTGCTCATCGCTGCTCCAGTCCGCGCTCGCGACCTTGTGCTTGTACTGTATCTTCCGATCGATGCCGAACTTCTCCGCCGTCTGCTGCATATACTCGATTATGCTTGCCCCCGTCGCAATCGGATTCGGCTTCGTCCACGGATTGAACGGGAAGCCGAAGGTATGCAAATCAGAATCGGACCGGATGCCCGGGTACTTGAACAGCGACCATGTGCCGCCGAGCTCGGCGCGTCCTTCGAGGATGGTGTACGTCGAGGAGGGGAGGGCGGTCTGCATGCGGTAGCCTACGTTGATGCCGGAGATGCCGGCGCCGATAATGACGACGTCGTAGTTGGAGGTGTGGGGTGCGGCGGTGCCGTTCGCGTGGCCGTCCATGATGCCGATAAGGATGCTGCTGACGCTGGACTTCGATGCAGGCGTAACGCGGGGGAGTGTGGAGGTGGCAATTCGTGGGGATAAAGGAATTCCGTCTTCGTATATCGAGGCTGTCTAAGCAGGAAGTCTAAATGAGCACGGAAGCAAGCGAAGAGGAAGAAAGGGCGGTGGTGGAGAGCCGAACGAAAAGCGCCGTGTAACCATCGCGGGGCATCGCATATATACCGCGCCTGTATCTATCGTCATAGGATAAGAAAATGGGCTCGCAGGACCCCTCTGATCAGGGCCTGGCATCCCGCGGTGTCCGAACCGACGGCGTGGTCTGAGATGCTGGTGCCGTCTCCGCTCGTTCCATGCGCTGAGGTCAGAGAAAGGCAGCAGATCCCTGCCGTGCCTCGGTACTTTCCCTTCTCGGTAATCGCAGGCCGGAGAGGACAGCACCAACGCAGACGCAACATCATCATGTCAGAGCAAGGTCTGCAGTTGGTGCCGTCCCCACATAGACCAAAAAGGGAATATGATTGTAGCATTATTCGCTAACGACCAACCACGTCTATATAACAAAAACTCAGGCGTCCTAGTGGTGGCCTCAAATCTAGTGCTTACCTCACTTCGTACCAACATACAGTCTATTTCCCCACACTATTCGTACGCTCTCTGGCTCTCACGCTCTGCCAAGCAACAGCATCTCGCCCTCCGCCCCGCTATCGCTCGTAATATACATGCGCTCATACTTGTCCTTCGCAATAGAAACTGGCCTAAAGCACGTCGTCGTCGAGCAGTGCTCGACATCTGAGCTGAACATGATGTCCGAGTACCCGTCGCTGACACTATTCGCAAGCGCCGCCCTGGGCCTGAACCCGTCAGCGCCTTTGGAGAACGGAACTTCGACGACTTTGTAGCCTGTGGATGGCGTGCGGTCCCACGAGCCGTGGAAGGTGACGTAGAGGCTTGTGTAGTTCTTGTTGAAGACGGCGTCGAGCGGCGCCGAGTGTGCTTGGAGAGCGAGCTTCGCTGCCTTGCTCTTGGCCGTGCACGTATCGTCTGTGAAGGTGCTGTTCGGCGTCAAGACGAACTGGTCGCCTACTGAGAAGTTGCGGTCCGTGATGACATCCGGCTTCCAGACAGTGTAGCAGGTCGGATAGCCGTACCAATCTGTGTTCTCTTTGGACGGATCGCCAATGTAGTTGATTTCTTCTGACGGATTGTCCATGTGGATGTCCACGGAGCTGTCGCCGATGGTTCGTTGGATCTCATCGGAAGAGTTCTCAATCTCCCAAAGCCTATTTCGCATTAGTCACCGGTTGAGCGGCCACTAGGGGTAAACATACATTCCATCGGCGTCGAAAGCCAGTCCCACTCCGTTCCGCAGTCCATAGCCCAGCTGGTATCCCCCAGACACATAGTTGTAACCGTCCGCTGGAACCTTGGTCATATCGAAAGCCTTGACGCAGGAGCGGCCGGTCTTGATGTCACCAGAGTCGAAGTCGAAGTTGTCGTTGGAGCCGTGAGATACGATCAGGGTGTTAGGAAGCTTGGGGGGGATAGCCAAGGTTCGTGTCACGTGGCCTCTGTTGTCCATTCCAGAGACCACCACCTTGGAGGAGTTACCGACGCTCATGGTTGCGGCATCGTAGTCCCAGGCAAACACCTGAGTCGCTGAACTTGCGTATAATGTCTTGCCATCGGGGCTTAGGACGATGCCGTGATTGAGGTTCCTCTGGGTGATGACAGTCTTCTGGGACGCAAGGCAGCCATTGTTTCCAATAGTATGCGCCGTGATACCGAACCCGTTCTGGACAAGGAGGAGATGCCCAGCAGAGTCGAAGATTATCCCACGAGGTTGCGTCAGGCTGCCAGCAATTTTCACCGCTTTCCAGCCATTCGCCGTCTTTATTGGTGTATGGAAGTCCGAAACGCCAGAACAGGACGCGGGAACGCCGGTTTGAGTAGGGCCAGGAGTCGACGAAGGGATGGCGCTCGTGCTACGCGTGCTCGGTCGAACAGTCGAGCTAGGAACGCTGCTTGATGCCGGCGGTAAATCCGGGACCAAGTTTGCTGCGACAAGCTCATTAAAATTCGCGTTCTGTCCCTTACTCAAATCCAACGTCCAGTGCCCGAAAGACGTGTGCACGTTGAAGGTCGATCGGTTGTTCGCCGGTTCTTTTGGTGGCTTGACTGCAAGACCATGTGCGAACTTTACGGTGGCGTTCATGGGATCGATAGAAACCGTCTTGCCCTCCGTATCCTCCCACTGCGAACAGCCCCTGCACCTCACATTTAGAGTCCAATGCGTCTTGTTGAAGCCCGTCCCTTTGAGGTAAGTGTATTCGGCCTCGGGGTACGGCTGTGGTAGACTCAGGCCGCTGGCTTTGTAAGCAAGTAGTTTCGCAGGCTTCACAGTAGACATACTACGCCATTCTTGAAGAGTATATGGCTGTGTTTGAGGCATTATTCACCCAACCGATCGTGAGTGGAACATAGGGCATAGTTCCGCCCCAGGAGAACCCTACCCAACCATTGGTGATAGGAGATACAATCTGCAGCACCGTGTCGAAGGGCGCAACAGTGGCATTCGGAAGGGCAACTCCAATAGTAACTCCTTTCTCGCCGTTCCATCCAGCGTAACATATCGACGTGGACGCGTCGCAGTAGCGTGTTGTCGTTTGAGCGAGCGCTTGACCTCGTTAGCACGCCTCGTGGACTTGTATCCTGGTATGACGTACCTGAACCCGTAAGGACAACAAGTCCCGCTATTGACCAGTGGGGCAGCATGATGGGCGAGTGAATAAGTTTTCAACGGAAGGTACATCCTAATGGAAGGTATCCTGCGATTTTATCAGTCGGTAGTCCCAGCATGAACGAGCCACTGCCACTTTGCTGCTAAAAAATTAATTAGCAAACTGTAGCGACAATACAGCCCACGGCCAAGAGGAACAGGGGCCGTTGAGTCCGGTACCCAATCCGGGCTACGCGATTGCATATCATGCGAGTAGCGTAAAATACGACGCCCTAGGCTCGGCATAAGATTGGAAGTTTCTCAGGCGATTGTCGGCTTGTGAAGATGTGGAGAGTCTGGGGAGGCCTCTTGCGACGGTATTGCGGAGTGTGGGGTTCGTTTCCTCAGCCTTGGATATGGGGGAGCATGACCTCCGCAATCCTCTGAAGTCACTCCATCTTCACTCTCCCTGAGCGCTCGGAAATAAGATCGGATGACTTGTGGGCTGAGCATACCAAGACTTCATCAGGAGCGAAGGCGGCTTCGCGATCACGATATCCCGGGTTTTGGTTGTAGAGCCTCCTGCCAGGGCAGAGGCGTGAGGCGGGCCGGCAAAGGCGGCGAAACTTGCGTTCGTATGACCTTGAGGAATGTTCCATAGATGAAGGGCCGATTGCATTTTAATTGGATCTCGACGCGGTGAAATGACAATGGCGAGTTTGTGGTTTGGGCATGGCCACAGGACGTTGAATGATTTAGATTGTCGAGGCTGAAGCGATAGATTGAGCCATTTAACCTTGAAACGTCGGTGCAGGATAGATTGAGAATGTCAGCACTGATCGGCCACATATATGGGCGTGAAGCTCTGGACTTCGTCCTACTGGGAGCGCGTCGGTCCGGTCGCCGAAAAGTAAAGGTATGGTAAAAGTCCTGTACATGAGTACATGGCGTCCGCCTGAGCCGCGGCCTTTCTGGGTGTGCCGAAAGTGATCATGCCATGCTCAAATTTGGCCATCTTGAGTCTTTTGGGATGGATGCGTCGCGGTCGGATGGAAAGCGATGATGTCGGTGGAATCATGACGATGGGAATGGAGGGTGGAGGTTCGGTTGCCGAGAGCTCTGACCGAATAGCGCACAGACCCGGCCTGTGCTGGTGCACGTGATCACATATGCTGGAGCGCTGAATGAAGATAATAGACAAACAGTAATCATAAAAGATAGAGCAAAAGTAATGCTGGTAGCTCTGAGCGACGGGGTATGCAGAGCGGGTCTCGAGCTATAAGTATGCTGTTCAGAAGGACACCAATATTTGTCACAGCCCCTGTGCGAGACCATCTGGGCACCAGGGATCCTGACGAATGAATGGGGCTGACAAAACAGCTCAATTCTGGACCGCATTGGTCGAACGACTCCTACCCATAGTCGCGATGTGCCATCAAGGAACTGCGTAAGCCCGCAAAGATAGTTCCCCTCGTCTCCAAGGTTCATTGAACTAACGGCTCGAGCCCATCTCTTCTATGTAATGCCTTCGTACTGAACGCTAAATCTTTGCCTTGGCTGGCGCACTAACCCTCCTCCCATGCACATAACTGATCGCCCTCAACTTCTCGGCCGCCTCGCCCCAAAGCTCATTCCTCAACAGGGCATAAACACCCATCCTACTCCTGCCCTGTACTTCCCTCGCCTTATCCAGTGCTACATCCAACATCTCGCTCGGCTCTGCAATTGCATCGGCAATACCATCTTCGAGCGCTTCCTTCCCCGTCCAGCGATGCGCTTCTAACAGCATCTTGCGCGCGACCTGTGGACGCAGCTTAAGCCGTGGTAGGGATCCGATACCGGGGAAGTGCAGGCCGAGGTTGACGGGCGGCATGGAGAAGAAGCCGCGCTTGGAGTTCATGATGCGGTAGTCATGGGCGAGGGAGAATGGGCAGGCGCCACCGAAGGTGTGACCGGTTAGGAGGGCGATGGTAGGGAAAGGGTAGTCGAGGAGGGTTGCTAGGAGCTACTCCGATGTTAATGCGCATGACTTTAGACAACAGGAAACAGGGGATGAATCATGGCCGGCGGATCAGTGTTGTGTCGCTTTTCAAGTAGCGTGGAGAATGCGTACCGGATAGAAGCCATCACTGTTGGCGAAAGGGTTTGTATCAGCTTCATCTAGCTCCAACCCCGTACACCAGAACTTCTCATCGTTCCCTCTTGTGATGACGCATCCTTCTGAGTCTGGCCCCAGTTCTCTTTCGATATCCCGAAGGGCTTTTATTATTTCTTGAGCGAACCGGACGTTGATTCGGTTTTCTGGGGCCTTCTTCATTGTTATCACGTAGACATTGTCATATCGGTCCACCTGTAGATTCCAGTACGGTCCCAGGGTCATTGCGGCGGGGAATATAATGACGTAATGCAGTCTTGGGCAGCTGCTGCGTGGATGGTACTCTACGCTTGGATACCGTAAGCTTGGTAAAGGTCCAAAGCGATAAGATATCGTGACCGCGAGAGAGGTCTGGAAGGTCGATGAAGCGTGAGGATTGAGCCTCGGCATGCACTCTCCATCAATGTGGGGAAGCTCCGATGCGGTTAGTGTGAGCGGCGATTTTCGGGAATTCCTGCATCCCCCTCCGGTTACCCCGCAAGGGTCCAAGGCTGACTCGCATAAGGAGACTTGCAACCTGCTTGCGGTCGGCTACGATGAGTGAACACTCGCAAGTCGAGCGTCTTTCAGATGCTAGCCAACGAAACCCTGATCCCAATCGACCATTAGCCAGTTCCCAATCCCGCCGTATGGCCCAAACCATTCTTGAGGCTGCAACATAGTAGGCTCTATAGTGGCTCCGCCTGCAATGACCTGGTCGCTCAGCATCTGTTGCTGTATAGCTGCACTCGTAGCCACATCGAGATCGAGGGTTTGAGTTGCGGGAGTGCGCAGCCCTTGCAGTATGCCGGCCGTCTCCAATTCTCTCGGCGCGATATTGGTCGTTTGCGGCAGCCGTTGGTGGATGGGATGCCACATGCGACACAGATCCGAGCCGAAGTCAGAAAAGAATTGAGCTGAGGTAGGGGGCAAGTTGGCATCTGGGAATTGACCCAGTGACGGCCGTTGTGTGGCCTTCTCGCGGACATCCAGCAGGTGTTTTAGACTACCCACCGCGCTCGGCCAGCGCTTACTGAGTTCCTCGAGTGCGCGTCCAATGATAGCCAGATTCTCTTCCGCGATGTCGACCAGGCCGGAATAGCGGTAACAAGAGAGCTGAGCCATTCCGGCTGTCAGACAATAGAACGTGAATATAGGGCCGACGTATCGTAGTTCATCGCGTGCCATGAAGTCTTCAAAGATGCCCGCAATGAACGATGATGCGAGCAGCGAAGCAGTAGATGGCGCTAACTTAGGATCCGTAGGGCGGTTGAGAATTACCAAGACTGTGAAATATTGGATGTGCAGTTGCCGAGCTTCGAAGTTGTACGGTTTGAGTGGTCGTCCTTCGGCAGGTCGACAAAGCTGCAGGTTCTCCGGGAGCGTCTTGAGCCATCTGAAGAGCCTGTCCTCAAGTGACTTCTTGTGCTCTTGCAGTCCATGCTTGCGAAGATAGCTCTGGGTGAGGTCGCCTATTGTAATCAGTGACCGGGAGCTAGAAGATCGAGGAAGTCAAACGCACCTAGAATACAGGAGATGCCTACATAGGACGCGAACAGATTAGCCGCGCCCAATGCGCCTTCGAAGTCCAGAACTGATATGGGCGATACGTCTGCCAGCTTCAGATCAATCGCTCTGGGCCTGCCGTGGCCGGCGTTGATCAAGCAGTCCCTAACGACCAGTGACCACCATATCCGTCTCCTAAGCCCTGCGTCGGGTTTTCCGGACGGCTCTCTGTGCAGTCCAATCTGGTACGCCAGGCCAATGCATATCCGCAACCAGAAACTGCTGGTATCCAAGGAAATCCGTTCCGGGCCTTCGGGGTTCCACCAGTGCAGGAGACATGACGCTGCAATGGTGATGATCGGGTCTTCTTCCGCGCCCATCCAGAACAGCACACGCGCTTTCTTGTAGAACTCTTCGGGAGGATAGTTCGCTAGCGGAGCGCTGACCCTACTCCCAGCCAAGAACATCGCGTGCTGTAGCAGGAGTGAGACCTGGCTGGGAGTCCGACCATCTATCCAGCTACGCTCTACAACCGGCGTCCATGGATAACAGCGCGTCCAGAAAGCATCTATGAGCGACTCTCGTACAGGCCTGGGCGGCAGCTCGGATACTCGCTGCACCCGTAAAATCTCCACGTCGGTTTCGGAGAGCCGATGCGGGACCTTATTCGGAAGACCGGCGTCGTCGTTCACAGGCACATCATTACGAAGATATTCCAGGCGGCCCAAGTAGCTAACTACGTTCGAGGAAGACTTGTAGCTTGAATCCGTCATGATCGAAGGGACGCTGTTGTGAGGCGTCGGGTACCCGGGTTCCGGATGCCGCTCTAGGAGAGGGGAATGCTCCTGCAAACTCGCAGCGCTCGACAGCCGTCTCGCAAGCTCGTTTTCCGACTTGAAAGGCTGGTCTCGAGCAATGGGTAATCCACTGGCAAATGTACTGTTGCTGGCGTCAGCAACATTTCCGGGTGCCGAGAGTGCCACAGAAAATGATGCCTGGGAGCCTTCAGGAAGGGAAGCGTCGTCGTTCTGCGTTTTGACGCGTCTCTGTGTCGGCGGCGAAGGGCTGAAGGTAAAGCGTTTCCGCTTCCGTTCGCGCGGGATGCAGTCATATCCGTCCTTCGCGCAGGGCGTGCAAACATGGCCGTCCACCTTGTCGATATCGCATCGGATCTTTCGTTTATGGCATATGACGCACGCTTTGACCGTCCGGCGAGCGCGCTGCTCTTTCTCCCCCACCGGCATCCTAATGGGGCCGGGGCATCAACCTGTTGTGAGCAGGTCGGAGTCCTGGAAATGTATAATCATCGTGAAGCGAAAATATCCTAAGAGACGGACGAGCATGCGGGGATGGCTGGAGGTTAGTGTCGAGGCGGTGGAGGCGAGGTGTGCGGCCCGTGCTCTGAGGGGTTCGCGTCTTCTCCTCTCCGACGACACGACTTCAAATCGTACAATCCACTCCATCTATCGCAACGTGACGATGTGTGAGCTCGAATGCTTCACCGCCCTTCCCATCAGTGGCATTCTATGCTGCAGCCGACCTGTCTAATCTCCACGGAGCACCAACAGTATGGGTATTGGTTATTTCAGGAGCAAAAGGATCACGATCACCTTCTGCTCATGTAGGATAATATCCTATATATCCGCTAACAGGTTATCATAAATCACCTCGGCCAGAAGAAAGGGTGAGAGTTAAGTAGTGAATGCATGCACCCCTTGTATGAAAGACTGGCTACCTTCCCAGGTTGCGCACTCTTTTCCTTTTGATCTAATCCGCTAATGAAGATCTGATTCTCGCTAGGGAAGACCATCTCGACACTTCCAAAAACCAGGAAGAGCGTGACCAGAGGGCTAGAGAGATGGTGAGATCCTATTGCAAACGGCTGCGGTCCATCCAGCATCGCAGCGGAATCACTGACCACATCTAGTGCAAGAACTCCTTAAAAAAATTCACCGCACTCCTCTTCGCCCTCTCCAGCCCATCCCTCTGCACTTGATCCGTCTCATCCCCCCTCGCCGCAAACCCATGCTTCAGCTTCGGGAAATACACATACTCGTAGCTAATCCCCAACGTCGGAATCACCTTATTGCTATACTCCTTTAGCTCGGGGCTAAACGCAGGATCCGTCTCCGGGGCCAGAATCTGCGTTGGCACCTTCAGCGCATCGAGCTCAGACTTCTCTACCAGTGAGGGATGAACGCCCGAGACGGCGTCGATGAGCGACGGGTCGCTGCCGAGCCGGAAGCACGCCCAGGCGCCGTAGCAATACCCGATTGCGCCGACTTTGGGGAACTGCGCCTTGAGAGCTTTTGCGCAGGCGGTGATCTCCGGGTAGCGGATGTCTTTGGAGTGGCGCTTGACGAAGGAGGGGAGATCCCAGGCTTCGCGCTTGGCGGGGTCGTTGAAGATGTCGGTGGGTACGACTTCGCCGTCGAAGCTGGGGGGTTGTCAGTTGCATTGAAGTTGCAAACGGGCGTTATGAGAGGCTCACAAGTCTGGAAGGTAGACGGTGGCGTTCGCTTCCTTGGCGAAGTGATCGGCCAGCAGGCGGAGATTCGGGAACGTCCACCCGAAGACATCGTGGACGATCATGATGGCGGCCGACTTGGAATCGCCGGTCACATAGGCGTTGTTGTTCGCCAGCGTTGTTTCCTTGCCCGTGGGCGTGCCATTCCAATTGAAGCCCGTTTTGCAGTTCTCGCACGACATGATAGAATCTTCCGCTTGCCTCTCAACGGGTAATTGATCAAACAAAAACGAGAATGATGGAAAAAAATTCGGGTGAATGAGCTTGGGGTGGATACTCAACGTGATTTATGCCAAGCGGGGTAGTGGGGCTGCTGTCAGATACATCGGAGATTAGTATGCGCGAGACTAACCCCGTCCAACTTCGGCACTGGGCGAGGACTGGGTTACATCATGTCATATGCAGCTAGCCTGGTCGCGTTAGAAGTAGGAAGCACGCCTCTCCTTTGGGAAATGTATCCTAGCTTTGCTGGCCTCGAACGTCGGGCAGGAACGCAAGTCGGCAAAATGGGCCTCCGGTGAACTTTGGCGATTTAGTGACCGATGGGCGAGGGGTGCAAGCCATGCATGAGCCGATGATTGTAAAAACAAAGACCGGCAACGCTGTGTGAGTTGAAGGAGCGGAAGGTAGAATTTAAAGTGGGACAATTGACTGATGAGGGAAGCGCAAATATTGGCGAGACGGCGTGCAAGTAGAGAAGATAGGAAACGTATAGGTCCAGCGAGCTGTGGCTTACCCAAGCTAATCGTACTCCACCTATTGCACCTGAAATACGGACTTTGCTACATGGAAAGCTGCCCCCCTTGACTTCATTCAAGGCTCCCAGTTTGGAATGTACACTAAGATATATCTGTCGCCCCAGAGGAGCATGTTACAATACAAACCAAGAGAATGATTCACCTACTCTCGCAATACTCCATGCACAACTACGAAAAGTCCTTTAGAGGATGCGGCCAGCGCGATGGTCGTACAAGGAGTGCTTGTCGCGCCCGCGCTCAAATTCTTCATAGCACTGAATCTCATAAGCATCGGCGGCGATAGACGGGTTTAATGGATAGTGGACCGAAGCACCATCGCTGTTCCTCTGGTAGAACAACATGAACGTCTTGCCTAATCGGGGCGGCTCGTACGTCCCCCGGTGTCGATAGTCCCGACGCATCTTTTCCCAATGGTCTTCCTGCCACCAGTTGATGATCCATGCCATGGGAATGGCATGAACGGCGCAGACGTAACTCATGCCGGACTGAGAGCTGCTTTCGCAGAACCATTCGCCACCACGGATGTCCCGTGGATCGAGGCGGTCCCAGGCAGCTTGGTCAAGCTCTAAGCGGCGGAATTGAGATCGAGAAGAGATATGGGTGCGATCGGCAACCTTCTTGAGGGCGGCCTGGCGATCCTCTCTATATATGTATTCCTCTGTAAGGATCGACAGAAGCAATGTGCAGCCTTGAATCTGGTTCCAGAGCGGGTTGATTATACGGCCGAAAGTTTGCAACTCCCACGCGTAGCCGAGCTCTGCCTTCTTGTCCCCTCGGTTGAAATAAGGCTCCTTATTGCTTTCCCCTAGCCAGAAGTCGTAGGCATGGACGCACTCATGGGCGATAGTTACGGCGGCTAGGAACGCGATTTTGTATGTCATCGACGGGCTAGCTTGCTCATACCCCTGGTCGAAGAAATGGAGAATATCCGGCGACAGAATGACGCATGGCCAGCACCGACCGTCGTACTCCCGGGTCCGGTACCTACGATCGATAGGTGGCCAGTCTCCGGGGCGAATTGTTTTAATAAAAGGCGTCTCCTCTTTGGCAGCGTAGGTCAGACCGTAGGCCTGTATTGGGTATCCTCGAGGGGCAAATACAAAGCTCACCACCTCGCCAAGTTCGCGAAAAAGCGTTCTGACCTCGTCCCGCGCTTCCCGAGTGCGCTCGTACCGCGTGGTGGCGATATATGTCCTAGGCGGATTGAATGACCTATCTTGCTTGCGCTCACCGCAGGTCAAATGAGCAAAGAAGTCAAGGGAGCAGTCTTCTGTGAGGAGGCGAGAGGCTAGACGCAGTACATGCCGCATATTGTTATAGGTGGAGCGGGTCTGCTGGTCCGGCCCTTTTGTCCATCGTTCCAGTGCAAACATTGGCAGGATTTGGTTTTCCAAGGTAGGTGGGGGGATGATGTCTACTTCAAGACAGCCGTTGTAGGCGAGCCGGTCGTGGCAGGTCGCCAGTAGATCCTGGAAGGCATGGTTGAACATTGTGTTGGTCGTTGTGGTAGGTAAGAGTGGCTGCTGCGTTGGTTTTTGGGTGGGTAAGTACGTGTTAACAGAATAGTGGCCTGTCGCGCGTACTCTGGGTTATAGAGCCCAGGACTGAATCCCAGAGCAGACGTTGAATAGAACAATGCGCCGTGAACCTTCCTTACGGCATTGAAGGGGAAAGTGACAGATCGAAAAACATCGTATAGCAATGTAAAGCAAGAGGGACTGTGAGAGAGTGCTGTGAGATGCGATGCCTGTGAGGTTAGACCCAAAAATGAATGACGTTGTGAGTAAGAACCGGAGATAAATGACTCAGGGGCAGACGTGAGAAGAGAAAATGGGCTGCGGATCCATTGCGCACAACACGGTTCTGTTGCGTGAAAAGAAGGGCTGGCATGGCAAAACGTTGAGCAGAGGGGAGAAGAACGAGTGACGGCATATGCCCACCTGCTATTCGCGAAGATGGCGTGGCTGTTGCTGCCCTGTCAGGTTTTGGACAGCTGTCGGCAGCAAAATCGGTGCGAGCTGTACCTAGGCGTGCTCCATGAAAGCAGCATCCTCTGCAGGGACTGATGTAAAGTTAGCAGGGGATGAGGAACTCAGGGCGTGGAGTCGCGGGGTGGTGAAGAAGACGATGCGTGAATGTTCCGAAGTTGCAGGTGGTGTTGAGGAGTGAATGTACAGTGGGCTACAAAAAGTGATTGGCCGCCACCCGAGCGCCACGAAAGCCACCACAATCCACATATTTCAGTGAGCGATAACTCAGTCAATAATTATCCAAATTTCATGATGGGCAGAGTAAATAAAACGTCGAGAGTTAAATATTCTAAGTCTACCGTCAATACTATATGGCAATTCCATCTTTATGGGATATCTGGCGCCAAAATCGGCCGACATCTTGATATCCCAAAGTCCTCAGTCAACACCATTATCCGAAGGCTGCGCAAGCACCCCCTCCATATATATTCGAAAGCGCTTCGTACAGGACGTCCTCCTAAGCTAGATGAACGCGCAGAGCGACACTTAATACGCTGGGTTGCGTTAAACCCTTTTGCCACGATACATACGATCGCGACGCCGTCGAAGACTAGATGCGCTATCCACATCAACACCGCCCGCAAATACCTGGCAAAGCATAAAGTATACGCCTTTAGGCCTCGTCGTAAGCCTTATTTATCGAAACTCCACAAGAAAAAGCGCATCCGATTTGCCAAGCTCTATCGGAACTTAGATAAGGATAATGTGGCATGTGTGGCATTTTGCGACGAGGCAACTTGTTACGATCACAGGACCAGTAACAGGGTTGGCCGGGCCAGGACGGGGGAACGGCAGGCCAAGCCCGAAGTCACGAGATAGAGGACCACGTGCGGAGTCACGTGCAGGATCACGGGAATGATCAGGGTCACGTGATGTGATCAGGTGGATCAGGACCAGATCCACGAATTAGAACCTAATCCAAGGAAGCCAGGCCTTAGCCCTAGATCCCGCCAAGAGGCGCCTGTATATAACTAGGAGAAGCTCGCTTCTTATAGCTTCTTATAGTTATTACTTTATTTATTAAAATTACTACTACAACTTATAATTTATAGTATTATTATATCTACCTCTCTATTACTAAAGATTCTAGCCTAAAGTATATCTCTTACCTTCTCTTATAAAAGTAAGCCTTAGTTCTAGTTAAGAGAATAGCTTATAATAAAATAACTACCTAAAGTTAAAGAGTAGAATAACTATATTAATAGTTAGAATATAGTTAGAAAAATGTTATAATTATAGAATTAAGAATAGAGTTAGCTAGCTAGAATAGAGAAAAGAGTAGGCTAAGTCTAAAGTTATAGAATAAGAGATTACGTATAAGGTTATAAGAATAATTAGAGTTACATAATATAGATTAGATAGATTAGATAAATTAGAATCTAATTTATAGATTAGGCTCTAATCTAAGAGATTTATAGAAGCTAGGTCTTAGCGCCTAATCTAGCTAAGAGAGTATATATATATAACTAGAAGAAGCTTACTTCTTATAGCTTCTTATAGTTATTACTTTATTTATTAAATTACTACTATAACTTATAATTTATAGTATTATTACCTCTACCTCTTTGTAACTAAAGATTCTAGTCTAAAGTATACCTTTTATCTCTTTTTACGTAAGTAAGCTCTAGTCTTAGTTAAAAGAATAGCTTATAATAAAATAACTACCTAACGTTAGAAGAGTAGAATAACTATATTAATAGTTAGAGCCTAGTTAGAAAAGGCTTAAGTCTAGAAGCTAACTATAGAGAAATAGATTATAGAGCTCTAGTAGGTTGTTATAGTACTCTAGAAAATAGATATCTAGTAGGTAGAAGAGCTAGCTATAGTAAAACGCTAGGCCTAGGCTAAGATTACTCTACTCTAACGCTTTAATAGTAAAAGAGAGAACCTTAACATATTTCTAGTAGCTATAGAACTCTACCTATAGTATAACGCTATAGTATTTCTATAGAATAAAGATAAGATTCTAGAAGCTATAATAAATATAGAAGAAGAAGCTCTTACGTAGGCTAAACTCTATATATTAGACTAGCTAGAAAATAAGAGAAATATAAAAAGAATATAATAGTCTATAGATAAGATTTTTAAAAGCTAGACTAGATTTATAAAATATCTTAGAGAAATATTTAGAGAAGTTAACATATATAAGATAGTATAAGAAAAGCTATTTTAACTACGCTAGACTAGATTAGCATTCTAGTATATAGTAACGTTTAGATAGCTAAGTACTTATCTAGACTAGAATAACTTTACGCTAGTAGAACTCTTCTATAAGAGGTTAAAAGAATTAGTTAAGAATAATATTACGTATACTAAATAACTAGAGAACCTAAGTAATACTATAGAGATAGTAGTAAAGATTAATAACTAATAGTATAAATAAAACTTAGAATAGTAGTAGAGTAGAGACTATTTTACACTAATAATAGTTAGAACTAGATAACTATAGACTATATTCTAAGAAGATCTTATAGACCTAGACTAGGTTAAGGCTCTATAGAAAGAAAAATAAACTCTAAGAAATAAGAAAAAGGTATAATACTTTAAGAAAAAACTATATCTAATCTATAGCAAAAAAGAATACTTTACGTAAGAATACCTAAAGAGAAAGAAAATAATTAAGATAATCTAGGCTAACTATAATAGCCTATTATAGATAGTATACTATAATAATAGTTATATAATATACTAGAGAGATAAGATTAACTTAGAATAGTACTTAACTAAGGTATAGACTATTATACTAGAATACTCTACATATATAGAATATCTTACTCTAGATATAATCTAATAACGTATTAACGTATAATAGTACTAGATATACGTAGAATCTTATAATATATAGAACTATTAACACGTATACTAGAATATTCTCTTTACTAATAAAAAATTCTAGAAAGTACTAGACGCTTTTAAAAAAGTAGCTAGATTAGTAGAATATCTTATAGATAAAGAAGTATATTTATATATTTAGAAAATATACTAGAGCTTCTCTATAAACTATTCTAGAGCTAGAAAACCTAAATAATAGTAGCTAAAGTATGTAGAAAAAGATAGATACTAAAACCTCTTCTATAAGGTATACCTAACTAAACTATCTTAAAGAAAGAAACTCTCTAGGCTATTTCTATATAACTAGAAAATTAAGATACGCCTATAATAGAAGCTATATTAGCTATATAAGAGTAACTACCTAGAATATAACTATATCTATTAGATCTACTCTCTAGTAGTCTATAGTAAAGAAGAAAAGGTAGTAGTTAAGACGGCTACTAGTACCTAGAAACTAGATAATAAGAAAATCTAAGTAGCTACGTATATAGACCTACGCTCTAAAGAGAAAGCTAGCTAAATAGTAATACTAGAACTAGTTAAGAAAGTCTATAGTAAAGTATACTACGCTAAACTATAGAATTAGTATACTATTAGATACTAATACTATAGAGAATAATATTAAACTATAGAGTAGATAGCTAGCTACTCTAACTACTATATACTTAACTATAGATAGTACTTTCTAGAATAGAGATATCTATACTATAGTTAGAAAGTAAAAGATAAATATATACAACTTTATTAGACTATATACTTACTAGAATAATACCTAATATATATAGTAGAGAAAAAATAGAGGTTAGTACTAGCTACTCTCTTAAAGTTAAAAAACTAAAGAGCTTCTAAGAAAGAGGTCTACTCTAGAAAGGCTCTACTTAGACTATAGGTAAAATTATTATCTTAAAACCTAGAATACTACGCGTTAAAGCTATATTAGAAGACGAAAAACTTATAGCTTATATAGATAGCAAAGTAGTAAGAATATATATTTTAGCTAGCCTAGTAAAACTATAGAATATACTATTTTAAGAAAAATAATAGCTATACTAAGTATAACTTATAGATAACTAGCTATCTATCTTTAGCTAAGAATAGATTTACTTAAAGACTAAGGTATAGATACTAGATATCTAGAGAATATAAAAATAATAATTCTATAATATTATAGAACTAGAGAATATAGACGTACTTCTAGAGCTAGATTAGCTATAAAGATATAACTCTAATATTAGTTAGATTAGGTTAGAACTCTAAGAAAGGCCTATAGTAGTATAGAAGGCTAGAGTAAAACACTACCTAAGAGCTTACTAAAAGCTAGAGGTAAAGATTAGAAGAATATTCTCTATAAGTTTAATAAAATAAGTAAAGAAATAACTTTAAGACGTTAGCGTTATATAGATACGAAAGCTGTAATCTAATATAGAGTAACTACCTTAAGAAGTTATAAAGAACTATAAAAAGTTTACGTTATTATTTAATAGATAGAATAATAGCGTTCTACCTAAACA